CTCGTTTTGCACGTGATAGCGCGCTTCCGTACCTAAACGAACGCGTAGCCAAGGACCCCTCTTCAACGCCTTGCCCATTGATGCACTTCTCCTTATTGCATTTTGCTATTTCTGCTTTCGCACAGCACTCACCAAGCAGATATACTATTGACCAGGTCAGAAGATGGCAGAAGCATCACTCGAGCAGCTCCAGGAAGAATGGAAAGAAATGTTTCAGAAGACGCTTCCAGCAGCAGCAACCTCCAAATCTCCCTCCCAGGTACACACCCCCCATACTTTTTCCAACAGACATCATTTGCTCACTCTCAATAGTCTTCATGGCCAATCCACGTCGATCATTGTTTCGCGCGTATTATTCTTGATCTGGTCGTCGGGGTAGATACGCCATGGATGGAAAAGGTCAAAAGTCCAGCGTACAAGAACATGTCGGAAGAACAGCTGCGGAAGAGCATCGATTTGTCGCGACAAATACTAGAAGGAGCGGTTGATCTGGTTGACTTGAACAACCAGAGCCTTGCATTGAGAGGCAAGGATAAAAACAATCGAAAGAGAACACAAGATACGAATGAGCCAACGAGATCTGGGGCAAACCCAAAGAAGCGGAAGACTAATTCCATCCGCGAAGAAAGCACAGCAGATGCCAGCGTACCCTCAGCAAAGAAAACTCCTGTTCAGATCGAAATATCGCCCTACTTTGTGAAATCGAGGAGGATCAAAGAAAGCTCTGGCTCCATTCCATCTCAGAATGCCGGAAACATCCCCATTGGCAAGGAGGCTCCTAAGTCTCTACAGGAAGACCTTGGCCCATGGCTTAAGAAGATTGCGATGTCTCAACGGACGCCTTTCCAGAAGAAGGTGCTTGTAGCTCTGTGCCAAGTTCCCAGAGGCAGATACACCACCTACAATGCAATATCAACTTATTTGTCATCCTCTCCCCGAGCTGTAGGTAACGCGCTTCGCAACAACCCATTTGCTCCTGATGTGCCTTGCCATCGTGTTCTAGCCACAGGAGGTAGTCTTGGAGGCTTTGGTGGGAGTTGGGGGCGAAAAGGAGAAGCCGGCCTAAACGATGACAAAAAAAGGAAACTGCTAAGAGCAGAGGGCGTAAGGTTCGATGGGAGTGGAAAGGTGGTAGGGAGTGCTTGGAGCGGATTCACATGAGATTGATTTCTATGTACCTGACCAGTCCAGGGTTCCTTCAACAGTCACAGCTGCCTCCCCAACACCTCGAAGACACGACAAGTACACCATTCCAGTACTCATTTGAATGTCAACCTCGAAAGAGCTGACTCTTGCCCACTCCGGAATGAATTCGGTTTCAACCCCTTCCTCCTCAACTTGCATAACAAACTTAGCAACATCAGCTGTGTGAGCACTATCCCAATGAGCTTCCCTCCACGGTGTTTCTGAGAGCAAGTCGATCGCCTCTCGTCGAAGCTTCCTATCGCGACAATTTAACGTTGGCATAATCAATGGATATATCAGTCCCATGTCGAAAGCAAATTGACCTTTCACATACGCAGGATGCTCCAGCAGCTTCTTGGAGAAGTACACGATACTCCTAAACTCCGGTAACAAGTCATCCCAATGAAGCTCTGATGTAGAAAGATGGTCTGCCAACGACAATGCTGTCGTTATTGAATGGACTTTCATCATCAACGCACGGATGGCATTTGGATGATTTGGATTCCACAAAACTTCAGTAAATAATCGTTCAAAGGCTTTGTCCCACCGTCGAATTTCCGAGACGTAAATTTCGTGTTCGATTTGTACAACAAATTGTGTTGAACGAGGCTGCCGTTCATCGTCGCCAATACAAAGCATCTTGTGGGAGGTACCATCCTCCAAGCCAAATTTGAACTGGGCTTTATGCACTAAATTCGTATATGCCATGAAGTGAAAAGCTCTTCTCATGATCAAGTCCAAATATTCGCCGGCTTCTTCGATGGTGGAAAACGACGCTGGCATTTCTCGAATCAGGTTTGCACCTTCGCCTTTCAACTTTCGGTGTACATCTTTTGCCTGAACGTCATAGCACCCAACTATTTGCAAGTCTAATCGGCTGAATTGCTGCATCAATTCGGTTTCGATGGTTTCTGCACTTGATGATCGCTCGTCCTCGCTTATCTCATCCACCAATTTCAAGCCTTGCTGAGCATGACGGAGGGCATTGTGAGGTCGGTATTGCATATTCTCGATACATACTACAAGTAGACAGGCAATCATTGCAAGTCTTCTGCCTTCTTTTCTTCCTGTGCTGGCAATATATTTCTTGGTTCCTTCGAGGAACTTCCCGTACTGGGCCAAGGCCGCCTTGTCAGACTTCACCGCGTCGATCCCAGTGTAGCCTTCTCCAGATGTTCGGCTCGAATCTGTACGTCGGCTGAAGCCACCAATGGCAAATATAGCATTCCTGATGAACTCATTCTCTTGCCCAGCCTGCAGTAAGAGCCGCTGCCAGACCTCATCGTTGGAGTACGACAGACGGGGAGCCACCTTTTCGCAGTAGGCTCTAAAAGCACCCACTTCGTCTTGACTGCCATGGCGACCGAATGCAGGAGCTGCTTTGAGTACAGATAGCGGCAGCAAAACCCTTCTTTCAGCAACACATCGAGGAATGATGGTGTGCTCATATCCCTTGCAATATTCGTCTGATATTCTCAGGCATCGAAGGCAAGCCGGTCTGGTTTCGTCACATTTTACATGCCTGGCCTAGAAGTGTTGGTCAGCAAAGGCTATGTACTTGACTTTCGTTGAGCCGCTCGAACTCTCTCAAGCGGTAGATGATACCTTACAAGTCCGGCAGCCTGTTTTCACCTTGGTTGTCTTGTTTCGTTTCCGTTCCTCTGGACCTGGTCGCTTAATTCTATTTCCATTTTTTCGCACCGGCTTCTGGTTCTCCACAGTACTCTCGGGCATCATCAATTCGCCTCTCTCTAGATTCTTCTGTTCCATGGCCTTAATTGGGACCCAATCTTTTGATATTCAGCTGATGTTTGTGGGTAACACGTCTTCATAGATTTGGAAGGAAGGATTGAGCATACAGTCATCACCTTATGAGCGAGGCATTTCGGTGAGAAAATATAGTATGGTTTGGAACGAGAGGACAAGACATTGCCAATTAGCAAGCGTGGAACGTATTGTGGCCAATCAAAGGGCCATACCCACGATCTGGCCCTGGTCAGCTGAAATGGCTTGCATTATGGGTAGGGCTGCAGATACTCATCCTTCCATCGTCGAAGCTTTCCACCCTAACATTAGGAGATGCCGTCTCGCTAGCTTCGATCTTGTAAAGATAAGTTACGAGGCTACTGAGTATACTCTATCTCGTCTCTTCACACGGGCGACGCGAGGGTTCGTCATCAATTTCATTTAGCAATGCAGAAGCAATCTACAGCGCCGCCAAAGCTACCTATCAGAAGCTGTTTATGCATCGTGTCGGAAAAGTAATCATGTCCACGAGTCCACCCTGTTATTTCTATGTTATCTTCAGAGTCACAGAAAGGTTTCCACCATTGGCGGTGGATTGATTTGACTTCACAGTCAGAAGTATGGTTGCAATTGCTGATGCTGATGGCGCGACTTAAGCGGACTTAATCAGAGCAGCCTGCTGCCATGTCCTTTCGGGCCGCTCTCATATTGTGTGGCGGTCGTCCTTGCCCCATCTATGGAGACGGCATTCCCGCATCTCACAGGTCCCAAGATTTGGTTGTACATTGTTCCCTAATACGCCATTCTCATGGGCGTGCTCAGATTCCTACAACGCTATTCCCGCAAAAAACAGTCTGGGGAGAAAGGAAAGAGGTGAACAACTGTCATGAAATCACTGTTCGCGATGGGATGCACTGCTTCTGCTTCGTATACTTGCCCAGTTAGTATCGCTCTAATTCTCAACATCTTGGGAGGTTCGTGGGAGGGACGTTAGCCGGATCCGATTGGCTCCTTCCTAATTTTGAAAAACCTGAGGGAACCTTTCAGCACCTACCGATTGGTCAGAATACTCACTTCTGAGTTTGGATTTATCCCCGCATTCGCGTAACCTTGCTGAGCCTCGCCCTGCAACGTCTGCCTTCACGCTCGCAGAACTCGAGGTGAAACAACTGAGGTATGGCTCATGCACCTCACCTGGGTCTCGCATCTGTCGAGTTCTTCGTCCAAGGAATCAGGTGCATTCGTGTGTACTACCGTTCGTCCGATGATACTACAATCAGAGAATCTTGTTACCAACAAGACATCGGTTGGTTCGTTCGCGGAGACGGCATTGTTACCAGGAAGGCGAAGAAAAACTCACCACTTACCGCTCTCCGAGTTTGCTTCCCAGAAGAAAAAATCATTATCATCGTCGTCTATCTTGACCCTCTGAATCATATTCATCAGGTTAACGAAGCCATCACCCCTCGATAATCTAGAAGCTAACATCAATGCTAGTGTCTTGCACCTTTGAAACTGGAGGCTCCATGGGTGGAGACTCTTCTCTTTACCTTCAAGCCTGGCCCGTTAAACATCTTGCCAGAATCTCAGTAAGTATAGACGGATTTCACAAATTGCGATTGCAACGTACTTGAACACTTCTATGACCTACTCGATTGTTTAGTCAAATACACTCAGCTTTTCATGCCACGGTTCATGGTAACATTCAGACTAGGATCATTATGTGTTAGAGCGAGTTGTATTAGGCGGACGCGTGTACTGATACCATGTGTCTAGGCTTGCTCTTGTTAGAAGAGATAACGAAGAGGAATTTGTCTTGTTCTATCAGGGTGAGGGAGATGATCAAACGAACTTCCCCCTGTGTGGGGTCAAGTGGATCTATAGCGGTGCTGGGGAGACAGCGTTCATTTTCGGACGGGTCGCATCAGACGCAGCTGTTGGAACTAGAATGTCGGCATTCGTGGATAATTTTACGAATAACGTGGCCTTGTATTACCAGTGTACAGATGGTAGCCTTCAAGAGCTACTGTCGGAGGGTTCAAGCCACTGGACTGAATGTAAGTCAGAACTATGTGGCCCGAATACGCCCATAACGTTAATCCAGTGTTTTAGCGCACCCCATTCAGGAACAGTATAAGCTCATAGCTAACGCACCTATCACTGCTATTCTCCGAAAAACGCGTCCGTCACATTATCAGATAGACATCTTTACCGTCATCACAGATAACAGAGACGCAATCTCTCAGTTCACATACAAGCATCCGAAGTGGATGCATCCCATCAGCACATTCATTTCCTGTCAAGACCGTTCAGATATTACATCGTGCCAAAATGTTGGACCGAATACAACATCTCACAGCCCGGTATGCCTGTTCTACGAAACAGAAAATGGAAGCATAAACATGACGCCCATACCTGCAGACACGAGTGCAGCCTCACGCGCGATGGCTGTAGACATTCCACTCCCTACTGGGATTCCCATATCAATCGACGGACCGGTGCAATTGCGGGATACTGCTACGACTCCAAAGTCATCTGACACAAGTTACCACAATAACAGCACAACTTCAGATACAGAAAACACAGACAACCTGCTAGGCCATGCCCCCGTTGAAGTGAGGCGAGTAGATAGTGCAAAAGAGAAGTCTAAAGCTGCGTCATCCAAAGCAACAACTTCCCGCGAACAACCAGCTTCTATAACTCGTTCAAACAGTCTACGTCGAAGACAGAGCATGCAAATCCTTGAGCTTGAACGTAAAATTGACGAACTTGTTGTGGAGAATCGCCTGCTTTTGGAGGAAAGAGTGCAATCTGAAAAAAGCCTGTCCTTTTCGTCTGTTTCAGCTAAAGACAGTAGTCGGCCTCGAGAGGCTCTGCAACAACTTGAAATCGACTTTCCTGGATTCTCACGGGCCAGTAGTGATTCACTGGCCGGGGGGTTTGGGCTCACGAGCCGTCATGCTAAAGGACTTGATACACAGAGACTTCAGAATAACCCGGGAGAGGCAAAGTTCGGCAAGATTAAAGCGTACGTTTTGTGTTGATTCCGTTGAAAGCCACTCAGGCAATAATATCTTTCTCTCTTTTTTCAACTGCACGCAAAACCCCTTTTTCTTCGCGCTAGAGATTCTGACATATAGCAAAAACAAAGTCCCCAGTCATCGTCCACAGTGAAGGCGCAGATCATATGGAGGGCTCTTTATCTAGTGGCTGTTAAGGATATCCGAATTTTGGAATATTCTAAATGTGGATCTATGTTGATGACGATCGACACGAATAGCAGATATATCAAAATCTGGGACGTCGCCTTGCTTATGGCGGCCAGCAACTCAAGCGACCGCGAAAGCGCATTGATCTGTTCATGCGAAGCTTCGATGGAAGTTGTTGCGGCCGAGTTTTCGTTTGATAACGAAAGTTTGTGGATTGTCCTGGAAAAGGGAGGCCAGCCCTATCTCAGATCATGGCGATTCAAAACAGATCGTTCATTTACGATGATTCCCAATATTATCCTCGGCGGTCAACTTCTTGCTACGAATTGTAACGGTCAGTTCCTCGCTCTGTCAATGGAATTAGGACTAGCAATTTTCGATTTTGATACCGTCGACATGATTGAATACGAACAACGACTTACCAGTGCAGTGTTCTCGCCCACTAATAGCCATATCATTGCTGCTGGATATGCCGGGGGCACTGTAATTATCTACAATTGCGGTGAACAAGTAAGCAAGTTTCGAGTAGGCAAGACTCGGTTTCCAGTCATCACTATGGCATTCTCGCCAAACGGGGAAATGCTTGTTGTCAAGGCACAGTTTGAGGAGCTCGGGATCTGGAAGTGGTCGACGGGAGAATGCTTAGCTAGCGTCTTTCCTGCCCCTGGTTTGCGAAGGAGAGCCTGTCCCTTTGTCAAGTTCACGATTGATGGCCGATTTATCGTCGCATCATTTTCCGATGTTCGGAAGGGTAATGTTCTTGTTTTTGACCTGGACCTGGACACGGTAGCTGATTTCCCAACTGGTGAACATTGCAATATGGATTTTTCACCGGATGGTAAATGGCTGGCGATGGTATCCGAAGATTACAAGCTTGAAATTCGAGAGTTGTCCGACAAGTGAAATTCGTGAGTTCTAGTACTTGGGGGTACGCATATGGAGTGCTACCAAAGTACGACATTTGTTAGCACATATAGAGAACCTCTCGATTGCAGAGGATATCAATATGAGCGAGACGCGACACAAGGAGACCAGCAACTAAGATACTGCAGCTAGCTATAGAATAAACGGGAGGAGAACCAACATTTTGGATGGCGATATATCCAACTTCACTAGACATTTTGAACGGAATTAACACACATATCTTTGAGAAACTTGCTACCTTTCTATTTGAGCGTAAGAATTATCTTCACATTCGTGCATGCTTTGAGACGTTAAGCGACGAGATCTTCTAGGAAGTCATGTTAATATCCTCCAAAACTGTCTCTGATATCCCAGTTTATATGCGAAGATTCATGAGTCTACACGAGTTGTCACATATAGCTTCTTGATCTGATCAAGGAATTTAACTTGCCGAAGCCTCAACGAGTCAATAGTTAACCTCGTGGTTTGATAATTCTTTGATGTCTATGAGAATGGGTAATCGTTCTATTCTTGCGAGGTCAAGTAATGAGCTTAGCTAGAAATTGATGTTTGGGGAAAGATATGGGATGGCACAAGCGGCGAATACCGACGACTTACTGAAACAGAACTGATATATCTACTCAAACCGATAAGCTGCCCAGGTGCTTTGTCATTTCTCATACGTGATATAATACATAAACCACGAGACTCCTAATTCAGCAGCAAGTTGATGCAAGCAAAGAGCTGTTTCATACTCAGCGACAAAGCATGATGCATCAAATATCTCACCATCAAAGCTGCTGACATGTCAACATAACCACAATTCACATCGAATCAATACATGATACAGAAAGTTATAGATTATAATTACGCTATTCCTCCGTGGCGCTAAGAATTCAGCATCACTTGCCGTAGCAAGGACGAACGAAAATTGGTATCGCTAGCAATGCCGTAAATCTATGGTACAGTATGTGCTTGTTGTCACAAGCCACACAAAGTTATACACGCTATCTGTTGCATCAACCAACAACAGCTTTGAGCCTCGTCCAGCAAGAATCCTCCTCAAATAAGGCTCCTCAGAAGCAGGGTAAACTTCTTCTCCACTCTCAGTTGCCTTCATACTTCACTCAAGGGTCATCCGAAACAAAGATTCGAAGCCGAATCAATGACCGGAACCCAACAAGATCCGTCTGTTCTTCTTCACCAACGCATGCAACTTCTTCTCAATAATCTCTGCTTCCTTTCTGGCTGCTTGCATACCAGTCTCGGCATCAGGGAGACTCAGCAAGGAAACGTTTCCAAGCGGACGACCGCTGTCACCATCTCGACCAACTGCAAAATGCGCAGTCATCCCTTCAAGACCTGTGGCCAATATGCCTTCTTGGCCAGATCCATCATGGCTACTTCCAGCACGTGGACCACCAGGATCACTTCCCCAAGATGGAAAGCTCGAGGGATCGGCAGATCTGAGCATTTCCGCGTCAAGAGCGTTTGCGTTGAGTGCCTTCTCGAGTTGCGAATTGGTAGACAGAGACGGTAGAACATATTGGTTGATATAGCTCAATGCTTCGTCGCGCTGGATTTTGCTGACAGGGTCGAGGGTAACGCCGTTACTCTTTGGTGTTGGAAAGAATGAAGGAGGTCCATTCGGTACAGCACGACCTCCGATCAAGGTGAAGCCATTGCTAGCATGATGTTTTGCGGAGACAAACGCGCTTGGTCCTGCGTCTTCCGCTAGTTTCTCTTGTAGTGTAAGATACCGCTCCTCTTCCTCAGGGGTCAGGTATCTCAGGTAGTCTCCATTAGGCGTAAGCATGGTTGGATGGGCAGTTCCTCGGTTCTTATGGACAGGCTTTCCATCCGATAGAGTGGCTCTATCCTCTGGGGTAATGATTAGCTTCTGGAGAGGTCCTTGACTCTCGGCCTCGGCTGGTGAGGATAACTTGACTGAGCTCAAGGGCGGCTTCAAAAAGGCTAGATGATTGGCATCGGGAATTTCCTCATCAGCTATAAGCTCTTCGAGAATTGTTGCTGGAGTAGGTACGGTAGGTGGTTTACTGGAATCAACAGCACTCTGCTCGGCTTCTTCCTCAGCCTCATGAGCCGGCTCGACGGTAGGTGGAGGTGGTACGTGCTGTTGGCCGCGTTGTTTATTCTTTCCCTTGCTTTTGATCGAAGGCTTAGTAACTTCAGCTTCAGACTCAACAGCAGTAGTCTTTGCCTTCTCATTGAGGTTTGAATCATTCTTGTCACTGTGCTTGCTGGACTCTTCTTGCACTCTGTCCACGGGACCAGGCGACGCAGGCCGGCTTTGAGCAGGGGTCGAACCACCCGCTGCGCTGTGAATGTTATGCTTGTCCTTTTGTTGCTTTCTCTTGCGGCCCATAATAGGCGCAATCACTTCTGGTTCTGCCTTTGCAGCAGCTGCAATCGCAGCGGCCTCGGCCTCGGATCGTTGTTTCTCCAATTGGCGTTGCTTCTTTTGCATGCTCTTTGTTGTGGTTCTTACAGGAGCAGATCCAACCTTAGATGGTGGTGGTGAGCTCGCTCTTGAGATGGAAGCAGATGTGACTGAGGCATTATCAGATATTGCTTCACTGGTGGGAGTCCCAGGACGCTCATGTCTCGAAATCGAGGCAAGACTTGCTTGCCTAGTGGGTCCAGGTGGCGGGACAACCGAAGTCACGGATGATGGAGTCGCATTTCCAGTAGTTGGCGTGTCTGGCTTTTCTACTTTGGATGGAACCAGGCGTAACGTCTTTGGAGTGTTCCGGGTCAAAGGGGACTGCGCAGCTGATACTGAAGGCGTACTTGGAGGCAGCGGAGGAAAAGCGGACGTTGCTATCATGGGTTTGCTTGGAGTCTCTACAACAGGCACCGGCTTTACTGCAGGCTTTGATGGTACTGAAATGTTAAGAATGCCAGGCTGTGTACGCTTCTCACTTTTTGGTGCCGTAGCGAGGGTCGTGGACGGACCCGGTGTAGTGACTGCGGTCGTTTTCTTGATGGCAGGGGTAACTGGAGGTTTCGCAGCACTTGCTTTACTGGCAGTTGGTGTTGCGGGCGCTTTTGCTGTCCCAGAGGTAAGTGCAGGGAAATCTTCGGATTGAAGCGACTGTGAGGCTTGCGAAACTATTGCCTTGGATAAGCCAGTGTTGGTAGCAAGAGCTTTAACGTCCTTCTTTGCCTGTGAAGCGGAGCTCTCCGCCAGGGGCTTTTTCAGGATCTCTGGCGTCACAACGTTCGACAGCGGGGTAGCAGTCCTTGGAATGAACGAAGAGGACCGCGATGGTGTGAAAGGAGCCGCGCTAGGTACAATCCTCGAGGGTGGCTTTATTGCAGGTTCTTGTGATTGTGGTTGAGGATGGGCATGCGGCAGGCTGAACCCAGGTGGTACTGTAGGTGTCGAAGAGCGTGAGTTGACCATTTCATACACGTCGGAGAGCCGCATTCCAAAATTGTCGGCAGTGCTGTCAGCTATGCTGTCGGCTACGAGAGCATCGACGGATAGCGTTGCTTCGTCGGGAAAGGGAAGATTCTGATCATCTAAGAAAACTGTCAGCTTCTGACTTAGGAAGATTTCTCAATATAAAAAAAGAAAGAAAGAAAGAAAAACACGACTAAGTCTAAGACTCGTATACAGAACATCATCACATCACAAACTCCATCATCGTCTTCGGACCAGAGGCTACTGATGGCACAAAAATGTAAGAATGCTATATTGACCAGCCACACTCGGCATAGAGTCGGGGATCTTAACGTACATGAAAGCGGTCCTGACGAAGACGGTGATGGAGTTCCTGACGTAACCATGCCTGCTTCTGCCAGTGTTCGTTGCTCCAGAAGATTATAAATGACAGCCAAGCAACAATGAGATGCTCTCATTTCCAAATAGAAAAACGCCTTCGCATCCCCAGCCTCCATCTTGGAGCTGTCCTATGCTCGCTAAATGGATAGATATGTATGCTGACCAAGCAAAATGCAACGCCTAGTCAATGTCGTTTTCGAACGCCGCCCCCAAATGAAATCAATATGTACAGCCTGACAGCCCTTTCGACGCCCTTGCCCGTATTCACCATCGAGTGTTGAAGTTGTTACCGCCATACATCAAGTTCGGATGGTACCCACCTTGAGCCTGACCACCGAATAGTCCCTGCCCGACTCCAGCATTGCTCTGTTGTTGGTGTGGCATTCTCGCCTGCAAAATACTTGGGTCCACAAGATCGACTAAGCCACCTCCCCCAGAGGAGGAAGTGTTAGCATGTCTGTGCTTCTTTCCCTTCTTCTTCTGCTTCTGGCTATAGTCATGGAATGCTGAACCGCTTTGGGGAGCGTAGAGCGATGCCACAAGGCCTGAAGACGAAGCAGGGGCTGGGGTGGAGGAGGTGGATGGGTACGATTGATTAAAATTAGGAAACATAAACTCACGCTTGCCTGTATCATGAGACTGACCACCACCAATATTCGCACCACGTGCTCGAAGCATCTCCCGAAGCATCTCATTGCTGTTCTCCTTGGCGCCGAATGCTGCACCCATAGAGCCTCCAAATGCATGGCCTTGACCAAACATGCCGCCAATGGGAGGCGTGCCCGTTGATTTTAAGCCTGGTGGCGGGCCCTGAATCGAGGAGCCGTAGAACTGATTTGAACCTTGATGACTCGGCATCATTGATGCTTGTTGTGCCATCATCTTAGAATTTGCCAATGGTTTCGAGCTATTGTCAGTCGCAAAGTTGTATCGAGAAGATTGCCGATTGTGACCCTGCTGCTGGAACAAGCTAGAGTTTTGCGTGGACTGGCTTCCAATACTCGGCGAATATTGATCCATAAAACTGGATTGCTGATGTAGAGAAGTCGATAACATCAACTGTTGTTGCTGTGGTGTCATGGCCCGCCCATTTATCGAGTTCAGATTGGTCAAATTTCGGGGGAAATTACCGGGAGCACCAACCGGGCCGTTGTGTGTTCTTTGAATAGGGAGCTGCGCACTTGATTGTCGTTGAAACGTAGGAACTTCTCTATGGCCATCCCGATCTTCAGGCTCCCCACCAAGCTGATAGCTGCCACTTTCGGGCTCATCCTCTTCAACAGGCTCCGAGATGACTTGCTCTTCTTCCACGGATTCTTCTTCCAAACGAAGTCTAGCTTCTTCTTCTTGAAGTTGTTGCTTTCTTGCGGCTCGTTTTTCGCCACCGAATGCATCGAAAAGAGGTGGAAATGAAGCGCCATGCTCCTGTAAGGACGTAGGAACGCTAAACAACAAATCCGGCTCGTTAATAGACTTTAACAGATTTAGTAATATCGGATCTCTCTCGGGTTTTGGTGGTCCAGCAGACACGTTCTCGGAGGTTGATTGAGGTTGTGATGGTTCAGGTACGACTTCTGGGTCTTCCTCAACGATCTCAGCGGTAGCGGGAATGGCCTGAGAGACTGCGGGGCTCGATGTCGCTCCACTCGTGGCATGGCTTCCCCTCCGACTTTGCTGTTGAACACCCCGGTTCGCCCAACTAGCAGATGAAGGGAGGGCAGAACCATCACCGCTATCAGAACCATCCTTACTCGACTCCCTCATCATAGGCTGCGAAGCTGCAGCAACAGGTTGTGATTGCTGTATAGGTGCCTGCATCTGCGCAATCTGTCGAGACGAGGAAGCTGAAGAAGATGCGATCGATTGCAAGGGGCGCTGAGTATTGACGCTATTGAGTGAGGACAAGTCTTGCCGCGAGTAGCTGTCATCGTTGTCGCCATCTTCATGAAGAAACATGCACTGCTTATTTGTACATGTTTCGCCCCGTAAAAACGCAGAGCAATACTTAGTCGTTCCCAGTTGTGCTCGCAAGACGCGATCGCCGTTTTGAGACCCATTAACGGCCGCTATACATCTTTGAGCATCCTCTTTTCGAGCAAATGTGACATAGACTCCTAGCCCCTGACTGTTCTGCGGACTTTCTCCCGATTTTGATTTGCTTACAACGATCTTCAAAATCTTGCCGTATTGCCCAAAATATTCCTCACCTCGAAGGGTACCTAATAAATCTTTTTCTGGGATATGTGGATTGAGTCCGACAACGTACACAAGGTTTCGCTGTACAACTCGAAGTCCGGATAAATGTTTTCGGTTAAGGTTTTCGACTTCTCGCTTCTGCGCTTCCTTTTGTCGCTGCTCGGCCTTCTTTTTCGCATTCTTCTGTATGTTGGCTCGAAACTGTGCTTGCCTATAATGACATAAGTATTATGAACAAGTACGAGAACAGTAGCAGATGCTTACTCTTCAGGTGAAACGACTTTCCATTCTATCGTTTTTTCGTCGTACGGTCTTCGACAAGCAGGACACAGAGCGTTTAGATTCGTTTTGATATTGTTGAAGCAGAACTGGCATATCTAAGATACAAAGGTCAGCTATTAGCTCTGGAGGCACGGATTTGGTTCGTTGCGTATTTACCTGATATCCGCAAGGACATGGCCGAAAGTTCTTGTCTGACAGATCGAACTCTTCGACACAAAGGGGGCTAAAGGACAAATGGTGAGCACAACCCTGAAAGCTGTCGATAGGGGGGGGGGGAACGGCTGGCCGAGCTGTACATACCAGGTCTCCTCTTCATCATCGATGAAGCTATCTTGAGGTGCCATATCTGTATGTCTCTAATACGTCCGGAGTGAAGATGCGATGTGGAGATTATTAAAGTAGGTGATGGCGAAAAGGGCGCGACAAGTCTATAAGCGGCGCGACGCGGCAGTATTAAATGTCGAGGAATGAATATATCGTGGTCAGATTACAGCTCTATGCAGAGAGTCTAATTAGTGTCGCGGAGGAAATACTGCGTATGTGGAATGAGGTCGTAATTTGTGAAGAGTCGAAGAAAGGTCGCGAGAGGTTCTCCCGGCTCTAAATCGTTCTGCGCTAGTCCGCAAGCGGGATAGTGGGTCATCTACCAATCATCGATCGCTCATCACCAAAGATGCATCACCTCCGCGAACGACGAGGAGTATATTTGATCTGATCGTACAAAACCAATTGGCGCCACACCACAGATCCCCCAATATGGCAATGAAGGTTTCGAACCGGCGGGCTCTGGCCTCAGCATTGAGCTCGACGAGGACCGCCCTTGTCCGTCGTAACGAGCCAGCAATTCGATGCTTTACGTCGACGCCAAACGCCCGAGTAGTCGTTTCTCACGATACACCCAATATGCGATCTGCGAAGAGAGACCCTGTTGTCGAAGGTGGCCTCCGGGTGCCGCCAGTAAATCCAGCGGACAAGTATGCTGCGAAGGCGGACGATATGCACAAGTACGGGCAGTGGCTGATGGGCTGTTTACCAAAGTACATCCAGCAATTTTCGGTATGGAAGGATGAATTGGTTATCTATATTCCTCCTTCAGGAGTAATTCCGGTTTTCAACTTTCTCAAATGTAAGAAAATGCTGGCAATTATGTTCCGCATCCAGAGCTGACATGAATAGACAATACCGCCGCCGAATTCACAACAATTTCTGATATTACTGCGGTTGACTTTCCTACTCGAGACCAGCGATTTGAAGTTGTGTACAATATGTTGAGCGTTCGCCACAATTCGCGAATTCGAGTCAAGACGTACGCAGACGAAGCCCAGCCAGTGCCCAGTATCACAAGCTTATACGACGGCGCAAATTGGTATGAGCGGGAGGTGTATGATTTATTCGGTGTATTCTTTGTCGGCCATCCTGATCTGAGACGAATTATGACCGACTACGGATTCGATGGACATCCATTACGCAAGGACTTCCCTTTGACTGGATATACTGAGATTCGATATGATGAAGAGAAGAAGCGAATTGTTGTTGAACCATTGGAGTTAACACAAGCGTTCCGCAATTTTGAAGGTGGAACTGCGGCGTGGGAGGTAAGAAAAGCTATGAACCTTCCAGCTGCGTATATGCTTACCTCTTATAGCAAGTTGGACCTGGTGTTGACAGAAAGCCCGAGTCGTTCAAACTACCGACTCCAAAACCAGAAGAGAAGAAAGAAGAGCCAAAGAAATAGATTCGATAGCTCAGTTGTACATACCATGTTATATGTAAAGGTTTCGTTTTGTCTATCAATCATGTCGAGTGGCAAATGTGACTTTTTTTTATACCGATGTTTGATTCTGCTTTTAGAAAAGATACGTCACGGACTCATGAACTGTCAATGGGCCTGCTACCTGGATATCCATAGACGTTCGCAACACTCGATCATTTTCCGCAGATAAAACTAATTTTTTGCCGATAATGAGCAAGCCAATCTAATAGTAACCGAGCGACATGTCGTACCTGAGCTTAGTGGTGGTGGTGTCGCCTCACGGACCCTCGAGTACCTAGGTAGCTGGGAAGTCACTTCAAACAACGATGCCCTAAAACCAGATACTGCCAAAAACTATAATTATTTATTCCAACTACAAAAATACATTTCCTCGCTTTCTTATGCACCAGTGACCCAATATGAATTACAGATGTTGCTTTATACTCAATCGTCCTCCTCATCTAGTAGCTTGCCAACATCCTTTCCTCTAATACTCATCATCGCTATCTTCAACATCAGGTAACAACGCTCTGTAACGTCTGCTTGCCAAGTCCTCCTCGAGACCGCCGTCGCTTTCCGGGTCAACATAACCCTCGCCTCCAACCAGACTCAGTGCCACAGGCAGGAAGATCAGTGCGTGGGTAGCTGCAAAGATGACCAACGCCAGCCAGATCCTGAAGTAGTAGATCTCAAAGATCTTACTTCTTGTGAATGCCAATACAAAGACCCCAAGTAACTTGGTGATGGTGATACCTGAGAACACTGACCCGCCTACGTTGACGAGAGCAGTCCAGGCACGCGCATCGCGGCCGCGGAACTTGTTCTTTGCACGCTCCATCACGGCTCGTGAGGGGAACATGAATGCGCGGGCGATGTGGGCGCAGAACTCGACTCCGATACCGACACAGATGATCAGATTGACGAGTGAGACTGCATTGAGTGAAACGCCAAAGACTGCCATGAAGCCGATGATGTCAACGACAATCATAACGACTGTGATAGTAACAACAGCTCCAGTGAAAACAGATCCTAAGAGGATTGAGGAGATGGCGAATATGATAGCAAGCGCCGATCCAAGAAGAGTGGCAGTCAACTTTACGATACCAGCATATTGATCGAAATATATGTAGAATATAGAATATGGGAATACTTCGATCCCAGTTTTCTCCGTAAGGTCACTCGATATTCTTCGTGCCGATGCGTAAGCTTTGATGAAATCTTCTTGGCTGCGAAGTGGTGTATGACTTGAGCGGAAGTGGCTTGCGGGAATTGTATTTTTCTTATCGTCAATAATTAGAGCATTGCCATATGAGGCCTTCCCTCCCAATGGACAGCTTTCGCCGGTGGGTGCTTCTACCCATTTTTTCAGGTAGTAAATGAACTCTTCGCCTTCAGGCATACCTGAAAGTGTAATGTTCCAGGCGGGAACCCTATCTGCGAAACAGGTGTGCTCCTCGAAACGGCCTTTATCATTCTTCTCCTTTTCAACACAGCATTCTTCCAAGTCCGGATCGAGCCATCGCAAATAGTCATCGACCCAGCTGGCTGCAGTCGATGCAATGTAAGACGTATCTGGACGCTTGCGTTCTTGTTCTAAGATGTTTGTAAGAGATTCTTGTTCGCAAGTCGTGAACCGCGCGCAAAGTTGTTGTTGATGGACTCGTTGGGTAGCGTTGACTTCTCGAGTGACAAAATATACAGGAGGACCAGACTCAAAGTAATTGTACAAATCGTTAAAATACGGGATCAGGTACGATCCATCTGGAATCGCCACTCTTTGGTCTAATCCCAAGGCAACTTCAGGAATGAGAGACACGGCGGCTGTGAAGATACCCAGGAAGACAACGACCACAGCGACCTTCATTTGCCTCCCAAGGAGAGCAGGGGCATAATGCTTGCGAATGAAGGTCTGAAGAGTGCCTTCTTCTTGGCCCTCGTATGGCGAGCTATAACCGTTGCCACTTGAGACTCCCAATTGAATACCGGCGCTCTTTAGTTGAATGCAGGGGAAGCAATCAACCCTTTGGTCTTCGGCACGACGCTGGTTGAGACTCAATACAGATACGAACATGGTGACTTGCAATAGTGCGTTAATAAATACTGCTCCCGCCGCATAGATTGCAAAATTCCTCACAGCTGGCATGCCAACAAAGGCACCCAGTGCAAATGCGACGGTTTCTGTGATAGCGGACAGAAGAATGGATGGTCCCATTCGTCCAAGAGCTTTCGCGATTCGGTGTTCAACAACATCATCTGGGTGGCTGATGTTGACACGCTCAAATTCATGTACGATGAGGAAGATATTGTCAACACCGACAGCCAAAACAATAAACGGAATGACTTCGGCAATAATCAAAGTGACTTTGACGCCGGCAAAGGAGAAAAGACCAATAGATGCTGAAATAGACATCAACACAATCAGGATGCCCACGACACCAAGAGAGAACTTGGATTCGACAAGGAATGTTGCTGGGTTTCGTAGAACTGAACGAAGAGATAATGTTGTAGAGCCGAGGGCTAGCGATGCGTAAAAGAACATGATGATGTAGCTGATAACCACAATCTTCGCATCAGTGTTTGTGGATTTATTTAATTCTTCCTCCAAACTGATTTCAGTGTTGAATGACAGTCTCAAGCCACGAGAGTTTGCTTCTGCCTGCACTTCTAAAAGAGTGAGTTTTAATGCCTGTTCCCAATCGCTGGCATTCTTTACAAATGACGAGTCTTCCGCGCCGTTGTTAACGACCCAGGTGGTAACAATTGCAGAGGCATGCGTGGGATCTGTGGAATTGTCATTGCCACCAATCACCAGCTTCGGGTCAACTGGTTGTCCGAACTTAGGCAGACAATTGACATTAGTCTCTACACATTCTCGAATGTGTTTTTGCCAACTCGACGGCGACAGATCCTTTGGACTGCTATCAAAATAAGCAGTAACAGATTGGACGACACAGTCGTCCCCTATTGGTTTGAGACAGACGTCGTCAAAGCTTGTGCCAGTCTTGTTTCCTTTGAGGCCCGCAACACGTTCCTCAACACCTTTCCACCAAATGAGTGTATCATAACTCATGACAGGGCTTATACCACCCTTGGTGACTGTGTCATTGACGAGAAATACCTGCTCGGTTCTGTAAAACGGACCAAAGTTCTCATCAAAGAATAGCTTCTCCTTTGCTGCGGCTGAGGTTGGACTGACCCATAATCGCGCAGGGTTGGTCTCGATGGAAAACCTGACCCAACCGACACTGAGAATTCCGACTAGAGCTACGCAAATGCCAATAGTTATCCCTGGAAATCTTGCTGCGGTGAAACCCAGGCGGCTAAAAGCGCTATCACAGACAGTGTTGATCCAGTAATTCTTCTGTGGCCGATCGTACATCGCATTGTTGTGTATCATTTCTCCCTCATCTTCATCGTCACTCATCGTAGTATCCTGAATAAGTCGAAGCCTTTCGCTCTTTGCCTTTCTGACCTTGGCAACTGCAATATGGCCGACTATGGCGGTAGCAAGCAATCCCAAGATGATTCCATAAACCAGGATAGCACCAAATGAGAGGCATGGTAGTACTCCAACGTGACACGAGCTTGTTTCTGAAACCGCTGGTAATGTTGGACATACAGCTGGACAATCCAGACATGCGCATCTGAAACTCTCGTCTTCATCGTTACATTTCTTGGGTGCCATTGGCAGGGGATCTATGTCGGGTTCTGTATATTCCTTCGGATCTGGGAAATTGATCTGGAACGGTGATCCAAATGGTTTTTTGTCGCCCAAGAACTTCAGAAACTCTGGGTAAGTTTTTGCTCCGCCTCCGATGAATGACATAGCATTGCCATTTGTCGCCCCGAACTTCACGTCTTTGCAGCTGTCATAAAAGCCAGATCCATATTCGTCCGAGATTAACTGGTCCAATTCCGTGACCATCAATTTGTCGTTCTTTGGTTCTGTACGAGTGACATTTATGAACAAAGATTGATCCGGGGAACAGGTGAACGTGCAGAATAGGTTGTAGAAATTCTCTTTGCATGCGGGGCAGGAGGAAATGAAAGCGTTCGCTTTCTTAAGGTTGTCCGAAAGAGCAGTGAGCTATTCGAAGTTTAGCAACAGTGTCCGAGTACCTGAACAATCTAAATATACCTGCTCTGCTTCACAACAAACTGGGCCTGTATTCCATTTCGCGCCACAAATTCCGACAAGCTGGTCCCGCACTTCTTTCGTTGGGTCCTTCGCCAGTTCGTTATCCGGACATGGTAACTCTGAGCCAAAGAAGCTCTGTTTCCCACAATTCCCACGTATCGCACACCTTCCGGCTTCATGTTTGGGTGTATAGGCTGCTTCTGCAGACACAAGTGACACAGCTAGCAAACCTGCCAAAGCTGCTGGGTACCACACGCGCCGCATCGTGGATGGTTGTTGAAGAGGATGCGCCGACCAGCGTCGCAAAATCGTTCGAGTTTGGAGCCTTTGCCTATATTTGTCGGTTTTGAATCAGATCACAATCTCCTAGTGGTGACTTCAGTCGGAAGACGATTCACAACAAGTTTGAGAGGAGGTGAAGCTCGACGTCGTGCAGGTGACAACCGCAGAATCCCTGTCAGAAGCTTGGATGGCGACGGCCATCGTCATCCATATGGTGGCGCATGCGGCTCGATTTTGATGCCTGGAGCCTAGTCTCCCGAGATCATGGCATGGGAATGCTAATCACAGTATGGTCTTTTGAGAAGACAGTACATTTATTGAAAAGACGATACATTTATTCACTTGAGCTCAAGAAAGAATGCTACTACTACTGGTATGAACTTATCAACTTTTGTTAAAACTTAATGCTACTCAGCGTTCCGTATCAGATGGTCATAGAGATGAGCAATGTTCCTGCCATTGTCTGTGATATCGCAGAGCAGGCGAATGAAAGTTGGATTTACAACCAGAAAATAACCATCATGAAACTGCAATGGTGCTGTTCATTGAAATCAAGGTAATTGGTATGCATAAATTTGACCAAGTAATACTGCAGGAAAACCCTTCACTGAGATTTTGGCAACCGGAGATTAATTATTACTCTATGAGAACTGATATGGACATAAAAGACTCGAAAAGAAAATAGTCCAAAGGTCCGCTGTCCCTTTTTTTAAATCGCGTTCTCGAAGCATCAACACGTTGGTTGAGTCGAGCCCTGTACCTTTTGATAGCTGACTTTTATTGGTTGGCTGGTGAAATCCAGATAAGCCCTCCGCTCAGACAATGTTCAGTGCGGGCGCGGGGCTGCCGTTACGAGGCTTCCATCTTGACACGGAAAGGCTTACATTTTGAACTTATAATTTTAGATTACCAATGTTTTTCATCAGGATACTACGGATATTAGTACGGGAAGATAACAGCATTGTGTCCTTGTTTCCTTTCTGAATTGATAGGGTGATAATATGGCAGATCTGTCCTGTTTTAACGAAGAAAATTCTCCAGAGGCTAATGTTATGGAGGGTAAGAACTTTGGCTTTGACGCTGAATATAGTACAGTGTGAAAAAGGAAGCCGATGCAAAAGCTGTCTCGCAGAACACTCGCAGAGGACAAAATATTTGGCATAACCTCCTTACTATTGTGAAACTTAAATTATATTTTAGAGCGGGTAAGTAGCTTAAATTATGACTTTGTAGTAAATAGAGTTAAAAAGATTATATTTACGTAAGATAATTGACGAAATCGTGTATTGCGTCAACTGTTCTGGGCAAATATTGTGCGTCAACTGCCACTTATCTTGTCCACCGCGAGGCTGGCATCTTGTTCGGAAAGACTTTTCTAAGATCTTCACCAGCTTCTTCAGTACAAAGCACATCCCTGCTGTAGATCCTGATCGAAAGATTGATTACTATCGTGATCTTGATTACACATTGTCCGCAAACTATTCCCCTACAGATACATCTGGACTTAAAGGCTCCATCGGTTTTAAACATGGTAGCGGAAACAAAAAGCCAAGTTTAGTTTTGTTCGATGATATCAGTTTTCAACTATTTTGAGTCAGTCAGCTTCGTATCATTATGACCTAGCGTGAGCTCAAAAATTGTAATATGAGACTGACTAGTCCAAAAATCGTGTCTTCAGACATTCAGGTGTTAGTAGCACAAGGAAATTGCCCACATAGGAAGCTAACCATAAATTATAAAAACATTCGACCAGTTGATTATTGTTTAAGTAGATGCCCTGTGACACATACCGAGGTGAGGGAATGAGCTCGAAACCATCTCGAATTTCCAGCCAAAAACACCCAATATGCAGCGAGGTAAAACGCTAAAATTTGTCAATGACTCTGCAGATCCTTGATCTAATCAGTCTCGCGATAGTTCCCACGCATTCGCCTCTTCATTATTGGTTTGCTCCTATTAACAGTTGTGGAGTGGTAACCACCACTTAGTGCTAGCGGCTATTAAGCGCGTCCGTCCTCAATCGGCCAACGCACCCAGTCGGTGTTCGAAGGGTTCAGGTCACTCCGTCACGCCAAAAGCAACCCACCAACTTCACCACCACCTCACGTCGGCGCAAGCTCGCCATTACACTCCTCCATCTCGCCCACACTAGGGAAAGGTAAAATCACAGCAGTTTCACCAATTCCACCCGTAAATCTGCGCCCCAAGGTCGAGCATTCGCCGTGGGAGATGGCGTAAATGGCACATTCGCAGCGTATAGCGGATCTCGATAACGACCCAGAAACGGCAAGATCATTGTTGACAGCAACTTCTGTTTCTTCTTCTCGGTACATCACCCCGTCCATTCACGTTCACCATTTTCAATTCTACTTTTCCCCCAAATTCATCTCGTCGCATCGACCACATATTCTCACGACCGTCTCGACCAAGTTGTGAGGAGGTGCTGGCAGTGTAGAGAAGGTATCCATCTCAATACAAATACTCATGTCTTCCAGAATCACCCGTGCTTCCACAAGACGAGCAGCAAGCTCATCAGAAGCTTCTGGTTCTTCTGGTTCTTCTTTAGGATCTGCTGCAACCCCAGCATCGGCTCGGTCACAGACATCGTCACGAAAACGCAAAGTTCCACCGCGAGAACCCAGCCCAGCACCTGAACTCGAGGCAGCGAAGGTCGTCTCGCCCAGACGAACGAAGCGTCAGAAGTTATCAGAAAGCGATCCGCCACTGCCCCCACCGGCTGTATCTGCTGCAGCCCCGTCTCGTCGTAAAGGTACAAAAGGGAAGACTCCTGCGGTGATGTCGAGCCCGGGGTAAGTTTAGCCTTTTCACTTCGGATGGCGCCTTATTTACGTGTTTACAGTGATTCTGCTGGTCCTTCCAACGATCCACCCGTTACAAGCTCCTCCAAAAGAAAATCTGCCAGAAATAAGAAGAATGCAGGTAAGTTGGAAGATAACCCGATAGTTTTGTGTACAGCTATATCTAATATCTGCCACAGCAGATTCCCCAAACAACACACCAACTACAAGCCGACGATCAAAGAAGACCGTAGGTAATAACAAGGATCTGGACAACAACTCCAGCAATCTCGCAGACGAAAAGCGCCCACCCCCTCCACCTGCTGACGATGACGACGACGGAAGCGACGATATAGATGAGGAAGAGATGGCTCGCAACTATGAAGGACGTGATGACGATGACGACGACGACGACGACGATCCATTTGGGGGGTTTGGAGCTGGGGGTCCACCACATGGACTTTCTAGTACTCTAAGAGCTTTGAGTGGAATGATGTCGGGTGTCTCTACAAGGCTTAGAGATATTTTGAGCAACTTGAAGCAAAAAGATGATCCTTCGGTACAGCTAATCGCTCTTCAAGAACTATCAGAAATCCTCCTAGTGTCGACTGAAGACAATCTTTCAGGGCACTTTTCACCCGATGCATTTGTTAAGGAACTCGTGGTTCTCATGCAGCCTTCGGACTTTGGGGAGGAAAATCCAGAGATGATGCTTCTAGCTTGCAGATGTTTAGCGAATCTTATGGAAGCTCTTCCCGCGAGCACTGCAAATGTAGTTTATGGAGGAGCAGTGCCCATTCTTTGCCAAAAGCTTTTGGAAATCCATTTTATCGACTTGGCAGAGCAAGCCCTTAGTGTAAGTGTCCTTTATGTTTCTCGTAGCTTTCATTTCACTAATATGATTCAGACTCTCGAAAAGATTTCGGTTGAATATCCAGCATCGATTGTACGTGAAGGAGGCCTCACTGCTTGCTTGACGTATCTTGACTTTTTCGCCACGAGCACTCAGCGGACTGCGGTAACGACTGCTGCAAATTGCTGCCGAAATATTCCAGAAGACTCCTTTTCTGTCATTAGAGATGTCATGCCTATTTTACTCAACGTTCTGAGCTCCAGTGACCAAAAGGTCGTCGAGCAAGGTTCTTTATGCGTCTCGCGAGTAGTCGAAAGCTTCAGGTATCACCCAAACAAGCTAGAAGAGCTGGTTAGCACGGATTTGCTGAAGGCCATATTGCGGCTCTTGCTTCCGGGCACCACAAATCTTATCGGTCCTAATATTCATACGCAGTTCTTACGAGTACTCGCATTTACCGCAAAGGCGAGCGCAACATTGTCGGCTGAGCTTTTCAAAATGAATGTAGTTGAGACTCTGTATCAAATATTAACAGGTGTCTCCCCACCGGATACCTCGGAGGATATGGCTTCGAAAATCGATAGCGTAGTTATCATGCAGGCTCTCATACACCGACCACGAGAGCAAGTCATTGAAACGCTGAACGTGATTTGCGAATTGCTTCCGGGACTTCCTAGAGAACTAGAGGGTTCTTTTGGAGAAATTTTCGACCCCGACTCTAATCCTGCCCTTCCCAATGGCACATCCAGTAGCTCCCGAAAGAAGTCTACAAACGAGAAGCGCATTGAGCTTCTCGAAGGATGCAAACAAGAGGTGAAACGCTTCGCGATCATTCTCTTCCCCACTCTAACCGATGCTTTTTCAAGTACTGTTAACCTCAGCGTTCGGCAGAAAGTGTTGACGGCCCAGTTGAAGATGCTGACAAATCTGGATAAAGACATTTTGGTAGACGCTTTGCGTTCAGTACCGTACGCTTCATTTCTTGCTGCTATTCTCTCGCAGCAAGACCATCCGAGTTTGGTGAACTATGCTCTTCAGGCTGCAGAATTACTTTTGACCCGCTTGGATGACATTTATCGCTACCAATTTTACCGCGAAGGGGTGATCGCAGAGATTGCAAAGCTCGTTACGACAGAATCAAACGAAAAGAGCGTCGAGCCTGCGACACCCACTTTGGAAATCGTAGAGACAAATACTGCCGAGAAGAAGGTCTCCGAAAAACCAGCTGTCGCTGGTAACGGCGATGATGAAGATGATGAAGATGACTCTTCTGATGACGATAACGACGACAACGAGAATGAGAATGAGAACGATGACATCCAAGAGGATGCCAGTCAATCGCCAGTCAGCTCTCGAGGCTCGACCATGTCCCTGGACGGTCCTTCTCGCCAAGTCACGTCTGACGCCACCACTATGCAACAACTCATTGCAGAGCGAGCAAAGCGCTTTATCGAAGTGCACGAGACCGATAAAAACAGCAAGAGTATGAAAAAGAAAGCCACCAAAATATTAACAAGCCTGCAAGGTCTCGCTTCAGAAATTGAAGCTCATTATCTTCACCAAGGTCCAGGAAACGGCCAAGACCTCTTCACCACGCTTGCATCGTACTTCGATGGGGATGTCTTGGAAAGCGTTACCAGTGCTGAGTTACTAAATTCCGAGGTTGTTCGAGTCCTTCTAGATATCTTCAATAATCCCGATGAGCGACTAAGCAACGATGCTAGATCGGCATTCCTCGAGGTGTTTATGGGCCGAAATATCTCAAAGAAGTCGAAGTCTGCAAACACGGAATCAGTCGCCACACCTTTCAGTAGTCTTATCCACAAGTTGCAAGATCTTTTGAGTCGCTCAGAGCATTTTGAGGTCGTTACCGTTCATCAAAACACTTTTGATGGTAATAGAAGCAGTGCTGCGTCGATGCTTGCTAAGCAAATCAGACTTAAATTGGTGGCGGATGACGAATCCGAAATACCACGTCCATACCGCAACATTATGGTCTCTATTCACGCCATCGCGACTTTCAAGGCGCTTGATGATTACCTTCGCCCTCGGATCAGCATGTCTGAACGGCCGCGGGGTTCCAGGAGAGAAGGCCTTTCAGGTGCACTCGCTGCATTAGCAGCCGCAGGTAATTTATCCCATCTAAATTCAAACTTTCCTAATACCCATTCGCGTCTTTTAGAACGTGGGCTGGCCTCTGCGAATGCAGCCACACCGGCCGCCCCTACACCTTCTGCGTCCCGAGCCGCTCGTAAAGCAAAATCGAAGACCGCACCTGCTGCTACCCCTGCTTCAGATGAACAGTCTGCTATTAACACTCCTCAAGAAAAGCCTGTCTCACGTCGATCAAGTAGAAGAAATCAGGCACAAACAGAGCCGCCTGCGCCACCCCCTCCACCACAAGAGGAGGATAGTCTTGCACGTGCCCTCGAGTGTGCTGATGAGAGACAATTGACTGATGATGAAGACATGGAAGAATCGGCTGCTTTAGACGCCATTGTCGATGAGATGGAGGATGAAATGGAGGATGCTACACCACCTGACCCAACTGCCGTCAGTCTCGAAGTCGCAGCTGGCGGGAAAGTGACAGCACGTAAAGAGGACGGCACGCGAGTTGCTACCCCATCCCAAATGCCTGGAAGTAACCCACGCACTGCTTCAGCATTCGCTGCAGCAGCGGCGGCAGCTGCTTTGTCTACACCAAGCGCGTCCAGACCAATGTCCTACGCTGCGGCTATTCAATCTGTCCCTCAAGACTGGCACATCGAGTTCAGCCTCGATGACAAGGTTCTTTCCAACGAGACAACTATCTACCGTGCTGTCCATAACCCGGCAGGACCTGTTGATGAACATACGAGCCGAAGCGTCTGGTCTGCTGTTCACCCAATTAAATTTAAACGTGTTGCAGGCCCGCCACCGCCAGAACCAAGCTCCGTTACACAAGCAGCTGAGGCATCTGAACTGACAGCTTCTGGCATTCCTGCTTCTCTGGACAAGCACCCCGCAACTTCGTCCATTTTACGACTACTTAACATTTTACACGCTCTCAATGCTAATCTTGATGATGTGCTCGCCGAAAACAAAGATACCCTGAAACTTAATGCGGAGCCGCTTTCTCAATTCGTTAATACAAAGCTGACAGCAAAGCTAAATCGCCAACTTGAGGAGCCCTTGGTGGTTGCAAGTAATTGCCTCCCAAGTTGGAGCGAGGATCTTGCTCGTCTATATCCATTTCTATTTCCTTTCGAAACAAGACATCTCTTCTTGCAGTCGACGTCCTTTGGCTATGCTCGCTCCATGACGCGATGGCAAAATGCGCAATCAGCGGATGAGTCGCGAAGAGATCGCCACCGAGACGAGCGGCCATTCCTAGGTCGTCTCCAGCGGCAAAAGGTCCGCATTTCACGATCTAAAATCCTTGAATCTGCCTTGAAAGTTATGGAGCTTTACGGCGCATCTCAAAGCATTCTAGAAGTGGAATATTTCGAAGAGGTGGGTACCGGACTAGGACCTACTCTTGAATTCTACTCTACCGTTTCGAAAGAGTTTTCGAAGAAGAAACTCAAGCTATGGCGTGAAACGGACACAAACGAAAATGATGAGTACGCGTTTGGTCTCAGTGGACTTTTCCCAGCGCCTATGAGCGAAGACCAAGCATTGAATGAGAACGGAAAGCGCATTCTGCATTTGTTCAAGATGCTTGGAAAATTCACAGCAAGGTCGATGATTGATTCTAGAATCATTGATGTATCCTTTAACCCAACCTTTTTCCGCATTGGCGACGGTTCCAATCCTGTCAATCCGTCATTAGGAGCTGTCAAGACGGTTGACGCACAGTTAGCGAAGTCCTTGAAGCTTATTAAGAAGTTTGCAGTTGCGAAAAAAGCGATTGACGAGAATCCAAAATTAAGCCCCGCCCAAAAGGTGGATGAGGCCGAACGATTACAGATTGACAAAGTCTCTATTGATGATCTTGGACTCGATTTTACGCTTCCAGGCTATTCCACAATCGAGCTTCTGCCAAATGGCGCCAATATCGCTGTCACAATTGAGAACGTGGAGCTTTACTTGGACAAGGTAATAGATATGACATTAGGCAGTGGTGTCCAACGACAGGTAGATGCGTTCCGAGCCGGCTTCACTCAGGTATTCCCGTTTTCTGCATTGAGCGCCTTCACGCCTGACGAGCTGGTCATGTTGTTTGGCCGTATTGAGGAGGATTGGTCACTTGAGAGTAAGTCCCTCGCACAGGTCAGACATTGATACTTTGCTAATACCATTTTCTGCAGCTCTAATGGACTCTATCAAAGCTGACCATGGATTCAACATGGATAGCAAGAGCGTCAAGAACCTGCTCCAGACCATGAGTGAACTCTCTCTACCCGAGCGACGAGATTTCCTGCAGTTCACGACCGGCAGCCCTAAGCTTCCAATTGGAGGTAAATCAGCAGCCTCCCCCGTTTCAATGACTAGCTTGCTAATGTTTGTGCCTAGGCTTCAAATCTCTTACGCCTATGTTTACTGTGGTTTGTAAACCCAGTGAACCCCCATATACATCGGACGACTATCTGCCTAGCGTCATGACATGTGTCAACTACCTCAAATTGCCGGACTACACGGATCTGGACGTAATGAGAAGACGTATGAATACTGCTATTAAGGAAGGCCAGGGTGCTTTCCATTTGTCCTAAACATGTTGAACGTCGAAAAGTTACCTTTTTAGTTTGACCGTGCGGGGATGCGCATAGGAGCTGCGATATTGGGCGTTATTTCACGAAGATGACCCTGTTACTCATTATTTATGTATCCACGAGTTTCTTCATACCATGTGTATTTTCTCATTGCGGCTTTCAAATGGTCGAGTTAAATTGCATGGAAGAGGTCGTTTAGGCGCATCATTGCGGAGGATAACATGATTGCGACGGTTTAGCTTTATGCACACATTGTTAGATAGACGAAAACCGCAACTCTGATAATACAGATTGATATCACAAATTTGCTTAATGTGATTGAATATCCCCTCCGAACTTTCGATGTGCATATGTTTGGTTGGACAATACGGTCCCTTTGTTGTGCATGTGACGGTGTGACCGTCTTCGGGGCCGACCTCAGCCCAACCGTAGTGAGCTCGTCATGGATCAGATAACAAAGTCTTAAAAACCCCCAACACTCACTATTAAAATGTTGTCGCAACACTTCCTGCTGCCCTATCATTCTTTCTACGAGCTGAAATTGCTGATTCGATTGTGCAATAACACCTAGCAAGCACATTTCTTATTTTGGGGTCGGTCACATAGTATGTGGGATAAAAATGAGATCCACGCCCATTTATTGGTAGGTTTACCAGCAAAAGTGCCTATTGTCGTTTGTTGCCTTACTTGTCTAATTGCAAAGCTAGGCGGAATATTCTGAAACTATAGAGTCCTCTCTTGTCCTTGCAATCATCTCCGACTATGACATTTGCGACACTGTGCAGCTAGAGGCAGCGCGACAGACTTTGGATGCCCTCAAAGCCGATGCTCCTTCCGAAGAAGCTACAGGATTCGACGCAAGCGGGGCTGGCCGAATAGACAATCTCAACAATGGCTTTGAAACCCAGGCAGATGACGAGAGCGCGGGTGACAGGTGTTGGAAGTCCCAAACCGATGACACGTCCGTCAGCCAGGAAATGGCGCTTCCAGACCTGGAGGAGACGGACGTTGAGACCAACAGCACACCATCTACTCAAGACGAATCACCAGAAAGATCATATACTAGCGCACTGGACAGCTTAGGAGATAACGAAAAAGAAGCCGCCCTTAGCGGTATTTTTCCAATTCTCACATCTTTTGACATCCGTTGGACGCTGAAAAAGCACAAGGGCGACACAAACTTGGCTATTGACGAGTTGATGACTCAATCGTTTTTGGAAGAAAATGGAAGCAGGCACAAGGGAGTCGATGCATTTTATGAAGATGGAGCGCCTTCCAAACCACGGAAGGGGAAGAAGAAGAAGCGACGTGAGGTCGAAGAGGGAGGGCTATCAAATTCCGACTCGATACCTTCCCAACAGAGCAAATGGGCCACAGCGAAGCACGATATCGACCTCATATCACTTAATACGGGTATGCCAGAAAATCAGGTCGCATCTCTATATCACAAGAATGGTGGATCAATGCCAGCGACTATCCTGGCCCTAATTGGAGCTCACAGAGCTATGAATATTGAATCAGAAGATGATCCAGTTCTTCAAATCTATTTACATGATCTCCAACAAGAGTTTCCTGCCCTTAGCAGGACCAACCTTGAAGCGATTTTCCATATTACCGATTTTTCAGTTGGAAACAGTCGAGCACTTGCAAAAAGCCTGGTGGCGTCACCCAACCAGTCCAAATCACCAATTCAACTGGAGTTTCGGCACGCCCCAATAAATCTCAATGATGCAGATGTGCCTTCTCTGCCATCTCCTAAGACGGCTGGAACCCATGCGGGCTCGATTGATTTGGCAGCATCGCATATGGCCGCTCGAAATAACAATTTTGAAAAAGCAGCTGCGTACTATCGAAAAGGCAAATCAGACCACCTCATGGGAGGTGCAGCGGCATATTACGCACTCGAAGGCCGGAACTATAACGCCCTTGCCAAAGCATCCTCGAGCGCGGCTGCAGATGCTCTAGTCGCTGCACAAAGCTCTCGAACCGAACTTGATTTGCATGGAGTCAATGTGAAGGATGCTTTGAGAATCAGTCGGGAAAGAGTTACGAACTGGTGGCACGAACTGGGTGAGGCTAGGATTATGGGTGGTATCGGTGGTGGATACCGCATTGTCACAGGTATTGGAAGGCATAGTGAAGGGGGCAGGTTGAAGTTGGGGCCAGCGGTCGGTAAGATGCTAATCAGAGAAGGATGGAAGGTCGAGGTTGGTAGCGGTGTTTTGGTTGTTAAAGGTATTGTGAGTGGAAAGAAAAGGTAGAGGCTATGGGCTTCTGATGTACTGGTTCTATAAGGATTGTGGGTACATGCATTTTGTGTCGAACTTTTTGGGAGTGCTGTCTAGGGGCTTGTAGGGAGGTCGGTGGGATATGGTTGGATTGCATGTGAAAGGCTTCAAATGTTCTAATGATGATAAGCTGTGTGTTGGATATTGCTAGTTTTAACAGAGACTTTATGTTGTGAAAAAATCACGTTGGCTAAACCCGAAGTACCTGTCGTGATGGAATATATGTTATAGAGAACTAGATAGCTACCACAACGACCAGGTGAAAATGACACTGCTGACACGAGACACTTGATGTTCAGGGACGATACCCCTGCCGATTTTGCGGGGACTCCACAAACCAGCACAGACAACCGGCGGTTATCGTCGGCCTCCAAACTGGTGCTCAATTGACAAACAACATCCCGCTCCTCATGTAAAGTTTTCTTGTTCTCAGACAAAATGTCTGGATATCACAATCCAGATACAATTAAGACATCTCGCTGATACTTTTAGCTGGACTGACATCGCCAAAAACAAAGATGAAGAGTATCTGCGCGCGGCGAGCCTCTGGGCTTCGTCAGATTCCTTTGAAGGGCACAGGAACAGTCGGAGGGCGGCCACAAAGATGGTCTTCTTCATTGTCACAGAAGGCGGGAGCAGCAGAGTAGGCCACTGTCCAAATCCACCAAATTTGCAACGTTTAACAGAATTAGAGTATGCTTTCCTGGAGCTGTAAATAGCAAATTTACAAATGCCATGACATTCGAATACCCCTCTACATACCCCGCCATCCCAACCTACAGATGCACATCTCCTGAAGGCAACATCATTGATCCTACCGTTTCACTTCCGTCTCATGGTCTCGCCCTTATGATGTACGAAAATATGCTGAAAGTCTCCATCATGGATATTGTAATGTTCGAGGCACAGCGGCAGGGTCGTCTGAGTTTCTACATGACATCCCAGGGAGAAGAAGGAACTTGTGTGGGAAGTGCGAGCGCGTTGGAGGATGGAGATGTTATATTTAGTCAGTACAGAGAAGCTGGGGTCTTCATGCAGAGAGGCTTCACGTTTCCGGAGTTTATGAATCAGCTCTTTGCAAATAAGAACGACATTGGGAAGGGTAGGAACATGCCTGTGCACTATGGAAGTAAAGCTTTGAACATTGTACGCATCTTTCTCGTTATAATATTCAAAATTATGTTAACACTGCATAGCACACCATATCATCACCATTAGCGACACAGATACCTCACGCTGCAGGAGCAGCATATGCAATAAAAATGCAAGACCGACAGAACCCAGGTTCAAAACCACGAGTAGCGGTCTGTTATTTTGGAGAGGGAGCTGCATCAGAAGGAGATTTTCACGCTGCTCTCAATATCGCGGCAACCAGGTCATGCCCTGTGATATTCATCTGTAGAAATAACGGATATGCTATCAGTACACCTACTCTTGAGCAGTACCGAGGAGACGGCATCGCCAGTCGAGGAACCGGATATGGAATCGACACCATCAGAGTTGACGGCAACGATATCTGGGCGGTCCGAGAGGTAACAAAACGGGCTCGAGAACTAGCTCTGAAAGATGGAGGAAGACCAGTACTCATAGAAGCAATGTCCTACAGGATATCGCATCATTCCACCTCGGACGACTCCTTCGCCTATCGTGCGCGTGTCGAAGTCGAGGACTGGAAACGCAGAGATAATCCTATCACTCGTCTCAGAAAGTACCTAGAAAACAACGGGTTATGGAATGATGAGAAGGAAGCAGAAACGAGGAAGCAGTTACGTAGCGCTTTCCTGAAAGCGTTCAGTGACGCTGAGAAGGTGAAGAAACCTAGTTTACGAAGTATGTTCGAGGATATATATGAGGACTTAACGCCGGAGATTAGGGCACAGATGAAGGAGCTGAAGGGGATTTTGGAAAGGTATCCTGAGGAGTATGATATTACAGAGTTTGAGGGGGGAAAGGAAAGTTTAGATGGTTAGACGAATTATGATCTCACGATTATCAACATCTATTTCTCGGTGTGGCTCTCTTGATTGTGCTCAAATTGCTACCTTTGGATGAAGTACGTACCAACCGGTATTGAGCAATCCCAGTACGAAAAACAAAACCAACTGTCCGGTAAGACAGGTACATTAGGCCAAACAAGATTCAGCGTAACTTTCCTAGATACTAGCCTACATATCCAAGTCGCCCAGAGCCGTCAAATGTCAAAACTCGCCGAGGAAAGATCTAGTGATGTCCCAAAACATAGACACGAGGACATGACTTCACTGCCCCTCATTAGAAGCCACAAAATCATACTCCATATCATCCTTCTCATTCTCCTTAATTCTTGCCTGCAGCTCTTCCTCCTCTTTTCTGGCCTCCACCTCCATCTCTTCCCCCTCTCCTCCTCCTGCCTTTCGTTGTGCACCTCCCCGTGGATTCACAACCAGCACCGCTTTATCTGTCGGAATAAACGCTGTCTTGTCTTTCAGCCACTTGGGAAATGATTTGTATCCGTCAGCAAGCATGTGCCGAATCAAGGAGTTTTGTATGTGGAGATCTATTCGGGCTGCCGCGTGATTGGCGGCACTTTCACATATACTATCTTGGATCTTTTGCATGTGGCTTTGAGACTTTAGAGCTAGACTCTTGGCTCTGTTGATGCTGGTTGTAAGCTCAGCGGCTTTGTTTACGCTTAATTCGAGTTGCAGGGTGAGTGGTGTTTTTGGTTGGGCTGGAATATCATCCAGGGGTTGGGGTCTAGATTGGAGTTCAGGAGACTGTTTTCCGAGATTTTGGTTGCCCATAGTCTCATCCCGTGTTGTTCCTGAAGCTGTCTGATGAGGCTTTGGCGCTTGAGGGGTATCAGGATCTCCTGACTGTGTGCGAAGCAATTCTGTCTGTCTTAAGACCTTTTCAGGGAATCCATCGACCGATAGTTGGCGAATCTGTTGTATATCGGCTTGCATCTTCCCGATCATGTCTTCCAGTTGAGCCAAAACTTGTCCGTCTCTATCTTTTACAACAGGAATCGATCTCCTAACATAAACCGGTGCTTCGCTAGACTCATCACTCTCATAGCCTGCAGAACTTGGGCTACGTCTGATGGCACAGGAGGCTGCTCTTGAGAGAAAGACGGCGCGTAAGTCATCTTGAAGTAGATGAGTGGGACAGGTTCCACATAATCCCGTGGCGTTGACGCGTCGTTGACAGGTTGTGCAGATGGGAGGAGAGGGAGGCATCTTGGGATGGCAGAGTTTCTTCTGTTTAGGAAAAGCTTTGTTGTCTGTAAGGTGATATGGTGTCGGTAAAGTTCGTGGAAATGTTTATGTAAGAGCAGAAAGGTTTCTTGTCTTTATATTTAACTTCTCCACTTATACGTGTGGGGGTAATTTTATTCAATTCACTTCAAGCTGTTGGTGTGCTTCAAGAAGTCACTGATTCGCATGTGTCAGGCGGGATCAATGCTTAGAAGTGACCGATCTATCCTGTCAAGGACATGAATTCTCATGCATACTTGAGCTTTATTGGCCCAATCCATGTATGTGGCAAATGGCCTAGTGAAGTTGGTCTATTATTGAAATCACTACTTCGCCTAGCTAAACCTCACTAGACTATCTTAGAGCAATATGTCGACAGTTGGACATCGAATATGCTTGTTTTAACCCCAGTATTTGTGCAATGCAGAAAAGCTCCATCATGTATAGCTAGTCCTCATTGTCATCCAGTCATGATCCAACTACCATTCCCTAACTTTCCCAACAGACAGTCCAGCCCCTCCATGAAAGTCAAAAATCCACTTTTGTGTTCAAATATTTCTTCAGCTCCTTTGAGTGATTTGACCAGTCGTTCGAACTCAAGATTTTTATGCAATCTGAGCCTCAAAACTATCGGTGAAGCTTTGTTGTTGATGAGGTGTTTCCTCAAGTATCTCCTGGTCCTCTTCCAATTCTTCGAGACTGAGTTCGTCGAGCTCGAAGTCCCAATTTTCATCGTCGCTTTCCTGGCTCGCAGAGTTCAATTCCTCCTCCTCCTTTCTGGCAACTTTCACATTAGTTTCCATCGTACTATCGCTCAGAATGGTTCTCGTTGGTAGAATGATGCTCGCGGTTTTAATGGTTTCCGTCGGCATCTGATACCTGCTTTTGGCAATTGTTCCAATGGATCTGGCTGACCATGATCCAAAAAAGCCTAGATTTGCCGTGAGGTCCTGAACGCAAGTTTCTTGATATTTTTTTCTGATGTTATGACCAACTGCCATATTTATGTGGTCAACGATTGAGTTTGCGAGTTTAAAACCTTCGACATTGGAAGATTTCCCGGCGGCGTTCTCGTCGTATTCTGGTTTATGTATTGGAACTTTAATGATGCTGGTGGCGATGTTTGGGACTCGATTCATTTGAGTTTGGCACATTTCGTCCTTCTCCTTGATAGTCGCAGCATGGATAATTGTAGCACAGTCTGCTAAGATACTCCCCAACAACAAGTTGTTTTTCGAAGCTTTGAGGTCAAATTCAAATGGCGATCTAGACTGCTTTCCCACCCGTTCCTTGGCCAGTCGTGCTTCATCGTCTCGTAGAGCTTTCTGCCATCTCTCGATCTGCTCCTGCCTCTCTCTTCGCGATTTTTCTTCCTCGGTTTCTGGCTTCTTGGCAGGTAGGGCGATCTCATACGCGTCATAGGCAGCGCGAGATGCGATTTCTTGCTCGAGCATTCGTTTGTGTGACTTTGGAGTCTCCAGTATCTTTTGGCTGAGGCATGGTGTACAGATGCTCCATCGCATATGGGTTTTGTCGACGACAAGTTGCGAGCATTTTCGACAAGGGTCCATAATGACGGAATGGTAGTTTTGAGTCCGTTGGAAACTTGGCGTATCAATTCAAGAGGGTCGAGTGTCGAAAATGGAAAGACAATGAAGGGTTTATTGGGGCGAAGTGGGTTGGAATTCATCCGCCTCTCAAGTCGGTCATTCGGTAAATAAGTTAAGTTGTTATTGTATGGCAAGTGAATGAGAAGAACTCGTCCCTCTACATATATTGCTAAAAATTAATGGCAGAAGAATTTGAAGGTGTGTCCATCTGATCAAGTGATTACGTCGCAATTGGACTCACTTCGTCTCGATCTCGCTTACCGAAGTTCCCATCTGGGCAAGGGGAAGGCCGGGAATTATAAGCAACCGACTAAATCCATGAACCACTTGAATGGGAAGGTACTATAGAGGCTTATATATATTCCTTTTCGGTAAGAATTAACAAGCTATTGACCAATTTTTTTCGATAGCATGGAGCAATTGGTAACATTGTTGAGTTGAACGACCATTTTATATTTCAACGAATTGTATGTGACGAGAACATTTAAGTTTATGGTTCATTGGCTTTGACTTTATGACACAATTTAGTTGTGATCGGATTCAACTCGAATCTGTTCAAATGTTGACATTCAAACCCATGTTCCCCGTAACTACTACATATTGCGAATCCCATGCTCGGAACACTCAGTAATCGTCAGTCATCAATCTACGATTTCCCAATCGTCATAATTTGAGGCTTTGTTTGAGGCTTTGTTTCGTCCATCGCTGTGTGATTTGGGGCTTCCTTGATGTTGTTTTTGTGAAGTGCTTTCGTTCCTTGTGTCCCTGAGTTTATTAATAAGCGTTCGTTAAGACCTCTAATGGACTAACCTGTGACTACTCTTGACTTCATTATTACTCCCGTTCCGTTGTGGATATCTCAAAGTGTGGCCATCACAACTCTTACAAATTCCAGCTGATGAAACCTCATAGACATTGTACCCACATCTCTTGCAGTCTACCATGGTGCCGTGAAATCGAGTTATGACGAGAATTTTCTTTGTTGAGATGTCTCGAAGGGGGCGTAAAGTCGTGGATATAAAGTCGAATTCTCAAGACTTATACTTATTGACCTGTTGCACACTTATCGCTCGGGAAAAATGGAGGTTTTTTGAATCGGTGTATTTGCGAGTGCAATTCGACTGGGTATGATGTGTTTCTTTTCTTCTTGTGAGCGTTCCATATGTTTCAGAAGATGATTAAGGCTCACTTACCTTGCCTCTTTTCAAAGGTTGATTTCCCGTAAGATTGAAATTCCAACAAACTTTAAACTCGCCCTTGCAGCTATTGTAGAGACTCTGATACACTTATCTTAATAATTCACCTACAGTATGAAATGAAACAGGTATTGATTTAACTTATATAATTGCTTTTTTACCTGCGGACCCGCAAATGTGCGTGCGTAAATAATAACTGGCAACCAATGATGACCTACTTAACTTATCTGCCCCATAAGCTCCACGAGACACAGTCATACAGCCCCAATCAGCCTTTCTCCAGGCTTAGACTGTAGGATCTGGCACACGAGGGCTGAGACATCATTAGTCCAGAAGAAGACAATCTAGGAGCACATCCTCTTGTTTGCATTAGCGAGCATGAGATTTACGATGGAATTGACATAATTGGATCGGGCAACTTTTAATTTTGATCAGCCCTGGCTCAATATCGTGCTGGCAAGCCAGCGCGGGCAAGGTTGAGAAGATATGTTTCTGATCTCAGAACCTTAATCTTCCATCTCATCTACATATCCATAGTCGCAATAATTGGCCGGAATGTCCGCGGACTTTAGCTTTCTCGTTCGCTATTGGCGAATATGTGCTTAGTAGGCCTCGCATTTGAGGCAAGCTGCACAAAAACATTGTACTCGGCGACGCAAGTTAAGGTTTTTAAAGGGAGAGTCTGGCTGTAACTCTACTTATGTAACTTTCATTGACGAAATATCGTTGCCTTCATAAGGTGTTCTCACAGTGTAGGACCATGCGGGCAAGGCGCTTCATGGTTCGTTTACGTGAAGGAGTTGTTCAGACCTATCCAATAAATACTTCTGCCTCAGAATATATATGTACAACCATTCTAAGCCAAGTTCTATTTTCTTCTTTGTGGGTCAGTTCTCTTGGGTGGTCCTCTGTTGACGTTAGGCCGACTATCTGGAGTGTTTTCCTTAACAGACTCAATATTCCTCTCACCAAGCAGTTCCGTCCCCTTCATCCCAACATTCGCTGAATTCTTACCTCCTCCTGTTTCTTTTGCATCCTCAATTCGCGGTACCAAAGTGACATTCCTCTTTCTCGTTCCCCTTTCCTGCTTCTGACCATTTTCCACATCAACCCACTCCCAGTCAACTAAATGCTCGCTCCCATCAGCACTAACATCGTCCCGGAGTTCCTGGCTAGCACTTCCAGTAAGCGGTTTAATATTCTGTTCCCATACCAGACATTGACGATCCGAGCACCATTCGGCATTGGTACATTTTCGAGCTGCAGTTTCGAACGCGCAGTTACGACAGAAGTTGGAGGAGAACGGATTTATTGAGCAGTTTCCGGATGGGTGGTGGTATTGGGGTTTGTCGTTCATAATGTTGAATATGAGCGTACGAGGTGTAGTTGCTGGTAAAGCGACAAAAATCGAAGAAGAAATTGTGGTTGAATTGAAGGCTCAAATGAATTGTATTCTGACGTTCCATTATTTATCAAATTGCAGACTCAAAGCTTGCTCTATAGATTGATCTTGTTGGTGTTTGAGTCTGAGGTAGTTGCTCTGATAGAGGCGGTTTGAGTCTTTGTTCAAAGGCAGAACAAGTGTGTGTGTTCCACTGAATCATCTTGAAATTTTAATTGTCAGTAGTTTTGGTGAACAGGTCTTTTCAAAAAGGATCTTCTAACAATCTAGAAAACATTCACTTGTTTGAGCAAACTATGACTAAATAAGGTGGTCAGTGTTTCAACTGTATTCACCCATAGAGTTATGGATCACACTATGCATGCAAGATGGAACCACTTAGAAGTCCAAAAGCTATAAATAAAACAGATATTCTAAAGGTGTTATTAATAGTGTCATCACTCCATTTTACTTTGAAAGCATTTAGTCCTGGCTGTTGGATTGGCAGGATTGTGAATGACAGTCCTACTCAATAATACTTTCTACCAAACCACCTGACAGTACATCATTTAATTAAAATTACAAACAGACAACTCCCTCACAACCAAATGAAAACCCATTCACAATGAAACCATCCAATTACAGCCCAATTACTCTTCTATAACCCCCAACTATATTCTGATGACCTAATGATGACCCTTCATCCTCATCCAAATCCTCTCAACACCATCCCAAAACTTGTCACACCTCTCCATCTGCTTGATACAATTCTGGCACCACCTATCAGTTCCATCATTACCACCAGTAAACACATCTGATCCCATAGTCTTGCGGTAGCATTTGGCTGCGGAGTTATTGTCGTTGGTTGCGTTCTCGCAGAGCGTCCAGCGGTATTTCTGAGGACTGTAAAGGTGGTGACACTCGAGGTGTTTGACTGGGTGTTGTTTGCACATCGTTTCTTTGGCAGAAGACGAGGTTTGTGTTATGTGATGCAAGGGGAGGACTTGATCGCTGTCGAATTTGCTTGGCTGATTGACGATTCGACGTGACTAGGCTCGAGGGAGCACGCGCAGCGAGAACCCACTCGATTGTCGGTTAGAGGTAGAGTTTGTGGTTTGACATGATGTATTGATCAATGCGGTAATGACAGTGTTGTTTTAATGAAAGTTGTGGATGTTGTTCAGATATTGAAAGAAAGTCTGTCCTCGTAGGTGGTTGTCCCAAATATATCTACCTCATATGTCCTCCCCTAAATGCTCGCTTAATCAAAAGGCTCCACTTTTCAAGACAGACCATTCACTCTCTGACATCACATTAACCTAACGTCGCTTTCCGTCTGATGGATCACCAACCGTCTCAGGAAGCTAGCAAATTTTGTGTTTCGGAACTCGTGATTCAAATACCTCAGGCTTCCACGAAAACATTGGAGACACCAATCCTGCGGTGAAACGAACAAATCTTCTCCTCCTGACTTTTTGGTGCAATTCGGCCCACTGGGGCTAGGTGCGCGATTTGGAGAACAGGAAATCCATCGATGTGGCTCGGGATTGTAGAGATGTTTGCAGTAACGATGTCTTATTAAGTGGCGTTTACACATATTTTGTTGTGTTGGTGAGGATGACTATTGGTGTGCTAGTTATGACTAAACTAGGAATATTTTCAGCTTTCACTGTGATTAAGATGATCTGGTAGAGTAACTATAATTAGAGTACACGGTTTTTGTTGGTCACTGTATGCGCTTAAAGGAAAATAAAAACAGAATGCTGTCGGTACTACACCAGACAATCAAAGAAAGGCCTGGACCGATAATGACCCACTTTTACTTACATAAATGACATTCAAGTTTACCTGAATATGTATGATATATCGACCATACTGATAACCTCTATCGTAACATTGCTCTTCTATTGGCGGTCAAGATGTTCTGTAAAGGCAGCCAGCTCAAGGTCACATTCTTTCCTCAGTACCTAGGTAGCTGGCAATCACGGCTTCAACCAAAATGACGTGGTCCTAAACTAGTTCTGCTTTTTACGGCATGACTATACTTTCAAGAAGCCAATGCTAGAAAAGAGACTTCGCCTACACCCGAGACCATCTAAAAGCCTACCGCTACTAGGACGGACGTCTGGAAGTTTTAGCTGACATTGAAATGGCCACGTTAAGTCAGTGGATTTATCTTCATCGCTTTCGTATTACATAAAACATACCCGTCGGTTTAACTCCTTAAATTCTTCTCTTAATGGCCATGGTGTTAGAACTTTTAGAAAAAATGTATTTAATCATCAAGTTTTCTGGAATCCTGTTTTAAACTTTGAATTCATGACAGAGAATGCCGAATTAATATATTGGAAAGTTGAAAAAGATGTTCTGGGATGCAAAATGTGTAGCACTAAAATCAATCTGGCCCGCAACTTGTGATTCGTAGGGGACGCTTCAAATTGACACGGCTCAGCCCCATTTATTTAACTTCTTATTCTGTGACTGCTGCTGCCCCTAGGAACTCCAAAACGACCGAAATATGCCATGAATAAACACTGTTCAATTGAACTGTCGCAATCAAAACTGATCAACTTGCCTTGAGAATCTGAGTATTAAACGTACGAAAAAAAATCACAGTCGTATTTATCATTTCCACTTTTCTTACCGCCTATGGGAGTAATCATTAACCGTAAAATACCTGGTTCGTAATTTCGTCTTGAACTCCAGTGTTCTAGGTACTCGAGACAGTCGTTATCTAAATTGTTTTTGACGTCCAGGCATAGGCTTTGGCTAAGAGTAGTTTTAAAGAAGTGCGTTCGAGAGTCTGAGTACTGTGAGATAACCTCTGAAAGGTTTACATCGAATCCATATGCCACACATGTGCAGCATGCCCCATGAATTATAAACACATAGTTTTCAAGTATATCTATGGTATCCTCCGATTGAACTGGATGTATTTGCACACTATGTAAGTTGCAGGAGTTGGTTTGATACAGATATGATACCACTAGTCGAGCTTCTTGTTGTGTGCTTAGTAGTGCTTTGGGGATGACTTGGTGTAATAAATCAATATACTGCGTTATCATGGCTATCTCCTCGCTGACATGTGAATTCTGGACTGCTGATGCTGCTCGTTGGCCGTGAATGACCTTTTCGGTGAGGCGAACTCGGAATTCCATTGATTCATGGAAAAAAATCAAGATATTCGTGGTATAAAAATATCTTATCTTGCAACACATGACAGATCTGAACATCATGTAATTCCGCTCTCAAATCGATCGATATCTTCTTGTTTGCCAGCAGCTCTAATATGTGTGGTTCCAACACCTATGGAAGTAAGATTTTGATTCTATAACTTGCAGACCAAAAGCTCGAGCTCCCAAAAGACCTCACGGCATTACCAGGACCATCTCGGCGCGGGAGGCACTCCCTCACCTTCACTCTGCTCGCCTCCCCCGGGGATAACTTCGGGACTACACGTATTCACTTCCATTTTCCTGTATATAAATACAATTGTGTCAAATTCCCTCTAATCAAGTAAAACTCGCATACCCTTGCAGCAACGTAAGAAGGTTTCTCGACGTCGACACAAGTTGGACGGTTCGTCATTAGGAAGCTCAGTTGCTCGGGATAAATAAATGGGGGTTTTCTTTGTGAGTGGATGCGCCGCTACTCCAGACCGGTCGGGGCTGGGATGAGGCAGTCTGCGGTTTATTAGAAGGGATTAATATCCCAAGTTACCCACTCATTTCTTTTGCTATTTTTTTCTTTTTCTCTGGCCAGGGGTTTTTTTTTGAACTCGATCGCAGGCTGGATTTTGAGGGTAGATCTGTGGTGTAGACATTTTTTTTGGCATTTCTTTTGACTCGGTTCGTTGAGCGACGACGACGATACGCGACGTTTGGTGGGGGACCAGAAGTATTAGATAAACATAACACCTGGCTCTTCGCTCAAGGTGGAACTTCAGTACCCTTCCAATCCCAACATCTTCCCCTTCCTGCGAGACCAACACTACCCACCACATGACACATTCTTTCGATTGCGAACTTAGGTTCAAACAATTTTTCTTTGGCAACCTTTCCCCAGAATTCCTTGCTCAGCCCTGTCTTCACCGTACCGGGATGATAGCTCATCGCCATTGCATTGTCGCCGCTCTTTCCCTTGACAAAGATATCGAAACTTTTGGTGAGCGAGTTGACCGCCGCTTTCGAAGCACGGTAGCTGTACCAGCCTCCAAGAGCATTGTCCGTGGTTGACCCTACCCGTGCCGACTTTTCACATGTATGGTTAGTTCTGGAGATTATTGCTCGATATTGAAATAGGAAAAGCTTCACTCACCATATTCAGCCACACGGCATGTTGAGGCAGCCAAGAGTCAGATGAAGATATTAGAGGGGTTTGAGAAGACTAACGAAAGAATCAGCTTTGACATTGGGATTGACCTGATCTAAGCGGATATACTATAGCGATATGCACATGCCTCCACGGGCATACGGTGCTATCACTTCAATTGTTCTTGATGATGTAATTGGATGGCCGGATTAATATACCTTTCGGGGTAGGAAGGGCGAGAAATGCTTTGCTATTAACATTGGCCCGATAGTATTGACAGCGAATGTTTTGGTAAGTTCATCATGTTGCAACTGTGATGGCGATTTCTCCGGATATAAAATCCCAGGTATACAGAAGGCCAAGTGTAAGTGGTGATCATTGACCGGGTGGATCTTTTTGGCTTCTTCTGCTGCAGTCTGAACTGTGTTTTCATCTAATAAGTCATCATCAGCTCAGAATTCATTTACAGAGGCCTCCGCTAACCCCAACCGTGCTTCAAGCACTCGAATTATGGAATTTGAAAATTAGCGAAAAAGACTGTGATGCAAATACGCACCTGTGACATCTAGTTCTAATATAGTCAATCTTTTCTCGTCTACATCCTTCAAGTCGTTCAATAACTCCTTCTTGAGACCTCTGGGATCTTTCCTTGCGGTCGCTACAACTGCCAACGGTGTTGTTCGAAGGAGGTGTCGAGTCAAGTGGAAACCAATCCCTCGACTGGCTGGAGTTACCAGTGACCATGGAGCCATAGGTCATTAGGTATCTTTATTTGAAGTGCTCAGAAATATATTGAGCATTTTGGGGTTCGGATGAGGTTGGAAGTCGATGATGCTAACACAAGGGTCTCGATCGACGCAGGGGTGTGCGGCAGCCTTTCCTCTTCCAGAACGGTTCCTGGTTTGGTGGGTCGTGCCGTACCTTCCTCAACTCACTCCTCTAAATTTAGCAGTACTTTAGTACCTAGGTATCCTTCTGAGCCTTCTTGAGCTCTCGTCAACACCACAAAAGTCCCGATCGTCATGACCCAAAATCCTTCGTCATAAAAATCATGACTGAAGAAGGGAGCTCTGGATTTCCCAGTAGTCTCGGTATGGAGGGTTATAATTCCGATTTGGATTCAGAGGTGGCTTACATTTTTAATGAAGCCCACAAGTTATTTCCATTGAACTGTTCGAAGAAACGCAAGGCAGAAAAGATCCCGAGCCCAACATTGCAAACAAAACGGCAGTTTCGCACCAATAATTCAACCTTAGGGAGGGATTTCCCGAGCATGCTCGACTTGCAGGAATCTCCCGATACTAGGCAAGCCGATGAAGTTGTCCAGCCTTCGAGTAAGGGGACCACGACATTGTCGGCCACAATGGGCACGTCCAAGGACCGAAATCATCAACGTCCATCCTTCCTGTAAGTATAATAAACAACCTAACTTCGCTATCTTGATACTGAGCTACAAATCTTATTCCTAGTGGTTCACGATCCACAGTTACAGTGAATGTGAGTTGTGATGATGGCAAGGATACATTCCAGGTTCACAAAGATTTTATATGCTTCTACTCGCCGTACTTCAGAGCAGCGCTCAACAGTTCGCTCAAAGAAGGTACTGAGCAATTTGTTGACCTCGAAGACATCAGACCGGAGCCTTTCTCTCTCTTCTGAACTGGATCTACAGCCAGCGAATCTGCGAGCCAGACGGGTCGACGCCATGCCAGGACGCCCTTATCAGACTTTGGCTGCTTGCTGATAGATTTCTGATTCCTTCGTTACAGAATGCTACAATTGACATGCTTGATAAGAACTTTGTAGCAAGGAAAACGGCCTGGTCCACGAGTGTTGAACTTGTCTACGAGAAAACAGCCGATGGAAGCCCATTACGGAGATGGCTTATTACGAGACTATCGCAAGGATTCCAGGCTATGTTCATGTATATGCCAAAGCAGTGTCTTTGTGACGTTTTTAATAATGTACGGTCAAGTCTTCGGACGATCTCTGGTCCACTGGTAGACCTGTCCAGAAAGGAAATGGAAGCTTACCATGTAGACGAGAAAGAGGTAGGCTTCATAATCGGAGTCGAGCAATGGATACTGATCCGGGCTATCAGATGCAGCATTCGAACCTTCGAAAGATCGGTAATTGAACGATCCAGGTCCAGTTCATATTCCCGATATGCTCACGAATACAACTCGAAGTCCAGAATGCGACAGAGGAATAGGTAGGCTTAAACCAATCATTTGTAGCTGCCAACGGAAATACTGATAATTTTCCATTCTTTCAGACTCTTCTTTTCGTAGCCCTCAGGTTCCTCCAATATATTATACTTTGCACCAATTTGCAAAAAACATTTGAAACCCAAGGGCGATTTGACAGATGTGGTCCAAGAAATAGCAGGATTGGCACGTTAAATATCGGGATCTGGAAGAAGTGTAGGGAAGGTACCAGGAAGATTTTGCACTTGGCCTTTGCCCAATGAAGTAGCTAAGAAGACAGCAATGAAAATACGATCACCTCGCAGATGTATCGTGCATCTGTGTTCACCAAGATGCCGAGCGAGGAACCCTTTGCCAACAACCTCGCGTTATTGTGCAGCTGGGTGTAGATTTAATTGTGGTCTAGCGATGAGCTTGAAACATGATTTGGCTTGAAAACAGCTACGCCCTAGACCGAGATACCAGTAGTCTCGTAACGTGCATCTGTCATTGTCCCTCTGGTATGAGAATCTTGTCGAATACGTGGCAACCACGGAAGAAAGAGCCAGAGATCAACAACTATTTGACGAGGGCTTTCCAAGACTTTCAATTCCCGGTGGAAGATTCGTGACGGAGCGTAGAACGAATCTGGAGAAATGACAACATCGACAGCATCTCGAATCTGCAACATTATTATGCGTACTTACAAAGAGAAGCCCGAACGGAAAGCATAAATTGTATTCCTCAACACCATGCTAATAGCTCCAATTCCAAGCTAGTCAGCCCGCAACTTCCACTCTGGTATATTACAGCAACTCTACAACGCCTACAACTCAATGTTCTGGAAACTAGCCTGACCAGGCGTCCTACTTCCTGATCTAGATGACGATTCCGAACCCTCTTTCTCTGCCTCCTTATCCTTTGGAGACGGACCACCCGGTCTTAATGCCACCTTCTGTTGTTCCCGGTCCTCAACCCTGACTTTCTGTTCATCTTGCACGCTGGTTTTGTTTTCGTCGTCCTCATCCTCGGAACTACTCTCCTCCTCTTCCGGAGCACTGTCTTTCGCAGGTGGTGTCGGTGGTATTGGGACGGCTCCATCGGCGCCACTCTGTCTAGTGGGTGAAGGGCTCTTCGGCGTTTCGCGTGTCGGTGAAGGCTGTGGTGGCTGCTGCTGAGGCTGCGGAGGTTGCTGCTGTTGTTCGACCTGACGCAGTTTTGGGTCTGCATCGAGATAGTATTGACGAACACCAACGATTCTGCCACCTCTCTCGCAACCTTCCACCCATTCTGGTCGTACCACTGGAATATTCATTTCCAACGCCTTCTCCCATGCTATACCTCTACCTTCCACGGTAACAAAATGTGTGGTATCAATGCGTACAGTATCTGCTAGTTTGGCCCCTATCCTCTCGATTGCCTTGGTCAGGCTATCTCTCAATTGTGCAGGTAGAACTCCAGGTGTCACTGTGATGCCGCTCAAATCGGTCATCTTGTGTGTCTTGACCACCAATTTCTCGCTATTGTATGTGCCAGCGCTCGTTCTTAGAACCAGTTGAAAAGTGTATTCGGTATCGACTGCTAGACCAGATATTTTGGTGGTATGCATGTTCGTAGGCCGTGGGATGTTTCCAGCCTTTTGCCCGTTTCGAAACAACGATAATGATATACAATCCGCGGTAGCCAGTTCAATAGGGTCCCACTCGAGGACTACTGAAGTCTGGGTAGCATTTTTGCAGCGTAAGACTGGAGCTGTTGGCTCCGATTCGCCAAAGGAGGTGAAGATCGCGTCCTGGAGGGCGAGGAAAGCATCTTGGGACTTTTGTTCAGAGCCAAAATTTCGAGAGACAGTGATATCAACAATACTGCCGGAGGAGATGTTCGGTGGAAGGAGAATGGATGGGAATTCAATCTGGGCACAACTATTAGCTTGGGTGATCTGGCTCAAATGGACTGAAGCTGGATAGGCCTGGGGGAGAAACATACAAGTCTTTTATCATGAGTCAGTAAGACCGCAACGCCGGCGTCGACTTTACCAACCGTCAACGAAATCAACATTTTGTGCTGTTGAGTTGCGTAATTGAGCTCCGATGAATTGCGACAGGAACTCAAATGTGTTGCGCCTCAGCCCGTCAAAGCCTCGCTTGCTGTGATTGGCCGATACATATAACCAAAAACATCGGGAGCTTGTCTGATTATCCAAAATATAAGAAGCTAATAAATGAATAGGTAGATGATAGCTATTTCAAAAATAATCAAGAGTCTTACAGAAGGATACGCCTATCTGGTCTTTTGCGACTCATTATACAAATTATCATTAATGGATTGACAACTTAGGAAGTTCCAGGCAGATTTAGCAGCCAAATAAATACATTTGAACTACAGGTTCCATGAAATATGGGCCAGCCTATCATAGTTATATACAAAACAGGTTAGATGTGCTAGTGTTGCATTTAACAATTGCAGTATCAACCGGAGAGTATAGACCTATTTTCCCTATTCAGGAACGCAAGTCCCATCTAGAAATCACTCAAGGCCCCAGAATAGTCATTCAAGCAGAACCAAAGGAGCAAGAGCAGAGAGCATAATTGCTCCCGTCCTGACGCTCCTACACTCGACATGCCCGCGGTGAGGTGACCTCTCGAATGCTAGGCCCGCCTGAGCTTTTCAGGCCACTTAATTAGCCAGAGTGACTGGGTATATGTATGTCTTCTGTTATTTCAGGCTCCCTGACATGCGTACGCTTCCGATTCTTAATGTCGTGCCATCCACGCTTCCCTAAGTTTGTAGATAAATCAAAGTGTCTTGCTTAGGTAGTTTTCAAACGCCGCAAAACTGACTAGTACTCTGATGTGATAATCTCCATGCAGCCACTTGACCAACTCCAATTTCCGACACTGTATTTCTATCTCTCCATATATCCGAGTTTGTATTCTGGTATTTTGCTTTTGAAGAGGTCGCCCGTGATTGGTATGCTGTCCAGGTCAAGTCTCCTGCTTCGATCCAAGAAGGTCCACATTTACAATGAAGACACAATGGGAACACTTCTGGTGTTGGACTTCGTCTTGCCCGATTCAAACTTGGCCGTTTTCCGTTCCAAGATCTCCTGTAACTTTTTAGCGCTCCCGGGAGAAGATATTAATTTGACGACCAAGTCCGTTTCCTTCAAAATTTCCACATACTTCGCCGTTAGGGCTTTACTTCTAGGCATAACTTGTAGGGTTCCGAACAGGTTTGGAACTCCGTCTTCCACCAATCTTGACCCATCAGGATTATACCCCTGTTTCTTCAAACTCTCCGTTACTGCGTTTCGCACCCTTCTAGCAGTATAGCTCCTGACAGTTCGTCTCATGAGTGCTGCATCCTTTTTGCAAATCACGCTCCACCATAACGAATCCGTACGCTTGTACCATCTACTGCGATCTGCCCAGACGTGAATAGGCTGGACTACGCCATCGATTCTAATGCGATCCGAGTGTAGATGATAGCAATGATTCGTAGAGTGAAATACGAGTAGGTGAGATATGCGCTTTGAACGGTTGACCTGTACTAGGGACTGGGCGCTGTGTATCTTGATGGGTTGGCTCGTCGAAGTCAATGAGTTCAGAAGTCTCGCAGTTCTGAACATAGCGTTTCCAAGAATGGTGGCATGTAACCCGGTGGCATAGAGTGCTATGGAAAGCAAGACAGAGTAAAATAGATTGAAGAAATCATGTAACCTCCACGACAAGAATGTAGAACGGTGGTGATTGTGATTTGTCGCGTCAAAAAAAAAAGAGGCGAGCCTAGCCTGGCCAGGATCTGAATAAGGCGCCCACTGAGAGGACAAGGATGGATTAGCGCACCAAACCCACCCCGCCAAAAATCAAAGGCACCAGTCCAATGACACAGATATTTAACAACAGCCCACCCACCATCCTCCACAAACTTTCGAGCATTACACCTCTGCGCCCACACCTCACGCCTACACGAACCCTTTTCACAAACTACACACAGCAGATACTCACAAGGATAAGTCAATATGCCTAAGAATAAGGGAAAAGTATGTTGTGCGTTGTCGCCGCCACCGCACTACCCCACCAACACTGCAGGATCACAGGCTGACATCAGGAAATAGGGAGGCAAGAATCGACGTCGTGGAAAGAACGAAAACGACAACGAGAAGCGTGAACTTACCTTTAAAGAAGAAGGTCAAGGTACGTACACTCTCCCTCGAACTGTCGCAAAGATAGGCGTACATCATCGTCGCGAGGAGAGGCTGAAGAACCCCACTAACACGATGATTATAGAATATGCACAGGTCCTGAAGATGCTTGGAAACGGTCGCTTGGAAGCTCTTTGCTTTGATGGTTCGAAACGGCTTGCGCATATTCGAGGAAAACTCCGAAAGAAGGTCTGGATCAACCAGGGTGATATCATTCTCCTCTCTCTGCGCGACTACCAGGATGAAAAGGGAGATGTCATCCTCAAGTACTCTGCCGACGAGGCGCGATCGCTCAAAGCCTACGGCGAACTGCCAGAGAGCGCGAAGATCAACGAGACAGACACTTATGGCCAGGAAGGCGATGGAGACTGCAACTTCGAGTTCGACGAGGACAGAAGTGAGAGTGATGACGACGATGGAAAGGGTGGAAAGGAGATTGAGATCGATGACATTTAAGCACTCAAATTACATCGGCTTCCGGGAGTGAGCGCCCACTGAACTTCAAGCTCACTCCGCCATCTGGAAAGGATTACTAGATCCGGAACAAGGAAAGAAAGACTGTCTTCTCTCTCAATCTCAGGCCTTGCGTCAACTGTCAGCCTCGATACCAACGCACGCAAGTGGTGGAAGGTCTGAAGACCCTCGACAGCATTTTCTCAAGTTGCATTTTTTCGACACGAACACTGGCGGCGGATTTACGATGGGAGAGACGTTGTAGATCTGTTGACTAGGAACAATCATTTTATTCATATTTAGTTCTCGACGGCATTGTGGTTTCTCTCCTGGGAGATAGACTTTGTTTTTTAATCATATGCTGGGGGTTTTTGGCCTGGGACATTGGAATTTTCGTATTTCGAAAAGATCATAACTTCATAGAATGAGAATACTCACTGCATTACACTATAATTCATGGCCACGATGTCACTGGTTGAGTGAAATGTTATTGAAGTTTGATATGCTGCATCACAAAATGAAAGAAAAGAACACTGTCTTCTCCGTAAACCTAAGTTTTACTCTTCCTGCCTTTGAAGTGGTTGAGATATATTCTCGTCAACACAACCTACATCTCCTAATATCTATTCATCTAAATCACCTTGACATCTTCAACCAAAGCCTTCAGTCCAAGGTTTCAACAGAAGTAGCCATCAAATTCTATTCCAAGACAGCCTTTCGGCCATAGATCAATTACCAAACCAAACATACATCGCAGAGACACGGCCTATGAATGGTAGCAATTCATAAACCACATCCCCAAATACCTTGCTACAAGTATAGCATTCATCTAATACTAGAAACTCAGATCAAGTTGCTACCTCAATATTAAAATACCGTGATATTACATTGGAGCCGAGAAGACCTGAAGTTTTTAAACAACTACCTACCTGACGCAAACACAAGTCGGAATTATGACATCAGATATATATCTTAGCAATCCAAGCCACGCGTCCGTCCGTATAGAATACTCTTTTACACAATGGCAAAGCTCACTGAACACAAATAAGAGGGAAGTGAAAGTTTACGAGTTTTTCGATTTTAGTATATTTACAATTCTGATTCAATCCTCACTTCTCTATGGCCCCAAAACCAACCTCTCAACATCCCCATGGCTTCATTTTCGGTCAGCTGTCATGTATCATGACGCGCAGTCATAGGTTTCTAGTCTTCCTAACCAACACTAACTGATCGAGTAGGTCTTATACCCGTGTGCGTGATGACACCGCATTTCAAGCCCGGCAAACGCCAGCACTCCTCTCGAACTGCACATGTTCGAGCCGTACAGCTCGTTTTTTATACCGCTTCGGCTGATCTTCAATCAATTACAATCACCAGTCTTCTTCTTCATCTTCGTCATCTGCAAACACATTAGTCTGACGCTCAAAATGTTCTCAAAGAGGAAAATCAACTTACCACTACCGCTAACTTTCTTATTCCTCTGTGCTAAAGCCATAGCCAAAGCTCCAGCCATTCCACCAGCTGCTGCACCAGCCGCGAGACCAGCACCGGCACCAGATGGTGGCAGGCCGCTGCCAGCAGGTCCTGTGTCCGAACCAGGAAGAGCACTACTTCTATCTCTGACTTGTTCTTTTGGTACTTTCTTTAGCGAAGCTATACCTCCTGCGCTTTGGATACCGGCAAGCAATCCAGCACGCTCCCCCGTGGGCTGAGGTAAAGCAGGTACACCGGATTGATAACCAGAATCGCGGTTTGGTGGTGGTGGAGGTGGGACAGGAATGCCAGCACCCGGTGGAGGAGGTGGAGGGGGCGGCGGAGCACCTCCTGGCGCGCCAAACCCACCTGGAGGGGGTGGTGGTGGAGGAGGCGCTGGAGGACCGTTTCCATGAGGCAATGGAGGTGGCGGAGGAGCGTTTGATTGAGGTAAAGGAGGAGGTGGGGGAGCATTTGTCTGAGGGAGTGGTGGTGGAGGACCACTGTCTCTTGATGGGGGTGGAGGGACTGGTCGAGTGGAGGCTGGTGGTAATGGAGGCGGCGCACCGGATGGGCCAGATGGCGTTTTTGGAGGGAGTGGCGGAGGAGGAAGCCCATTGGTAGGTGGAACAGCATGAGAATAAGGATTCGATGGAGTATCTCGCTGTGGTGGAGGTGGTGGTACCGGCCCACGATTTGGAGTTGGAGGAGCGACAGGCTTTCTTTCCTGTATTCTTTCTCCCATAAAAGGTGGAGGGACACCAAACCGTGATCCAGATTCCCCCGGCTCATAGGAGTCGTCCACAGGTGTCTTCGGGGGCCTTGGCGGAGGAGGTGGTCCTGGATTTGAAATAGACCCGGCATGCACTCTCGACGCAGCTGTAGGTCGAGTGTTGGTATGGGCGAGTTTACCAGCATCTGCAAAGGGCGGTGGTGCGGCAAATCTTGGTGGAGGTGGCCCGCGTGGTGGTGATGGTTCCCGAGGGGGGGTTGGCTCTCGCGCAGGCTCCTTTGCAATTGACCTTCTCGCTGGTGGTGGTGCAGGAGGTGCTCCTCTCCCGCGGCCTGTTGGCGCGGGTGCATTTTGAGGACTGTTCGAACGAGGCCGTGGAGCGGTAGTAGGCGGTGGAGGTGGAGGGGCTTTAGCTCTTTGGTTTTCAACACCATTCGCTGGCGCAGATACAGCCTGAGCAGCCTGTTGCTGCTTGATATAATCCGCAATAAAGTCCTGGTTGTCTCGAATGAGGTCGTCCGTTATACCCATTTGCTTTAAATCACCTCCCCAGGTTTCCCGCCAGTTGGGGTCAATCGCATCCAAAGCCGCGAACTGTGATTTTGGCGCACTCTGGTGTCCTACAGAATTCCGATGAACTGACGCAACAGGTGGGAGGACGTAACTTGGTGAGTCTGGGGGTGTGGGTTGAGGTTGTATCGAAGGCGCCGAAGAGTGTCTATGTCCACCGAACAATCCTCCCAATAATCCATGTCGAGCATGACCAGTCTGCCCTCCGCCGCCGCCGAACGGGTTCGATTTTGTCGCTTTGCTCGCATTCTTTTCTCGATCGTTCATCTTCTTTAAGAAAGTCTTTGCTTCCTTCTCATCTACAAAGGACAATCCAGCTAAACAATCCTCGGTCTCGAAGGTATGAAAGAAGGTCCGGTCCTGGTTGTAGGACCACGAATCGTATATTTCCTGATCCCATATTACTCCTCGCTGTGCTGGCTGCTCGCAAGTTAGCATCTATTGCTTGTCCTCGAGGCCGGGAGGAGCAGGATTGACTTACAGAAACGTCCACCAGTTTCAACCAGTAAGTATTTCCTACTAAGTCATTTGCAAGCACTGCGGCTCCTTGCAAACCTGTATATGTCCATCTTTGGCGATTCGGGTACGCGATATAAAGCCGGGCAACTGCGACGGCCTGGATCTTGTTCGATTGCTTCGGAACCTGACGCTTGACTGTCTCCTTATCCTCGTCCGACAGAATGGACGGCATCTTGGGCAACCAATACTGAACCGGTGATTAACCTCTTGCACTGCGCGATTTCTATGTCCGGACTGGTGCGATAAGTGTAGAAAGCTGGAAACGAGGTAGAACTATGTCGGGCACAAGAACGAGTTCGGATAGGAGCGCTCTTGCGGGGCGCATTGGGAACGTGGAAGGTATCGTATGGGTTCGTCGATACAGTCGGTGAGTTTAAAACTTCCTTAGCAAGTGTTGGCAGAGAAGTAGAAGAATGACTTCTCCAAACACATTCACAATTCAAATGAGTGGATGCGGTTTGACGTTTGGTGTTGAATGTTCGGAACAGGCACGCTACCACCGGGCCAAAGAAAGCGGCAAGCTCGCAGTTGGGCTGTCAGAGTGCCAAGCAAACTCCAGCCTCACGCCTCGAGAAGTGCAGGTGAAGGGGAAATTAAAGCGGCACGGAAATAAGCATGTTCAGGCAGAGGACGTGAGACTTTCAGTGCCGCTTTTCACGCGCAAAGAGTGATAGAAGGCAGCAGAGAACCATATCGAATTGTGATTGCGAGTCTGTTCGTGGACAACGCCTCGACACGCGTTCTATATGAAAGGCAATGTTTTCGAAAACAACACCAGAGCGCCATATCTTTTGTTCAATGTCATTTTCACACAGCAACAAATGCATTTGTTCCAGGTTTTCTTGTGCTTTGAGCTCTTGGTGGCTCGGGATAATCCATTACGAAGGTAGCGAGTAGAACTACTCCGTACTGTACGGATTGTAAGAGTCGCCACAATATCACATTTTACCTCAAATATCACCGAAATGGAACGAGCAGAATTGCTTGGCTCTTTGAATATAATCTCGTAAAGCATGTTGATTTCCTGCAATGCTGCATACCAAAAGTATCCCCCTCTTCGTCGTGTTGTGTAGGTCACTTAGTACAGAGTTATGCCCAGATATCCTCCCAACGCCTCAATTGCATGCGTCTCAACCAGCTTAAATTTTCGACTTTCTAAAAGACGGGGTGAGCTCATGGATTTTGAAGGAGAAGATCAGTATGCCCACTCAAATCTTACCGGAAAGAATTACTTGTTCAAAGCCTCGGCCTTTGCACGTCTCTCTTCCTTGGTGCCCTCCTCCTGGGCGTTGAAGTCTTTGGGAACAGCTGGTCCCTTAGAGGCGTGGATGTTGGTGTCGACTTGCTCTCCCTTTGGTGGTCCTTGGTCGTGGATTGGGTGTGTGCTTGCGTTGCTCTCCGTCTTGGAGGAACCATCTCTGGCAATGCTCTCAGTTGGGGCGCCTGTGGCGTGGTTATCGGTCTCGTCTGGTCCGGCAGGCATTTTGAAGGTAGTTTTGTGAGAGAGAGTTGTAGGAGTAGTAGTAGTAGAGTCTTGTTTTTTCAAATGTGAAAGATTAATGGAAGATGATGTGGTTGTAATATAAAGGAATGGAAGTCAATCAAGATACTGTCACCACCAAGAGCTTCTGATCCAGTGCCCCTCAACGATGACGTTCACTCCGGTTCACTCCTCCCGCTGCCAATCACCTGGGCACCCCTCAGATCGGGTCAACCAGTCACTAATTCCCGCAGCCCGCCCCACACGTCTAGGCTGCACGACTTCATGCATCAATGTCGCGGTAAAATATATCGAAGGTCGCGTCTTTTGTATCGAGTCGTTCTCGACGAACATGGTATTCCTAGATGTCTTCCAGCAACGGTGACGCGCAACCGGTAAAGCTGTCATTACCTTTAGTACGTTGTTTAACAAGGTCGGATGTTACAAACCATTAACAAGAAGCAGAAATATCAGCAGGAGCTATTTCAAGAGCTTCGCCAAAAAGATGAGCTGGTCATCATTGCCAGTGGCCTCGGACTGCCTCGGATCGTCACGAACCTACTTCACTCCTACGATGCGGCTGGAAACAATCTCATATTGCTAGTTGGCGCAGATGATCGAGAAAATGGCTGGATTGGAGAGGCGTTGGCTGAACATGCGGCAATCAGCATGTCACCTCGCGCGCGCGGATTGAGCGTGGTCAATACGGATATGATGAGTGTTGGAACCAGAGAAAAACTCTATGCGCAGGGTGGGATATTCAGCATCACATCGAGGATTCTGGTAGTCGATTTATTGACCAACCTGTTGAACCCCGAAACAATTACTGGCATGATTGTGTTACATGCAGATAAAGTAGTGGCGACATCATTGGAGGCATTCATTTTGCGCATTTACAGACAGAAGAATAAGAACGGATTTCTTAAAGCTTTCTCAGATGCCCCAGAACCCTTTACCACTGGGTTTGCGCCACTTACATCCATGATGAGAAATCTTTTCCTTCGACAAGTAGCTCTATGGCCGCGATTCCAGGTTAGCGTAGCGCATTCTTTAGAAGGCAAGAAGAAGGCAGAGGTTATTGAGTTGGAAATTCCAATGTCTAATTCAATGCAAGATATCCAACGGGCGATTCTGGAATGCGTCGAAGTTAGTATTAGCGAGCTGAAGAAGAGCAATACTGGCCTAGAAATGGGAGACTGGAACGTCGATGGTGCTCTACATAAGCAATTCGATATGATCGTCCGGAGGCAGTTGGATCCTGTGTGGCATAGACTTAGTTGGAAAACTAAGCAAATTGTGCACGATTTGACGGTATTAAGAAGCATGCTCCGTCATCTGGTGACATATGATGCTGTTTCTTTTAACAAGCATCTCGACACCATTCTAGCAGCGCATTCTCCTCCTCCTGGGTCCACAAAACAGAATCAGTCACCATGGTTATTCCTCGACGCTGCTCATACCATATTCGACACTGCCAAGAGAAGAGTATATACAGGCAAGGCAACGAAAAACGCCAGCCAGGACATTGACTCTCTGAAGCCAGTGCTGGAAGAACAGCCGAAGTGGGCCGTTTTAGCAGAAGTAATGGATGAAATTGATCGAGATTTATATTTCAGCCCGCAGTTACGAGATGATTCAAATGGAACTATTCTCATCATGTGTTCTGACACCGGGCAGTGTCGCCAACTACGTGAATATCTCCAGAACATGAATGTTCATCCTGAAGAAGGAGTTATAGATGTGGAGAAGGAGAAGGAGGAAAGCGATGACACTGATGAGAAAGAGCCATCCGCCGCTTTCATGATGAGGAGGAAATTACGAGAGTACCTCCAATGGAAAGAAGAGTTCAAGTTGATAAGTGCTGCATTGTTTGCAGAAACTCAGAACGCTCAAAATGGTAACAACACCGGTGTGAAAGGTGGACCTGGCTCGTTCAGAGGTAAAGCTCCTCCTAACAAAAGGAGACGAGTTAGGGGAGGTGGATCTGTTGGTGTCGCCCCAACCAGAGGTACGCATGGAAATGTTCTTGCAGCAGAAGATAAGCCTTCGGAAGTTGCTAGTCTTCTGTCAGACATTCAGCCTACGGAAGTAGAAGCTACAATGAAAGATGAGATAGTTGCAGATCCATTGGAAGATATGGAAGACTATTACCAACTTTACGATACCAAAGACCTAGTTGTCATCCATGCCTTTGATGGTGATATGGACGAGCACATTCTCGAAGAGGTCAAACCCAAGTACATAATCATGTACGAACCCGACGTTGCTTTTGTTCGAAGAATAGAGGTCTACCGATCCTCCCACAATGACCGTAATGTCAGAGTATACTTCCTCTCCTACAAAGACTCGGTCGAAGAACAACGCTATTTATCCTCCGTCCGTCGCGAAAAAGACGCCTTTACGAAACTTATAAAAGAAAAGTCCTCTATGGCCCTAACCATCACAACTGATGCACACGGTATTGAAGACCCCCAGGAAGCCTTCCTGCGCACAATCAACACACGTATAGCTGGAGGAGGTCGTCTAGCCGCAACAGCACAACCACCTCGTGTCGTTGTCGACGTCCGCGAATTCCGCTCCTCGCTCCCTTCCCTCCTCCACGGCCGCAACCTCATAATCGTCCCCTGCATGCTCACAGTCGGCGATTACATCCTATCTCCATCCATCTGTATCGAGCGCAAAAGCATCAAAGATCTGATCTCCTCATTCAAAGACGGACGTCTCTACAACCAAGCAGAGACCATGTTCCAACACTACAAATCCCCCATGCTCCTCATCGAATTCGACCAAAACAAATCATTCACCCTCGAACCTTTTGCCGACCTCTCCGGCTCCCTCTCATCCACCTCCTCCACCCCCAACGCATCCTCAGACCTCCAATCCAAACTCGTCCTCCTCACCCTCGCCTTTCCCAACCTCCGCATCATCTGGTCCTCGTCCCCGTACCAGACCGCCGAGATCTTTGAATCTCTGAAAACGCAAGAGCCGGAACCGGATCCTATCGCTGCTGTGCGCATCGGGCTAGATGGGGAGGAGCGGGAAGGCGATCAGGTTTTCAACCGGGAGCCCCAGGATATGTTGAGGGTTGTGCCAGGGGTCACGGGGACGAATGTTGGACGACTTGTCAGGGGTGCCGGGAGTTTGAAGGAGGTTGCTAATGCGGAGGTGGAGGAGTTGGAGCCGATGATTGGGAGGGAGGCTGGGAGGAAGGTTTGGGCGTTTTTTAATAAAAGTGTTGTTGAGTAGGGTGTTTGGTATGATGGAGTTTTGGATAGATGAGATGGGAGATTACTTGGGATTTCATGAAGGATTGGGACCGTAATTATCATAAGACCATGTATTATGTAATTCCAAGTGATCAAGGAATTGAAATCTGCAATACTTATTAGGTCTGCCTGTTCTACCATCTTCCATATAAATTCTACATGAACAAGGCCAAGAATAAGTGCTTGTTAGTCAACAGTCGCATACACCACGCGAAGTAATTCCCGAGAATCATGATTAAACACCTAGTTAACCCAGCTCCCATTGTATCATACTATCACACGGCTTATGAAGATGTCAATTCTCACACATCTTCGAGGGCAGATACGCTTGCAACGGACAGAGCCAGCTGCAAGAACCGCCGATGACCAAGTTAAGCACTATTTAGAGCAGGTAAAACAGTTCCAATCATTACTTTTTCTTAGAATAAAAGTGGGAAAAGCTTTTCAATGTCGTATTCAGCATGTGGCTACACCGAGTTCCCGTACATGGTAAAAGGGAGATAGGTTTGTGGAGGGCGAAATAAGTGGCAGAACTGCCTCAGTAGTCGGGTGACTTGAAGTAACATTTAGAGCGGGTAAGTAGTTTAGGTTATCAAATTGCGTGGAATAGCGTCCAGAAAGCTCTTATTTATGAAGAAAATCAAAGACGAACCCAAGAGACTTGGTCAACTTATTTCGCATGATTGAAGTTAGGTATGATAGATACTTGATCCGACCCGTTTTGAGAGTACTCTTATAAATTGTAACAATGTTCCGTATTTTGAAATCCACCACGTAGATATTGGAAGACGACAACGAGCCAGATCCATTCCGAAATCGCATGATCATCACAGCATTGATATGTTGCGGATGCATATCGAAGCGGGGAAAATCTGCACCTCAAGCCGAAAAGGCTGCCTCACATAAGAATTCAAGTCACAGCAGATATAAAGTCATGAGTAGAGAATAATCATTAATCTCATTACTATCCCCCTAAACAAATGCTCAACGCTCCATCGATTCCATCCCCAAAATAAATACTCATTAACAAAATCATTCGTGGTCTTTATATAAAAAAGAACCGGGGTATTGGTAGAAGTGCAAAAAGCGTGCGCGAAAAACCACATCCTCAATCGCAATTAATGTCCCCTCGTCCCCGTGACGTCATGTTCCTCTCTGTCAACATCCCAAGGCTGCTCGTACGTCCGCATTGTCAAACCAGTTGTAAGGGGTGGCTATTCGGCTCCATCATGTTGTGATGGCGGAGGTGCGATGCAGTGACAGAGAGGGGATTATACTCGACTTGTCGTCGTTCCGCCGCCACGTCTTCGTCCAGCTTTTCCGCAGGTGAGGCATGAGATGAGGATGTCTGGGTGGTTTGTTAGTTGTGTTGTTCAAATAAGGTGTGGCGCTGGGTAGTAACTCACTAAAGAAGGATGCAATTCCTGAAACGATAGCTTGGAGGATGGATGCAATGCCATTGACAATGGCCATTAGCACCGAACCGATGGTGCGGCATAAGGATTGGATCTAAGGCGACGTTAGTCGGATATGACAGGACTAGAGCCGGGAAGACGAACGCAAGATACAACGGCTCCCATTTTGATTTTTTGGCGCTGAGCGACTTTGTTTATTTGTGGTGATTATTGGGAGATAGCTTCTGATAGCTTTGGTTTGGTTTGCAGGTAGATCGAGAACTGTTGATGTGGTATGAAGAAGGAAGAATAGAAAATAAGCTGAGCGACTAGCTTCTATATACTTTCCCTACGACAACCAACCCCTCCAATCTCGCCCGATGAGCGCTACGTCTTTCGTATCACGCGTCATACCTGATATATTGTCTTGCAGGCTCTTTGCCGTTCGGGAAATGAGATTCATCAGAATCGCATACAAACAAAGATGCTGCGGCAGGGATGTCCGTACCGGTATGACGTCGTTTGACTCTGATTCAGCCATATCAGGCCGTTTCATAGGACAGAACCTGCAAAAAATGCACAAAGCGCTGGCCGAGATGATTACTGGCCCGACCGGTCAAGGGCTGCCAGCGCGAAAAACAAGGAAAATTCTCAAACGGGAGTCGAACGGGTAGGGATGAGCAGCGCCAGGGTGCCGAAACCCATCAACATCGAGAAATACGATGGTGCGCCACAGGATCTCCACCGTCATTAGCCACAGTGTGGCTGGTGATGTCAACCATGTGGTTGAGAAAGTGAGTAAACAACCCGGTTACATCCCGATCCAGAACAAAGAACCCGATGTCAATAATGCCATGCAATTCTAGTGGCCACCTAGTCATGAAGTGTGGCTGAGTCGTGCTGAGTGAGTTCTGTTGCGACGCTGTTATCTTTGGTCTCATGATCTGGAGTCCGGCCTATTGGTACCAAGTATTCGACTTTGATACACCAAGCATTTTTCGTTTTTTAGATTGTTGGCGTGGCCGCCGGTTATCCGCTCTTCCTCAAGTCGTTGGAGAAGTCACTCAAGTCGTTGGATGAGCCACTCTTCGATAAAATCCAGAGAAGTAAACTTGGGGACATTCTCCCCAGTTCATCAAGAAGCATTATCTGCTGCCGAACGGACTTCCGTAAAGTTCCCAATCAAACTGTCGATTCCAGCTGACTGAGTCATGAATTGATAACCACTTGAATCTTGAACAATCCACGAAGTATCAGACACAAGAGTTCCTGGAGGTGCATAACTCATTCGTGACATGTCGTGATCGAGGGTAATGCAATACAGCCACTGGTGAACCAGGCGGTGCTCCTTCTCAAAAATGCAAGGGAATCTGCCTTCTTCCCGAGCCTTTTGGTTGATGGTTACAACAAATTGGCACACGGCTTCTTCCCATTCATCATTTTTTGGGTGACCAGCGACCGTTAGAGTTCGAAGCGTCTTCAATTCAGCTAGTGGGTGTCGCAGCGCTCGAAATTGAATATCGTAAGCTTCTGCTGGCAACATCACATCAGTCCAGTAAAGAGGCGATCTGGAGAAGTGGCCAGGCTGGGTTGGTGTTTTTATGTCAAGATGTAAGCTGGATAAATTCGGTGCGTTTCTGAGAAGCCCCAATACCGAGTCCATATCGACACAAGCTCTATGAGAGTGCGTATCAAATCCGATGGCCACGGCTCCTAGATGTCCGATGTTGGCTCCGATTGCTTTTAGAAACTTCTCACAGGCGTTGGCACTTCGAAAGTTAAACGTAGCCCTACGGAAATGCAGGTGACGGCATTCGAGGTAGAATTGTTTGCTGGTTCGAGACAGCCCTTCTCCGCAACGACATCCTCTAGTGGCATCTGCTATAGCTGTTGGGCATGTCGATGGACGGGAATGAAAGATATTCTCATATATTTGGGAACGCAACTCTGATGGAAATGGGAGTCCGGAGAAAAGCGATCTTCTGTCTTGAACACCATTCGGACTCTCATTGGGGTGCGACATGTCTTGGAAAGAATTCGAAGAAAATGTCAAATGTGACCTTAACACAAGGCAATCTACGAGGCTGCTAAGATGCGTATCCTTCGGCTCGAAAATTTAGAAGCACAAACTGTAGGTATGCTAATTAAACTAGAGAATGAAGTATGTGTATCGACGTTTGCTCAACAGAATAGGGTCGAGGGTCGAGGGATGGCATGTCGTGGTGGAGAGCAAGGTAGACAAGTGGGGCCGCTCTGTGATGTCCAATCGTTACCACTGTGGCTTACTTCCTCTGCCCCTGCTCCTGCAAGGCTACCTACCTAGGTACTTCTTTTTCTCAAAATTCCATATCAAAACACCATCTTGTATTCTGTCCCACCACCATCTGCAATGCAACTTACACCCATCAGAGTCCCCGGAAAGCGGAAAGCAAGATCCGAAAAAGACGAAAAAGCGTCTAGGAAAGCCGCAGTACGTTTTATCTTCCCCCAGGCAGGGTTTTGCTAAAGATTGCCACAGAAGATATCTCCCGCTTCAGCATCTGTTAAAAGTGAAAATTCCCAAAGTTCGGAATTTCGGGCAAAAGGCTCGAAGAAAAGATCTCTCAAGTCCTTAAAATCACGAAGAAAAATGTCGCTACTCGAAAGACTACCGACGGAATTACTTGAGACCGTGTACCTCTATGCTCTGAACATCAATCTTCCTAGAGCTAGTCCGATCATCAGCGGAAAGTTGAGCAGTGAACTTATTTACCACAAAACTGTCATAGCTGCTTTTGGGCCTACATGGGAGTATTGGAAACAATTCGAACAGGAGTTTGACATTCACGGTTGCAGAAGAGCATTCTTAGATCCCGATGTGAGCAGACTGAACTTAAAGCAACATAATTTGTATTGATATTTGCTCTAGAATTCATACCTATTGTTCGGGCCGCCGAAGTATGACGTGGATTCTCAAGTAGTTCTCCAAGTAAGTAGTCTCATTGTATCGTATCGAGAGGGATTCCCTTGTTAGTATGTGCTAAAGGCTGTTTTAGAGTAATGTCCTTTCGTGTCGCTGGGCACGAACGCCAGTCATTCTAAAAGCAAAGCAAATCTGGCTGTTGGAGCATAATATACCTGATGGTGCCATTTGTATGTCCAACTTTAAGATCTCTTCACTGACTTTGTGGTGCTGACGAATAACTTGCAGGGTTCGTAAGAGAATCAGAAGGTGTTAATCGATTTCGAACAGGTTGGGAGAACGAAAGTGGTGAGACACAAACCTCAGTTTCCGTATGGACGAACTGTACTGATGAGACATCTGTAAAGGAAAGCTATTACCAAAGGAAATATACGTAAGACTCGAGCGGCACTGTTTTCGCACTACATTAACACCAAGATAGAACTTTGACGACGACTTCGATGGTTTCTCGGATTATTGTTTACGAGATACTCCGGACCCAGAGGTTCTTATCGACTATAATTGCAAAGCAGGAATTGAACACGATGCCCAGCTTCCAAACAGAATTCTAGTTGGCCCTTGGAACGAGGAAGATATCCGGTTATTGTTCTGGCTCGTCAAATCCGGCGCACGCATTGAATGGCACAACTCCATAAGTGGAGAGGCAAGTCGTTAGTTCGAATTCGTCTGTCAACTTGTTACTAATTGCTTCATAGCTTGCAACGTCGGGTATGAGGAACGCAATATCAATAGGTGACACTCGTGCTGTCGTGCTTCTATCTTGGCTAGGCCTTGCCGCCAGAACTGACCATTCCTTGCTTCGGTGGGCTCTTCGCAATGTCGGTGGAAACAAGGCAAATGTAATTACGCATTTGATCTTATCCATCGAGTCTGCATACCAGAATATAATGAGGCCACAGTCCAAGAAGATCCGCGACATGCTCGATTATAAGATTTTAGAAGAGCTCGAATTCACCAAGGAGGAAGGAGAACTGAGTGGCAATCAACCGCTCGCAAATTTAGCACAGACGATCATGGAATGTCGCGCTCTTCAAAAATTTCTTGGCCACTGAAGAGCGAAAAATGACGCGGGCGGAAGGGTAGTGGAAAGTCACGTAAAGTCTGATATGTGGCGGAATGGGGGATTAGATCAAGATGATTCCAAACACTAGAAATACCTAAAACTGCCTAGTTAGACTGGTGTGACTTGTCAGCATCTTAGCACGTCTAGCAAAGAAGCTTATACGGCTGTTAAGACAAGATTTCAAAAACAAGAACAAGTTGCTCTAAATTTTCTCCAGTACCCTCCGCCTATTTCTCGGGTCTATTGAAGTGACTGGGTGAAATGATAAAAGGTCAACTCAAAGGGCTAATAGCGTCTGATCGTTCTATGAAAGTCAAAATGTCAAGGAAACAAATATTCAAGAATCCAAAATGCGAACGGCAGAAATGGAATCTGTTAAGGTAGTACGATGTGTCAATGGATAAACACATATTAAGATAATATTACAAAATGCCAATGTGCATTTTCTAAGCGTCCTGAGCATAGCTGTACTTTTGTGGAAGCCTTACATAAGTTTAGACTTACTAGCTTACTGCTGTGAGCTTCCACTTTCAGTTACGCTTGTGCGTCTGCTGGATCTTACAAGTGATTTATGAAGTCTAGGCATACATATATTTGATATGCGTGGAATATATACATTAACCGTAGGAAAAAGAAGTCAACTTTTTGTAGTTGTTCTTAGGGAAATCAGTGGGAGCTACATGTAATGTACCATTAGTTTCGAGTGTACAGTCCTTACCTTTACACAGCATTTAAATCTTCTTTAACAATACTCGTATAGAGTTTTATAGGTGTATAATTAGTTGAGACGGAAATCAGAAGTTCACTATGTTAACAACTGGGCAAGACAATTTTTTACTCCTTTTCAGCCTAGCTGGGAGGAAGTTTTTGTCGATTGCTCAGAATATCGTATTCTGAGGCTACTAATTTCTGAAGTATTCCATGCCTGAAACCTTTCAAGGTGTTGATAACATTGCTAACTAGCAGACACAGGCCTTATACCATTAGATCACCCGGTAGCAGATGATCGCAGCGCTGTATAGTTAGTAACGGTAATGATAGACTCTTTATGATCAAGTCAATTATGTTCATGTGTTGTGGAAGAGGTTGCCCTAAGAGAGAGACTAAGAGACATAGCAGATTTTCGCATCTTGGGCGTCGTTAACACACAAAGAGGCTCTGAACACCAGGTTCATTTGATCTCTAATCCCCCAACTTTTGAGTCGTGATTTAAAAACATCATTGAAAGTATATGTATAGCGGATATGAATGCATAAAGTAGAGTATAAGGAATGCAACTAAACAGTGAGCAAATAGTTGTTCCAAGCCAGTAGTAGTTTTTCACAAAACTTGGAGCGAGTATGTATGTCCAATAGTATATACCATTCCTCTAAAACTAGGTAATTAGATGTTGTGAGATAATTTTATTCGAGAGTCTTTGAGTTGAAAGTCTCGAGGTTCGAGGCTCGAGATTTAATCGTCATGTGGTCCAAGCTTCATTCAGAAAGATCTTGCTGCCAAAAGCGATCTTCAACCAGTCGCAAACAGATATTTGCAGCAGCACATCGCGACTTTTCCTCAAGCTGCTATGAGGCCTGTCTTAGGAGCTCCTGCGCCATCTTCAGCACTCTTAAAGTTCTTGAAATCCCAATCTGATGCCGCCTGCTTCTACAACCCCTTTTCACAAACTGGATTGACCGACCACGACATTCCTCCGACCAAGTCGCATTCATATCTCAGTCGACCACACGAACCACCAAGAACTACGTCGAGAAAGCCCTATGATAATGGATCATTGCCTTCTGCTTCTAGACATACGAAAGAGCCCCTTCGCGTCAGAACATGCCTTGTGAACCAAAGTGCACGATTACAATGTCAACCTTTGTCGATTGGCAGATCTCCGTATACTCGATTAGCACCGAATAGCCAGCGGAATGCCTCATCGTGGTCAAGACCATGGCGGTGGATGGCTAGATCGAAACACCATGCAAGGCGTGGCGAAGGGGGAAAGCTAAGACCAGACGACGTTCCCCGAGGACGAGAGGAAAGCATGGAAACTTCAGTATTTAGCTTGGGAAGGGTTGTCTCTGCGAAGGCTGCAGCGCAACCCAAAGTTCGATGCACGGAATTGGACGAGTTTGGCAATGTCACGCTTGCCAGTGGGGAGTTTAAGAAGAGTGAGCTGATAGCAAAGGTACGCATATTCTACATATAATCAATGCAGGTACATACTAATCCGCTCTTTGGTAATAGTACGGACTCCTTCCTCGTGATCTCCGCAAGATTGATTCCAGTCTCCTTCCACACATCCTCGTCCGCCCTTCTGCCATCCTCATAAACCTCCTCCATCTTCGAGTGTTGATAAAGCATAATCGTGTGCTAGTCTTTGATGCATACGGCACCACAGATTCCTACAACCAATCTGCTTTTATATATGACCTTGAAGATAAACTGCGACAAAAGCAAACTGCTATCTCTGCTGGAGGGCTGCCCTATGAATTCCGAGCTTTGGAAGCTGTCCTGGTATCTGTTATTACCAGTCTAGAAACCGAGTTTGAAGGTGTTCGGGAGCCAGTTGTGAGGGTACTTCGGGAATTGGAAGAAGACATTGACCGGGACAAGTTGAGAAATCTACTTATCTACTCGAAGAAATTGGGTACATTTGAGCAGAAAGCCAAGCTCGTCCGAGATTCTATAGATGAGTTGTTGGAGGCCGATGATGATTTAGCGGCCATGTATCTGACAGAGAAATCTCATGATTTGGTTCGTGGAGAAGATGATCACACAGAAGTGGAAATGTTGCTTGAGTCGTATCACAAACTTTGTGACGAGATCGTGCAAGAGTCAGGAAATTTGGTGTCTAATATCCGAAACACCGAAGAAATGTAAGGACCTAATCTCATTCCAGAGAACTACACTGACAGTTTTTAGCGTCAAAGCTATCCTGGATTCAAACCGCAACTCTCTCATGCTGTTGGATCTCAAATTCTCCATCGGGACGCTGGGTATTGGCTCGGGAGCATTCATTGCTGCATTATACGGTATGAATTTGAAAAACTTTATTGAAGAGTCGGATGTTGGGTTCATAGGCGTTACTGGTTGGTGCATTGTATTTGCTGGAATAGTCTGTGGCTATGGCCTTACCAAACTCCGCAAGGTTCAGCGCGTAACTATGTTCAACGAATCCGGAGCGAAAGGCCGAGACTGGATAAACGACGACACTGGTTTACATCTTGGTAGACGAGAGCGCGAGATGAGACATAGAAGGTTGAAGGAGGAGAGATTTGGTGCATTAGAGGAGAGAAGAGTAAACCTGCTCCAGCAGAGACAAGATGCTGCTATTGCAGCTTCTGCCGCATTGGGTAAGAGGGACGTCTAATCGTGTACGAGTAAATTTGAGCAAATCACAGGAGATTTATGGGTTGCTGGGTAGCGGCGTTCAATATGGACTGTACAAGCATAGGGATAGGCGTTTCGGTGGTTGTTGTAGAGTCTCGAGTATCTAATATCTACACCCTTCTCTCTACAGACCCATCGATCTGAAATGAAAGCTAATTAAGACCAGGCAGTACTTCTGGATACTTGTTGGTAATTGCACTTACTGCCTATTTTCCAAATTGTGTCCCATCGAAGCGTGTATGTTCTGCCCTGACTGGAGAGTAAGGGTTTCACAGACCGCCGCAGGAAGCGTGACATGTTTTCATGCTTATAGCTTACTTCTCGGTAGGTAATGAAACAAAAGGCAAGGAAAAGAATAAACTCCAAGGCAGTTGCGACGAACCAAAATCTGAGATGTTTGTTGATATATCGAGCCTCGCTTAACTCACTTCCAACGCGTATTACGATCTATAAACAAAACAGCCAGTCCAACTCACCAGCACCACCCACTCACCGCCCAAATTCAGATCTGTCACTTAAAGGTGAATACCTAGTGCAGTCAGTCAGTCGACAGGACTTTTGTTGCATGTCGTACCTCGAATGTCGTTGAAATAAACTTTCTTCGACCCACTGAAATGCCGCCAAGACACGCTAATATTGAAGGTTTAGCGTCATTTCATGAGTTCGATGTGCAACAAAAGGCAAATCTGATATCAAAGTCTAGAGGCTCATATATTGGTGCGTTTTTGGGTGCTGAAAGAAGAGATCGAACTTTGGGTGGGCGGTGATTGAGTTCGCAGGTATGGGATGTTCCTTGGTGGGAATGATTTAGTTTTTGAAATAATGTGATTGAGTACTTGCAGGCTACTTCTGAATATTTTGATAGTTGGAGTAGTTCTGTAAGAAATACAGGCTCGTGAGACGAATTCTGATATATTGCCTATAGAGCAGTCTCGGTTTCCTGTCAATTTGAAGTTCCACCCCCATTGACATTGTAAACCACTCTGGAAAGTATTGTATTACTACTGTGTAGACCTTATACTGCCTTTTGACAGAACAGTACCTTCTTACATACGTGCTTTTTGCTTTGTGGAAGATTTATACTAGCTCGTCGTCGTATCGGAGCTACCGGGCCGGTGGGGCTATTCGCAGAGGACAGCGCTAGCAGGGGTTGTGCTTTCCCCAGACAACAATTTCTTGAACTCTTCAATCTGAGGTCGCATCTGTAATTCATTGACAAACTTCTCTTCTTGTATATCTTGAACGGCTTTGTGCTATGTTTAATGGCCGAGTTTCAATTTTCGAGCCATAGTCACAATTCTTGAAAGTTGATCAATTTCAGTGGCGTGGGCGTTTGCATAGCGCAATGGCGGAACCAGAGTTTCCAGTACAAGCAGATGGGTTTCTTCAGGGCTGGGAGCTGAGCGAGGTGTAAGTAGCTCCAACCGCATGAAAATCTTTGGACCTAACTGATGTGGACTATAGTCAACAGCTGTTATGGGGTGCAGCAATAGGCGCATCCATTACGGTGGTGGTAGTCATCTACCTCGTCTACAGAATGATGGATTACCTTTACCGAGAACCTATAATCAAATACACAATTGATCTCCCAAAGATTTCGGAGGACTCAAAATTTCTGGAGAAGGCAAATATCAAAACATCTGGAACCACGGCTATTCAGTGCTATGCGCCTGCTACTGGAGAGTTTCTCGGTTTTGTGAACCCTGCAACGCCTGAGGGTATCGACCGAGCGATTGAAAAGTCGCAGATCGCGCAGAAGAAATGGGAGCGCACGACATTCATGCAGAGGAGACAAGTTCTGAGGTGTATACAGGCTTTCATAATGGACAACCAGGAAGAGATCTGCAAAGTCGCGTGTAGGGACTCTGGCAAAACTTTGATCGATGCTACACTGGGGGAAATTTTGACAACAGTCGAGAAACTGCGATGGACCATTCTTCATGGAGAAAAGGCTCTCAGCCCTTCGAGAAGACCCACAAATCTTCTGATGGCGCACAAGAAAAATACTGTCAAATACGAGCCTTTAGGCGTTGTGGCGGCATTGGTATCCTGGAACTACCCGGCTCATAATCTCATGGGTCCTATGATTTCGGCCATATTTTCTGGAAACGGTATTATCGTCAAGGCCTCGGAGCTCACAGCCTGGAGTGCTAGTTATTTCACCTTGATTGTAAAAGGCGCCCTCCACGTTTGCGGACATGATCCCAATCTTGTTCAGACTGTCATAACATGGCCTCAGACTGCGAACCACCTAACCTCGCATCCTTCTATCTCGCATGTAACATTCATTGGAAGTCGACCGGTGGCGAAGCTCGTTGCTGCGGCCGCTGCAAAATCTTTGACACCTGTGGTCGCGGAGTTGGGCGGGAAAGATGCGGCCATCATCCTTGACTCGGCGGCAAAAGACCTCAAGCGCATTATTGAAATCCTGTTACGGGGTACATTCCAAGCTGCGGGACAGAATTGCATTGGTATTGAGAGAATTATTGCTTGCCCGAAAGTATACGACAAACTTGTTCTAGTTCTGGAGCCAAGAATACGAGGGCTTCGTGTTGGGTCTATTCTCGATGCAGAAAAGGGGGAGGAGATTGATGTTGGCGCGATGATTTCTGATGCATCTTTCGACCGTCTTGAGAGTTTAATTCAATCAGCCGTCAAAGATGGAGCACGTTTACTCGTCGGTGGAAAGCGGTATAAGCATCCCGTTCATCGTTACGGATTTTATTTTCAGCCAACCCTCCTCGCCGACGTCACCAAAGATATGGAAATTGCAAAGGAAGAATGCTTTGGGCCAATCTGTATACTCATGCGTGCTTCGAAAGCGGAGGAGGCATGCGAGATAGCAAACGCCCCGCATTTTGGTCTCGGTGCGTCTGTCTTTGGCGAATACAGCTTTGAGATTCCTGCACTTTTGCGAAATCTCAAGACGGGAATGGTAGCTGTCAATGATTTTGGAGCATTCTATGCCGTACAATTGCCCTTTGGTGGTACTGGTGGCAGCGGTTATGGCAGGTTTGCCGGCGAAGAGGGCTTGAGAGGTTTATGTAATATCAAGGCTATCTGTGAAGATAGATTGAGCTGGGCTGGCATCAAAACTGCAATCCCGGCTCAGATCCAGTACCCAATACCGGATACTTCAAAGGGGTTTCGCTTCATGCAAGCGGTAATGGAGCTTGGTTATGGCATGGGCGTCATCGGCCGTTTTCAGGGTCTCAAGAACATCCTCAAAAATCTGTGAGCGTTTAAATACGCTTGGAAATAGTTCGAAGGCTTTTATTTGGAGCACCTTCTAAATATACCCTTAATGTATGCAAATATTTACGACAAACAAAGAGATTGCGAAGCCTCGCCGCAGATCATCCATGATATGTAAGGGCAATTGAAAAAGAACAAGACTCTAGGTACGTGCAAAGCTGAATATCCCGCTGCGTTTCTGATGCCTTCTCTTGTCCGCATTTGCTTGGTGGCTGCTTATTTTGAAGTAGCAACAACTTGAGTATAATTTATTTGTCGTCGATTCTAAACTACAGTCCTACACGTCTTGTGATGGGAAACTTGGGAGCCTCTAGATGGTATGAGAATGTGCCATAGCTTTCTTGTTGTCTTGCTTTCTTTTGGTGTCGAAATAAATCGAGAGCGGAGTATTGGCAGGAAGGCAAACTCGTCAGAGTTTCCTCAGTTCCGCTTGCCTCGAATTTCTTCTTTTGCCAAAATTTTCTATCAATTAAGGGTCAGGGCCAAGTGCTGCCGTTTCCAGAATTCGTGTACTGCTGTTGTCCAATATACGCCTGTTGATAGGCATACGTGCTGCTATTGGCGTACTCATATCTATGGGTGGCGTAGTTTCTTCCACTGTCTTCAACCTTCACGTTATCTTTATAGTCGTACTGTTCATCTTCATATTGCCCCTCACCCGTCCAGTCACTCAATCCTTCCATGTCACGACTGCGTGAATGTGAAGTCATGGAGTTTGGATTTGTTGATGGGCCAGAAATACTCATGCTCGATGTGTTGTTCGAGGTTGACAGAGTATTGCCTGTAACATCGTTGTACACGACTTCATCGAAGAATGAAGGATGGTTTTGATTCCAAGCTACTTCCGAGCTGGAGCTTCCAGAAGCTGAATACATTTGTTGTTGCTGAATATACGGAGTTTCGTCGATGAAAGCATTCTCCCGAGACATAAGATTGTATTGGGAGTTAATGCCATAATGTCTTGTGTCAAATGATGTCGGTGTAGCACGAGGCTCATCAGCCACGAGAAGTGGTATCGTCGGGTTTTCCGGTTCTGTGTACCAGTCAGCAAGTACATTATACATGCATCATGTGTGCAAATTCTTACTCGCGAAGCTGTGCATCCTCTTGGTGTGCTCTTTCATTTTATCCATCCTGCCAGAAGAATAATTACAGCCCTCATAAGGGCACCCTTTTTTAGAGCCATGTATTGACTAACATTGTTATCAATGATGGAACAGGTTTCCACTACCCAGTTAGTCTCACCTGTTTGTGTCTGACGAGGTTGAAATGACACCGAAAAGTCGACTCGCATCCCACATGGTCACAGTTGTACTGAACTTGTTGCGTAGTGGCCTTTTTCCGGTGGTCGGCTCCGACATCACTGCTGGCGTATTTCCAGTTGGAGTCCATTTCGATGTGTTGATGCCTCAAGTGTAACAAAGTATTTCTAAAGCTTTTCTTTGACCAATGAAACTTGCTGTCCAAATTAAGAATGGGGAGGAAAATAAGAAAGAAAATGGAAGACCCGACAGTTCGGGCCTCTACATAAACTTTCACAAACAAGTATGACAAGGCACATCTTATATCGGGGAGCCTATTCTAGCATCCATGATATGTATAAGCGCCAGTATCTAAGAGTCTAACGCGGCCAGGTAAAGGTACAAGCTTGCTTGTTGGATGATACTATACGACTACGGTACGAGCAGGTGTGCCACGCTTCCATATGAAACAAACCAACAGTGCAATCTCAGATAAAAAAACCAACATATATTGAAGCCTATGCACGACATTTTGCTCCAGCTCTTCTACTTTTAAGTCGCTCGGGCCAATCACCGAGCATGACACCAGATTCTGCTTCGCGGTTATAAGGCGGAACGGGCTCCGATGTTACGTGTAATGTTACTCCCAACAAAGCTGTGATAATTTCAAGTGTTAGTGGTAGGATGGAAGTAATTGCTCAACCACTCGCTTAAGTGTCATGTTGGTTCATGGGTCGAAGAAGCATATTTGTCGAATGAATGAGTACTGCCGAAATAGGATTTTACATGGCTGAGTTGCATCGCTTATGTCTAGGAATTTGACCAACATTGCGTACGTGTTGCCTGTCTGTTATTCCAATCTCGATAGTCGTAGTTTCGAGAGGATGTGGCATAGCTAATATTTTCTGTTGTTAGTTTCGGCAGCACCCTTGCGCATGAAAACGTGCTGAGGCGTGTTGGTTACACAGTTGTCGGCCGTTGCTGAATCGAATCAGCCTTACTATAGGTGCAGCTACGGCAAGTATCCCAGGGAACCACGATGTCGTATGCGGCGAGTGTGATCTGTGCGTTGCTAAAGACGACATTTGCATCTTGAGTGGCAGATTTCACACGTTTCCGGCTCGTTTGTGACATCTCCCGGGCAATAAATTCGTGCGATATGGGCAATCGGAATCCTTCCGTTGACGACAAAGCCAATACGGTGCAGAAAGCTTCTCTCAATGTGTGACATAAGTCGTTTCTCGAATGGATATGGCCTCGGCGAATTATGCTGTGCGGCACTGGTTTCAACGGAATTGTTTTGCTGCACCTCGCGCGATCAATCGAGACTTTGAAGATCCCACCGTCAGCTATTCAGCTTGGAATTCAGAGTTTGCTGAGCAATCTTGTTTCGAAACCAACCGTCATCAATAGAATCTGTTGGTCCTCGCCGTAATAGATTCGTTGGCGATTCTGACTTCAAGGAATCAAGTTTACGAGCATGTACGTAACATTATGCGCTTCAATGGACGGTCGGCTTAATCAACGGCATTCCAACACGCGGCTACGCCTCATTGTGAAAGTTGAACTGTAGATGGACAATGATCACTGGCCTACGCATTGAAAGCTACTAAAATCCATGTTCGAATATCGACAAACTCTCTTATGTTGATAAGTAAGGATATTCTAAGACAAGCGGATGAAGTTAATATGCCATGAGTAACTTCTACGTGCCGAAATGGTATCCCACTACACTGCAATATTATCAAGATATTCCAGCATTGCTTCCATTGTCTTTGATCATTATGGTTCTAATCTATGCGTGTCTGAAATATCAACGTCTGGTGACCTTGCTATTTAGGTGCTCGATTTCTCACCCTCTTTGCCAGTGGGCTTTTGTCAAGCTTTCGCATGCGTTTAGGCTTTGGGGGCTCTAAGGTTGCCTCAAAATCATTACCCTCTGTTTCTTCATTCCCTTCTTGCTTCAACCCATTGAGCTCTTCAATGTCATCCGCCGAGTCTTCCTCCTCAAGTTCTTTCATTTGCTTTTTGGCTTCGCTGGCGCTTGGCCTGTAGCCAGGCTGTTTCTTTGGCTCTTTGCGAGTTAATAAATGTTCGATTGGGCAGACGACTGCATCCCACGCTGTGGTGCCGACACTCGTATTCGCTTTGCAGTGGTAACACTTCTTTCCATGTCGAATGAACAGCACATGTAATGCATGTTTTAGGTGATCCGGAACGTGAAGATCTATGTGAAAGAACGTCTTATCTGGATGATCTTTTGGCTGATCAGGTCCCGTGGGAACCCATCCGAGCCATTTACACATTCTGTGGACATGAGTGTCTACGGCGAAGGCTGGACGCCTTAAATTGAAAAGTATCGCACACGAGACTGTTTTGAAACTAATTCCCGGGAATTTGATTAGTGTTTCCATGACGTCCGCTGTTTCCAATTCTCGCACCCACTCAAGGGAGAATGGGTCTTCAGAAATAAGGGCAATCTCCGCAGCCTTTTGTTCCGAAGAGAGAGTAGATACCCCAGGGATATCGGCTTCGACACCCGTTTTCTGTTCCGCGAGAAGTGCATCACGTCTCTGAATATTCTGATCAAAAACTTTCTGTAGCGTTTTCTTGATATATCCTGCTTTCACATTTTGAAGCCCACCACATGCAAGTGCATCGGCGAGTTTACTCTGTGTCGCTTCATGTACCGCAGCCCAGTCAATAGTTACATTCTTCCCCTCTGGGACGGGGAAAGTATTCTCCAAAGAAGTGACAGCGGCATTTGAGTTCGTATTAGAGGTGTTGGCACTGAGAAGCGTTCTCAGTAGTGCATCAAGGAGTAGCTCAACATCGCCACAAGTAGCGCGTCCTCTCACAGGAGCCATGTGTCCAGTCCTTGGCTTGACGCGGCCATGGGCTTCGGCGAGTAGCCGATGAACTTCTTCACATTCTTGTGGTGTTGGACGGTGGTAATCCGGGTAAGGCGAGAAACCATAACCTGTGTTTCTCTTGCGTTTTCGCTTGCCCTCTAGAGTTGCTGGTAGTTCCACCTCCGCCGTGTTATGTGATAAAACATCTGAACCGGTTTCAGGAGGAGTGTTCTCCTTTTTGGGCGTTTGTCTTTTCACTTCCTTCGGTTGGTCCGAACTAGAGCTGATTTCAGTTTTCAAAGCGTGTTTTACACTACGCTTTGGTTTCTTCTCCGTTTCTGTTGTTGAATTTGGCTTTGCTTCAAAGTCATTTTGGTGAGTCTGAACACGACTGCTGCGTCGCCGCGGAGGAGCAAGTGTGATCTCTTTGGTCTGATCTTTGCTGGAAACTATTCCGGTCGTACTTTTCGGCTTTGAGCCTCTAGGAGCCATAGTAAAAGAAGCCCACCGGCAAATCGCGAGTAAGTCTACTGACTTCGACAATAACCTGTGCGGCTGGAGCCCGCTAATCAGATACTTGCAGAACCGCGGACGTTGTATGATTGATTGCATCCACGTTCGAAGGCCGTATTGAGCACAACAAAGTCCAGTCAATCTAACTCAGCTCTTGTGGTTAGGTGTTTGATATCTAAGTAGAGAGCTGGCGAATCATTAGTCGAATTCTTCCAAGGAGGTGATTCTAAGATAATGTTACCGATCACAATTGCGAGATAAGCTTCTGGGAATAGTCGAAGATGCCCGTATGCTATATCTTTTGAAGAACAGCAGTTGTTAACTTATGTTGACATTACAGAATATGAGGATGGTTGATGCCGTTTTAAATGTTGTTGGAATGGAAGCCAAACAAATCTATGACGGCCTGTTGGCCCAAGCGCTAAACCTCCTAAAACCTGGCCTGGACTAGGTGGCGTCTGTTATTAAATGAAACACACGAAACAATATTTGATAATCAAGCAGGTCGACACGCAATTCGATGGCATAGAATCCCGTTACACGGTACAGCTTAGTGTTGCATGACGCTTGAATGTGCCGCCACCCGCTGGCTTTCATCGAAATGCTAAGGCGGCCAGTCAGACAAGGGAGGAGAAGGATAGACTGCTGAAATGAAAACAGTTTTAGTGATTGGACTCTCTATAAACAACCTATCCCAAGATCACGATATCTACGGTGTACTTTAGTTATAACCAAGATGACAACTATAGACATCTAGCCAACGCCTGCATGTTTTGCACAGACCACCACCCAATTTACGCCATATCCAGTCATCAATATACAACCCAATCACCTTCATCCGTTTCGTGGTTCATTGGCAAAGTTGTGCATGCTGTAGATACGTTAACTCCCATTCACATTCCTAGCGTGGTAGTCTTACCTGATATCTTCACGATCCCTCACAGGAGGCGTGTTTGAGTTATCTCTCTCTCTTTTGCGTCTGGCATGACCGTGAATGTCATCTTTGAATGAATTGCCATTGGTTCCATTCGCAAGGTCAGGAATCACTTGGCCATTTTTTGCGACTGCCGCGCCCTTTGTGATCAGCTCAAGCTCCGTCTCTCCAGCTTGTCCAGTCATGAGCATCTCCTTAGCTCCTTGCAACACCTTGAGCTTTTTACTCTCGCCACGAATCCGCTCGAGATGCTCGAAGTATTCCTCCGTCACTGGGGTCGCATATTTTCCACAGAATACACCGACTTCGAACTCCTGTGTAGGACCCCTAGGTGAGAGCTCTGCACACGCGGCCTTTAGGTCGTCAAGTGACTGGTAGATTACTTCCTCGGCGCCAATGTGTCTAGCAATGTCTCGACGATCTCTGTTATGTGCAACAAGTTCGTTTGGTGACGCAAGATCGATACCATAGATATGTGCATGTGTGATAGGTGGAGAGCTCGAGGCAAAGATAATCTTCTTAGCTCCAGCTTCTCTTGCCATACTAACAATCTCTCTGCTTGTTGTGCCTCTCACGATACTATCGTCAACAAGTAGAACTGTACGTCCAGCGAATTCCGAGGGTATAGCGCTTAGCTTCCGTCGAACTGACTTTTGTCGGGCACCTTGACCTGGCATAATGAACGTTCGGAAAACATAACGATTTTTGACGAAACCTTGGCAGTATGGAATTTTTAATCGCTCAGAGAGACTAGCGGCTGAGGTATTAGAAGTTTCGGGGATCGGGATAACAACATCAATTTCGTCGATCGCTGCCTGGCCGAGAGTTTGTTTGACAGTTTCCGCTAACTTGTAACCCATATTCATACGGCTAGCCTGGACGCTGATTCCATCGATTATTGTATCAGGACGTGCAAAGTACACGTATTCGAAAATATCAGGAGAGTATGCAAGTTGTTTGTGAACTTGGTGAAAGATTGGACTTCCTCCTTTGCGAAGAATGACTGCCTGCCCAGGTAAGATGTCCTTGATGTCCGAGAAACCAAGCTGACGGAGAGCAACCGACTCAGAGGCCATCATGTAGTCAATAGCTCCATGGACTGTACCGGATGGGCGAGAACCAAGAACAAGTGGCCGGATTCCGTAAGGATCACGAAAGCCAAGTACACCATAACCAGCCAGCATTGCCACACAAGCCCATCCACCAACGCACTTTTCGTACATGCCAGTCAAAGCCTTGAAGAGATCAACGTCATTGACACGAGCCTTGCCAGTTACGTTGAGCTCAGCAGCGAAAATGTTAAGCATGACTTCACTATCGCTGTCGGTGTTAATGTGCCGATGAGCCTCCTTATCCAAATACTCTCTCAGTGATTCAGCGTTGATCAAGTTTCCATTGTGTGCAAAAGTGATACCGTAAGGACTATTGACGTAGAAAGGCTGGGCCTCAGCACTTGCGCTGCTACCGGCAGTTGGGTATCTCAAATGGCCTAGGCCCATGAAACCAGGAAGGTCCTGAACTCGAGATCCATCCGAGAAAACCTTCGATGCCATGCCATTACCCTTACATTGGTATATTCTTCCCCCAGAAGCACAGGTCGCGATACCGCAGGCATCTTGTCCTCGGTGCTGGAGGTAGTAGAGCGCATCGTGCAGGTCTGCTGCCGCGGTCGTTGAGGTCGGGTCGTCGATATCGCCGAGAATTAAGCCTAGAATTCCACACATATCTGGGGATTTGTATTATGCCTACAACAAAGTGCTCCGTTAGCTAGGTAAAGAACGCTTATCAGAGAAAACGGTTGAGGGGCGTGGTTCAGTTGAATTGGTGTCCGCAAAATGTGCTAGGAAGTCTAACATCTTGAATATTTTCGATCATCATAACCGGGTAAAATCAGAAGATTTTGAAATGTAATTGGAGAAGTGGAAGGTGATGGCATACCTGATATAAAGCTGCGAAAAGCGGAGGTTGTTTAAGTTTCTAATGGGTGAGAACAGGTGATCTCGCTGTTGGTATGTTTTCAGCCTGGATAATACTCTCTTGGGATCAAACTCGACCTCGGTCGAGAGTCGCAACGTAACAGAACCTTGGGGGTAGTCAACGGATCTGGAGACATTTTTTAAGTTAGGAAGGGCATCCCACCTGGAAAAAAAGCGAAGATTTATCGCCAACGGTCGGTTTAACTCCGGCAATCATTTGCCCCACCTCCGCCGATTACGTCGCAATTATTTCGGTGGTGGGGTACACGTGAGCGTGTGCCTGGTTTTCAGTCGTACCAGTACCTCCATAGATTATTACCTAGGTATTCATGGAATCCGGCACGGCTTTGATCATTAATTCAGGGCAACAACAATTCAGAGGCAAATAGTCTAGAAGGTGTTCATTCGAATGTCTTCTCCGCATCGGTCTGGTCTGTTTATACCACATTGGTGCATCCTCGCACCTCATGGTACGCGCCTGTTGCTCTTTCAGCTCAGGAAGCCATCGTGAGAATGACTTATGGAACAGGAGAAATGTTCATTGCATTTATTACTGCAAGACGGTTTGAGTTAAAACTGGTTTCTTTGCGGCTAAACGTTTATTGTCGTTCAGGAGCTTATCACATGTTTTATAGATATGTTTGCTACTTTATCACTTTCTGCATATTTCCACCTAGGAACGACATAATTTGAAATCTTTTTCCAAACTGCTTCCACTTGACTACAACAAATATACTAGCGTGCGACTTTCCACGCAACAGAGGGCTAGCTAACTCTGAAATCCTTTCATTGAGTGATAGGATTACGGTCGCTAGCCTCCAAAGCTTCTTTCTGCTCCTGCTTCTTCAAACAAACGTCGCTTTCAACCTTCACGCTTGACGTAGGCAAATGTAAACCACAACACAGCAAATTCCCTATCAAGACAAAGAAGCTTGCTCACCAGATTTCTTCATAGAAAATACGTGATACACGGCATCCTGGCACATGGCATTGCAGGTAAGTTCCAATCCCTGATTGTGATCAATAAGTAGATGATACCAGGTACCAAGAACATGTTCTTGCCATGCTTGTGATTCGACTTGAACTTTTTCAAAGGAGAGCGTTTGCAAGCTCACCTTCATAGCTTCTTTTCTAAAGATCTAGAGCCTTAGCGCGCTTGCATGGTCATATAGACATCCGACCCTGTACTTGCTTCTCTACCCATTCCTTCTCACTACCATTTCATCCTCGAAACCGATCAGGCTTTGGCTTAGCAAAACTTCGCTGGCGAAAGGTACATCTGAATGTTATTGTTTTGTTATAGCACACCATTGCTGACTGTCAACAGATCTTCATCTAATCTTCAGCACAAACCTCTGATGTCTAGGTTCTCGGTTCTCATAACATCACGCGTCTCTTCTGTGTCTTGAGGCCTAGACATATTCTCGATAGCAAAATTACAGCGCCACTGTATTAGATCGCCTCGTATCGCTCTACAAGCCACAGCTCGGAGGGTTCCAATCGCCAGATTATCGAGATCAGAATCTCGAGTTTCACAATCAGTCAGTTCAGTGCCAAAGATATTCATAGGTAAGTCTCACCATTGGCGTGGACATTGACAACTTCTTCTTTTCAAAAGAATGCTTCCTACACAATCACTTCCTGATCCTCACAAGCCAGCAACTAACAACAACACAGATCTAACGGAAATCATGACCGATGTTCAATGGTCAGAAGCTCACCGTAATCCGCCGATTGTGGAACCTTTTTTAGCGATTGCAAACGCTACGATGGACGGTAGGAAATTGTGCCACGGAAGGACAGTTGAACTAGGTAGCGGGCAGTTTGCAGGTGACTTCTTGCGTATCACCCAGATCATACGGGACACGTCAACAACCGAAATCTTCCTTCGAGGCCTGCGTTTTCGCAGAACCAGATGTCTCGAACACATGCTGATCAAGAGGCTCAACGAGGTCTGTCTTCAGGTAGAAATTGATGCCGACGATCATCGGCCGGTCGAGGAGCAATCTGCTATTCAGGTTCCCCTCAGCGAGGTCAGTAAAACTCGCAGACTGATCATAACAAACCGAAATTTCCCATGGGGCCAGCAACATGAGAAAGTTATGTCCACAGAAGGTCTATCAACCCAGAAACGACAACAGAAGGTTGAAGAGACTGGAGCGTTGATTTGTCGATGGAGATTCTTTGTCATTTACGCTTCTGCAGCAGATCGCGCGAGAAACAAGATCAGTAGCCATATTCTTCAAAGGTTTACGAGTTCAGATGTCAAGATTCTCGAGGCGCGAATTGACGAAGATGATAACAGGAATGAGTGGAGAGGAGTTACGATCCTTGGAGGAGATTTTAAATTATTAACTCGAAAGCGGAAGAGCCCGGATCGAGAACAATCAACCCCACGGAAATCGTTAACTAATATAACTCGACTCCGACAGCTCTCTCTGTGTTCAGATCAATCACCTACTTCCGAAGCAGTCTCTAAGGGGTTACAAGGTAGAGGTTTCTTGTATAAATCGCCTACCAAATCTGCTGGACCAAGTGAGTCACCATCTCCTTCTCGAGATGCCAGAAGAATCCTGTTTCCAAAAACAAATAGACGAACATCTTCTATCTCTCGGGGCATCAACCCATTCTCGTCGGACTTGTCAAGCCCGCCAGCTTCCGGGCTCGTTCAAGCTGCCACTACCATCACAATGAGGGTCCCAAAGCTACCTGGACAACGTTATACATTTGGAGATGCCTTCTGTGGCTCGGGTGGGACGACACGTGGAGCTCAAATGGCTGGGTTGAAAGTGAAATGGGGGTTTGACTTTGATGCTACTGCGTGCGAAAGCTGGCGGGTCAATTTCCCTGAGGCTGAGTGTTTCCAAATGGAAGCCTTCGCCTTTATTAACAAAGCGAAGACTTCGGAGAGAAGTAAAAAGATAGCTCATGTAGATATTCTACATGCTAGTTGCCCATGTCAATTCTTTTCGCCTGCTCACACGAGGGAGGGACCCAACGACGAAATGAATACTGCTTCTTTGTTCGCTGTGTCCGAGCTGTTGATGGTCACCAGGCCAAGAATTGTCACTTTCGAGCAGACCTTTGGAATTCTGACTACTCCAGGTCGCCGGCAGTACTTCCTCGCATTGGTCCATATGCTAACAAAACTCAACTTTTCCGTCAGATGGAAAGTTGTTCATTTACAGACATGGGTACGTCTTGTGGCTTCTGATTAATAACACGAGACAAGCAGACTAATTTCATATTTAGGGTGTCCCAGCCCGTCGACAACGTTTAATAATGGTTTCCTCGTGCCCCGGCGAGATTCTCCCATCTATTCCTGACGCTACGCATACCGAGTTTCCGCCCCATGGAAGTTCTCTTAAGCCTTTTACCACGGCGAATCAAGCTTTGAATAGTATACCTCGATATGGGGTTTCAGACCACGATGTCAGAGGACTTCAATTTTCTCCCGGTCAATATCGAGAGCCATGGGACGGGAACAAGATTTTGACGCAGTGCATAACTACAGGTGGAAGTGGGAAATATAACTATCACCCTGATGGATTTCGCAATCTGACAGTGCGAGAGTATGCGGTTTTGCAAACATACCCCTTAGATCATGTTTTCTCTGGTCCGCGAACTCAGCAAATCAGGCAAATTGGAAACTCGGTGCCATGTGCTGCAGCTCATTTACTGTTTTCAAGCATCAGAAAAGAATTAGAAGAGGCAGATGGTGTGGTTGAGCTTCCTATAATCATCGATTCAAATGACGAAGATGATGCAATTATGGAGCCTCCTATAGTCATCGATTCAGATGACGAAGATGATGCACCTATTCAGCCTCCTATAGTCATCGATCCAGAAGACGAAGGCGATGTGACGACGACGGACAAAAACGACGACGCTGGCAGAAAACAAAAGAAGAAGCAGCAAACCAACAAGGAGGCATTTGCGGTAGATGACAGCGATATTATCGTCCTTGATGATTGAGTATGTGTATTCGATGAAAGAGGATTGGCTGACTGGATGTGACAATGGACAACTGGAACATGATAGGGTGCACGAATGATTTATGTTACGATTACTGATTAGGGGAAATAGCATCAGCAGATGAGGATGTTAGTCATGAGCTAGTTTGTTTTGTAACAATGCTGAGGCCATCTGCGTAGGATTTGGGTTTGGGTTGGAGATAATCATGAGGCACGGAGCATGTAGTGAAAGAAGAAACATATGTATTAAGATTTTCAATTGTACTACGAAACTACTACTGCACCGGTGTGTGCATTTGAACATATGCGCTTCAAGAACAAATTAAATTGGCGTCAACTGCAAATCTGGCAGGGCCGAAAAATGAGTGAATTTCAACCGGTATAATGAAGCAAATGGCAGAGGAAGAGAAAATATCTACACTAATTTAGGTCAGCGAGTGATATTTGATCTGTGTGCGAGCGAAAGAGGTAAGTTGATGACATGTCGTGCTCAGTGATCTTGGTAGAATAATCGTCAATACTCCGAAGAGTTCAGGATTTTCAGTGCTTTGTTGTAATCATAGACATAGGGCGTGGAGCTTGAAGATGATTGTGACTGGACTTACAAAAATATGAGAGAAAGCTCTAACAAAGACGATGTAAAAGTCAATTGGCAGAGCTTGGTCAAGCAGAAATCAAATAGAAAGCGATCCTGAGTTCTGGGGTGCAAGTCAGCTTTTAAAACCTCAAAACATGTTTCGAAATTTGGGTGGTACAAGAAAATGTTCAGAATATGTAAGAATTGAATGTCATCCACTCCCACGATATAGCGACCCTGGCGGGGGTGCCACCGAAGAGAGGTCAATCGCAAATTATATCATCATTTGGAGTATTTCGGTCCAGAGCGTGAGATTGTGATGGATAGAACTTACAATGCAGAGCACGATGCCACACTCCTAAAGATATGAATGAGATAGCCATCGATCCAGAACCATAATGGTAGATTCGAGGAGATGCTGGAGAGTTGTCGTCAATGTTGTTGGAAGATTTGAAGATCTGAGAAAAGTTCGAGAGGTGACAATTTCTGCGGCTAATGCATGGATGCCTGGTGGGTTTGCGTTCAATGCCTCATCACGGCTGTTCACGTGATGGACCCAACGGCATTCCGCACTCGCTAACGAAGGCACATTCGAATTTCTCGAAATCGACGCAGTGACAAATTTCCATCCAACGACAACAACCCTCGACAAACGCCCAGTACGTTCCTATACTATTTCCAACCGCCAGAACAGTCTCACTAACACAGGTGATTCAGAATCATACACAATGGGTGACGCAGAGATCAAGGCATCCTCATGGAGACTGGTGGAGGTCGGTCGCGTCTGTCTCATCCACGGCGGACCATCCGACGGAAAGCTTGCAACAATTGTTGAGATCATCGACCACAAGCGAGTATGTGGAACTTTGATTTGGATTGAAAGTCTCCAGCAAAGGTACTGACTTAATATAGGCACTCGTTGACGGCCCAGCAACCGACACCAAGATCGCAGTTCCCCGTCAATCAATCGCTCTCGCACAACTTATCCTCACACCACTGGTTCTCGAGAAACTACCTCGAGCTGCCCGAACTGGCGTTGTTGCGGCTGCATGGAAGAAGGCTGATATCGAGGCAAAGTGGCAGGAGAGTGCTTGGGCGAAGAAGCGCACACAAAAGGAGCGGAGACGAGCATTGACCGATTTCGAGCGATTCAAGGTTATGCGATTGAAGAAGCAGGCACGTTTCGAGGTCCGAAAGTCGTTGGCTAAGGTTAAGGCATCTGCGTAAACGACTAGGAGTGGATGATATTGAGGGCACGATTGCATTGGGTTGCGGATTCCTTTACTTCTCAGGAAGCTTTGTATCTCACGTCATTTTTGACCGGCGCAAAGAGCAGATGGACTTCAAAAGAATATTGAAGTACTTCCGGAATTGAATGCTACGATACATCTCAAAGCATGGCAGTCAATTTTCGCTTGGGAATTTGCTTGCAGTGTGAAACATTAATGAAAAAAAAATTGTGAAATCAAATACGTCGTAGTCAATTTGAATTTTAGTGAATGTAAACTATTGTGAACAATTCTCTACTGTTACTGAAGTGTACCTCGGAATATTGCTACTACATAGTTCGGTGACCTAAAATTCTTAGCGAACGCAGCCCTAACCTTCAAAAGTTCACCTCTACATCATCAACATCCAACGTTAACAACGCGACTCCCCCTCCAACCTTTTCAGGTCAGTACGACCCGTAATCGCCATCAATTCTATTATTCCTTGCCCGTTTCTCGTCCGAATTGTGTTGGCTACGCTTGTTGCGCACAACGAAATCTCAAAAAACCAATCCCTCGATAATTAATTTACTGACAACTATCTTTCTAGACATACCACCCAGCATGTCGAGCTCCCGTGTCGAAGAACTCCCAGATGAGGAGCCAACTAAGAACGTCACTGCAGAGGATGAGGGATCTGATAGCTCCGACTCCGAGGTAGAGGCTGGCGAGAGCGATATTCCATCTGGAGGAGCTATCGTGCACTCTCGCAATGAGAAGAAGGCACGCAAGTCGATTGCTAAACTGGGGCTCACTCGTGTTCCTGGAATCACTCGAGTTACATTGAGGAGACCAAAGAACGTAAGTCTCTACAAGGCGGCGCATTATGATGCGTTTACAATCTGGAGATCGAGGGTCTTATTCGCCAGGGCACTCTTTGACTGGCTTTCCATTTACCTCACACTTGATTTGCGACGTCTACTGACAAGACGAAATACAGATTCTGTTTGTCATCAACCAGCCAGAGGTTTGGAAGTCCCCAACCAGCAACACCTACATGTAAGTATATGCCCACCTTTTACTTCAAGTCATGGATTCTGACCAGCTCAATAGTGTCTTCGGTGAAGCGAAGATTGAGGATCTCAACTCCCAGGCTCAAGCTTCTGCCGCTCAACAAATCGCCGCCGAATCTCACGACCACGCCGGACATGACCACTCAGGCCATGACCACGACCACGACCATGGCAAGGGCAAGGCTATCGACACTGGCGATGACAAGAAGGACGATGACGAAGACGATGGGGAGGAAGTTGACGCTGAGGGCCTCGAGGATAAGGATATTGAATTGGTTATGACTCAAGCCAGTGTGTCGCGGAAGAAGGCTGTCAAGGCTCTGAAAGAGAACGATAACGACATAGTCAACTCCATCATGGCTCTAAGCATATAGGCATCGTAGGTGTATCTGAGCCGTGCATCAGATGGCAAGGGGTCGTTTCGATGCGCAGATGACGATTCTGGGTGCTCTTACGAGTTTATATAAAAGCCAACTTTGTACACCAAATATTGAAAAATTGAAAGTGCATTTGGATTCCCTACCTCGCATGAAATTGAATGTATCGGCTTGGTAGTTCAACATGATTTGGGAATAATTTTAACTTGCGACCCCCCTTCTTTCATCCAGTTGATGGAGTCTGCTTCGATATGTGTGACGTGTGTCGCTAGCTATTGGGATTTTGGTTCTGACCAAATGTGTCTATCTAAAAATGTACCATATCCAAGAATCTGTAAGAAGATTTTTGTTCTACTGAGCAGAAGGGAATCTCCTAATTGCAAAACCGCAAGACTGGGAAGGCTGTCCGGAGCGGCTCCGGTCACGTGTCGCGACACCCTGTCTCTTTCTGTTTAGCGCGATTTGAAGAAGCTCAGGATTTGACGTCGCAGAACAACACCAAATCTCCGCTCACCTCAATCCCACCAAATTCGTCACAATGGCAGTAGGAGTAAGTTTTCTATTTCCCAGTATTCCTAGACATTGTTCTCGTTCTGTGCAAGCGTGTACTTGAGTTGGCTGCGTATCTGTCGCATATCCACTGATGCCGAGGAGTTGACAACCTCTTCCACATGAAGCTGATGCCAGATGAATTATAGAGAAGCGCCGCCCTGAAGCTCGACTGGGCCAAAATTGGAACCTCCCTTGGCCTCCGTGGACAAACTGCCGCCTCCCTCCAATCATTCAAGAAGCGCAACGAAGATGCCCGACGCCGAGTCCAGCAACTTTCCGAGTTGCCATCGAAGGTCGACTTCTCACATTACAAGTCGGTGTTGAAGAACCAAGCCGTCGTTGACGAGATCGAGAAGCACTTTGCCAGTTTCAAACCTGCTACATACGATGTTGGAAGACAGATCAAGGCCATTGAGGCATTTGAGGCACAGGCTGTGAAGAATGCCGAGGAGACCAAGGGCCGTGTTGATTTGGAATTGAAGGATTTGGAGAAGACATTGAAGAACATCGAGGAAGCAAGACCGTTCGAGGAGCTCACTGTGGTATGTATCAATGGAATTACGCTTACCGATTGTTGGGCTAATCTATGGCATTTTAGGACGAAGTCGCAGCTGCAGAGCCACAAATCGACGAGAAGACCACCCAACTCATCTCCAAGGGACGATGGCAGGTACCAGGATACAAGGTATGTTTAATCCCAGGACGGGGCTTAATTTGGCACAATTATCTAACAAATTCACAGGAGAAATTCGGCGATCTCTCAATCTTGTAGACAATGGTGCTGCGTCTTTTCTTATGTCACCTGTACGAGTGTAAATAGCGGGCAGGGAGAAGCAGAATTGAATCGGGTTTCTTCTAATCTCTGTATATTCATTGTGGTTATTATGTTTCAATCCTCAAGTGACTATGGCTCCCATCTCGTCAAATTGTGCCAAAGCGCTCCACGGCAGTTTAGAACCCCACCAGCCATTTTATCCCTTCTATCATGTCGCTTTCGGCTTTCATCGCTCTCTCTAGGAATGGCGCCTTGAGCCAAAACGTGTGAGGGTATCCAACCACAACGTCCAGCTTGACTTCCACGCCCTGCAATCTCAAGGCTTCCGCATAACACACCCCATCAGAGTAGTAGACATCGTTAGTACAAACCTGTACCCAGTGTCTTGGTAGTCCGCTCAGATTTTCTACTTCCAATGGAAGCTTTTCTTTTGTACGATTATCTTTGTTGAGCGCAGGGGCTGCCAGCAAGGAGGTATGGTACTCTGGCGACATAGACTTATGGTACTCCTTGAACTTCGTTGGGATATTCGTGCCACCAGAAGTGGCATCACAGAGCACTGGTCCCCTAAGTAGTACCCCAATGATCCTCTTTCTGTCCTCTCCTATCACCACCTGCGATATCTGTGCAGCAAGTTGACCACCAGATGAACTTCCAGCCAGTATCAAACCTCCAGTGTGTAATGCGGTAACGTGTCGGAATCCCTCTAACGCGTCAGAGAGAGCATCGTCAGCTGTGAATTCCGGCATGAGGCGATAGTCGATGGAATAGACCGTACATGATTGGGCGAGACAAATTCGCCGACATGCCAGATCTTCGCTGTCAAGGTCGCCAACGTAAAGGCCTCCTCCATGGTAGTAGATCACTGTTGGTGTCGCAGTACCTTCTTGGGACTTTAACGAGGACGACGGAGTGTAGCTGCGTATTCCGATCTGATGATCCACTTTAGAGGAAGGTATGAAAGTGTCTTTGATGTCGATGCCGTTTTGTAAATGGGACTCTTGTCCACTGAGGAGAAGTTTATTCAAATCTTTACATCGTTGACTGTATCCTTGTTGACGCTGTTTTGGAGTGAGTGTGACTTGTGGTTGTGTAAGAAGGCCAGCTGCTGTTTCGTGGGCGAGCCATGCAGGATCCAGAGGAGGAGGATGGTCAAGAATTAAGTCTAGGTTTATTGACATGTTGTATTGCGAAAGTTCGGCCAATTCATGAATTTGTACTTGACTTTTACTTGGGAAGAGATAGTATTAAGTAGTGAGTATACAAGTGGAGTATATATTCAGATGCAGCACTCAGCATTTAAGCGAACTGCCTTTCTGCGCCAAGTAAGTTTCGAAGCACTCCAACTTCAACAACACTTCTTTCATTCGCAAGACTATACCGTGATTATCTGATGTCGGCTCTTTTTTTCCATGTAGCCGAACGTGTTTAATCACTGTATGTACTTGGTGGGTGACAAATAGATTCTAGAAACCTAAGCAGAGAAAAAGCCTCTGGAGAAATCTAGGGTTGGGTCTTTAAGAAAAGCGACATCCTGCAATGAATCATGTATGTGGTCTGTCAGGAATGTCATGGTGAACAATTTATCCGCTTCATTCCTCATAATACTGGCTAATTTGAAACGGAGCCATGAATGACGATGTAACTTACTTTTCCACGGGTCAGAAGAGCACCTGGCATAGCTCGAAGGTATACTTATAAAGAACATGAGTCTACTAAGTAATCTATGACTACGGGTCAGCCCAGCTTATAAGCTCCACAGTACTCACAAAACCTGCAAGGAATACTGGACTGAGAATATTAAGTCAAGTAACACATCACCAAATCATGACTGAAAATATGGGTGAAGGAATTGAATGTTTGAACAGATGAATTCTAATTCATACATAAGAAGTTGAGTAACATGTCTGTCTAAGTGATACAAAAGAAAAATGACAGAGGAAAGTCGCCAATGACGACCCCTCGTACATGAGAAGAGTAACATATCTAAAGAAGACAAAAGAAATTTGAAAGAAAGAGAGCCATCAGTGACGGCCTGGTCAAAAGAAAGAATGTGTCGCCATCTTGCGCATCCAAAACCCAAAAACGCCTCGCTAACCAGCAACCAAGGTATCATTGTCCCAATCCGCCCACGGATCCCATAAACTCTATCCAGTTCCATGTAAAACGCCGCAATAGTCAAAAACCCAAATCCGCCCAGCCATAACCAGTGTGCAAGTCATTAATCGTAAAGTAGCTTTCAAAGCTGTCGTAAAAAAAAGTTGAAGTAAAATGTTCTCGCTCCTCTAGAGCATATCGAATCGAAAGTAGTTTAAAAAGTTGTCAGTCTAAGCGACGAAAGATACTGATCGTCTGCCAACAAATGCTTGTGGAAGTTGCTTGGCATCGAAATCAGCATCTGAGACGCAGAATTCCATTGTGAAGTCGTTTGTGTGAGCAGGGCAAGACTGGAGACTGTTAGTAAGTGATGGCTAAGACAAGCAGGAAATTAGACATACATGAGTTGCCTTCTGGTCAGGAAACTGATAGGCGTCCTTGCACATCTCGTTCTTCTTGCACTTAACTGGAATGCAAGTCTTTGAATCTCCTACATCTCCATCCGTCCAGGCCATGACATTCTCACTGAAAAACGGACTTCCAGCGCGGGCCCTTCCATCTCCATCGATGTCGCTGACATCCCACCAGAACTTATCTGGATCCTGGTTATACTCGAACTGAGTTACCTTGGGTGTGATCCAATCGTTGTCTTTAGATATCTTGACAGATGTTGCACCTTTAGGATGGATTTCAAGACTGGTCGAGCTGCCTCCCTGAACTGTCCATGGCTCAGTCATTGTGGCCTGGGCGGGGCAAGGGCCTTTATTAGGACCCATATCGCACGCAAAGCCTGGTTGCTGGTTGATGATGGCGTTGCTCTCCTTCACATAAACGGGATAAGAACAACTTTGGCGGTGTTAGCTGAATACCGTTGCGTAAATAGTCGTATAGAAATTAATATGCATACCTATTCTTGATTGTAATGCGAGCGTTAGCAACTGAAGCCGAAGCGACAAGTAAAGCCAAAGCTTGTGCTGTGTAAGAACGCATATTGATCAACAATATGTGTAATTAATATATTGTGTTACTAGGATGAGAGAGGTAATTAAGAAATATAGAAGTAAGTAATGATGACTGTCAAAGCCAGAGATAGGGCAACAAAGAATGACTGTCAAAGTCAGGTATAGTGTAAAATTAAAGACTGTAAAAAGAAGATTAGATGACCGAGGAGAAAGATATTAGAATGAGTCGATTAGATAAGTAGCTGATGAGTATGAATAAGAAGTTTCACCACTGGGTGACACTCATACCTTTATACTTCGTAACGTTGGCTGAAACTGCGGCAATGGAAGGAATATTCTGACGCATGGCCAAAAGCAACTAAAAGTTATGAAACTCTTACTCATAATGTTGCTTTAGTGCACGCGGAGCATCCTCCATCGCTCAGAATTCTCGCATTTGGGGTATTCATCGAAGCTGTTCAGTGACTAGATAGAACTCCATAATATCGCGTATTTGCGTCAGAAGTTGGGTCTGATCAGAGGCCTCGATCATTTGTGCAAAGCGACTCCTATATGTCGTCAGGGCCCGCCTCAGGATGGAGGGCGGTGGGCCTTGGGGTGCTGGTGTTGTTGGAGGATTAGAATTTTTTGAGGCGGAGCGACGTCGAGCGAATAAAAGTCGTGTAAATAGCCCCCACGTGAATCACCTCGACGTTCCTCCTTACTTTTAGCGAGGAATTTTCACCTCGTCAGCGATCCGTTGAAGGATTGATTTTAAGTTAGTGGAACGCCATGTGCTACTAGGATTGATTCGGTCGGGTTTCTTCGCGATTGGGTTGAAATCGTTGGCGGAGACATACGAAGGTCGGAATACACCATTGGAAAAGACCATGTGAACGAGAAATATGAGGAGTAGGCGTTCTTACACGCCAATCATCTGCAGACTTGTGAGAAATTACCGGTCTTGGCCAGCTTGAAGTTACAAGACGTCGTCGCTTTCTTCCGGAAGTACAGACCCCGCTCATCAAATTGCTCCATAAGCCGAAAGCCATTGACAAGAATGAGTCGGAATTTTGCCAGTGATTGCCGCAAAAAAAAATAAACATGCCAGTAAAAGTACTTTGCAAGCCTTAATCCTCCTCCACGATTCAATATCGACGACAGCCTATACCCCTTACATCGCTCACGAAACAAGAGAATATCCATTTTTTGACAAATTTAGGATATCGTAAAATTCTGGAAGGGTTATGGACTGGAGAGGCTGAATACTATCTTGTTGACCAACACCAACATTTATATACTGCAGCATCGGCACATGCCCCCCTCCTCACCAACCGGAGGGTCCTTTCGGCACTGGGTTCTCAGCCTGCCACTCGGTCATATTCATGACATACACACCCCAAACCTGGGATAATTCTTTCAATGCCGCATCTTTAGATTCCTGAGAAGTTCCTTCTGTGGCATCCGAGATGATCGTGACATTGTAGCCGAGTTTGGTGCCGTCAATTGCTGTCCCGCGAACGCAGGCGGATGTGACGAGGCTGTAGAAATATTAGTATTGTCATATAAGGTCGGAATTGATGAAGGTAGGATTGCTCACCCGGTTATGATCAGTTTGTCTATGCTATGTATCCGTAACTCTGAATCCAAGGTCGTAAAACGGCGGTATTGGTTCTAGACTTGTTACTACACTCACTGAACCAACATGGAAAAGTGCACTCTTACATCACCGAAAGCAGAATAACTGTCAATACTATGATTCTGAGCTTTCTTGATATACTGCACACTAGTTCTGTACCCTTCCAAATTGTGCAATCTGCTCTTAATCCCGTCCTCGAGCTGGCTTCCCCATGTTTCTGGCACACAATGGTCTGGATAGACCGTTTGCGTCTCGACGAAATTTGAAGAGTCCGCAAAAGGATTTTGCACAGTTTCGAATTGAGCAACGCCCGGGTGAGCAGAAGCGAAAGAGACATGGCCTTCGGGGTGCCAGTCCTGCGACGCGATGATCAATGGCCATTCTTGAGTGTCAAGCAGGGAGTACACGTTAGGGAGAATTGCCGGAGCGCGTGAATTGTTCAGAGAGCCGGATATGAAGTCATTTTGTATGTCTATAAGAACCAGCGCTGTATTCTTATGGAGTTTATGGGAGAACTATGGATTCATTAATTGGTGTCAACAGATGTATTAGGGATGACTTACGGGAACAGCCGACACGAACGGAGTGATAGCAAACAGGGCAAGAAAATGGAAATACATTATGAAAAGGGTGAGTACGTGATAAAACAGCTTAGTGTAACGGGTTCCCAAGCTGAGATTGACTGCTTATACTTATAGAGCTCACCATGATGTCTTTTTATAGAAGCCTCCAAGCATTATGAAGGCGGTGACGATAAGAGAACCTGTTGAAGAGAAAATTTTGTCCGAGATAGGCGTACATTTCACACCTAGACCACAGACTTCTCAGATATGTCAGCCAAGAAAAGCCTCCAAGTTTGTCCTGACATACGAAGTACTTAAATCAACGTATCGAGCCCCTCGAGTGGAACAGATCTGAGATAAGAAGCAAGGTACACTACCCCACCCTTGAGATCGAAGACACAGCAAAGGTGGAGAAAGCCCGAGTATCCGGACGTCAAATCATGGCATGTTCCATCGGGGTGGTTTCATTATGTTATTGATTGACGGAAACTGAAGCAGTAATATCAGCCGTAGCCAAAATTCAATTACTATTTAATAGCTTCTCTACTGCCCACTTGACAGATAAGTTTCGTAGGTCGCTATAATGTTGCCCAACTCCGACGAACAGAACAGGCACATTCGTTGCGTGGACCATACTTACCAGTGTGCCTACCATATCTCCAACGGTGTCACACTTGGAGATTATGAAACCATCAAGTGAGCGTCCAGCACCAAAAGAGGTGTTGAAGTTTCGTGCCTGGGCGACCGAATCGGTTCCCACAAGTGCTTCTCCGACCATAAGAATTTTGTCTGGGTTTGCAAACTTGGCGAACTTCTCCAAAGAGGACATAAGTCGAGTGTCATTGTGTCGGCGCCCTGCTGTGTCGATTAAAACAACATCGAAACCTTCTGAAGCTGCGAAAGCCACGGAATCCTTAGCAACGTTGGCTGCATCCTTTCCATATCCTTTCTGATAAAGTTCCACTTCACCTCCTTCTCGAGCGCTCAACTCTTTCAAGTTGCGTACGTGGACAGCTAATTGTTCGACGGCACCTGATCTGAAAGTGTCGCATGCTACAACCAACACTTTGTACTTATTTTGTAAAAGAAAGAAGCATATCTTAGACAGATTCGTGGATTTCCCCACTCCATTAACACCGACTATGGATATCACATATGGCCGCCGTTTTTGCATAGATAGAGCAGATGGGGAGGCAACAGCGTCAATTTCCCGTAGAAGATCCAATGACGATGTAGGCGTCAATATCTTACGCAACGAAGACTCCATAGCTGTTTGAATCTTTGCTTGCACACCTTTGACAACTGTTAGCATATTCTGTAAATGTGTACTGGTGAACTTACTTTCAAAGTTTCCTGTCTTCACACCAATAAGTTCTCTCTCAACACCTTCGCACAAGCGAATGGCGGCTTCGCGGGCAACATTCTTTCGTAGAAGATGATCCTCCATACCCTTCATGGCTTTATCGAGGTCTGCCTTGGTCAAAGTCTTGCCCCCAACAACGTTCCTGAAAAGTCCCCCGATGGCGCTGAAACCCGAACCGACCAGTCCTTTCGACGATTCTGCTGAACTCTCCTTCTTCACATCTGCCGATGCCAGGATTGAGTGAACTTGGTCATCTAAATCTTTTAATACGAACTGGCCTTTTCCAGTCTTTGAACCCCAAGTCGCTTGGTCTACCTCCTCCACAGCGCCTGGGCGATCGCTGCTTATGCCATCTGTTGAGTTTGCGCCATTTGCAGGCGCGGAATAATCAAGCGGAGTGTCGCTATCCTCATCAGCCAACCCATCGGCGTCCCATTTCCTCCCCTTTTTCGGTGCTGCGGACCTGGCAGCCCTAGTCTTCTTCGCCGAAGTCTCATCCCCCGACGATTGGTATGTAGGTGTGTTGGCAGCTTTCCGTGCCCTTCTCGAACCTTTACCTCCAGGCCCAGATTTTCCTGTCAGCAGATGGCCCCCAGGTGTGCTTGGGCGCGATGTGTCGGGAGTAGCGATAGGCGTTGAGTCGTTCGACGTTAAGTCTCGATAATTGTTCTTCGATTGGCCTCGGGACAGCAAACCAGGTAACGGAGGGGGTTCGTCGCCTAAATCTCCGGATATCGAGATGGGAGCTTGTTCGATAAACGCGGTGGACTCTGCTGTCCTCGTATCTTGATTGAGCGCCGTCTTTTCTAGCTCTCGTACTTGTTGATCGAAATAATCGTCAAAGTGGCATTCGACGACTGTCGTATGTGGCTTCCTCAATTGATCGCCGTATAGGTCAACGAATATGGTCTTAATGTTATCAACCAGTTTATCAATCCAAGAGAGGTGGAGAAGCGATCGATATACAGCCTACATTCGCAAGTTAGCATGTGGAATAACAGGAAGGGTAAGCCCAACGAAGCCGTGGCATGCGACATGAGGACATACGACGAATATAATATTAAGCTCTTTGACCGTCGTCCATTTCAAAGTATGCTGGTCGTATTTATATGGAGGGTTGTTGGCGGCAGATATATCGTCTGCGACACCAGCTCCAGGTAATGTTCGTTCCTCGATGAAGACGTTCGTGATGAGACTATTGATGATGGCTGGACTGATGGGAGAATATGTCTTGGACCACAACACCACCCCGGAAGTGGTGAGGATTTCGAAAGTGTCCAACATGATTCTTGTCGCTGGCGCAATATAACAATGCGGAGGATTTGGCAGAGAATAATGTCCTTGTCCTCGCCGTCACAGTTCGTGTGCCGACCCCTGTCGCTTGTCCGATAAGATGCGAACCGGGGTTCTAGCGGCGATCCACAGTGAGCCGCAGCGCGGTGTGTGTGTGTTCTGTCGCGAAGAAAAGGGATTTGGTAAAGGTGGCAGAACTAATCGTGAATCCAGGCAGTAATCCATAGGTGCCTACTCTATCTACATCGTCTCAAGGCATCGGCCTACGAAATTCACACAAACATCCGATACATCTCCAGCTTCACAAAAATGCAGCGAAATCCGTACGGAAACATGCCTCCGGCGAACTCTCCACCGCTTCATCATCCAGTTCCTCAGCATGTTTCCACAGTCCCTCAATTAAGGTCGCCTCCTCCCCCGGTACCTCTACAGCAACAGCAATCTTATGGCAACCCGTACCAAGCACAAGGAGGGAATAATGGCTTTGGCGCATATGGAGGGTTCATCAATGATCCAACGGCGCAGATGGGGTTCCAGGTTGGACAAACCGCATTGAAACATGGCTCAGAATACGTGGAGGCAAATGTGAGAGACGTCGAAGCTCTTTTCTAGGATGTTACTGATTGAAATTACAGTTTAATCGATACGTCAACGTCTCGGCGTTGAAGCATTATTTCAATGTTTCAAACTCATATGTTGTCAACAAACTATTTCTCGTCTTATTTCCCTGGAGGCACAAGCCATGGTCTCGAAAACAGTCTATTGGGCCAAACGGTCAGGAGGGGTGGTTCTTACCACCAAGGGACGACTTGAACAGTCCGGACATGTACATCCCTGTTATGGCATTGGTGACATATATCCTTTTGTCGACACTGCTCGCAGGTCTGCGAGGCGCATTTCAGCCAGAGCTATTAGGATATACGGCGACATGGGCATTCTTTATCGTCTTTATTGAAATTCTCGGGCTTAAGCTCGGATGTTATCTTCTGTCTATATCAAATGAGTCTCAGCTACTGGACCTGGTCGCATACTCGGGGTACAAATTTGTGGGGGTCATTGTCACTTTGGTGACCAGTGAGATTGTGAATCGTGGAAAGGGAACAGGTGGATGGATTGGATGGACAATCTTTGGCTACTGCTTTTTAGCCAATGCTTTATTCCTTGTATGTTGTATGTCCTATGAGACCACTCTACATAACTGACCTCCGCAGCTACGATCTCTTAAATACGTCCTACTCCCAGAAAACACCACCGACGAGCGTGGTACAATGCAGACCGTTGCTCGATCCCAAAAAAGCCGAAGGACTCAGTTTCTATTCCTATACTCATACCCTGTACAGCTGGTTTTCATGTGGGCTCTTACCACGGTTTAAAGGGGTTAATTCAGGAAGGGAAAAGCGCATTTTACTGGCGTCAAGGGCCTCGGCGAAGGTGATATGAGGAGACATAGGTCGATCAAGAAGATTGCAGATGAAATGGAATGATGGCCGATGAGCCCTGTAAGATACTAATGCATAAGTCAAGGATTATCTCGCATGAGTGTGATCGATCTGTGATATTTTTTGGGGTGGGGGCTTGTCTTGAGCGCCAGAGTATCTAGGAGACCAGTGAGATCAGATCAGTGCTTCTTGTTCGAAGAACGTGATGCTAGAGCGTAGCCGGTCGGATTATGAATAGGCAAATTCAGCCTTCAATGTTGCTCAGCCTGCCAAGCAAAGTTTACTTGCAATTTTCATAACTAGACCCCCGCGATCACTAGTTTCAATACTAAATGAGATTGTTAACGTTTCGCATTTCGCATAGAGAGTTTACCAAGCTTAAGTCTTTAATTCGAAAGCTATTACCTACAAATAGGAGAACCTCGCTTAATGAATCATGATGCTTCCATTTTTAAGTCAAACGGCACCAGAACTTATGATTAGACATAGACTGAACCCGTCGACGTTGTGTGCCTTTCGATTTTCTTATCTTGTCTCTACTTCATTAGCATCCATGGCTTCTCCCGAATCCTTACTCTACCTCTTCATTCCCTTCCTAACACACATACTCGTCCCCCACCCCCCTCCACATTAGCCACGCGATCCACCACAAATGTGTCTTCATTCGTCAGAGGTATGAAATACCTTAATATTGTTAATTAAGGATATTCTTCTCATCCAATCACAGGAGGTCAGATGGCCGAGCGGTTAAGGCGCCAGGTTAAGGTTTCAATCTTAACACAAATTCCTGGTCACGAAAGTGGCGTGGGTTCGATTCCCACTCTGATCATTTATTTTTGGCTTTTTTGAATCTGTAATTTGATGCGGGGTAATTTTTTTTGGATGGTATTGGGAGGAGGATGAGGGCGAAGGTCACTCTTGGGGAAGCACCAGTTCAGGTATATATATTTATTTATTTCTGAGATCGACGTGCTATTGAAGTTGAAGTCGAATCATTTTATTTTCTTCTACAAACACCTCCAAAACCCTTCACTCTCGACATCCCAACCCTCCGGAAAGTGACTTCCTCCGTCGCCATCCCATCCCCCAGCCATACAAGCAATCGCCATCAACAAACTACTGCTCCCAGGGAAATACGGCGTCGGCACTCGTGGTCCTCCAATAGGCATTCCCACATCATCGAAATCGAAATTCACATCTAGCAAATACTTAATCGCCTGTTCACTCCTCCCCAAACGCGCCGCATTCATCGCCAACATAGGAAAGTCCCAACCGAACAGATTCTCAAAATCCCAGATCTCAGAGATTTTAGTCGCGGTGTTGGCGACGATAGTCAGATTTACATCTGGAGTTGGTGGTAAGAGACCGTAGATACCGATCATAGCTGGGTGATCGGTGAACGTGACGGGGTCGATCCACATTTCTGGAACGCCTTCGTAGATGGGGTAGGTTTCGTTAACGATTGGGAGGGGAGCTAGGTTGTTGAGGACGTTTGTCCATGTACGTGGGACGTTTTGTCCTTGTCGCCGTTTCCAGTTTAAGGCGACGGTGAGACCGAAGCGCCAGTATGCTAATTCGAATACGGGGTTTATGGTAGCGTTCGGGTTGGTGTTCTCTGAGACTGGGTACATTGGGGGGCCGAGATCGAAGTGTTCTGTGCTCGTTAGTTTCTAGGCCATTTGGATAGGGTATAATTTACTTGTGGTACTGTTATACCAGGCCATAGAAGCCATATACTCAGCACTCTGGTGAAGTATCTCGTCCCATTTCTGTAGAGTTTGATTACATGGCATATCACGATATTCGAGCTCTGCAAACCACATAACATGTGGCTGTTGCCAGATTAACAAGCTGTTGATTTCACCCGGCGCACTACTTCCTGAGGGATCAGTCATCTTCCCCCATTTCGCACCTGCGTATCCCTGTGCTTTCGCTCTGTCTTTCGAAGTCTGTAGGAATCGCGTGTATAGACCAGGCACGGATTTATTCAAGAACTCGGGCTTCTTCCATAGTCGCCAGTGGGTCAGGTGCCAGGCTATCATTTCGAGATGGAACTTTCCGTACCACCCGTTGTTGACGAGACCGCTCTCCTGAGGTGGTGTCGTTCCGGCTCCGTTTACCGCTAGGAGGTATTGTGAGAGGATTGTGCGTCGTAGAACCTCTTTGGCTTCTGGAACTGATGTAGGTAAAGAGATAAAGGCGCCGGACTCCCAGTAGTAGCTCCATCCTCTTGCTGCATATTTGAGAATAGATTGGGCATCTGTAGAGTTCGAAGGAGAGAACTTTGTGGGACTGTAGTTGACTGTGAGATCTAGCTCACTGCTGTCGGGTGATGGCTTGAGAATATATCGATGACTTGAAGGAAGTGGCCCAGAGATGATGGACCCCGGGTGCTCGATTGTGGTATAATACGTTGTAGAATCGAGAGTATGCGTGATTTGAGCCGCGTTGTTGGTCTGTTTGAGGGTCGTAACGTGGCTTGAGACGTTGTCAAACCGGCCAACGTCTGGATAGTCAAATTTCATGCCAAACTTGGGGTATGGGAAGTCAAAAAACACTCCTAGTTTTTCTTCGTTTAGTAATTTAGATTTGATTGAAAGTGCAACCGTGTCGGAAGCTGGATCCACCGCTGTTTTTACTGAGACTTCGGAACCGAAAACATTGAAGGTGGATGTGATTACTCCAGAATAGAGATCCAAGGTTTGGTTTTTGGCAGATATATCGGCTTGTGTGAGATTGGCGCCTTCTCCAAACCAGAATCCAATTCGTCCAAGATTGATTCGTTGGGGATTTTGGATAAGCCAGTTTGAAATGAGATTTTGTGATGGGTTTGGTTGGTTATAGTTTACCAGTCTCCCATGTGTCCACCTATTGTAAAATCAGTCATTCCTTTCTATTGCTCTGCCTAAATTGCTTAAGCTTGAGTCCCGCACTCACCAATCTAAACCCCTAAAGTCTTCAACACTACTCTCTCCCGGCGCGGTAGGTAAGCTGAAGTTATGCCAACCCCAGCTTGACATGGTGGCAAAGGACTGAAAAGTTTGTAACCCAGTAACGTCTACTCCAAATGCAAAATCGCCATTGCCAACTTGCATCGGCGTACTATTGAAGTATGCCGTTCGAACTGGGTTGAATTGAGAGACTACATCCTGGCGATTGATATGTGCCTGTGCAAGAGGAAGGAGGAAAGGAAGAATAGGAAAAATGTCAGGGAACCACATCTTGAAAGCTGTATTGCTCACTTGATGTGGTACAGTGCTTGGTGGATTAAAGACACTGGATGGATCGAGAACTAGTCTTGATTCTTGTTCAATCTGAAGTCATGGGAACCACAGCATAATATATGAAAACTTTCGGACGAACTTTCTCTGAACTAATTAAACCCACATCTGGGACCAAGATCTTCTGGTATACTTAGCCAGCTTTATCCGGGTCCGGTACCATACCTACGGAATGGTCATCTCGTGTAATGCCAAACTAAACGTGCTTGGTGACCCACGAGTCCCTCGCTGTATCCTAGACATATTGGTCCCCCATCGGGCAACATGACGATCAGAGTATATTTTGACCCTGACGTGCTCGGGGATTCGGTACAATAGACATCCTACCAAGGGTCTAAGCGGACAGTGAAAGCTGACAAGGTGAAAGATGGGGGAACGTTGAAAATGTGGGGAGAACGCGGGGTAGAAACTCCTCAATGAGCGGAGTGACACGCGATTTAGCCGTTCTCTTTTAGGCTAGTCCTAGTATACAGTCATGGGCAGCTTGGTGACCTACAAGTATCTAACATGATATACGGAGCTCAAGCTCTTTCGAAAACTTGTCCAAAGCATAAATCATCATATTGGATCCCGTGATGCGTCTAATAACACATGTACATGCGTCTCTTAGAAGGGCGTGATGTATGGGTTTGGATTTGGAAGCGAGCGTGATGGGAGTCTCCAAGGTGTTGTCATCCCGACTTTTGTTGAAATAAAGCCTTTAGTTATCGGGGAATAAAAAGAACATTGTTCGAGGAGTACCACCGAACTCAAAAATAGGTATGTACAGCCGGATTCTCATCATCTTAACACGCCACGCTTGGAAATGACAACTTTTGACGTCCATAATATTGCTCTAATCAAGTGGAATACCTTCATACTCGGCAAATCCTAGTGATAGATTCATGTTTTCTGTACAAAGGTTAGGTGTACGAAATGCAATGAGGAAGGGAGAGAACTTACGCAGACACTGTGTAGCAGCACCCTTCAATAGATTATCAATTGTAGCACAAACCACCACTCGTTTCCCACTGCTGTGTACGCCAAAACCACCAATCTCCACGCCATGCTTTCCACTGATGGTTTTGACACTTGGGGCTTCACCCGTAACCTTCACCAGTTTCTCTCCGGCATATCGCTCTTGATAGATCTGTCTAATGTCTCTACTTGACATGGCATCCTTGAGTGGGATACTGATAGTGTGGTGGATGCCTTGGAACCACATCGCCACGTGCGGAATGAACGCCACCTCAACACCGAGCTGGTTGCTGATCTCACGCTCATGGATGTGATCTGTCAAACTGTACGGTATGATATTGTTCTTCAAGTTCTCGACATCGTTCTTTGGGCTGGGCTTCGTTCCAGCCCCAGAATATCCAGAGACACCGAAAACAGTAGGCTGACCACTAAGGAACGGCACCAAGGGCGCGATACCGAGCTGTGCGGCGGTAGCATAACACCCAGGGTTGGAGATACGAGTAGCCTTTGCAATGTCTGATCTGGTGACAAGTTCGGGTAAACCGTATGTCCACTTGCTGTCAAATCGGTAATCTGCAGAAAGATCAACAATAACACTGTTGTTGGATCCTTTGCCCTCTTCAACAGCATCTACAAAAGGCTTGCAGACCCCGTTAGGAAGTGCCATTACCCAGCAGTCGATTTCGTTCTTCTCTGACATCCGGCGGACATCTTCAGCGGAGAGATTCTCATACGTGATATCTCGCTTCTCGTACCCTTTCAATTTCTGACCTGCCAACTCACGGGATGATACATGGCGAAGATCCATATTTGGGTGGGAGTTAAGAAGGCTGATAAGTGCTTGCCCAGTGTATCCACGGGCACCAATCAAGGCAACTCTTGCTGGTTGACTATTTGACGAGTTCTTGCTCCCAAATGGAGGATTTGGGTTGGTAGTAGTTGCATAGCCACGAGAAGATGAAGCAACACGTGCGCTGCGGCGCGCGGTCTTCGAAGTTGGGCGAGCGGAGCTCGAGAAAGCTCGTGCTTGCTGTCTCATGGGCGCGTTCTGACGATGAAGAGAGGCACTCAATCCGTTTGAAGCTTCTCTGGCAGCTCTGTGAAGTCGTGCTTCGAGATTAGCATCACCTAGCATCGAGCGTCCATGTTGTGTGAATTCAGTCATGAGTTCCTTGACTTCATCGCCGTTCTCAATACCATACCAAAACATAACTTCCCCGTCTTTAGACAGACTTCCCTCGGCTTTGTCAAAGAACCAGGTCAAATTCTCATCGTCTTCCTTGACGGTCCAGACAAGTTTGGAATGATCCTTTTTAATAGCAGCAAACACATTGTCAGCAATGTTTGTGAGCCATCCAGATTTTGTGATTGTGAAAGTTGCAAGGTTGGAAAGAGAGGAACTAGATGAAGGTGGGTGAACAATTGCAAGAGCGTCCATCGCTTCGTCGAAATACGCCTTAAATTCGTGAGAGCCCAGACCGTCAACATATCTATCAACCGTTGCCTTTGCGTCTAAGCCTTCGCGGTCACGGACTAGAACTTCCTTGAGTTTGGCGAGGTCAGAGAATTGGGAAACATCAGAGGCGGTTTGTAACTTGTTTCCACGTCGGATCAGGGTTCCAGCACCACTGTCCGTAAACAACTCTTTTTGGAGATCAGCTGGATGGATAATTGCGACACTGGTAGTTCTTGGAAGGCCGTCGAGTAGATCTTTAATTTCCTTGATCTTCAGTCTAGTACCATATCGACACCACCATTGTGACATTAAGTAGTCATACTCTTCATCCAAGTTTATGGCCGAAATCTTCTCGTTGGTGTCGGCGTTGAAAAGACCTCCTTTCTCAGAGAGATAGACGATCTTGAGGGGTTGGAGTGCTCTAGCAAGCTCTCCTGCTGCAACATCTGCATTTACGTTTAAGACCTGTCCCTCTGGTGTTTCTGCCATGGAAGTGAGGATTGGCAGACATCCAGCATTAATGGCAGCTTCAATGGGCTCCTTGTTGACCTTGTTGATCCTGCCGACCAAGTCGTACTTCTCTTTATCCAGGTACTCGGCACCAAAGACACCAGACGATATCGGGCGAGCACGAATTCCCATCTCCTCCAACTTCTCAACCAACTTAAGGTTCTCTTCCAAAAAGAGCTTCCTAGCGACTGCAAGTGTTTTCCCATCTGTGACTCGTATGCCCTCCTCAAATTGTGGTTCAACTCCAGCGTCCTCTAGAAGCTTATTGAGTTGTGGTCCAGCACCGTGTACAACAACAGGGAAAAGCCCGACATGATTGAGGAAGGCGAGGGCAGAGGTGAGAGACTCAAGGTGTTCTGTGATGATGGCCCCGCCAACCTTGATCACAGCGAATTGTTGCGAGGAAACGGACGTAAAATGGGACAGATACTGCTGGACCTCTCTTTTGGAACCAATATTGCTCAGAAGCTGTACGACGGTCGATCGGGTGGAAAGATTGTCTGTAGACGGCGCTGAATATTCTCGACTCGAAGTAAGAGCCAGAGAAGTGGCGGCTTTTGGAATGGTTCGACTGAGGGTGGAAGGAGTTCGCGCTGCGATCGTGCGTGTCCGTCTGGCAACAGCACCAACGGTCGATCGTAGGGCGAGCATATTGAGGGTATTTTGGAGTGGAGATTATTCGAAGTTTCGAGGAGAGCTCTTCCACCAGCTCCCGAAGAGCAATGAAAGAATTGACGCGAATCCTTAGCAGGTAACTTCGTGGGTTCAACTCATGGAAAAGGCGGGGGAGGTGCTGTGAAAATGAATCACACTAGATGAATAAAGAGTCAGTTTGTAGTGACTTTACAGAGTCAATCAATTGCGTAGAGGTAAATGAGGGAAGCAATTGTCAGGAACACGAAGAGAATCATACCTCCAATGGCAGAACAAAATAATTGCTGGAAATCTGGATGAGCAGTTCCTCTAAACTACCTTTTCCTCAGTCTTACCTCAGTCTCACAGATCAATCGATGTGTGGAGTTCCGATACTCGGCGCGCATGGGTTGATTGGCCCTTCAGCGTGCCGCGAATGGCCCCCGCCTGCACGAAAGAAAAATCGAGCTTTCAAGGTTGCTAGGAATTCTGCACATGGCAGGAAGATTTTCTATGCAAATGCACTGCTTCGACCTTTCGCCATAAATTTTTTGTTAGTTGCATATACATGGGCAGGCAGCTCCACGCCATCTCGAAGGGGGTGGAGAAGTTCTTCTGACAGCGGTTTATCTGGTGTAGTTGACGGCTGATGGTTTCGTGCTAGCATCCGTTACCATATCCAACTTTCACTATGGAAATAAACACACTTTAATCGAAGTAGTACAGCTTCCATATGTTGTGATCAACCCACAATAGAAGGCATTCCCTGAACGAGGTGGAGGAAGAAAGTTATAAATGCTTAACGGAGATGTAATCAACAGGTGAGAAAGAAAGTCTCGGCCCCTCACCTACCTATGCCAGATCATGCTACTCCACGATATGCTGCCTCGCGTAGGCCGAGTCTCCATCAGAAAGTAATGTCATCATATTTCCATTAATCCCCTCAAATCCTACAAGATACATATCCCACGGATTGAACATCACGGCCAAATCATATGATAAGGTCTGACACTCCCCGCCAATGGTAAAGTGACGCCCTCAAAAACGGAAACCAACGTAAAATTCAACTTAAACTCCTGTTCGCTAACTATTCGTGACCGAGATATCTCGTTGACCGCGAGTGTCGCATGCAAATGGGATCAAACTCCCGATGCCTCGCTTCGTAATATAATCTCAACAAGCCATCCACGACCGCGATGCCCATTTCATTGTCGTATAACTCCCTTCGCCAAGTCTATTTTCGTGTTGCAACCACTTTCGTAGGCGTTAGCAAATGCTCCTGGAGGAGGGAGTAAATAACCTACCAGCTGGGACGATGATGACAATCAGCAAAATAACGACACCCGCGATCAGGCACATTCGCATTCTGGCAACAGTCAGTCAACATTCTTACACATCAAAGACTCTTACTCACTTCATGTCCTTCCACCACATTTGCCTATTTAAGGGATTCGGTTAGTATATTGCAGTCAAACGGGCCATTATGATGTGATAGGGGCAATGAGATTGCAGGGTGTCATCTAATGATGACCTTGGTATATTGATTGTGCTTACTTTCGAACTCTGTTGGCACCGCGACGGAATCCTTGCGCTGATACAGCGAGGTTGTCTGTCTTGTCCTGTAGGGAATCGAGTCGTTCACCACGTTGCGACACCTTGTTGATATTCTCGCGCATGACACCGACGGTATCATCGATTTGCTATGGATCAATAGTCAGCATTTGAGCGCAAAAAATGACTTTTAATTCCTCTGGGATATTCCGGCAATCCTATCAGGGCATGAGAGGCACTAATTTCGAGGGCCATTGTCGCATCCAACTAGCAGTCCTGACATTCAAGGGAATGACGCTTCATGATCGCTCGATACAGCTGCTTTCCACCTTTTGACTTCGGGATCAACTGAAAGATGTGTTGAGTGTTGACAGGAAGTCGCAAATTCCGGGAAGCATATGTGTATAGATTGAATGTCTGGAACCGGTCTCGACCTAACAGCAGTCTCCAGCGAACAAAACGATCTAGGTAATGCGCAGGCTACGCTAAGCCGCCCACCTGGGTAGACTTGTCGTGTATGTCGAGACGCGGCCCTTCCCGATTGATGGTATCGTATCGCTGCGGTCGTTGAGGTGGCTGGAATCGCGACGTCGCCTTTTCGAAATCCAAGGAAGCCGTAGCAACACCACCATCATATACAACTAACTGTAACAGCAGAGAATGTTTTGGTAACTTACTGCTTGAAGTGCTGCTGTTCTCTGGTTTCCTGGAGCTTGTTGCGCACCAGCTCCGCCGGCGGCTCCTCCGCTTGGGATATAAGGATCATACTGAGGTTCGCGAGAGTCCGCCATTGTAAATGAGGTTGGAGATTCGAGGATTTGGGTGACGGAAGTTCGTTATCGCTAGGAAATAATATTGGTTTGCGAAGATGTTCGTGATAATGTGCAGGTGTTGATGGTTGAATAGGAAGCAAGTTGTTTGACGAGGAAAGGTTCGGGGAGGAGGCAAGAAGCGAGCAGGGTGGCAGGCGAGACCAGCCTCGAAACGCTGTGAGGTCCAGGATTCACGTCTCAAACAATCGCAGATGCACGGCTATTGAAAATATTGAATGGTACAAAAGCCAATCTGTAGCTTGGTGAGTTGTCTAATAAGCAATGTTCAGATTATCATACCAATTCATATATTGTTCCCACCATATCAAAGCTTCTACTGGCGGGTAATCAGCAGCATCTGAGCCATGGGCGATTACGCAGGTCCATGAATCAAACACGTGATCAATATGCCGAGACCTCATCTTCAACTCTTTCTTCGTGTTGGAACTTCTACTCGTATACAGTCAGTGTTCACTATTCAGTCGTCTTTTGCTGCTCATAATTAACTTGAAAGATTCGTCTAGCTGTGGCAGTGTTTGACGTTGTTCGTCCTCTAGGAGCATGGGATTGAGTGGAAACGGTCGGATTTGTTTCCACAGCAGGGGGGATCCAAATGTTTGCCTCAGACGCCGGAAGAAACCCAACATGATTACGGAGTATCTCGACTATCAAAACTTCTACCGTCACTCACGATCTCATCCCCTCTTCACATACTTTCTCACAACACATCTCTCGAAGACATCGTTATGCCACGCCTTGCCACAACCGCATCGCTGGACTTTCAGCGATGATCACAACAGCCAAGCAAACTCTGTTGGATCGTCCAGAAACGAACATTTCCAAGCTCACAAAGTCGTGGCGCTGACTGTTCCTCCCTATGCGCAGCGATTACTGTCATCCATGGATCCACGGATCATGGCACTGCTCTCTCCTCGCTCTGACCACAGCACTCCAGACAGTCCGAAGTCAGTTGCATGGCATTATTTTCCTTTGAGTATTAATTTCCTATGCAAATCAACCAGCTCCCCTATTCGTTGTCCGGCTCTCTTTCACTTTTCTTTGTTCACTAGTGCTCGTAATCGCCTCTCTTGGACCATCAGTGGACCCCTCTTGGCTTAGGATACGATCAATTCCAATTTGGTGGGCTCGTATTTCGGCGTTGTTAGGTGGATTTAGCTTCACTCTGCTCCACCTCTTATTCACATCGCACCTTCTCATGTTTGCTTAGAGTTGCTTGTTCCCTTTCATCAGAATGCTTGAAGTCTTGACTCTTGCTGAATTCATCTTTTGTGATTCCGCTTCTGGAGTACAACATTCGTTTTGAGAGAGCAACATATTTCCAAAGGACATTCCCGCCACTTCCGAAGTACATTATCGCATATGACGTCTTGCCGCAAACGGTAGGGGTTTCGTTGCGAAAACGCTATTTCTACGACGACCTCTGGCAAAGGAAGGGAATAACTATCACTTCCAATCCGAGGGACTTTTCTTACATAAATCTCAAATATCGAGTTTTCTTTGGCTCCGTTGCTGGTTGGTTGGAGGACTTGTCTCTCGACATCCAGATACCTCTTTTACATTCCTCGCGCCGGTGACCATTTGCCGGCCCGTACCTAAACTATGCGGTTCGTTCGCTCTCTGACGGCGGCTACGGCCCTTCTCGCTGGATCTCAGATAGTCCAATGTATACCCTTGGATCTCGACTCAGAAGGTATGTTTCCCCCCTCAAATTCCAACGACAGTTCCCCTGACCTGGCTACAGATTCCATAAAGCAGGCGGCCAGCACACTTGCGCACGATATGATGCTTTACTATACTGGCAACAACACTGGAGATATTCCTGGAAATCTTCCCGCCCCATACTACTGGTGGGAAGCCGGCGCAATGTTTGGGGCTATGATTGATTATTGGTACTACACTGGCGATCCTACGTATAACGACGTCACGACCCAGGCTTTGTTATTCCAGGTAGGACCTGATGAAGACTATATGACACCAAACCAAACGAAAACGACGGGAAATGACGATCAAGCATTCTGGGGCCTCGCAGCGATGACTGCAGCGGAAGTCAACTTTCCCAACCCACCGAAGGGTCAACCTCAATGGCTAGCGCTCGCTCAGGCTGTTTTTAATACACAAGCTGCCCGCTGGGATACGCAGACCTGTGGAGGAGGGTTGAAATGGCAGGTCTTCCCTTTCAACAACGGATATAATTATAAAAATTCGATTTCAAATGGGTGCTTTTTCAATCTAGCGTCCCGACTTGCAAAATATACTGGAAATAATACCTACGCAGAATGGGCAGAGAGAAGTTGGGATTGGATGCGGTCTATCAATCTCGTTGACGAGAACTACTTTGTGTACGATGGGTCAGACGACACGATCAACTGCACAAGGTTGAATCGAATTCAATGGAGTTATAATGCTGGAGCAATGCTTCTCGGAGCTGCTACGATGTACAACCATACCAACGGCTCAGCTGTGTGGGAGGAAAGGACATCAGCTCTCATGAATCACACAGACGTTTTCTACCAAGACGGCGTTATGTTCGAAGTCGCCTGCGAAAACGTGAATAGGTGTAATGTTGATCAACAATCCTTCAAAGCATACTTGTCACGTTGGATGGCGGCATCGACAAAGGTGGCACCCTTCCTCTACGATTCAGTTATGGCTCGGTTACGACCAAGTGCCCGAGGCGCTGCTGCACAGTGTTCAGGGGGAGATAACGGGAGGACTTGTGGAATGAAATGGACACAAAATGTTACTTGGGATGGGACTTATGGTGTAGGTCAACAAATGGCGGCTCTGGAGGTTGTTCAGAGCAACTTGATCGCTTCGGCTAGAGGACCAGTCACGAATTCCAGCGGCGGTACCAGTGTCGGAAACCCTGCTGCTGGAGGAAGCAGGACTGTAGGTGCTGCATTTGACACGCACGGAGCGACGCAAGCAGATCGAATCGGGGCTGGATTCCTCACAGCATTCGTGCTGTGCTTGTTCATGTCCATGGTTTGGTACATGAATTCCTGAAAAGGAGTACATGGGCGTGTACATAAGGTTTGCATTTTGGAGTACCATTTTGGAGATTAGCGATTGGATTGGGTTTAAAACTGCATGGGAACTGGCAACAAAGTTCAACGGGGGATTTGGGGCATCCGGAACCGGAGTTTTTGGGATGTGTTTAAGGGAATCACCATTACGGTCGATGCTGTCCTCCGGACCTGCCTTAGAGCAGACATGTATTTACCTTAACGAAGCGTGTCCATAATGTACATGAGTTTAATTCGAAGATCTCCCGATACGGGCGCTAACAATATGGGCATGATAACTTGCCATACATACTAACGTTTGATGATGGAGCTTTTCCATGTGTAATCACATCATACTTTCTTGGTAAAAGGAGGTCCAGTACTGGGGATCTTTTTGATAGAGACAATGAGCTTATGTTAGAAAAAAGCATAATGAATTATACAGCTTAAGAAGTTTAAGTCGTCACCTACTAGTACTAGGATTGCTCCACTTTGTGCAAGAAGCGGGCCGTTGGACCCCTCCCTCGGTATCAACACATTCTGTACGAATTTCCCAACGTCTATTGACTGTAACTACAAATATGTAGCCACTGAATCTCTCTCGTGAGACATGGCCAAATTAACCCCCCTTCGCCGTCTTCCACTTCCAACGAGCCCATCTCTCCGCACACCCCACCACCGATCATCCTCCACGAAAACAAAACCACAAAGCCGCCTCCCAGCTGCCTACTACCGTGGCGGTACGTCCCGCGCTGTGATCTTCGATGCCAAAGACCTGCCGCAAGATCGTTCCCAATGGCCTGACATCTTCCGAGGGGTCATAGGTAGTCCCGATCGCTATGGTAGACAATTGGACGGGTTGGGAGGTGGCATATCTTCGTTGTCTAAAGTCTGTGTTGTTGGGTCTGCGCAACCTGGCGATCGCAAGATAATTGATGAAGATGGGAAACAAAAGGAAACGGCAGAGGCAGATGTTGATTACACGTTTGCGGCTATAGGGGTGGTGGATGGTGATGTAGATTTTTCGAGCAATTGCGGGAATATGAGCGCGGCTATTGGTCCTTATGCTTATGATCACGGTCTTGTTCCCCATATTGGAAACGGTCATGGAGAAGCGACGGTGAGGATACGAAATACGAATTCTGGAAAGGTCATTCATTCTAAATTTCCGGTGGTTGATGGTGAAGCAGCTTCTTCAGGATCGTTTTCCATCGATGGAGTCGAAGGGCAAGGCGCGAGGGTTAGGTTGGATTTTTTGGATCCTGCGTAAGTGATTGCGGTTTATGGCATTTGAACGTAGATCAAGACCTCAGCTGATCGGCGTAGTGGAAGTAAGACCGGAAAGCTTTTACCTACGGGTAACGTGGTTGATATATTTAACGGCACCGAGGTGACTTGTATTGATGTTGGCAATCCATGCGTCTTCCTCAAAGCTGAATCTTTCGGCGTAAAGGGAATTATACTTCCAGATGATATTGATTCTCACCCCACACTTAAAGAAAAACTCGAAAGCATTAGAAGGCAAGCTTCTGCCGCCATGGGACTAAGTAAAGACCCCGCTTCAACCCCAGGCTCGATACCGAAAATTGCTATGGTATCGAAGCCAAGCACACATGTTCTTCTATCTGGTAGCCAAAGTGACGAGAAAGATGTAGATCTTATCGTTAGGGCTATGTCAGTAGGCCAACCGCATAGAGCTGTTCCAATTACCGTTGCTCTTGCTCTTGCAGCGGCAGCAAATGTCACAGGCTCGACTGTACACGATGTTGCCAGCCGTCAAAGGATTGATACAGAAGGTATTACTGTTGGCCATCCAACGGGGAAGATTGTTGTTGGTGCCGAATTTGATGTAGCAGCTGGGTTGAAACATGCTACTGTCTATCGAACAGCGCGGAGAATTATGGAGGGATTCGTTTATTGGAAGTAAATGACATTTGGCCGTGAGCTTAGAGACCGGAATAAATATCACCGTAACGGACTGGATGATTTACTGTCCACTCCAGTTAGTATCTGCTTATGAGATTTGGCATAGCTGGCGGGAGAAAGCCACCTTCTCCAGTGCTCAGACTTGTACAACTGGGTCGGAGAATTAAAGTCACATCTGTGATCTGCCTGTAAGTCAGATACAATGCAAACTACAACACCTCCAAGTATGTAGGATAAGTTTCTGGATACAATCCGGATCAATAGCATGAACGGGTTGAGCTTGCGCCTGATGAACTGTCTTTGGCAAATTCGGTAGGTCAGGCGACCTAGATAAACTACAACGGAGTGGAGTCTCCCAAAATTGGTATCTCTCGCAGTAAAAAGCACTTGTCAATCGTACGCCGCTGATACTCATTGGTACGCTTGACGTAAGTGGGAGCTTGAGGGGTCTGGTCTCGGTAAACCTGCCTTGACAGATCAATACAACTCTGCAAAGCCAAACGGAGTTGGATTGTCGACCACTTTGCTTCACATTCATTATTTGAAAACATAAAGATCCTAAGGATCTGCCTTCTTTCCGGATTGTCTTCTATCTAGACAAATCACGCAAAATGACTCAAACAATGCTGCAGCTTTTGCAGTCGAAGACCATTGTGGATTGTGATACCATGGATGTTGAAGGTTGGACTTATGTCAATTTGAGACAGAACAATTTCAGCTAAAATGGAGCAGTTCCAAAAGTAATGGGGCCTTTCGTCGATTGCACCTCAAACCAAGTATATTGCACCTTAAGAGTACTTCACTTTTGAAAATTAATACTAATCTATACCAGGCAATAGCTTACATGGAGCTCATAAAACCAAAACACAAGTCACTTATTCAAGACTCTGTCTCGAAAGCCAAAGAGCTTAATGCAACATTTGGCGAGATTCCAGAGACAGAATTAGCTGTAGAAATTGCGGTTAGAATACAAGAATGCCACGATATGAAAGTGAAGCTGAATATACTCGGCAGATGATAAAACTACAACTGGCAATCGTCCCTTATATTACAGGATATGTCCACGTTCAGACAAATCCAAAATATTCCCACGTTAAAGACAAAACCATCGCCAATGCAATACGTAAATAGTTTCAACGTAAGAATTTCAACACTTACTAACTCCCCGCTAGGAATTACAAAGCTCTTTAAATCTCTCGATCCAGATTTCGATACCACAAGAGTGTGCATCAAAATCCCCTCAACATTCGCCGGTCTTCAAGCCTGTGGAATCTTAGAATCAGTCCACAACATAACCACACTAGCAACAACCCTTTTCGTAATCGAACAAGCCGCTCTAGCAGGAGAAGTAGGAGCTCACTACATCGCTCCCTACGTCAACGAGCTCCGCGTCCACTTCGATCCCACATTCACGGATACTCATAAAGCTCAGCGTCTATGTCTGGAAGCTCAAAGGTATTATGAGAAATACGGCTATAAGACGCAAGTACTTCCAGCAAGCCTAACGTCTACGGAGGAGATTATGGAGTTAGCCGGTGTGCATCATATTACGATTTCACCTGGTTTGCTGAAGCACTTAGCAGAGAAGAAGGCTGAAGATAATAATACGATGTCGATTTTTGAGAAGGCGCCGGACGGGTTTGAGGTAGCTGGTAAGATGAGCTTTGCGAATGATGAAGAGGGGTATATGAGGGCTTTTGAGAAGGCGATTGGAGGTGAGGCGGTGAGGAAATTGGACGATGTAAGTGTATCTCTGGTGAAAAAGTAAATTTTGCTAATATGCTGTCTAGGCTATCAGAATATTCTCTGAGATGCAGGATAAGTTCGAGGCCTTGATGGTTTAGCTTTCCAGCTAGCGGTCTGGTTGCTGGAAATATCGAGCATTGTGTTGTTGTCTCTAGGAGTAATGACTGTCACTGAGAGCAGTTGGGGCAGGGAGAAGCGGAAGGCGAAAAGGCACCAATTTATGAAACATGAAGTAAGGAACACGTTTTTGCTGCGGTGAATTTTCAGAATATCTGGGTTTTCTAGCGATGGAGTTGCAAACAGTAAATGTTCTCTTTGACTGCAGAGCCATACAAGTATATGAAATCTAAATGGAGATGATGCTCTCGTTCGCATATTTTCTTGTCATTACTGTGCTAAAGATAAAATACTCGTGGAGTAATGATATTATTATACATTATTGATTGTAAGAGAATAAGTATAGGCGGGAATCAATATAAATCAAAGCGCCGCTGCTCCCCGATCATTACAACACCACCATTTTGTCTCTCCTCGCAGGCTCATACAACAGTAGGATAAGGATTCGTAATCTCCAGAATGGCTGGCCCAGCACCAACATTGTCGTCGGTAATGGGGCCTTCAGAGCAACCCGTCAACACAACATAGACCTGGCCATTGACGCCTTCTGGAATGACGACCTTGAAACCACCGTCGATGCCGATAGCCTCAGCAAACACACCACCGGTGACCATTATAAATGCAGCATAAAGATTAGATGATCCGTCAGCACCTTGGAGGACATATCCTGGGGTCTGGAGGACGATTTCGGTGCCTGCTGCGAGAGGTCCAGTCGTGACGAGCGTGATGCCAGGGAAAGCTTTGAATGGTAGTGCGCCGTTGGTAGAAGGGCATGATACGATGAACCCTGCTGCTAAGGTGTAGACCTCGTTGAAGGTCAAAGGTGCGTCGAATGGAGAAGGGAATGGTGCTTGGGCTTTAGCGGCGCGGATATATGCATTGTGTCTGGCTTCGACGGTCAAGATTGACCCTGCTGCTGTGAGACTATTATGAAGCATTAATAAAGCTCTTTTGTGCGACTTGTGGTCCTGAAAACTTACTAGTCTGGCATAGCAATAGATGCCGCTGCACCTAGATATGCACTGACTCCCACGCCCTCAAGAACGCTTGCTAAGGCCACAAAGGATTTCGGATCCGTCGACGGGAACGAGTATGTACATTCCTTGACCGCGGCATCTCCCAGAGCTTTGGTGAGGAAGCCAACGTGGGTAGTCTCATCATACGAGATCTCCTTGAGGTTGGCATAAAATGGGTCAGCGAACCCAGCTGCGACGAAGTCTGCCTGGGTGTAGTTCGCCAGACCTTCTCGGTAGAACTTGTCTTCGAGATGCTCGAGTGTCAAGGCATAATTGAGAATTTCAACTGTGCGATAGAGTTAGTTACAGATTCTATCATTCTGGGCTGGAGCCTAACGGGCGACTGACTGTCTGTGATATCTCTCTTGGTCACAACGGGACTCGCCGTTACCAAAGTAATCGCCGCCAAAGTGATGAGAGGTAGTCGATACTGCATCTTGATCGGCAATGAAAATTGAGATGAGATTTTATACAATATAATTAACTAAGTTGAGAGGTGATGCAACTAAAAATCTTCACTTGAAGAGCCAAATTTGTAGCAGTTAAACAAGAGCAGGAGAGCAGAAAAGCGGATGCTTTAATAGCCCGATAGATCAACAAAAGTTGCAAATTATGGCAACCCAGATTCCGGAGCCCCTGTACATCCGGTGTCGACATTTTGGTCCAGATTGAGTCCATTCCTGATTACACTAATAAATGAAGTATGTTGTGTGATATAGCACCCGAGAGGAAAGACATTTCTTTATTGACTCTGTTCTAGATGTTGAAGATCCGATGAGACAGTACCAATCAGGGAATAAAAGAAAGGTACCACTTGGAATGTTGGTACGGAAATTGCCTTTCCGAGGAGCTAAAAAGTCGCCTACCATTATCAGATTGTGGTGGTTCCAATTGCGGCCATTTCTGCCTTCAAAGAATTCTATGATCAGGATTGACGTAGGTGCCTTTGTGCGAATTGCGAATCTCTCCCGCATTGCTGTGAGGATCTGACTCCAAGATTTATGAAAGACCGTTCCTTGAGGAAGATGGTCAGGTACGGAGAGGAGTGCGGGAGCGGCTAGTTGGGGGCTAGAAGCCAAGTAGGCTTAGCGGCTGTGAAGACTTTCGCGAACTGGCGGCGCGAATCTATCCTCTCCCTCCGTCTCTCGCGTCTCTTTCACGCCTCGAAGTTCAACGTCAGACTTTCGTTCATCTAATCTTCTCGTATCTTGTATCTTTAATGCTCCTTCTGTCGTGCTCCGAAAGCATCCAATTGGCAGACATTTCGAAAATGCGGCGCGTCAAGTATTCTGAATGCCATAGGTACATCCGGTCTGTTCGTTTTCGATGGAATGCCAATTCCTCATCCGCTTGCGACTCGTGCCAGGCTGCATTTGGCCGCTTCATATTCCTCTATCGCCTTTGGCGTCTCAACGACAATGGCTGGCGCTTAGAGTGGCTCTATGTTGCGATGTATCTCGAGTGGTGGCTTTTGCTATCTTTGCTCACTCATCCCGTTGTCATCTTCTTGGAGTTATGTCAGAAGCTGAAGATAGTGGAGTGCTTTGAACCCAGGGAGGAGGACATGTTTTTCTTTCCTCGCCGTAATGCGCTGCGATTCTGCACGTATTACGACTGTTAGATTGCCGCAGCCGCCCAGATGCAACTTCCACCACGATCACTGGGCGGTAAATCCATCCTCCCGGTCATCCTCGAAGATTCTCGTTGGGGAACACTCCTCACCTCACGAAGCCTGGTGGACTCCACCGCTGATTTTCCTCTTCACACGATACTTTCGCCGCAAAGGCCAAGCCCTTGCTATCACTGTTTCCCCGTTTCGATTTCAAAGTCGTATTCAAGGCGGAGTAGTACTACTGTACTATGCTTCGACTTTCCCTCTGCGAAATTTCTCTAATCAGCTTCATTCATTTGCCACACAGATCTCGATGTTCGAAGTTGCTCGCCCTGTCTTGTGCGACGGTCGTTTGTTCTTGAACGCTTCTAGAAACACGAAATCTTACCGCCACCATCTACTCCGCACATACAATTTCCTTACCTTCCGCCTGGTCGGCATGTTTTCTGTCTATGCCTAGACTACCCAATCGCGACTCGACTGGGCCGGACGAGGTACTGCAACATGCGAGGCTATCGATCCTGCAGGCGCTCGTTACCACGTTTTTATCCCGTACAACATCGTCCCAGATAATTCCACTTTGAGTCTTTTTAACGCTATGATCTTCTCACTCGTCATTTTGACACGGATTTACTGTATTAGGAGTAGCCATGAACAGCCCTATGATAGGATTTGGACACCAATCGGATTACCTCTGGCTGCAGAATGGCCACTGACACGGAGATACCCTTTCAGGGTGGGCTTGCTGATGAGCTTCAAATCCTACGATATGTCTCACATAGGTTTTTTCTACCACGGACTTCCCAGTAATACTGTTCTCTTGGTCGATAACTTCGCTAAGCCCTTCCCGCTGCCGCTTCCTTCGTCAATTGACCCTTGAAAATGAGCGTAGGTACATCAATGCGAAATTCAAGTATCTTATCACTTGAAGCATGCTGACTTCCCAGCGGTCCATATCGCAGAAAATGGACTTATTGCCTAAGGAACTGTATGGCAAGGGCGTCTATTCGCCCAGGCCTAAGTCGGTATGTGAACACTCTCTGCTCCCTAGAATCTATGAAATCCTTTTGATATTGGGGGCTAGTTAGTTTGCTGTGTCGAACAAATTCAATGACTTCGAACTGATGCCTAGCAAGTTCAAACACCGTCCATAAGTTCCTATATTAACACTAGGATTCATTGCTCCTCTAAGTACTACAGTACATTCCTATATATGAGCATCTTCCGGACTCATCTCACCAGCATCTCAACCTCAAAAAACACTTCGTCTTTACATCGTCACTAGTCTACAGTCCATAAAAAATATTTTGCAGATATTACTCGGTTCGAATCCAACCCGCCGGTAGCAGCAATCTGCTCTCTGAAAACTTAAACACCCAGTCACTCCTACTCACTCGACAATTGCTCATTATGTCTTCCCGCCCCTCCAAACGCCCACACGGCAGTGGCAGCGGCCGCTCCCGTCGAACAACACAAGTGAGTAATGGCTTGATATTCGTAATGACCCTTTCCATACATCCTTCATCATCACTTAGTGTTGGACTACTTGGGTACTCAACGATGATCGCTGGTTGCTTCCTTTCTTGCTCCTAAAGAATAATCAAGCACATATCTATACTTACTAACATTTATCTAGCAGAGTGTCTCACAATTGATTGACTCCCTCAACACACACCGAGTCAATACTCTTACCGAGCTGCGTCGAATTGAGCGGGTGGCAGCTGATTCATCAGAAGAAGACCAACTTGCATTTCAAGGTCCAATGACGTCTGCTTGGACCTATTATGTAACTTCCAACAATCTTTTGAGCGAACTCCGTGGCCTTACTCGCAATTACCCATTCAGCAGTGAAATGCTAGATGATGCAAAATGGAGGGTCAGCAACGACCCGGATAGCAACAGAAGTTGGAATTACGCTTGGCTTGTTCTGATTAAGATCCAAGACGAGTGAGTTTCAATGTATTATAATACACTAAAAATGTGCTGACTTATCCTGCAGTGCTCTTGTCGATATCTACGCGGAAGCCGAGAGTGTAAAACCCGAGATGTGGGATGGAAGAGTTCCGGAGCCCGAAGAAGCACAGCAACTTGCGGCTTGTTTCGTTTGGGAATGGAAAGAAGCTTTGGACCAAATGCTCCGACATTGGGAAACCCCACCGACTACTACCGGCTATTAAGGCCGTGATAGTGGACGTTTGGCATCTCCTTTATTCAGTACTAAGAGTTATTTTACGCTGGCTTCTCTACTTTTCTTTAGAATTTCGGGTATAGACTACATCTTGCTCTACCATCCAGTTTATTTTCCGGTACAGCTCTGTCCAAAAAGGGCCACTGCATGGAGCAGCATCACACACATTCACTTTTATTTTAGCGGAGGAGCGGAGGCGCACTGGGATTTTCATATGCTTGTCACGGCCGACTCTTAAATTGTTTATGCTGGCATAAATGCTCAATCATGTTTTGGGATAGATATGGGTTGTATTTTCATTATTTTAAAAATCATAGTACTTTGCCTTTCAATCTGTTATAGGCAAAATCGCTTCATACACTCGCCTCTCCTTTATTGTTGGCTGCACGTGACCACACTGTATCATAGATTCAAAAATCTGTTTGCTAGTTGTCAACCCTCAGAAGATCATGGGCAAGGTGCCCGAGGTCCACGGGTATTTCCGAAACTCAAGTGCCTCGCTTATGTTTGAGCTCCTCTCTCTCGTCAATTCGTCAATTCGTCTGAATCTTCTAACGGAGAAGGGCGAGACGAGACGAGATGTGGCATTGGGGGCTAGTGGCCATCCTACGAACAATGTCCTCATACTCCGATCTCATGACTGGAATCACGGTATATTGAAGTTTCCGACGTGTCATTTACCTATCGAATTCGACATAGTTGGGACGACTTCACCAAAGGGTTGGGCATCGACCTAAACGAGTAGAATTCTCCGAATAAGGTAGGAGAATCCAACGAAAGCCAGAACATATTTCGACCCCGTCTCTCTGGTACCGAAACCTCAAGATGCACTCGCTCATCTCGTATATTTGAGACCGTCGGCATTGAAGTGTTTGCCGTACGCTCGCAGAAAAGTCAACCCGAACCGGTCATGAGCGACATAGAAGATACACTACCAGGATACCATCAGGAAATTACCAGGATGTGATCACGTCCCTGAACGTGCCAGAAACCTTCCTCGGAAATTTTTGATTCTAATGCCTGCTCCGTTCTGTGTTTTTGTGAATGCAGTTCCATGGCAAAGCCAAGTGAGCAGCGTACCAGTTCCCTCAAGCAGCCACTTGAGTGTCAATGTAGCACTCGCTTTTCAAGTGGCAGTTTGACAATTATTCATGTGTGGTTAATGCTTCTCCAGTCTCAATGTGACATTAGACGGACTCTCATGGCCTTGAAACGGAGCTTTCCGAGGTATGTTGTAGCTACTAGCTAGTTATGTTGAGCCAGGATACCATCATACAAACTAGTACGCCGGCTTTATGTTCCTCACTTACATTTGCAACACTGTTGCCTAGTTTTACGAAACTTCCATGCATGATCGTAGATTTTGATATCAATTCATGGCATTTTGAGGCATCTCAACCTCATTTACTCTGAACAAACACCTCAAAACTGCGCCAACCTCAAGATAGCTCACCTCTGGATTCTGGATTGAACGTCCGCAAGCCCAGCAGATCATTGATCTCCCAAAATAATGGGTAAAAACTATGTCATCAATGGTTAATCTCGACCCCAAACGTTCATCATCGTTACATTGACAAGCAAAGCCACGCCCACTTTAAACTTCTTCCTCCACCCGCCACCCCCCAAAACACAACTCTGGTATACCCACATGCAGAACAATGGCGTTTCTCATCCCGTCCTCACAGTTTCGAAACCCTCCAGAACCCCCATCTGCCGTCCCAAACCCACAACCGAACGCAGCCAGCACACCCCCCTAATGCGGAAGCGAGCGTCGAGCAACCATCATGCACTCAATCCGCATACGGTAAACAGTCACAGGACGAACGACGCCGATCACGCTGCATATACGACGAGGAGATATCCCGTCCGCACGAGGATCGTTCGCATTTTGCTTTTTCGAGGGATGCGCATCACGTCAGCGAGGGGTGCTAATTGATCTATGTGATGCGAGTCTCAGCGTTTCAATTCTAATGAGCGTTTATTGGTTGGGATGTAGAGGTTGATAGTTGTGGTGATAGGTTAGGATACTGGTCGTCGGAGATGAGGTGATGATGGGAGCACGGCAAGAAGCGAGGTGATGCCTCGGGATTGCCAAGTTTCCGAATACCTTCATTTCTAGATTTCCTAGTATCGTACGTGAGATATTGAATGTCGTTATTTGTCGAATCAAAGACGATAGCACTCAGAATGTCCGTTCTCGCGAGGTTCCACTTGTAGCTGGTGGAGTGATACGTTTTATTCGATGGTTTCTTACTTTCCGTGTCCGTTCTGAATATCGCCTTCTCATAACCTTGTCTCAATTATTGTGACATTTGACACCTGTCCATAGTTGTAAGGCTTTTTGAACATCTAAGTGTCTAGGGTGAGCTCAAGCCGAAATCGATTAGCCTGGCCAGCAGATGGTGGCAACCAGGATTCGCACTAGAAGGTATGCCGACTTAACGACCTTTAGACATACATAGAGTAGCGAATTTGACATACACAGTGTATATCTTTGTTGTTCCACCCAATTTATTTCATACAGGTCTATACATTATCAACTAGTTGCCTAGAGTGATTGATATCTACCTCTCTAACCCGCCACCGAGATTCTAGTGATCCACCAGTACCCGTCTCATAAATAACGCCTGGTAGCACCGCTATGCAATTCCTAACGCCTCCCAATATATACAAATGCCGTTCAAATTCAATACAATCATGATACCTCATACTTGACATGTGGTCAACATGTGAAAGTAAGGATTCTAAGCTGATCATCTACTAGCGCCCCGCTCCGTTCTCGAGATCTTCATCGGTATCCTCTTCTTCATCATGGCTTTCGCTTCCTTCCCAGTCGGCATCTTCTAGTTCTTCTCCTCGTATACCGAAGCTAAAGAGCCAACCAAGGAAGGCAATACCGCCGAAAGTTCCCCAGGCCAGGGCTTCCCCTTTTGGATGAATCTGTGTCGAGAGTGAGAAGAGGCCTCCGGAAAGAAAGGGACCAAGTGCACGCCCGGCGGCGGAGAGCGTTTGAGCAAGGCCATTCAATGTGCCCAGTACTGAGTGGTTTGGCGCTGAATTTGTGATCTGAAAATAGTCAATAACACATTAGAGTCATAGTTATGAGCTTCGGACTTACCAGTAAGAGTGCACTTGTCAACCCGCCAACTGCAGCAACTGTTTTCAGAAGCAGAATTGCTCCAATCTCAATCCACAACCATGTAACACCTGAGCCCCAGCCAAAAGGCGCTGGAGAGTCTCGATAGCCTACCCACGGCATCAACATCATTGAAATAAAGAAGAGGAAAAGTCCGGCTCTGTAAGTTGATTTATTGCCCATCTTTTCCTTTAGTTTGCCAAAAATGCCAACCTGGAAGATAATGGTGATGATTCCAGCAAACGAAAGCGAAAGTCCAATTTCCGCTGTTTTGAGCTCACGACCGGTGGGCGCTGGAGACTCTGCAAAGATAGGATAGAGTACATTGAAGGAGATATTGGAAAGTTGAAACACAAGATAAGTGCCAAGCAGGAGAATTGTATTGCGGTTGAGGACTTCCTTGCCGAGATGTCCTTCATTGTGAGGGAATAATTCTGGAATTGACATCAAGGATTGCGTCTCGCTTGCATTGTCTGAAGCTGAATCTTCTGATGGCTCGTCCATCGCTCCATCAACTCTGTGCCGTGAATGACGACGGATATGTCGCTTTAGATACGTTGGACGTCGCGCTCCGCCTGCAAATTGCCAGATCCAGCTGAAAAGATTCTTGGCGCGGACCTGGAGAGGAGGAAGATCCTTAGCCTGTTCTAAGCTTTCCTCGAGAAAGATGCCAGTAAGAATGAGATCTACAATCAAAATCGAAGCGGAGAAGAGATTCGGTAAGAGAAACGGATAGGGCGCCCCCTGCTTCACCAGTAAACCTCCCAAAGCGGGGCCTGTAATTCCTCCAATACCATATATCACAGGAAGATACACGAATGCTTTACTTTGATTACTTCGATCCGTGATCTCGCCCAGGCAAGTACTGATAACACCCTGATTCCCATTGACCAGCCCCATAAGGGCTTGCACCAATACTGCCTGCCACAGTGTTCGGCAAAAGCCAAATGCGAGGAAACATGCAGCTGTAAGAATTGTACCAAGCATGACTACTGGTTTACGCCCAATCTTATCACTCAACCAGCCCCAGAAGAAGTTGGTTGCGAATTGCGCCAGCGCGAATGATGATCCAATTATGCCAACATATAGTCCCAAACTCTGAACATCGACTTCTGGAAAGGTGGAGGTCATTTCCGGCAGGTAGGGAGATATCGAATTGAGCGCTGTTTGCTCCGCAAGTGCGATCACAGCTAGAATAGCAAGCTGCCTGGTGGGTAGTGGCGAGCTTTGGTCCTCATCGTCGCCAGCACCGTGGTTCAGGGGATTCGAGGAGCCATCTGGATTGCCCGAGGAGCCGGCTGGCGAAACTGGCGGACGACCTCGAGATTTCGGTGGGGGAGTTGGAAAGGTCTGGTAATGTAGCGTCGAAGATTTTCGTCGATCCAGCCGCCCCGGCATTGAAGTATCCTTTGAAGCCATTATTGGCGTAACCGTCTTAGTCACCCCTTAACCCGAGACCAGTCAAACGATAGCGATTCCTCCTGATCGAATCTGCCGTTATATGGGTGGTCGTGTGTGTATGCGTAGTTTGCAACAAGTAGGTGACAAATTCCTAAGGTGGGGAGAGAAAAGACAGCTGGGGTTGGATTTCGAGCTCGAGAAGAATCGCGCGGGGTAGAAAGAGAGGTAAGGCTCTTTCTGAGGTGAACTTCTATTCCATCGTTGCCTGGAGTTCAGATCAAAAGAGTTCGAAGAGGAGAAAGAAAAAGCAAAACCAGGTTAAGAGGTTGGCTGTTGCGGATAGGTTTTCGCGATGACGATGTACCTGCTCAAGACGGGTAGCAGATGGAGTGGACAAGGGCCTGGACACATGGGGGTGGGCCTTGCGAAGTTGCGCCGATTTCGATGCAACTCTACGCAGGAACTATTTTATCTGACATCAACGCTTCACGACCTTGATGCACGATACAAATATATACAACGATGCTTCCCTCCTTATTACCCTATCAGGCAATTACTTTGCATCCGCGAATCGACTTACTACTGATCTGTTCGCTTTACCATCCGGATCTGGCGACTTGTTGCTAATTGGACATATGAACCCAAAATTCCTATCGCGAAGTCCAAAAAAGAGTCTTCAATCTCCGTTCTCTTTCATTCTCGATATATTCGTCAAATCTCTCCACCTTAGGGTCTTGCGCCGTAGCTTGGTATATCTCTGGAGGCAGAAAAGCGCATTTCTCGGGGTCTTTGGCGAGATATCGACAAACGTGGAGATGAAGCAGGATGGCTACTCGTTGATGTCCTCGCTCAGTCAAGCGCCATTCTCTAGACTTGCTACTCTCTGGACAAGAAGTTAGAATTCGTAGGACAAGATTGAGCGAAATAATAATCACCGTCCAGTACGAAATCTTGGGAGGCTACATTGCCATCAAAATCGACCTCAGTATCCAGCCATCCAGATGTGTCCAGCCAGAAAACCGCATTGTCTCCATCACTTCGCAAACGATCGACGACTGCATGAGTCGCACCCTCGAGTTGCCCCCTTAAAGGTCGCATCACGAATATGGGCACGTCGGAAGCTGCTCGCGAAACCAGCTTCGAGTTTGGAGAAAAATCGATGACTGCCGTAGGATATTTTGGATATGCGATAGATCGAATAGCTCTGATCAGCGAAACATATGCATCCTCAAAGGTCTCAGACAACTCCCATATGGACTTCTCATACGCCTGGGTCGAAAATGATTGCCAATCAGCATTCCCTAGGTTCAGTACCTGTTATCTCTCTATTAATATAGGCGACTTTCCTGAATTCATTGAGACGACTTGCCATTACATCAGGGATGTAATTTTGGAACTCCCATGTATCCGTATAGTGCTCCGAGCCAACGGGGCCACTGCCTGCTCAGTATCAAGTATTGGAGGCAGACCTGAGGATTGCATACCTCCGAAAGAATAACTCCGCAATTGTTGCTGGATCCCCCTTTCCGCCTATGCAGTTGGGAACTAAGCACATTCCCCCCATGCCTACCGATGCATGATCCGCGTCGAACATTTCCCCGAGAAGATAGTCCCAGCCCCTAATACCTTTCAGTATGTTGTGCGCCGGCTGGTCTTGATTATCTCGACCTTTGCTTCCTGCAAATTTTGGTAGGTCCGTAATGATCTCGATCATCTTCCTGTTACTTGAGTACTTATTCTGACCACTTGATGACAATGACTCGGCTTGGCTGTCAAGTACGTCGCCCAAGGAAGATGGGGCGATCAAGTGAGCATCTTTATCCAGATAAATGCCCTCAATCTGTAATGTTTCCACCCTGCCATCCTGTACCATAGGCGCAATGACTCGTATAGCATGTTTTTCGAGCGGATTCAAGTTTCTGTTGCGTACTGAAACAAATGAAGCTGCATCTCGGAAGACGAGGTAATCATCATCATCGACCTTAACAAGGAGAGAGATAGGTGGTACAGACGACACTTTGCTCCCAAGCAAGTCGCTTCGTCTTGCTGTCGATTTTGGCGCGAGAGGCGCCTGCTGTCCTTGTTCTCGTTCTTCGGCGTTCCCAAGCGACAAGAACAAGTTGGAACTTCCATTGAATTCAAAGTCGAAATAGACACCTCATGCGTCAATTAGTTGCCTATTCACAAGAACAATATCTTTGCTTACCCGGGAAGCACCCATCTTTCCCAGTGCCGTTTACAACCGGCGTCCATCGACCTACAAACTGAATTTGTCAACGTCTTTGTTTCTTCGGTACACGGTATTACGTACTCTGAAATAGGGATGGCTGGCGTTGATGAATTGTAGATTTTTGGTACCTGGAGTCCTTGCGAGTGCTTGGAGTCGGTCCTGCTGGCTATGCAGAAAGAAGCTAAGCAGGAACGCAGAACCGAAGAAGCCAGAGCATAAAAAGTCCCATGCCAATCTTCGGTGAGACCTAATTGCTGCCTTGAGATATATGATCCACTTAGAGCTTCTCTCGATGTCGGCATCAAGGTGGGTGGAATATAAAATGTCGCTGTTTGTCTCCAGACTTGTATCTGACCACACAGAAGAAGATTTCCTGAGGCGAGTCTTGTACTCGCTGCTGTCTGGTGTGACGGGCTGCTGTGGCATTTTGTTCGTGGCTTGTCCTGCGAATTCAATTTCCAAGTCCATGTCGTTTGTAAAATTCCATAACGTAGTTGTCTTCTTAGGGAAGGCACAGCCTTGCTAGCACCGAAAACCAGACTTACCTAAATGTGTCATTCCTTCTCAACTTGGCGAAGTTTCGCCAGTCGGGTGTTGGCGACGTTCAATTTCCTTGGTCCGAGTATTGCCAAAATGCTACCCTTCTAGCTGGGAGTTTCATCTCACGTCCTGTGTTCGTCTTGAGGATGATTCAACTACGGAGAACACTCTTGCCACTGACACTTATGGCAACAATTCTGTTTTTATGGCATAGCATACACTCCTTCCGAACACCTCGATTGTATAACACTCATGAACCACCGAGATTATCTTTAGCAGTCAATCACCAAGAAGGACATGAATCTAGCCAGACGTTCCTTGCTGCTTCGAGCAGCGGTACGAATCAACCAACCGCTGATGTTGTCGACGAAAATAATTATCTCGAGGAGCAACCAATGAAACTGCCTTCTAGAATCTCAGAACTCGCATCTTGTCCTCGGGCTCCAAACCTGTACACCAATCACCTGAGGCTACCCAATGCATTGTACAACATATCGATGAATCCTAGAGCAGGTACTGATGATGAAACGCGCATTTTCTGGAACCCAACTATAATCGCTTTGCCATCCTGGGCTAAGAATCAGTACATTGTTGTTTCCATGGTCACGCCTGATAGAGACCCCTTAAGGCGAAATGTTATCTGCGAAGCCAACATCTGCCAGTCAAATTCTAACAGCTCTCAAGCAACACTACGGAAAGCCTGCTCTGGGGAAGAAGTTCTGTCATCACGGTTCAAGACAACCTTATGCTGCGAATCTCCTCCGCGTGAGTTGATAGTACCAGCAACTCCTGCTTCTGCGTGCGAGGGAAAGGAGCAGATATTTGCAGATATACCGGGTTTCCATGATCCTCGATTGTTTTATTCGGCTCGAGGGGAACCTATTTTGATGATTTCATCCCAGTGAGTAAAGCAGTCTTATACAATTTGGAAGTTATGTTAACAATTAAATTTGATCTCGTTATGCTTGTATTGGTTTATGGGCCCTGGATCTTCGAATGCTTCATCCCGACCTAATTAGCGTATTTTCATCATCGCCTAAGAGGCTTGGGGCGGGACCGTTGGTGTCGTATCCGACCATCACCGAGTTGACCAGGAATCCAGAATCGTCAAGAGAGTCATACGAGAAGAATTGGGTTATGTTTTCAACTAGCCCATCTACCTCCTACATACAATACGAACTGAATTCTACTATCCGCACAATCGCGAAACTAATTGGCGGAGGCCTTACAACTAGTAACATCACCAGTCCTTTAGAAGAATCCTGTCTTTCAGATCCGACTCCGGAAGAGTTATCGAGCGGAAAATATACCTTAATGACAACCTGGCACCAGGCTACACCATCATTGAAACTGATTCTATGCTCACGCTCCAATCTGTCTTGCCACGATGAGCCGGAGATTACAGTATTCATTACAGTCATTCATCGAAAGGTGTTCGACATCTTCCAGCTACCAGCAAGATATGAAAGGTTCATGGTCATATGGTCTGCAACTCCACCTTTCAATGTCCTGGCAGTCAGCAAACATCCTTTGTTGTTTGCAAATGAGACAGTCCACGGGTGGACAGCCGAAGAATCCTGGGACGACGTACCAAATGTAGAGCCAGAGAATCGCAAGCATTGGGCTAGATTCACATACACTACGACCATTGGGTATGTATGGGGAAGTGATAATGGCGATATAAGAAATATGGGTGTGGGATACCTTGATGATGAGGTTTTATTAAGTGTGGGCGTTGAAGATGAAGGTCAAGTTTACGGAACGGTCGTGGTGTCTGATCTTTTGCGATGCTTGAGGATTTGTCCTGGATTTTTGTGAAAGTGTTGAGACTTGCCAAGCTGACACTCAGACGGCTCTTTCTTATAGTCATATGTTATTGAGTCCGTCAATCTTGGCAGGCTGAGAACATGATGTATCTGTAGATCTGGAAGACGGTGTGAATTTTCATTAAGTTCCCGTGCTAAAATTTGATAAACTGCCTCAGTCATGACCCTTACTTGAAATCATCACTGGACTTTCGTGTGTTTTTGTGCTGTTCCTCCGCCTTACATGGTATCCTAAAGCCTCTTCCTCTCGAAAGGTGTAAATGCAACCTCATTAAGCTTTTCTTCACTGCCAACGATTCTCAGTATTGATTGGTAGGTGAAGAAAAATTTACGAGTCATTGTTGCAGCTCATAATGAAAGCACGACAAAGATGAAGAAAGTTCATTGAATTACTTGAAAGCAAGTGAAGATAACAAAGATCTCTTGCTCATAACCCGTATCTAGACGCCTCATTATTGGCTAATTTATCCGAGATATTTGACTCTCAAAGAGCCATCCAATCTCTGCGACTTAAATCATAATTTAGAATATCGATATTTGCTTTATGCCAATACTTGACATTGTCGTAAGAAAGAGACACACACTGGATATAGACTGGACTCTAGACTGAATCAGAGCACTCCTTCAAATGGTCTATTATCTTGACAATAGTAGGTTGTTTGATTCACTTACATAATATAACAATTGCCATTGTCTTTCTCACTTCAGCGATTGCTCCTAACGTTCAGGTCTGATCGAGACCACAAGTGTATGAATCACAATACTTTCCATGTCAGATAAGGATTTCAACCGTGAATGTCATATATTTCAAGCAGGTAACATGTATAAAGAGTCAATTATCAATGTCTTTCTTCTTCTCCGAATCCAGTCATCCAAGGCAAAGGATTCAAGCAGAGTTGGGAAAGAACAGCACATTCGGTTGCAACACCTAGGTATGATATCTGTTCAGCACGTCATTGTCAATTGCAAGCCTAACATCTCTTTGATAGAAAGACCCATTTTGGAACAGCACTCGGACCCGTTCATCATATCATCATATAAGCAAGCGAAGTTTCAATCTGAGAAATCCAACGTATTCATCACGGCCACATGCACACCATGGGTCAAGCATCTTCGTCACCACTACAATCCCCATACAATCAAGAATTCCAAGAATTCCAATTCAATCACGAACCTATCTATGATCTACCAGATACAGATGATCTGCTCCGCAACGTGAGAATCATAGCCAGGGCAACTATCATGACATGTTGCAGATGTGGTGTCCGGACAGACCTGCCGCATGGGACGATGGGGTCGTGCTCTCATTGCCATCATGATGAATGCAATGATTGTGGCTTCAACTAAAGAGATCATTCCCCAAGGAAGCTTACGTTCGACCAAACATTTAGCTTCATATTTTCCTAGATAGAACCTAGGCAATAGACGGTTACAGTGTGATCCAATCATCCGCGTCTGCATCATCAGACACGAAGTCACGCAGCAAATTAAATTACTACATTACATCGATCATTTGAACATGAAGTGATACATATGCAAGGTACGCTTTTGAAGTGATTGGTGGCACGAGAACCCTAGACTGGTGTCTCACTACTGGAACCGTCCTGCTCTCGCTAAGATCATTTCCTTCTGAGTGGATAAATGCTACTTATGCTTTATCGCTGTGCAGGATTTAAATTATCCAATACCCCTTCCCCATGTCTTCTCATTTATCCTCGTGATAATACTCTCAATCCTCTGTAACCCTTGATAATATTCTCCTCGCTTTCTACACACTTCAGCGCCTGATATCTCATTAGTATGCATCTCAATCGAGACGCCGCTACTAAGTTGCTTTGCACTCTATCATATAATTCTTTAACTTTTAAAATTTCATCCAACGCAACCTACAAGGCTCTGAAGTATTTTGTGAGATGAGGTCTGGGTGCTTCGAGCGAGTCTTTGGATGCTCCACTTTTCGTTCCTTCCCCTCCCTGTTGTACTTTGCAGCTACAGCAACATCCCATGACACCTTCTCAATACAGAAGTCAACCACAAGAACCATGCAGCTAGTCTTTCACATTGCAGGAGATCACGCTTTGGTCTTCAAACACAAATGCTTATATCTGTTGAAGCATCCACAAAAACGCCATCAAACGCCACAAGCGTTGTAGAATGCTGTAACTACCTACACTTCACTACTATATCGCGGAATTTATTATGATGGTGCTGTACTATCAGTTTGTGAGTTTTGCGCTCGCGATATTTTCTACGACTTCACTAGCTCAAAACTCGAGTTACGATGTACTTGATTATGTTGACCAGTTGATTGGGAGTGCGAACGGAGGTTCGTATCATCAATCGAGCTTCACTTTTTGCTGAAATGTTGTAGGAAATGTCTTTCCAGGAGCGACAATCCCTTATGGAATGGCCAAAGCATGTCCAGATGTTGACTCTGGTTCAAATCAAGGAGGCTTCACAACTGAAGGCGGAAAGGTCTTTGGATTCTCCAGTATGCATGACAGTGGTACAGGAGGTAGTCCTTCTTTGGGAAACTTTGCACTGTTTCCGTACGCTGGCTGCCCTGGAGATGACATAAACGGATGTGTCTATCCCAAAGACTTCAGAAAGATTCCTTATGTCAACACTTCTGTCAAGGCATCTCCAGGTTACTTTGGAATACAATTAGCCAGCGGAGTTCAAGCAGAGATGACTACATCTCAACATACATCGCTGTTTCGCTTCAAGTTCCCACCGACAGATGCCAGTGGAAGGGCTTCGAGTCCACTCATTCTTCTGGATTTGACTGATCTTTCAAACTCAAGACAAGACAATGGGACCGTCAAAGTGGATGCTAAGTCTGGAAGAATGACAGGAAGTGCGCGTTTTTTACCTAGTTTCGGAATCGGAAGCTACACACTTTATTTCTGTGCCGATTTCAAAGGTCTAGTTCGGGATAATGGTGTATTTGTAAACACTCGTGCGAGCGCGGATGTGAAGGAGTTGACCTTGGCACGCTCTATCAATGGGTATCCTCTACCAGGCGGCTCGTTCGTGCGGTTTACTTCCCCAACTTCCAACGGAATTCTTGCCCGGGTTGGAGTGAGCTTTATCAGCAGTCAGCAAGCTTGTTCGAATGCTGAATCTGAAATACCTACTTTTGATTTCGAGGCTACACACACTGCCGCCAGAAATCTTTGGGAGACAAAAATCAGCCCAATCAAAGTATCGACCACTGGCGTCAACTCCTCTATGCTAAAGAACTTCTATTCCGGGATTTACAGAACAATGGTTAACCCTCAGGACTACACCGGCGAAAACCCACTTTGGAAAAGTTCAGAGCCATATTATGATTCGTTCTATTGTATATGGGACCTGTTCCGGTCTCAAATGCCATTTTTGACAATCCTAGATCCGGTTGCCATCACTAGACAGATAAGATCTCTGATCGATACTTACAGACATCTTGGTTGGCTTCCAGATTGCCGCATGAGTCTTTGCCAAGGATACACTCAAGGAGGGAGTAACGCAGACAACGTGCTAGCAGATGCATACCTAAAGGGAATTTCAGATGGAATAGACTGGGAAGAAGGATATCAAGCTGTTGTCAAAGACGCAGAAGTCGAACCTTATTTCTGGTCTGTTCAAGGCAGAGGTGGCTTGGACTCGTGGAAGTCACTCGGTTACATTCCGAAAGAAGATTTCGACTACAAGGGGACAGGAACAATGACAAGAAGTTTGTCCCGCACATTGGAGTATAGTTATAATGACTTTGCAATTACTCAGATTGCCACTGGACTTGGAGGCAAAGATGCTGACGTAGAGAAATACATTTCACGCAGTTCAAATTGGCAGAACTTATTCAAGCCTGATCAGAGCGGAGGTAGTATCAAAGGTGTCGACACTGGATTTCGTGGATTTCTGCAGCCAAAGTATCTTAATAAGACATTCGGATACCAAAACCCTTTGGCGTGTAGTAATGTCGACACGGATCCGAACAGCATTTGTTCGTTGCAACGAACTGCAGGAGAGACTTTTGAGAGTAGCATTTGGGAATACTCGTTGTAAGTAACTCCCTTAACCGGCTGTGTTATCTAGAAACTGATCTATGCAGTTTCGTCCCTCACGATCAAGGAAGACTTATAACTAAACTTGGTGGCCCCGATGCATTTATCAAACGTCTTGACTATATGCATGACAATCAGATAACATATATTGGCAATGAGCCTGCGTTCCTAACAGTTTTCCAATACCACTATGCAGGAAGACCAGGATTGTCAGCGAAAAGATCGCATTACTACATTCCCGCATACTTCGGTATTACGCATGACGGACTGCCAGGAAACGATGACAGCGGCACTATGGGCGCATTTGTCGCCTTTTCCATGCTCGGATTATTTCCCAACCCTGGCCAGAATGTGTACTTCATCATCCCGCCATACTTTGAATCAGTCTCAATCACCTCGCCACTGACGAACAAGACTGCAACAATTAAAAACGTCAATTTCGACGCGACGTATAAAAACATCTACATTCAATCAGCCACGCTCAATGGCGAAGTATACACGAAAAACTGGATTGATCATTCTTTCTTCACTGAAGGCAAAGAATTGATCCTAACTCTTGGGCCGGCTGAAAGTGCATGGGGCACAAGAGTTGTGGATCTGCCACCGAGTCTAGGGAAATACGAAGGCTTCACCAATTTCACTGGCAACTCAACGGTGGAGAAAAGAGCACAGGTCTTTGCTAGTGTTCCGCTTGATAAATTGACAGAAAAGACTGGTGCTAAATATTGGGCTGCTGAAGAGGGCTGAGTGAGAACCATAGAATGCTCTGCAAGAGCTTAGGAGAGCAGATGCTCGTTTGAGATATGTTTGAAATGAGTCACTGGCACTTGCCAGGATTGGGGAAGCAGCGCTTAATTATATAGTGTAGCAAATTTGCTTCTAAATCATTCATGTATATGAGAGACGCCTTGACAAGTAATTGCTCAAATTCAAAACACTAGTATATAACATCAACATCCAGAAAGCAGAAACAAACGCCCTCATGAGCTGTGATATTCGCAAAACTTCGAGACAAACAAAGCTTTCTGTTGTTCAATCATCTCGTTCTCCTCCACATTCTCCCCCTTCTGGATCTTACTCCTCGCTTCTCTCCGCGCATCATCAGCTTCCCAGATAAAACCAGGAGGATTCGAAGCACTGTATTACGATTAGCTCTCACTCCAGCAATATATATATGTCCACTCAACGTACCCAAATAATATCGAAAATCTACTCCCCTGATCCATCCCACCGTCCTTGAATAATCCCTCGTTATGCTCGATCCCGGCTTGCACGAGTGGGCAATCATGGGTCGTGCAACTTCTTTGCACGGGTAGCTCAGTGTTCTCGATGGAGAGAGTGGGAACGTTGAATTGGTTCGTTGTTACTGCGGAGGTGTTTGCGGTTTGGAATTCGGGTGACTGGGGGAGGTTGAGAGGCGCGGTGGGGAGGGTTGCGCGGCGGGGGGCTTTGGGTTGGGTTTGGGAGCGGAGGTGGGACATTGTGAGGATTTGAGTGTGTTTGATAATGGATGTTTGATGGGTAGTATGGTGAGTACTGTGTGTCATGATAATGTCGAGGTTGAGGTGGGTATATTGAGTGAGGAATGAACAAAGAAGATGTGGATTGCTGAGACTCTCTTTGTTGGCCGAAAGCATGAAATTCATGGTTTTCCACAGTCATACCCGAATTCGCATATAACAAGTCGTAGAACAAATTAGCATCCACCACTCCCAGCGGCCGCGACAACAGCAGCAGTGCCGTAGTTGCGTCGTTTCTTTGGATGCTGGCTTCCTCCCCAGCGCCAGCAGAAGAAACGATGAGAGCGGTTCTCATGCTCGATTTGCTTGAAATTGCTACCGTAGTAGTTTCGATCATATCGGTGCTTATCATTACTGAACATGCTTCGATCGCTGATGACAAGTTAGTTTGGATACTCCTTCGAGGGTTGTTGGACATACCCGTAGATGAGAGGGCTTGCACGTGCTGAACTACCCATTTTCGAGTCAATGTAGTATAATTTGAGGATACCAAGAAGGCTAAGATGTGATCAAAGAAGAAGGGTGCAAGAGATTTTGATCTGCAGTAGATACTCCTACGGATATATGAACAGGCTGAAAAGTGTAATACTGAGATAACCTGGAGGAGTAGTAAAATGGAAATGTTGTTTTCAACAAAGGAAATTAACAATATACTTATAGCTTTACCCCATCAAACATATTGCTTACTGTAAACACAGACATCTTGTAGAGATGCCATTGCTAGATGACGAGTCTGAAGAGGGCTGATGTTGACTCCACAATGGAACGATACCTCCGTGGATGAAGTAAGCGCATCTCATTGCTCGGTTCGAGACGACTGCCATTTGATCCTATTCCGGGAATGCAAGAGTAAGCAAAACGATGCTCTTAACGATGCAGCCGAGTCCACGGCACAAACTCGCACATACTCGGATGCTTGCCACAAGAAATAAAACCGCGTTCATTGTGGCCAAATTTGAGGCCGAAGTAGTCGTTTCCTCTACATAGAACGGGGTGCTTGGCTTGGATGCCAGCTACACGCGCGTCGGGTGGCTGACGAGGGCTTCCTTGGGTCGCACTCTTTGTTTTCCAAGGCTTGCTTTTGATCATAGCATTTGGCTCATGTTGCGTGTATGTTGCGTGTATGTTGAAGGGATCTGTCATTTGAAAGAAATTTATGAAGTTGTGTCGCTGACGATGTTCTGTTTGAGGGTTCTCGGCTTCGAGATGCAGGGGAAATGGTGGTCGCGTCGTCCACCGGACCTCCAATAAACCTCGAGAACCTGACAAATGTACCACACCATCTTCAGCAGTTGTTAACAGCCATTGCCCAGATCACAGGGCAAAATCTCTATCTGCCAACACAACACAATCGTTTCAACTTCTTAACCGGCCACCGATGCTTTCGTCGGTCGTTCATCGCGTGGATTGATCCTCCGTAACGCATTTACATAAAAATACGAAGTACACTTCCGAACCTCGTCCCAACGCTACACGATGAGCCACAAAAAGGAAGCAAGCCAGAGTCGGGAGGGTCTGCTTCGATCGTATGACCAGGGAGAAAACATACCTTTGCGAAAATCTCTTGAGGAAGCCTACGCATCCGACAGCGGTTCCGACATCGATGCCACCGAATTTCTGGACCGAGATCCTCTCGCCGAGCAGTCGCAGCCAGCAGTTGTTGCGTACGGACCAGCAGCGAGGTTACGAAACCTTCGAACGGCTTTCAACCGGCGGTCAAAATGTGCGATAATCATTATAACTGTCTTGGTTGTCATATGGTCCATACTGGCAGGAGGGGGATTCTTCCTGTATAAGAAGAAGCCGGTAGATGGACAGTCACCACCATGGTATCCCACACCACCTGGAGGAACGGTCATGCAATGGAGCGATAGTTACAAGAAAGCTGCCGAGTTGGTGAGAAAAATGAATTTGCTGGAAAAGGTCAACATCACAACTGGCACTGGTTGGCAGATGGGACTTGCGGTTGGCAATACCGCTCCTGCGACGAATGTTGGGTTCCCAGGATTGGCGTTACAAGATGGACCTTTAGGACTGAGATTTGCGGATAATGCTACCGCTTTTCCTGCTGGAATCACGGTTGGCGCGACATGGAATAAGGAGTTAATGTATCTCAGAGGTAAGGCGCACGGAAAGGAAGCTCGGTTGAAGGGAGTCAACGTGCTATTGGGACCTTGTGTTGGGCCGCTTGGACGAATGCCTGCTGGCGGAAGAAATTGGGAAGGATTCGGAACCGATCCAGTCTTGCAGGGAATTGCCGCTGCCCAGACGATTAAAGGAATACAAGAGGAAGGCGTCATTGCTACTATCAAACATTTTGTCGGGAATGAACAAGAGCATTTCAGGCAGAGTTGGGAATGGGGTTTACCGAACGCAATGTCTTCGAACATTGATGACAGAACGCTCCATGAGATGTACGGGTGGCCGTTTGCGGATTCCGTAAAAGCTGGTGTGGCAAGTGTAATGTGCTCATACCAGATGACGAATAATTCTTACTCCTGCGGCAACTCCAAGTTACTCAATGGATACCTTAAGGATGAATTGGGATTCCAAGGTTTTGTCCAATCTGACTGGCTTGCTCAACGATCAGGGGTTGGAAGTGCTCTAGCCGGGCTGGATATGAGTATGCCTGGAGATGGACTAATCTGGGCAAACGGGAAGTCTCTTTGGGGTCCAGAGCTCACAAAATCAGTCTTGAACGGCTCTTTACCTATTGATAGGCTTAATGACATGGTCACCAGAGTTGTGGCTTCTTGGTATCAACTGGGACAAGATGATACATCCAGATTTGATGGAAAAGGGCCCAATTTCAGTTCTTGGACTAATGATAAGCTCGGCCGTATCAATCATGGAAGTCCTGATGACAAGGATGAGAAGGTCGTCAATCAATTCATTAATGTCCAAGGAGATGGAGAAGATTCTCACCGTATCATCGCGCGAGAAGTCGCTACGGAGGGTACCGTACTCGTTAAGAATGATGATAATGTTCTGCCACTTCTTAGAGACGGTTGGCTGTCAGAAGATAAACACGAAATCAAAATGCGTATAGGCATTTTCGGCGAGGATTCCGGAGCTGGCGATGGTCCCAATGCGTGCGCCGATCGAGGTTGTAACCAAGGAACATTGGGTTCTGGATGGGGTTCCGGCGCTGTGGAGTTTCCATGGCTGATTACACCTGTTGAAGCTCTCAAGGAGGCATTCAATAAAGATCGCGTTTATGTCACGGATTTTCCAACAAACGCACCACCTCTGAAGAAAGCTCCAGCGATTTTGAAAGACCAAGACTTCTGTATCGTCTTCGTTAACGCCGATGCTGGTGAGGGGTTCATTTCATCTGGCGGTATCAAGGGCGACAGAAATGACCTCAACATTCAGAAAGGTGGAGATGAATTAATCAAGAAGGTCTCAGAAGGCTGTGGAGAAGGGAATGGGAAGACCATTGTTGTAGTACACTCGGTCGGTCCAGTTGTGGTTGAGAAATGGGTCAATCTGCCTGGTGTAAAAGCCGTAATCATGGCCAACTTACCTGGCCAGGAAAGCGGTTATGCTATCGCAGACATTCTTATCGGAAATGTCAACCCTAGTGGCAAGCTCCCATATACGATTGGTAAGTCTCTTGATGATTACGGCGAAGGTGCCAAGATTCTGTATTATGCCAACGGCGTAATACCTCAACAAACATTCTCCGAAGGCCTTTACATCGACTACAGACACTTTGACAAATTTGGCGTTGATCCCACCTACGAGTTCGGTTTCGGTCTTTCATATACTACATTCGAGTATTCGAATCTTGTGGTGAACAAGCTACGGGAGAAGACACCGCTCCCTTCTCCAAGACCTACTGGTGTCCAAGCCCCGAAGTTTGACACAAATATTCCAAGTCCAACCGAGGCCTTATTCCCAGAAGGCTTCAAGAAGCTGAAGAAGTTCATCTACCCTTACATCGAAAAGGTGTCCGACATCAAGCCTGGTAAATATCCATACCCAGAAGGATACAATACCATACAACTACCCTCAGAAGCCGGCGGTGACGAAGGCGGAAACCCTGACCTGTGGAATGTCTACGCGGAAGTATCAGTAGACATCCAAAACACTGGCACACGAGCTGGCAAGGAAGTCGCGCAGTTATATGTCAGTTACTCGGACGTCACGGGTGAAGCGAAGAAAGTCGACTTCCCCATCAAAGTATTAAGAGGCTTTGAGAAGGTCTTTTTGAAAGTAGGCGAAAAGCAATCTGTCAAATTCAATTTGACGAGACGAGATCTTAGTTATTGGGACGTGGTGAGGCAGAATTGGGTTATGCCTAGTGAGGGACAGATTACAGTGAGGGTCGGGGCTAGTTCGAGGGATTTGAAACTTACGGGGTGGTATTAAGGGCTGGGTTCGGATATAGATGGTATATTTGGAATGGGTAGAAAAGGGTACGGGATTGGTCTGGTTGTATTTATTGGAGCTTGGGAGTTGGGATGGCTTAGATAGATACTCCACTAGCTCGTGGATACATAAGAGTTAGTGAGCCTTCAACTGGGTTTTATTTAGATTAAAGTTATCAATGTAAAGTCCTGATTTCAACGATATTCAAAGTTACGTCCTCCGAACAAAAATTCCATCAGACTCTAAACGAAGTAGAGCCCCAAATCTGTATCTTATTTAGAGTTTGCTAATAAAAGTCCTCGATAGTGACTATTCAGTGGACTTATACTGTAATCTCAGGGTATCAGAGCCTGTGACTTCAGCGTATGTACCCTGAAGCTCACTAACTGCGATATGCAACAAAAATTCGTGTGGATGATGTTTCGGGAGGCGAGGGTGAATGTGTGAGGTCATTGGTCTGGGATGGGGAGGAATGTTTGCAAAGTTTATTTGGGATAAGGTTCGTTCTTTGAATACTACGTTATGTTCTATCATTCCCCAATCTTGTTCGGTGAAGAGTTGTGGTTATGCCAGATACTGCTAGTGGTGGGAAGTTTAGTCGGAGAATAGAAAGACCATTCGAGAGGTAGGTAAATATTAGCATCGAAGAGGTAAATCGGAAATTGAACTTGATATGTTCTCTATATCTATTGATCACAAGTTGTCCACTTCTAACTGTTCAAAATCAAAAGATCTCCCCCCATCCCTAAATCAGAGATACTCCCTAATATTCGCCAAATTAAAAATCGCACTAACACCATACCTCGCAGCCTCATTTGTCGTAATCCACGGCGCCTCTTCCCCCCTATTAAAGAAATTAGGCGGTTCTGCCTTGATAACACTCCAGTCGTGAGCATCACTATATCCATCCGTCCCAAAGAATTGAGCCCACGCTGCCTTTCCGCGCTCCTCACTCTTCTCTTGCGCGGCCACTATAGCCGTCAAAGTAGAGTGACTCTGTCTCCAAGTGGCATCGGGCGGGAAGGTGAAATCCCATTCGAAGCCATATTCCTGGACTTGGACCTCGCGGGTGCCGTTGTAGGCTTTCATGTATGGGAACCAGGCTTTGCGCTTGAAGGCTTCGACGCTTGATGCGTGATCGTCTTTTGCGTAGTCAAGTAGCTCAGTGAAGATCTCGGGGAAGCTGAACAGCATGGATAAGTGAGAGATGGCATGGTCGGGCGTCGGAGGAGGACACACGCGCATCTCGCCTGTCTTGGGGTTGAATAGGGCAGCATTGTTTGCGATACCGTGTGGGAGACTTGCGATGCCTTCAAGCAGATGAACTAAGAGCTTTCTGGAATTCTCCCAGCCTTCAGTTCGTCTCTCCCAAGCTGTAAGCCAAGCCGCAGCTAATGGTCCACAGTCAAGGCCTATGTTAGCCATCGCGAAGTCTTGCGGTACATCTCCGTGTTGCTGAACCTTTCGGTGCGAGTCTAGGGCATAGAGAGCATTCTGGCAAGTTGAGAGCTCTTCGATGAGATCGCCGGTGCGCTCATCTCCAGTCAAGTAAAAGTAGATGCGTCGATACAGTACGTTCGATATGCGTAGCTGCTTTGAACTGTCGCTCCAGTGCTGCACACCATGTCTGGTTCCGAACCCTTTGAATCTCCCCGTATGGTATACGTCCACCTCGGAGGTATGTTGGGTCATAGCTTCAGCCATTTTGAAAACGTCTGCTCTACCGGTGTGAAGGAAGTAGAGCCACAGCCAAAGATCTGTGGAAAGTTCGGAGTTATCCCATGCAAAACCTCCCACATCGTACCTCCAAGCATGCCGGTATGCATCGTATGTGTGCTGCACATCACCATAATCCCAGAACCCATACCACCGATGTTGTTCCACTTGTTTATTATAGAAATTAAATAGCATTGCTAGATTTTGCTCGACATGAAGCTCTTTCGGCGATGGAAAATAGCTGGCATTACCGTTGGCATTGTCTGGAGCCCAGCATCCATGGAAGACACCTGTGGCGTGCATGTATCCCGGAGTAGGAACTAAACGTGGCGGATCTCGAACGAAGCTTGAGAAAGTACTCAGTTCTTGATGAGTGGGTGTTGATGTGAATAGTTTGAGGAAAAGCTGGTTAGATCTTCCGATACCATTGGCCGTGGCTAGGCCGGGCTCGTAGTCTTCATATGTCACATCTAGTCCTTCCAACTGTTTGCTGTAGGTGTCAAGTCCCAGTCCATCGTGGTAGGGACTGGTTTCGAGAGGTTCGGCAAGAGGTGAATACAGCCATACCGTCATGCTCGCCGTGTCTGTGGTTAATCCAGAAAGATCAAGTTGAGTGGGATATCTTTCCCAGAAGTCGACCATGGAGACAGCCAAACCTCCATTTTGGGCCGATCCCACGTAACTCGTTCCATCTGCTCTGCTTCCTGCTGTCACTTTAACCCAAGAGCATCCGGCTTTGGTGCGCTTTTTGAGATTGAAGCCGTCTGATGACAATTGAGAGAGAGTATAAGCATCCCACGATGGAATGCAAGCGAGACCTTTTGAAAGCTCGGTCTTTTTCCATTCTTCCTCTGAGAGTGTAACATGTTTGCCGGCCGTTTGATCAATTCTGTTCTGCACAGTTGGACCGAATCTCAAGCCAGAAAGCCCTTGTACTTCCTCACCCAGAATGCCTCCTTCACACCCACCAAAGCGAATATGTCGGTTGTAGAGTTCTGTCTCTCCAAATGGAACATGGAACCGAATTCCCAATGATGTCAAGGATTCTTCACAATCCAAGTCGTGGGTAAAAGAGTGAACAATTCTTATGGTAGAGGTATTTTGGTAAACGTATATTCTCACGTCGAAGGGAAGGTGTTCATCGCCGCTGGTAGACACTGTCACACCGGATACTTTGATTAGGATTCGAGAGAAGGTCGCATTTTCAACTTCTACCTGTCGTACAATAGTGTTGAAGGTTTTCTTGTCGATTGAAGCAATGATATCAGCCCTAGAACATACAATTTGCCCTTTTATAGACAAGTTCGTGAACAAGGAGGAACTCCCAACAGCTGGAAGCTCTAACTCCAACCCAAACGTTGTCTTAACTTTTTGTTCGACAAAGGGTGATAATTCTTTAGATCTTTCCGCTCCTTGAACCGTGTAGTTCTCGCAGTATTTGATATTTCCGCTCACAGAATGTGCTGTCCATTTCAGAGAGCCATCAGGCCAAAAAGCGATCTCTCGGCAATCCAAGGGATATGCTTGACCGTTTCCCTCGAGCGTAAAAGTTTGCCCTGATTGATAGAGACCCTTAGCCCATGGCATTCCAAAGGAAATACCATGTGACAAGACTTTTTCGTCCCCTCCAGTCTTCAACCAGCGTAGATTCCCGACTGACATTTTGCGCCACAATATGGACGGACGCTTGATCACGCGTCCAGTGCGCTTGGGTGAAAAATGCTACGAGTAAGGTTGCTGAAGTATGGCTCGGTTTTTGTAAGGGGAAGTTCAGATTAGAGTTCTTGGAAACGCCAAAACTTGGTTAAGACAGGGCAGTGTGCTTGTACGAACTAGTTATTATATTTAAGACGCAAGATCAAGGTCTACTCGGTGTATCGATGGTCCATGGTAGCAGAGTCCCCCGTACTCCCCCGTATCCTGGGTATATACTTCGTATACCCATGAATAAACACCAGTGAGGCGTCTGTGCTTTACACTCGACTTTACCTTGTACAGTAATGATGAGTCGAATCCTCAACTGCTTATTGGCGAGAAATCCTTGCTTACCGTAACTTCTAGAAGACCCACCGGTGTTTATTCATGGGTATACGAAGTAGAATGAAGCCTCTGGGGTGCCTAGGTCGGGGTATCATTCTCTCAAATGAACGAACCCCCACATCTTGGGCTGCACGCGCAGCGCAGTAAATTGCTCAAAGTTGATTTAGGGGTCTTGGGAAGCTCAAGATGTCATGCTTCGCCGGCTTGGATTCCCCAGAATCAACCAACTGCCCCGCACTTCCCCGGGTTTGCCTTGGATGTGGAGTCGGCATGCAGGGACTAAGTGATATATTTGGTAAGCGTGCCTAGAGAGTATTCATCAAAGTACGAACCCAGATTCAATTTCCCTCCAATAATGTGCATTAAAAGATGATCCCATAATTGTCTGTCGGAGTTTGTAAGTTGCTTCAATCTCCAAAAGTCCAGACACATTGCGCGGAGGCACGCACAAACAAGGACTGGCCAAGAGGAGGCGCAAGAGCCAAGATTACCACAAGAGTAATCACGCTGTACACGAGGTCAAGAAAAAGATTGGCAGAGTTGGCGAACTGGCGATAGATATATTTGAGGAACACTTCTTGTGTCGAGTATCTGGACACTACTCAGGACTCAATTGCCATACTCGTTCTTATTGCGTTTTCTCCTTTTGTTGGCGATCTATCAATCTTCTTGTCTCCGTGGAGGTCGTTTCCACATCAAGATGAATCCAAACAACGAAAAGGGTTTGGACGAAGCGGACGTCTCTCGAGAGGAGATGACGGACGTCAAGCACCCCGAGGCATTTGCCGATCGTAAAACTTCTTCGGCAGCGGTAGTGGAAGAATTAGAAAGAAAAAGAACCATGGATGAGGACATAGAGCATCACCACAATGCTCAAGACACTTTGAAAGGAGCTCAGCAGGCGACGGATGGGGAACACTCCATGACAATTGTAATTAAGCGTCCTACAGCCCACTGCTCACTTAGTAGTCGTTACTGATAATCAATAGCGAGAAGGGCTACGCAAGTACCCGGCAGCCTGCGGATGGTCGCTTCTTTTTTCTGCTGCGTTGATCATGGAGGGTTTCGACAAAGCTTTCTTAACAGCCTTCTTTGCGTTCCCAGAGTTCCAATTACGCTATGGCGAGTTCCAACCCAAGACAGGGGAGTATGAAATTCCTGCCAGCATCCAAGGTAAGATTTAGCTCTGAACATTGTGCAAATGATTTTGGCTTACACATAGATAGCGGGCATAACAAATGGTGTTAATGCTGGTCAAATAATCGGTCTTCTCGTCAATGGTTGGCTTGCGGACCGGTTCGGATATCGATATGTCATGCTGGGATGCCTCTTTCTGATGGTCTGTTTTATCTTTCTGCAGTTCTTCGCCGCCACCATCTACATGTACATGGGGGCTGGTGTTCTGCTCGGCGTGCCTTGGGGTGTCTTCCAGACGTTGACCACAACATATGCGTCCGAAGTGACCCCAAACGTGCTTCGACCTTATCTCACTTCGCTAGTGTCTATGTGCTGGAGTATTGGTTATTTGACGGGGACCAGTACGTTACAAGGTTTTCTGAAGATGAAAGGCCAATGGGTAAGTCGCAAATTACTCACTGGGATTGTGACCGATCGCTAATCAATCCTCAGGCCTACCGTATTCCCTTTGCTCTTCAATGGGTTTTACCAATACCACTCGCTATTGGTATATTTCTGGCGCCAGAGTCACCCTGGTGGCTATACCGACGAGGCCGCATTGCAGATGCCGAGAAATCTCTGCGACGATTGCAGTCCAATGTGAAGGAAGAGGAGCTGGCGAATACCATGTCAATGATGGTGAGTTATCTAACAATATTCTCGTTGCCTCAAACATTTCTGACGTACGCTAGGAATACACCATCAAAATCGAGAATGAAATGGAGACCACCAGTTCTTATTGGGACCTATTCAAGGGCGTCAACCTGCGTCGGACCGAGATCACCGTCCTCACATATGTCGTCCAAGAACTCTGCGTACCCCTTGTATCTTATATCGTCTACTTCTTGAAACAAGCCGGCTTGCCCACAAGCATGTCGTTCACTTTCGGAATTATACAGTATGCCTTGGCCATTCTTGGGGTTGTCATCGCGTGGTTCCTTACTCCTAGAATTGGAAGACGAACACTAATTCTCTGCGGTACCTTTTTCATGGCCTCGACTTCAATGCTGATCGGTTTCCTCGGTATCCCAGATACAACGAAGCAAACCCGACTTGCCTACGCAATCGGATCCATCCTTCTTATCGAGTACTTTGTCTTTTTCATAACCTGTGGTCCGATCATTTACACAGTGGTGACTGAGATTCCGTCGAACTATCTTCGAACCAAGAGTGTAGCTCTAGCTAGAGCAACATACAACCTCAACGTTTTGATTTATGGCCAACTTGTACCTCGCATGATCCAAAGAGCGGCTTGGGGGTGGGGCGCCAAATCTGGATTCTTTTATGGAGGTTGTATGCTCTTTGGCCTTGTTTGGGCCTTCTTCCGCCTTCCGGAAACCAAGGGCCGTACCTTCGCTGAGATCGACATCCTTTTCAAGAACGGGGTCAAGGCACGAGACTTTAGCAAGACCAAAGTCGACCTTGCCACACAGACGGTTTCCCGAGACGGTGAAGTGGTAGAGGCAAAATATGTTCTCTATGTATAGTAGCTTGGCTTTAATTCGAGTAGAGGGCCATGTTCGAAAACAGTCGTAATTATCAAAGCAGTTTCATTGAAAGGCTATGTCCTGTTGAATTCCAACTTTTGTCCGAGTCTGAGTTTGAGACCATGTCCAAAGTGATTCTCATGCAGTACATTTTGTCGGTACATTAGATGCCCCCGGCAGCGTTTCGTGGGCTCTCGTCTTCATCTGTTGCTCCCTTTCTCTTTCTCTTGAGCTACAATTGGCAAACAAGCTTCCCAGCGGCCCCTAACCAAGATTTGCTACTGTCTGTAGACCGTGACATGAGCTTCATATCGAAGTGCTGTTCTCCAGGTTCATATGGCGCCGCTAGCTGTCTTATACAGCGAAATGAGACCTAGAGCTTTGTTTCCTCAGTAAACCTAGCTGTGAGTTGTAAAGAAAGCAACCATCGGAGTACTAAAAAGTTAGCAGCGCGACGCACTCAATTTTTCCGGCGTACACGACCTTTGCAATATGCAGGAAAGCGCAGGATGATTAACACGCCTCCTGGGAGTTACTCAATCACCCGGTAGTTGTGATGCCTAACCAGGGGAGCAGACGGGATATCTTCCACAGCGGTCACTGCTGGCCGTGGCATCGCGCTCGATCATCGCGTCAAGAATTATCGGTGGCTTTGACATCATGCTGTGCCGAGAGAAAGGCAATAAGGAAGCCCGTTAACGGTGTTGAGGTTCGTTTGGTTTGACGATGCTACTTTGTCAAAGATGGAATATGTTGTTGACGGACGCCCATGTATCCAAGGAAGCACCAGCAGCATTGTCGTAGGCATGAGATCATTTCGCTACTGGAAAGATCACGTGTTACGGTTAGCATCCCAATCACGTGTAAGTCTTATATCATGTTTGTCACTTTTGATTTGTTCAAGGTTTCAAGAGATGATGTATACAAGCCCCACCTGGGAAGTTCACTGAATGCACGAATTCGCTGCACAGCATTCTCGTTTTATTGAATATTAGCAGAAGAAACTAAACTCCGTTTATGTAATAATGATAATATAAATTCTAGCTGTGGTAATACAAATGCTTTCTACTAGGTTAAAGTCCTTCCACGGACAGGTTGCGAAGCGAATGGACTTTCTACCAAGCTTGTCGAACTTCGAAGAGGACTTCCGGGGTGTCCTCGTGGGCTACCCATGAAACTTTCTCTCGAACTGACAGGCATATCTGTCACGCATTGTCGTCTCGATGATGCTGGTATAGGTTCCTGGTCTCTCACACTGCCCCTTGGACTCCTCAAATGGCTCCATTGTCCACTGTTCTTTTTCTCAATGCCGTACACGCGCTGTGCTGGCCCTATTTTCTGACTAACGCGGGGGCTTATTACGCTTGTCCTCGCCGATGGTGTACTCATAAACTCAGGTAGTTTGGGTTTCTCATCCGGAAGTCCTTGAAAGACTGTTTGTGCCCCCATTGGTGGCCCCCCTGACTTTTCGCCTGGTGGTCCTCCTCCTGCCATACCCGGTCCACCCATGCCTGGCGGGCCCCCCATGCCTGCTGGAGGCCCTGGTGTCTTGAATTTTGACTTCTCTCTCAATTTTGCGCTGTATTTCATGAACACAAATGGCACTGGTATAGCCAGTGTTGCAACGCCAGCGAGGATTGACATAGCAGGTCCAATACCAAGATTATGGAACATAGGTTTGGCAGCAAGAGGCAGACCACAAGCTATAATTGATCGAAGAATGGTGTTTGCTGCGATGGCACTTGCGGCATACATCAAATAGCAGTCGACAAGGAAGTTCATACATTGCTGGAATATCACAATAAAACCAGAACCGATGAAGACAGTGGCCACAACAGGCGAGGCCCACTGATGAGTTGTTAGCAATTAGGCACTCCAGAGATGGGAATGAAACGAACATGTATATTTGGGTCTGCGGTCCATCCAAACCACCATAACCCAATTGCAAAGAGCACGCCCCCATAGGCCATGGGTGCTAATCTTCCTTCGGGGACTGGGCGACCCTTTGCTGCTGCGACTAGCCTCCCGTAACGAGGCTGATTTGCAATGTTGATAAAAGTCGCAAGGACGACTCCGGTGAATATCCCCAAAAATGGAAGGGTACTGACGACAGGTGACCATTGTCGAGTTTCCAAGAAAACGATGGGGAGAGCCACGATAGCTAGATACAGGACACCGTATGTGAAAGAGGCGTAGAATCCTATTGCTATAACTATAGGTTCCGTCAACATCATACGAAGAGGTCTAGACAAGTGTTTCGTGACAAGTTCTTTTGCCGAAGGCTTCTGTCTCTCCGATGGGTGGTAAAGCTCCTGATTTCCGGTAATTATTCTGCGTTTGACTGCCTTTGCTGAGAGGATTACCGCAGATGATGTCTCTGGGAGAGCACCAAAACAGACGATCAGAACCCCAAAGGTCCACATCGCTGAAATATATTCACTCCATCTCCAACCGAGACCAGGGCTGACGAGCAGTGCGGCTCCAATGGTAGGACCGAGTGTAGGACCTCCCACAACAGCAATGGAGAAAAAGGTTACTGCCAGTCCTCTATCCTTTGGAAGATATATGTCGCCGAGTGCTGCAGCGACGTTACTCACTGGGGCCGATGCAAAGAGCCCCGTAAGGAACCTAGTTACAAAGTATGTCGTGGCATTTCGGCTTAGAGCACTCCCAATGGTAAAGCACCCCATACAAAATACAGCAGGTAACATTGACCACCGTCTTCCATAAAGCTCCGACACTGGAGCCCAAACAACTGGACCAAAGGCAAATCCGAGACTATTCCACGCAGGTCAGTGATATATTTACAGACGGTGAGGGCAATACTTACATATATAGCGAAACACCGAGGACTGTTAGTTCTTGACTAATACCAAAGTATCTCGAAAGTATTACCTCTGCAGGAGCAACTATACTGGATCCTAAGGTAGAAGCGAGAGACAACATGGACAAGCAAGATGTTATCCACATCTTGTAGTATGTGCCAAAGTTGATTGGATTGTCGGGGTCATTAGGTCCCTCCCAGTCGATGAGGTTTGGGTCTGGTTTCCCACCTGGCTTTCCCCCTGGCTTTCCACCTGGCTTCCCCCCAGGATACGGTGGTGGATCAGCTTGAGGATGTCCACGAGATTCGCCTGGGCGACCTCGAGGTTCATCATAATCATCATAATCGCTATCTGCGTCTTCGTCGGCGAGGGTTGCACTTGACCATCTTTGATCATTGAAGGGAGAAGCAATGTGTTTTATCCAGATGTCGTGGTCTATACGCGGAGCTGCCGTTTGGTAAGAAGCCATGGTCGATGGTCTTGGTTCCATAACCACAGTTCTGGGCAGAATATAAGAGAGAAAGTGCAAGACTACATAACCACGAGACAACGGGAGGATATGGGGACCATTTGAGGAGCAGTCGAACCATTTCACATAGCCCAAGGCAGAGCCCGTGGTCGGTCATTTCCAACAGTGATGAGAGCATCGACAAGCGTAGGCTCGGCGAATGCAACAATCAATAATAGCTACTCGCAGATCAATGACGAGGCATTGAGATGTAGATTGGTGAAGCTGTGTTGGAGGAAATTGGTTGTCACTCGACAAATGGAGGGACCAACGACGCTAGCGAAGCCCGATACGGACAGCTTCTAGCTCAAGCTTCTTGACAACACGAAACCTGACGCAACTGTTTCCTTTGCATCGTTTTCATCGCCGCAAGCTCGTCGCCCCCATCAAACATCTGTTCAAGTTAGAAAGGCCTGTGCATTGCGCTCTTCATTGAACTATTGCTTTTACAAAATCAATTGAATCCTTCCTATCGCAATTCACGATGTCTCGGAAACACGCTGCAGAAGGGATACTCAAAGACAAGCAAATCCGGCTGCGTGCACAGAATCTTATATAATGAGCGGACGTCCGCTAATACCTAGAAACGATATCCCAATTCTGCCTGCGCCATGGGTCTTCGCAAAGCTGTCGATCGATAAGCACGATGTTTACTCGCATTTTCTGGCGCGAAGTTGGAGTTGTAAGAGCGGAAACATGTGGACGCTGGAGACCGTTTGTCATACAAACGAGACATCTTGGAACACCAGACCTCTAAATATAAGACGGGTCAAAGTTGGAGCGTCAAATTCTGTGGAATTAACTTCAGAGCCCAATCGACCAGAGAAACGCGGCGGCTGAGACTGCCAACCACGAATAGAATCTATGTGGCGCGCCCAGAAGAAACGCCCAACCAAGCAGATTTGTTCCTCAACGGCATGGCGAACTATCCGAAGGAGTGCATCAAAATGATGCTTGTGCAGTCTACCTAGACCAATCAAGAAGGAATTCGAGTTTGGCTGGGATATTTCCATATGTTAGGACAACTCCTCGGGGTTACATCTCTGTTATTACAAGCTGCCAGAACTCGGCGCGAAAATATTCGACAGGAGGCTTTCTGTATCACAGGATTCAAGTGGTCTGGAAGTGAAGCTCACATTTTTACTGCTTTTCGCCATATCTTTATTCTAAAGCTTTTCCTAGCTTTGAAGCGTTCACGTCTCGCAACCCTGGTAGCTTGATCTGCTTGGTGGCGTAATTCCCAGGCACCAAATGGAAGCAAATCTTCAGCCCAAGATTTGCTTGACATTCGTGACTTCAGCTGTTAATATGCCAAAGACGGGACATGGAATCTCGCGGGTGGCTGCCACCCGACTGTACCATCTAACCGTCTTGCCTTTGCGATCACGAAACTTTCTCCTCATACCTTCATGTTCAATTTTTTTATTTCAAGATGAGGTTGTTTTGGCTATACATTGGCCTCGGTCATCTCACCTCCATGGCCTACACTCAGTCATTGTATATAACAGATCTTCCTGCCTATGCAAGTCTAGTGCCATGTGCGGCGAGAGGGCTTTCCTATGCGGTCCAGTACATGACGGCCAGCAAGTGCCCTACAGACCCAGTCGCACTTCAGTCGTGTAAGTCCATGTCTTTCCTATCATTTACTACTCTCTAACTCAGAGCCACTGTGATGACTCTTTTACGAGCCTCTTTACCCTGGGGGTTGTCGGTGTTCTTGGAGAGCGTTGCTGATGTGGGAGTCTTGCTTCATAGGCGCTTGCACGAAGGACAGTAATTCGAATGCCGTTGGTGCCAGCATAGGAAGTGAAGTGCGAAGTATGTGCGAATCGACGGCCTCAGATGATGTTACATCAGCACAATCCGTCTTTGGTGTATATTGCAATCCTGGAGCACCGGCTCCAACTCCTGCCCCAAAGGCGAGCGGTGGTGTATCTCAATACATTACCGAGATAGCTCAATTTACAGATCTTGCGCCCTGCGCTCAGTCTGGCGTGGCATATGCCGTCCAATATCTCACCAATAGCTTGTGTCCGCAAGATGCTGGGGGACTACAGAGCTGTGCTTGCACAAAAAATCAAAATTCTTATGCGGCAAGCCAATCGATCAACAGCCAAGTTGGGTCTTACTGCGGAACCACACGTACGGCAGACAAAGCATCAGCTCAAGCAATGTTCGCAGGGTATTGTGGTCTGGGAAATGGAACAAGCGTTTTTCCTACGCCTACTTATCTTCCAGGGGCTGTCTCGTATTATATTACCGACCTGCCTCAATATTCTTCACTTGCAAGATGCGCACAGTCGGCAGTGTCTTACGAGATGTACACATATGCTTCCAAGCTCTGTCCCGCCGTGCCAAAAGCTCTAGTATCTTGTGTTTGTGTGCAGGATAACAATTCAAATGCTTATAATGCGGCTTTGTCGACCGAGGTTAAGTCTACATGCGGGTCGACGGCAGCTGCCGATATTTCAAGCGCTTTAGGTGTGTTTGAAGTGTACTGCAGTGCTGGAAAGGGACTTGTGACGCCACAGGGAGTAACTGCTTCTGGTAAGCAGATGTTTGAAGCTCTCTGGGCTGGGCTAACGTTAAGTAGCGACTCTACCAGCAGAGACCAGAACCGGTGCTACAGGTACGAGGGCAACAACAGGGCCTGGCGCAACCAATACCGGGTCAGCTGCAAATTCTGGCAATACGGCCTCAAATTCGGGTGCCACTGTGACGCGTATCCCTATTGGCCCTATCGTAGGGGGAGCCGTTGGGTTCATTGCATTAGCAGTCGCAGGCATTCTTACTTTATGCTGCTATCGTCGACGGCGCAGGAACCGAGTCCCAATCGTCGCCCCTATCCACCAAACCTCCGCTCCAGATACTTCAAACTTCGGCAAATTTGAGCTCGCCAACAATGAAAGTAGTGCTGCTTACACCAGCAACCCCGTCATGAGAAAACAAACTCCAATGTCGGTCCTCAATAGACCTGTGAGCCCAATAGAACGGAGCCCAGGACCACCGGCCTACACAACGCCTACCCCGAATTCTAGCGAGATGATGGCCCCGATGGGGCCCTATAGAGCTGAATTGCCACACGCCAGTCCTGCTCCAAGCAGCGCTCAAATGTCGAATCTTGGAGGAAGAAGTGACGTTCCGTTACAGGAATTACCGCCTTCTCAACAGTATCAACCATATGGGCAACCACAGCAGTATCAGCCGGTTCAACAGAACCCAAGTCCATTTGTGAGTCCTCATCCTAGCCCGGTACCTTTCCGCAACGAAGTACCCGGGAATGCTCCGTCTTCGAATATGCAGCCAAGCAGACAACCACCGGGATGCAGCCCTCCAGCTGGGATGAGTGGAAACAATGCAGGTCCATATGAAATGAGTGGGCAGAGGTGGTAGGGCAGGGCATAATATGCGAATATGATGGTAGTGTTGGTGCAGTACAGAGTTGAAAGTGGAATCTTGTAAAAATGTACAGATTGACGCCCACAAGGTTGTGGATGTATCATTAATGAACTGCATGTTTGCCTTTTAGATAGCATCAGAAGACCATGGAATGGAGTTTGGTGGAATTTTTTTAGCTAATTGACAAATATCTACATTGTTTGGACTGCAAACGGGGTTCGGGGCTTTGGTAAATCTCAGTGAGTCTTGTATACCGTATTTTAAGCACTTGGCTCGAGCTTTTCATTGAAAGAGTTCCCAACTCGCAGTTGGAGGATAGCTTTAAGAGCTAGAAGTCACTTTATCACGGCGTTTCGGTATGGATACAGGTAGGTTCTGGATTGCTCGTGTTTAGTTGTGTGTATGTCTATTAATTCGATGTGGTGTTAGGGTGGTTCAATCACAAACGAGCAAATGGCTACTTTATAACAAAGACATTGTTTTATTTAAACTTTCTAAATCCCAACAAAATGAATGACCAAGGAAAGGAGAATCCTTTTGTTCAGATATGGAGATCAAGGAAACGATATAAAGAACGGAGCATATATCACTTACCTCATACTTACCTCACTCTCACCTACCTCTAAAAGAAATTCCCCTCCCCCCTCTTCCATCCCGCCTCATTCAACTGCCTCTTCAAGACCTCCTTCCTCCGCTCCTCAGCCGCTCTCTCCTGTCTTCGTCTCAGCCTCGTCTCCTCCTCCATCGCAGCCCTCTGTCTCCCGATCTCCGCATGCGTACAGTCCGGACATATCTCTCGCGGGTAAATCACCTCGGCGTGGAACTTCTTACATGGCTGCAGGGTCTCGTGCTTGTGTGCCAACATGCAAGCGCGACAGCCGCGTAGGTTCTCGAGTTTGTGGGTGCAGGGGAAGATGATGGTTAGTTCTGCGCAAGGGGACTCGCGGATGCGGCGGAGGGTTTGGTAGGTTTGGAGGGTGTTTTGCCAGGTCCCTGGGGCGTAGACTGGGGATGCTGTGCGTGACATGATTGATTTGATTTTTTGGATTGTTTTTTGGGCTAGTTTGTGCATTGGTTGTGTTTGTTGGGGGGTGTTGGGTTGGAGGAGGGGGGATTTTTATGCTGAGGGGACAATGGAGAAGGAAGTTGAAAGACATTGGGACTTTACTGTTCTCTTCTTTGTTGGGGTGTTTGGAACAAAGATAATTGACAATGAGCTTGTGCTTCTTTGGGGTGGAATAATGGTTCTTTCTCCCCCTTTCTTTGCTCGCTAAAGCTTCAGATCACAAAGACTGTTTGATTCATGATCATTGGTTGTTAAAAGATAATCTTGGGTGGAGTTCTAATGCAGCTGTTACCGTAACATGCTAGTCCACTATCGTTCTATCGTTCTGAAGCACGCCAAAGAACTGAATGCTGACCTTTGCTTTCCACTTCGATTTGTATCGTCCGGCCCGATCCGGAACCCGAGTTCCGCGCTGGGGAAGAACGATGTCAGTGACAGCTACGTGGGACTCGTTGCTTATTACTCAAAAAATATATCTGAGAGAAATGCGTGTCCGTCGCCACATAGTATAATGCTCAAGAACTGCATTTCTCAACTAATGTCTGGTTAGCATGCAAAACGATGGAAGATGGAGGTCCATACGAATTTGTGGGTCTAGGACGAATCAAATGTCAGTTCCCCCACGATTGACCAAACGTCAGACAAATTGATGTAGCTCTTCGTTCACTCAACATCAGCGACACGGTATAAACAGCATCTCATTTCCCTTCTGCTATCAACTACTAGCGTTACTATCTAGTCAGCTCCCCGTTAAACTAAAGTATCTCTCTGGTGGAGAGTGTCAACCAGTCTCGAGCAGAATGGCACCAATCTATAAGTTCGCAGTTATTCAACTCTACCCAAAGGTCTGTATATTTCATTTTCAGACATAATCAAAATGTGTGTCCACTTCTCAATGGGTTTAGGTTATATATATAGCCGACTCCTCGATTTCTTTGACGAAGCATCTGCAGCTTGAGCTTGACGGAAATTCACAACAAAAATGAAAATTCACAGCTATGGCCACTAAATTTCTCGCTTGCATACTTCGTTGCTCTGGTTCAAGTACTATATACTGACTTTTCACGTATAGCCATTGGCTGCAGAAGCAAACCATGAAAAAGCTGTCAGTTTTATTCGAGAGGCTGCATCACAGTCATGCACACTCGCTGTATTGCCAGAATACCATCTTACAAATTGGCTGCCTGATGACCCTAAGTTTGGTAAGTGTAGTGACTCGCTCCAACTAGTTTGGGAAAATAAAGTCACTTAGATGGATTGTCTCACTAACATCAAACAGCATCCGTCTGCGCTCAATCGCAAAAGTATCTCGATGCATATGTCGCCCTTGCTAAAGAATTGAATATCAATATTGTTCCTGGCACAATTGTCGAGAAACATGATGATGAACTACATAATGTAGCATACTTCATATCGAATACTGGAGAGATCCTTGGTCGATATCAAAAGAAAAATCTCTGGCATCCGGAAAGACCGCATCTCACATCATCTCTTCACGAACCCCATGTAGCATTCGACAGTCCCATCGGCAAAGTTGGCATGCTAATCTGTTGGGATTTGGCATTTCCAGAAGCCTTTCGCGAGCTCATCGTGGGAGGTGCAAAGACAATCATTATTCCAACTTTCTGGAATCTCTCGGATTGTAATGAGGCTGGATTGCGTCATAACCCTCAAGCGGAGGCTTTATTCCTCGAGAGCACTCTTGTCAGTCGATGTTTTGAGAATACATGTATGGTTGTGTTTGCGAACGCTGGGGGGCCGCAGGGTAAAGTCACCAAAGGGACTTATGCGGGTTTAAGTCAGGTTGCTGTTCCGTTCAAAGGTGCTTTGGGTAAGATGGGTGCCGAGGAGGGTATGAGTGTTGTGGAAGTCGATATGGAGATATTGGAGCAGGCGGAAGATAACTATAAAGTCCGGGCTGATATGCAGAAAGAGAGTTGGCACTATGAGTACACGATCCGACGTGATGCGGGGGATGAGAAGAGCAGATTGTAATTCTAGGTCTCTAATTAATGTGTTTGATTTTTTTGGAAATATATCGGGAGATAAGTCTAGCGCCGTGAAGATGGAAAACAAACATACTTCCTAAGCAAAATTTTGTAATTGGTTTGATTACTTTGAAATAGGTAAATGGCAGGTGGTTGAGGTACCTATATGTTCAATAAAATGCTCGACGATAAACATATTCAACAATTCCACAGATTTTACATGACTTAAAGGTTCACCTATTCAACGTCTCGCAACCTTTTACCAGTGCAAAAATCGCAACTCGCATCTCGCAAATTGATGAGACAATAGATCGCAAATCCACCTGGGCAACGACCCGGCCGTGACCAGCCGAAGATAAGCGAGCCTTGGGAAATGCTTGACCAAGCCACTTCGACTTCCCTCCTGATCTCACCTCCATTCGAAACACCATCCCGTTACAATCAACAACTTTACGACCTGATGAGTAAATTCGATGGTTTAACTTTGCTCCTATGATTGAATCATCCGATAATTATCACCAACTTGCGCGATCTGGTCAATTCTCCGCTTTCAATCGATTCTGCAGCGGCATCAGTGCGCTCGAGGCTCCAAAAAGTCGTGCGATTGGTTCTAAGGGGTCGTATCAGGATGGCATCAATGACACTCTTCGAGTTTCAAGCCGATTTCATGCCAAGCCATCCGATCTTCGAAACCGAAAATCCCCAAGATTTGGGGCCTCACTTGCGGTGAAATACTGGGGAGATGGGATGTTCACGGACGTGGCCGTTTCATTGCTGCTGATTCCTATTTTCGACCGGAGCTGAGTCGGTCATCTCTGCTTTTCGTCTTTCATCCTTCTGTAGAAGTCGTCTCTTCCATCTTCCTTCTGCAGGACAGCCAAGGACTGCCATACTTTCATATCTCTTACATTTTCGTTTTCATTCTATCGTGAGCACTTCGTTCTCGATTAGCACCTTTGACAGGTTTTATTAATTATTTGTTCATTCTCTTCATACTTTGCGACCCTTCCATTCATTCCGATCGCGCCCTAGACGGTGTCATCGCTGGTTGACATTTTTTCGATTCTTTTACCCCAGTATACCTTTTTCAGACTATTATAATGCGCTTTACGACTTTATCATGGCTTCTTCCTTTAGCACAGACAGCCATGGCTCTGGATGTCGATCCAAAATCGTCAGGTATACATCCAACGACGTTCCTCGTCTGATGCGACAGCTGACGAATAACAGACTCGATAAAGAAAGCAGCGAGCACTGTTGCTTTCGACCTCATGTCATATTATACAGGAAACAAAACCGTACGTCTTCCACTAATTTGTTACGCGCATCGCTAAATATCTCAAGGGAGGCATACCGGGCATATTACCTGATCCTTTCTTTTGGTGGGAAGGTGGTGGAATGTTTATGACACTGATCGATTACTGGCGATATACTGGAGACTCATCATACAACGATGTCACATCGCAGGCTTTACAATTCCAAGTTGGCGACCAAAGCGATTATATGCCAGTTAACCAAACTAAAAACGAAGGAAACGATGACCAAGGGTTTTGGGCAATGGCAGCAATGTTAGCAGCAGAGACGAACTTCCCAAATCCACCACCAGACAAGCCACAGTGGCTCGCTTTAGCGCAAGCAGTCTTCAATGAGTTTGCTTCAAGATGGGACACTGAGCATTGTGGGGGCGGGTTGAGATGGCAAATATTTCCATTTAACAATGGGTTTAATTATAAGAATAGCATCGCAAATGGTGCATTCTTCAACCTCGGTGCTAGGTTAGCTCGCTACACTGGCAACGATACTTATGCTCAATGGGCCGAGAAGATCTGGGATTGGGAGGAGAACTTAAAGTTAATCGACGTTGACTACAACATTTTTGATGGTGCTACGATTGAGCAGAATTGTACGGTTCTTACGAAATTTCAATGGACCTATAACGCTGGTATTTATTTGCACGGTGCTGCAAATATGTTCAGCTACGTACGTATGTTCCATCTGGGTTAAGTATTTATACTAATGAGTCGTACAGTCAAAAGAATCAGCCGTCTGGCGGGAACGCACCGGAGGAATTCTCAACAGGACCACCGAGATATTTTTCAACAATACAATTATGGAGGAGTCAGCTTGTGAGCAACCAGGAACATGCAACACCGATCAACTGTCATTTAAAGCCTACTTGAGCTCATGGCTAGCGGGAACTTCGATCCTCGCCCCATTCACTCTCCCTACCATCGCTCCCCTTCTCGCTTCTTCAGCCATCGCCGCCGGTCAACAATGTAACGGGGGATCAACCAGCAAATGCGGATTCAGATGGACAGAAAGAACACGAAATGACGGAAATTTCGGTATCGGCCAAAGTATGAGCGCGCTAGGCGTTATCCAAAGCGCCATGGTTTCAGTTCCTCGAAAAGCAGTCACTACACCACAACAGCCGGGCCAGTCGGGGACACCTACAAGCGCAAACCAACCGGGCGGTACAGGCGAAGTCACTGTCACGGATCCATCCAACCCTAATGCTCCTGGCGAAGAGATTCCAGCGTCTTTCATTCCGGTCACGAATTCTACGGGTGGAACGAGTGTTGGAAACCCAAATGCGGGGCTTTCTGCTAGTCAGCAGGGTGATATGATGACGAAAGTTATTATGACCTCGACAAAGGATACGGTTGCGGCCAGCTTTTTGACGGTTGCTATGATTGGGGGTGTTATTGGTGGGACTTTCGTTATGGTTTTTGAGAGCTGAAGTGTTTATTTCTAAAGAGGTGAAATTATTTGCTGGTGATAGTGCATATATTCAAGGTGACATAAGGAAGTCTGAGAGGTATTCAGGCTGGCACTTTGCGAGCATTTCTAGACTTGAGACTGGGATCTCAACATATACTTCATTATGTATATGAATTGTACATTTTCTTCATGGGTCAGGGCCCTTTGTATATATTCCTCACCTCGAGTATATGTTTTAGTAATTTTACGTCTTACGGTGACTTATCTAACCTACAAATCTCACTACTATTTTTTCTATGTTGGCGAGACAATAGACGCTGTATTCCCGGTCAGTTGAGGGGTTTCAACGGTTGTGTAGGGTTTCTCACTGAGGTGTAGAATAGAGCTTGTAGGATTCTCTAAGTAAGCTAGAAGGTAGATGTTGTACGAGACCTGTGTGTAATGTAGCGACGGTGCCAAGCCATACAGAAAGAATACATGTTTTCATGATATTGGATATCCTCATCTAGACTTGCCCAATGTTCCAATGTACCTATTACTACGATGGGTGCAGTTGAGATTACGCCATTTAATACGGCTCAACTACGTCGAATCTCGTACTCACCTCAGACTACATCATTAATCGCATTAACACGTTCAGATTACCTTCTCAATAAAAATGGAGTGAATTGAGGGAGAAGGGACAATGTGTCGAAAAGTACGGGTTCCACTCCCAAGGAAGAAATTAGAGCTTCTTGGTGTGTGGATTTCGAAAGTGTAGCGAATTGAAAATGCGGGTTATGAGATGGAGAGATGTACACTTTAGGTGAAGAAAGCATGAGGGGAAGATCAAGGCGTGCTGGAGTTTGAGAGTTGAATCACGTATTGAAGAATGTAACGAAGTGTAAATTATTAATCGACTACGAAGAAGAGGTGCTAGAGCACGCATTTTTAACGTAATATGTCAATATCGGAGATATAAACTTTACGGATATCGATGGGACGAGAAATTGGAAACCTTTTTTTTGTGGGACATAGATGTGTATAGCTGGGATGAAAAGAATATGAAAGTAAAATAAAATAAACTTGTTCCAGCTTGGAGATTGTTTCTGGGATACTTGGATTAGGTTCGAGGGGAGTTTTTTGATGTGATTTGTACGTATATGAACTGAGTCAATTAGACGTCAGGAGATGGGTGACTGAAGCAAAATGACGTGAGAAAATGTGTTGAGGTAAGTGGGTAGGATGATTTGATAGATTTAGTTGCTATATTGAATTTAGTGAGGTGAGAGGCTTAAATGGAATGAGTTGGTTTAGTGGATTAAGTAGCCATGATGAATTGACTTCAGCTAGTACAATTATTTGAGTGCGTATCTTAAACTGAGCGAGCATTATGGCTTAAGAGAGTATCCAAAACTTGGGGTGTACAATAATTTAAGGGTTTATATGATGTGAGTGGAGATGATGAGTATGATGATGATTAACTGGGTTACCGTTAGGTAAGTATTCGCATTCAATTCCACTCCAATTCAACTTCAACCAGATATGCCAACTGATATGATATGTACACTGAGCAATCTTCCTATCCCGCCATACTCCTTGATAGGCTTCACTACTTGTACATCTGTGTCAGCGTCTGCATGCGTACACGCCAGAGTTACAATATGTTTTCCTCCTGAGCCCGAAATTCGTTTTCAGCGTCCTCTATTACAATCGTGAAGACTCGCTGTTTCATAGGTTCTAAACGATGAAGACATACCCCTCGGTGGGGGGATACAATTCTCATGCTCTGTTTGAAATGATACTTATATTTGACAATTTCACAGACCTTTTCATTAGGGAACAGATGCCTTGGAGGAGATGGATCCTAGCCTATCCTGACAATGTCAGAGTGGTTCAATGTTGGATTAAAGGAATTCTTGATAGAAGAAATGCCATGTGGGAATTGAAGTAGAGTTCTAGATGTATATAGTGCATATATATAGTGCAAACATAGCTTAGCGGGACAGTATGTTGAGTGAGCTGTATTTGCTGGTTAGATTCACATCTTGTGTCTTTTCTCTGACTTAATTGCACGAAATTCCCAGACGAGTCACATACTTTGAGGATTCGAGCAGTGTAGCTGATTTTGATGGACAGCAAGTGCTTGCTTTTTGAAAGGCGATCGAATCTAGAGTTCGACAGTTAGATTGAGTTGTTACACAAGACTTGAAAATATATTGACCTAGCTTATTACATGGTACCACAGGGTTTCTCAACAATGTCAATTCTTCCTATGCTCTCCTTGGCTTCCGGATCTCCCTCCCGAATAATCAAACCCTTTCCAATTACCATCCAATCACACCTCAAACCCATTTAGCCATAACTCGACCAACACTCTCCTCTTCCAGAACCCAAAAACCATCACCCAACTTCACATCGACATTTCCAAATTCCCATCCTCTAATCACAACCCCACCCCCTGTCCCATTTATCCGGACCTCGCATCCCAAATTCCAACATCCCCCCCCCCCCACTTCTCCCAACCCACTTCACCCAAAACCCACGAGGATGCTCGGCTGTGCCACAAATCCAATCAACCTTAACTGTCCCCCCTGGTCCCAAGCTCTTCCCAAAACCATGGTCAAAGCCGAAATATCGAAAAAAAATTCGCCGCGTATGCAAAAAGGGCGTATCGCGATTGTGCGGTGCTAGATCTGCCGGGTCGTAGATGGTGTTGGCGGGATGTGGTTGGGTGGGAAAGGTTCCGAGGGTTTGATGAGGAGGGAGATGGATGACGTTGTGATAAGAATTAGTTAGATAAGGTGCTTACGAAGCTCAGAAATTGAAGATGCGTTTGTGAAAAATTGTCAATATTTCATGTGGTTGTATGTGCTGTACCTCGCAAGTACCCCGACGTTCGAATTTTGGCATTCGAAGCGCAGGGGACAATTCCCAACGTTTGATAGGCGCTCAAAGAATGATTTACATGATTGATTGGATGTAAAGGACTATAAACATTCCGTTGTGAGACAAAAGTGCGGTCAAGGTACGTGTGTGACATAGGGTGACTTCAGCTCGCTTATTTGCGCCATGATATTCAATAGAGTGAGTTCGAATGTACGCAGACCCAGTATTAGGATTATCAGTGCTTTCTGGGCGACGGCCATCTTTGGAAATAGATGCCCGACGCAGAGTTACAGAATGCGAGTGGTTTGCGCTGTGCGTACAAGCGGCTGGGAGATAATGAAAGGAGCGCTGAACGACGACGGAAACTCAAGAAGTGGGTTTTAGAAATGGCATGGTATCGAAGAAACATTGGCTTGTAGCCGTAATCCCTAGCAGAACCGCCAGCTCAATTAACGCTGAGGTATGATTACCAAAACCAACTCGACTAGGATTATTGACCGCCGTAGCTCTCGAACTTGGAATGGACAGCAGGACGGATGTGCTGTCTTCCGTTGAGCTTGGAAATTGGAACAAACGGCACTGAAATCCGGTCAACCAAGTGTTGGGAGATTATGGGTAGGAGCATGTCGACGACATCAAAATGTACAAGGTTTGACGGCAGCGTTTGATGGCCAAATAATGGACAGTAAGACCGAACTGAACAAGCAGTAACAGGAGCAATGGTGCATTTACTTGCAGAACGAATGCAATGATATGGCTAGGAGAATAAACAACCAAACATCATAAGAGTATCTCCTTTAAATCAAGAATAGTCAAAAGCATGTTAAATGGATAGGGAAAAGCAAGGCGAGAAACGACTACCCAACACACTTGTGCAAGGTCAGCGCTAAACAACTCAGAGCTCTTGGTTCACCAAATTGCAGGATAGACAGGAGATAACACCATAACACGTCGAAAACTTGAAGAAAGTTCCAACGATACGAACATGCAGGCTTCAACTGGCGTCTCGAAGATGCAGTCATGAAATGACATTCGCAGACCTTGACTTTCGCCACCTTGTAAAGGTATAACATGGCATTCTCACTCCGATGAGCAAATGCAACAACCGCATCTCGCAGAACCTGAAACGGGGAACCTCGTATTAACATACACAAGAAGAAAACAAGATTCTAGAACCGGCACCGGAAAGCCCTATCGTGGGTTTCCGGAAATCATTTAGATTGCTGCGGGCATGTCGATCTCTCGTATGTATGTTCGAGCTTGGATGACCCGAAGCTTGCTCTGGGGATTTTTTTTCTTGTTGAAAGTTGGTAAGAGGAGAGATAAGGTTTGATTGGGAGAGACTAGGATTGTGGTCGTTTGCACTAGTTGGGTTATGCAGAATGGACTAGCTAATGCATGGACACGAGAGGGACAGCTCTACGAATAGAAACACGGGCGGAAACTTTAATAAGATTTGGGACGTCGACGACGAAAACATGGCAGAGACGTGTTGGAAATGAAAGATGATATGGAAGAAGATTCCGATAGGTTTGGAGGTTCGGTGACACTCCAAGATGAAGTTGAACCATGCCCTTGGAAGCGGGCCGGTACGAGGATGAAGTGGAACTTGTCCTCCGACGTAAGGCAATATATTATTCTGATATACTTCCGTATAGTATCAGGCTCCGTGCATGGTACCAAACAAATCGGATGTTTGGTCGCAGCCCTACAAGTATTACTTCGATATATGAAATACCCCCACGCCGTGAGGCTCACAACATGGCGACCGGCATCTGTTTTCGCGGTGTGACCAGATACTAGAGAAGCACGATAACCTCGTGGCAAATATATTGCAGGTGCTTGGTAGAGATTTAGCTACAACTGCATACTGTACTGAACCTGGAATTATGTACCGCAAGTTGTCATGATGTAAAGTGTAAATTCCGGTAGCTGAAGTTGGCCGATGAAAACTTGCGAGCAAACAACATTCTGGAGACTAATCATCTCCCGGTACAAGTGTATCAGCTTATCATAACATAAGCAGATAAGAATGTTAGCAGAGGGCGAAGAGACCTCTCTAGCTCACCTTCAGAAATTGCATCCAAGTTGTTCACCCGCGTCCACGAGTAGCGCTCAGCTACCACCAAACCAAACTCGAGTCATCTCCTGGCATACTACCTCATCAGACTTACCTCGACGCACGGCAGGCCCGATATCTCGATATCTCCAGGCTTGCAGACTCTGCAGCAAAGCGTCAACAAGCTTCTCGCCTTGAGGCTCGCGCTTGAGCGTCGACGGCGACCAGAGCGAGACGCTAGGCAGGTGTTTTGATACTTGTTTTCAGGTGCCGTGCTCTGTACCCATCTCCTAGCTGCTTCTGCTAAGACTGCCGATCTGGAAGATTAATTTTCTGAGCCGGAAGATAAAATTGATGAGGTACCAGATATCGGGAACCATGGATTTGCTGCCAAGTTCCCACGCTTTCGTCGTTCGCTATCTCTCGTTTTCGTTGGGCTAGGTCGGTTGGTCATCGATGGACGAGGCTTGCTTTGGAGGTCCAGCCTTGGGACAAGCTGACCGTCTTCGCAATGTTGGTATCAGAGCCACGAGTGACACACAAGATCCAGATGACGCGGGCCAGGGTCCATGCTTAGGGCTCGCTTTTCATTTCACATAGTGGAATTGCGAAAAAGGCCGGGCCCAAGCATGATAAATTTAAATAGCACGTTTGCTAACTTGTCTGCAAGGTTTAGATTTTTTGAATCTGGGTGCAGTGATATGTCTAACAGGGCCCCTTTCGGTCTAGTGTGGTCTCGACCCGGGGCTGAGAAATTGCCGAGCAATTTAGAATGCCCCCTTTGCCCCTGCGCAGCTCTTTTGACACAGACGAAGGAGGCGGACGTTGATAACCCCTTTAGTGCTAGCACCTACATTGGCACTCCGGATATCCAAATGAGATTTCAACGGCGACAGGGCCAAGGATGTTCGTGCCAGGGGTAAAGGGCGCCCCTGATGCAGATGTCCTGCAGAAACCAACTCGCTTGCAGCGCGTTTGCAGTTGTTTTGCTCCACATCGTATTCAACTCAACAGGCATTTATACCAAGCTCCGATTGTCGACGTCAACTTGGTGGAGAAATATGAATTGGACGCCGCACCCACGCCTCGGCACGCTTATCGATCGAGGGCAACGGGGATGATTTGCTTCTGTCCAGAGTAGACCAACCAGCAGAGAAGCGCCTGTGGAAGATGGTGTGTTGAATCGGTCAGTCTGCATAGGCGTGTTGCACAAAACATGCAGTCGAAATCAATACTCCAGCGTGTACTCCCTTTGAACACAGCCGGCGTCAGGTTCCATTATTGCCTCCATTTACGTCCGGCTGATGCTCAAGAAGGAAGATGGGCTGGGAAGGTGCTGGCTGGAGAAGGGACAGAGTGTGAAATGGAGGCCCTTGGGAGTGCTGCTGCACTGAAGATAGGGGACTGCTCTCGCTTGGCTCTTTGGTGCATCCTGGTACATTCTGTATTGTGAACATGATTTACCCTGAAAACTGGGTGTGATGGGCAGCGAGTATTTGTTTTCCGGGTCACAATATACTGGTAGATGACCGACTCGTAGGCACCGGTGGGAGGGTAAATTGCTGAACAGAGAGGTGGCTCTATGAAGGGTGGTTCTATGGATGAGAACCGGCACAACACTATCGCCCAGAGACTGCGACTGTCAACGCCCAAAAACTTCCGGTGTCCAGTGCTGCCAGTTTTTAGGCTCTCCACGCTTGCTCCGAGAACCAGTTTTGAACCTCTGACGGCCGCTACAGTAGAGAAAACTAGACGTTCGCTAGACGTAGCGGTGGCTGGTGTGGAAAGTTCCTGGTTTCGGCGTTAACTATCGGACACTATTCAGCGACCTAATCGCAGCGTACCCATTTTCCCTGACTGATCAATAAATAATTCCGTGTTAGTTCCCATAGTTGACGCCGCCAGTCAATCTTTTCTCCGTTCTGTCGCTCCGTTTCCCTCGAAACGCTGAAAAGGGTATCCACGCATAGTTACCAAAGTACGCGCTTGACAAACCTTTCCTCCCTCGGCCACGCTACTGCCACGAATTATTGAACGCTCGCAGGTCCTTTGCAGACCTGAATCTGTGATCGGCGGGCCGTGTTGCTCTCTTCTGGCGATATCCTAGCAGTCTATCGCCACCCTAGTCCGAACGCAGGGAATGATAATATACCTTGTTGGACGTGCTCGAAACCATCCAACGCACAATCACCATCCTCTCTTTCGTCCTCAACCTCGACTCACCAGTTTTTCGAGTCGACGACAAACACTCGTTCCTCCTCGATCCAATCCATCTTTTGCGACAAGTTGACTCTTGGTCGCTTTACATCGCCTGCTTCAATTACTTTTAATATATAATATACTACCCGTGGGTGCGCTCACAATGGAGAATCAAGCAACATACAGAGGTGGAAATGGAGGGGTTTCCACCACCGCAACAACCCCAATGCGACCTGGAACACCAGAAAGCAGAAACAACCCATTTGGTAACGGAGACGGAATCTCTCCTGCACCAACCAATCCGTTCGCATCTCCCTTCAATTCCAGACCAGCATCTTCATTTGGATCGTCTTCAGCAGTTCGCGCGCTTCCATCGAGATATTTCCACTCACGAAGAGTCCGAAAGGGTGAGGTCGAGCAGCCATGGAGAGAGAAGAAAGATCCAAAGGAAAAATGGGTGACCATCATCCCTCTTCTCGGTTTGGCTGCTGGGTTCGCGATTGCTGGTTTCTTGATCTATGATGGTCTATCATCTGTTGTGCACCACAAGTACTGCTCTGTGTTGGACGACAACTTCGGATCTGGCCTCCAATCGACCATCTGGACGAAAGAAGCCGAGGTTGGCGGATTTGGGTAAGCGCAGGCCCGACCCGTCGATGATATGTATGCTAACACAACCTAGTAACGGACAATTCGAACAAACTACTTTGGACGACGAGAACGTGTTTGTCAAGGACGGAAAGCTTATCATCAAGCCAACGCTTCAGGACGCTACCCTGATTGAGACCAACAATGTCATCAATTTGACCGCCGACGGAACCTGCTCTTCAGACGTGCTCAAGAACTGCGTTACACAAACCAATTTGACTTCCGGTACCATTATTCAGCCGGTAAAATCAGGTCGCATCAGCACCAAGAATGGGCCAACCATTAAATACGGTCGCGTTGAGGTGACTGCCAAGATGCCGGCCGGAGACTGGCTCTGGCCCGCAATCTGGATGTTGCCGGTAAATGAGACCTACGGACCATGGCCATTATCTGGAGAGATCGATATCGTGGAGGGTCGTGGAAATAACCATACTTACGCACAAGGTGGAGATAACATTGTTTCTTCGGCACTTCACTGGGGTCCTGACTCAGCGAACGACGCCTGGTGGCGAACCAACGTCAAGAGATCAGCTCTGCACACAACCTATGCCAAGACGTCGCACACATTTGGTCTGGAATGGTCTCAAAAATACCTCTTCACCTACATCGACTCCAACCTTCTCCAAGTCCTATATACCAACTTCGACGAGCCCCTCTGGAAGCGCGGAAACTTCCCAGAAGCCACCTCCAACGGAACCCGTCTCAACGACCCATGGACCCAAACTGGCCGTGACCAAACTCCATTCGATCAGGAATTCTACCTCATCCTCAACGTCGCCGTTGGTGGTACCAACGGTTGGTTCGAGGATGGCAAGAGCGGAAAGCCATGGGTTGATCAATCACCACGCGCCAAGAACGATTTCTGGAACGCGCGCAACCAATGGTATCCAACCTGGCAAGAGGACGGAGCTGGTCAGATGGAAGTCACCAGCGTGAAGATGTGGCAACAATGCGATGGCAACGAAGACAAAGCCTAATCGCATATAAACTGCATATTTGTTTTCACAAGAGTTCTCCAAGATAATGAGTTGCAGGGAGAGAAAAGCTTGGAACCTCGTGTGGTCACATAAGGGTATTTGATCTGGGATATGATATATAATTGGCGTTGGAACATGAGGAGGGAAATTTATAGAATCGGAAAGGGAAATTTGGGATTGTTTAGCTGTAGACTACCGTCGCTTTTGTTGTGATGAGTACATCATCACAAATTTTTCTTTTTATCTATTTTCGTCGTCAAGAGCGACGACCAGAACACGAATTTTAATGCATGATTCAAATTTATCGTGTTGCCTTCCCTTACTCTATATTCAATTAAATTGTGACGTTTGAAAACAATTGACTTGTCGTCTCCCAGCTACCGAGAGACACTGTCTCAACCCCTCCCCTCCCTTACTTCGTCATCTACGTCAGGCGTTTTTACGCCTCCAAACATGCTTGCTTCTATTTGTCTCAGGGTTTCGGCTCGCGTGGCTGGAACCACGATAATCGAGTTGGAGTTATTCGATACATCACAATGTACCTAGATGAAATAAAATCAAGGACGTAAAAAGCAAAGAGGAAAATTTCATAGAGATAGCCCCCAAAACAATGTCCGCAGACGAGTTAGGACTTTTTATATCGACAAGCATCGATACGTCCCGTGGCGCACTGCACGATCTCGGGATTTTAGGTACGCCTATCTCGCACCGTCCAGCCTTGTTTGGATGTTGTCGTCGTCACGTCACTCCCAACAATTTCATTTACATCGACGATTGTTTCATTTCACATGTGAACTCATGAATTATAATATGTGTTAAAAGAACCGTACGGATTTCTCCGTATGAAAAGGGAAGGGGAAGGCGTAGGAGATTGGTCAGCGTGCGTGCGTGTGTGACTGATACACGACCGGCAGCTGCTGCGAGCTGGATGGATGTGGTGGGCGAATGTGGTGGCACTGGCACGATATACGATTGTTACACGACGTCTGGGCGGAGTGCGGAATTTGATATTTGAGGAACCGTACGATGCTTTTTCGGGGTGCGTTTACAGTTAATATTGGGTGGTTGGTGGAAGTTGGTGGTGGTGGGGAGAGATGAAGTGCTATGGAGGAGAGGGTTTTATGATGGTTATTGATGTTATCTGAATTGTATGATATCTATCTGAGAAGACATCGATGTACCTAAGTACCTCAACCCGTGTGTATTTCCACCACGTGCTCCATCCCCAAGCGAGAAGCACGACGCATTCCATATTTGGAAACATCAACATCCCAACTCGCCCTTTCAATACGATGAAGTGACACCGCTTCCTCTGCTGTACCGCGTGCGGTGGTGTGGAAGCAACGAGTTGGAGCTGCTGTAATAGGTTACGCTTTGAGGTTACATACAGGCTGCATGAAGGGTCCATCGGACGCCTTTTTTTTTTTCAAAGAATTGGTGACACAGAACGCAGAATCGGGGGCAATTCAGATGTTTGAGTTGAATGCCCAAACTGGTGGATGTTAGAATGGGCTTTCTGATGCGTGTCGTCGGACTTGTTTGGTGGTATGGCTTGAAAGTGACAACACCTTCAACCCGCATAACAATTGCGTCCGTATTGCTTAATCCACTTCATAGCGCATGGATAAGGAGAGTCAGGATGAGGCCCGAATATTATGTCAAATTTGTCACTGCTATTGTCCCGTACGGGCCGAGATTTGCTGAAGGTTCCGCTTGGTGAGGACGCTAATTGTCGATAGTGAGAAGAAGGTCTGTTAGGCAACTTGGCATTTCCCGGGGACCAAGATTCAGGAAATGAATGCAGAATGAACTTTTTCTGTACCTGCACTAAATAGCAGAGGTTTCCAGATAAAATTTTATTGTTGGGTTTGCGAGGGCTTGTGTGAGCTGAAAGTGATACGGGAGAGAAGGCCGAGTGCAACTAGAATAATCCCGGCGCTTCGAGTTTGCGAGCAGGCAACGCAGCGTCTCTGGTCCCATTCATGTTTCGTAGCTCTCATTAGTAGATAAACATCGGGCAATAAGACATTTTGATACTCGCTAGAAAAACGTGAGTAGGTCTTTGCGAAGTACGACATGAATGTGCAGGCCGAAAATCTTGAAGAACCTGGACGCTTTGGGAACCCAAGAGCGGCTAGAGGCCGCATGCGATTCCAAACATCAGTAAGTTTCTCTGTGGCGAGCTGATAAACGCTGAATTGGTACACCGATTGGAGATCTTTGACGGTAACAGTGGACTATAGACGGGAAGTCAAGATAGGCAAATCGCCTGATGAGGCTGAAAAATTATCGATGATTGTCGTGTCGGGCAGATTGCTCTGGAGGCCTTCGGTGAGTCAAGCGAGAGTTCAGCTCATAGGGCGCTGAAAAGGAAGCGCGGGTATTATTGAGGCGATTCCGAAGAGATCACTTATCTTCGCTACTCGTAGTCCAGTGAAGAAAAGTGCGCGGGACTGAAGACGCCAAGATATAATTTCAATATATGCAGCGAAAGGCCGTTTCAACACGCTTTCAGGAAACATTTCTCAGCTCATAAATTGACCGCTCTTTCGTTGCTAGTTATTGTTGTTGCTGCTGTTGAATGAGACATGATGTGTGATGACAATTTCCAAGCGCTTTAGTTGTTGGTATTGAAGTTTGCGAGCAATCATGAAGGAGCACGTATTTCCAGGAACCAGGAAGGGTATCGGCGAGTTACTTCCGAAAAGTCCGATCGTCTCCTGTTCCTGAAAAGGGAGCCATTTTTAGGAGGTCGCTAAGAGAACTAGACTGGAACCCAGGCGGATCTGCTAGGTGCGGAAGATTAAATAGCGAGCACTGATTTGGCGCCAGAAGTAACCGAAAAGGGTGGTAGGAAACGAATGAGAGGTTCGAGATTCCCTCTAAAATCCGTAGCACTATTGCATGTCAACGCACACCGTCAAAGATTCGCTGAAAGACAAAAGTCAAAGTCACCTAAAGGGGCGATTTCGAAGCTACCTTTTTTGCCATTGGTCAATATCTGCAAGAATTCGAGATTGGCCCTGTCTGCTGTGTGGACCGGCTGGGCGGAAGAATCTATGGATGCAGAGAGGCAATAATAATACCAAACTCTCACCTTTCGCCAAGTCCATTATATCGAAATGAAGCTGCAAACGCCGAGAACAGTCAGGCTTGAGGCTCTGGTTTTGAATGACCTGCGTTACGGCATTGGGTATCTTAGGTTCAGCAATCATACCCTCTGCCGTCAAAGGGCAAACCCGTGGGTTTCTGGTGTGCATTTTCGTTGTGATTTCATTTCCACAAGGCCCACCAAGGTTCGAGTAGCTGCTCAGACACTCTTAGACTGTAAGAGAACTTCAAAGTACTTATCAGCCCGTGAGTTAGTGATAGTAACGTAGGGATCATCAGGAATGAGGAGCTCCCGAAGAAGGCTAAAATTACCTGCACCATACAATTGTATATCTGGTTCTGAACAACACTTGTTGGCTCTGAGTAGCATGGCAGTCCGTTACCCGTGTCCGTTATCAAGCTAGTTGTTGTATCTGCTTGTCAAACGAAATTCGATATGACGATAGATCTGTAGATCTCTATGTATACTTAGGGATCTCCGAGCAGGGTTGAAGGAACAAACCGATAAGCAAAATATGCCGAAAAAAGCAAAGTCGATGAAGAATGATTTGGTATTCCGTGTTGGCACCAGGGGCAGTTGAGGACCGAGAGATGATGACCCACATCAGAACCTTATCACAGCTCCTTGCTCGAGGCCCCTGCCAGACGTGCCATGCCTCGGACCAAGCCCAGCCAGGTGGCCCACTACGAGAACAAACAGAGGAGGTCAAAACTGCAAGCAGAATAATACGGAAGTAGCTACTGATCTAGCTGCCTCTTTAGGTTCTGCATTGCATGGCGGGCTGCGACTTAGGAAGAATGGTGAGAAAGGGGTATTCAAGAAATGATAGTTTGAGGAATGGTCATAGTATTGGTCATGCCAGGAGATTCCTGGCATGAACGAATAGAAGATTGCAATTCAACGAATTGCTAGAGCAAGGAAAACTGGTCGGCCGTCGCACCCGGGTGCTTGTGAGAGATCCATGACTTGTCACTGCCAGCGATGAAGTCGAAAAAAGCATCTGCAGTGGAATATGCTGTATACGGATGGATTGGTTACATTTGCATCGGCCATCTGAAAGCTGCTTCAGCGCCTCCCCGGCGCGTTCGGTAGGCACAACTGTATGTTGTGGGCGGTTCTTCGTGTGCAAGTGTAAGTAAAGTTGTACTCATGAGGCAGAGGGAGGCAGAGTGGAAGAAGGTGGGGTAATCTTAAATGCCCCAGCTCCGAGTCCTCGCTACCCATCCTCCCTTCTCGTGTCTTTTGCTTGTGGCTGCTGCTAAACCTACTTTGCAGATCTATCGTTTCTCAAAATAATAGATTGTCGAAAGGGCTCAAAGGATAGTCAGGGCACGCCAAACCATTACTTATCACTTTATTGCTAGTTTCTCTCACCGTATACTAGCCGTACCGTACCGTCTGGATGAAACCAGCACCAACAACACCAGCTCCTCAGCCGTCAATAATACTCGCGATTAGGTTTTCCACTTCCTATCAGGATCGATTCAACAGAAGCCAGACACACGCTTGACCACCTTCCCAGTTCCCACCTCCCACCTGTCTGCCCAGTGCCCAGGGCTGCCGTCTCGCCCTCGCCTGCCCCTGCTTGCCCGGCCCTGGACGTTTATCCTGGCTCTTGCGGAGCGTTCTCCCCACCAGCGCCATCGCCCATCACCCAGCGCCGCTCCCAGTCCAGCGTCCCAGCTCAGGAAACGAGTTTCTCGCCGCCACGCTAATCCCGTCCCGAATCTGCCCAATTCGATACTTCTCAATCTTTCAATATACACGACCGCCGACCTCCAGCTTCGTCGTTCTACTTTAGAACTTACATTCGTTTTCCAAACCTCCATTTGGGACTGTCACCGTGGTCGAGATCTCGCCCAGCCTCTCACTCAAACGCCCACGCCCGCTCGCTCGCTCGTCGGTATTCTTTACTTGAACCAGACCGCACGCTGCTGGTAGGTGGCCCTCATTAATATATTTCCCCCGCTCGACGCAATCGCTCACCATTCCCAGCATTGACGACCACCACCCCAGCTCAAACATCCTTCAGCTGTCCATGAGATCTATCCACATCTAGTCATTCGCTTCAGAACATACATATACAAGCCCGCCTCGGGTCGAGTACACCTCAAGACTGTACAAGGCATCTTGCTGCCTCGGTCCTTCGTATATATCTAATAGTAAAGCAAGAACACCAACAAGATGGGTCTAGGAAATTACTTCAAGGCCAAGAAGCCAGAGCCGGTTGGGGATGTATCAGAGAAGCCAACATCGGCTTCACCGCAGCCAAGTTACAATATGGAACTCCAGCCACCGCAGTCAAGGTTTGGGTCGTCGGCAAACTCAGTATCCAACGGATCCATACAGAGCTCGACGTTCTTGGACGACATTAAGCACGAGGTAATGGTCAATTACCTCTACCAACAACAATGTGCCCATCTCTGGGTCAGTGACGGAAGCGGAGAGATTGAGGGTGTTCTCCTCAGGAAGTCGAGAAACCAGTACATGGCTTGCCCGCCACAATTAGGCAGTTCCCCCTTCGCCGCGGCATGTGCAGCACTTAATGTTCAGGTAAGACCAACTGCGTGTTTTAAGTATTGTAGTAGTACTAACTCATCCAGTGTGCGATGACCGTCAACTCGAGAGTTATTAAAACCTTCCTCCAATGGTCACCTGATGCCGTCGACGTCCCCTTACTTAATGGTCTTCGCATTCAGATTCTACCAACAATTGATGATCTCCCACGTGCGCGTAAACATCAGTTTGCTGCTTTCGTTGCGTCGGAAGCACTTCTCGTCGTATGGGACGATGAGGCCCTGCACTTGGTACAGCGTGCAAAGGCAATTGAGTCGGAGCTCATGGAATTGGTCTGGAAGACTGGTGATGCTGATGACGAGGAGAAGAAGGACGGCCAAAATGTTGGCGTCTACGAGGTTGACGAGGAGACCGGAGAGTACATTCCAGAGAAGCGTGGCCTGCACCTGCAAAACACCGTTCTGGTGGCCTTGACACTTATTCTCATCATGGTATCGCTCGGAGCTGGTGCGCGACAATTGGCCATTGAGGTCGCTGTCGACGGCAGTTATACCCGCCTTGCCCTTCTCCTCCTGACTCCCGTCCAGATTTTCTTCACTCTCTTCTTCGCCCAGGTCATTATCGGATGCTTGGCTCAACTCTTTGGCCCTGTCAAGCAATTGACCATAAACTCCAAGTTCTACTCCGCAAAGGCACCACCTCGCATCCTTGGTGGTTCCCTTCCACACATCACCATTCAATGCCCTGTCTACAAGGAAGGTTTGAGCTCTGTCATCGCACCAACCGTCAAATCCATCAAGCAAGCCATCTCCACATACGAGTTGCAGGGTGGTTCCGCCAACATGTTCGTCAACGATGATGGTCTCCAAATTATTGACGAGGAGGAGCGTCGCGCAAGAATCGAGTTCTACGCTGATCACAGTATTGGATGGGTCGCAAGACCAAAGCACGGTGACAACTTCGTCAGAAAGGGAAAGTTCAAGAAGGTAAGCAATATTTTCGGGTCGTCGGACGTCCCATGATCACACGCCTTCCCCACATTCCTTACCGGAGCCAGACTAACCGTTTTCTTCATAGGCTTCCAACATGAACTTCGCTCTCCACATCTCCTGCATGGTTGAAGAGAAACTTTGCTTAATTCAACGACCTGTCGACTGGACTCAAGCCGATGAAGCTCAAGCCTATGAAAGATGCCTGAAGGAAGCTCTCGAGGACAACGGACGTGCTTGGGCCGATGGAAACATCCGTGTCGGAGATTACATCTTGCTCATTGATTCCGACACTCGTGTGCCAGCTGATTGTCTTTTGGATGCATGCTCCGAGATGGAGCAATCCCCTGAGGTCGGAATCATGCAATTCTCCTCCGGTGTCATGCAAGTCGTCCACACTTATTTCGAAAACGGTATCACTTTCTTCACCAACCTTATCTACACTGCCATTCGATACACCGTCTCCAACGGTGATGTTGCTCCTTTCGTCGGACACAACGCCATTCTTCGCTGGTCCGCCATTCAACAGGTCTCCTACGAGGATGAGGATGGATACGAGAAGTTCTGGTCCGAATCCCACGTGTCCGAAGATTTCGATATGTCTCTCCGTCTTCAGGTCAATGGTTACACTATCCGTCTCGCGGCCTGGGCAGGTGACGGATTCAAGGAGGGTGTGTCTCTTACCGTCTATGATGAACTTGCTCGATGGGAAAAATACGCCTACGGATGTAACGAACTTCTCTTCCACCCTCTCCGAAAGTGGATCTACCGGGGACCATTCACTCCTCTCTTCCGAAGCTTCTTGTTCTCCAACATCCGTTTCACATCCAAGATCACCATCGTGTCCTACATCGGAACTTACTACGCTATCGGAGCCGCCTGGATCATGACTACCGCCAACTACTTTGCCGTCGGATGGTTCAATGGTTACCTGGACAAGTACTACGTTGATTCCTGGAAGGTCTGGTTCTCTATCATTATCGTCTTCAATGGTCTCGGAAATATTGCCCTCGCTATCATGCGATACAGAATTGGTGAACGATCCCTCCTTTACGCAATCTTCGAGAATTTCAAATGGACTCTCATGCTCGCCATCTTCCTCGGTGGTTTGTCGCTCCACGTATCTCAAGCCCTTCTCTCTCACATGTTTGAGATCGATATGACTTGGGGAGCAACCTCCAAGGAAGCTGAGTTCTCCAACTTCTTCATCGAAGTTCCAAAGGTGTTGAAGAAGTTCAAATTTTCCATGATCTTCTCCATCGTTGGCATTGTTGGTATCATCATTCTTGCCACCGCCGACTTTGTCCCATACGATTGGCGCATCAAGGATTTCGTCGCTATTCTTCCTATGGCCACTGTCACCGCAAGTCACTTGCTCTTGCCGCTCGCCTTGAACCCCGCCCTCATGACCTTCTCTTGGTAAATACACCTACCTCGCAGCTTTTGTTACCGTTCGCATTGCTTTACGCCAACTACCCTGGATGAGTCAGGGGAAAAGCATATTCCCCGCCCTGGAGTCCGGCATTTCATTTATTGTACATGAGAGGAGGTTGCATCATAATCTTGCATGAAATCAAGACACGATCCTACTTTGGGAAGAAGATCTCTTAATTGTTTTATTTGATATAATAACGTCTTTGGGGCAAGATATTTGCAACCCATCTCGTCACTTTTTTTCTTTCACGTTCAAAATCTACTCGACGGGAAGAATTGGCCCACTACACTGGATCATGGAGTTTGAAGAAGGTTGGGTAATCCCTCTGTTTGAAGGGATGGATTTGAATATACATATATAGGCTTACGCTCGTTACTTCGTGGTTGATGATTGGGATGATGAAGGGAGGCCAATGGCCTGGAAACAGGGGAACATGGAATTTGATGGTGGAAAGAAAGGGTTGGGGTGTACATAGAACCTTTAAATTAATGTTTTTGGTATGAGAAGGGATTCCAGTACAATCGTTATTGTCCAAAAAAATTCTATACTTCAGTTCTCAACACATGAAGTGATTCGATTTGATTTTAATGTCACCAGAAAGCTTTACCAAAAGATGAGCACCGGCGTTCGTTCGTGTTCTGGAATCACTGCCTCTGCGTCTTATAGCGGTGTGTGTACTAACGGATCAATTTGGCCAGCTCACTGGATTGTATTTTTCAAGAACTCGTATACCAGCATACCGGAGATACTCCTTGGCCAACTCACTGAATGAACTTCACGAGCAGCGGAACGAAAACCTCCCGAGCGTCAGACCAACGTGATGACGATCGCTGTATTGCGTTCATAGGTCATGGGCTTATCTACTCCCCTGGAGGAAATCCAGGGCTGGGAGCTTGACCTTGGTTGTATCTCATGGGTTGTTGGGAGTTGGGATGGATATGTTATTGCAGGGTCAGAGTAGTTTAGTGGGAGGTCGGGTTCAGGTTGTGGTTTAAGGTAGCAGATAGCAGAAGACTAATCTTTGCAGGAGTGCAAGGTAAGATGACAAACTTTACAAGTAGAAGATCAGCGGTAAGGCAGAAGATGCAGGCAACTAGATTCCAGAAGTTCGTCGCTCCCATGAAACTCAATTGTTGGAAAGGAGCGTAACACTCCCTTTTTTGGAAGATTAGAGACGCTGATAGTTCAGGGGCGTAGCGTATGTCTCATTAAACTTATCTTGGTGGTGGATTTGGGTATTGAAGGGCACGCAAGGGTTCTTTTTTTAACGGTACGAAAGCGACTTATGATTTAGATGACGGTGCTAGAAAATGATAATCTTGGAATAGTACAAAGTCAGCAACAACAACCCCTCCACCAAGCCATCATGCACCAACTCGTGGGGGTTACGGGATCTCCACCGTTGGGAGGCGTTTCTGGGATCTGCTGAAGGGGAGATGGGTGGGAAAGGGTCGTTATCTTGTGGCGATGACTGCATTTTGGTTCCGACGTTTCGCAGCGAGAAGTTGGGCCAGGGACCTACGAGAATAGAGACCAGAGAACACGAAGGATATGTTGTTGGAAGTTCGGGAGATGTGCCGAAGATCCAGATCTTTGAGTACGGGAATAGAATTTTTTTGGCAGAGAGGGTTCGGGATATCCTTGCTGTGTGGTGGTGGAAACGTATACTATCGTATCAGAAGTAAGGAAATCATGTTGGTGTCTGCATGTTCTCGTATTCAACATGTGGTTGTTTTTGGTGTAACAGCTGGCGAGAATACCGGGAAGGGCAGGCAGTGGAGACCTAGAAGATAGGTGATGTACAACATATGTACCAGATCAATAATATCTTGAAAGAGATCCCGCGAGGATGGACCTCGGGTCGTTATGCAAGATGTGTTGTGAATGATATCTTGGTTTAATATGCAGGTAGCATGTATTGGGGGGGTCATAAGTGGGATGCGAGTTGCAGTTGCAGTCGTGTGGGAATCGTTGGGATGGGTCTTCAGCTGGGACTTGGAGATACTTGAGATGGTGGAAGATACTTTGAGGATATGTCGAAAACGGTGGTATGATCTTGAATGCCACATCGGGAGTTGAGTGAGTGAGTGTATTTTACGGTGAGATGAGGATTGCACATGTTTCACCCGACTGACTGCATCGGCGAGAACTGTCTGTTTGGGGCTAGATAAACCTGGATTTCCTTAGCTGGGTGCTAAGTCAGTCGTATTTAGCATCGCAATAAACTATGCTCTAGAATCATTGCGGGTATGGTAGCTGTCAACAATGAATAGTTCGAAGCGTAGGCAGACTACTATCCCCGCCTAGAACATCACAGCTCAGTCCAGTTCACGGGTATCGACAAGCGAGACGCAAATGATCTCCCCAAGGTTATCATCCCGAGGGATCAACCGCTGAACCGTACCGCACCGCTGCCGTGCTGATTCCATATTATCGTTGGCCTCGGGGAGGTAAGCACCTTGAATCATCGACACCTGAGATGCCATCTCAAACCCAACCAGGGCACAATTCGACAAAGGTGGGATGTGCGATTCCATGGGAAGGGGTGGCTTCAGCCCCCAAACCAGCTGTCCACTATCCTAGTCTAGACTCGTGACTGCACCATCCCCTCGGTCGCCCAGCGCCTAGCGTGCCAAGTACACAACTTCCTCAACTGCCTCACTTAATAGGAGACCGTGAAGCCAGGGAAATGCAAAGGCTTCAATAGTGCAACAGTCAAGTTTCTGAATAGTGCCAGATCATTCGAGGTTGTTGTGCACCACGATGGGTACCTACCTCCCCATCTCCCACCCCCGCTCGTGTTGACGGCTGCTGGAATATATCCCTGCCGCGTTCGTTTTCGCTCGTGTTACACCGTACCTGATCTCTACCGTCGTTTTCCTGTCGTGTTTTCATATTTTTGTTTTGTTTGTTCGTGAGCCATCTTTCGAGCGCCGTCAATTGAGTTGGGAATCTGAGATACAAACACGATGAGGACGCAGAGATGGACGACCACGCTTGCTGCGGCTTTAGGCTGTTTAGTGCCAGATGTCAGAGCTCAGACGGGGTCGTTGAAGGATCTGGGGAGCTTGTTGGCGAGTCAGAAGAATTTGACGACGTTTTATAGCTTGATACAGGTATGTGATGTGATTTCTTTGGGGTGCGTTTACGATGTATTGATCTTGGTATGGAATTATGAGCGGATTATGTGATTGCGAGAGCTGGAAATGGTGGTTCAATTGCAGATGTTGCGTTGGTGATGTTCAACCGTATTGGTGATGCTAAAACAAGATGTTGCAGCTCAATTGCGCTGAATTGAGCAGACAACAGGACCTCAGACTGTTAAAAGCAAAGTACTAACCCATAACAGAAATACCCTCAGATCTTGTTCCAATTGCCATCACAAGATGGCGTAACTGTAAGTTTGACCCTCGATGTGCTTATAATTGAGACTAACGAGTAACGAGATCCTCGCGCCAAATAATGATGCGTTCGAAAAGATTCCTTACACAGAATTAAACGCCGCCTTTGCAAATAATGATCAAACCATCATTACAAATGTTCTCGAATACCACATTCTCTCAGGCTCAAAGACGGCCGCTCAATTAATCCCAGGAGCTCCTGTATTTATACCAACATTATTGACGAACCCCTCCTTTTCAAATGTATCAGGTGGAGCGACTGTAGAGAATGTGAAGCAGGCTGGAGATGTGGTGGTTTTTGTAAGCGGAAAAGGAAGCAGGAGTACAGTAACACAACCGGTATACTCGCATTTCAACCACAAAACCACTAAGTACATTTCTTCTAACATTTTCAGGACCTCGAATTCAACGGCGGCTACGTCCAAGTAATCGACTCTCTCCTCATCCCCCCCGCCAACCTCACAACCACAATCGAATCCTTCAACCTAACCTCCTTCGAAGGCGCCCTCTACCAAACAAACAAACTCACAAACTACACTACCACCCCCAACAGCACCATCTTCGTCCCCCAAAACGACGCCTTCCAAGCCCTCGGCCCAGCCATCGCAAACATGACCACAGACCAACTCTCCGCAATCCTAGACTACCATCTCATCCCCTCCCAAGTCCTCTACACCCCCAACCTCACAAACGGATCCACCTTCGTCACCGCAAACGGCGGCAAAATCACCGTCCGTCAAGGCGGCAATAACCTCTACATCAACAGCGCGCAGCTCTTAAACGCCAACATCCTCATCGCGAACGGCGTGTTGCATACCATTGACAACGTGCTCAACCCAGCCGGTCCAGACGCCCTCCCGAACCCGCAAATCGCGTCCCAAGGCCCGGTCTTTGCGTCCGCGGAGCGCGCGAGCAATTTGCCGTTTACGAGCGCGATTCCGTGCACGAGTTCGTGTCCGGTGTCGTCTGTGACGAGTGCGTCGGCTTCTGTGACGGGTGAGGGAGTGGCGGCGACGAGAACGAGTGTGAGGAGTAGCGCGACGGCGGTTAGTTCGAGTAGCAGTCGTGCTGGTGTGGCGAGGGCGAGGGAGACGGGGTTGGGGGGTGTGGGGTTGGTTATGGCGGTTGGAGGGGCGGTGCTGATGATTTGAGTGCTCAACATACACGTTACGGGTGGACAGTGGGTAGTTTCTTTATATATACCATGGAATTTGAATTGGGATGGGGAGTTTTGTTAGATTGTGGATGGGGAAGGGGATGGAAAAGGCATGGGATTGGGGGAGTATAATTATAATTTTGATTTCTTCTTTAATGATATTAATCTGGTGGGGATTAGATAATGTTAAATTCTAGATATTTACCATGATCGATATCTCTGAGTCTGGCATGGCACAGCCTGACCTCGTACTCTTAATCCCGAAGTACCGGGATGGAATAGTGGATCTCATTTTTGAGGCATCGGATGAGGATAAAAACTATATCAATAGTATGTTTTCACGATCCATTAGAAGAAACTGAAATTATAAAACGGAAGGACTTACGCAGACCAACAATTGATGGTACAGTAGAAGGGTGGTGTCACTCTCATACACAAGTAAGTAAACCCCCCAAAACGAAATCGAAAAAGCAGATCCCTCCTCGTTCGCCCAGATGCCATCTCCTTGACTTTCGTAGCTCGTTGTAGATGGAATTTCTTTCCTGCGAAGGGACAGAGAGGGATTAGAGGAGCTGGGTTGTGAATGCGGATGACTGGTTGTGGTTGAGTGAAAGTATCTATTTGAGTTGAGGAGTTTGGTTTGTTGTATTACCTTAATTTTCTCGCTTAGATTGTTATACTCACTTGAGTTATTGGATTTACTTAGAGTTTTATATATACTTAAATAACTAAACTCCGGTAAATAGTTTTATCTACTTCAACTATTATACTCGTTTAAATCAGGGCTCTGCTAAATCTCAATCGCCTCTATAATAAATCTCAATCGTTACCTAATTTTCCGCAACTCTCTCTCTATACATTACCTCGAAAAACAGATTTAATTAAAAACCCCACCTCTTTACCTTATTATAGATATAATTATTTTCTAATTAAAGCAAGACATTTTTTAACTCTTAACCTTATAATAAGTAGCGACTTTTATACGTTTTACTACTTATATATATCTCGGCCTCTTAGTCCTACTAATCTTTTAGATATTCTCGAAAGTGACTAAGAGAGCTGTTACTACTAATTCTAGATTCTTAGTATTATATACTAAGTATCTACTGGACATCGTCGTCTGTCATTCGACGATTGAGAATTCTTAAAATTGCGATTGAGGTTTAGCGGACTACTTAAATTGTTATACTTACCTAATCCAAACTTGCTCATTTATTAGCCTCTCATCTCAAGTCACTCAGCTCTTTAAACTGCCTCAATCCACCAAGCCTACCCAAGTCATCGTACTCCCTCAACTCAACAGTTTACCCACCTCATTCCAGCCAACTCAGTTAGCTCAAGACCACTCCCATCGTCAATTTATAACGGAGGAATAGTATTCTAACTAACTGACGAGTCACCCTCTCATATTCCATGTCTTATCCACCATCTTCACCGACCATACCGAACCCAAAATCCCTTCTCAAAAACCTAGCACCTCACATTCGACTGCAGAAATCCGAACACGAATGTGTTTTACAATAACCACACTATCACGTCTAGCGCTGAGTGCCCACCTCAATCACGTACTCGTTGGTTTTCCACTCAGTCAAAAATTCCCACCAAAAAAGACCAGTTTGCAGATGATTTGCTTATCCCTTCCAGGTGCGGTCAAGCTCAGACGCCTCAAATTGCACGTTTAAGAATCTAAGCTATCGCTTAGCCGAGAATTGAACACTTCAGATCCGCGTACAGGGCGAGTCGCTCTTGATCTAGAGGGTTGGGAGCAAAATAAGGGAAGGCAGATCTATCTAGTTAATAGCGTGTTCTAACTAATTTTCTGAGGCCGGAGGGAAACTGTGCGGGTTGGTAGTGTAAGGGGGGCTTTGACTGATTTGTAATAGCATGAAAAGATCGATCTGATACCACGTCAGATGTCATACATGTCTCGAATTCAACCAAAGACAACGCTCAGAATCCCAAAGTCAACGCCCTCTAGCATTGCAAACACGACGAGGGGGAAATAGGCGTGATGCGTAACGATGTGTTTACCACGAGTTTACTAAATGATGCAGCGAAATCAGGTTTATCATGGAAACTCGACGAATCGGAAGTGAGAGGGGGGGATTTCATTTTGTGGTATGGATGAGTGGTATGGGTACGTACAGCTTCGAGATTCTAGCCGCGCAAGTCATGCGTTGGAAGGGATGAGTGAGGTAGGCAGGTTTGAGAGCCTGTGAACTTGCTTGGGTGAGTAACACGGACCGCATGATCAGAAAGACGAAAGCTTTAGAGAGTAATCCTCGATATTCGACCAGCCTCATCTGAGTTCAGGGGTTCTGAACCAGCAAAAGCCTCACAATCCTTTGACGTGATTCGAATAACACCGTGCCGAGACGATGAGTGGACCACAAAGGATATCTTGATGTGTTCTTAAGAGGAGAGAGAGAGATGTTGCTGGAGCTTGAAATGGGGTAGATGGAGTAGAAGTATAATAGGACATGTGCGGAGAACTGTGAGATTGATATCTTATTTCCAAATTCGAGGGGAGATGAGATGAAGCTTGAACAAAGACACAGTGGCTATGTGTAGTTATAACGATTTTTGGATAAAATGAATTGAACGATCTCATAACACATTAACATTAGGTATCCATATATACAACCCCTCCCCCTCCGACTTCCCCTCTCACATCCCCTACTGCACAACCTCCAAAATCCCCACCCCACTAAGCGTATTCGCATCACTCACCTTCGCCGCCTCCCCATCCGCCGTACTAAGCACCACATACACCTGACCCACCGCCCCCTTAGGAATCATATCGATCTTGAAATCCCCCGCATCACCCCTCGTCGTTCTCACCTTGACATAATACGTATCCAGACCCGAGAAGAAGACCGCGTAGACGGGTGTATCAGCCGTGATCAAACCCGCTTTAACGCCATTCTTCATCGCGCCCGAGAAAGTCACGGGCGAGGAGCCGGCCGTGTAGGCGTAGCGACTCGCCTCAAGCTTCAAGGCAGGGAAGGCTTTGAAGGGCGGTGAGATGGTGGGGTCGTTTGGCGCGAACCCGGTGATGAATTGTGCGGCTAGGGAGAAGACTTGGTTGAAATCTAAGGGGGTGTCGAAGGGTTTCGGGAACGGGGATTGCGCGAGGGAAGCGCGGATGTATGAGGAGTGGCGGGATTCGACGGTTAGGATGGAGCCGGCGACGGTGAGGTAGGCTTTGTTGGCGATGGCTTGGGCGGCGCCGAGGTAGGCGGAGACGCCGACGCCTTCGAGGACCGAGGCGAGGGTGACGAAGGACTTTACGTCTGTGGAGGGGAAGGAGTATTTGGCTTCGGTGACGGGTTGGGCTTTGGCGGCGGTGAGAGCGCCGGAGAGGAAGGATACGTGGGTCTGAGTTGTTAGAATGAGGATACGGAAGATGAGGAGGAGGACCTACTTGTTCATCGTAGTAGATTTCTTTGAGGTTCTTGTAGAAGGGGTCTGGGAAGCCGGCCTCAATGAATTGGGCTTGGGTGTAGTTTGCTAATCCTTCCTGGTAGAACTTGCGCTCGAGATACTCGAGGGTAAGAGCGTAGTTTAGGATTGTAACGTCTCCGCCTGGAGGAGCGTTGAAGCCCATAGCATATTCGGCACGCTTCTCAATGGGAGAACCGAGAACGATGCTAGCTCCAGCAAGGAGAGAAGTGACGAATGAGTAACGCATGATGAAGTATAAAGAAGATGATTGAGATTGATAGACGAGGAAGACAAGAGATGAAACAGATTTTATAGAAACGAATGGCCATGGTACATATACTTGTTTGGCAAATACCATTTTACTAGGCCAAAGCCACAATATGTTGAAGTCCATCATCGATGCGGGGGATCCTCACAAGGGCGATCATTCTTTGGGACTTGATGAACAGTCCCTGTCATTCCATAACTGAATTAGGGGTCTCATTAACGTAATTCCGACACTATTGAGTATCTGGAAGTTCTCCTTTCCGTGCTCAGTACAGAAGTGATCGTATAGAAATGATCTAACTCTAACGGGTCAGCTAAGTATGACATGGGTGGTCGTCTGGGAGGGGAAGGTGCATTCATTTCCTCCACATTAAGGAACTTCCCATATCCTCATCTCCGATTCATTAGGTTACAAGAAGTCTCTAAGGGAGATTGTGCTAAACCATAAGATCAAGCGATACATTTTTGGCCGTAGTTGTGCAAAGTGTAGTGGTCTCTATTATCACATCAAGAAATAGATACACAAATGTTGTAAGGTACATTTGAGTACAAGGAGAACTCAGCGCAGTCAGCCGTTCGAGATTGGACCCTGCAAACCCAAGAAGTACAGATACGAAAAGGAGGTACTAGCTGGAATCCACTTGTCATCCCCAGAAATGGAATTACTTAGCTCAATTTTCCTCTAATGTCGAGGGGTCTTAGTTCCTGAGTGACGATGTGGCGCCCAATCATGATTTAGAGAAATCCTCAATTTGACGAAAAAAGAACGCTATTGACAGGTCCGAAATTCTGGATAATTTCAAAAATGCCAACTGTAATGTGCGTTTCCCAATTGGGATACACCAAATTGAAGCTTAACTTTAGCCTTTGTACTAATGAGAAATGTGGTGGTGGTGGTGGCAGCCGTCGCAGGGATCGACACTCATGGCAGCTGCGGAATAGATCAGATCCGAGGATTCAAGGCGGAAGTCTAGAATTCCGAACATGAAAATATGATTATCAATTTCCTGTAGCTCACAAAGTTTGTGCGCATATTTTGTTCGTCATGGTTGACAGTTGGATCATCGTGACTTGCCAGCGGGGAACAGTCAAGAGTCCACAGAATAAAATATTATATCGTTACTTGTACGAGTTAGCACCATGAAGCTCGAGTCAAATAGCTATTGAGCGGATAAACTCTATGGGCGATCTCGATAATGCATCCAGAAGTTTCCCGATCATAGGTCTTACAATGCACCCGGATCTGTGGAGATCATCACACTGTCTCGATATATCTCCGAACCTCCCTTAATGAATGTCAGTATAACTAAATTAGCTGGACTTCTTGTGAGAATAACATACCAGTCTGTTACCGCCTCGTCCCACAATCTGATTTCATGCTCTCTTGTCCCGGCATAGTGCTCAACAAACTCATCGCCAAACACCTCTCGAGCAACACTTTCTGGTCTTGCAAACCTCTCAGTTGCTTCCTTGAGACTTTTCGCGAGCCTGACGCCTGGGTCGGCTTTTCCACCAACATCCTGTCCCTTTCCAAGTGGTGGTTGTTTGATTTCCAATTTCTTCTCCACACCTCTCCAGCCTAAAGCGAGAATGGCAGAAAGAACATAGAATGGATTCGCATCTGCTCCTGGAACTCGCACTTCAAAACGAGTGGCTCCTGGTTTCGACGTTGGTGGTGCAATTAGTCTAATGGAAGCAGCTCGGTGCTCCAATCCCCAAGATACTGTCACAGGCGCCCAAAAGTTCTCGACAAGGCGTTTATACGAATTCACAGTAGGTGCAACGAGTGGCATAACATCTGGCAGACCCTCTAAGAGACCAGCAAGGAAATGTCGTCCCATATCTGATAGGTTCTCGATGTCTTTCCATGGCGCATTGGTATCCTTTTGTTCGCGAAAGAAGAGATTCTTTCCCTCTTCGTCAACAATTGAAATATGCATGTGACCACTGTTTCCTGGCAGACCTTGCCGTGGCTTTGCCATAAAACATGGTGTGATTCCGTATTTGGTAGCGACTGATTTTACAACATATCTACACGCAAAATTAGTTCGGGAGCAGAGAGCATAGGTTGGGGCTACTGACTTGAATAGACTTGCTTTATCTGCCATTTGCTGGATCTCTCCAAACGACAGGGCGGCTTCAAACACTCCAGGTCCACTTTCTGTATGCCAGCCTTCTATTCCGCAGTTGAACTTTTCGCACGCATCAAATATCCCATAATAATAATCTTGATTGTGTACAGGCCTGGTCAAACTGTATCCAAACATACCCTCAGTCAACGATGGAAGCGAGTTTACTGGGTTATTCTGGAGGAAAGTTGCCGTTGACGAGTTATTTCGTTCCGCGAGGGGGCCTTCTGGATTGTTGGAGGGTGCTTTGAATTGGAAGAACTCGTACTCGGCTTGACCAGTTAGCAGATATACATGCCGCTTGGATATATCGACTTACCTCCAGCCATAGCACCTAGTCCTTTTGCTTGGATCTTCTCCAAAGCAGTCTTTAGTAGACCTCGCGGGCACACACTCACTGGCTCTTGACTATCTGGGTCAAAGAAGCTGACCAGGAAGAACGGAACATTGTCCTCCCAAGGAATCCTCCTGAAGCTGCTAAGATCTGGAATGGCAATAATATCATGGTATCCATTTTCAGCGTTGCTAATCTTCAATTCTTTGAAATAGGTCTGATCATGCATATCCCATCCGAAGATCACAGAGCAGAACCCAAAACCTTCTTTGGCAATACCTAGAAACTTCTTCTTGGAAATCAATTTCCCGCGAAGCATTCCATCGACGTCGATACCGGCGAGTTTGACCTTGGTATCATTTTCGAGGATCTTGGGCAACGACTCGAGCGTTATCTTGACTTCCTTTCCGTCCGACATCTTGTAGAATTGAGGGGTTCGGCGATGTTGTTGGAGGCTTTGGCGGATGGAGTCGGCGAGTCCGTAATCTGCAACTCGAAGCAGAAGGTGGAGCAGTACACGGAAACAGAATTGGTATTCGTTGGTTGTACAAATGATGGTATCGCGGGATGGATCTTGTGGTGTTGTGCGACAGTTGCTTCGCGTTGCTTCGGCTTGGGGACCACAGAGGGGCTGCTTGCTGCTGCGATAAGAGCTTGATCCCTGGGATGCTTAGCAGGTTTTCAGGGAGAGCTCCCTGCAGCCAATCAGTAGGAGGTGCTGGAGCATCCCTGGACCACCTTCGTCATCGGCTTCGTGAAATCGGTATGCACATTGTGTCGGGCAGAGTTCCGAAATGTTATATCTTCATGTCCAACGTTGCTCTGGTTCTTCGGTGACATTTGTCCAGCATGGACGGTCCACGCCATGACTATCGGCGATACTTCGTCTGCGTGTCAGTGTCAGTGTCCACGCAGCTAACCTTCGCGCGACAACGGGATGCTAGCTAGAAAGTGTCGGCCTCGAGTCGGGAATCCTACACCGCATTGAGAACAAATCGCTGTGCTCCTCAACCCCCTCCTCATGTGACCGACACGCGTGGCTACTGCATTGGTGACAATTCTTTCTTTGACACATCAAAGAATGGTTCAGCGGTTACGAGCACAGAAAGGGGAACAGAACATTGACTCGTGATAGAGTTTGTGGTCAAGATCAATGATGCAAAGCTTTAGCCGCGCAAGAGACGTCCAGTGATGTGCGGTTGAGTCGTGTTTCGTTTGCATCGGCCCCGATAAGAACCACAACTTTGGGTTGATTATTCTCCCAGGAACGGCCAACGAAGGGTCCTCCCTCCTGGACCCTCCACCGTTGTCGGACCGTCATCCAGGCGTAGCCCTACACACTACTTCTTTGTGTCATCAACTTTTCGCCATCGTCTTTTCAACATTGATCGATTCCAATTTCTATTCTCCCCGTCGCATCACATAAAAACCACCATACGCTCTTATCGTCGTTCTGTAAGTGATTCACATTCCTCATCTGCACCTTGAAGCTCTAAGCGAGCAGCGTGTCAAAGCGAAATCGCAGAGCGTCTGGAAGAGTCACTCTCCAGACTGAGCAACCTTTTCGGTTCCGCAAAGTTAATATTGCCATCTCAGACACTTTCCTCTTTACTTTCCCAAAAGACAATCCAATACAAACTGCCTTCCGCAATGTCCGGCGAAAACTCCCGCACTAGCAGCAATGGCGCTGTCCAGACTATCAACAGCGTGGGTATGGGACGATTACACGGAAAGAACGCAATTGTCACCGGAGCTGCTGGGTAAGTTTGACACTCTCTATATCTTGATCTGAATCCTTTCATCTGCTTTCCATTCACTCAAATTTCATTGGCGTCAATATTTGGATCACGTGATGTCATCGACTTAGTGAGCGATGATATTGGAGACATTGTTCAAAACGACAAGATATTCGTTTCTAGACATTCACAATTGCACTTTGGATAGAGTTCTGCTGTTTTAATGCATCCACAATTTGCAAGAATCTTGAAAACGACATACTAACTTTCCACAGTGGAATCGGTCTCGAGACATGTATCCTCTTTGCCAAAGAAGGCGCCAATGTACTCATGGCAGACATTTCTGCGCCAGCTCTAGAAAAGGCATCAGCCAAGCTTCAACAGCTGGTACCATCTGCTCATAAAGTGGAAACACAAGTAAGTCAAAATAGCCTCCTCATTATTTTTTATCACATACTAACCTCTCCAGGTGTGTGATGTCTCAAAAGAGACTGATGTCCAGAAGATGGTCGAGCATTTGGATTCATGGGGTGGAATTGACATCATGTTCAACAACGCCGGTATCATGCATGCCGATGATGCTGATGCTGTTGACACCCCAGAAAAGATCTGGGATCTCACTCAAGCCATCAATGTGAAAGGTGTTTGGTTTGGCTGCAAACACGCCGTTCTATCTTTCAGAAAGCACAACAAGTCCAGAGGTTCAGTTATCAACACCGCTTCCGTAGTAGCTCTTGTCGGCTCGGCAACTCCTCAATTGGCTTACACAGCTAGCAAGGGAGCTGTCCTAGCCTTGACCCGAGAGCTCGCTATTGTGCACGCCAGAGAAGGTTTCCGATTCAATGCTTTGTGTCCAGCACCGCTAAACACACCATTGCTCCAAGATTGGCTTGGAGACGATAAACCAAAGAGACTTCGACGAGAGATCCATTTCCCATCCGGTAGATTCGGTGAGGCTATTGAGCAAGCAAATGCTGTTTTGTTCCTTGCAAGTGATGAGTCGAGCTTCATCAATGGTCAGGACTTTGTTGTCGACGGCGGTATGACTAAGGCATATGTCACTCCTGAAGGACCACCACTTGCTGCACCAAAGAACAACGCTTTACTTTCACAACAGGTCGATGCTATTCGAGGCACTGGTGTTTAAGGAGAAATTGAGCGTGGGCAGGGTTCCTTAAACCCCGACCAATGCCACATTGTCTTCAGTTTTGATCATGGCAATGATGATTTTGTCGCAGCATAGATAGCATTGCGTCTTTCTTTCCTGCTCTTTTGGACGGAAGAAGGTTTGTCTTTCGAGTTTGGCGTTGGGGTGGGATCCTAGACAGTTTTGTTTTTGCTAGACCGCAACAATAAACGTCTTCAAATGATTGGGTTTTCAAGAATCACAGTGATATCTGAAACCACCTGTTATTGATCTTCGAATTTCTTGCTTTACCTTAGAGACAGGGTTATTTCAACACCATTTCAAATTTGACTTTTCCTTAGCTTCCGTCTTTACTCTTTCCTCCGTTGAGTCTTTGGATCTTCCGCCAGTAGACTCTACTACCAATGTTCAATAAACCCACCATCATGACACCATTGAAATACGTACACCGTACATTGAAGATATACACATCTGATTCCATGTAAACATATAAACCGCATATCATGAAGTACTACTTTGACCGCCCTCATCTAAGGTTAGGTGAAGATGCATCTCCACCCACCTGCACCCTATCAAATCACAACTCACGACCAACATCCAAAACACCTCGTACATTTTACGATCTCCATGCGAGAATAGACCCATCTAGAAATCCCACTTTAAAAGTCACCCGGACAAAGCTTCAAACTACCGCGGCTGCTTCGAGAACAGCGGATAGAAAAGTGCGGGGAATAGCGTTTTTTTGGCCCGGTAGTGTGACCGAGGTGAGCATTAATGAGGGAAGGTACGTACCAGGGCTTGCTTGGAACCTGTCAATTCCAGATCTGTGATTTAGTCGTTGATTTTATTTATTCTTTTTGGATTTCAAAAGAATCGATTCATAGGGAAGGAAAGATGGCGTTAGGTGAGCAGAAATTCCTTCGGTTATTCTTTAATGGCCTAAGCGATACGACGTTGAGCTTGGACTGTGGTACAACATCATATCTGGGACGACATCACAGCTTCGTTTCGTACCACAACACCAATTAATGCTTAGAGAAGTGTCAATTGCTAATATGGTAGCCATGGATAGTTACTGCCGCTGCTGTCGCTGGTACGACGCTCGCGGGCATGTATTTAGATGCGAAATACCACGTTAGAAAGGACATTAGGTATGTATTTTAAGCATTCCCTCTCGTACTCTAATTAATTCGCTGTACAGAGAATTAAACCGTGGTCGAACTGTGGTGAAGATGTATGCAGAAGCAGGTAAGTAATCCTGCCAAGAATCTTCCAACTCAGATAGCTGATTTCGTTTCTACCAACAGTCCGACAAAACCGCGTTTCCCTCTGGTACTTCTTCGAACAAGCCGTCAACCGCAAACCCACCCATGAAGCCATCTGGTCCCGAACCGGCTGCTACACCTTCGCGGAAACACACATACGCGCAACGCAATACGCACATTGGTTCCTCTCCCGTGGTGTCAAACCCAAAGATTACGTCGCCTTCTTCCTCACAAACTCGCCTGATTTCCTGTTTGCGTGGCTAGGACTCTGGGCGATAGGGGCGGCGCCGGCATTGATCAATTATAATCTTACGGGGAAGGCGCTGGTGCATTGTTTGAAGCTGAGTGGTGCGAAATTGTTGCTGGTTGATGGGGATGAGTTGTTGAAGGCGCGGATAGAGGAGGTTAGGGGGGCGATTGAGGGAGAGTTGGGGATGGACGTTGCGGTTGAAGATGCGGATGGTTTGAGAGAGATTCAGAGCCAGAGTCGTGAGAGGATTGAAGATATATATCGAGAAGGAGTTAGAGGAGATTGGCCTATGGGAATGCTGTATACTTCTGGAACCACGGGGATGCCAAAAGGCGTCTCGTTTACGACGGAGAGACAATGGCTTGCTGTTGCTGCGGTATAGGATTCCGTGTTTCTACATAAAGACTAGCAAGACTGACGAATCTTAGCACAAAGCCGGTTATACAACAGTTCAAGAAGACGATCGATGGTACAATTGCATGCCCCTGTATCATGGAACAGGAGGAATCACATCCATAAGCATGGTTATAAACGGTGTCACCACATGCATTGGCAAGAAATTCAGCACATCCCAATTCTGGCGCGACATCCACGATTCAAAAGCAACATATTTCATATACGTGGGAGAGACCGCAAGATACCTTCTCGCCGCTCCACCTTCGCCTCTAGATACGGGTCACAACGTCCGTTGTATGCACGGCAACGGTCTTCGACCTGACGTCTGGATTAAATTCCGAGACCGTTTCAACGTCCCCGAAGTCTCCGAGTTCTTCTCCTCATCAGAAGGAGTCTTTGGTCTTTTAAACTACGCAAGAGGCGACTACTTCGCTGGCGCAGTTGGCCACAACGGCCTCATCGGCAGACAATACTACAAGAACATTTTCGTCCCCGTAGCTACCGACGAAGCCACTGGCGCTATATCCCGCGATCCTGTAACCGGGTTCGCATACAGACAACCCTACGAGGTAGGAGGCGAAATCATAGTCCAACTCCCCGACAAAAACTCTTTCGCTGGCTACTACAACAATCCGGAAGCCACAGCAAAGAAATTCGAGCGCGACGTATTCCAGAAAGGAGATCTGTGGTATCGAACCGGTGACGCGTTACGCAGGACGAGCGACGGCCGCTGGTTCTTCCTCGATCGGCTGGGTGATACGTTTCGCTGGAAAGGCGAGAATGTAAGTACAGCGGAGGTGGCGGAGGTACTGGGGAATTATCCGGGCGTGGTTGAGGCGAATGTTTATGGTGTTTTGCTACCTAATCATGATGGGCGAGCTGGGTGCGCGGCGCTTTATATTGATCCGAATGCGCATTCGAGTTTTGATTTCGCTGGTCTCTTAAGGTAATATTTCCTCCCCCTTTCCTGTCCTCTCAATTTGAATACTGAGCTGTGAACAGACATACACGCGCCCACCTCCCTAAATACGCAGTCCCGCTCTTCCTGCGTCTCGTGTCTGAAATGACGCCGATTCATAATAATAAACAGAATAAAGTGCCGTTAAGAGAGGAAGGCGTGGATTTTGAGAAGATGAAGGGCGGGGATAGGATTTTGTGGGTTGAGAGACGGGGCAAGGGGGATAGGTATGTGGAGTTTACGAAACGGGATTGGGAGGGGTTGAGGGGTGGTGGTGTGAGGTTGTAGGGGAGGGGACGGTTTGTATGGGTTTTGAGTATGTGTTTGGATATTACATGCTACAGAATGCTAAGTGGTTTGTATATAGGATGAATAACATAGTATATCACTCAAGAAAAGTTAGGTCCACCAGTCTTAGTGAGGTAAGTCCTTGTTAAGACGTTTTAAGCGATTTAGAAGGACATGAACCAAATCCCAATATAGCCTCGTATAACCCACCTTTATCTTTTGAAATCCTGGGGGTGGTTATTATCTAGATTTCTGCTACCGAGATATATCTCATTGGAATAACTTCCAAATTTCTTACCGACAAGCAACAAGTTTTCTAGATTCCTGCACACCAATAATACGCCTTTCGCCACACCAGCAAATTTCCTAACGCGTGGGTGATAAGGCACTAAACGATGACTGAAGCCAGAGCCCCTACCTCTCTCCCTCGCCGGCGGAAGATCGCTGTGTTCTGCTTTCTGGGGACAATTGACAGGGATAAGGGACAAGAAGGTTTTAGGATGGATGTGATCATGATATAGCATCTCTTTCAAGACGTGTGTGTTCTTTTTGTGTTGAGGTTGGGTCATGCGTTGTTTAGTCGCATGGTTCGAACAGAAGGGGGAATCTGGCGTCTCGTTATTTTCCTCCTGTCTGTTTTGCGATGGGTTGTGAGGAGAACGACATGAGGAATGATGATACCTGACCACATCATGAATGATGAAGGTGAGAATTTGCCGTATGACGAATACAGGATTCGGGGGCTAATCTGTCTGGTTGGTTGATTATGGACTTGTGTTCTTGGAGTGTGAGTCTGAGGAAATCTGTAAAAAGTTTGTTCTCTGCAAAGTATTGGTTAGCAAGTCCATTGCGATATCCTTAAAATCGATGTCAGATGCGTGAACCCACAACAATTGGCTGAGCAATATGGGAGGATCGATGTTTGAATTCCATGGCGTGTCGCTGTTATATAATAGATCATGAGCGTTGTAAAGCTTCTGAGCTCGTACCTAAATCTTAGGTTTACGTTAGCATTAGTTGAATTGAGATGTCCTGGTCGACTCACGGAATGGTGTACAGAGTTATGTTATCGGTGAGATTGACAGACACAGTACCAATGAAGAATACTTATTTTACCGCCAAAGAGTCCTACAAAGTTGACCGCTGGCTCTGGCACGAATATGAAGAAAGTGCTAATTCCTGAACACCCCATACTATTGCCTGCATCTTTTTTTTTTAACTATATCAGTGGAATGTTGTTCCCCTGTTTTCTTGCAAGACAAATGGCTTTCTTCATGGCAGTAGCCATTTTAGATAGAAGGAAGCAGTATCTCAATATCCATTGCTGATAATGGACAATGTCGACATGTGATTACTAAAATGCTCGGTATGCGATAAAGCCTTGTCATTAGATACAAATGCACTTGCTAGATAGACAACTGTTACTTTGTAAAAAGTCAAATGCTCGTCCTTGGGGTCCAGTGAACTTCTGGGCAATATGAGCTACGTATCAGGTCCTTATGGGAAATGTATGTCGCTCTCTCGAAGGTGATGAGAATTTCCTATGTTGTGAACTCACAAGGGGGAAGTTCGTTTGTTTGATTACCTTCATCAAGATGCTGATTATGTCAGGGCTTTTGATCAAATTACTTGTGAGTTTGTATTACTTTCGTCCAAAATTGAGCAGTGACTTCTCGGTGTTTGGTTGTCAGCCGAAGACCAGAAAGCGGATGTGAGCGTTTTTATATGCCGTGGAAATTGACGTAGGATAGTAATAGCGCATAGAGTAGACCTACAGAATAAGAAGCTCAAACATGACCTGAGAAATTTGTAAGGTTTGGGTGATGGTGACTCTAGCACATGTTTTTGTGCTTAGACCAGCTAGACAACCCCCTTTGCACCCTCAAAAAGATGGTTGCTTGTTGAAGTCCAGTTCTTTCTTGAACCAGGTTCATCGAGAATGTGCCGACTGAGTTGAGCACTCTGTTTTCAATAGTGACCTTCCGAAGGAATCTCTCACGGCTTATGATGACACAGAATATACTTCGTATAGGGTTGAAGTGTTTGGTGTGTTAAATTATCGTAGCGTTTGATTTGCCACCGGCTTTAAAGTTTGCTGTGTTGGTTTAAGGTTAACCCCGATGATCGCCGGAAACATTTTTTGGTTTCCTGTCTGCAACGTGGAAATCTGCAAAAGTCCCTGAACGGGGAAATGTATGCATTAGCCGCGGTTATGAAGTAATTCCAATTGTTACATCAACAGATCATACCCTTATCCAGAAGCTGGAATGAAATGCGATTATATCTTGCAGCGTCTCGCAGGAGAAAGCCATGTACGATTTTCGCCAGCACCACCTACCAAAGATCGTCGGCGGTTATATCCGCGGAAAACCGTTCTCTAATCTGAGTCAGGAATCGATGATCCTACCCTACTCACGCCGCAGCAAAAGCGGCACATGATATGATGATAGCGATAGGAATTCATGCATTTCCACATGGAAAACGCAGCGCAACCCTGGTGCCGCTTTTTGCCACGGCGCAAATCCCATCTGATTGAACATTTTGCGTGTGATTTGGCTGGGTTTCTCAGCCACACGTGCAGGATGGACCATTCAGAAATGCTACCGCAGATTGATGTGAAACGGGAGAAGCATGATGAGATCATCCATTTCGAGCCACGCATCAGCGGCGGGAGAAACATCGCAATTAACAGAGAACCCCCGAAAAAGGGGTCCAGCAGGGAGGGGGGTGGAAGCACAAAGTACCATGATTTTCGAGTTGATAACAAAACGCGCAAAAATGCCAAAAACGTCTTCATACGAAAACGAATAACGATCCAACCACACTAGGAAAAGAAGTTCACAGAAGCCGGCAGTCAGAACGGGCTCCCGGAACCTCGGGTCGGGGAGCATAGTGTCGAGCGATGATCGTCCTAGTCGTCGCATCGTACCGTGCTCGAATAGCTGCGCTGCCAAACGAAAAAGTTACGCACGGGGATATTAAAATGGGAGTTGGCCGACCAGAGGCATGCTGAATAATTACCAATCTTTGATCTTTGGATCTTCCGACCCCGTATATGACAGCTAGAGATCCGCGGTGGTGGGTAGCAGACGCTCGGTAATAGTCAGTCTCTTGCGAATAGACAAGGTTGTACCTGAGAAAAAGTCGATTTGGAATAGAGTTTGGAGAAGATCATCCATTACCTACCTAGGTATCACATTGCACATTCAGATCCACAGCCACAAGCCACAAGCCACAAAACCACACAGCTCGAGTCTGCTCACCAGAAAAGAGGGGTTCATGTTGCCGTTGATCCTTCTGCTGCATGTTGCAGTCGAAGGGTTCATGTGATACTCTTCTCGAGGGCATGTTCGAGCAGGGCATAAGGCATAATCATGAAGAAAACGTTAAACCCGTTAAACCTCGCTGGACCTACTTTGTCAAAACTACTCCAAAGACAAAAGAATCTAAGAACGTAGTTTGCATCGCTTGGTCTTTAACTGTGTTGGAAGTATCCCTCTCTGTAAGACCATTCTCTCGTTTCCCCAGTTCCCCCGTGCGCCTTCAAAGGCCTCTTCTCTTCACATTTCCATTTCCCAAGACGCCGTCCGGTCGGCATCAACCTGGTAGAAGAATCTGAGCCAACCCGGGCCATCAACTGCGTACCCACCAGACTGGCACAACTGGCCATGCACTGGTCGCCGCGGGACAAGCGAACTTTCTTCTCCTGCTAATGCTGCCAGTCTAGACTGACGCTACCACAACCTCCAATCTAATCCCCTTTGCCACCACGACGACGGACTGTCCTGTCTATCATTATTCCAGTCTCACCAAAACATCATCGTCGGATTCTCTCCTTGCACTCGAGTCGAATTTTTCTCTGCGGCGTCGCTGGAACATCGTCGCGTGGCTGACATCGAGATTACCGCAATACCGTGGCTCCAAACAACCGCATTCGCAACTTCTCCATCCCATCTCGCTTCACGGAGCCAACGATCCGCGGACGCTTTTTCAACGCAACAACATTCGAGACCGCCCGATTCGACCATCTTCGCTCCCTTCGGTTTGCAGACATTTTTCGGAATTCGTAGCTCGTGCATTCCTTATTGTCGCTCTCTTTTTACCCTCCAGAACGCATATTTACTACACATTTCATGGACGTTAGCGGGGCCACGCCGATTGAGTGATCGAGATCTGTGTCTCTTCAATCCCCATCTCCTTGGGCTCTTCTGTGCCGGGGAAGGCTCAAAGATATCTGCTGTGGACGAGCACTTGAATTGAAAGGGACATACTTCACCATGTGGCCAGGGCCGGATAGGCGAAATGACTCGGACGTGGCCAGAGACACGCAAAATCCGCTCAAGGTGAAGATTCCTAGCACTCGCGAGATAGATGGGAATCGTAGTCCCGAAGACGACACACGCGAACCTCCTCGTTCCCCAGACGCATCCCCGAAGGAAGGTAAACCACCGCGGCTGGAGTCGACCGATGTCCACACCGGGTTTGTTCCTTCTCACGGTTTCGATGGCGCTGCCTCGACGTGGAGTACAAGCTCAGATAAGCAATTAGGGTTCAACAGTCCCAATGCCAATCAGGATCGAGTCTTTCCAATCAGAAGCGTCGTTAGTGTAGATTCCTCGCAGACACCATACATGGGAATGCCCGGCCGGAATTCAGGAGATCAGGGAGATTACTTTCCCTCGGGAGGAGTTCCTCCCTGGACTGCTGGTAATGATATTGCTGTTAATGCAGCCATGAGAAGACGGCAGAGTCTATCCACAAATGGTAGCGAGAAATACCCAGCGGCAACCCCACGGAAAGAGAGCAGGGAGATTCGGCCACCAGAAGAACCGCCTAGACCGAGTCGGAGACTCTCTAGTTCGGGATTGCGTCGCCCAGAGAATAACAACGATCGATACGGCGGAGGTGCTCGAATGCAGATTTTTGGTGATGCAGGATCAGATAAATCTACTGAACTGTCGGGACATTCAAGTTTGAAGAATTACAAGGACACAAATTCGCAAGGCACGGGGGCATCTGTAGACGGAGACAGTATATCAGGTCTGGTCACGGCAAGGTTCAAGCACATTGTCACAGCGGAAGGCCATGCCGTCATCACTGGCCGTGACGGTGACACACTTCAGCGATGCGAAGACGAACCTATTCATATACCTGGAGCAATACAAGGGTTTGGTCTACTGATCGCCCTTGAAGAGCAGGAGAGCGGTGATTTTCTTGTACGAGTCGTCAGCGAGAACTCTAAGGCCATCATCGGCTTCACACCTCAGGAGTTGTTCAAGCTCAAGAACTTTAGTGATATTTTGAGCGAGGAACAAGCAGAGAATCTGTTAGATCACGTCGATTTCATTCGTGATGAAGAGGCTGATCCGGCAAACAACGGCCCGGAGGTATTTACACTTGCAATCAGGTCACCGAGACCACCGAAGAAAAATCAGAAGCTTTGGTGCGGTATGCATATTCATCCTTCTTATCCCGATCTCATCATTTGCGAGTTCGAACTCGACGATGATCCTACCCATCCGCTAGTTCCAGCAGACGACGCGGTCCCCGAGTCGCCGGAAGATACACTTCACAGTAACCCCACAAACGAGGAATACAATGAAAGCACGAGTATAACGAGTAAACCACTTAGAGTACTGAGGAGCGCTCGAAAACGAAAGGGTGAAGCCGCCGCAATGGCAGTCTTCAACATCATGTCTCAAGTCCAGGAGCAGCTGGCCTCTGCGTCAAATCTCGACACGTTCCTGAAGATTCTGGTTGGTGTTGTGAAAGAATTAACTGGATTTCATCGTGTCATGATTTATCAATTCGACTCAACTTTCAACGGACGGGTCGTGACAGAATTGGTCGACCCTCGTGCAACGAAGGATCTGTACAAAGGGCTCAACTTCCCAGCATCTGATATTCCGAAACAAGCAAGAGACCTATACAAAGTCAACAGGGTGCGCTTGCTATACGACCGGGACTTAGAGACTGCTCGTCTTGTCTGTCGCTCTATCGAAGATCTCGAGCGACCTCTAGACCTATCATTCAGTTACTTGAGAGCAATGTCTCCAATACACATAAAATACCTCGCGAATATGGCTGTACGGTCAAGTATGAGTATTTCTATTAACGCATTCAGTGAACTATGGGGACTTATTGCGTGCCACTCCTACGGTAACAAGGGCATGCGTGTGTCTTTTCCGATCAGGAAGATGTGCCGCCTTATCGGTGACACGGCTTCTAGAAACATCGAACGTCTATCATACGCCTCTCGACTCCAAGCTCGAAAACTCATCAACACAGTACCGACCGAGGCCAATCCGTCAGGTTATATCATTGCATCTTCCGAGGATCTTCTGAAGCTTTTCGATGCGGATTTCGGTCTTCTATCAATTAAAGGCGAGACGAAGATTATGGGCAAACTGGAGCAGACCCAGGAAGCGTTGGCAATGTTAGAGTACCTCCGTCTACGCCAATATACGTCTGTCATTACTTCTCAAGACATTAGAGGCGACTTCCCGGATTTGCGTTACCCACCCGGATTTACAGTTATTGCTGGTCTGCTGTTAGTGCCGCTCAGCGTGGGTGGCACTGATTTCATTGTTTTCCTGCGTAAAGGGCAAATCAAGGAAGTGAAGTGGGCAGGAAATCCTTACGAGAAATTTGTCAAGGAGGGTACGGAAGGTTATCTCGAACCGAGAAAGAGTTTCAAGACTTGGAGCGAAACTGTAGTCGGGAAATGCCGAGAATGGACAGAAGAGCAGGTGGAGACAGCAGCGGTCTTATGTTTGGTGTACGGGAAATTTATTGAGGTCTGGCGGCAGAAAGAGGCAGCGCTTCAAAACAGTCAACTCACCCGACTTCTGTTGGCTAATTCTGCACACGAGGTTAGGACGCCGCTCAATGCCATCATAAACTACCTCGAGATTGCTCTTGAGGGTGCCCTGGATCAGGAGACCAGAGACAACCTCGCAAAGTCTCATTCCGCCTCCAAGTCTCTGATTTATGTCATCAACGACCTCCTGGACTTAACCAAGACCGAGGAGGGTCAAGACCTCATCAAGGACGAAGTCTTCGATCTCCCAGCAACAATTCGCGAGGCCACCGAGTCTTTCAGAGGAGATGCGAAACGGAAGGGATTGGAATACGAATTTATTGAGCATCCTGGAGTCCCACAACTCGTACATGGTGATCAGCGGCGTGTTCGAGGAGCAGTGGCCAACATCATCGCGAACGCTGTTCAGCATACCGATCAAGGCTGGATTCACGTTGAGATGTGGGCGCAAGATGCTGTCGATGGCAAGGCTAATGTGGAAATCATTGTCCAAGATTCTGGCGCTGGAATGTCCAACGAAAAGCTGGACGCGCTGTTCCGTGACCTGGAGCAAGTATCGACTGCTGAATTGGACATTTCCTTGGACGGATCCGAGGAAACGGCGAGTTCGGCAGCTGCTCAACAGACCGAAGGTCGTGCACTGGGACTTGGGCTTGCTATGGTAGCTAGAATTGTACGAAATATGGATGGTCAGCTTCGATTGAAGTCGGAAGAGGGCCAGGGCTCTCGTTTCGTGGTCCAACTTCCCTTCTTACTTCCCGACGCCGAACCCGACAGAACTGAAAGCTCGGTCAAGAAGGATCATTTATCGTTGCCGCCTGTATCTACGCCCCCTCCACAAGCCGAAGAGGGCGAGGTTATGCTCATTGACCGGGTCAGCTCGGTCAAGTCGGACGGCGTTGCTCGAAGGCAAAGTCTTGAAGAGATGTCCAGTTTACGTAGTTTCAAGAGTGGATCAAGTAATAAAAGTGCCCAAAGTAACAGAAGCGAGGCGGACAGGCTTATCGACGCCATATCGGGATCGATTGCACAGGGTGAGCCAGAGTCTCAAGCATCAAGTTTACATCGATCCAATAGCAAGGGAAGCATTCAGAGTCGCAGAAGTGCTGGAAGTCTTGGTAGCACCTCACAACGAACATCAATCTCCACAACGGAAAAGCCAGGTGCGTTGCGGCGCTCCAAGTCGTACGGTACACCGGGGCATCTCCGCTCGCATCTGGAAGGACCTCCTGGGTCTGAATATATCACCGACAACCGAACTCTGATGCATGCTGTGCGGATGCCTGACGATTTCGAACCTGCAGACGAACAGGATATCACATCGTCACATTCAGCTACCCGTGTTTCTTTTAACATACCACAGGCAGAAGAAGAGCCCGCTACCGCTAAAATAGAACCACTCGACGCAAAAAGCCTCCAAGTCCTTGTTGCCGAAGATGACCCTGTTAATAGTAAGATAATTCAAAAGCGATTGGAAAAGAGTGGGCACCATGTTTACCACACCATTAATGGGGAGGATTGCGCATCTGCTTATGGAGAGAAGACCAAATTTTTCGATGTGGTTCTGATGGACATGCAGGTCAGTTTGCAGCCGTCGGCTTCAATAATATACAATTATGCTAACAATATCACAGATGCCAATTGTCGATGGACTGACGTCGGCCAAGATGATCAGATCGTTCGAGAAGGCGAATCCTGACAGTCTAGCAACACGACCTTCTCTGAATGGGCGAGTTCCAATCTTCGCGGTGTCGGCCTCTCTTATAGAAAAAGACCGCCAAATGTACATCGACGCTGGTTTTGATGGCTGGATCCTGAAACCAATTGATTTCAAACGGCTTGGTGTGTTACTAGAGGGAATCGTGAATGAGGACGTTCGTAACACTTGCTTATATGAAGCTGGTGAATGGGAGCGTGGAGGTTGGTTCCATGCAAGACGAGAATCGGTTCGTCAAGCAAACACGAAGCCATCCACACATGCGCCAGTTCATGGTCCAGCTCCAAATGGGGCGAACCTCAATCACTCAGAAGCAAAATCTGCAAGCAGCAGCGACTCTGGACAATCCGGAACAACCGTCACCGAGAAAACCAACAAAGCGCGACCGCTCATCCACGATGAACGACTGGACGGACCTACCACACCAGAAAATAGTCCACCGGTAAAGTCATCAGAATCGTGATGACTTGAAAAAGCAAATTCAAACTTCGGAAGCTTTAGTAATAAGTAATGTTTTGTGATCGAGAATCGACTATAAGAGAGGTGCTTTATACTAAATTCGTATCACGATTAACGACTTGAAAAGCGACATGAAGAGTAACAGTACATGTAATACAGAACCTCGGGAGGTTCTTCCCAACGCAGATGGGATAAGACCTTCTCGGGGCCAATACAATTGGGGGAGGAGTTTTTTGTTAAAAGGGAAAGCGCGTCAAGGAGTTTAGGAATAGAGAAACTGGGTTTCTTCTTGGGAGTTAGAAATCAGGACTTGATGTATATAATTTGGTGGGGAAAGCTTTTTTGTGTTTTTGGAGTGGAGACGCCATTTCTCGCGGGAACACGCGAGATGGTGTCTGTCTGTCTGTGTTTGTACAGTGGAGGGACGAAGGGGAATTTTCTGCATGGGGGGCGCCTTTGCATAGCATGTTGTTGGGAGCGAATTGTTGGCGGCGGCGGTGGGGAAAGTCTGTGTATAGAGTTGAGATGGAATGATGGATGGATGGGCGGATGGATGGGTGGATGAGATGGGATGAGATGGGATGAGACTTAGATTATTTGTTGGAAGTAATAAGGTTACCCCATTGAGCGATTATGTGTGGAGAGAAGGGGAGAGAAATATAAATATTATTGAATGTGTATGTGTACTTTGGGCTTGGGGGTGAGTATTGAGGAATGGGTTTGTTGAGCGAGGTGTGGTTGTTCCTATTTGAGTGTTCACTCATTGCGTTTCCTTGCTACGCCATATAAGGATTAAGTATAACCCATTTTTCACTTCCCTACAACTTACTTTCATCAACCTCCCTCTCCCGTCGTTCAGGACATGTGCTCCCACACCCACATCCACCATAACCACTCCATCCCTCCCAACCAAGTACATACGAGTCGTAGGCTACGACGAGGCGAGCCCCCCCAAGACTCGCATACCCTCGCACACCCATTAGCAATCCCATCCCTCCTATCGGTTTCTCGAGAGTCCTTCGTATTGAGCATGTTGCTGTTACTGTTCCTGTTCCTGGCCCGCTTGGGATAAGCGGGGAGATTGGATACTTCATTCCCGTAGGCAGCTAGTCACTTTAGAGTAGAAATAGCATTGGTATTTCCGGACGTGTTATTAGTAATTCGGCGGTTCGAGTAAACTACTATATAAGCTAGTAAGCCCGTAGACTATTAATACGTAGACTGCTAAACTAGCTATCTACGGTAGATATAATACTTCGTACATGACTGAAATAACCGCCACCCTATACATCAATATTACCAAATAAGATAGAGTCTCATTTAACCTTAGACAATAATTCGATAGATATCTTACACTATTTTGGTGGATTGCACAGATGTGGAGGGCTGGTTATTTTTGTCATATACGAAGTAATATAGACTTAGGAAAATTAATTTAAGAGCTACTCTGATAAACTAAACAGGTTATAGGTCTACATCGCTGTCTTTGTAAAATCCGCATTCTACGTTATATACCATCTCTCTTAGGACTTTAAAAGTAAAAAACTTTCCTACTAGGAAGTGATTTATGTTAGACCGTGACGAAACGACGACGTTTAGACTTGCCGGTGCGGAGGATGCGCCGTTTGGATTTGATAGTACGATCTATATACACGGATTACGTATGTTCCTACTCTTGGGTTAGACGGTTAGGTATTATGCACAAAGGATTACATGTTAAGGACTTTATGTTGTGAAAGCGTGTTAGTGACTTGAACTTCCTGGAGGAAAGAGTCGAGTGCATGCGGTTTCAACTTTAATTCCAGTACTTGCAGCATAGAACGACGACTTGAGCAAGAATCCGAAGAGATTTAAATAATATCTACACCCACTTTAACCCAGCATCTCCTGTACCCCCAGCAAAGAAAAATGATATATACTTCCAGGTATCTCATTGCGCTGTTTAAAGACCTCTCGGTTCAACGTCAGCGATAATCGGTACTTCTACAAATTCAGCCCTCACACAAAACACGCCACATCCAATAAACCCCCAACCTTCACTTCCGAAATTGCCGAATAGCCATCTCTCAACCCATCTCTTCTTCCAGAACCAAGCCCGTCTTGTAGAAGTTTTATGTTAAAATCAATATAAATAACGGGTAGCTGGCATATAGCATAGGGGTTGTTATGTCCTGCATGAAGAGGCTTGCGTTGCTAGTTGTCGATCCCCCGCTTTCAGCCGGTTCGGCAACGGAAGGGAGTAGGGATCTGGAGGGGTAGATCGGGGACTGGACGACATGTGAGGAATTTTTTGCTCCTGGAACACTCTTTTTGTTGTTCTTATGTTGATGCTGGTATGTTGGTTAGTGTCTTCAAACTGGAGTAGAGTAATCCATATAAGGGTCATATATGATATAGGAGAAATGTTTGGAATCAAAGAGGTAATCAGAAATCAATATGTAAGTTTATATTGCAATATATGACAAGATGAAATCTATCAACATTCTCGCTAATCCGGCTTAAAAGTGTATCCAAGGTCAAGAGCCCCAGTCGGGGAAAAATTTCATCAAAGTGTTCGGCGAACACAATCCAAAGGGAATTCGTTGCAAGGCCTGCTGCCTCACTACTTGTGTTATTGAGTCCAAATGTTTTCCTCTGATAAATTTCCGCAAGCATCATTTGTGGTGTAGTTATTTGGCGTGAAATTGTTCATCCAGAACGCATCATCATCAGCTGAAAGAAGCGGGAAGTTGGTGCTGTCTTCATAAGGGGACAACTGCGCCAATTTTCCGTCGCTTGGGTATGATGTGGCCGGCAAGCCGTCGCATACATTTGAGTAGCCATTGCCGGAAGAAACTCCGCCCTTTAAGAAGGTTTCCATATCAAGGGCGTCAACGTTATTGCCTGCAAGCATTTGAGCCTGGGGAATTCCAACGTAAGATGACGCGGTACTAAGTCGATATCCATCAAGCTCTCCGCCTATGTCGGAAGTATCGAAGTCCGATCCATACTTGGTCGTGGTCAATAGCGAAGGTCTGGTGTTTGCATTTGAGACGTCGCCCAAAGATCCAAAATCTTCGACCTCTGAAATCTCACCCGAAGTTGATGTTGTTGTCAGGGCAGGTTGCTCGATACTGCTGAAATCAAATCCTGTAAAGGAGGGGGCTTGACTGTAAGAAGAAGTTGCAAAAGTATCGTTATTGAAATCGAGACCATCGTAGTGAGACCAGTCAATCGAAGCAGCACTGAGCCCTGCAGAAAATAGTGGTTGATCGTCTGGGACGCTGGAGAATCCATCCAAGCAAGATACATAATCTCCAGATAAGTTGCTGAGATCCAAAGGGGGAAGATTGCTGTTCCATTGGTTCAAGCTTGACACTGGACTTATTATTGGACTTCCATGCTCCGACTTTACCATGCGCTGCTCTTGTTGTGCGCTTACTATAGAGTCTTTGATGTGCGAGTCGCTGTGCAAATTTTCTACGGCATTGGTGTGGGGTAGATTGTCGACGGATCGATTTGCGAGTCCAGTACTGGACAACCCATGGATTGTGTGTGACCTCGGTACGACGTATGGTAAGCCACATTTGTGAGCCATCGTGTTATGCTTGTGTACGGGTTTATGATGACCATTGACGAATGTTGTAAGACTATTCTCAGACTGGGCAGTTGAGGCTCGTGGTCTTCGCCTGTCGTTGGGCACGGCGGGTACAGTTGGTTCGTCCGAATCAGATTCTGGGACAGGATCCAGGTGTTCCTTCTTGAGAGCACAGGAACAGCGAGCTCCGTGGCTACAGCAGCAACTGTCTGCTACACAACTGTTAGCAAAAGTCCTTTGTCTGGCTCCTCCAATATCTCTTACCTTGGGACTCGACCTCGGTTGAACAGGACGACTTCGTGTGCGACTTGTCACCGCCACAATCGCATCGAACGTGGGCCGAACGTGATTTACGCAGAGTTCTGCAATGGGTACATTGCGAGACAGGTCGACCCTGTACAGAGGGTTAGGCACTTTCTTTGAGAAAAAGGTGGCAACGACTATACCTTTTTGTTGATGTGCTGTAATGGTCGGTCGGCGTGCTGGCAATTGCTGACACGATGACCTCGCACACATGCCTCGCAGGCATACTTTTCGCCCTTGATCAACATCTTGAGCCGTACGTGGAGATGAAAGGAGGTGAAATTGAAAGACAATGGCGCCGGACGACCAAATGGCCGACACGGTCTACCACAAGAAACGAAGAGCTGTCAGGACGGGAATAGCTTCGTAGCAGGCAGTCACCAGGGACTGCACTCTGCAACGAGAACCGGGTCGTGACAGAGAGTAAAGATACGGTATAAATCGTTAAAAGGTTGAAATGCCGTGTAATTGGGACAAGGAGACTGGTTGCTTTGTGGGGTATTTTTGTATGCGCCAATTACGCCAAATGGAGGAATCCTAACGCCTGAAAGATGCGATATGGAATATTGAGGGGAGATGGGCAAGCCTTGCGCCGTAATGGCGACGGCTGCTAAAGCGGAACACCCAGGCCTATGTTGGCGACCAAAATGGAGGTCGAGGGGGGTGGAATGGGAGTGCTGTTGTGAAGGTCGAAGGAAGAGGTGAAGTGGGCGAGCAGGACTATATAACTGCTTTTTCGTCTTTCCTGGCTCTCCGTAGTCGACGAGGTTGCGCCTTTGGTTGTTGTCGTCTTTGGCTGCAGCAGCAGTGCAGAGCTGGCGCACGGCGGGCGTCCTTCGTTTGCCGAGATGTCGGCCACCGTACTCCGATTCCCTCTCCCACTCCCCCGTACGGCCAACATATCTGCATCGTCTGACCCCAAGGCCTAACTCGCACTCTCGCGTTCTCAAGCTGTCATATGGACAATTTTTCCTGCTTTCTCGAGTACAGACGCAGATGCCGCTGTAGCTGGATGCATCAATCGAGTGCTCACATTTTCCTCTCGTACGGGCTACAAGACCAGCCCCGACCATGGCCAAAATGTATTGCACCGCGGTCTCCCCACCAGTCTCATCGACGTCAGCTTCTGAAACACTATTACTTCCAGAAAACTACAGCAGCTATCAGATAGCCGCCACTTTGTCTTAGCGGTCACTAATGGAGATTCGTGGATGTTTTCTTTCTTCTTCGTTTTACCGCGACAGATGCAAATAAAGTTAAGCGAGCCCTAGAAAAGGGGCTCTCATTGGGCGTGTAGGGCGTATGGGTTGTGGGGGGTTAGCGTGAGGTGGGAGGACTTGAGTAATTGATGCATCACATCGGGGGGCATATCCAATGCCAAACCTCTGGTCGACAGTGAGATACTGGTGCTTTCAACTTGACGTTGTCCAACTGAATTTCCAGTTCGGCCACACATACAAGACCCGCGAAGAAGTCTCTGAGACTGAATCGCAAAAGGGATGGATGACCTTCCCCAGAGGAGGGAGAGGCCTTCCTAGTCCATGGTCCACGCCGTTCATTCGTTACACAGCCTCCTTAGGTACCTTCGTACACAAACTATTGACCGTATCGACGATTCCAAACGAACAGCAGATGGCTATCTAACCCCTTGTGTTTCATCCTTCTCGATCGATTGTAATTCCCAGCGAGATGTCTCCCCTCTCCCTTTCCTGAGCGGATGGACCATTCCTGTTGTTACTGAAACTAGTGTTCATTTTTTCAATCATGTAGCACAGAACGTCTCCTCGCCGAGTCGAAGACTCGAGATCTTTGGGCGGGTTTCCACGCCGGCAAAGGGGCGGTGCAGAGAACCTCTTCATTGGTAAACCCCCACCACTCCAGTCGTTTTTTCACCTGCTTGTGGTTATCCAAGACTTCCGTAGAGCGTCTTCCAGCATGCACTTTGATGCTTGGAGCTTTCCGCAAGCTTGTGTCTATTTGATACATGCGCACGAATTGTGTTCCCATCTCAGGATTGGATTAACTGACCATGAGAACACCCACTTTACCCAGATCAATGGGACAAATCAACGATGAGTTATCCAGACATGGGGTACAATGGCCTATATCTCTGTGACGGCCAGCCATGCTTTGGCTAGCAAGTCTTCAACGTCATAATAGACGAGTCATATCTGTCCTGAACAAACGAAGGCATTTGTATTTTTTTACATGTCGAAAATATACATTCTTTACAGTCACGTGATATTAATTGTCGCTGAATTATCGGACTGGAGCCTGGGAGTCCAATGATGAGGTTAACAACTACAATAGAAGACTAGTTTTAAAGCTCACCACAGCATAAGGTAGAATCTATCAGGAATGAAATGTACAGCGGCTAGTTCTGACTGGAAGCCTAGTCTACCTCAGTATCGTGACTTATGTCACAACACCTGGAGTGCACGTGGCTCGCTAGGACTCCGAGGCAAAACTACATCTTAGGTTCCAATGTGTCGCCGTAATTTATTTCTAGAAATTTAGAACATCATTATCCCGCATGCTCCTGTAACCATTAATTCAGCGATGAGAGGTAAAACTTTAGTACGGGTAAGCGCATTTCTACTACAACAATCGTGCATTATGCTGACTCAATATAGGAGTCACAATGTTCGTCGATTTGCGCCTTCTGTGCGCATCGACTCGGACAAGCTTCACAAACTTTCCATGTACAGCGTCGATTTCTCCAATCTTCTCGCGCAACCTCACGACCTCCAGCAGAAGGCGCTGCTCTGCGCGAGAATACCGACGACAAACATAACTCACAGCCTGGGAATTGGCAAGGACCCGTTGTTGGTGTGGGCAGAGGCAATGGAAAGGGTCCGGTAAACAGAAATGCGCCCTCCTGGGGTCGAGGATCAGTGCCAGGACGTGGCAGCATACCAAGCGGAGGTTGGGGAAGACCTGGTTTAGGGGGGGTACCTAGGGGAGTACCTGCTACTCGTGTCCTCAACAATGCTGGAGAAACTGCTCCGGTTCCCGACCTTTTGCCACACGAACAACGAGCGAGAGATCTTATGTTGGGAAAAGAGGCCGAAGCACAGCAAAGAAAAGTTAATATTCCCATGGGCCCCGGACCCCAGGCAACTAGATCAGGGAGATACGAGCCACGAACGGAGGACGAACGAGCACGGATCGCAAGGAATTCACTGGAAAGAAGGAACGCGAGAGAAGCGCAAGATCTCCACGACGGCAGGAGATCTGACGTGTTAAACGGAGCGTCTTTTACTTTGAGAAAATTTCCCACTGGTCTTGCGCCTGAGGAGGATAGAAGTTCATCCGATAAGCCTAAACCATCCGAGTGGAGCCAATTGAGACGTAGGGAGCAAGCGACTTCTGCTCCAGAGAACCCAGCTGTTGCGCGCGAGAAGAGATTCCGGGAAGGCCGTAGGGAAAGGGAAGAGCAGTCTCGTTGGGGTCGTTATACCCCTCTAGGTACGGTTTCGCGACCCGAAGTATCTAGGGACGGTTATAAACCCCGTAGCGAACCAGAGTATCAGCCTCGTTATGGTCGTTATACCCCTACGAATACGATTTCGCAACTTGAAGTTTCTAGAGATGGATATAGACCCCGCCCGAACCGGTTTGTTCCGAGCTCAGACCCGTCGGTCTATGACTCCAAGCCGCAGTTTCAGCAGGAGAGTTCAAGTGATTTTGCGGTGAGAGACAAGGCCGTGGAAACGCCCGAGATGCGAGAGACTCTAGTTTCCTATAAAGCCTTTCGTGCTGTAGAGAACGACTCCCAACCTCAAGAAGTCCTCGCCGAGTCTACCACAAAACAAGTTGTCGAAAAAGAGGATGAAAAAAAGGAAGCCGAACAAGAAGATGAGGATACGCAGCCGACTCGAGAGAGGCGGAAGAAGAAAACCCGTCGAGGGAAATCCGAGAATGTGGAAGCGTCTTATGGTAAACCAGCTAAGGGCGGAGATCGTGACAAAGCAAGAAGACGCCAACAATTCGTGCAGGAGGAAGACGAAGAAGCACTGGAAATAGCAAGAGAAGAGGCTCGCTTGCGTGCAGAAGCTAAAGCCGAACGAAAACGGGAGAAGGCAGCCAAAAAGCCTGTTCCCATAATGTTACCAGAGTTTATTTCGGTCTCAAATCTCGCCATCGCGTTGAGGGTTAGGCAGGAAGACTTTGTTGCCAAAATGACTGAGTTAGGATTTGAGGAAGTCCATCACGACTTCATTTTGAATGCAGAAAATGCTGGTTTGATCGCACAGGAGTACAATTTCGAACCCATAATCGATCGTGGTGAATCGGAGGACCTTAAAGCCATGGATCCCCCAGCAGACACCTCGAATTTACCTTCTAGGCCTCCAGTCGTGACGATCATGGGTCACGTCGATCACGGGAAAACCACCATTCTTGACTACCTCCGTAAGTCTTCAGTTGCTGCAACTGAGCATGGGGGCATAACTCAGCACATTGGAGCCTTTTCGGTTCCAATGCCCTCGGGAAAGACAATCACATTTCTTGATACCCCCGGCCATGCTGCCTTCTTAAGCATGCGTCAGCGCGGTGCGAACGTTACTGACATCGTTATCTTGGTCGTCGCTGCAGACGATAGTGTCATGCCTCAAACCGTTGAAGCTATTAACCACGCAAAAGCAGCTAAAGTGCCTATCATTGTCGCTGTCAATAAAATTGATAAGGAAGATTCAGATGTCGAGAAAGTGAAGCAAGATCTTGCTCGACACGGAGTTGACGTTGAGGATTATGGTGGAGATACCCAAGTTGTCTGCGTAAGCGGGAAGACTGGCCAGGGTATGGACGAATTAGAAGAAGCTGCTGTCGCTTTGTCCGATATCTTGGACATGCGAGCCGACAGAGACTGTCCAGCTGAAGGCTGGGTCATCGAAGCCAGTATCAAGTCTATGGGCAAATGTGCGACAGTCTTAGTACGATGTGGTACAATGCGCCCCGGCGATTTCATAGTTGCCGGTACCACTTGGGCCAGGATTCGCTGTCTCCGCAATGAGGCTGGAGTTGACATCGAAGAAGCTGGTCCCGGAATGCCAGTGGAGATTGACGGCTGGCGTGAACAACCGCTCGCAGGTGATGAAGTTCTGCAAGCACCTGATGAAGGCAAGGCAAAGAGTGTCGTAGACTATCGTCTCGAAAGGGAGGAGCGTAACAGGCTCGCCGAGGATATGGAGGCTATTAACGAGAGCCGTAAAGTCGAATCGGACAAAAAGACTCGCGAAAAACTTGAGACGCAAGCCGCTTCTGAGGGTGTCACGCTTGAGATACCTGAACAGAAGGTTGGCGGTCCAAAAGAAATCTACTTTATTGTCAAGGGAGACGTCAGTGGTTCAGTTGAAGCCGTAGTTGATAGCATATCCGCTTTGGGTAATAAGGAAGTCCATCCTTACGTACTTCGCTCTGGCGTTGGCCAAGTATCAGAATTCGACATTGAGCATGCTTCCGCGGCTAAGGGACACATCATAAATTTCAATACCGAGATCGACCCTCACATCCTTCGATCTGCCGATGCTGCAAAGGTCAAGATAATTGATCAGAATATCATCTACCGTCTCGTAGACGAGGTCAAAGCCAAGCTTTCGGAGCATCTCCCACCCCTTGTAACCCAGAAAGTGATAGGCGAAGCAGATATCGCCCAGGTCTTCTCTATCACTGTGAAAGGACGACAGGTCAAGAATGTCGCTGGATGTAAGGTTAGAAATGGAACCATCGCAAAGAATGCGAGAGTCAGGGTGCTCCGTAGAGGTGAGAAGGTATTCGATGGTAAGTCGCACCTGTACCCTATACTTCAAAGTTCTTACTAATTACCTTCTAGGTGCAATTCTGACTCTCAAGAACGTCAAACGTGATGTTGCTGAGATGAAAAAGGGTACCGAGTGCGGGATTTCTTTCGAAGATTGGACAGATTTCGAAACTGGAGACCAAATCCAGACTTATGAGCAGAAAGAAGAGAAGCGCTACTTGTAAAATATCGCAGAATTGCATGACCTGCCGGTAGAAACTGTCGGTATACATGGTAGTAAATATAGACAGAAAGCACTGAGGGCGTTCAATGCATTCCGGAACTGTAATATATATAGAATGTACGTTAGATATGTATTGATCAATGATGTACCTCACCCCTCCTTCATAGATCAAAGGCTCCTTGCCTTCCGCAACAATCAGAGTTTGAGCCAAGATTATTCAAAGTTACTACGCCTTTCACTTGACACGATTAGTAATCATTCCTCACTAGTTGCCGTCCACTGGTAACTGTAATTTTGCAACATATTTCGAGGTCGTTGATTCCATGAAACTCAAACAACCTCCCTCATTCGCAATCTCCCAATGTCACCACCAAAACTTTCACCATCAGGTCCAATCATCGTCCGTCTCGATGGCTATGTCAGCCCAGACCCTACATTTTCATCTGACTTCCTTCACACTTACACATCTCACAACAGCACACCATATGAAAACGCACGGATCATCGAGGCTCTTACCGGAGCAGACGTAGCGGTAACTACACGCGTGCCCATAAATGCCGAAGTCATCGAGGCGTGTGCTGGAACTCTGAAATTAATTGCCGTCTTCGCCATCGGGTATGACATGATTGACATCGAAGCATGTAAAAGGTTTGGGGTGGAAGTTAGGAATGTGAAGGGTGCTAGTGTTGAAGCAGTTGCTGAACACGCGCTTGGGTTTTATTTTGCGCTGAGGAGATGTATTGTTGGTGAGTTTGGTTTGAGAGCGGGGGTTGGGATATCAGTCGTGACTGATTTTGATAGGAATGCAAAATGCTCTAACTCAGACCAATGACTGGGTAGAGAAAGGCAGCTGCTTTTCTCACTTCGGTCCCCATCCTAGAACTCTGGCGCGGGAGACGATCGGTATCATTGGTGTTGGCGAGCTTGGTACACGAGTAGCAAGCCATTTCCGGGTTCTAGGTTCGAAGGTATTGCTCGCTGAACGTCCCTCGAGCACTTCAATTCGAGAAGGCCGTACTGCTTTTCGAGAAACACTCTCTCAATCTACGGTTATCATCGTGGCCACTGCATCAACACCAGAGACCAGGAATCTAATCTCGGATGCGGAACTGGCTCTTTTGCCATCTGACGCTTTGGTGATTAACATAGCGCGAGGTGAGGTCGTGGATGAGAAGGCTTTGGTAAATGCGTTGAAGGAGAAGAGGTTTGCAGGTGCGGCGACTGATGTTTATGAGAAAGAGCCGGCGAGTAAGGAGACGAGCTTGTTGATTAGAGAAGCTGAGGGTTTAGAGGGTCGATTGATTGTTTCTCCACATGTGGCTTGGTATGCTCTTGCTAGTGTTGAGAAGCTAAGAAGGGTTACCGCTGCTAATATTGAGGAGTGGGTGAGAGGTGAAAAGGGTGTTAATTTTGTTTGTTAATTGGGTATTTGGGGAAAAGAGATCAAAGTCAACATTTGCATTAGATGGCCACTCATACCATAGATGGGCTCGTAGACTCGTTGCACTACACATTCTGTTTAGAAGCTCACTGTGAGTACGTAACATTGAACCTTCTTCTTTCCGTACTTGTTCTTTTTACACCATAGCAAATTGTGAAAAAAGTATCTGTTGAATTCTCCGAATTAGGTCCAAATAAGATATTCATAGGGGCCCAAGTAAGTACCTACTTGAGCCTTTGTCGAGAGCTTACGAAAGATTGGTTCTGAATCATGGTGAGAGACGGTACTGTAATTAGAGTTTTGACCTTAAATTCTTGCTTAAAAAAGCCAATAAGAATGCTCAGGATGCAGGAACGAAAAGAGGGTTTCCCAAATAACCACTCCGAAGACTCGCAGGAAGCGAGTAAGGGTCCTCAGGAACAAACAGACAGCTTCCAAAATAGCTGCCCTCAAAACAAGTCGCACGTCTGAAGTACCGTCTCGACCCCTGCTGCCGAAGCGTCATCACGCCCGATGATATTACGCCCGCGCGTGCGTTTGTTGGAAATCGTACTTTCTGGATCGAAGATCGCCGGTATAAGGCTGAGTGACTGATCACTTGTCATTTTACAAAAAGCGGGTTTACGATCAAGCTTTCGACATTTGGAAATTGTGTCAAGTGTTTGTGGAAAGGGATCTAGAGCTTCCCCACACGTGATATGATAGACGATATATATTGCTACTTTCAGTGCGTTTTATCTGTAACCTTCTATAGGATGATTTCCTTGCCATTCATATTAACCCCCACGTAAGCGTGTCTATCCCCTGATGCAAACAGTCAGACGCTTCGCCGCAGAGCCGCAACCAGAGCTCGACCGGTACTTTCCAGACTCATTTTCATGGCTGGATACTCGGATTGGATGTTACACAACATACGAACAAGGTTCATTCATGTGTTCTCGGGGCCGACGGGGCGAGGGATTGGAGGTTTTCGACGACGTGCCTTGAGTTTGTACTCCCACACCAATAGTGGACCGATATCTGCTTATCAGGCTGAATGTTCCTCGATCAAACCGTCGGCGGGCAATCGCATTACCGATAGTGACTCGAATAGAGAAATCGTTCGGTGTGGAAGCAAGATTGAGATTAAGTGGAAGAAGGAAAGATTTGGTGTGGGAGTGATTCGTTGCGCGTGACTTAGATAACCTGTTGTGAGTCGTCGCTGTTATAAGGCTGTTGCATCATGATAAGATGGTTCTCGAGTTGCACTTCATTTCGGTAGCTAATGGAGTCTATTTGCTCTGTGGTGGTTGTCGGCTTGCATATGAAGGTAAGACTCGTAATGATTCGACGCAGATTGTAGGAGATAGATGCCTGTAGGCTTGCGTGGAAATGGTGCGAGTTTGGTCATATGTCTAGCTGCATAGCCAAGGAGAAGAATGAAGACTGCCCACGACGAATAAACTAAAACATCACCAGCATCTGGAAGGCTAGTCTACCATGTGACATATATCTCGACACTCTAATAACCTTTGCAGGCTCTAAATGATTTCTTATGTAGCCATAACATGAAATTGCCGCGGTATGTCTTTGTGAAAAGTAGTGTATATTTGATAGAAACCAATTATTATATCAAGCACTCTGCGGCCGATACCAATGAGTTAAGTAGGTCGGACTTTGATATTGAATGTAGTGATCCGCTGGATGATTGGCTCCATCCGTAAACCAAGTAGAGGCAACAAGATGTTGATATTGAGAAGCATCTAAAGCAGGCATATTGTGGCGGATAATAACAATGTCTAAAACTATCTGAGCCAGCAGATCGATGTCTAGTGGAGAAATTCGCAGACTGTGAAGAAGCCACCGATTGATACGATCACTTTTGTTGCCTTCCTCGAATTGGGTAATGAAATTATCAAGTTCTGTCGATTCATCCAAAAAAGTGGGAAACGTGTTTGGTTTACGCAGTTCATTGTCGTTAATTTCGTTGACCATGGCCTTGAGATCTTTCTTCTTGTCCACTAGAGTAGGAAATTGTAAGAAAAAGTTGCGATGTGGCTCGCTAGAAGGCACGCTTGAATTCGCTAGTAAATGGCTTTCCTTTGCAGTGCTCAGGAGTTCGATATCCTCCAAGAAGTCTTCGGCCTCTTCTGAGTGCTGTGGAAGGTATATGCCTTCCGATCCGCAACGAGCCGTAAGCACCTCGACCTCAGTAAGTAACTTGGCTATATTTGACTCCACGTCATTCAGTCGCTGGATCAAATCTTCCACACTGGCTTTCATCTCCTGAAAATCTTCAGTGGCTTTACTCTCTGCTGCAACTGCGAGCTTATTTAAGGCTCTTCGGTCGTCATCAAGTTTCCTTTTGAAGTAGTCTGATTTCTCCTTAGCCAAATCAAGGTCACCGAGTTTATCTAAAAGTTTGGCATGAAGGGGATGATACGTATGTTCATCCGCCCATGACGCTTCAGACAGATCATCCCAATGTGACTCGTCCAGACCAGGCGGGTCATCAAATAGATCCTCAGTGGGTGCAGTTACGCTACTTGCAGTATTGTACACTTGACTCTCGGCCTTCGTTAATTTGAACTCCAACTCGTCCAGGGAATCTGTCAATTGATTGTATTCATACTCCATGGGACCATACTTATTTCGCGCGCTTTGCAATGCTTCCCAGTAGGGTTGAATATCAGAAGCTAAGCTCCCTGAGCGGTCTAGTGAGTTTCTGAATGGATTTGACATGTTTATGGTCAAAAATTTGATAAATCTCGCGTCAGCTTCAGTCTTCACATACTCTTGCCTTCGAAGTTGTTGGCGCTTGGTGCGAAGCTCACCACGGCGCCTGAAAGCTTCCATACGTAACGTCTTCAGGTTATTCGTCGCCCTTTCCTGCACTTCTGGGTCGGCGCTTTGGTCGGCGGAGTCATTGTTGTTCAGAAACATCTCAAAAACATCGGCATTTTGAGGCATTAGAGTCGTTGACTGGTGGATTTGAATCTGGGACACCTTCCCCGCAAGAATTTCTGTTATATGCTGCCTCGGAGATTGAGGCGAGATAGGTGTTGAGGGCGAGAGACGCTCATCTCGATTTGATTGTGCGTTGCTGGTTACAATCTTGGGCCTCTGATTCCATTCGTCATCTTGTGTCGAGCGACACGTGACTGTGCCCAGAAAGCTTGTGCCAGAATCCACAGGCCCAACTCCTTTCTCCAAACTTTCTTTCAAAAAACCGTCTTCCAGCGCCTCTGGACTACCAAGTAGTGTTTGGCCCTTCAAATCATCATTTTCGTATGTCTTGCGGCAGTCTTTCTCGTCTTCCAACTGCTTGTCCTCCCGCAATCGATTGTGTACCATTGGATCCTGCATCTCGGATTTCTGTTCGCACGGTGTCTCATGTTGGCCGTCCGGTGTTACTGGCTTCGTTTTCATGTGTTGATCGATCATCGCAAGTTCTGGCGTGGTATGCGGCTTCTGGTTTCGCGCAACACTTGTAGCTGTTAAGTTCGGGGATTGTGTTTGCCATGGAAACTGCCTTTGATTTCCGGCGGAGTCGAAGGGCCATTTCTTTTCCCCACCCATATTTCTCGAGGCAGGCGACGTCTTGTATGGACCTCCATCCCGAGACCTAGGCGTCTTTTGCCTCCTCCCTGCATCTCCGTTTGCTCTTGATTTCGTCTTAAGGGGCGGACCCTGTCTGCAACCGTGTTCTATCATGCGTTCGAAACGATATGGAGGGAGTTGGAAGTCGTGTCGGGTCGCTGCTGTCCAACGACGTCGTACGTGGAGCTTTCTCCATTCGAAGTCGCAGACAGGATAGTAATGGCCTAAGAACTGACTGTCTAGGCTGAGCTACTGCAAGCAAGAGTGGTCGGCATCGAATAGTAAGGTCCTTTCAATATACTTTTCCACGAAATGTGTTTGTGTTGTTGAGACTGTTTGCTATGTGGCGGGCTTTGATAAGGCTATATGGCCCACGAACCTCGAGGCCCAAGCCTGCCCTAGCAACTTCGAATGCCCCAGTTAGGTGGCATGTCTCGAAAATCTCCTGGAGCTGTGAAAGTCATGGTAACACAACCTGTGGATGCTTTCCGTCACATTCCTTCGTGGGGGCTAACCAATACTGGGCTGAGATATAATAACCAAAGCGGCACCCGTTGTCCGGGGCAGGTCAAGCCGCTCGCTAAGCGCTGATAGGGTAAATATCATGCTTGTAGTTGCACTGCATGTTGTGTTTTCTTCTTCGAAACGTGCAGCCAATTGGGACCTTCCCATACGTCAAAGACATATCACGGCACACCCTCAATATCACCCTCTTCACACTGTATCATGATTGCGGCTCTTCGAGCTCTCCACTATTTATGGCACCGGGAGAAGCCTTAGACGAGCGACCCTTGTGGTCAAAGTCGCCAACCTTCGACAGGGAAAATATCTCGCGGACTGGCCTTCAAACATGTCGAAAAGATCATCGCACAAGTCAAAGGATTATGCTTACGCGCAGGGGGAAAGCTCCAGAAGTAGTCGACAACAACCGACGCCAGTAGGTGCTGAGTGGTCCCAATGGCTGCAAGATCCTCATGGTAGATGGTACATGTGGAGGTATGACAGTCGACGAGAAGGTGAGCAGAAACTATTCGCCTTTGAATTTTGGAACGCTTATAATATTTTGTGAAGTCGAGTACTATTACCACGCCGAAGATGCAGCGGCCCCTAGATCGAATGTTTTGAGTTCATATTCTGAACAGCCAGACGACAAGCAAGATCAATATCAAATTAGCTCTAGCCAATACAATTCAGCCAGTACAAGTTATGCAGCTGGCTCGGGATATCCTCCTGATACCAGCAACTCCACGGACTACAAACTTGATGACAACGCAGCTGGCGGAACAAACAGTGTGGCCTCTCTCAGCAGCAGTCTGGCACAAACGAGTATTGGCTCCGCGCCTAACTTAGAGCAAGGCCAAGAGCAAGAAGCCCCAGAAGGGTACGACACTAATTCGGCGAGTCCGTCTCACATGGTGCTGGGATGCTCGACGTAACTCATTTCTACGCAGATTATATTATGACAGGATCGCCACCGTCAGCTCAATCAACGGCCCCTTACAGCACAGGGGGAGGTCATGGTTATGGAATGGGTGGCCCATCCACTATGACAAGCAGTATGTATGGTCAGGCTGCTGTACAGTCTTTAGCTTAACAGACTTCACCATAGATTACACCACATCCGCGGGATATAATCAAGCCTCGCAACAGAGTTCGGGTTACAAATACTCCTACGACAACCCCCAGACCTCAACGACTAGCTACAATTACGGACCATCAAGCAGCGGGCCCACCGGAGGCTACTCGTCTTATAGTGCTACAGCTAGTAAGTGCGGTCTCATGTAGTGGCGAAGACGACTAACCTCGATGGACACAGCCCAGCAAGATCACCGTGCGGAATCTTATGTGGACCACGATTCAATAGTGAGTGATATTGAAATCACGGCCCGCCAGGGTAACGATCGACTTGCGAGACATGAAAGTGCGGCCACGTTTTGCCTCGTAGTCGGGTACGATGCTAACGAAATTAAGATTTTAAAGTGTACAAATCGAAGGATTTTAAACCTGGTTATGTAAGTAATTGAACGCTTGTGCGTTGTAGTCCCTTCTAAGCTTCACAGGTTTTCAAAGTTTTATGGTCTGAGCCAAAAGGGGAGACCAATCGCTCGAGGAACAATGGGACAATAGTAACGGATGAGTCATACGAGACGCATCAGGGTCAGCAGATTCATACCAAGATGCGGCGATTCATTATCGTTGGTGTTGGCAACGGGCACAATCGTTGCATGTGAGCGAGCTCCTTCCTCATGAGTGATAATTAATAACAACTGGATTCAAGTCCGATCCTCACTTACGGCTTTCAAGGTACCGGTAAACATGGAGCCAAACCCCATGAACATGCGATAATCCACACCGGTGAAATACCGCCACAAGCTGAGTCTCCGTTGATGAGAAGCCCCATACGGATGGCGCCAAAGAATCCTCGCGAGAAATTGGATCCCATGTCAAGAATACACTACGCTAAAACGTATACGGTGGAGCACAATCTCCGGGTTCTTATAATTGGCAAGATCCACGGAAATTCCGAGCGAACCTTTTTAAACGACTTCAATCAGATTCACGATTCAATAACAGGCATGGTTCCTGCCGATGAAAATGAGGGACAGTACGAGAATTAGATGCTTTCAGATGAAGCATTATCACGTTGAGTGGGACCGGGACCCATCTTTATATCCGTTTGGCGGCTTAAGTTGCCTGAACATCATAACGAATTTCCTTTTCTACATTCCTGTATTGATGATTGCTGTGATGTGGGACTTTTACAGTTGAAAGGATACCCGTCGAATCATGTATTATGGGGAATATTTTGATTTGAGCTGCTTGTTATATACAGCTTGATAGCGATTACAATTGCTTGTTGATATCAGTCCTAGGCACTTCCATTTGGCAAGTTCTAACGTCATTTGTCGCAATTGACATCAATGTCACAGTTCCAAAATTTCAGAGTATTATGTTGAGTTTGGGATTTTATAGCTAGCTTATTGTTGATCTAGTCCTGTGAAGTTACATTTTTCAACCACTTAAAATTCGAGCCAGAGTCTATGAGTAGATCTTGAATAGCTACATCATGTGACCCGTTGAGCGAGCACAACAACACCCCTGAGTAGTGAGCTCCGCCTAGTTTAGGCTTACTAGTGCTACAGCACTATAGATTTTCCGAATACACAAGCCAATTATTTCCAGCATCAGGTTTTACCTACCTAGCTCCCTACTTTACTGTCATGGTAGATGTGAAGATACATTGGACACGAATACACAAACATAAAAAGAGGAGATAATCGTCGATAACCACTTAGTCGCCTTCTATTGAACCAATTCTTCTAAATTATATAAATCAGACATGAATTTTTCTATCTCATCAATTAACTGAGAATAAGTGAGTTCTTTCTCCCCTCATCTATACCTTTTATCTTTGTTACCACTGCTGAAAAAGCCCTTTTTAGCGGTTGACTCTTTGTCTTTCTTAGGCGCATAGTAGCCGTCTTCCAAATTATTCAAATTCGCATTAGGTACTTGCGCTTGTCGAGAATTTTCAAACGATCCTGATCCTTGTGCCGCTTCCGATGCAAACGACGAGTAAGTCGTTGGTTGCATTCCGTAGGGTGCAGTGTTCGTTACGTAGGGCTGCGTAGATGCAGTGAAACTGAACGTACCGCCGTCTGTTCTCAGATGAGGCGAGAGTTGCTGCCGGCCGGGACCTCTGAGACTGTTTGCACGATCGTCCATTCTTGGTTGCTGGTATCCCGGTGATGGAAATTGGGGAGAGGGTTGTGGAGACCTATCGCCAGATGCTGCTTGGCTTGAAGCGGGCTGATCCGCTGGATGATACCCATTATACTCAATGTATCTGTCGAGATCAGATGTATTGCTGTAGTCGTCTACCCCAGTTGGAGACGGGACGTCCATTCCCCCGACTGGTCTTCCCAAGTAATTGTTAGCCAGCTCAGCTTGTGCTGGTGACTTTCTTCTAGGTGTCACGGGCTGCTCCGGTGGCTCTTTTCGAACGATAGGGCTTGCTTGCACCTGAATTGGTCGAGCTGCTTCAGTCTCTAGTTGATACTCCCGGTCGACAGTTTGAAGTTTCTCTTCAAGACTCTTGGACGCATCATCCTCATCAACGTCTACTGGGACTGATGCAATTTCTTCTTCGCTGAGGTTGAGTTCTGCTGTCAAATCCTCTCCTTCCAGGAACGATGTTACCTCCTCCCTCTTAGGATGCGTTTCCAGATGCTTTTCTAACGCTTCCGCCGAACCAAAATCGACATCACCATGCTTAGCAAAACAAGCTAGGCATTTGTAGAAAGCTCGACGATCCATCAGTGAGGCGCAAGATGTGATGTGGGACCTAGCAAGAACACGGGTCGAAAGAAGTGTCTTCCCAGTTTCCGACATTCGATAGTCTCCAACCTCTAGATTGCAATATTTGCACGTAAATCCGAGAAGAAACATGCTTGCATCGACGGCAAGCTCAGCGCCAGTAAAAGCGCTGTTATTTTGCAACAGTAGTGCTCCGTAACAGAACGCTCGTGGCCGTGCAAGAGCTTTCAAAGGTCCAGTTGTATCGCTACTGGGTAGACCCGAAGGTAGATTTACTGCAGGCCCACTTTTTGCTAATTGATTTATAGCATTTGTCATTGCTTGATGAATTGATGTTGCCTCGATGGTGAGAATCTTCATCTTCTTGACATATTGGCTGTTTTGTGAACCACTGCTCTTCAGAGACTTGACGCCATCAAGTAGCTTCCGCTGCCTCTTCGCAATGAGTTTGCATTGTCGCTTAAATTCTTCTACAATTTCTCAGTCAATGAAACTCAGTCAATCTTCTCCTTGATGTTATCTTACTATCTCCGTTGGGGGCGAACATTGTCCCAAATCTCCCAGCTAACCGATTGTACTCTTTCTGGACTGCAGGTCCACAAGCTTTGATGGCTTGTGACAATTTGTCTTCTTCTTTTTCGACTTCATAGCTTCCAACCACCGTCTCCTTACGCGAGTCGCGAAAATCGGAAAATTCTTGATATATCTCGATGCAAGTCTTCACCACATATACCACACTGGAAACGATTGACAAGATTGAGACTGGATCCATGATTGAGTGAATGTTTTGAGTTTTAGTTGGCAAAATTGCTCTTCGTCGAAATTTCACTTGTGGTGTCGAAAAATGATGTAGAATCCAGTTTACTTGCCAGAACAGCAGACGACAGAAGTTGATGGAAATCCCAAAATACTGACTCGGAGCCTCCGCAATGGGTTGCACAAAGGCGCAATTATTCCTACATTTTTTCACGCGTCAAGGAACATGCCGCATGTTGAGGCTTAAAGTCGCTGTTCGGGCCTTCAGCTGAAAATACGGCTTTGCACCCTAGGTGGAAGGACGTATAGAACACCAGAAGGAGCGCGCTGGCGTAAGGGGCTAAATAAGAGGCTCTGATTGACCTATCCGGGGCTGGCAACATATTTTTGCGAGCGCCTCAATGTTGCATTTAGAATAAGGCTGAGAAAAGTGCTTTTTTTTCCCGAGCATATTACATCAGTCGTCCAATTATATACACAGACAGCGCGTATCGACTGTTCCAGATGCCAGCCCAAAATGATTGCATTGTTGATTCCCTATAGCCAGGCAATATCGAAAGCGGTGCAAGATGAGGCTGAAATCTTGAGGAGACTGGTATCTGGCCCTTTTCCTTCAAAACTCATGTCTCTCAATTATTTTTGTTTTTAATAACATTGCTCTTGCCACGGAACGTAACGAGATCTTGAAAATGACACACGTTTGTGAATTACCCCATAATGTAGAAACATTATGCTTACTACTCTTAGAACTACAATCAAAATACTACTCCTCCCTATCCAACCATGGATTCTAATGGTTATGGACATGACGAGCTTCCAATGCAAAGACCACAAAGACACAATATCCCACTCGAACCGGAGAACTCTTTTACGAACATAACCAACCCGCAACAAATCAAGCTTCTCGACACTTTGACTCGGCTACAGAAGCTACAAATCGACAAACTAGAAGGCTTTGACCTTCCGCAAATCATCGTATGCGGAGTACAATCGTCCGGCAAAAGCTCTGTTCTGGAAGCCATCACAGGAATTCCATTTCCTAGAAAAGGAAACACTTGCACAAGATTCATCACCAAAGTCACGCTCAAGCCGAGCGAAGAAGCTTCTGTCAGAGTCACTATTGAACCTGGAATTGGTTCGAAAACCAGAAGCTACGAAAATGACTTTCCTCCCATCACAAATCTACATAACTTGCCCAGAGACCTTCAAAACCACTTCACCACCGCCGAAAAGCTAATTCTTGGAGGTCGAAAAACAAACGAGTTCTCGAAAGATGTTCTATGCATTACTATAACTGGAAAAGGCCGACCAATTCTGCAGATTCTTGATCTGCCAGGCTTGATTGAAGTGGAACTAGACGACGATATTAGAAACAAAGATCTTGTACGAGAAATGGTGGCACGCGAAATGAGAAAGCCAAACTCCACTATCCTTGCGGTAGTGGCTGCGAATGTCGATGTACAAACACAAACGATATTTGGACTATGTGCCGAAACAGATCGTTCTGGAGATCGAACTATCGGCATCGTCACCCAACCTGACGTCTCTCCCGAACGAGCTCCTATGTATGTAGATCTTGCAATAGGAAAAACATCAATCGGAAAGTACAAGTATCCATGGCATGTTCTCAAAAACCGAAGTGCAAAAGAACTCGAAGCACGAACTGACATGCGATCGCGCAACGACGAGGAAAAAAGATACCTCGACGAGCATCCATGGAATCAAATTCCGCAAGAAAACCGAGGTATAGAAGCTTTACGCAAAAGACTGAGCGAGCGACTTTTCGGAGAAGCGATCAAAGTGTTTCCAGAACTTGCCACACAAGCAACGACGAAGCTTTCGGGGTTCCAAAGAGACTTGAAGGCTTTGGGTGGTGAAAATCGTACAACGGCGGAGATGGAAAGCATTTTCCGAACCGCAACGAAAAGTCTCAGTAAACTCACCGAAGCGTACTCGAAAGGTCGATATGAATACAAAACCATTGATTTCGAGTCTTCTCATGCCATCTATCTCCGCGCGAGAATCGTCGACCAGAGCGAGCTCTTTTACCACCGCATCATGACTGAAGGACATACATGGAGTAGTCATATCGACATCTCCGCCATCGACCCCGATTCCGATTTTGAATTGAGCCAAAGCAACTCCCTAAAAGCCACAATGAATAAACGAAAACCTGAGGTCATGACCCGCGAAGCCGAGATCGAACTCGCCAAAAAGCACCTCCGCGAGAAACGAGGCAACGAGTTCCCTTTAACATGGGATCCCCACCACATAAACGAGTTCTTCTGGAAGCTATCTCGTGAATGGGATGGTATAGCCAGCGAACACATCGCCAAAGTACACACCCACTGCGAGTCCTACTTCCACCACGCAACACACCTCTCCTTCCGGCCCTCCGCCTCCAAAGACCCCAAACCCACATTCACAAACCACGCAGACGTCGCAACGCGCTACTTCACACTCAGCAAGACCCACCTCAAACATCGACAAGACGACGCGGAGCGCGAGCTCGAGAAGATCGAGTCTGATCGGCAGGGCCTGCAGACGAATTTCAACCGCGCGTACAAAGTGCAGTATCGGCAGCAGAAGAACGAGCGGAACATGCAGAAGGCGGTGGGCGCGTTTGTCAGGAATATGGATCCGGCGGAGACGAATCCGAATACGTTTGCCGAGCATCAGGGACGGCAGACGTTGGAGGATCAGGTGACGGAGGTTGCGGAGGACTTTTTGAGGGCGGCGTGGATTCATTATAAGGTATGTTTGACAATACTGTCAACCTTGGAATGATAATTCGAGATGAGATATGGAGTGCTGATTGTTGTAGATTATGAGGGATGGATATATTGCGAATGTGATTACGCAGGTTATTGAGAGGCACTTTTTGCAGGATATTTCGGATGTGCCGCCTGAGAGGGAGGCGATGGATGAGAGGGCTTTCAAGGCGTTGGTTGAGGAGGATAGAGGGCTTGAGATGCAGAAAGCGGAGTTGAAGGATAAGATTGATACTTTGGAGGAGTGTTTGGAGATTTTGGAACCTTATAGATAGAGGGAAGATGGTAGAGGTCTTGTGTAGAGAAGAGTTTGGTTCGAAAATGCATTTAGACTGAGCCGATATTAAAATGTAATTACTAATTAATGTATCTGTAATTTAATCCTGATGCCAGTATACCCAGTAGCTATTCCAGCTATGCAATCATCCCTTTTCCAAGCCTAAGAATGCAGCCATATAAATGCCAAGCACACCCCAACTTCATAAAGTAAGTATATAACAACCAGCAACCCCACAGACTCTTCTCTATTTGAACGCAAAAACTAATACAAAATGCAAGTGGGTATCGCTATGCACCAAACAACCTACAATCCGCAATCCTTCAAAGCAAATCCACATAACCCTTCCGCATAACTCTTCGTTCAACGGACAAATATAAACTTCAAACACGAAAACAAATTTGAGAAAATAACCGCACTAATGCCTAATACCTAGTCCAACACCTTCACGAAGACCACTTTCACTTCGTTCAACCCACGTCCGCTCAACTCTTGCTCGCGCATGGACGGTATCTACGCTATCCGTCTCACCAAATTGAACGAATCTCGTTCCGACCTTGACACCTCCACTACCGCTCCGCCCCATCTCTTCACCTCCAAATCTAGGTGTAGCAGGATCTGGTTCTTCCACTGGTGTGAAAGATCTGGGGACGCCCCAGGGTGCAGGATTGGGTTTTTGAGGTGGCTTGAACTGGTTGGAGAGTGGATGTGGAGGGGAGGTGCGATGTTGAGGGAGGGGTGGTGGTGCCCATGGAGAGCTGTGATGTGGGAGGTTGGTTGTGAAGGAATTTGGACTCGGGTGTTGGGTCACTGGCGCACTGTGAGGAAGCGGAGGCGATGGTTTGATAAAATCACCGTGCAGCGGTTGGAGAGTAGTTTGCGTGGAATTCGCTCTACTAAATAAGGTCCCTGGTTGAAAAGCAGGCGTTGCGGGGTTAAAAGCTCGTCGCGGTGGAGGAAGATTCTCGATTCCACCATCCCAATTTTCGAGACTCTGCTGCACCTGACTGAGACGAGGTGACTTGCGAGAACGTTGAGCTGGTGATCTCTCGCGTTGGAGATTTCGTATCTGAGGTATTTCCGGTGCATTTTGGTTTTGGTAGACTTGGTAGCTTGTAGGAGGGCTAACATTCGGACGATAAGGAAGAGGTTCGGTTTCAGCGACGCTCTGCGGTCGTCCCCGTCCTCGGGATTGCTTCGAATGTCCTGAAGTGTCACGGGACATTGGCTGAGAGCTATAGCCATGTTTGGTACTAGAAAAGGATAGTTCTGGTCGGCCAGGAATGTACGTTGATGGCCGGATATTGGGAGAAGATAGAGACATGAGTGACGAAACCTGATCTTCATTGTTCGCGTAATCTTGAGAGTGCCACGAGGGATAATCATGTGGAAGACTACGCTTTGGTGGACCTGTATGTGCTCTTGCCCGCATTTGGGCTTGATTTTCGACTGGAATTGGCCCAGTCTTCATAGGATATAACTTTGTCGAAGGGATACCACCTAGCAGACTGCTAGCTCCGTCATAAGACGCCAGAACTATTTCTTGTCCAGGACAGCCATATGGTTGATCAATATCATGCATAGGAACATCGAATTGATCGCTGTAAATGGTGGAGTCAGTAAAGAATCTCTCTCTCTCATCGACACTTGGTGTTACGGGATATGGGGGCATTGCAAGAACAGGAGATCGAGGAGAGGCTGGATGTCGAATGATTTCTACAGGGTATTTGTCTCGTAGTGAGTTCAAAGCTGAACTGCAGACACTTTCGGTGACGCTACCATTAGGTATTGGAATGGGCTGTGAGCCGTCACGGAATCCGGAGGCAGTATCGTTGGTTTGTCCGGTAATAGCATTGGCGTAAGAGGAAGTGCCCATTCGCATTGCTCCTCGACCGGCAGACCCTGGGTTTCGCGAAGACGAACGATCTCGTACCATCCCTCCACCGCGTGGGGCAGGCGGACTTATTTGTGAGATATGAGTGAGAGCCGCTTCTGCGCTCGACTGGCCAGATACACTACTGCGAGAGTGCCCACGGGACCCTGTTCTTTGCACAAATCCTTTCGCCAGCTTATGGCTCAAGGATGGGTTGATCGCCCTTGGATCGGCGGTTTTACTTCCAATTACAGCTCGGTAAGAACCTGCTCGATCATGATATCTGGTCTGATCCAGCCAGTTGATAGTTCTGTGATTTTCGAGGCGCTCCTGCTCATTCTGACGACGAGGTTTGACCGTTTGCCAGTCCCCACCAGGGCTAGGTAGCGATTCCTGCTTCACAGTTCGCGTGGAGGGCTGTAGCGTCATCGCGATGGATCCTTCAAAATCGCTTTCGTACCCTATATCCTCATAAGGCATAAAGGTCTGAATATGGCGAGATTCACGAGCCGGATGAGACTCTTGACGGCGAGTGTCTTCCATAGTATGTGTGAATGCCACCGGAGATTCTGAATGATCCTGTTCATCTCCGTACCAGCGTATTATAGCCGGGTCTGGATTGTATGGCGTCTCTTGGCCTGTATCAGAGGAGCTGCTCGTCCTATCAAATATTGAGGTTTGAAACTCTCCAGGACGTCTCTCCACTATAGTCTGTGATGACTCAGGAGTTCTTCGATCAATTTCGTCTTTGATTTTGAGAAGCGAGATATTTAAACCTCCATATATTTCTGTGACTGGCATTAGCTTATGCATGACAGCCACTCGTGCACTTGTGTACGAAAATGCACAAGAGACTTGGATGGGAGGGCCAGAATTCCAAATAGAATGATGCAGGGTTTGCGTTGCTTACCATTGAGTAGAGGATATTTCTTTTTATATTTCGTTATGTGATGCAGAAGCCGTTTGCCGTGAATTTCATACACCCGATAATCTTCAACCAAACCAGCATTTGTCTTCCTGGCGATACGCTCGGCAGCGGTCTTGTATGACTCACAGAAGACCATCACAGCACGATAAAGATAGCGAGGAAGGGTTTGGTCGGCATCGAGGGTATCCGTAAAGAAGGCTTGAATAACGCCATGGAGCCTGATAAAATCCACGTTATCTCCGATCAAGTCCCGACTTCCCCTTGACGTTTGGGATGATCCGACTGTAACGGCTTCTTGCTCGTTACGATCCATCAAGGCAAACATATTGAGGTACCGAAAAGTATTGTTCAAGTCCATGCCGTTCAATGAATCCATCGTTTTGACCTCGACATCCAAAGCTGTGAGACCTACTCGAATGTTAGCGTCAAATTCAAGACCATCGCAGCTATATTATTTATATGACAAAAAGAACAATCGCACTATAGTTCCAAATTATGCAATCAAGCGGCATGAATTGAAAGTGCAGCCGAGTGTCGATGAGACCCATAAACCGGACACCTCAGAGGACTTCCTTTGATGGAATAAAGAAACCAAGAAGACACGAACCTAAAGAAATCATCTCCACCGGTATTCGTTGTCCGTAAAAGCAAAGTATTTTTATAAGGTGAGTAGCTTCTGGCGATAGCCTCTCAAGGTGTGAGAGAACGTCCTTAAAAGTATCTAGACCTTTGAGCCTTGGTTCGGAAGCATATGATTTCGCAGCCTTCGACAAGGGCTCTTCCGTCAACCTTAGGCGTTGCGCATAGGTGTGTATCACAATGGGCAAGAAGTTGATGCCCTGTACAATCTCCATTGCATACTTGAGATCATCCGTTGTGAATGGTTTGCTCTTACCCAATTCCAGGAGAAATAGCTCTTGTGCCTCGCGCGCAGACAGCGCAGGGAGTCTGATCATCTGTGGATTCATGAGAAATTGATCTCCCGCAATACCTTTCTCAGTTGACGTGTATATAAGGCTGGTGTTCTCACTGTCGGGGATGTATTTCCGGAGTGCTTCGGATTCGTTGAAGTGGATTCCATCCAGAACAAGCAACCAGTCGTGGTGATTGTTAAGCCATTCCTTGACTAATCCAACCCATTCTTCACTATGCCTCAAAGCTATCCGACCCTCTCTGCTGGCGACATCCTTAAAAACAGCTTTCGTAGCAATATCCCAGTAGCCGGCTACAAGCTCTTCCTCGCTCTTAGCGCCCACCCAAAATATACCACCGGGATATGAGCTCTTATGTGTATAAACATACTCTCTCGCCAGATGAGTTTTACCTCCACCGGGGATGGATTGAATTGAAATTGCTGAAGTGCCCTCGGCTCGTCTTTTAGTGTCGAGCAGCATCTTATGCATATCTATGAGCTCTGTTTCACGCCCCACAAAGAGGGAATTCGGTCGAAAGCTTGGCGGTCTGATGAAAATTTGATTTAATGGTTCTGGATCTTCAGGTTCTATGCTAATGTGCTGTGGTACAATGATTGTTGAGTTATTCATTGAGCCAGGATCTACGGAAACAGCAAATCAGCCCATGTCCACCCACAAGGAAACCGCAAATAAAAAGCATGGTAATACGCATAAAGCTCGGAACATGAAAACAAATTTCCTTTATCTGTAGTGACCGGCCATTTCAGTATCTGCATCTTCATACTCTGCAGCTTCAAACTCAAAAGTTGTTCGTGATGAAGGTGCTTCAACCAAGCCAGGCTGACGGTAGGATTGCGCAGGGATTGGTTCTTGGTTATTGCGCAACATACCTGGGGTATTTCCACTGGTGGCTGGTTGTGTCGATGGTTGCTGGTCATGATTAGTCGCAGAATGAATCATCCGGGATGAGACTGACTTACACCGCGGGGATGCATCATTTCCATAGCCCTGTTCTGGTCGAATCGAGCTCTCTCCTCCTTATCCTTCATCAGTCTCATCTCGATCAAGCTACCCGAGCCCTCTACCCACGTCTTTATGTTGCTAGCAACATTGGACCATCCTGGAGAGTTCTTCGTCTCAAATTTGCACATAAGGGAGTGTGTTGCCTCGATTCCAAAGTACTTCACCCCGGGTAAAGGAGGGCTTGCCGAGACGTTATCCACTATCAAAGCCTTTGTGCCTTTCAGATCGGTCTTTTGAGTTTCATGTACCATGCAGACCTGATACTGATGCACCATGTCGGCAAATTCAATGTTGATATTTTGCAGTGTTTCGTTATTAGATTGAAGCGTCTTGACAAGCTGATTCTCGGTATGTAAGATGCTCTTTGGCATCAACACACTGACCATTCTTTGTAGCATTAGGCCCCATTTAGCGGGATCGGCGCCTGTATGAGGGGTTCCGAGAAATATAATGCCGTAGGTTGATACGGCGATGGACCGCAAGTCTTGCAGGTTCTTCTCCTGCAAATGAGACGACATGATCAATGCTCGCTTCACCAGTATACCTCCCAAACTGTGTGCGACCCAAATAATGGGGTGATCCTCAACTTCCTCCAATGTTCGATTACTGTGAAGACTGTTGAGCAGCGTTTCTGCATGATTGTGTATCAGATCACTACTGGGCCCCCTTTCCCCGAAAGAATACACGTCCGCATTGTATCCGTACACCAATATCCTCGCTTGGGAGGACTTCAACGCCGCAGGTAGTAGCTGTGTTGGCCAGAAAACGCCTTTTGGGGACGTCCATGTCTTTCGAGGATCTCCGTTCAGGCCATGGACGAGAACAATATCGACTTTCGCATCTGGGTGGTTGTAAACTTCGGTGAGTTCTATCCTTTCGATATCCTTTGGGTCGATCGCGGTGCCCTATCAAATTGTTAGTCATGCTGTTGCGACATTATGGTTCTGACATCAAGCATAGGCGTAGGAAATCCTGAGTTCCGATTTACGATGCTCGCGGGTTGGAGACCCGAAGTTGGATTCCGAGCCGTCGTACACGGCCTGTTGCTTGAATTCCGCAGCTCCTCCACTGGAGGCTGCCATGTGTCGAAGCTTAAACAGGCCAGCGCGGAACAAATGAGGTGCTGTGTAAAGAACTTTGGACACGGTGGAAAGTGCTGGTGTTGACTTACCATGCTTGTTGATGTGCTGTCAAGAGCTGTCCGATTTGCCCTCTCGAACAGATTATGTTGTATTCTTATATACAGCAGCTCGGCGAACCAACGTCTTCATGGTACACAGATGCGGAAAGAGAAAACCGTTGATCGAGTCGACGATGCCCGAGTTGATCTGGCTTAGTTTCTTGCGCGTCCTCGAAAGGACCGTATAGGTGTATTGTAGCGGTGATGGTTGTGGCACGCGCAAAACGGTTAGTCACACGGGTTGTTGTTGGGGTAATGTGCCACGGGAACAGTCATGATCCTCGAGCTATTGGGGGAGTGTTGCTGGTTTTGTGTGCCCGATAGTTGAAGATGAAAGACAGAGACGACCGTTGGTGATGATTTATGACGTCCCCGGCGAAGTCAGCTGTGCTGCCTGCTTGCATTCATGGCAGGACTCGCGATGGCGAGAGTGTGAGAAAAGCGCAAAGTGGTTAAAGTTACTGGTGTCTCAGACATTAAGCGTCGAGTTGGTGCGGAGGAGTGACGACAGGGATCACTCGGGGGCTGCGGGATGGCGTTAAACTTCCAAATTAGGGGTCATAAGGCAGCGCTAGGCGACGAAAGACGCTGAATTCAGTGCTACTCTAGCCTCGAGATCCAAAAATACGGGACGATGCGAACTGGCAGGCCTCCACCTCCAACTGTGACTGACCAACCCGGCACATTATTGAAGGGTCTTCTCAATTATCCGTGGAATGCCAATGTGATACCGCACCGTACCTGCGTTTCCTGATTAATGAGCACCATCTTGATCTAGTCACAAGGATTGGCCCCAACGTGCAGTCAGACTGATGAATCGCCAAAGCGTATCAGAAGCAGTACAGTAAGAGAAGAAGCACCCGGTGAGAAGCTTCTTTGGGGGCCAACACCAGACAACGCAGGGAGCCTCACGCTTGTCACCGGCAGTTGAGTGGACTCAGAGTGGCAAGAGGGGCATTTGTTTGCGTGAAGAGCATGGGCATGAGGCGCCCGTGGTATTGATTGGTATATATTCTTCTGTCTATTCTCCTCGTCATTTACGGGATAGGCATCGGTCTATCAGCCACTACTGCCACTCAGCTGACTTATTGAGGCTCTGCGAAGGGCACTTGTCTGTAAGATTAAATACTTCGCCTTCCCCGACCTGCTAAGTAATGCAGGACTCAGTGGTAGTGGTCTTCGTCATCGTCTCTTCGCCGAAGTCTCCAGCCTTATAGCACTGCCAATCCGCATCTACGAATCTGCGTTGGACCATGCTGCACAGGTACTGCCTTAAAAGAAAGCTAGTCCAAGCTCTAGCAGCGTTTTGGTACTCACGATCCTGTACATCATCGGGAGCACCTCTCCCCGGTGAAACTCAAAAGGCGTGAAAGTTTGTGATCCAGCACTACGAACTAAGTGCGATGCCTCTTCAGACGACAGCCGTACCTAGGTAGTCAAAATAATTGTAGTCTTGTGATAAATAAATCTTAACAATATCTGTACCATCTCAGGACGCTCAAGCACCCGGTCAAGTGTTTTGAGCACTCGAATACCGCCTCGGTCACTTAAACTTAAATGACCAAATTCAAACTTGTGGCGGTCTGCAAAATGGTGGTACGAGATAACGCTAAGGAAACAGCGTCATCAACAGGGAAATACAAGACGCCTGATCATGTTTTGGGAGACAGCATCAAGACATACTCTCTGGTACTATGGCCAAATTGTATCATGTCCTTATCCCGTAGCTCTAGATATCGACTTGGTGGTACTTCGTCCTTGTTGAGCAGAGTACCGTTCGCAGACTCAAGATCAATGAGATATGGTCTGACTCTTCCCGTCCTGTCACCAAACTCGTTTGTCTTCTCGATATATCGAAATTGTATGACTGCATGTTGTTTGCTAATGCTGGGATGTTCCGCTGGTAAATCAACGACGGTGATTTCCCTTCCCACTAGCCAACAGCTACGAGTACTGAGCTCTATAGTTTCCAGAATATCCGCTCCCTTGAACACGAAAAGCTTCCACTCATCTTTTGTAGGGGGCTTGCGTGCTTCCGCTGGTTCATGGTACTTGAGAACAATTGATGAACCATCGACTTGAGTAACAGAATTAGATGCGGCAGCTAGTAGTCCTGTTGGTGCAAAATTTGGCTTTTGTTTCTCTGGTACATCTCCTGCCGGCACGAGTGCAGTTGAGGGATCAACATTTTGCTGAAATGATGAAGCTTGCGAAGGTAGCGGTCCGTTGCTCTTGCGACTAACTTGCGCTGCCGAGCCCTCTCTTGAGGTCTTGCTCTCCATCTTCCCCCTGTTCCTGTGGTCATCTCGACGCTCTTGTCGGTGTGATGGAGAGCGATCCTGTGTGCCTCGATGTTTTCTTGTTCTGTCTACTCGCCCGCGAGACGATTCCTGTGCAGGGCTGTGAGATCTGCGTCGCTTCCTATCTCTGCCATCACCCCGTTCTCTTGAATAGTCGCGGTCTCTTCTTCTTTCATCGCGTGAGCTCCCTGGTTTCGTCTCTCGTGCTGGAGCCTCGCGGTCTCTTCTACGTCGCTGTCGACGACGCTCTTCATCAGAGCTGGATGGGGAAGATCGCGAGCGACGCCGCCGTGGTTTGTCTTCGTCATGCCGTTTAGAATCCATGACGAGTTTATGGGCGCAGATGTGTTGGATATACGGAAGGAGTGAATTGACGCGTAAATTCGTCTATTCGAGTTCAATGCTACGCGCGGTCGCAGATCAGAGCAAAGATTCCATCATGCAAGCTGCTTCTGTACCCCAGAGGCAGCTCACAGCATGTGCATCTTGGAATCCTCAGGCTGCAGCCACCAGAGCGAATGCTGGGAATTAGTGCTATTCGTACGCCGAAGTGTCGCCTTTACATTGTCTGCAAGACTCGAGAGTCGAGACTTCTTCCACCCTCCACCTCACCTCGAATCCTTCCGCTTCCACCTCTGTAGGGAGAGGGTACTCAACGATAAAATCTGCATTGATACACACATATCGTCTACTAGCTTGGCATCAACTATCAATTATACGTCCTTCCTAACAGCACACTCACTTCCTTCTGCTCCTGGAGCTTGTGCATGACCTTTCTTTCACGAAGCTCCCCCAACTGCAAAATACTGGACGATACGGCTGTTTGGTTCTCCTTTCTTCTTCCGGTGAGCCATACTAATAAAGGTGCTCTCGCATACACATTGAAGGTGGAGATTTCTCTTTCAAGTATATGAGTCTTCTTCCAACCAACACGACAAACCCATAACCGCCGTCCGTCACCGAAGCTCTTCGCCTACATGGCTTTTGGGGCGAAGCACACAGGTCAGTCGAAGTAGACCAACACACCCTCCAAGCCGAACAGAAAAGACAGAAAAGACAGAATGCATCCGGCCCAGTCAGCCTGTTCGCTGTTCAGGACGGCAGCCTCGGGTTTCAGCAAGACCATTCAGGTACCAGTAGCTTTCGAGTCCATCTGGTGTTCTCTCGCTTAACGCGAATGTCACGACCGTTCCAAGGTTGGCTGCGCTTCTCGCCCCAGTCGAACTTCAGATGCGGTGGCATTCAACAATGGTCGCATGGCAGGTTGCACTGTTGGCATTTCTGGCGCTTCGAAGTATTTCACACGCAACTATTTACTTGTGACTTGATGGCACTTTCACGAGGTGGGTTTTGACCCCCCGAATTCTCTCTCGTCCTTCACAGGAACCATCCTTTCGTTTGTTGTGCTGCGGTTGGCCCATTTATTCTTACCATGTGTATATTTTTGGTTTTTGGGGATTATGGCCGGACCGTGACCGGGTGTTGGCCGTCTCTCGAGTATACCTTGTAAGCTTGAGGCTGACCGTGTTACCGCCGCCACACATCCACAGGATCTCCCGGTCGTCGTCACGGACTTTCACTCATGGTGTGCTGCTCTCATGCAGTCCCGCTGCTGGGGGTAAATTGAAACATCCGTATGCCACTAGGTGGTGTACAAACTAGCAGCCTGAGCGAGGACGGCCCAAGAGTGTTTCCTGCTGACCTTTTCGTATATACCCCCCTCACATTCCTTCGTTTTGGCGAGGATCTTCGTACCTGTTCCTGGATTCTGGAGGAAGTCTTTTCACGTTTTCTTCCTAGTGACCATAGCCTCATCTGGATTGCTTGTCAAAATCCGGGATCATTGGTCCTTTCCAACTATCACAACACCTGGTCCAAGCATCAATCCTTCCACGGCTCTTATCAATATATCGATAAGATGTCGTCCTGCCCGATCGAAGAACCTACGAGAGCTCCGAAGGAAAAGACGAAAGACAAGCAGTCTGCGATATACCGTCTCACTATGCCGCATGTTATTACACAGTTCAAACCGGGTCAATTCTCACGAGACGGACCCAGCATCAAGGAAAGAATCAGAGCAGAGAAGAGAGATGCCTCAAAATCAAGTAAATCGCCGTTGAAGAAACAGAGTAATGGAATATTATCAGGAGGGCCTGGCATGCCGGTGACGCCCAAAAGCAAGAGATGGGACTTTGGAACAATCCGACACAAAAAACAAACTTCATCAGAGGGTACAATGCCTTCCCCTCGCTCTGCTGTCTCCCCTGTCTTCGAAATGGAGCATATCGACTCAGCTATATCTCCCAACTCATCGGTCGACTCGTCACCCTGGGTTTTCGAACTGGAAGACACCTCACAGATCGCCGTTCATTCGAAGAGGTCAATTTACCCTGGTCCCCAACTGGAGTTCCAAAGCTCTGCCATCACAGTAAGCCCGCAGCTATCAACTCTTCTGATCTCAAGCTGATTCATTTCTAGTCACGTTCGGTAATAAAAGTGATTGATCAGACCATTGCTGCTATTGAAGCAGATAACAGGAAACTTCTCACACGCGCTATTACTGCCGAAGCTACTGTTAAAGCATTGAGAGAGCGTAATTTCAGCCTCCAACTTCAGGTTGATCACTGCGAGAGGAGTCATCGGAGGCAACCTCGTTCGGTAGCTTCACAACCAACATTGAGGCAAACACGTCAGAAACCAACAGCCCCAACTCCGGCACCAGCACAAACTGCTCAGTCCCTTGCTTTTGATAAGCTCGTGACACAATTTCCAAAACCAAAATCAGAATCAAAGAAAGCGGCGTCTACGAAGTCCGCCCCAGTGCACTCGAGTTCACCAGCTTCGTCTTACACATCGTTCTCGCCAGCAACACACATTCCGAATAAGCCATTACCGTCTACACCAACTCGACCCCGTGAACTAACAGCACCTCCTGCTGGTCTCTCACAGTCTCCCTCTCAAATTACCCCAGTCAAGCCGTTGTTTGCACCTCGAACACCTCCCGAAATCTCACCTACCATTAAATCCACTCCAACACGTCGAGGGTCTCGAAGGATGTCCAAGCATCCGAAGCTTTCCAGCTCTTCTCTAAGCGAGGCAAGGATGCGCAGCAAACCATTACCACCATTAGGCCCTCAAAGCCCAAGTATCGTTCTAGGCAGAGTTGAGGTCGGCTTAGGAATTGATTCAAAGCAATATCAAGAACTGGACGGTGATTTGGCAAATAATGAGAGGACGTTCATTACAGGCGGCCTTCGAGGCGCGCCAACTAAAATGGAGATGGACGAAAAAAAGTGGATATGAATATCAATTGATGTTGGTAAAATAACACCTTGTCACACGATCATGGCATAGTTTCTGCCAAATTTTCTTTTTTGTTTCTCCAGTACTTTTGCGCAGCATTGGGAACCGGTGCAGGAAATTGATACCACGATTGCATATCGAACCAGACCCATGATGAACAACATCTTGGGTATTTTTAGCATAACCTTACGAATAATGTTACCTCAAAAAATTGAATCTCAATTTCTAATCTTTCAACTACTTTTCTTTTCTGGCTTCTTCATTTATTTCCTTCGCCAATGTTTGTGTTTTCGAGTTCCTAGTTCCAACCTCCACTTTCCCTCCCTCCATGCCGTCAGCCCTACCACACCACCTCGTAATCTTACACCTAATCTCCCCAATCACTTACCGCGCTTCAATCACAACGCTTTTGCCGACACACCTTAGCCGCGAGACAAGTAAGATCTTTCAGCTCGCATCGCAATGCGTCGCTAATCTCGCTATTCCAGCCATAGACACCATCAATCGGTCGCGGTAGTAGACCAGCGCGCTTCGCACTGCATTCTAATTTGACGCGTCTTACAACGCCAACCAACCACCACGAAAGTGTTTCCAGTCATAATGACAGAAACATTTTGCTTCCGGTGCCGTAAGCTGCTGCTCCTGGATGAGTGCGATTCCAACATCAGATGCCGCCAGCGATCGTCGTGTCTTCGTACGTAAAAGGCAAATATCTCGGGCTCGGGACTTGCTCGTGAGGACCGGATGCGCTGATGAGGCATGGAGAGTTGGCCGTCGGATAGCAATGGGATAGCGATACAACCCTGATGGGATTTCAATTCTTACTGCGACGTCCTCTCCGCCCTTTAGACATGGGATTCAAGGGTGTTGGGTGGCTCACGTGGTAGGAAGTGGCTTCTCTTGTGGTGGGAATTTCACGATTACTAGCACGTTGGTTTTTGGAAGATCATCACCTCAGCACAACGTTCTAACAACTCTCAAAGAAACTGATTGCTAATGTGCTTCAGATAATTTCGCCGACCTCTCGTCTCCTGAGATAACTCTGCATCTGCCTTATCCCACTGCATAGGATGATCTGGACCCCCAATCCCCCGCAGCTAATCCTCGCCGCAAATCTCCCGCCTACGCCATACTCTAGCTTCCAGACATCCGATTTCTGCTTCCTTCGCCGCAACTCTCCCGTACTTGCTGCATTCCTGGGCCAGTCGTAGTTAATTCCGTACCTCCAAGTCACGAAAGATGTCGTGCTCCGTTTGAATGTGATAGCATATACCAATCACTCGTCAGAGGGGTACATACTGTGTGCTTCATCCGTAACTTGATATATGCCGGGAAGTGGTTCAGGACACCCAACGAGGTTTGTTTACAAATTGTTTGGTGTGATGCAGTCTTTCATATCAGCATGCAACTATTCAAATGTGTATCAGCAAGATAACACCCACGTGTACGTTACTGTTAGTGAACGAGAAAACTCATTACCACGCCGTCCACGACTCTCCAAAGCCATCATGTTTCAGAATTCGAGATCTTCGCTCATCGCCCACTTACCCCGGACTAAACCCAACTATCCCCTTCCTCAAATCTAAAGGGCAACGTCCAGACCACTCCACCGTCTATCACACAAGGACGTCCTTCCAAAACGTGGGTTTTTCAAAAATAGATTTTCTGGAAGGAAACCCTCCTCACGTGGGCCCAAGAATCCGGTAGGAAGTGGCATTGTGGGGATGATTATACGCAGGTATGAACTCTAAAGGTCTTATAACACTCTGGATCGTTCCAGAGTCAGTTGGAACGACGGGGTTTTACATAAGTCTTGACGATGGTGCTGGGGGGTTGCACTGCCCCTGGGACTCGCTTATTTTCCAACCAGAGGCTTGGGTGGATTCTTGGATTGGCTGGGAATGGAAAGAATCTTCGTTGAGTTTTGAGTTCCAGAGAGTTGTTAGTGGTTGCTGTTGGGATTTTACGATTCGATTGAACGAATCGGTTAGTTTTGAACGGCTCCTCGTTTGCCGTTTTTGGGGTGCCAAGGCAATCAGATTTCTCATTGCAGTTGTGCTTGATTGGCATATGCCTTTCCTGGATTTGACTCTGGAACTTTACCAAGTCATGTTCATTAGAAGACTTGAAATAGACACATCCTGGTTAGTTCTCATTGGCAAATTGTTAAGTGACTGTACAACTTTCACACATGTTATGTTGAAGTAGATCTTGAGTCTGATGCAGTAATACGGTCTATTAGGAAGAATTTCAGGGATCTCAATGCATAACTGATCATTCTTTAGGTGATTCACATCATTTGAAGTATCATACTAATTAGTTTACAGGGGTGTTTGAGTGTTCGGGCTCGAGGACGGTCACATGATCGTATTTAAGCGAGACATTCTGTTTGCCCTCAGCTCGAGTTCAGTCACCTCCCTCCTAGGTTCTCGATCGCATTGGTATTTAGGAAGATATTGAAAGTTTTAGTACGTGTGTTGAGAACTACTCACTAACAATTGAGAAATCTCTTGTGGACTTAGTAGAACGATCTTTTGTTGTCAGTTAATACCTTTCAACGACCACACGATAGGTGGCTCGATTTGTAAGCTCAACGAGAGTCTATCATTGTTCTATCTGGAACTGTCTATATCTAATACCTTGAATCTATAATTCGGAAAGATTCCTCCATCCAATACACCTGCCAAAATCCTCCGAACAGCTTCAACTTTAAAAAGTCCCAGTCGCTCAATATCAATATTTTCCTCAGACGCCTGTTCTATTCAATAGTATGTTAACAAAAGAAATGTGTTCTCCTCCAGCGTCTAACCTAACCAATAGTATATCAACAAAAGAAATGTGTTCTCCTCCAGCGTCTAACCTGACCAATACCATATAACCAGATGAATGTGCTTCTCTCCAACGCTCAAGCTGACCAATATTATATGAAGAAAAGAAATGTATTTTCAAGAACCATTGATCCGTGACCGTCCGTCTACCAAATATAGCCCCTTCAAGATCTCGAAAGTCGCTTAAAACTCCTCTCAAGACGCGCATCAACAAGCTGGTCAATCTTGAAAATCTTATGCACCGAGTCCGTCCTCATCCCATCCTCAAGCGGGGCATTATCACAAGCTACCAGCTCACCCGAAATATACCACTTTTTCGGATCATCGGGATATTCCGGATCAACAAAGACCGTCAGCTCAACTATCGGATTCGAAACAAGTTGATTGGCCCCCTTTAAAGCCCTAGCCTCACGAGGAAACCTCAACACCACATCAGACATTTCGGTATTCACCTCCGCATCCTCAAGTTCGTAACGAGCCAGTCCGTCTTCGCCAGGTTCAGGCACTTTCTTGAACTCGATTCGAGAACGTGGACATACTTTCTCGAATTGTCCACCTATGATAATAACAGTGAGACTCTCATCCGTTTCGAAACGGAAACTAAATTGTGGTGGTATGTCCGCATTTTCAGGTCGTAGCTCGCCGATGAGCCACATGAGAGTGACGCTTCCTTTTTCTTTCTTAAGTCCAGTCTCTGGTTCTGGTTGCGTGTAGGTGAGCCAGCTGAGGAGATCTCCAAGGATGGGGAGTTTTTGTGCTGGTGGTGATGGAGAACGACTTTGCTCTCTTTGTTTGAAGGTTACGTAGTTCGGTGCCCACGTTACTTTCTTGGATGCTTTGGAGGAAGAACCTGCTTTCTTCATGATGTCTATGGTGTATTATGCTTATTTGCTGCTTTATTGTATGTATTGAAGGTATTATTTAAGTTTTGGAACTTTCAAAGTCTATTTTTGAGTTGGGAGAAATGGTATTTTAGCTATCTTGGTAGTGATGTTGTTGGATGAAGTACAAGATGCAGAAAACGAGCTTTTTATACTAATTCAAAGCTATTTGAGTCATGAATAGCTCTCATGTTTCTTGAAATTCTTGAGTGTAATCTATCTAAAAACATGGGTTATGAGTGAAGTTTCAAGCAGTTACGGATGATTTGAGCAATTTAAGAGTAAGATGCTGATGAGTGGTAGTTCAAATTAGTCTAATAACCTACAAAAAGGTCAAAAGCTGTCTTTCTAGTCACTGATTTAGTGTTCACGGTCCTTTCGATAACCAATTCATAGAAAACTCATTAGTCAAAAACCAAAGTCTTACAACACTGCACAACATATGGCATTTGCTCGTCTAATCTAGCTATTTTATGAGTGTTGAAAGCCATATGTGAAATTAGCCGCTCACATAGATGCCTTTCTGAATTCATTCGAGCGAAGCGAGGAAAAAACTCGGAATTTCCCGAATATAAGAGTCAACGTAACTTATACATATGTTCGTAACAGCAAAGTAAGTCTACTTTATCTTGGAATATACATGTAATTAAAAGAAGACTGACTACTGTGCCACAAGGTTGACGGCACACCATTCTTCAATTAGAATGATATTAGATGAAGATCTCCTAATTTCCTTCTTCAGTAGAAACTCTTGGTCTAATAAAACAAGACGTAACGGTACAGTTCTTTATCTCTAAAACAACAAAATGAGTAAATAATAAAAGGGTTTCAGGTAACTTTTATCTTTTTTTTACATTTAAGCGAGATGCCAAAAATCAGTCCTGTAGTTGCCAGTCAACTTTCCTCAGCGAATCACTTGGGTATTCGAGCACTAGAATATCACACTTGAAAATCGCAATCATCTACAGAGAGTATGAATATTGCGAAAAGTGGTATTAGCATATTACTGGGTTGGTAACCTCTTTCATTTTCTTTGACTGGTCGATGCCTCTGAAACGAGGGGATATGATGGGATCATCCGCACTTTCGAGATTTCATTTCCAGAACTATGACACCGATTATGTCATACACTCTTCGAAATCGGGCAGCAACGAACTGCTATATTTACTCTGTTTTTGCACATCAGATAATCACCGAGATAGCTCACACATAGCCCCCCAGCTTATGGTATTTGCATTGGAATTGAACACCCGGTAAGTGCTGTACCTTACGCTGCGGTTTTGCTTATCTGGTATTCTATTCTTATTAAAGATCATACGGTGGCCTCGTAATTCTACTTGCAGGTCACCTAGGTTTACATAAGACACCCACCAAAGCTTCATAATTGCCAACTTATAAGTGTGTGATTCGGCAATCTCACTGATCCGGCGAGTTCCGCATTACCCTCACCACATAGACTCCATAGTGGGGAGAGATGCAGGGAATGTAAGTTAGAGTGACTACTGTGGTTGGGCGTCGATACAAAACCTCTTAAATCCGCCCTTGCCTCTGAACAAGTCAAGTTTCAGCAGTTCAGCAACACTGCAAATATGTTTCGAGCCTATTGGTATCATTATTGTGTACCATAAGTCTTAGTTACAGAACGTCATCATACCGTTTAATCACATTTTCCTTGAACACGAGAATATCGTGAGGTCGGAATCCCTCCCCCCGCTCCAGCTTCCTACTATACTCAAAGCAATACCACACTGCGCTGCGATACCCTGGGCCGTTTCTCGTCTTGACATAATCAAGCAGTTCTTTCTCCGTGATGGTCTTCCCACCAACAGAAAAATTGGTTGCTTCCCCAATGCAGAGATTCACGGTGACGGACTGCATGATTGCAAGTTCGGCAAGGGAAATACCCATCAGCAAGGATTTATCCATGATGTGAGGTCGTCTTGTTTTCTCGCAAGTATTTGCAGCTGCAAATGTTGCTACAGTAATATTAATCTCCTTACGCCTGAAAGTAACGAACCTGAGCTGGCAGCTGCATATGCCGTCTGTCCACGGCGTATTCCACAAGAGCATGGTCCAATTCACAAGACCGATGGCAGCCCTCGCAAGTTGTTGCCTATATCCAGTTTCACGGCGTCCACGGGTTATGGTGAAGCGGGCGACGAGATAGTCTTCTCTGGTCGGTACTCGACGATTGGCGTCCCGTGCCTCATCAGAATACCATTGATTAATGGTTGGATTGGTCCTTAAAAATTGGGATGGATGAAAATCGACAATGCCCAAGTCTCTCGTGTTTTGACCGTCTATTACGGCAGACAGGGCGTCGAACTCGATTTTGATACCATTGCCACCGTCAATCGATGATGGCTCCCCCTGCTCGTCCGGGGGTCGAAGCACCAAGGACCACTTCCCCCACTGTCTTGAGAGATTGAATAGCTTCGTTAGGATTAATTTGTGCTCATCCACCCAAGCCTTGCGGTCTAACACTCGTTGCAACACGTCGTCGTCCACCGTCGGATTCGTCGTCGGCCGGAACTGGATCTCAAAGAGCAGTCTCTGAGTGTCGCTTTTCAGATTACTGACCATTTTCTCTAATTCTGACGTTCGTTCTTTCAGATTTGCTCCTCTGAACGATGCAAAGAAAATGCGTGAGATGAGATCCACGCTGCGCAGTTTCTGTAGCTGCAACTTCCAGTGCTCCCAGTCCCGATCTACAATACCGCTAACCTGCCCGTCCTCATTCGCCAATACTTGGCCATACAGGAGCAAGCCAATCCCATTGACTTCATGCTGGATTAGAGTCATTTTTCGCTGCACAGAATCGAAACCCTTTCGACCCCAAAAAGACTGATAGTCATCCTCCGAGTAGCCGCCACACCATAGCCGCCCCCAAGCGGTCATTTCACCCTCAACCGATGTTAGCCTGTCCTCGTACCAGTTCAATTTAAATGCTGCATCTCGAAAGTCACGTTGATATTGCTCTATTCTGGTGACGGTTGAGACCAGGAAGCCGACAAGTCCAGCCGCTGTGCCAACATAGCCGATGACGGACAGCGGATCGAACACCATGTTGGGTCGAGCTTCAAGGGTAAGTAGAAGCTAGTGTTCAATTCGAAAACATCTCAACTCTCAATGAATTGTCGGATCGTTGTATCATTCTCACTGACATCTCGTCTCAGCTCGGCGCCACGCGCGCTTAAACTGCGATTTATACCTCAACCCCGCTCGAACCTACAGGGCTGCTTCATCAATAGCTACGGCATCATAAATTCGTCTGAACGCAAATCCCACCCGCTGAATTCATGCAATCTTCAGATGCCTCCACCGAGGCCCCCCCAACGGATCCCAGCGGTGGCCTTGATTCTCGCCACGAATCCCAGGGTGACGACTTGGAGCGGCTGTATGCGGCGGCATTATCGGACATAGAAGGGCTACTCGACTCAAAGTATAAATGGGCAGACGACGAAGCGTGTCGGATCGACGATATGGTTGTTCAATTTCGCATCTGGGGGGTTGAGCTGAATATACCATCCGGGACGCTGCGATGGCTTCAGCACGACTATGTGAAAGAGGCTGCAGCTATTAGAGTTAATCTCGAAGCTGTTCAATCAAGCCTGACGAGGTTTATCTATCACTTACCAAGAGAGCTCATTGTTGAAGGGAAGGTGGAAAAGGAGACTGTCACTAAGACGACATTGGAAGACACCCACCTGTAGGTTGAAGACAGCGTTTACGCTTAGTTGGTTAAGCTCAATAATTCCAGTGAACTGCTAGATGAATTCACACGTTGTGTTGAGGCATTGTGTGATCTTTCAGAATCTCTTCAGATTGTTATTAGCCTCCACACCAACGAGGGCCCTGCCGCTAGGGTTAAGGAAATCATGAATACAAGAAAACTGGCGTCTCTTAGCACGAAGCTACCAACGCCAATGGGTACAGTCGCCACGAGAACACAACGAGAAATCCCGCCGGTACGCAGACAGTCAAATGACCGAGAACCTCTTTGGCCACGCAATAGTACCCCTCGGCCCACAGCAACTAATAGTATAGCCACGCCTAGCAGTGGAGCTGGAAGCAAAAATCAATCAACGACATCTCGCTGGGTCCGAGATTATGGGCGGCATCCCATCGATGACTTCTTGAGGTGGTTAAGTGCGAATGAAAGTCTGGCCATTGATGATCTTGAACAAGGGATTGTCTGCAGGTCTGTATCGCTTTCTGCAGTGAGGTCGGAACTTGAAAAGAACGACGGCAAAAGACTCGTTGAAATATTGGATGTACTCTTCGAAGACGACGGTGGTCCCGATCCTGCGGAGCTTTTGTCCAACTATGTAGCGGTATTCTGTATACTTCTGCAGATAGGAGAGGGTCATTATATCCAGCATTTCGTTGACCATGCAATCCACGACGACTCCGAATTTGATCCTGAACTTCTTCTCTATAAGTTTCCTTTGAGTCAAGGTGATGATGATTTCTACAGGAGGTTCTGCGAAGCACAATGGAGGTTCTGTGTGCCAGATTTCATGAAGAACATGAAAAAGGTCTTCCCCGATAGAATAAATTTGCCGATAATCGAGAAAAGACAGGTGGCACGCGGCGGCAGTGCTACAATATCAATCATTAAGCTACATAGCTCATACGACAAGCTTCTGGGCAGTCGTATATCAGACACGGTAAAGTCACTCCCGACAATATTTGCCGTACCTAGCTAATGCAAATCTTCCATCAGCACCGCAGAAGGTCCAACGCGAACGTGTATGCTCTCAAAACCTATCATTCACCAGACGCACAGTCGTACTATGAGACTGAGGTTGATGCCTTTCGAAGACTCGAATGGGAAAGACCATACAATCCTCATCTGATAGCCTTCTACGGTAGCTACATTCATAAAGGCACGTATAATGTTATATTAGAATACGCAGACCAGGGTTCGTTGGAGAACTACTTTCAGCGTACAAGTCCACCATGGAAGTCTAATGACATTATCAATTTCTGGACTTCCTTGTTTGGAATCCTTAAGGCTCTAGAATGTATCCATATGACTGGGCTATATTCGAAAGGTGAAGTGGAAATATTGAATGGGTCAGATCTTCCAACAATCTTCAAATGCCCAGTCGGCTAACCTGCGTAGCTGCCACCGAGATGTGAAACCAGCAAACATCCTGGTTATAAGCCTTGGATCATCATCCCCTCATGACGTTGCGTTCAAACTAGCGGATCTGGGGTTGAGCCATTTCAACAAGACTATAGAAGGTGACGCTGCTGCGACTGAAAACACATCTTTCAATGGTCAGACCTATGGTAGGCTACTGATCCTTGGTTTATGTACAGCTACTAATACAAAGATATAGCAGCACCCGAATGCCTGCGATCTGATGGCCACTGGGGTTATAGCGCTCTTCAAGCGAAGCAAGACGTTGACATTTGGTCATTGGGTTGTGTATTTAGTGAGGCTGCCGTTTGGATAAGTAAGTCTCATGACGGACTTGTTGAATACCGCCAGGCGAGAAGGGCTGCTAATAACTCTCTATCGGACAATAATTGTCTCGGGGAGTGTTTTCACGATGGCGAAAGTGTTTCGGAGACAGTGTTGCAATTTCATAGTGAACTGCCGAGGACTATCCGCTATTCAGATTATGTTACATCTCAGGTTGTCAGTATTATTGATAGCGACATGTTAGGCGTGTCTGGCTCGCGATTGACAGCTCGTCAACTCTGGGGCCGCTTCGATAAACTCACGCAACGAGCGAACAGGAGGAGTACGGCCAGCTCCTATAGCGACGCGGAAGGAGGAAATTGGAAACAAGTTTCGGGAATACAGCCAGATTTTTCAGCCGGGCCAAGTCAACGGGCCTCTTTCTTTACAACTATTCGGAATTTTGACAAGCCACTAAACAGTATGGAAAGCTTATATGACAACTATGGGAATCGCGAATATCCGCAAGATTCTAACTATCCCAGAGCCTCAACAGCCACAACTTCGTCAGGCTCATACTCTGATCCGATCTCTCGTCTAACAAGCATGAGCCGCGGATCGACGGTAGAGTCTACAAATCAGTCGAAATCGAGGGTGTCTGCAATCGAAAATTCAAAACAGCTCAAACGACGACGCCAGTACGACAAGCTTCCACATCTATCACTGAGCGTGGCAATACAGTGGAGAACGGAACGAAAGAGAGGGAACAAACTTCTGAACATATTCAACAAAGCTGAACGCAAAGCCAAGCTACCAGGAGAATGGCTCTTCTACAAGTGCCAAGCCAGAGATCATGTAAGACTTGAATTTGCAGTTCAAATTTCGTCACCACTGACCCTAATGCCAGGTATTTGTTGTCGATGACTCAATACATATGAGGCCTCATTGGGACGAAATGTGTCAATTGTTTGGAATTCTCACGTATATGGTAAAAGGCACTGATAACGATGGTCTCGACCTTTTCTTTACAATGTCTGATCAGACGTTCAACGACCAAGATACCACCAAACTTGTCGATATTGTTACCCAGCGCAAGGCGCACCTGGAGGGTCAAAGCGATATGAGCCTTCGACTGGACCATATTTTAGGACGGTACAGTATGGATCTCCGAAACAAATACGTTCTTCGTAATCATAACTCGTCGGACGCTGCCAATAAAGAGATCAAACCCCTCAGTGTTTATGTATTCACGAACGCGATGTGGACTCATGACTCAAATCCAGAACATTCGATCAAAACGATGGTAGACTCTCTTGTTCATGTAGGAGCGTCAAGGCATCAGGTTGGAATCCAGTTTATCAGCTTTGGCCGTGATCCAGAATGCCTTGATCGCCTCGATAAGTTAGACAGAAACCTGGGGCTCAAACTGTGAGTCTACTCACCACCATTTACTTCTATATCCTAACCTCACACAGCGATATCGTGGATCACTCTCCATCCAATTCGAACCTCTGGAAAATTCTTCTCGGAGCGATCGATCCTGATGTCGATGGAGACTACCAGTCAGACACCGAATCAAGCGATGGCAAATCCTTGTGTTGATTGAAGCCATCCACCATCACGACGCACTCATTACTGACAACCCCCAAAAAGAAAAAGAAAAAAAGCATTGAAAGCATTTCGACCCAGCACCTTCATCAAAGCTTTGTTGCATCAACTATAATAGCTGTCAAACGACTTCCCAATAATGGAGTGAGTTTCATATGGGGCCTTGAAGATATGAATTGGGATAAATTTCTCTTTTGAAAGCGCTATCTGCACAAATCTATCATCTAAGCGCTGATTTTAATTACGCAATAGTAATATTCTCCCTTTCCCTCCGCAGATACCGCCGGGCGGCGTCATGGTCACTGCGTCAATTATTTCATCATACATTCACCATTTTTGTCTTTTAAACTTCTAAATGATACCCCAATTAGATCGGATTCATGTATGGTAAATACCAGCGTTTCATTTTCGATTATTTATTTTGGTACGCTAGGGCATATCCCTTCCAGCCCCTATTCGTACCCTAAAGTACGTACCTCTGAATAGTGTTTTGTACATGGTGATCAAACCGTAATCATAGTATATATATGGATGAGTTAATGCCAAGTTCATCCCGAAATCATATTTAGCAACAAAATCTAGGTATTGAAGCCTCAAATACTCTCTGTGTGACGCAGATGTGTGTACCTCTAATTTGCTCAATCATCTAATGGTCTAAAACTAAATCTTATACTATTCCCCCCTGAATAGAGGTTATTTAGTGGGCAAAGTAGAACTTGACGGACGGGTATAATTTTTCAGATCGAGGGAGACTTACGCGCAGTTGATGTGGCAAAGATGAAAATTTAGTGTAAGTTCCATAATTCCACGACCTATGGGCCAGTCAGATTACGAGCCCGCCGTATAACCTTTAATTGGGGGGGGGGGGGGGGGGGGGAGTACTAGTACACCAACGATAGAGTTACATGCTCTAAAGTACGAATGGGGGCTGAAAACGACACGCAGCGTCTAGGGACTCGATATCAATGATTTCGGTACTTGAGCAGCGTATAATAGTTATTAGTACTTGGTACATTTATTAGGTGACGGCCGGGTTATATTTTTGTGTTTCGAAATGATCCTGCTTCATGTATAACAAAAAAATACAGGACGCATGCAAAAGCTGGATTTGGGATTAGTTCTTGTTGCATAATACGTGCTTTGGTAAAGAGCTTGCAAGATTTGTGAGAGATTTAATTTTGGAAAAAAGATCATTCGCTCCGACTATCAAAAGCCCTCTGATCCGAGGTGCATGGTGTTTGGAGTCCAGTGGGAGTTTTGTATATAAATCTAAAACAGTATAGTATATGATTTTCACCGCTGGATTTGGGAAACCCACAGAGAATGCACAGAAATCACTAGCAAAACTGGTCAATTGAGTGTTTTTGGTTTAAGATCCTCGCAAATCAAGTTGATAAAGTCTCACTATAGGTATTTACAACTGTTTTTTGACAGAGCCTTGAATTCATAATGACTCTCAGTAAATGTAAACAGATCGCTATCTAATTTTCTTTCAGCTTCATATCTATCGACGTTGTTTCATACAAGAACTTTCAAAGAGCGCCATACACCTTGCACTATCTATAATATTTTCCGTCCCTCCCATGACAGTCTCAAACTTTTCTTCATCCACAGAACTGCCCTTTCCGTCTTCCTCTTTAACTAAACTGGTATATCCTAAATCCTTCGGTGGCTCATAATGATGCATAATCTCCGGCTGCACGGTGAGACAATTCAAATGATTGTTCTTGCAACCATCAAGCAAACGAATATCGAAAGCTTCATTCCCACCTTTCCCAGCGAAATCGAGGATTTTCTGAGCTCCGTGAGCTGTTACCGCGTAACCGAACGTACAAACTGGGTTTACGCCCTTCTGGATTGCACGGTGGCCGGCTGAGATACTTGGGAGCCACTTTTTTGACCATCCTACATATTGGTCTATCGTTGGAACTGTTGGATCTTCGAATTCCTGTCGCGGTGTGGCTTTATCGGTGTGTTCTCCACAATGACCAAGCCATAGTAAATCCCATGAACGCCCATATGGACTATCATCCTCTCCCCCGACATCTCGAAATTTCCTAACATTATCCGAAATAAGAGCCATAGTTTTCTTAATATTTATATCCCAGTCCACATCATCTTCTACGATCAGAAATGTATCCAGGTTACTTGAAACTCCGTATCGTAATAGATCGAGATGAGCAAGCCACGCGTGAGCTGATCCTGTTTTTGGATGACCATTCACTTCTGGTCCTCCGATTTTACTGAACGCTTCAATGAGCTCTGGTGTGATGAATGGTTGTTTAGGAATCTCGATGTCCAGACCAGTAAGAGTTGCTGCTGCTATTAAACCACGACTTCTCCAACTTGGACTCTTGGATAGGGCGAGGATCTTTTGAAACTTTCAATTTGTTAGTAGTGAAGAACAAATCCTGAAAATTGTGAAATACCTACTCCGAGGGTCGAATTTTGTGCCGCATCGCGTGGTAAAAAGTCGCAAGGCTCCGCCGACTCAGTTTGCGATATTGTTGCAAGCTCGTTCATATATCGTAAACGCAGGAAATATGTGTACCAAAGAGCGACGATAATTAAAGCAGCGATATATATACGAATTCGTTCTTGAGCTCTGGAGCGTCCCAATCGAAACGGACTCAGACTCCTCGAACCGCTGCTACCTTTGACTTCCGGTAAACCGAGCATTTTGATAATAGGAATAAATGTGAGTAGTGGTGACTGTATCGGACGACATCTGGTTTTTGATTAGAACTAACATTGGCGTGAAAACCCTTCGAAACGGATCAGGAGTTCAGAGGAGGGGCCCTCTCGTTATAAGGGTCGTCATGGTGTGGCTCACTGTTGGATTGCCTCTTACGCAGACACCAACGACTGGTAACAAAACCCCGCGGTTGAAACTCCACCCAGAATCCTACCGCTGATGTGGGATGATGAAACGAAGTATTTTGGTCCCAACTCGCTTGATGTTGCGTAAGCCGATATGCATGTCATCTGTGGTAGTATTTATTTCGGGAAGTCGTGCATCGATTAATGACAAAGCGTGAAATATCTCTTATCGATACAAGAAGAGTGAATTTCCCCTCCAAACTTTCCAAAGAAAAGAGGCTCAATAACAACAGGAGGAAAGAAAAAGTCGTGTTTTGCCGTTGCTTGTGTAAGCCATGCGCCGCGCATGAGGGAATACCAACAGGCTTCAGCCACCCACCCAGACAACAGAGCCCCAGAGGGGAGACGTCTTTTGTCGACACCATCGCCTCCAAAAATGTCAAAGTCCTGGCCGTCATTTTTCATTTTGTTGGAGGGTCTCGAATTCTCAAACATCAACAATTCGAAGCGTTGAACAACAAATTTGACCCCTAAAGATGAAGTCCCATAAATAAGGGATTCTCGCTTAGCGAAAACGCAGCGCTCCTTCTGCGGTGATCTCCAAAGGATCTCCCTTGGCTTCAGCCCTTCCCGCGTTATTCCCCTGTTGAATCAGAACAGGTTTCATCCGGATAAATCGATATCAAAGCTCGACTTCACCGACGTGATTCAACATTTTTCGGCGTTATGGGCCTGCCTGAGTCTGCCTCTGTTACAACTTTCAGCATTGTTGACAGAATGAAATGTTTCAATACTTGCGGAGCAAAATATACCTGTATTTCAATGTTTCTGACCTTTGGTCTAGAAAAAATTTGAGGCGCAAACAGATGTCGACTTTTTGTGAAGAGTTCTCAAATTGAAAAGCCGTGACACTTATGTACCTTCAGACTCCATCTATAGTCAGCGAGCAACAGCGTGTGTGTGATTTTTTGCTCGACATTCATATGGCATTAAAAACATCAAATCGTTTCTCGAGACCTTAGATCTTCCAAGTGTATCAAATCTATGTGGCCTTTGTTGCTAAATCCTTCTCGGATGCTCATGTCCGCCTTGCATAGCCATGACTGATACGAAATACTCTACATTCCACTAATTAACTGATTAGATGCCACGATCGGTTTATCGCCGTCCTATTTCTTAATGTATTAATGTATTAAGGTTAATGGATTAAACGTTCATTTCGTTAGGGTCACGCTTTTCACGATTTGTTTTGGTGTTTTCATAAAATTACTTCGGAGCTTCACCATTACCTTTGGATTTGGGTCAGTCAACTTCTACCTTTATTAAACACTTAATTACTGATCATAGTGCACTATATTTCGGGGTTTTTGAACTCAAATCGTGAAAGGCCTCAAACATTGAAGTATATCGGTTCTAGCGCTTATCGCCGACACATATGATACAATGTAATAATATAGCGTATCTTTACGATAAAACCCATCTGCTGCTTATCTCCCTGTTAAGATGTATACAAAAGCCATCGCAATGTGGCGTTACGATTTACATCCAGATTTTCACAAGTTCAAGTTTGAGATGATGATTTCGCTGGCCTATTCGTTAATCATAATGGATTGGACAAGTGTTACATATAATTTGTCGATTGAAGAAATGGCAAGTGATTTGAAACGTGGTCCATTTTTTGGTAACCAAAACTTAGTTATATGAACTATCATGGTAAGAGATCTCGCATTTGTTCAGCGTTTGATAACAATCCTTCTTGATATAATTAAATGTTTTACTAATCTAAACCATACGCGCAACAGATGAAGAAAACTCTAGAAAGATAGACAATTTATTTATGAAAAGTACTACAATGGGTCACAATATAACAGATTAATCGCTCTCATTGTCTGGGGGTACGTTCGTTGATTGGGTGACGCCAACATGATGCAAGTACACAGCAGAATCTCAAGAACTGAGTTCATACCACTTTTCGAGAAGAACAATCATCAAAACAATTCTTTCGTGAAGCATTCGAATACTGGGGATATAACGGCTTGATAAAATGTCCTTTGATTGCTCATCTCCCAAAGCAATAAACAATCATATGCACGTGCTCAATAACAAAAATTGATGAATATGATAAACGGGGGCCTTATATATGAAGCAGAAACATCATTTTCGTTGTGGTTAGAGAGATATCAAAGGGCTGTGTCGCTCTTGGGTGTTTTTGCTTGTGGGGATGATGGTTAGAGTTATCACCACTCATCCTCTAAATCACACATGCCTCAAAATCTAGTAGTTTGCAAGTATCAGTCAGAAGGCACATCACTTACTGATATCGACAAAGGCAATTAATTGCCGTTCTATTCTGGGCTATTAAACTTAACTGAATATGTATACATCGCTAAGTATAACAATCTTGTCGCGCTAAAGGGTGCCGAAGTAGGGAATAATGACCCTGCGAGAACGTCTAGAGTGGTTGTGTTAAGTAGGCTTAGAACATTTATATCTAGATGTGAGTGTCTAATGTTTAGGCCAGATTACGAAGATTTCTACTGCTCATACTCCGATGCTAATACCCTCACTTTCGGACATCACAGTTGCGCTTGCATTTTAATAGTCTATCATCAAGAAATGCGAGAATTATGAGTGTTGAAAAGTTGAAATCCTACTCATTTCATCCTGAATCAACCTGTACTAATAAGAGTAAGACAATATCATGTCCAGTAAAGTTCCTAAACCCCGTCCTAATCCAAATACCATGTAACCCTATGACTCGCCAGCAGAAGAAGAGAAAGAAATTGTACAAAAAGCCCCATTCAAATGAATCCATCCCAAAGAAATCCATACAAAAGAAGTGAAAATCACAATCATAAGTCAACCCGGCTCACAGCACAGCCCCATTCTTCATCGTGTTTGAAGTAAGAAGATGGCTTGTCCAAAGCAACTCTAGACGAAGATAGGTGCAACGGCCTCGGCTTCGCGTTTGTGGCCACCCTTAATTCCAATGCCAGATCCAAAGGTTGCTTTTCCACCAAGTCCAAGGCCACCGGACGGGGTTCTCTCCAGGATGTCGGCTTCTTCAGCATCGCGTTTGTGTCCACCTTTGATACCGAGGCCGGATGAGAAAGTTGGCTTTCCACCGAGTCCGAGTCCACCTGAAGGAGCTCTCTCGGCGATCTCAGATTCAGTATCTTCATCACGTTTGTGACCGCCCTTGATGCCGAGACCAGAGGAGAAGGTTGGCTTTCCGCCCAGTCCAAGTCCACCAGATGGTGCTCTTTCGATGATGTCCGAATCCTCAGTGTCGCGTTTGTGTCCGCCTTTGATACCAAGGCCGGATGAGAAGGTGGGTTTTCCTCCTAGTCCAAGACCGCCTGACGGGTCTCTCTCGCTCAGGTCGGACTCATCACGTTTGTGTCCACCTTTAATGCCGAGACCAGACGAGAAGGTAGGTTTTCCACCGAGTCCGAGGCCTCCAGAAGGAGCTCTTTCGCTGAGGTCTACTTCAACGTCACGTTTGTGACCTCCTTTGATGCCGAGACCAGATGAGAAAGTCGGTTTTCCACCAAGTCCAAGTCCACCGGATGGATCCGCTACTGGAACAGGTGCGGCGAGTGTGAAGGACAAGATGAGAGTGGCGAGAAAGATAGAGAGACGAGCCATTGTTGATGTAGTGAAATGTCTTGAAATAGAGTGTCAAGAATATGTAAGGTTGAATGAAGATGTAAAGAAGGACAGAGAGATCTATCTGTATTCTGTAATTAAAGTTCTGATTGCAAACAAAGAGCAAAGCCAGATAATGGTAAGAAGGTTGTAGTAGAAGAGGATGATGTTGATGGGATGGAGAAATAAAACTTAGAACTGGATAGCCAAACCCTTTATACAAAATGACCATGGTAGATTCACTTGTTGAAATGATGTTAATAGAATCGAAGAATGCAGTTGCACCGCCCACGTACTGGAGAGCCGGCTCGAATAGACCATACAGTGCGTATGGAATGAATTACCTTCTATGAATCACATAGATCCATGGGTACGGATGGGAAGAGAGCCGGTTCATTGGGTGAATAGTAAACAAGGCAAGCCTAGCGAGAAGCTGACTAGTATTTTTAGTCGCAGCAGCACATGTTGTCTGAGAGACTGAACGAATTGAGATATCCGAACCAAGCTGAAGCATTCGACATAGCACCTCAAAGTATTTCGATATCGCTGGTCTGGCCAGGTCATCAATCCATGATGACGATAGGGGCAACCCTGCATCACGCGTATGTCGTTAGCCAATGATAATAGATCCGCTCTCACCGTGTAGAATCTTTAAGTGGGTTACAGTAGGCCGGGTGAGCGCTAAAAACACGGTTAATGAACCATAAAGATATGGTTTATGATCCTGTACCGCGATAGTGGATCATGTCGAATGCCAATGGTGAGGAAGGAGGGCGAGCCGCGATATTTTTGGAACGACACGACGCGGTTATTTCGAAAAGCGGGGCTGCTAGCTCGTGACTAGCAGAACGGCAACGATACATGCCGAATCCGCGCAAGAATGTAGCGAAAAAGGTGCTGCTTTAGACCCACGAGTCCCTGCGCCTCTGCAGATTAGAGCGCTAGCAGGGCAAAACAAGCGAGAGCCCCGCTTTTCTACCGACAACCGCTGGCAGCCAGCCACATCATCCCTTCTTTCTTCATGAACACGTCAAACTCAACTACTCAAGCTTCAATCCGCAACGGGCCGAGGAAGGAATGCGCTGTGGCTTAGACAATGCTGAAGATATCCGGCTCCGTCACCCGTTCTCTTTCCCTCTAAGAGACCATTCACTTTGTACCTTTCGTACATGATCTGAAGTACCCATCAATCGCGGATACTCAACCCTTCCATGGACCAAGGAAGCGTTTGCCCTTTCAATCTACTGCTTCGATCCGAGAGACTACCCGCAGATGACAGGTTCCACAGCATGAAGTTACAAAACGAAGAAACCGCGATTGGTCACGCAATCCTTGCTTTCCAACATGAAACTTCTGATCATACCAAACTTTCGTGTTGGCAATATTTCCCAACGGGAATAAGTATGACACACATCCATACTTTGATCTCACAACATCCAATCACAACCCACGCACCGTATAATCATTTAACTATAGATTCTGGTTACGTGCTTTCTGCAGCCTTACACGAATGCCTGCCCACGAATGATTACATCCAGGAAATTCTCGAATCTGGTAACTAACAACCAATTTCACTCTTTTGGACTCGGGCATGATCACCTTCAGGGTTCAATAGTTTCTGGAATGAGTAGCTGAAGGACACATTTCTTGATCAAGCTAAATACAGAATATCCCCTTAGTCCTTGCATGTTTCATTTCTTTGAAAGACACGACTATCTCAGCGCTAGGTCCCGGTACCACGGTTGATATCAAGGCAACGCTCTTAGACTTGCCATAAACATCGAACTCTTCAAAACCATTTGCACGTGGAAATAAGTTCTCAGATGAACAGTATCTCATGACTGCCTCGCCTTACAGCTGCCTGACAGTCTCCTCTCACAACACCAATATCCAGACGATTCTGTCTATTTTTGACGCTCATCAATATCAAACCAACTCATTCTTGCCTCTTTCAACTTGCAACAACACGGCTCATAGCGCTGCTGACAGTATTGAGTGTCACCAGACAAATGCTGTCAACTGTGATGAGTTACCAGATGAACCTTTCATCTGGTTCGTACGGACTCTGAGCAAATATCCGCCTGGAGTTGCAATCTGCTCAGATCTTCGAGTCGGTAGCCAAATTCCCTCACTCTCCCGCATATCCTTCCGTCCATCACTTCATTCCCAGATGGTAGAATCCAAGTGTAGGTCGACCATCCCCCTCACAGCGCAGGATAACTTCCGATCTCGATCTCCTTTCCTCGACCAGTCCTCGACGCAAGGCCGATTATCAATCCCATCGCTCTCTCTCTCCTCATCCACACCTCCCCTCCCCATCAACAACCGACTCCGCCACCCCACCATGCTTCCCCATACACGCCTGTCTCTGCACATACCCCTCCGACCGATTAACCTGCGCTACCACAATCCCGAATATCGCGGCCGGAAGAACGACGAGAAGCGTGAATGCGATGGCTACACAGATAAATGCATTTCTTCTATCCTTCCTCTCGGAACGTGGTTTGTATTTGACATCCGGATCGTAGGGTACGGTTTTCCATTGTACGAAGGAGGCCCGGGAGGGCGTGTAAGGCGGCGGAAGGGGATCGGTATAGTATGGTAACTTGATAAAACACATCAGTCAAATCCATTTACAAACAAGTAAAACTCACAGTCTCATCCGATAAATGCGCTCTCGCAGGCACAACAACTTGCTGATAAGTATCTGAATCCATTTCCCGATCTATCACTCAAACACAATCCATCTCACTTTTATTCCAGAACCAATCTATCATATACTCCCCTTTCAACCCCCGAAAAAGCCTATGATCGACACACCCGACTACGCCTTGTTTCGATGCACCGAGCCGCAGTCGCTTCCTTTGATCGGGGTCGGCCGCGCGCTTAGAGGGTGCTGCGCTTCGGTCGGGGGTAGCGAGGGTTTATGCTTTAGGAGCTCTGGGTGGTGGGGATGATAACGAGGTGATTGAGAATTTCAAGTCGTGGACTGTGACTGAATTTGAGAGAGGTATACAACAATTCGATGGTAACTTTGCGGGAGATTTTGGAATGTTTTTGGATTACGTGATGAGAAAGAAATTGTTTGAACTCCGAATTGAAATCATCTCGTCTGTGACGGGTTTATGTCTCAAGCTCCCTTTTCAACGTCCAATGGGTATAGTTGCTGATACCCAACTCCATATCATCGACATACATTTTTACAAGAACCCTATATTTGCATCTCCCTCGTCAACGTTCCAGCGTCATCCATCTCTCCCAAACCAAGCAGTTTTTCATCCACCACACGTTTCCAAAACATCTACTACCTTCCCCGAATCCATCCATCCATTTCACATTCCACCTCCTCATTACCACCCATCCACCTTCTTCTCCACCTCGCCTTAATTATTCCTAGTAAGCCTAACAACCAGCACAACCACACCCACAATAACATGCACAATCACCACTCCAATCACAATATTCGTACAATTCCCATTCTGTTCCTTCCGCGTCCCATAATCGCGATCTTCCCATTCCGGTTTGTGGTACGAAGAATAGGTAGGGTACGTCGGTCGGGTGTAGGAGAATGGATCTGGTGGTGGGTTGCCAGATGGGTTTCGAGGTGGGTAGGTGTGGGAGAATGGGTCTTGGGGGGGACGGTAGGCTGGAGGGAGGGGTGAGAGTGATGGGTTTTGTGGTGGGATGTTGGGGGTTGTCTGGGGTGGAGTTAGTATGGGAGTTCTAAAAGATTTTTGGAGGGCTTACGGGAAGTGGTGAGTTTTGTTGGGATATTAATGATTGTGCTTTTCGTGTGTCGACTTCAAGACCGGGAGTTTCTGGGTTTTGGCTTGATCCAGTCATAATGAAAAGAAAATCGCTTCTGGATTCAAAATCAATTTCCTCAGACCAAAAACCACTACTCTGAAAGCAATTCAGGGGTTTAAATCGCTGATATTCGCGATCCTTCGATCATGGACCACGGTCTCCTGAGTTCTAATTTTTTTCCAGAATCAATGAAATCGAGAAATCGTCAGCGCAAGACATCAATAAATCAGAAATCAGGAAATGCTTCATTTATCAACCATCACGGGGTTCCCACCGTTGATGTACGTTAAGAAAGCGTTCGAGCTACAGTGCTGCGGCGGGTTTAACACAATCTTGAGACATCAAACTTGTTGGTTACGGCATCATGCCTTGTACAGATTCCTGGATGATTGGATGAGACGACTGCGTTCTAGCGAGGCAGTGGTGGTGGCCTATCGATTGTGGGATGCAAAAGTGCGGCGAAGTTTGGGGTCGAGTTTATGAGGCGATTTAGCGAAAGGAAATATTGACATGGTGGATGGTGTATGATTTGTGGTGTGAGTCTTTCTATTGCTTGGTTGAGTTCTTGTATTTGTATGGCTGTCGATACAAGGAATATCGCGACGACAGAGTTGTGTGTGGTTGGGTGCTTGGAAGCTAAACGATTTGCTGGAAATCTTGGGTGATGGAATTTTGTCAACGAAGGCTTGTGCCGCAAGTCTTGCTTGCCTTCGCATTGCAATTCCAGTGTAAGTCTATGAGAGTATGAGCGTGTGAGTCGGTGTTGACGTCGTCCAATCGTTTTGGGTGCGCATAATTTCAGTGCGACATCACGGTTCCGGAACACCAACAGATGGTCGTACAGTATTACTGGACTTTCGGTTCCAGTTTCATCGAGTTTAACCTCGACGTATTGATCTTTGACTGCAAGAAACTCCTCCCCGTGATGGGTAAATACCTACAGTACATGGTCCTGCCGTGGGAAATTTCCGTATTGAGTTCTGGCTTGCCTGGTTGCGATGCAGCGAAAAGGAGTTGGCTTCTTTTGATCCCTGGCTACTTCTCAATTTTCCAGCATGTAGTATAGATTAATAATAAGTTTTAAAGTCAATCTAATAATTATACATTAAATTGCCTCAATCGGGACTACGTACTTCTTCTTCATTCCCACGAGACGAATTTCCGAAGATGGCAGACGATACACGAAAAGACGACCCAGTACGCCACCAAAGAAACTACCTAAAGGCATGATTATGGGAAAAAATGGAAAGCCGTATGCTTCAATCTATAAACACATTTTACATCTAGACTAATAATAAAAAGATGCCGAACGTGCAACTCCCTCTCCGACTTCAAAATGGGCACAAAATCCATCTCCAAAACCCCGCTTCCATCCAAAGACTGCCCTCCCGATGTCGAAGCTCTCGGCCGCTTCTGGTAGACAGTCCTCCACTCAATCGCATCGACCTACCCCGTGACCCCCTCTACCTCCGAACAATTAGAGACGCGAAGCAATTTATGGGGATTTTTGGAAAACAATATCCGTGCTGGGTATGTGCTGAGGAGTTTTAATGGTTTATGGTACAGAATAAGGTTCGAGTGGGGAGTCGCGATGCGTTTGGAAGGTGGATGTGTGAGGCGCACAATGGTGTGAATCGAAAGCTTGGGAAGAAAAAATTTGATTGTGTAAAGTGGGAGGAACGGTGGAAGACAAGGTGAAAGGATGGGAGGTGTGATTAGATTTTTGGGTTGGGGTGTATGATATAATGTTAGATATGGCTGCATATATTGGCGTTTAGATGGATCTAAGAAGGTTTGGTATGACTGATTTAGTGTATAGGGAGAAACTCTGCTCGAAAATTGCATATATTCACTAGTCACGCCAAGCAGCGAGAACGTTTGTCTGGACATTTGGCCGGCGTTATACGAATACTACGTTGGCTTCGCGATGGGAACTCTTTCCTCTATTTATGGAAAACAGCATAGCCTTATAAACAGTCCTGATCAACGCCATCGTAAACGCAACTCTTATATCAGCAGCTGTTTTACACAGCATCAGAATATGATAGAGCTCCTGCTGTTAAGCGAACTGGGTTGCTTTTACTTCGTTGCTCTAAGTGCTTATATGATCTTATACTCAGGTAGTTCCAGCATTCCTAACTCTTACTTTTTCTTTCCTTTCAAACTGCTATTCTCCATCCCAAAGCTGCACATCATAGCTAACCCTGCCCCAGCAACCGCTAACCAAAACGCTTTCGTCAATCCCCCATTATACGCCTCCAAAACCTTCTGTACAACCTCAACTCCCAAACCCTCAACAACCCTCACCACATCCGAGGCCCCAGCATCAACAACCATCTGCACATTCACACCTTCAATGCCCCTCAACCCCTTAACAAGCTCCGAGGAAAATATATTCTGCGCTATACTTAACCCCAAGGACCCTCCCAAGCATTGCGAAAACATTATGAGAGCATTGGCAGTAGGCACGTCTTCATCAGACAACACAGCTTGCAAAGCATAGAACGGCATAAGCGACGGAATACCATAGCCGATGCCCGCAACAACTTGATACGACAGCCATTTCTCTGGTCCACTATCAAGCTTGAGGGAGGTGAGAAGACCGGAGCCAAGCGCGAAGATAGCGGCTCCGATAATCATGAAGGGGACGTAGTACCCTAATCTTGTTACAAGATAGCCGGCTGCTAGGGTGGCGATGGCTATTGTTACGCCGAAGATCAGAGTGCGTAGGCCCGAGTCTTGGGCACTGAGGGAACGAACGGCTTGAAAGTAGATTGGTACGTAGTAAGCCTGCGCCATCATTGCTACTTGAAGAAATGCTTTGAAAAGGAAACTTATGGCTACTGTGCGTTGGGAGATGATCCGGATTGGGATTACGGCACTGTGAGAGACATGGTTAGTTTTGTGATTTGTTAAACAGTTTTGAGCCAGTCTCATCAGGGGACTAATTACTTTTCTTTCTTGTAGTATTGCATACCTACAAAGACAATGGTGAGTAACGCAAACCCCAATAGACACCCCCAAACCCGCGCATCCGACCAAGGATAGACGAGACCACCATATTGGAGAGCGAGGAGTAGGCATACGAGGCACCCAGTCAAAATGAATGCGCTCAAAAAATCAAGTTTGACAATCTTTTGCCAGTATGTAAGATCTGAATGAGGTGTTTTTGGTTCTTTGAATATCCAAATGAGACCAACCATGGCCAGGACACCGAAAGCTACATAACGTGAGTTGATATCTACAAGATTTCGGACTAAATGGAATTGTGGCAGCATGAAATGGGTACTTACGGACATTAAGCCAAAAGCAAAACCTCCACGTCAACTTCTTAGAATCCGTTATCAAACCACCGAGCAATGGCCCCGCAACAGCGGCAATTCCATACATAGTAGAAACCGTTGACATATACAAAGGCCTCTTGATTTTCGGCACGGCGTGAGCAATTATCAAAAGTCCGCCACAAAACATCCCCGCTGCACCAACACCTGCCAGAGCTCGACCGATAATGAAAACAGTGGAGGTTGAAGCAGCGGCACATATGATTGAACCAACTTCAAAGATCAGAAACGCCCCGATGTAAGTCCACTTCATGTTGAAGAATGTGAAGATCCTACCAAATGTAGGTTGCATTGACATTTGTGTAAGCAGGTAAGAGCTGCCATACCAAGCAACGTCGTAGAGGCGGCCAAAGTCCGATGTGATGCGTGGTATTGCCGTCGCTGCAAACGAGTGTTAGTGAATGTGAGTTCAGATGTGGCGCAATATCTACCGATGATGCTACTGTCCAAAGCTACCATGAACACAGCTGCCATGAGTGCAGTCATGAGAGTTGCGAGAGACCATCCATGGAGGAATCTGCCTTCATCGTCTAGCTCCTGAAAAGAACCAGAAGTGCGGTCTTCTACATCCTTTGATTCAAGAACTTCGGTTTCAACGAAGATTTGAGCTTCAGTCTGTTGACTTGGCAATACACCAGTCAGCAAATCGATAGATTTTAAGTTGACTGAGACAGATGGAGGCCGACGGTGGGACATACGATTCCGCCGCGGAGAAACCAACATTGCCACAATCGAAAGGCATTTCCAGTTTTTCTTTCTCTTTCTCAATATCTCTATTTTCAAGAGAAGTCCTCACTTCGCTGAGGGAGTTTTTCGGCGTTGGGGTAGTCATTTTGCTAACGAATTTCCAGACTAAAGTTGATAACGAAGCAGCACCAAATATATTTCAGGCAGGATGAACTGTAGCTTTCCTAGGGCAGTAGATGTTGGCCTTATACCCATTTGAGTTCGGCACAACTCGGATCTCCCGACGCGACGCCTCTCGGATCGCATCTGAGCTTAAAATACTGCTAGTACACCGTCCATTGCTGGGGCAAATCTAAGCCAAGAGGTCGGCAGACTCTAACAGGCTTGTGATCCGACTGATTGTAACCCAATATTCCTTTTGAATCTCGGCTCTGACAAAATGTTATGTTTTAGTAACTATGTTTTAGCGTTGTTGGTCTCGCTAGGTGGGTAAACGCATCAAGAGCTGTGATAGGTTGAGGATGACCTCAGCTACGCCGCTCCATTTTTCAAGCCTCTCGCTCATCCGCACTTTTTTTTGGATTGTTTGGACGCTGAAGGGTATCATATTCGGGAAGAAGTTGAACAGTACTGCCGTGTGTACATTCTTTTTCTCTTACTCTGACATATGGATACCCGGTGTTGCTATTACTAAATTAATAGTCTTACTTGATATAGACCTCAAGATAAGACGAGCACCCACAAGGTTCTTTTCTCCGACTTAACGATTTACTTACAACGTAAGGAATAGTGCCTCACCTCGCCGGATTAAATCTGACTAGAATTTGTAGGACGCTGCACCTGAACAAGGGGTGTCTATATGCCAGAGTAAAAGATATTCCTGCTGGTGAGGAGAAGTGGAAGTTAACGAGTTTAGATATCCATATAATTATTCATGTTCACACCCACCCATAGGACTACTGTCTTTCTGGCATGCCTGTTCATTGTATTTAATTGAAGGTGAAAATTGACCTCAGTATTCCCTGGGGCAAATTGCCCAAATCCATATTCTGGAATTTGAACCTCGAGACTCAAGCTTGTTTCACTGCAGAGATTGCGCTGAAATGAATCAGGAAGATCCTCCGTAGACCTGAACCAATTCTTGAAGTTAAGAATTTGGATACAGTCTAACAATATCCAGAATCTCGGTTCGCCTCATTGAGATGGTACCCCCACACCCCCACTTCAAACCAACTTTTCAGCATAGCAGCGTCAACAACTTACATGATGTAGAACACTGAGATAGTTTTAACTCCTTAACACCTTCTTAGAAACAGACGACTACCACCCTACTGCAACTAAAAGAAAGGGCTTTCCGTGCTTGGTACTTCGTCAGTATGTACAATCTTGTTGTTAGTGCATGACTGCGCGCAATTTACTTCGGAAAAAGGTTTTTGTACTTGATATGACATGTACATCCCTATGTTTCTAACACGTTGTGCAGTTTCTGCCACCAACATGCGGCTTATTCTCTGGTGTGACTTGTCACGAGGGCTGCATCGTGAATGGAAGAAAGGCTGAACAAGGATTTCCACCATGGCATCAAGGCCGGCAGTGCTAATAGTCTCTTATGCACGTCCAAATAAAATAGGAATCCCTAGTAATTACCAAGGATATCAATACGTGTCTTTGAAAATCCACCTCGATGACTTTGAATGGAGACGATCTGTCGAAAATCTCCTTGAGTGTTGTGTGTCTGGATAGGGAGAATGAGTCAATCACGCTCATCTGCGATACCCAAAGATGTACTCATAGGGACATATCGCTGAAACAGGTATATTGTCAATCTCACCCATATCGATTATTTTGACACCCCGAGGCAAATAAGCATTGACATGATGATGTTGTCCATCAGGTACAAGGTATCGACAGTAGTAACCAACATTGCAAGGAAAAGGTTCCTCTCATGCAAACGCTGTGACGAGGGATCTGTCTTCGACCTTTCAACTCTGTCGTAATGCTCCTTTCAGATTGACCCCCGAGCTCTCATGCTGCTAGACCTGATCATACTTGGATAGAAAATGAGCGATTTGGAGGCGAAAGCACATAAGATTCAGAAGTCTTGGGCGACCGGGTTTTCTAGACTCATGGACGATGACAGGGCTGAAAGGAATCGACTCCACAGAGGCGGACTGTAGAGAGAAAGTCGGTGTAGAAGGGAGGAGAAAAGAGAGAGCAGATAGGCTTTGAGTTACTAGAAGACCCATTTTTCAAACCTTCAAGAGGTGATATAACTCCCCAAGTCCCCACAGAGATAAACAGAGACATACAAGACAAATACAGCCAATCTGATTACTTTATGAAATCTTACATTACATCCAAAACAAACACAAAAATATGAGCGAGCAACTTCCAGTACCCATTGCCATCATTGGCATGAGTTGTCGGTTCCCAGGCGGAGCCAACGACCCAGACAAGCTTTGGGAAATGGTTTCGAACGGCCGAACTAGCTGGACCGATGTCCCCGAAGATCGCTGGCGGTGGAAGAGTTTCTACAATCCACATCCCGAAGCTAATGGGGCACACAATGCTCGCGGTGGATGCTTCCTAGATTCCGACATCTCTGAATTCGACGCAGGTTTCTTTGGCATCCCCCCCGCGGAGGCTACTGCAATGGACCCGCAGCACCGATTCCAGATAGAGTCTGCTTTCGAAGCCCTCGAGAATGCAGGTATTCCGGTCGAGACACTCAAAGGAACAGACACAGCAGTGTTCACTGCAATTGCTAGTCGTGACTACGACAGAATGGCATACAAAGATACAAGCGATATCGCCAAATACCATCTGACGGGTTGTGGAGATCCAACGCTTTGTGGCCGGATTTCATATCTATTCGACCTCAAAGGCCCATCTGTGACACTCGATACTGGATGCTCTGGGAGCTTAGTGTGCTTACACCAGGCTTGCACAAGTCTTCGAACCGGAGAGTCTAATATGGCCATAGTTGGGGGGACTCACCTATTGCTCGGGCCCGACCTGACAATTGCCATGAGTCTATTGCAGTAAGTTGTATTCTATTTCCATTCCTTTAAGAGGAAAGACGAGAAGATATTTACTGACGCTGTGCAGCATGATAAACGACGATGGTCGATGCTACTCTTTTGACAGCCGCGGCGCTGGATATGGTCGGGCTGAGGGTGTTGCCACTGTGATCTTGAAGCGACTTGATGATGCCATTCGCGATGGACATCCAATTCGAGCCGTCATTCGTAACACCGGAACAAACTCGGACGGTAAAACTAATGGAATTCTTCTTCCAAGCTCCGCTGCCCAACAACGTTTGATGCAATCAACGATAAACGCTGCAGGTATCAACCCACTTGACGTAGGCTATGTCGAGGCACATGGTACGGGAACACAAGCCGGAGATGCCGCAGAAACGGGATCTATCAGTCGTACTTTCAGCGACGACGGTAAGCGGGATAGTACTCTATTTATCGGAAGTATCAAAGCGAATATTGGACACCTGGAGGCTACTAGCGGACTTGCCGGTTTGATCAAGACTGTTCTGATGCTCGAGAAAGGGCTCGTGGCGCCGGTACCTAATATCGTAGAGATGAAAGAGGGACTTTCCCTGGGGAGCCATATCAAGGTATGTGCTGATATATATAACCCCCTTGGCTAGACATGTGATTGACGAGCAAGTTTAGATTCCACGCGTGTTAGAGACATTTCCTGGTCCACGACCAGGCAGCACTGAGAATGTGCGACTAGCCGCAATCTCATCATTTGGATTTGGAGGGTAAGTCTTCGGTCATTTCGTTGTTATGTTCTCGTTTTCCATATAACCGATCTCCGTTGCTACCCATTTCGCGAAGTTCCCACTTTTGTATCTCCCAGCGAATTCAGAATTTTTCGAAAACTGGAGAGGCTGTACATGGAGTTAGAACCAAGAAGGCCATTTAAAGAACGGAAATACCAGAAAGAGCTAACCACCGAGCTTCGTAGGTCCAACGCGAGTGCAGTCCTTGCATCAGCAACAACCGTGGAGGTGGACGTGAAGCGAATACTCCCGAACAGCGCCAACAGCGACAAAGTAACACATAGACATACCAACGGCATCTACAAGAATGGTTCAATCGAGGATAATGGCAACCGACCAGAACTCATTGCTCTATCGGCCAAGTCTGAGAAGTCGTTGCGGTCGATCCTCACCAATCTTCGTATTTGGCTAGCCGAGAATCAGGAGAACAAGGAGAACACGATCACGATCTCGGATCTCGCGTATACTCTAGCGGTGCGGCGCTCAAAGATGCAATGGAGATGGACAGCGATTGCCAGTGATTTTCAGACTTTAACCGCGTCGCTTGATGTGTCGAATTCTCCACGAATTGTGCGTGTAGCACCAGAAGTCCGTGTGGTGTTTCTCTTCACAGGACAAGGGGCGCAGTGGTTTGCCATGGGTCGGGAGCTCATCGGAGCCTATCCGACATTTCGTCGATCATTGGAGCGCTCGGCCCAAGCGCTATCCCGACTCGGAGCGTCCTGGGACCTCTTGGGCGAACTCATGCGTGACGAGACTACATCTCAAATCAACAAGAGTGAATTCTCTCAACCCATCTCAACTGCTGTTCAAATTGCTCTGGTCGACCTTCTCACAGAGCTTTCTATCGTTCCCCAAGCCGTCTTGGGCCATTCAAGTGGTGAGATTGCTGCTGCTTATGCTGCAAGGTTCCTGGACCATGAAACAGCTCTTGCGATATCATATCATCGCAGCTTCATCTCGTCATGGTGCAAAGAAGATGTCAGGGGCGAAGGCACCATGATAGCCGTTGGACTAGGTGAAGCAGACGTTTCATTATACTTGAACCGTGTTCAGAATGGCACTGCAGTCGTCGCTTGCTCGAATAGCCCAGCGAGCACCACTGTTTCTGGCGACGAAACCGCCATTGATGAGCTAAAAGATCTTCTTGATCTCGACTCTGTCTTCAACCGAAGGCTACAAGTGGATACCGCCTACCACTCACACCATATGCAAATGGTCGCCGGTAGATACATGGATGCTATGTCTGAGATCCATAACGCCGTGGCTTCCCAACAGTCCAACGGTTCAGCCTCAGGTACTCGGTTCTTCTCATCGGTGACCGGTCACGAGAAATTTTCGGATTTTGGAGCTGCCTATTGGGTTCAGAATCTGGTATCAAAGGTACAATACAACGGCGCTTTAAAGCAGTTGATCAACAAGGTTGGAGCTCAGAGCATCGGTGCTCCGCCGTATGTTTTCACAGAGATTGGGCCCCATGGTGCACTTTCTGGGCCAACTCGCCAGACTTTGAGCCACGTCGAAATAGGAGCTCTCAAATACACATACGCTTCGTGTTTAACAAGGGGTCGAGACGGCAGGAACACTATTATGGAGCTGGCCTCAAGTCTATTCATCCAGGGCTACCCAATTGAGCTGCCCAAATTACTGAACGAGACCCAGAAATATCAAGTATTAAAAAATCTAGCCCCATATGCTTGGGATCACTCAAATCAATATTGGCACGAATCTCGATTGAGCAAAGACTATCGCATGCGAAATCATGCTCCCCATGAGCTGCTTGGATTGAAGGTTGTGGGCACAAGCTATCTCGAACCAACCTGGAGGAATGATCTCAGCGCCTCAAGTCTTCCATGGATTCAAGAACACATCATCGACGGTTTTGCCCTGTTTCCAGGAGGTGCCTTCCTCTGTATGGCAATGGAAGCTATCAACCAAATGGTTGTTGACCGTCAGATTCCCGGTAAAATCAACAAATATCTTATGAAAGATGTCATTTACTCAAAGGCGCTCGTCGTCCCTGATGCCCCTGCCAAGATAGAGATCCAGCTTACTCTTCGACCCTCAAAGGGCTTGACCGACAAAAACGCAACTACTTGGGAAGATTTTAGAATCACTTCTTATGGTAGTGACTGCACCTGGAGTGAGCATTGCCGAGGGTGTATCACCGTTGAATTTGATCCGGTCTGTGAAGAAGATAATGAGGCGGTCAAGGAAGAAAAGCTTACCGCACTGGCCGGTATGGAACTGATATCTAGACTGAAGTCTCAATGTTCCGAGGGTGTCGAGCCACAAGATTTTTATGACAGCCTTCGTTTGAATGGCATCGACTACGGACCGAATTTCTCGATTTTGACGGATATGAAAGTTGGACCTTGTAAAGCTCTCGGTACCATTATCATTCCCGACGTCTCAGCTTGTATGCCGTCTGGGTATCAACAGGCGCATATTATTCATCCTGCTACATTCGATGCCATGATGCACATCGTTCTCCCTCTATACAGTCGTCATTGCAGCAAGGGGCCTGTCATGCTCATTTCCGTAGACGAAGTGGTTGTCTCAACAAAGATTTCCTCTCAAGCTGGGCATAAATTACTGGTTGGCTGTGAGCTTTCTCCGGCTGGCTCACGTTCCGGTATGGTGGAATGGACTATCTTTCAGAAAGCTGAGGACTCTCAATATATTCCTGTGGTAAACCTTAGGTGTGGAGAGTTCCGCGGTATTGGTGAAGGCCAGATGGCGGGCCCTGATCTGGGCCTGGAAGACACTCCTCCGTTGAACCTACACTGGGACTCGGACGTTGATCTCCTTTCACCAAACCACTTTCAAGAAACTCGAACATCTAATGAAAAGTCGAGTCATCTCAGCGAGCTCTATCTTGCCAAGTATCTGGCGAAGTTGGCTTTCAAAAGGCCTCAACTCAAGATCATCGATATTGGAGCTAGGGCCAGCGACTCAACTTTAGCGATACTAGAGGCTTTGAAGCTAGATTTAGATTCAACCGATCGTACTCAGCTCCTTGAAAGTTACGAATACACAGACCATTCACCAGGGATTTTCGAGAAAGCACCAACTCTTCTCAACGAGTGGCAGCACATATTGAATCACAAAACTTTTGACATATCGAGAGATGCGGCCTCGCAGAACCTCGTTGAGAACTCATATGATGTCGTTATCGCTGGAAATGCCACAATGGAGAAGCACCAGATCCGGCAAATGTTTGAAATTGTTAGAAAACTTCTTAGGACAGGGGGACAAATGATTGTCATTCCAAACACAGGAGCAGCGGCACAATCTTTACTTTCTGTGGATGAATGGAATGAACATCTATTGGCCACTTCTTTTGAAAGCATGAACCTAAGAATCAACGACTATGGCGGGGTAGCTGACACCGAGCCTGTCATAATCATGTCGAAGGCAATAGCCTTGAATCGGAGCAGTATAACATTTTCTCGTCCGGTTGAAATCATTTCTCGGTCTTCCTCCACCGAGCTAGAGAAATTCGGAGACGAACTGCACTCTTACATGCTGCAGAGTGGATTGGATGCTTCACATAGATCTTGGTCATCTTTCTTCCAACAAAGCGACTGTTTGCGTGTCATTCTAGATGATGCCACCGACCCTTACCTTGACGACCATGCTGTCTCTCGATTTCAGGATGTCTCTACTCTTATGAAAGCGTCAAGCAATATCTTGTGGGTCTCTTATTCTGCCCACTTGAAAACTCTGCCAAAAACGTCAACAACCATGCTGGCGCGTATGGCACGAAAGAACAATAACGACATCAAGTTTGTGACTTTCGACATCCAAGACAACTTTGATGATGATCTCCCCACCATTATACGCGTGATAAATGACATTTCACACGAGTTTACCAAACAACACCACAGCAATAATCCGACGGAGTCTACATACGTGTATCAACATGGACGGGTACTCATCCCCCGATTTATGCCAGACTTCAAGTTCTGTCAATGGATATATGATTCAACCCAAAATGCAAACTTCGTTACAGACCGTTTTAGATCAAGCAGTCGACGAGTCAGACTTCATGTAGAAACACCGGGACTGCTCGATAGTCTCATCTTTGTCGATGAAAACGACTCGTCAAAGCCACTTGACCCATCTGAAGTTGAGATTGAAGCTCACGCATTTGGGGTTAACCGAAAAGACGTGAGCATCGCATTGGGTCGCTCCAGGCCTCTTTCAAAGATGGTTGGAGAGTTCTCGGGAGTTGTGACGGCGGTTGGCTCTGATGCTGGGCAAAATTTCGAGATAAATGACAAAGTCTGTGGTTTTGGTGGAACTCCCTATGGCAACCATGTTCGTGTCAATCCCAATCTATTACACAAATTACCAAATATGGTCAATTTTACCGAAGGGGCATCGATTCCTTACGCTTTTGCGACGGCGTGGACTGCTCTCGTTGAGGTGGGCCAGCTTGAGGCAAATCAGCAGGTCTTGATTCATTCTGCGGCTGGAGCAATCGGTCAAGCAGCTCTAATAATCGCAAATCACATTGGAGCGGAAATATTTGCAACTGTTGGCAGCCCTGTCAAGCGTCAGCTTCTCATAGACAAGTTTAACATACTTGACAGCCACATCTTCTCCAGTCACTCTGCAACATTCAAAACTGGAATCAAGCGACTTACATATGGACGAGGCGTCGATGTAGTGCTCAACTCGCTTTCGGGCGACTCTTTATTCGATACATGGTCATGCGTTGCCGACTTTGGTACATTTATTGAGATTGGAAAGTTGGGCAAGAGCCAGATATCTACAGAACCGTTTGATCGAAACGTTACCTTTGCTTCAGTCGATATGAGTCTCATGGCGAAACACCAACCACAAAAGGTTAAGAAGATCTTAGCGAAGGTCATGAATCTATTTGAGACAGGTCAACTACGCGCAGTGTCGCCCATTCAAGCTCTACCAATATCGGACCTAGTTCCAGCCTTTCGTTTGATTCAAGGTCGTAAGCATGTTGGTAAAATTGTTTTAACAGCCGACCATGACGCTATAGTCAAGATGTCACCACCAAAACTGGACGGTCTGAAGCTTGACGCAGATGCCACTTATTTGGTACGCGGAGGAGCTGTTGGTCTAGCCATTTCCATAGCTGACTTTCTGGTTTTGAAAGGGGCAAAAAACGTGGTTATTATTACCTCAGAGGCTGATCGTGCCAAGGATGAATTGCCATCCGAACTTGAGGATCTAGTACACATCAAAGGATGTGACCTCGCCAATCACGACCATTCGGAAGCTGCATTCCGTTGGTGTTTTGATAGCTTTTCCACCGTCAAGGGAGTCATTGATTGTGGTACAGTGGTGAGGCTTTCGCAGTTTACTCACCGTTATACGTGGACTAAATTTATGTGCAGGATCATTCAATACAGGCATATGGTGCCCAATCTCAGCAAGCTATCAACACATCTGATACATTATTTCGCAACATCGGAAACAGAGTGTTAGAATTCTTCGTTTTCTTAAGATGGGAAAACATTCATTCTGCTTTACATGGTTCGTTTGCCAAAATTGAATCCTTTGAAATTTTGCTAAACATGCTCAGATGACGCTATCGACATTTCCACCAGTGCTAATAGTGTAGCATCCGTTCGCGAGAACTTAGACCGTCACCCCAACTTCATGTTTCTCAGTCTAGGAGCTATCGAGGGCATGGGCCCAAACGAGCCGAGCCCTCAAAAAGACCCAAAAGGTAGCACACCTATCAGGTTTGAAGCATTCCTTAAGGTACTTGAGTATAGCATAAGCAACCGAAATCATCCTGGGAGAAAGCATGATGTGGTCATGGGCTTCAACCGACAGTCATTGCTTGATCAGCAAAAGGTTTCCGAGCTTAGAGACCCGCTATTTGCGCATCTTCCATACCCGGCTAAGAATGGCATCCAAGTTTCAGATGGAAAAGCAACTACCTCAGTAACTATCGAGCAAAGCATACTTGCCTCGCAAAGCGATGAAGAGACGCGCGCGATTATTGCTGACGCAATCAGAGTGAAGATCGCTCAACTCGTCGCGCTTGATTACGATGAGATTGGATTGGACATGCCATTGGAAGGTTTTGGTCTCGATTCTTTAGTGGCTATTGAATTCAAAAACTGGATTGGGCGAAATATCTCCGCTTCCATGCAAACATCAGAGATTCTAGACACTCCCAATATTCATACACTATCACAATTAGTTATGGAAAGATCGATATTAGTCAGCGGTAGAGATCAGGTTCTTGCAGCTCCAGAAATCAATGGAGAGCAGCTAGAAGAAGCGCAGAAGTCGACAACAAAACCAGCCTTGAGCCAGACTCTAGATGGTGTCCAAGTGTCCGGAACAAATGCTTTACCTGAGCTGCCGCTTCCGGATCCGAAGACCACTCTCAAATTATGGCTCGAATCTATTCGACCTTTTTGTGCTCCAAAAGATATTGAACGCATTTCTCAAAAGATCGCAGATTTTCAAAAGACAGGAGGGGTCGGACCTCAAACTCAGAGACGTCTTTTGGAGAGACACAACGACTCAACGGGGGATAATTGGCTTTCGGAAATCTACAACAAAGAGATCTGGCTCCGCAATCGTAGTCCTCTGGTCCCTTTCAGCAGCTACTTCTTCTCCCACCCATTGAGTAGCTTCCAACATCATCAAGCCGAACGAGCAGCTATCATAGTGAAAGCCTCATATGAGTACATGCAGAAGGTTAACGATAACGATTTACCTCCAGTATATCTGAATGAGCAACTTCTTTGCGCGGAATCTAATAAGTGGCTTTTCAATACTTTGCGGAAACCATGCTTTGAGAGAGATGAGATGCAAAGCTTTCCAGACGACGATTATATTGTCATTCTCAGCCGTGGTAGAGCTTTCAAGGTGCAGCTCCAGAATGGTGTGTCCTTGAAAGAACTTCAAAGTATCTTTCAGGACATTTTAGATACGACACAAGACAGCGATGTATCTTGGCTGGGTATCCTTACATCTGATGAACGGAACTCCTGGGCGAGAATATGAACCCATTGTATTCCCTGAGAAGCACAACCGGCTAACATAACTAGATCCGCGAGTCAATAATTTCCGAAAACGTATCAAATAAGGAGTATATCCATTTCATCGAAGCATCCGCATTCGTAATCTGTCTCGACGAAGCAGCTCCAAGCAACCCGATCGAGCGAGCCCGCCATTTCCATTTTGGAGACGGCTCAAATCGATGGAACGATAAGTCGGTCCAGTTCGTCATTTGTAGCAACGGTATCTCGGCCATTATAGGAGACCACACAATGCTCGACGCCTCCACAGCCAACGGCCTAAATGATTTCGTAATAGACGCCATTCTCCAGCACCCCAAAGACACAACCACACCTTTCCATTCACCTCTCACAGCCCCTCAAGAATACACTCTCACCTCCACCCCCACCCTAATCAAACACATCACAAACCTCAAACAAAACTTTAGCACAACAACCGCTTCCTACGAACATGCCTTCTTCACCCTCCCACAGCTAGGCTCCCATCATCTCCGCGCCCACCGACTTCCCCCCGCCTCCGCGCTTCAAATCCTCGTCCAGCTCGCCCTCTCCCGCTACTTCGCGCAGCTAACGCCCTGTTGGGAAACCGTATCGCTAGGCACTTTTCGTCGCGGACGCGTGGATATCGTGCAAACGGTCTCACCACCCGTCGCTACCTGGATTGCAAGTCTCGCCAAGCCCGAAATTTCCAGGAAACAGAAAGGGCGGCTCTTCGCTGAAGCTTGCAGAGCGCATTCCGCGGGGATAGGACGGGCGTTTCGAGGGAAAAGTTATGCGCGGCATCTGCTTGCGCTGAGATGCTTTGCCGAGGAGACTGATGTGCGAAGAGGGCTATTGGATGATGAGATTTTTGAGAGGATGAGGCCGAAGAAGGCGTTTTCGAATTGTCACAGCTCGAGGAGTGCGGAGAAGGGTTGTGTGTTAGAAGACAGGGAGGGCGTGTGGTTGCATTTCGAGGTCGAGGATGAGTTGTTTGTCTCCACTTTCTTATATTCCTCTGTTTGCGAGATGAGATGAGACTAATCGAATTATCTTTTAGCACGAGGTTCTCTGTGACGAGTGGTGTGGGCAACACGGCGCGGTTTCAGAAAGTGTTAGTCGAGGCCGCAGGGGATGTGATGGGGATTCTCGAGGGTGTTGACCGCGATGGAGAGGATGCGCATTCACAGTAATAAGTAGGCTGCTAAAAGGCGTGAACTTCCAAACCCGGCCCCATACACCCGAAGCACGCAGAGGAGGAAATCTCACCTACACAATCACCTACATCTCTTTCCCTCAACTTCAATTCCACCCATAGACCACTCAGCTCATGTCCTTGCTCCCCAACCGCCAGATTAATCTGTGTCCCAAAGCCTCTACCCTCGTTCTCTAGATCCCATCCCATCTTTCCGCCCGTAGCTACGCGCATTCGACTTCGAGTATCGGCTGGCCCTTGCAGCTAAGAAACGATCGGGAATAGAGGGTAGAGAGAAGTATATTTTTTAATGATAATGTGTTGATTCTTGGGATTTAGGTCTTGGATCTACAACATTGACAGCATTGTGACAAAAAGCGACAAAATCTCTTGCAACAAAATCCCCTTACATTGGAATCTAATTGTTAGTGCTCCTTTGCTGCTACAAATATTCTCTTTGCTAGGGTCCCCTTGTTGCCGCCAGAATTCCCTTGTAGACGAGTCCAATTGTTGACGCCTCTTCTTGCTGCCAAAATTCCCAGTGTTTCCAGATTTGTCGCAACCGAAGTCTTGGCGCTCAACCCGTCCAAAATCCCCACCTGAGAGCCTCCATCCAGCCGCAAACGACAACTCGACCTCTTCATTTACACATCTACACAACTTCAAATATCGAACTCGCAGCTTACGATTCTCCTGAGTCGTTGTATCATACATCAACTCTCATTCGAGGGTTTATTGACAAGCCTAGCATCAAATCCTGTCGAAATGGAACAGATTCTCAATTGCCGAAGTAGACTCCACATCATCCAGGAGGGGAAGCTGGAAGAACCATCACCAATCGTTGATATACTCGCGGATGTCCACTATGCACCGGCAAAGATCATCACGAGCTTATAAGACCCTTAGATTGATTCTACCAGATTAGCATGCTGTCTCCGAGATTTATCAGAAACCGAGGCTTAATAATTTTCCCCCTGGCCTTAACGAAGGGGATGCCGGGGATAAAAGCAGGTAATTAAGCTGAGCACAAATTGCTAGGGAGCTACACGTGTGAATCTTTGAGCTTTAGAGACACGATTTTCTTTCATTCGGTTGACACGATTTTTTCATATTCCAATTGAAGATTCAATTGAAAGCCACTGGTTGTCTCTTGAGCACGAAAACTTTTAACACATCCTGAAAAATGCGTATACCTACAAGACGAGCACTCTGGATTTTGCTTTTGGGCCCAGCAACTATTCCAGCCGGTGCTGCCAGTATATCATATACGGTCCCTGGAACACCACCAGCTGGCTCAAGCTCCCTCGATGTTGCACCAGTTGGCGTCTCGTGAGTGCAATTAACAACATTAATGCCCGACTTTTGACATCTGAGGATAGCTTCGAGTTTTTTGCATTTCCCTCTTATTTTACCAACGTAACGGCGACAAAGCAATGCCTAAGTAACTTCCGAAGCTTGACTGGAGTATGGCCACCCATTAGAATAGGTGGAACTACACAGTGAGTGAAACAAGTTCCATCTTAGAGTCCAATTGACATAGTCAGAGATCGTGCTCAGCATGATGCTTCGGCTTCAGCCATGGTGGTATACACAGTGGCAGATCCTAAAGATGCTCCCGCGAAATTGACTTTCGGGTCATCATTTTTCAAGCTAGCTGCAACATACGCAGGAACAGTTGTAATAGGTGTGTTTTGGTTTCTCTTGGGAAAGAAACTTGTACTGATGAGCGCTTAGGCCTAAATCGAGGCTACAATAATATCGCAAATACGATTGCAGCAGCAAAGGTAGCGCAGAAAAGCATGTCGAACTTGCGAGCGATTGAGCTTGGAAACGAACCTGAATACTATGCAGGGGCAAATCAACCAATAGCTGTAGCAGCTGGCTCATGGACGCCTGGAGTAGATGCAAAATCGCAAAATAGTTGGATAGCTGCAGTCGGACAAGCGTTGGGCAGTCCAGCTATTATTCAAGCTGGAAATTCGAATACTGACCCTCCAACCTGGGGAGCAGCTGAGCTAATTCCAAACCTAAACTCCACATCAAGATCATATGTGTATGACTACTCTCATCATAATTATCCTGGTGGAACAGTCACATCTTTGATGAGCCACAGCGGTATTGTTAACAACATGAAGAAGTTCAAGGCAGATGTCGCGGCAGCAATGGCAGTTGGCAAGGAATATGTTCTTGGAGAGACCAATTCAGGTAAGATTATCATCCGTTAAGCAAGAACTCCACTAACATTGTGTAGTTTCTGGAGGTGGAGCTGCTGGTGTAAGTCCGACGTTCGGAGCAGCTCTCTGGACTATGGACTACGTACTTCACGCATCAGTTCTCAACATAAGACGAACTTATTTCCACCATGGTACCGTCGGACTTTGCTACTATTGCTGGTGGGGTCGGTACTCTATGGGAGCTCCATATTACGGAGCCTATGCCGCACAAGAAGCAATGGCCAATGGCTCTTACATTGCTCAATTGGACAATGGAAGTTCTGCATACGCAGGATATGTCATTTACGATTCAGCTTCCAAACCGCTCCGAGTTATGCTTTACAACTCTGAGTACTACGCCGGGAGTGGTACCAGAGTCGCTTCCAATTTTACTTTAAGTGGTATCAAGAGTTCAAGCGTAAAAGCGAAGAGATTGACGGCTGCAAGTGCGCTATCAAGGGCCGATAACGGAGCCGTGCCAACTTGGGGTGGACAGCAATTTGCAGATGTGACTTGCAGTATAGCTGGCACGGAGACTTTTGAGACTACAACTGTGACCAACGGCTCAGTCACCTTTTCTATTGCCGCTTCTGAAGCGCTGTTGGTATATTTGCAGTAGCTATAAGATTACATAGCTTACGAAATAGAAAAATATGCACCAATGAGTTTATCCTCAATGTCACATCATTTCTAGCCCTATTTCTCCGTAACCCAAATCCAAATCCCCCAATCCTCGCCATTAATCAACCCGAAACAACAAGCTTTCAGGGTCCCTCTCATCCACTTACCCCACAATCTGGGGTAACGGGGAACTCGGGGATATGTTGGCACATGACGTACAAATGCCGAAGCTACTTTGCGTCCTCCATGTGAATAATTGGTGTGGAATATCCACCGGTTGTTACTAGCTAGGTTGTGAGCTTCCACATTCGTGATAGAGGAGTTGACTTCTTGCGGGCCAATTGGGAGGGAGCTCGCTTAGGGGTTATAGATGGATTTCGGGGCTATTGAGGGTATGAAAGAGAGGGTGGTGCGCTGTTGGAAGGGAAAGCTGGATTGTAATCTATTTTGTTGTGTCGAAGATTCTTGTTTTCGATTTGAATTGAGCTTTCAAAATGCATTTTCCACGTGTGCTAAGTGCGCTTTTGGCAACTGCAATTCTACCACTTTCAGTACTAGGAAGTATCCAAATCGTATGTCCCTTACTACTTCCCATCTCTTCATTGTAACTCACTCTGCTAGGTCCCAGGCGCATCATGGACAACAGTCAACGCACCCTACCAACACATCCAAGCTCACGGCGGTGGAGTCTGTACGTTCCCCTCCCATTTCCCCTACCTTTCCCTCCCCTCACGTTGCCTCCCCATCTAACACCCCACAGTACTAGTAAACGGCCTCTACTACCTCATCGGCGAAAACAAACTCGCGGGCTCCGCCTTCCAATCCATAAACTGCTACTCCTCGCCGGACCTCGTGAACTGGAGTTATGTCACTAAACTACTGAGTGTCGGGCAGGGACATGCGGATTTGGCGAGTGGGAGGGTGGTGGAACGGCCGCATGTGGTTTATAATGAGGCGACGAAGAAGTATGTTATGGTATGTTGATTGTTGTTAATAAAAAGGTGTAGGACTCGCTGATGAGGATAGTGGCTTCATATTGATAGTAGTAATTACGGGGAGGCGAAGACGGGAGTTGCTACGAGTGATACGATTTGTGGGGGGCAATATACTTATCTGTGAGGATGCTCGCGGGAGATGTTATGAAGGGTTGTTAACGAAAGCAGAGGATCAACCCAGCCGCTTGGGTTTCAGAGTCGCGATATGAATCTTTTCAAAGGTCGGTTCTCTGATTCCGCTCTTACTGCACTTGTCAGCTAATCTCAACAGACACGGATGGTTCCGCGTACCTTTTGACTGAAGACGTAAGTCGGATCTAGCTAATATGAGGAAGTCAGCTAATTTAAACAGCGCGTCAACGGTCTGCGAATCGATTCTTTGACCTCGGATTACCTCAAACCGGTCAAGACAGTTTTCTTGTTCCCAGAGAAATACACATATGAAGCCGCGGCCATCCTCAAGAGAGGAAACACATATTTCATATTCGCAAGTGATCAAAGTGGTTGGGGTAAGTGTTCCTCTCCCAAAAACTCTGCTGTATCCGCACTAATCTGCCAACACCAGATCCAAATGACAACATCTACTCGACTGCTACGAATCTCGCTGGTCCATGGGCAACATGGAAGCTTGTCGCGCCTGCAGGAACAAAGACCTACAAGAGTCAAACTGCGAGTGTGATAGACATCAACGGTACCGCAGTGTAAGTTATATCTATATTTCATTATTCGTTACTGATTAAGGATGTAAACATTAGCTATATGGGCGATCGCTGGGTATCCTCAAACCTCATGCGCTCGACCTATGTGTGGCTTCCCCTCACCATATCAGGAACCACAGCATCTCTGGTACCCACTCCAGTCCTCTCTTTCTGGTCATCAACTAACCCGCCTCAGAATAACCAAGTGAACTGGGTATTGAACCAAGGATCCTGGTCTCCCGGCACCACGGAAACAACCTATGAAGCCGAGGCATCTGCAAATGTCCTAGCAGCCGGCTCCAAAAGTGTCGATTGCTCTGGCTGTTCCGGCAAAAAGTCCATCGGCTACATTGGCGGGTCGCCCAACGGGAAACTCACAATCTCAAGCGTATCATCCACCGCGACAACGCAGACGACCATTAGAATTAATTATACAAATGCCGATAGTGCGCAAAGGTATGCGACGTTAAGTGTGAATGGAGCCAAGTATATCGTGGCGTTCATACCAACGGGAGATGATAACACTCCTGGGACGGCGAGTGTGACGGTTAGGTTGAATCAAGGGACGGCTAATACTTTTGTGTTTGAGGCGTATAACGGCGGGTGGGGTGAGTGCTTTTTGTCGAACCCGTGTGCGTGGAGAGATGCTAACTGTTGCAGGTCCAAATATCGACCGTGTCGCAGTTCCGGTCTCGTAATTCAGCGAATGACAGTGGACTTTGCGTCAGATTTAGAATTAGACGTATTGTGTTCCTGTAGTAAAGTGGCAAAAGAACCACTAAGCAAATCTACTGAATCCATTTTGGACCCTTTGAAACTCCTCGCAAGTTTTCCAGGTAATGTATACCTTTTCCGAAGAATTTCCTTCTCTTTCCAGTCCTTCCAGCGATTCATAACCATACTCCTAGATATGAGAGAAACCACAGAGGTCGGCGGCATTGGCGCATTGTTGCAAACCTCCTTTAGTAACAAATCTAAATCTCCCCCGAACCTGACAGGATCGACAATGCTCATATATGCGAGCTCATAACGTGATGTCCTAATCGCATTTTCTGTCGCGAATTCATATTGATGACCTAACATTCGTGATTGGAGATACTTCCCCAAAACCGTGGAACATAGAAGAGCTAGAGATCCGTTTAAAGGCGAAAGAGTTCGGTGAGGTAAATATTGTGTAAGAATTTCCACAGTCGTGATTGCGCGCGCTTTAAGGGCAAAGGTCCCAATCTGAATCTCGAGGTCAGAATACTCATTTATGTTTGCAGCTTCGCGCAGATAGCGAACAGAGACCCAGATGTATCCGGTCGCGCACGTGCAAAGTGAGTAGATGGCTCCATTTGATTTATTTTCTTTCCGTAAGAAAGCATTTGGACCGCTGGTCTTGATATCGGCAAAGTTGGCTGAGAGATCTGAACCATATTTTGCGAGAAATTTTGGATCTTTGATATCGAGATCTGGCATAGATATTCCAGAGTCACGACGGGTGATGAAGAACTGCGGCTTGGTCATGAATTTCGATTCCACGTTGTGGCTTTCGTGGACACGGTTAATGACGAGATTCGGGCTTGAGACTATTGTTTCGTGAGTAGAGTCCGAATTGATAGAGAAGAGTCTCTTACATTCAGTAGAAATTGCAGCCTCCTGTATGATATCCGGCAGTTGCGCAAAGACGTGATCGTTCTGAGTGGTGACATCAATGATTGACGGAGCGCGACTACGGCTTGTAAGGAAGACTTCTGCGTCCAAATCCATGATAACGAGTGTTAGAATAAAAAAGTTGAGGATCGGCGAAACAAGAGCGGAAACGAGTGTATTGATACAGAGCAGTACTTCAGGTGTGCGATAGAACTCACGTATGCGCAGACAGGGTGGTAATCTCGTATTCCGTATAATTTTGGCTAAATTTGGTGCAGTGCCATGCACCAACGGTGCTGCGGGGTTTAGCAACAATACGAGAATCTCCAATGACGCAGTCATCACGAAGCAGAATGATTTGTTTTGAAACGCACTAGAATATTCCTTTGAAGGCCTAGACTGTGCCGAAAGGTGGTTCAAGCTTGGATTGCATTTTGCAATTGGGCAGTGCTGAGAAGAATGCTGGTTTTTTGAGGCACAACAGCTGTTGACATACGTATATCCATCCTCTACCGTCGACAGATGACAACGAATAGCACGAGGACGACGCTTGTCGTACTTCGAAGTACATGCTTACTCCTGCATGATTTTAACTACCGAGGCCATGCTGCTAGCCCAAAAGTTGCTCGTCGCAATCAGGAGCTCAATAGCAGATAACACTCGTGATCGGCGCTTGATTTGAACTTTCTTGTTCGCACCAACAGACCCGACATACACTCGTAAGGAGGGATTGATAGCTGGTGGAAAGATACTTCGTGCCTTTCCAAATTGAATCTGACCCATCCATGGGAATTCTTTAATTATCGAGCTGGGTGGCAGAGCCGCACTAAGAATGTTCGCGCCCAAGAACGATGTATGGGTACAGAGGTCCAACTTCGAGCCGGCGTTCTGGAGCAAGTGATGAGCATAAACCCAAGCGCAGCACCAATATTCCGGTGAAGATGTTCCAAACTAAACATTCTATTGCGAATGTATGAATTCGACTGTGACGCTTCCACTTCGAGGTCAAGCATGAGCAGCACAGCACTCGATACCATCTCTATTGACACTTCTGGACGAGCTGTTCGACGCTGAATTTGGGTTCTTCGATGCCAAATATCTGATGAAGTTAGACTCGTCATATCAAGATGTGAATTTTCGAAGCCTAGCTTGTTCCAATTGCAGGGAATTCACAGCAGTGGATATTCTTTTGCGGAGTTCTGGTAAGATCATTCGCAGAGGGTTCGCGTCAATTTCGTGGAATTCATGCAAAATGAGAGATTTCCCCGCTTGAATGATCAGGGCAGATCGTACAAACAACAGATATAAAGCAGTCTTCTCAACTACCCAGAAATTTATCATTGTGTTGATATTATCATTGTTGACCCGGACTTCGAACCGACGAAGTTTGACAGGAGAAAGAAAAGGGGCCTGTTACCGAAACGCGCTTTCCACTTGCGACGCGACGTGAAGGGGCTCCAGAAAAATCTTACGACCACCCACAGTACAATTCGAAATCAACAGGACAGTGTGCTGCCCCCGGCAATTGCTCACAATGTCTGCGGAATTGGTTGTGAAAAAAAGGGGAAGACCGAAGAAGGTCGTCCAGGAGGCAGAGATTGAAATACCAGACAGCATGAAGAAGAAAACCACCACACGAGCCAAATCGACAAAGACAATTGCTGCAACTGCAACTGCAAAACCGACAAAAGCAGGCAAAACAAAAGTCATTACTTCCGCGAAAACAATTACTGCCTCGCCGGCGACATCGAAAACGGTTGTGGCTTCCAAGAACGCAAAAGTTACCAAGACGATTGCAAAAATTGAAGCTCCAACAACTGTCAATCACCCCGAGAAACCGCCAAAAACTGCTTCTGCCACAGCCACGAGATCGACTCCAATAACTACCACGACAAAGACTGTTACATCCAAGATATCATCACCAACCCTTTCTAAAGCGTTCGAACCTCAGGAAAAGCCTACGATTATAGCACCTGCAACGGCAGTGGATGAAAATACTACGGAAGCGCACCAGGTGTTGGAGAAAGCAGCTCCGGTGACGAGCAAAATTGCCGAATTGAAGCCAACGGCAGACACAAAAGCGTTCAGCGAGCTGTCGACAACCATACCTACGATTGATTCTGCTCAGAAACCGGCAGCGTCTTCTACCTGCGCATCGAGAGAGGATGGAGAACAGATATCAACATCAACTAGCACGAACCCCGCAACGACCCCCCAAATTACAACAGAGACGTCCAAGATATTAAAAGAAGTCCGCGAGCTTTCGCAGAAGAATCCATCATCACTATTCGAGAACCCCTCGTCGACCGAATCTGCCACAAGTACACTACATACACCAGCATCAGCACCTGCCACAAGAAGCGTACCGGCGGTAGCTACGATATCCACAAGCATCAAAGAGATACCTCGAATGTCTCCCCCATCCAACTCAAAACCTCCTCCCAATGCGAAGCCGAAACCAATTCCCAAACCGCATATACCCATCGCAGGGCTGAACAAGGAAATAGTCTCAAACATCACGGCACGCGCAGGGGCCCGACCAAGGCCAGCAGGTAATAGTGGTTTACCTCCAAGTTACAACAATGTGGCTCGGAAAGTTACCATGGCCATCGTTGCAGCGCCGATTGCAATAGTGACGAGCTACGTGCTATACCAGAGACGTGAGTGACTCTTTTCAGACGTGTGGGTTTGACTAACATATCTGGCAGTGGTATTGAAAGAAGAACAAAAATACCTGGTACAACCCGAGTCTAGGCTGCCTCAAACAGTGAGCTTCGAGTCTTCAAGTTCATCCGCAGATTGAAAAACGCGAACATACCATACCGAGAAATATCAGCCTTGAGAAGGCACCCACATATAGACGACAATCTACGACAATGTATATATTCCAGGCATTTGCAGCCAAATCTCAACTAATGATACCCAACTTGGATTTTTCATCTTCAATCAACTTGGGTTCCCTTGTGAAGTCTTTCAACGTTCCAACTCCAGAAAACTCAAGATGGCTACTCTACTCCTTATTTGATTCTTGATGGCACAGCACATCCTTTGCGCTAGCGCTATACGTTCTATCGCTCCTTTCGGTACATGGTGTATTACATGTGGCACTAATACCACGTTTCACACCCGCCTTATGATTGTCCTTCTATGCGCTTTGTCAACTTTACTAGGTGCAGATACCTTACGACCTCACTCTAGCTATTGTAGTGGTCGCACAAGAAGTCACGGTTTGTGATACGGCCTGCGACACCCAGAAATGAGGCTACAAGATGGCAATGGAGATCGATGGTCTGGTATACATTACGTGGCTCGATCGGAAACCATAGACTTTGTGGACAAAACTATCTCCATGTTCCATTCGAGCAGGAGGTTTAAGGCTTGGACAAATACATGCTTGTGCAGGATTGATAGGATAGGATATAAGGAATTTGACCGCGCGGATGGTTAAAAACAATAGCTAAGCCATTTGAAGGCTCTTTGACAGAGATGTGCCAATGTTGTCCAAGTCCAAATTCCTTGCGCAACTATAGCCAACATGGGGACAATTTTATCAGCGGCTACTGCGAATAAGACTTCTTGAGTTGGTCTATGGATGACTTATTGCCCACACTTTGATCGAGCGATTTCATGAGTCGTTCGACAACTTGCGAAGAAAAATACGTTTTCGGTTTCATGACTCCCAATACTATCACAACTGTGAACAAGGCAAATCCTGACGTCAGGAGAGCAACTAAGGCAGAAACCATCACGGGAGCGTCTTCGGTGCTTCTAGGGATTTGTTAGTCAATGCCAACTGCAGCTATTGGCTGAAGCTGATGGTGGTCGTACACGAATGTCTGGAGAGGAATGGGGTTCTGCCACAAAGTGTGGGGAAAAGGGTCTTCAAGTGGCACCCCCGGCTTTCTTAGATAGCCACGCGAGACCCCTAAGTTACATCTCATGATAACCTCAAGTGCAAACCATGAAATATGCACCTTCCCTTCAGGAACGCTCATCCTTTATGTTCAAACTTGAGAAGATCTTGCAACGCCGATATGACTCTACATTCAGCTTTCTGTAAGCTGCAATCCAACGAGCGCGCTGGTCAAAGTTGGGCACGGGTTCGTCAAAATGAGCATATGTACAGTAGTGGACGCTTGTCCATGTGTGACCAGCTGATAGTTGCTCAGTCGACTAACCATATCAAAAGCTCGAACATTCGGCCCATCATGGATAGATGGAAGCGAAACACGGCCATACTCGAGAGATCTATCTTTGGTCGGCTTGTTAACTTGGAATAATTTAGCTGAGAGCTTTTCGACTGGTTCGCCTTTCTTGCTTCAGATGTCTCAAGAAATCTAAGGTGAAACCGATTTGGACCCTTAATGCAGGAGTATGTCATTATTCTAGTTTGGTCCTCGACGATGGGTAGACGATTCGTCAATCAATTGTTGCTGTCTTCTAGTAACCTCACTCGGCTTGTTATGCAAAGCATTAGGACCAACGTGTGACCATGAGTGTCACGGATTCACTCCACTTCTTCGCCTGTGGATGGGTGAATACTTTCACTTTGGTCTTACAGTGAACTATTGGGGCTGAGGGGTAGTCTATATGTTTGCTCGGAAATTAGATATGTAAGTTTGTCCTAATATGACAAAAACTTATTGTCTCAGCATCATCTGATTCTATTTGGCCTCGACTTCAACTTTTTCATTACATGTCTAAGTTGGGGATGCTGAGAGACATAAAGCGTAGCCACCTGGTTACTTTCTAGCGAACATAAGGACATAAAGCCTGACCATCTGTCTCTTTTCTGGCGGATTCACAATTTTCTCTTGATATTCTGCAACCTTGAGGTGCTCAGCATCTATATAGCCCAAAAAATATTCCGCAGTCCGAGGTTCCATACTACACATCGAACACTGAGGGTATGTTCTCACTTCCGCCCACAATCTTGTTCGAAATGGAAAACCCGTGTATCACTACAGAGCTTCGTGTTAATCGTCTGATAGTCTCCTTATTAGTACTCTCCACAATGTTTGTCGCTGGCATCCTGGTCGGCGTGGCCATACTACTCTCTCAAACCTCACTCTATCATAGTTCGTTCGTAGCAGCGAGTGATTGTTGGGAGGGAACAGCATGTACTGGGCCCACAGTAGCAGCTTTCCAAGACTCAAAATGGGAGAAATATAACTATTCGCCAACGAACCGCACCGTCTTCCCAAAAAAAGTGTTGTCTGCGGATAAAGCTCCCATTGCAGACTATCCGCTCAACATCACTTTTACAGGCAACAACCAGGTCCTCATATTTGACTTTGGACAATTGACAGGTGGTACGGTCCAATTGAATTACACGGCGAAAGAAGTTGGTGAAATTGGTCTAGCATTCTCTGAATCTCTCAACTGGGTTGGAGAAAATTCCGATTTCTCAAATGGGTCTGGTGGAGATGATGGAGCCATCCTCTTCCATGTCGCACCGACTGCAGAAACACTTGGGTTCTATCAAATGCCTGTGGACAAAATTCGTGGCGGGTTTCGATATCTGACCCTTTTTACGAAAAACAGTGGCTCAACTCAAGTGGTTAATGTAACCGAGATCAAGGTAGTAGTCGGGTTTGCACCGTCGTGGCCAAACCTTAGGGCCTACCAAGGATACTTCTATTCAAATGATGACAAACTCAACAAAATCTGGTACGCTGGCGCTTATACTCTACAGACAAATTCGGTCCCTCCAAAGACTGGGCGTGCTTTTCCGATTCTCGGTGGAGGCTGGGAAAACAATCAGTCATTAGATTTGGGTCTCAATCAGCCTACTATCTATGTTGATGGAAGCAAGCGCGATAGAACTGTTTGGTCCGGTGATCTTACGGTTGCTATTCCAAGTATTCTCATTAGCACTGGAGATTTTGCTGGAGTTAAGTCTACACTTCTGGTGTTGTACAAGGGCCAGGTGAGATCCCAACTGCTTTCAAAGCCACACAAGCACTAACAATATGTAGCGCGCAGATGGTTGCCTTCCATTTGCTGGTCCTGCCATAAATAATTATGATTCAGACACTTACCATATGTCCACACTCATCGGAACTCACGACTATTTCATTCATACTAACGAGCGTGACTTTCTAGACTCCATTTGGGAAAGATACGTTCACGCTATGGACTATATAACCAAGAAAATCGACGGCAGCGGCGCTCTCCATGTCACCGGTATAGAAGACTGGGGCCGTAATGGACAAGGCGGACACAACACGGAAGCGCAAATGCTTTTATATCGTACCCTCCGTACCGCATCAGCAATGGCAAGATGGAAAGACGAAACCGCGCGCTCCAGCACCTGGTGGGCGCAAGCAGACGCTCTGCAAGTCATAATCAACACGCAATACTGGGATGACTCGGCAGGCGCCTTCAAAGAAAGCGACGTAGATGCCTCCATCCACCCACAAGACGGCAACTCTCTTGCTCTCTCCTACTCCGTCGCGGACGCCTCAAAGATGTCCAAAATTTCCTCATCACTCACAAAGAATTGGATCGAAATCGGCGCTGTAAGTCCTGAATTGCCACATAACATCGTCACGTTCATCGAGTCCATCGAAGTCAAAGGCCATTTCGCTGCGCGTCAACCGACACGGGCCCTAGATCTCATCCGTCGCTCGTGGGGCTGGTATCTGGATAATCCGCTCGGTACGGGAAGTACGACTATTGAGGGATACCGCGACGATGGAACGTTCGGATATCGTTCTGAGAAAGGATATCCGAGTTTCTCGTATACATCGCATGCGCATGGCTGGGGCTCAGGACCTACAGATGCGCTTACGACTTATCTCGTCGGTCTTCGTGTTACTGAACCTGGTGGATCATCTTGGAATCTGAGTCCGCAATTTGGGGATTTGAAGCATGCGGAAGCGGGATTTACGACCCCGCGGGGGAAATTCTTGGCCGCTTGGGATGTTAAAGATGACGGCTATGCTATTGGATGGGCTGTGCCGGAGGATACAGATGGGACTTTGATCCTACCGGCGAGAGGCGGTGCGGTATTTAATCAGACTAATGGGCCTGGCATTATGGATATGATGGGATTGAAGATCGATGCAGAGATGAACCTTGTCACTCTTAAAGTGAAGGGAAGTGGCGATATTAGCGTCAAGTATTAAGGTGGATGGGCTTATGATTCAACATCATATCGAAAAATATTAGTTGAGGAGAAGGCTATTTCAGAGTCTTGAGAAGGAAAGTCATCTTAAATATTTACTACGGAAACTTGATCTCTAGGGTTGAATCCGAGACTAACAATGATTAACATAATCTAAAGTTCATATTTCTATCCTCTTTCCACTATCACTTCTCCCCATCAAAATAAGATACGTAGCCAATGAAGAATAAATTATGAACTAGAGTTCTTTCGTCTGTCAACTACCTTCAATTACTCAATCTTACTACTACTCAAACAGCAAAGAGAGGCAACTTACAGCGAAACTAATATACTTTAGACCGGCGCTGTCAAGGCGCTGACCGAGGACGACTGACTTGTTTCCTTTTCGTTCCTGGGGATTACTAGATGCCAGATTTCATAATTTCACACACTATACCCAAACATGTAGAAGCATGTGGTTTATGCAAACAATCATCAGAGATTGTAACTTCATCCTTAAGAATTATCTCACGAAGCCCCAAGACAGAAGGAAAATCCGTGTTCATGGCGCCGAGTTTAGGTACAGCAATCAGAATTAACCTCTCTATCCTGGACGATTTACAGTTTATTGCGTGAGATGTTTTTGCAAGTTGTCATCTTCATAGACTTAAAATCTTTCACTACGAAATACACAATCTTTCTGCGTGTTACAATTGACCTCGCTCGTAGGCCATATTTGCAAGTATTCTGTATAGTTCCAGACTTCACGCGTGCATATTCAAATCACTTCCTGATGTTTGATTCGAGGACAGAAAACTGGGTTGCCCAAGGCTGTATACTGTTGTAAGTTATATTTGGCTATCTCATTAGGCAAATAACAGGCATAGGGCGCGAATTCTGAAGTTATGGGCATCTGAGTAGCACAATTCGAGAGCAAAACAGGTAAGATAGACCTAGTTTGAGAACCCTAACGCCAACCTCCTGGATCTCAGACCATAAGACTTAGTCTGCGAAAACTAGACTAAAAGTGTTATTCGTCAAAGATAGAGTGCCAATTGAATGAAGCAAGTGAGGTTACCAGTCACGAGGCCTTTCTTGTTCTTCAATGCACACCATAATGAAAAAATTAGAGGGGAAACGTTGGGAAACAGAGAAGCTGAGAAATAATGGCAAATCTATTGCATTTCTATATATTGGTCGAAGATGAAGAAATTGAAAGGTGAAGATTGAGGTGGGCTTGAATGTCGTCTCGCGTCATGAACCCTGTCAGAAATAAAATCTTGTGGCCGCGCGAAAAGAAGATCGCAGTATCCCACGCGCATCATGTTCGAGAATCTTTGCACGCTCCCACTCTCATCGGAGCTGTTCGCCCAAGCGATACATCCGTCTGAACCAATTCTTTCAGTTGGCCTGTCCAGCGGTCACGTTCAATCGTTTCGCCTTCCAGCAGTGGGTTCCACCGAGGGCGATGACGAGGGAAACACCAGTATTTTGTCCACCGGCACAAGCACAATAGACACAGAATGGCGCACGCGAAGACATCAGGGAAGCTGTAGAAGCTTAGCATATAGCGGAGATGGAGAAGGTATGTCTGCGACGACTCAATTGATTTGACTGTGCTAATAAATTTCGCATCTAGTTCTTTACTCTGCTGGCACAGATGGCATTCTGAAAGTAGCTTCATCCACCACCGGACAGGTCATAACAAAAATTCTTACACCCTTCGATCCTATCTCCAACTCCCCAGATCCGCCGACCTTAATCCATGCGCTCTCTCCACAAACACTGCTTCTGGCAACAGACTCCGCGGCATTACATCTGTACGATCTACGAACACCCTCAACTTTCAGCAAGGCAAAGCCAAGTCAGACACACCGACCTCACGAGGACTACATCTCTTCCTTAACGCCTCTACCACCGACCGATGCGAGTACAAGCGGATTTAGCAAGCAATGGGTAACAACTGGAGGCACGACCTTGGCAGTTACAGATTTGCGCCGCGGGGTTTTGGTCAAAAGTGAGGATCAGGAAGATGAACTGCTTTGCAGTGTATTTGTTGGTGGACTGCCTTCAAGGCCCGGGCGTAGCAAGGGTGAAAAGGTGTTGGTAGGAAGCGCAATTGGAGTTTTGACATTATGGGAACGAGGTGTCTGGGACGATCAAGACGAGAGAATTATTGTCGATGCAGGAATTGGAGGCGGAGACAGTCTGGACTCGTTGATTGCTATGCCAGATGGAGTAGGCGATGGTGGCAAGAACGTGGTTGTTGGTGTGGGAGACGGCACAATCAGAATCGTCCAGCTTGGTCCAAATAAATTGGTAGGGGAACCACTGAGACACGATGAGATTGAATCAGTCGTAGGCCTCGGATTTGATGTCGGCGGAAGGCTGATTAGTGGTGGAGGCTCGATCGTCAAAGTGTGGCAGGAGAAAATGTCACTTGATGACGAGGATGAAGAGGACTCGGAAGAAGAAGAAGTCGCGCCAAAGAAGAGAGCTGCGGATGGAAGTGACTCTGACGAAGACAGTGATGACGATAGCAGTGATTCTGAGAGAGATCGAAAACGGCAGAAGAAGAGGAAGAAGACGAAAGCCAAGGGCGCCAACGCTGGGAATGGTATTCTTAAATTCAAGGGATTGGAATAGAACGGGCCATCTCCGATTATTTATCTTCCATTTACCAAGATCTTTCCAATCTTGATACATTCATCCCTCTATGACCTGAATCATGCAAATGAGGACGAGATTCCAACTAAATCTCTAGATTTTCAGCTGGTTCAAGAGAATGTAGTCCTAGTTTACTTATGTTTTCTGGACTTCTTAGCATTGTCAGGGAGGTTATTTGGCAATACTGGACTGTTTTTCGGGCGGAGACAAGACGAAGATATTTCTTTTGTGGATCTGCCCTTTCAATACATTGTCCATGATCCCGGCACACCGTAGAAATACTACCAACATGTTCGGACACCGAAGCTGTTTCACTACGGATCACCATCCTTGACGGTTCATTGCGAAAAACTGCTGACATTCTACTAGTGGTCGTTCTACGAAAATTAGTTCTTGCTGTTGGCATCAGTAGCTAGGCTCAAAGAGAAGCAGGCCAATGTGACCTATTGTAAGACCCCGGAACAGAAAATAACCTCGTGAAATTCGAGCTACACTAACTTTGGAGACATCAATAACCTTTTCAGATACGCAAACAACATATTTTGCATATATACAACATTTCATTAAATTTCATGTCACTCGTTAAACCCATCACATACCAATCCCAAATATCCCCCAACACCCCTCACATTCTAGCATCCAAACTCCACCCCGCCTCCCCCTTCGTAAGCTGGACCTTCAAGAAATATGCCTTCAACCAGCTCTTATTCCGTCGATCAATCGGGCCCATGAAATTCTTGCTATCAGCACTAAGCGCGCTCGCAGTTGCTAAAGCCGAGTTCCTCATCACATCGACGTGCGTCTTGCGGCTTAACCACATCGTGGCGACCAAGAGAGAGAAACTAGAGAAGACGAGGTTGCCGAGGTAGCACATCCATCCGTATTGGATTTTGATCATCGGGGCCGAGATGAAGGCCTTGCCTGTTTGTGGCTTTGCGGTGGTTTGACGTTGGCGGATGCTGGTATTTGTTAGTAACCGTTATGACTGAAAGAAGGGGTTGGCTTACTTGTTGGTCATGCTGACTGCAATGTTTTGCGTTGCATTCATGATCCCGCCGAATTGCATGTCTTCCTTTGCTTGGCCGGTGACACTTGCCAAAGCTGTTCGCTCGTATAAAGCACCGGAGATGGCCATCGCTGCATCTGTCGAGAAGTATCCAAAGCCGGCAGAGTAGCTTCCGCTGAGTGTGGATGCGAGATAGGATTGCATTGCGAGGTTGGCTTGAGAGTCGACTGTGTAGTCTATAGTCCCCTCAGTAGCTCTCAGAATAAGGGCACCGTTAGGTCCATTGGCTGTCACAACATTTGTGGAATTGGTGACTGCGTGTGTTTCCGACTTTGCGGCATCGACGGTGGTGTTGAAGGTGCTAACACACCAGTTGAGGAGTATCTCTACAGCTCCGAATGAGCGAGTTTCAGCGTTCACGTCCTTCTGGTAGATGATGAAGCTATTTGCTATAGTCGTCTCAAGAATATTAGGCATGCTTGAAAATGCCAAACTTCCAGTCGCCACTGCGGTTGTGATATTGACGACGGATTGACCGGCTTCTAATGCTGCTCCATTTGGAAGTGTGACATTGTAGTTGTTGACAACCACGACATCACCGCCAACATTCATTGGCACTGGGGTGACAGTTAGTTTGTCGGTGATGTTGGCCACTTGAGCGCACACGGCTAAGGAGGAGTAAGCTGGGAATTCGCAGTTGCCGGTAGAGCATTCTGGTGCTAGAGCTGGGAGAGCAACGCTGCCGCCAGTGTATAAGCTGGTCTGGATTGCTCGCATCATTGATAGTTCTGGTAGTCCTAAAGTTCAGGTTAGTTTTGGCAATTACCTTCGGTAACTTTAAATTGATGACTGACCTGGTGCATCTGGCTGAAGAGTATAGCCATCGAACAACTCAGCTCTTGGAGCCATAGCAACAGCATCCGGCCCAGAAACTTTCATGATAGGATACGAGATCATCATCTGAACAAAAGGTCCAGCAGCTAGACTCAGAATGGCTGTAACCACACCTGTGTTGGCAAGGTGTCTAACAATACCACTACAACACCTATCAGCATTCAATCCCACGGCAAAGGAATATACGTACCCTCCCTTCAACGTCCCAATCAACTTCAACCCTCCAACCGGTCCCCTAGAAGCCTCATCAAACGTCTCAAAATCCACAAGCGGTCTCTCCCCAACCCCAAACCAAATCCACTTCAACTGTCCAATAACACTGTAAACCGGCATCACCAATCCCGCCTGCGCCAACGCAACAAAAATCGCAATCAACGCATTGGGCGTAAGAGGATGAGGCCAAGCGCTCAGTGCAGTGTCTTTGTACACGGTGCAGATGATCACAACAGCTAACATGCAGATCGTGGAGATCGTAATGGAAATAAACTCCCAGATCCACCAGTCGGCCCAGTAGCGAGAGAATGCGGCTTTCATGAACATGGCCTTCGCGCCGACGGGTTGTGGTGGTGGCGGTGGGCCGGCCGCGAGCGTGGTTGCGGAGTCATCTTCTGATGCTGGGGTTGTGGAACCGTCTTTGGAGGAGATGGTTGCGAGGGGTTTTTTCTTCTCGTCGGTGTCTTCTAGGGATTCGGGGGCGTCGACGTAGACGTTTTCTGTTTGGCCGGTGGTTATGGAGAAGGGTCTGCTTTGGGTTGTTCGGGCGGTGGGGATTTTCAGCAGGTTGGGCTGTTCTGGGACGGAGACGGTGGAGATGGGTCGGGTGGGAGTGGTTGCTGAGATGGTAGAAACTGGGCGAGTGCGGGTGGTTGTTGAGATACGGGATATGGGCTCGGTGTGAGGATGGTCTGGCTCCTCGTTGACATATGTTGGGAGAGGAACGAGGTGCTTCTCTACATTGGAGTCGCCTTTGTGGAGAGGCCATCCGCCGGGGACAGAGGTTCGTGGATCCATGTTGAGTATTTTCTGTACCTTCCTGGGTCTGATGTTTGATATTGGAATACACAGCACCTACGTATAGAAATATCATAGATGTCAGGATGTAGTTATATACATCTTGTGCAAAGTTCCCGATTCCCGATATCTTGGGTTCGGCACACGAGACATTTTCACGTTGTGTATCGTGCTTTTGAGAAGTTGAAGTGAGTCGACGGATAATAATCGTAACAGCAACTTGGCATATGCTCTAAGATAATACATGTGATATGTCGGGATCAATTCTGTAAGTGTCTCACTTCGCAATATATGATACCCAAGGCTTAGGGTTTGTGTTAAGATTTCTTGGAGTTGGATATGTATCCCCGAGATCTTCTGGAGATATGTTAGAAAACCAACAACATTGTTTCTAGAGTTATTATTGGCTATGTGGAGTAATGTATGATAGCTTGGGAAAAGAAAATGACAGCCTTGTGAGACTCATCCTGGTTCATGTGGATTTCCCGATTGCATGAGGTCGTACTCTGGGAAGCAAGGATTACCGAACGGCGTACAGAGGCTACATTTGAGGCTGCCTCGTCCATGGCATTCGCACAGTTGAAGAAGACGGGGTGGGCTTCATTGGCTGTGTTGTTATGAAATGAATTCTAATCCCAATTTCCATTTCAATAATAAAAGATTACTATCAACGTCGTAATCATAAGTCGAATTGTCTTCCTCCGCAACCCAGCGAACCTAAACATCATCTCCCATCCATTCCAAACTCACAGTATTCGAATAAAGCATCTCCATCTTGAGAACTTTCCCATCTGCAAGCAGGTGGGGAATCGCATATCCCGACCCTCCACGATGTGCCGTATGCCATAAGGTATACATGAAACACAAGACCGCCCAATGGGATTTGTCCCCGTACCAAGATGGGAGATGAGATGTGTGCATGGTTAGTGTGGTTGTAGATGTCCGTAAGTTCTGCTGGTGCGGAGCATTTTTCATTGGTTGATGTGAAGGATGGGTCACCTGATCTGCCCCCCCTCGAGGAATTGCAGGTGATGGAACATTTTTTACCACCAAATTAATGTGTGAGTTGGAGATCAGAATGAGAAGAAATAACATTTTTAAGTATATAATATGTGGTCTACTATTCAAATTACAATCTTTTCACTCGGTTTATCAAATGTCAAATAGCTCGGGAACATTTCCTCACTCTGACGTGGACATACTCTTCCACAAAATGCATAGACCTAAGCTTCACTCTTACTTTTTTGTTTTGGCTATCGTGCACATTTACTTAAATATAACTATTGAACTTGAGCTTCCTATCCATAACAAATATCTCGCTGATTCGCAGTAAAATATTTAAGAGTTGAGCATAAGCTTCAGATTAAAGTTGTGGCACCAGAAAAAAAATCATTACAGCATGGAAAACATTTGATATTTGAGTCGTAGAGCCTGCTCTTACATTTCCATCATCACTAATTCGTTCTCTCATACAATTTAGCCATTTACAACCCAATCTCACAATCCATCTCATCATTTCCAATCCCAAAAATTCCCAATCCCTTCATTACTTCTTTCTTATCCTCCAACACCTCCGCTTAAATAGCAAATTTCACCTTCTTCTCAACCTTCCCCTTGATACTACCCAGCCATGCCGCCAACGGTCGTCGTCAGGCGGTAATAGGCGCAGGCTGTACGGGAAGAGCAGCTGGTGCCTCTTCTTGCTCGACTGGTGCTGGAGTCTCCTTTACTGCTGGCACGGGTGCTTCTTCTTTGACGGGTTCTGGGGTTCCTTGGATAGTCGAGGCTTCGGTTGGTGCGGTCTGAGAATCATCGGCTGTAGTGTCAAGAACTTGTGGAATTGGAGTTTCATCCTTAGGAACTTCTTCCTCGGATTGAATGTATTCTTTGATGTCTTCACGGATTGGTATTTGAGCTTCGATATCAGTCTTTGGTGTTTCGGCTTCGGCTGGTACTGGGACATGTGGTTCCAGCGGGTTTGGCTCGACGATGACGGAATCTTCGATAGGAACAGCAGATTCATTTTCGACTACCTTATCTTCCGCTGCCTTATCCTCCGCCTCAACGATGACTGACTCCTCGATTGGTGTAGGGACATCCTCCTTGGTGACTGCAGGTTTAGCGACTTCTTTTTTTTCAGACACTGGCTCAACCGCGGCCGGAACTTCTTCTTCCACTTTCTCTGCTTCTGGTTCCTGTGGCTCTTCAGTGACCTTTTCTGATTCCGCGGCAGCCGTTGTATTCTCTTTCACTTCTTCTTGCGCTGGTGCTGCTGCTGTCACTTCCTCAACCTCTTCTGGCTCTTTCGCTGTGATAACTTCCTCCTTGACTTCTTCGGACTCTACTGGTGCAGGAGTCTCCTCTTCTGTTATTGGTTCAGCTTCTGGAACTTGCTGCTCATCTGCTTCGTCGACGGTTGTGGGTGTTTCCTTAACGGCAGGTGTCTCGGTTGCTTGCCCGACTTCAGGTGTAGCCTTTTCAACTGCTGGCTCATTTTCTGTTTTTGGCTCAGTTGGTTGGACTGTATTCACAACAACGTCCTTGGTCTTTTCGGCCTCATCTGAAGGAGTTTCTTCGCTCTTGACAGTATCTTCTGAAGGTGCTGGCACGTTGTCATCATGAAGTGATGCAGGCGCTTCGACTGGAAGCTGTGCTTTTTCTACCTCTGTCTCTGCCGCCGCTTCCTTCTCTTCTGGTGCAGGTTCAGAGTTGTCTGGCTCATCCGTCTTGATATCGGTTGCAGTATCTACCTCAGGGACGGCGTTGGAATCATCGATTGCTTGACTTGCATCATCTGAAGCTGGTGCTGGCTCCTCATCTGCGGTGACGGGCGCTGTTTCTTCCACGGTGTCACTTGCTTCTGCTTGAGAGACAACTGAGGTAGGATCGGACTCAATCACTGGGATAGACTCGTGTGGCTGCGTTGCAAGAGGACTTTCTGGCTCCACCACAATAGCATCAGGTTCAACGCTCGGCACCGCAGTCGTAGCCTCAACAGCAGGCTCAGACTGTGCTTTTGGCTGTTCAACCTCAGTCTCTACAACAGCGTCGGTGTTTGGTGATGTGTTTTGCTCTTTCAAAGCAACAGCAGCCTCTCGAGCTTCAATTTCGGCCTCTCGTTTAGCAACAGCTTCTTCGCGGGCAACAATCGCAGCTTCGCGGGCGTCGAGATCAGACATCGTGCAATTATTCGCGAGTAGTGAGAGGTAAGATGTGACGAGTATGTGCAGTACAAATGCCAGTTGGAAATGTGATAGAAGACTTTTGAATAGCAGTCGGATCATATGAATACCAGAATGTATACACGAATGACCTCTCAGAAAAGCAGGATTCAAGAAAGGTATATAGGAAATTCTTGAATCCATCATGGCAGGCTAAGATATTGAATGTACAAAAGAGGGATGAAGGAGCGCGGGGTGTGACGCGGGGAAAAGAGGGATGTGATGCACATCAACACCAAAGCAACCTTTTACTTCTTTTTCTACCAGCACGTGGTCACATTTGTCCCACGAGTTGGGCAGAAATGCATATGTTCGTCATCTTCTATTGCTGTAATTCGAAGCTCAGAAACGAATCCCACTCCAGGCGCTGGTGAGCGGCGGTAGGAGGCTAACAACAGATCATGTGTATATCGCAAGAGAATAACCATTGACCAACCAAACTTCTGACGAAACGCTTTCGGCACCTATCGTAGTACCGCGCCAGTGATACAGGGATGCAGGTAAGGTAGCAATATACGAATTGGGATGATTGAGGAAAAGACTGGATGGCGTGCATTGACAACGCGAACGCGTATGATAAATGTGAAGTGTTGGATTATTCCAAGCTTGCACATCAGCTTGTGTTCCTGACACAACAGAAAAGTGTAACTCTCTTACGTTCAAAGTGATCTTTTGTCAGTCACGAAGTGATGTAGGTCTTCGCAGCTGGGGGATTCGATTTTCAGAGCGATAAATTTATGCGAACTTCAACGACACTTCGCACTGCTAGCTGGATTGTTCAGAAGAAATCCAATATAATTTCCCACGATGTTTGATATGCAGGGTCCAGGAATTACTGCGTAACGTGGCAAGCGTGGGGTCCACCAAGTGACCGAGAAAGTCGTGGGGAGGCGGGGTATGTTGTATTTGAAGCGAATGAAGAAGGAAAAGTTCCCAAGTCAGAGGACGAGGCGTTATAGTCAGTGGACAGACATGCAGTGAGTGCAGAGTCTGCGCGAGAACTAGACGTGACTCGAAATGGAAAAGAAAGTATCGTGAGACAAGTAGGCCGTAGTTGTGCATGAGTCAAATCGTCCCCTGATCGGACGCAGCATTGATAATTGTTTTTGAACAATACCAGAACCTTGATACCCTACTGACTGGCCGATAGTCGTCATGAACGAGATAAAAAAGTAGCATAGCAGTACGACTGGAAAAGATCAAACATGCAAAAACAATTCCAGGACATCGGTACACATATCCCACGTGACTAAGGCTCCATTTCAAGCATTACACTAGTCATCATGTATATGATGCAAATGGCAAGCCGGTCTCTGCTTGAATAATCTCCAATGCCTGTATAAGCTTCTCGTCCTCATACCTTCATGAGCTGTCAGTATACCTTCGGTAACATTCAAGCGACGGTGTCAACGTACCTGCGACCAACAAGTTGCAAGCTAACGGGAGCATCTTTATAACCTTCCGCACCATGTTCTTTCCATAAAGCAACGTTTTCTTCATCCCTCTCATTTCTGGGCTCGTGATTCATGTCTACTGAGTCCTTTGAGACATCAACCTTATCTACAGGGAAAACGAGTCCTGGGTAATCAAGCAGATTCCATTGACTTGTATAACCCCACCACTTCGCTGTTTCTATCTTTGGAGCTGAACCGGGCCCGACTGGACACAAAATTACATCCACCATGCCTTCCGGTGTTCCATCTTGTGTAACAGATGTAGCCGTACTGTTCCATAGATTGGCGTACTCTTGACGGTAGGCGTCCCGTCCCATGACTGCCTTGTACAGTGAGGTGATGGTGTGGTGTTCAACGTGTTTATTTTTGGCGATGTGAGTAGATAATGGCAACCACGGTTCGTTCGAGCTCGCAAGCGCTTCGTCATTCTCTTTCCCACCATCGCAGAAATAGAGGTTCGCCTAGTTCCAGTCAGCCTTTTACATTGTGCTTGGCATATCATACATACGATGATCTCCCAAGCTCTATCATGTTGATATGGCTTCCAATCAACGACTTCAAATTTGTCACTAGATGCTAATTTATCCACGACTTCCTTGAGAGCTCTCGTAACAGGAGGCTGCGGTTTAACCACACCGTCATCCCAGATCACCGCTACCTTTATTTTCCTACCGTTGAAGAAGTCCTCCTCTTTCCAAGGGAACGGTAATAAGCCAGGTTCGCGCAACCACGGTTTAGCATCAATCAAAGTCTTGGTAAAAATCTTGAGTCCTTCCAGACTCGTAGAAAGAGGTCCGATGGTCGGTACGATTTGTTCTTGCCCGCCGCCCACTGCTTTCAGACCTGAAACTGGCAGTCTCTTTGTGGTTGGTTTCAACCCATAAACACCTGTAAAGACTTTTCAGCACTTTCATCGACACACAAATGCCTGGGAACTTACCACAATTTGCAGCTGGACCTCTAATCGAACCCCCAATATCCGTACCAATACCCAGCAGTGATGCCCTGAAACCAACCAGTGCACCCTCACCACCAGACGACCCTCCAGGCGTCAAAGTTGTGTTAAAAGGATTTGTCGTGGTTCTGACGAATTAGCTCCCACTACATTAAGAAAAGAATATCAACACACCCATATAAGTTGCTGCTCGTCTCTAAATGCATCAAACATTGAGGTTGAGTGGTCCTAACATAGAAGACTGCACCAGCTGCCCGCAGAATTTTCAGTATTAAAGCATCGTCATCTGCGACCCCTCCTACCCAGCCGACGAAACCGGCATTGTGATCTAATCCCTTCATACCAATATGTTCCTTCACACTTATTGGAATTCCGTGTAGAGGCCCAATTGGTTTACCGTTTTTAGCCAGGTATTCATCGAGATACTTTGCTCTTTCGATGGCTTGATCAGGAAGGACCTCGGTCACACAATTTGTCTAGCTACATGGTTAGATTGTGTGATAACTAGTGTAAATTTGTACAGCCGGAGAATAGTACCAATGTTTGTGCTAGTACTGCTCGGCGAAGAAAAGCCTTAACCACGTCCACTGAGCTTATGTCGCTGTCACCTATTTGCTTGGCCAGTTCCTCTACGGTGCTTTCTGTGATTTTGACTTCCTCAGCCGTCAGTAGTTCTTTTGCGATTGGTAGTGTATTTCGTGGGATATCTTTAAGTTTCCCAAGAGCTGGCTCCACCTTAGCAAGAGTGGCATCGCGGTATTTTTGCCTATCTTCGGCAACCTCTTGCCAGGAAGCACCGGATTTGATTGTGACTGTTGCTGCCATGGTGGAAATCGGAAAAGAGGCTAGAGACGCTGGAAAATATAGCAGCAGATTTGAAGTAGCTCAAAAATGTAGGATGCAGTTAAATGTAAAGTACCAAATAGGTTGAGAAAGTGATGAGGGGTAAGATAATGAATACAATTTAGGACTCCTCCTTTATAGTTGCGTCCACTTGACCGACGGCTTGAGAGCTTGTATTCTCCGATTGAAAATAAACCTACCTGCGAAAGGTGGGATGAAGGATGATATCAGAGATGAAAAGATAGGAGGAGTAAGCTTGAGTCCTTATCATCCATCCATTCAACGGAGCGAAAAGTGGTTAGTAAGAATTCAGTACACTGAGACGTCCGGCCGGCCCGCAGTTTGCCGACTGGGACAATCGGACCCACGGGCCGAGCCGTCAACGGTTCTTCGGGAGATATTTGGTGGTGTTGTGGGATTGTTTTATCCTGCTGGATGTACTTGTATATTGTATATTTACATCTTCCTTCTTCTCGCTGTTTCCAAAGCCGTAACTTTGTAGGTATCATCAACATGCCGCATACTCCGATCCGTGCCCGTACTGTCCGTTCGCCCAAAAAACCTCAAATCGCAAACGCCAAATGCCAAATGCCAAACAATGCCTATTCAGCTCCCGCCCACATATGCATCCAGTCGACCAACTCCTGGAAAAATCCTACAGATCAGATAGGCCTGCCCCAATTGAACGCCGTCCCCACACATGCTATCGTCAGTATGATCAATAGCATGGCCACGATCCATTTGTATATGTCTTCTGTCTGCTCCGCTGGGTCTACATCCGAATCCAGGACCACAGCCCTCGACATGTTATCCATCTCAATTTCATGCTGGCGGAATATCTCTTGATAGGAAGGAGGAGGAGGTGAGGAGTCTATCGTGACTATAAATGGTTCATCTCGATATGGTTCTTGAAGCGTCGGTGTGGGGTCGGTGATGATTTGCAAAGCGCTAGAATTTGGGGAAGCTCCATATGCTGGGGGATTCGCACTGGTAACCTGCTTCGATCGTAAGTAGTCGTACATCGGTTGGTATTGAGGCGGATCCGAGGGTCTTGAAGACGATGTTAGCTCCAGCCGAATGCCATGTCCAGTCGATTCGTCATCCTCTACGGCAGATTCGGATTCGTCTCGATATATTTGCGGTGGAGGTATATTTATTTCAGGTAGTGGGACAGGTGGTAAAGACTGTGAAAGCCGAGTCTGCAAGACGGAAGAAGATCTTCGATGATATCGAGGTTGATTTGGCATGATGCTATTGTAGGATATCGTTTCCCGAAAGGTGGTTGGGAGAGATAACAGCAGCCTCGCCCAGCGTTGTTCGACGGATATTGAAGCTATTCCAACCTTCTCTGCTCAACAAGTAGCCGTCAATCTACTGAAGGCAGCTGGTGAGTCGGTTATCTTGGAAATTGTGAGCAATTGGTCTCGTCGGTGCTTTGCTTGAGCACCTTGAGGTGCCGCTGCCTATTCGTATCTTTACATCAATGCTTGAGACCCATGTTACAACAGAATGGGTGTGGCGCAATGCGTATTTGGCCTATCAGGATCTAAAGGAGGGTATCAGCCGTGCATCTCCAACAAACCGCAGCGAAGCAAATTCCTAGACTTGCGGCAAAGTCACAGGGTGTTTCATTGGGGGTTGTTGTGTTTTTTCAGGGGCTTCAAGCTCCCAAAATGCCCACTCGTCAGACGATAAGCGAGGCGAGACCGTCCAAGGAAACCGCAAATGTCAAACGCGTTTCAGGGACCTGGGAAGCTACAACTTTACAAGTCATACAACAAGACCTCCCTCCCATCGCTTAATATTTTGTTTGAGAGACTCCTTTTACCCATTGTTCTCACACAGCGCTCCGCGCGCGTCCCACTTACTCTGGACTACACCAAGCCACCTGTGGGTTGCAGGTGTGAACTCTTGAATCTCCTATTGCAATTGCATCGCGGAACTGGCACTTGGGAAGTAATTTCTTGCTTTGATCTATGTTGTCAGTACCGGCGTCAAACGAAATGGAGCAATACGTGTTGGAGAAGCGAACACCAAAGAAATGCCCATTCATTTTACCAGAATCTAAAAATCATTTCGAAACCACATAACATCCGTCCTGTCGTCTGTACTGGTGGTAGTTCCTCCAGAGTAGTACGACCTACTTTTCGATGCAATTCACAAGATCTACCCGGGGATCACACGAAAGGGTGAAGGAGGTTAGAAAGAGACTGATATCTCTTCTTGGTCGTAACTGTTACGGTAGGCCTCGCGCTTGAACAAGTTGAGTTGTAAGTTCTCCGTGGAAGGTTAATAAGAAATTATGTTATTGTCGACGCCTTTGGATGACTATGCAGATTTGCACATCCAAATCAGTACTCTTGGACCTGGCTATTCACTTGGAAGTACGACCAGCATCGCCGTTGCAAACAATTATTAGCTTCTTCGCTGTCGAGAACTTGAGAAGGCGCTAAAACCTGACATCTTTCCTCATATCTTTGTACCGAGGTCAAATAGTTACAAATGGTCGGCTGTTGAGGTTTGCCACCCCGGTCGGATGAATACATCTCCCGCATCTACTTCAAATCAGGCATAGCGTGTTTACTGGTATGTTATGCTTGAAACTCCAGATAGCTTGAGATAGGTTCAAAAATTAGTTCTGTGGAGCACAACAATTCCTTCTAGGACGAACTGCAAATGCTATCTCGAGTCGGGAGCTTCAATTAGCCCGCAATTGGCCTCTGTACCCCTTAACCTGGTGGTCAAGCACTAAATATCATAGCATCTTCACCTTCTGAAGATTACAAATCAGTAATTTGCAATCGCAGCGAAAAGGCTATGGTAGGCAATCAAGGTTTTGGTACCGCATTGGGATTTCTCCGGCGCAAGAAGCAAATTGATAAGTGCTGTATTTTCACAATGTTCTTAAAAGAAGCTCGTAGGTCGCTGTTCCAACTCGGAAAATAAAATCTACATCCCACAATTCAGAAAGCTCCTATATTTTATCATTCATATTTCAGTTCCACTCTCATCTGTATCTCAAAATGCTACTCAGTCAAGAACTCGTTTTGCCGTCAGGCCTGAGACTGCCCAACCGCATGTCGAAGGTAAGTCTATTGGCGTACATATCACGGATTCGCGAATCCCAGAAATTTTAGATACTGACTCCTCTAGGCTGCTATGGCTGAGGGACTAGCCGCAACAACTCATGATCCAAATCAGAAAATCAGAAAGGCGTACCGAGAGTGGGCAAAAGGAGGATGGGGAATGATTTTGACAGGTATGAAGACCAGAATGTAATTTCTCGATATTCGACTCATGGAAGATTTAGGCAATGTTCAGGTATCGGATGATTACCTCGGAGCACCTCAGGACATTGATGTCCCAGCTCAAAATACCGACGAGCTTCAAGCGGCGTGGAGAGAGTGGGCAACGGAATGTCAAGCATCTGGCACACCTACGATAGTCCAGCTTAATCACCCAGGTCGCCAATCTCCAGCAGGAGCTGGTAAAAAGTCGTTCTTCACCAAGAACCTGGCACCATCACCTATTGGACTGAATTTCGGGCCTGGAATCCTCGCCAAGGTTGCCTCGAAAGTTTTGTTTGGCACCCCAAAGGAAATGACAGTGCAAGATATCAAGCTCGTGATTGACCAATTCGTTGAAGGCGCCAAAAGATCATACGACGCTGGGTTTAAAGGTGTAGAGCTCCACGCAGCGTAAGTCTTCATTTCTCCATTATCTCCGCCGTGCTCTAACAGACTCTTAGACATGGATACCTCCTAGCTCAATTCCACTCACCAGCTACAAACCGTCGGACCGATGAATTTGGCGGTTCCGCTCATAAACGAGTCGAAATATCACTCCGTATCATTCGTCGAATCCGCGCCGTTACCAGTCCAAACTTCTCTATCAGCATCAAATTCAACAGCGCAGACGCAGCTACTGACAAAACCGAGGATGTTCTGGAGCAAATAAGATTGCTTGTGGACGCTGGCATCGATTTCCTCGAGATCTCCGGAGGCACTTACGAGAATCCGCTCATGATGGGTGATGATGGTGTCGCTAAGCAGGATATGTCAGAAGATAAACCTATGAAAGCATCGACAATCAAACGAGAGTCTTTCTTCCTCGAGTTTGCCCAAACGGTTCGCAAGTCATTCCCCGGTCTAGTATTAATGGTCACCGGTGGATTCCGAACACGTACCGGTATGGAAGGTGCACTTCAAAGTGGCGCTTGTGATATCGTTGGTGTTGGACGACCGGCGGCTGTGTATCCTGATTTCCCTACGAAAATCATTCTGAATGAGAATGTTAAAGATGAGGATGCGAACGCGAATCTTCCGCGTATAGAGGTTGAAGGGGCGGAGAAGTGGATTGTGAAGATCTCGGGGGTTACGGCATTGGGCGCTGGGAAGACGACGAGGGTTTATCAGGAACACATTGGGAGTATGGCTGCTATTAAGGCGTGAGGATCTAGTCGGTGAGGTTTATTTCGATTTAGGTTGGCGTAGGGGAGACGGTTTAGAGATTTGTTTCCGTATGTGTTAGCCGTGCAGCTTCTTTTTGGGCTTGAGGCTGTCCAAGGTTTTGTTGCTGTTATGTGTATTTTGTATATAGAATTTAGATTTTTTTCGCTGCTAGATCAGATATCGAGTTGAAACATTAGATTATATTTATATCTTGCGTATTTGACATGATAAATGACTGATTGTAGGTTCTCGTGTTCCATTTCCTCCCTCATGACTTTGACAATCCACTCGAGGTGTGAAGAAGCAAAACCAAACGGTCAAGAAAGCCCGCGAATTTAAATAGTATTGTTTTGTCTAGATGGAATATTTTAAGAGTTAGGTTAATGATATGAAATTGGCTTCATAATTTGAAAGCGTGTATAAAACAAGTCAAAAAGGTTGACTGTTACAGCTATGAATAATGTGAGTTTTCCCCTGATGTGATAAGTTAGAGGAAGATACATTTCTTGACAATGTAGAGTATAATCAGTATCTGTGTATGCACAGTAGGCAACTTCAAGTACAATAGAGTTTATCATGCGTCCAACCAAATACTCCTGATTTGCGTTAATCTCTTGATATTCTCGTTCCCTCATTTTCCAACCCTGCTCTGCAGTGTTTTTCGTGATTCGGAATGACAAATTGTCTTGTTTGCCAGTAATGAGTTCTTGCAGATTTTGCCATGACGGGAAAGACAGGATACGAGAGTAACAGATGTGTATCCACGGTCGTCGGCGCCCGACAGAAAATAGAGTCAAGTGTGCACAAAGATTCTACAATCACTCGTACTTAACAGCCAACTCTTCTGTTTTTCTTTCAGCGAAATAAAGAAGGCACGACTCATACTTCCGCCATTGAGACAGAATCGAATGAGATTTCTCGGTGAAATTTGCTGGAAAGAATGGAAGGTAAGAGCCACCCGTATCCTGCCGGCGAAGGACATCTCTATCATAATGGATCCTACAAAAAAAAAAGGAATGTGGGTCTATATACTAGAAAATAATGGGAGCTTTTAGCATTGACGCTTCTCCAAGTTCCCCTTCATCTCCGTGTGCTCAATGATTCCGACACGAAAAAGCCTCACTCATCACGATCTCTGTCGTCAGTACAAGGCCACCGCCATCTACGAAATTGTTGTTCCAGTTACCGCGTACACAAGACGGAGGATGTTCTGACCGTCATGCGCAATGCCGATTCGAAGTCGAAGATTCCACGTTCCATTGGCCACGATGCAGGCGTCAACAATGCCATCCGGACTTCAGACCTGGCAGCACTCCTCCGCAAAGATCGCTTTCCGAATACGCCACAACCGTTGATCCAGTCATGACGGGTCGTGGCCAGAACGAGTGGTCGTTGTTGTCGTCGGATGGCTATCAAACTTCGTCTGTCTCGAAGTCTGAACCCCCCGGCCCGTCGGAAGTTTTGTCGAGGTGGATATGGATGACATAAGCAATGCACTATTCTGTCGCTTCGCCCTACTCATATTGCACAACTTCATTTCTAGATCATAAGAACCACAACATATGGGTCCGGGGAATGCTTCATTAGGAATTTTGAGGGTCACAATTTAACTTTATCCCTCAAAATCCACAGATGTAACTCTTCACGGACAGAAGTGGAGTGCCAAGTCCAGGAAACAATTTATTTGACACTCAACGCTCGCGTCGTCCACAGACCCGTCGCTTGTTTCGCATCTCGCCAGCGTCAATCTTCACGCACTTGGAGTTTCCGAATCTCAAACGGATCCCAGGGCAACCTTTCTTGTCAGTCACAGATGGACATCTTGGGTACACGATCTACCGAGCCTAGCCACGCCCTGCGTAACTCCACCCAACAGACAAGCGCTTTCAAGGGATATGGACAAATCATACCAAGATCTTCTCCTCGGGCTTCATCCGAACACCCTTGCAACCCAAACTCCAAGCTTCTAGCTCCATAGGCGAGACCAAGAAGACATGGGACGACACGTCTTGCCCATCACGAACTCCCTCGCCAGCTATGCGAACCCAGCACTTAGTCCGAGAGATCATACAAAAGGAGGCTCTTGGCAACTTGATATTGCGGCTCATGCTGTGTGCTCGTACAAAACTTTGTGCCACGGCGGCAGTGGTTCATCCCAGCCTCGAATTCGACCGGTAAGATCTTCTGCATGCGAGATGCCAAGATGGTGAAATGACGAGGGGAAGGGGAAAGGCCATGCCCTGACATCGGGAAATTCAAAGGCATGAGCGCTTGCTCTGTTTGTATATAAGTGATTGTGTTTCCCAGATACATCACTTCCTTCTCCATCATCTTCAGCTTCTTGTTCTTGACTTTCTACTTTCGTTTCTAGATCTGTGATCTTATTCCATTCACTACTATCCTTTTAGAAACCTTTTTACCATTTCGGCCGGTCCATCTTTTCAACAGTCATCCAATTCTCTGAACTTTGATTTTACTGCATTTTCGAGCATCTTTTTCACCAGATCTCAATATGTATTCTCAAGCTATCCTTATTTCCATCCTTGTGGCCCTTACCGAAGCTCGATTCGGTCAAGAACAAGTCCCAATTGCAGCAATCTCTGGATCATCTGGTGGAAACTCCGGTGATGCCGCTACTCTTGCTGGATCTGCGATTTCCACCCTTTTGGCCGCAGCCAACCCTTGTGACAAGGTACGTCTTCAGTCAATAAATCACTTGAACCTCGCTAACAACATCACAGCTCAAGAAAGCCGATGAGATCGTCGCCACTCTCGGAGACGGTGGACTCGAAGCTGCCAAGGGACTAGTCGCTGCCGAACAGAACTTCAACCCATTTGCTGTCACACAGCCAACACTATGCAGTGACGCATCTCTCCCAGTCACTGAGGCTCTCAGAGGTATCATTCCTCTCGTTGACCCAGCAGTTGATGGAGCTGCTGCTCAGAACGCCGCTTCTGCTGCTTCTCTCACCACACCTCTTGACGCCGCTGGTCTGAGTGTCGCCGATGTCACTGCTGCTTCTGGTTTCACCAACTTCCTGACTAAGGACGCTGCAGGTAAGCTTCTCGCCTTGATCTGGATTTCTTCTGAATGATACTAACATGAATTCAAGGAGCCGCAGGAGCCGCCCCAGCTGCTGGTGCCGGAGCGAATGCTGGTGCTGAAGCAAATGCTGGTGCTGGAGCAAATGCCGGTGCTGGAGATGTCGCGGCCGGTGATGCCAACGCTGGTGATGCATGTGGAGGTGCCGTTGCCGCTGCCCCGACCACACTCGCAACTGTCACAAAGGCCGCTACAAAGGCTGCTACTAAAGCTGCTACCACTGCCGCCGCCGTCGCGACTGGAAACGCTGGAAATGCCAACGCTGGTAACGCAAATGCTGGCAACAACAACAACAACAACAACGCTGGAAACAACGCCAACGCCGGTAATAACGCAAACGCAGGTGATGCCGCCGCCGGAGGAGCCGCAGCAGGTGCAAACGACTTCGGAACCTGTATCCCAACCATGAAATTCGAAGGCGGTCTCGGCGGACGTCCAGCCACCGAATTCACCTTTATCCCAATCGACCCCGTTGTTGCCCAAGGCCAACAAGAAGCATTGAACCCAAACATCATCACCAACCGTATCTGCGACCAGCTCGGTAACGTGTGTGGTGCTTCTGCTGCCGCCATCACTTTGTGCGAGGATGCCCAGGCACAGATTTTGGCGCTCGGTACGCGCGATCAGACTACTGCTGATGAGTGGAATTCGCTTTTGGGGTTTTAAGTGCATAAGTCAGGGGAGGACAAAGGAGGGTGTAGGAGTAGGGAGTTGAGAATTTAGAAGTTGTAAAGTAACCTAGCTTGCTGTTTTTTGGCTTGTGTGGTAGATGATGAAAATTTATATATACTTTTTTGAATACACTTTGGTGTCCTGGATTTTTGGTGAATGTAGCTTCGTGATATCTGAGGAGCTCCCAAAGTACTTGAAGAGCATTTCTTGGGTCTTCTTTGTAGCTGAAGCTGCTGAAGTCAGGTGGGAAAAGCTCTAGAGGCATAGGCGAGGACATATTATTGAATGGTAGTATCGTAACTCGGATTATAAAAACAAAATTCTTTCTGATGAACTTAAACGTATAATCAGAGTTAAGGATAGAAACTGAATTTATATAATATGAAGTAGGAGTTAGAAGATATTAGAAATTATAGTAGACGTACTAACGCGTATTAGACGTAACGAAAACGGCAGGAACGGCCTAGGCCACACCACCTGCATCTCGGTCTAGCTTCGACTTTACAACTTTTTAAAAATACTTTCTTAAAGATCAGCTTCTAGCGTTAGAGTTTCGACAGAGAAGATTTCTCTCACTAAAACTCTTCTCTCGCCAAAACTCACCCTCTGGCCCAAAACTCTTCTCCGACCAAAATCACCCTCTGGCCAAAACCCACCATCTAGCGAAATCTCACTATCTAACTAAATTTCTTCTCTAGCTAAAGTCTACCCTCGACTAAATCTTACCTTATACTCAAAACTTACCCTCCGGCCAAATTTCACCCTCCGGCCAAATCTTACCTACTAGGTAAAATCTTACCCTTCGACTAAATCTTACTCTCTAACTAAATCTCACCCTCTAACTAAACCTCTTTCTCCGACCAAGACTCTACTATAAATCAAACCTTCTATTACCAACTACGACTGTTTCTCAGATCAAGGCTCTGATTAAGCCTCCTGTCACCGACCAAGACTCTACCACAAACCAAACCTCAATTACCAACCCAGAATCCCTCTCCGACCAAGATTCTCTAACAAACCAAGACTCCGCCACCTCCTTCGTCGGTGCGACTCAGGAGTTGTATGACATATCCGGATTAAAGACTTCTAGCATGACAATTAAGAAAAGCTAGAAATAACAATAAATAAACCGAAAGGCACCTATAGTTGGGGGTGAATGCCTTGAAAGGACCAAATCTATAACCCTATAAAAGTTGACTCCAAACTCCTCCCAAGTCTCGTGAAGAGAGAACGAATCAGTGTCTAATTCTCTCCTTAACGTTAGAAACAAGCTTAACTTCTTCCCATCTACCCCATGAAAAGATACAAGCGCCGAAGCAGTGGCAGTGGACGAGATTGCTGGATTGGTTTGAGTTGCTGAACGAGATTTGGGCGAGATCGAATGGATGGACAGACATCTCAGTCATCCTGACGAAACAAATACCTCCCAAGTCTCGTGAGTGTCAAGTTAACATTTAATTATCTTCTATAAAAATGTTATCCAAACTCCTACCTTGATCAACCGAGACAAGCATCACACAACTCACTCACATCTTATCATCAAGCTCAAACAAGACAAAACCAAAACGACCTGATTGGTATTAATACATACAAAGCTGGGATTTATCCGCATCCTCATCCAGGAAAAAAAGCTAAAATAAACATGAAGAAGGTAAGGCAAACATGGTGTCATTCAACATCATAATTCCCTTCCAGCGCGCTGTAAAAAAACAGACTCAAGCTCCCTGAATGAATGTTTTGCTCTCAAAAAAAAAAAAAAAAAACGCCATAACAACGCTCAGATCAACAGACTTCCAAGTCTCCCCCCAAAACACCGATTGAACTAGAGTCTCTTTTTATCATTGCCCATTTATATGCAAGCCGTGTGTCTCCATATGCTACTCCTTGTCCGCTACTCATGTCGTTAGGCTGATACTGCAATCTGCTACGGCAGACATGGTCGTCTCTGTTTCTGTGTACTCGTTGCATCATCCGGCCCATCGCATTGCAAGAATTTCCAGCGTCTGAAATATCCACAGCACATTCGTTCCCCTTTCGAGCCGACGCCGAATCGCCCTATGACCTGTCATGGTGTGATATCTAATGGTTTGATATTCCGGTGGTTTTGCTTGATAATCAAGAAAAGATCAGACGCTCTGAGGGAATGCTCCGCCAGGTGGAGGACTGTTGACCATACTGTTGCGCTTGTTTCGGCTCTTCTTCATCTGACTCTTTAGAGCACTCGAATCCAAAGGCTTCAAAAGCTCGAAGCTGCATAACAATTCCGTTGAAACACTCATCACCGCACCATAATTGTCAAACTCCCCGCAATAGTTGGGAGCAGAAAACACCGTCACCAAAATGCGATCTTCAAAAAACTCGTATCCATCTTCAACAACCATATGTGCCCGGCATACCAAGTCGAAATCATGTCTAGCCAAAAACTCGGTTATAACCTTCTTGCCGAAAGAATAACTGACTCCACGTTCACTAGATTCCCAATCCTTTTCTTGATCCGCGGGATCCGACCATAACAGATCGTTGAGCAAGCCGAAATCGGGTACGTCTGTCGGTCGGGCAATGTGCCTGATATCGTCCATGTGACTAAGTGCTGGCGATAATCCACCGTGGACACAGAATATCTTTCCTGCTACAATTGCGGCAATTGGAAGCTACAGCATATGTTAGCGGGGTATTGCTGAAAAACGTGGACGACTTACGCAATTAAACGTGTCTACAAAAGTCTTCCATACTTTGACATTGCACCTTCTCTTACACTCATCATAAAATCCGTATACTCGTGTAACATTTGCACACTCGTGGTTACCTCTCAACAAGAAAAAGTTTTCCGGATACTTGATCTTGTAGCACATCAACAGCAACATTGTCTCCAACGATGCCTTTCCTCTGTCGACATAATCGCCTAAGAACAAGAAATTGGAACTAGGAGGGAATCCACACATTTCGAACATTCGAATAAGATCAGAGTATTGGCCATGAATATCCCCAACGATCTTGACTGGAGCTTCCAACTCAATCAGTGGTGGCTGCTCCAAAAATATCTCCCTGACTTTTGTGCAAATGGATGTGATCTCCGCATTGCGCAAACAAACACCTTTAGTGCTCTTGCCGGCATACCCTGCGTCCAGAAGGCGCTTGATATAGTCATCCACATCTGCATTATTCATCTCCGCCATAGCTATCGGTGTCGAGGCAGCGCTATCTTTCGGCTCGGGAGCGACAGGAACGGGTTCGGCTTCCTTCGTGATTGGGTTGATTGCATCAGGTCTCTTCACCAGAATCGATTGCCCAGCAAGCTGGCCCTGTTGTTGATTCTTAAGACCTCCGGACGGTGGTTGATCAGACACCTGGTCAATCTCTCCGCTTCGCTGAGCTGCAGCGACATCGTGATGACCTTTGATTATAGAGGCAGATTGGATCGGAGATGGAGGTGCTTTGGGGTTATCATTGTTGTCATCGTCAGAATCCTGAGGGACTTGGGATAACGCCGATTGAGAATCATCAAGACGACCCGTCCGCGATACGCCAGATCGCGAGCTTCTGCCAGAGCGGACAGATGCCGCATCTGATTTATCTGCTATTCCCGCATCAGTACTACTGAATCCCGATGTCGAGTTGCGAGGACTGTCGGTCTTGCCGGGGATTTTTGACCTTAACGCTCCTCGAAGTGACCGTGTCGACTCTTTCGTATCTGCTTTGCTGAATGAAGGGTAAGACTGAAGATTGTCTCCTCCCTTATCTAATGATGTCTGCGATGCACTGCTCTTGGGAGTACTTGCCCCACCAGCGCCTTTGGAGCTCTGGTTACCCATTTTCACCTATTCGTTTCGCAGATATGGTAGTGACTGTTATGATCGTGACAACGTTGAGTTTGTGCCAATACAAGATCTTCGTATTTATCGGAATGCTGGTGCTGGATTCGGTCGTGTGCAGTTTGCTTGGAGGTGTGAAGTTTGGTGTTCTGAACAAGTTTGGCAACGATGGGATCTAACCGGAGTCGGGCGGGTTAGGGACGTCCCGCCTAGCTAAGTGCCTAAGTTCGATTTGATAGCTTTAACCCGAGTTCGTGGGTGTGTGTTGAACCACTTCGTAATATGATCAACTCGTTTTCGAAAGGATGTTGGGTATTGATTGGAGGGTGTTTGTGAATGACGGTTAGGGAAGGACTACTGAGTCATGGCGGTTAGTAAGTCTTAGCCCTACGTCGACGTCTTTCTTTTGCAGGTTATGGCGCAACGACAAAAGTGCAAGTAGGAGATTCGTACCTAAACTTCAATCCAACAATACCGCTGGGTTTCTTTCAGCGTCGTGAGCGACTTCACTGGGCAGCTTCAAGGTCTACCTGTATAGGTATCCTGGGTGGACTTCGAGGAGACCAGGTAAGCTGGTACCTGGAGGGATGCGGCCGTCTTACTGAGCGTTCGGTACCCGTTCAAATCCTCTGCGGAAAGACGGAAAGTTCCTGAGGTTATTGACCTTCGAGGTGAATGAGGTATCCCTCTCTCTATTGTTTTCCACAAGGCTGTGGTCTCCGGGCGCAAGTGTGGGGTGCAATCGTCACTTTCCTCAATGGTGTTGTCGCACGAGCGTACTTTCTCTGGGTCAAATCACAAGCTGCGCGGCTGAGAAGTTTCTTTGGGTTCTAGACTTCGAGTGGCGATAGGAGCAGGTTGTTGAAGGTATGAGATATCGGATCGGATGCTCTTGCGAGGTGAATTATCGTGTCGTGACAGGGGCTTCACGATGTTCAGAGGCTGAATTAAAAAATTCGAATGGCGAGGATGCACGGTGTTGAGGTTTCTGGGACATCAAGAGCTCAACATTCGAAAGTTCTTGTGCTAAAGGACGACGACGCCGTAGTGGATCGACCAAAGTGGTCTTGGCAATGCACTGAAGCATCAACATGCACATTCGAGACTTCATTGGCAGACTCATTCTTGCTCAAATAGTTGATTTTCTTCCCAGTTTCATTTGTTTGCAGGTTTATTGCTAGATAGTTATTGAGGGACTAAAAATCTGGCAAGTGCCCCAAAAGCTACTCCTAGAATCATTCTAATAAACTCAGAATTTACCCATTCCAACGCTTCACATCAGCCAAGTAACTTGGCTCAATTCGAACCCCCTCTTCTCATATTCAGTTCCGATTGTTCTTCCGAGTAATTATACAGAATCATGACTTGGGGCGCCACTCGGAGTCGTACATCATATCATATTCATGTCCTCGAATGATAATGTTCTCGTTGACGTTGTCATATTCCTCCTTCCCTTAGCAGACCAACTTACGTGTGCTGTCACGTTTGGACCCTAACAGGATGAAGCGCTTCCCTACCGCATTGCTTTCCAAGGTTCCTTCTCGTGTGTTCCTGCGGAATACTTCCAAAGGTCACAAGATACGCCGACTCTCCAGATCGGTCTGCTTCAATGACTTGATTTCTCATGAGACTATCATACTCTATCAGACGTAGTGGAGATTTCAGTAAGTACATGGCATGATTGGCCGACCTTATGTCTTAAAGAATGTTGGCCGAAGCAAGGAGTGTGACCAACCGTTGGGCCTAAATCAAGGGCGAGGTCGAACTTATAATAGTCTAATGTGATGGAAGAAACCTTAATTAAACGTTCTAATCTATTCTTCTCTTTTCAACAAAATCCTCAGGTCATGCAAGAAACAAACACGCCAAATTTCTCCATACTGGACTTCCTCAAATGCAACTAGGCGAACATAATCATCAACACTCAACCTTCATCCGGTAGAAGGAACAAGCTCTGAGCTCCCATCCCAGATGGCGAGACCACAAACAAAACACAAAAACGAGTGATACTCTACAGCAAGGAAACAATGTGGTGTAGTACAGACACCTGACAGGCAATGATACAAGCTGCCCTGACCCTCCATAGGCAAAACAGCAAAATTTAAAACAAGAACGCCGGACGAACGCCTTGGTGTACGGAAATCGGAAGCTGGAATGAGCACAATCGCCTGACTGGCCATCGCTTCCTGTCAAATACGCCTTCCCGGATTACACATTCGCTTTTTATGACTGGAATTTGCGGAACCTCTTTCCGAGGGGGGTATAATCTTCGCCTACTTTCACTATTCGCTCCCCAATTGGTTTGGTGAATTCGGAAACAACTCGGCGGCTTTGAATAGGAAGGGAACGACGTGCTGCTTTCGGAGCTACAGCCTGCCATGGCTTTGTGATTACAAGGGCAATGACAATAATAGCGATGATGAGAACTAGCAAACGAGTCAGTTCAGGGGTCAAGAAGTTCACCTTTGGCAGATTATACATACTACATATGCCCAAGCACCACCACTTCCATTTGCGCGCGTTTCGAGCGCTGGTAATGGCAACACCGATCTGCTCCGTACCCTTATCCATATTTTCCACGACCTCCTCGCCTTTTGTCTCGATATTTTCTATCGCGGCTTCCTGTTGCATGACAAGGTTGTTCATATCGTCGAACAGAACACCGATTTCTGCCATGTCTCTTGCGATCTTTTGAATCGCGGCATTCCGTTCCTTAACAGCGCTCAAAGTCGTCTGACTTTGACCTCTCCGATCACTGCTCATTAAAGCCTGGGTGAAAACAGGTCCCTGGGGATCGTCTATAGCATCTCGTACTTCTTGCTCTGAGGCATCAGGTCTCACAATGCGATATTGCCGAGTAGATTGTTCCCTGAGCTTTCTGTCAAAATCGCGTACCATTGACTGATAGTTCGCAAATGAGGCTCTCAATCCTTTGTCCAGCTCTCCTACATGCTTAGCTCTGGTCGCCGAGTTCTGATTTTCGCGGACTGATTTCAATTGCTTGACGCGTTCGATGAGTAACTTATACTCGTCCTTGATTGCTTCCGCATCCGCCTCTACTTTGGCAGAAGCTCTGCCCGCATCGACGCTGGTAAGGCAAGCTTGCTGAGCGCGAACAAGCGCAGGGATCCTCGCAGTATCCAGATCTTTGATTTCGAGCTTCAGAGGTTGAACAACAGTGTCCAGCCACTGCGAGAGATTATTTGTCACCGCGGGTTGCTGCGCGGCTTGAGCGAGGGGGGTCATTTCAACATTATGTCCTGCCCATCATTAGTTATGGTTCTCGGGGCTTCCAAATCCAATAACAGCTTCCGTAGACGTACCGGACTCGTCGTATCCACCCATTGCACCAGATTCGCCGTACTGGTGAGTCTGACGAAACTCTGGCGAATTGTAACCTGGAGATGCAGCCTGTCTCTGATCGTACGGATTTTGGCGTCCGCCATAGCTTTTGACCTGTTAGCACCTGTTTCCCTACAGTCGTTATGATAGCCGCAGTGGCATGATCAATTCGAATTTCGACCTGGAAGAAAGGAACAGCACTAACTTGTTTGCGTACTGCGACATTATGTGTTAGCTAAGTTCTGCCAGAGAAACTTTTGACTTCTTGAAAGTATAATGATCACGGATTGAAGATCAGTTCAGAGATGAAAAGTCAAAGACAAGACGATGGGTGCGATCAAAGTCCCGAACGAAGACGAAACACGCTTGAGGGATCAGAGAGTTGAAAGTTGAAACATACCATCCTGGATAATGACAGGGCTACCCCTTTTTTCGTCTGGAGAGGTCTTTCTGTGATGCACAACTGGCTCTTTTCTCGGCTCAAAAGAAAGGCTGGCGATATATCGTAGTTATTGGCAAGTTGATATGCTCAATCGACCGTTACTCTTCGAAATTTCGATTTTCGAAGTTGGACGAGAAAGGAGCTGAGATATGTCAAGAGGATTGAGTTGGTGATCAGCGGCTGATGGGGATGATACCCATGAAGCCAAGCTAACACTGCACGTTAGGGGTCTTTGGTACGAGCTGCAACTACGCGACGCCGAATCCAGAGTCCACAACGCTGCTGCAACTTCGACACGTCAGGAAGCGCCGCAGCATAATAAGCCACAAGTAGGTCTATACCAGCGCAATTGATAGGCCCAGAAGCACACAAATGGAAAATCGTTACATGACTGCCGTCTCCAGCCAAACAGCCGCGGAAACGCGATATTTTTAGACCCAAACACTCGTGCTGTGCTAGGCGGGTGGGTGGATTAAGGAACTGGAGCCATGATTGCTTGACGGTCACGAAGCTCACGAAGTATACCGTGGACGGAGCACACGCAGATGGGAATACGCCAGCAAGCCCAGAGGCGACGGGACCACACAATGTTTGCGAAGGTTGTGTAATTCCAAGTGTTTGTTCGGAGCCTATGGAAGAAGGCAATTCGAGGTCCAATGCTAACAAACTATTGACTGTGTTCGGACAGCAACGTGCAAATACGAATTTTGAATAGAAATCGCCTCCGTCAAGACTTAAAAGATACTAGTTGCGTACAGCTCCTACGTTAACGGACTAAACAATTGAGACCAACGGCTACATGTCGAATCTCAAGATCTGTGGACCGCATCGCAGCTGTGAATCGGATTACTATCTCAGACCAACGCAATCCCGCCACAGACCACGAACTGTGCTTACGAGGCTCAGCCTGCTGCGGCCATATTGATTTTAGGACTTCGACGAAACTCCATCAGACCCATGATTCAGGAATATTTGGGTCAAAGATGCCCAGATAACAATTGATATTCGGATTCAGAATTCAGGCGCCAGAGCCTACCTTCTTGCAATATCTTGGGAAATACGGCTTTTCTCAGTTGAAATTGCCACAAAACGAACTCCTATCGCGGGAAGCATGATAGACAGTTACGAAGCCAGGGGACTATTCTACTGCGACCATTCTCTTTCTTCGCTAGGTAAGTAGCTGTTTCTGCAGTGTCTAGATTGAGCCGTTCTCATGATATTCGACAGAATAGTGTTGAATGGAGCAATGAAGGTTGCTCAATATTTGACTCCATTCAGTACTGCCAGCACTTCTCCATTTTCAAACAGACATCAATCTGAAGACCGACGAGTCCATGGCTCTAACTGGTCCCTCAAATTATTTTCTCAATTTTCAATCGATGGGTCCTCAATCGCCTGCACCTGTTTTCCCTCAATAGTGCGGTGCTGCCAATCTTCGACCACCCCTTACTTTCCTCATTACGTCTTCCACTCCGTCATTCACATCTCCCATATGATTTCCTCTGTTTAACAGGAACTCGACAATCTCTCGGTGACCACTTTCCGCAGCTGCAATCAGCGGGGCATTATGGTCTTTGCCAAAGATTCCGTCCAACTCGTTCAATGATCCTCCTTTCTCTAGTAGCAGTTTTAATATCTCCTTTCGCCCATAACGTGCTGCTACTATCATGGCAGTACTGTTCATCCCCATACCATATACACCCGTATTTACGTCTGCCCGGTAATCCAGCAGTAATCTACTAGTTGAGATATCGTCGTTGTATGCGGCTCTTTGAAGACAAGTTACAAAAGGCTGAACTGTAGCAGTGTCATATTCAACATTAGGATTTGCTCCATATTCTAGAAGCAGCTTTATTAACGTGTGTTGCTTGGCCTGTACTGCTGCATAGAGTGGGCTTCCGAACTCTGAAGCGACAGGGTCAACATTTGCGCCCTTAGCTATAAGCATCGAGGCGAGATGAGGAGCTTTGATTATAGCTGTGAGTAAGGCGCTGCCATAAATCCCGCCCGGAATGTTGACATCTATGCCCAGACCAAGAACGTGCGTTACTAGCTCTTTATTGCCACTTACAATTGCTGCTTGAAGAAGATTGTCTGAGGCTCCTCCCGCGTTTGTTGTCCTGGCGCCATGGCCAAGTAGTAAATCGACCATTCTTTTTTGACCACGAGCAGCAGCAATCAGCAAGGCACTCCCTTCTCTGCCGCCATCGGTATTGACGTCTGCGCCATGTGAAATAAGAAGCTCAACCAATTCTTCACTATCATGCTTCACAGCAGCTTGAAGAGCAGATCCGTAGTCTCCGCCCTCAACCTTAACGTCAGCTCCTTTGCTAAGTAGATAGCGGATAACCTGAAAAGAGTTATCTCGACATTCCGGACTGGAGACGGCCGCCTGTAGCACAGTCTCATACTCGCCGCCGCGAGCATTTATATCAGCTCCATTTTCGACTAAGAGTTCGATCACCTTGAAATCCATGATTATCATCGCAGCTTGCAAAGCAGTACCGAAAAAGCTGGCCCCTTTTATATTTACGTCGGCGCCACGTTCCAAGAGATATTTGACCGTGTCCAACCTGGCCATGAAACTAGCCTGCTGCAAAGCTGTTCCCTCAGACTTCGACCAGGCGTTGATACCAGCACCAGCATCTAGCAGTGCTCCTAGCACAGCATTATTTCCTTTATTGGCAGCAGCTTGTAGCGCTCCATTTCCAAACCTCCCATCTTCTTCCACACCAGCGCCATGTTGTAACAACAGCTTGATTAGATCGCTATGGTTCTTTCCAATAGCAATATCAAGAGGCGTGGCTGACCTGTTGTCTAATAGATTCGGAGTAGCTCCCAACGAAAGGAGTAGCGTAGTCAGGTGTACAAAGCCTCTATCTGCGGCAAGATGCAAAGGCGTCTTGCCGTCTTTGTCTTGTTTGTTTATGTGGTCTTTTGATTCAAGAAGTTCGCCGACGGCTGTTTGAACGTTATAGACTATAGCTATATGTATCAACTCACTGGATTTGACGTACAAATCCGAGCGATGACGTTTTGCGTTACGTCGAACTATTCCGTATTCGATTTCGTCCAACTTTTTCATGGTTTTATGCCAATGATCAAGAGTTTTCTGGGAGCTCAGAAGAAAGCGAGCCAAGGGCCTCTGGAAATGTCCATGTGTCTCTGCTTTTGCAGTATGCACAAAAAGGTTGATTGTTGCATATTCAAGAAATTTTGGAATCGGCTCATTCCACTTTACCCACGCATTAAGTGCATCCAAAATGTTGTCGATAAGCAGGTAGTTGAGGCAACACCGGGAGAGTCTTGTTTGACCTGCACCGAGCACATTCTCACTCGTCAAGGTAAATCCTTCGGTCATAAAAACCATGGATGCCAGCCCAGAGAAGCGGAGAAAATCGTTGACAGTTTCGTGCACGAATTGCACACGGTTCGTGGGTCCGGTGTGCATCACGACCGCCAAACCTCCAGACAGACTCATAACGAGTTTCTCCATTTGGCTATTTGTTTTGACAAAACCCTTTGCGCCCAGCTCGCAGCAATCCTGACTCCAGGTTTTGTCGTCACAAGCCAATGCAAAACTTATTTCCGTTAGACTTAAAGGTCTTTCGGCGAGGCATACCCACGTTAAGAAGAGCAATGCCCTCGCTCTCAAAGTCACAGAGACATCATTTTTCAAAATCGCGTCGTAGAGTGAAAATAGTTCGTTCGATTCGCCAGCTATAACCTCAACTACCTCATCAAACTCCAGCTCTCCATCATTCAACGACTTGATTATCTTCGGAACACGAAGGACCGCCCATTGAAACACCCCCGCTGCTTTCTTGCAAATAGCATCCACGATTTCGCCCGTGATCACGGGAGATTCATCATCCCATCCTGTCACACCCAAACGTAAACTGTCTTGGATATACCGTCGAAGATCGAGTGCATTTTCATCCTCAACGCGAATCTCAAGTCCAGGACCGAGAGATCCTACAACAGGGTAGTGACGACATGATATACAGATTCGTACTCCTCTCATGGCACCATCTCTTTCTTCAAAGGTCAGGTCGTTGAGGTCGTAGAAGTATTTCACGAGCTCCATCGCGGCCTTGTCTCCAGTCGGTAGAATAGCTTCGTCGAGAGCGTCAATGAACAAAGTGACCTCGTTCTTCGCAGCGACTTGCTTGACAACGCGAGTGAATAGGGCTCTGAGTTCATCGACCTGCCACTGCCAGGTATGCTTAGTGCTTGAGTCTTGGCTGTCATTTTTGAGTTTGTAGGCTTCGTATATCAGTTCTCTTGCTGTGCTAGATTCCTTATATATCTGATGTAGTAAAGATCTGAACATTCCAAGGGTCATTTTCTGTAGTGGTTCGCCACGACCCGTGAAAAAGAAATCCAGACGAATCGTTTTAGATGTCCGCTGTGAGAGAAGATATCTATGAACATACGCCATAATCGTGCTCTTCCCAGTACCCGGGTGGCCCTTGAGCCAGAGTAAACCATGGGAGGCGTTGAGCCAGGTTGTGAAGGACGGATGTTCGAGTACCCAGTTGCATGTCTTGGGATGTGCTACGTCTGCCTCGATCTTGCGAGTCGTCATAGTAGAGAACGCGAGAGTTTGGAGACATGCTATTCATAGTCAGAAACGATAACAGAATATAGAAGGCATTGGTAAACTTACGAAGATCTTCAGTTCTTATAATATCATTGGCGGCTAATATCAGTTAGTCAAATACCAAGCAAATTCTCGGGAAGATGGTAGGACAAGACTCACGTCGAGTTGCCTCATCAACTGCTACTTTCAACTTTGCAAGGACTTTTCCATAACTAGGGCATGTACGTGACTTAAAACGAGCAATACTCCGATGATCTTTGCCATCCATATGAATCACAATTTCTGAATCGAGGCCCATTGTCCCACTAAAATCATCGACTACCTAGAAATAATCAGTCAGGCGCGCGTATGCTATCAGATCTCATTTTCATGAGTAAACTTACCCTGGTATTTAGAGGCGCCATAGTCAGATCCTCGATGAAAGAGTAAAACCGGATGCTGCCGTCAGTCATGGGAATGAACTCTTTTGTGATTGTCTTCACTGCCTTTTCATCCTGTATCAAGTCTTTTATGAGATCGGCACGAATACCTCCTCGAAATCTTGAAAGACCGGTCGTAGTTAGGGATCCGTGGAAGACGCCTGCCAACTTTGCTAAAAAAGCCGCTTCTTTGGATCCACGATGGGGAGTGGCAATAAACAAGATATCTGATGTTGCAGCGCGTATGTTGCCAAAACGCTTGACATTAGTATTCGCGATGGACAAGGCCTAGGGAGTGTTAGTATTCAAGGAGAGTTCCCAGTAAGTAAGTGATTCAACTGACTCTCTTCACAACAAGTCCACCCATACTATGGCAAATGAAGATAAGCGGCCGCCGTTGTTGCTCCCTTTTTGTCCTTATATCCAAAAGATTTTCCAATAAATCCGTGGCGAAAGTGGTAATGTTACCAGTACCTTTACTCAAAAAAATCTTCGCATTATATCCAAAAGTGTATATTCTAGAACCGGGAAAAACCTCGGGCAGAAAATCCTGTAACCAGAAGGCGTCTGGCGCCTTCTTACTTGATTCCACATCTGACCAGGTCCATGTTTTGAAAGGCGTACCATCAATGCCATGAAGAGCTACAATGTCTACTGGGCAATTGCAACCGGAGGAAAGTAGGCCATCAGGGGGTTCGTACAGCTTGAAAAGTCCGAAACGCTGGGAACTGCCATATACCTCCAAGTTCTCCTCCTCATGTCTCTTTTCCCGCCACTTACCAAGCCTCGGCGAGTGTGAACTCTGGGGGCGTATATTCTCAGATAAGTTGACAGAGCGCTTCAAGATTTCTCTCTGTTTAGCATTAATGACAGAGGGCTGGTCATTTGGCTGCTCAGAGGAATGCCTCGAAGGTCGCAAAGGTATTTTAAGCACGGATGTGAAAATACCATGACTTTTAGACTCATTCTGGACTAATTAGCAGTAGTTTATGGTTATCCTACTTCTCGCGACATCGTGAAGGCTTGGTTTGACTTACAGGAACGCTCACAGTCGTAGCAACTGTTGGTGCCTCGCTTGTTGTTTCAAACGTATGGTCCGTAAAGGTCGTGTCGACTGTCTTTATAGTACCTTTCGTCTGAAAGGTATACCTCTGCGGTTCGGAAGCGATTCTATATATTTCCGTTGTCGCGGCAGATTCGACATTGGCAGACATCCTTCAGTGATCATCATCCTAGAGAGAAAGAACGAAAAAAGGAAAATACAGGAAAATGAATCCAAAAGGTCTAGGTACAACGAGGCTACAGAAAAAGTGAGAAATAAGCCTCGGCTGGTAGTAGAACAAGAGTCTGTTCCAATCATATTAAACATCAAATGCATGATGCCGTGGCAAGGGGAAGGAATTGTTGGTTCTAGGCAGCCTTTCAGCCGTGAAGACCAGTACGAATCCTTCATTCTGAAACACCTCATGATGAGCCCCATTTGACTCGAGAGCTGTCGTTGGAAGGCAGAAACGCGCTCCGAGTACATTAGCAGTACATCATGGAGTGGTGTTTCGTAGCATTCATAGGTTGAATTGCCGCCTTTAAATGGTTGATGGGGAGAATAGACTCGGCGGCTCAGGAGAAGATTGGGTTGGCGGACCGGTCCGGGGCAATTGGGTTTAGCGGTCCCAGCGTCTCACAGGGGGGTTCAAGCGAGCGGCTTCAGCTCCGAAATCCCCGTCAAGCTTGTTCTGTTTACTCCAAATGCTGACCTCCAAGCACCACAAGATGCTTGTTTCTAATAGTCTATACAGCTATGTATGTTAGCTTTAACTACAATTTGTTTCTCGCTTAACGTTCCTTCAACCTTTACTGTTCAACTATTCGCATTTGAGGAACAAAAGTCCTATCGAGCTCCACTATTGTGCGACGGGAAGACTGAAAGCACAAAGTCCCACAACATGTCCTGGTTTTAGACCAAATAAACAGGCGCACGACGATCAGTTTGAAGTCTCAAGTTCTGCTCGATAAGGGTTTTCCTTTATATCCCAAAGCTTTGGTCCAATGCCCAGGTATTCCAGACCATTCAAGGAAGCTGGAGTAGGAAGGGAGTCAAATTACTATAAAATAGAGCAAGATGCGGGCGAAGAGGAGCAAAATTATGACATACGACGAGGGTACGATCAGGATAACAGCGGTCCTAGGCGAAGGTACCCTGTGAATGATGATCCGAAAGAGGATGACATAGATTACTATCCAAGACCCGAACCCGCCAGACACAATACAACGCTTAGATCAGACTACTACGGACATACTGAGCCTATATTACGAAGACAGCCTGAGCCCACCAGACAAAATGCAAGGCTTAGATCAGAATACTACAGACATACTGAGCCTATATCACTGAGACAGCCTCGACATTCATATCCAACGGTACCTATCAACCCCTTTGCCCCGCAGAATCGGTGGGCACGGTCTCCAAAGGTTGAATATGAAAGCAGAAATAACTACTGTGAGTTTCTTTGCACTTGGACAAGACATCTGCTGATCTTGCAGCATATGAAGATCATGAAGCGCTTCAGACGGGCTACACCGTTGCTGCTAATAATCCTTGGGACTACGATGTTCCGGAAGGAATTCAAATACGTGACTCTGAGGAGGACGAGGAGGACGATGCTAATGATATTAGCGAGGCACTCCTTGATATTGGGAGCGAGCCTTTCACTGCTGACTCGGACATCAGTGGCTCGAGACAGAGAGCAAGGCTTGAAGCAAAAGTAACTGGAAGTGGCAGTGGAACTAGCCAATCAGTGTTCATTTCCAAACAAGAACCAAACTTTCGGCCAACGGGGCAGATGGCATTGTATAATGTGGTAGCATCAGGCTATCAACGCTTAAATGATATTGGCGATTCCGTTGGCAACCTTGCGCACATTGAGTACTTAGGATCTTTGGAAAGCCCCCCGAGACGGGAATCACGGGATGGGTCAAATTTTCGATGGCTGTGAGTATTACGAGTGAGATGAGGCGAGTTTCGGATTGTGATCTCTAATTTATTTCCAGACATCTGAATCAGCAGCTTATGGACTTTGACACATTCTCTGTGAGCCACATGACCTGATAGGAGATTCAAACTAACATTTTGACTAGCGAGTTGCTCAAGAGATGCCCGGCCTTCCTGAGGACGCACTCCTTACTCTACCGCACTTCTTGAATCGGATTCGCAAAGACTTTGAGACTAGCATCCGCTCACAACACGGAGTTATGGGGAACTTCATGAAGCCTGCGTTCGTTAGCAAAAGAAGTCAGAGCACGACGTCAGAAAATACACTTAACTCTGGGTTCATTTTCTGTACTATACCGTATCACCAGCTTTCACCTTATTCAAGCCTCGAGAAGCCTCCCAACCCAAGACTGCATCCCACTAGAACTTTATTGCAATCCAAGTATCCATCCACAACAATGCAACGGGATCAACAGCAAGTTGTAAGCAACATAAGTGGCACTCCCACTGGTCATTGTTTTCACGTGCCAGTTTTATGGTGTTTGATAATTGATGATAGTAAGCTTAATTTCGAGACAACTTGAATATCTTTCCTCGTTACTGATTTCATTGTAGAGTTTGCAGTAACCTGTGCCCATGGAATGTCTGCTGAAGGAATTACCGGAGATGGCGTAACGTTGACCCAGAGTGTACCTCAAGCGCCCGATACATCAGCTTCCCTTAAAACTTTGCACATAATTCTTGAGAGTCGCCTTTACGTCGTGCCAATCGAGCAGTGCGACACGTGGTTCGTAAGTCAAGTAGCTCCGCAGGATTACCAACTCGTTTGACTCTAGAATAGAAATTAACGCAGAACTTTTCGCAATATACCTCAATTTTTGACGACCAGATGCTTGTGCACTGGAAAGGCACCCGAATTTCATCAGACTTGTGGTCGGTAGTAATACAGCAAGCGCAGAAGCAACTGGCTAGCGTCAAAATCTTTCAAAGGTAGCAAATTTTCGCTTGAGTTTCATTACTTGCATAACTTCCCATACTAACAGTGACAGAAAACGCGCTATCAAACATCAATTAGTAGAAGACTCGAAGAATGATGATATATACAACGCCCCAACCGGACCATATCGATGGCGGGATGATAGAGATATGGCTTCTGAGACTGGGCGATTTCGAGACGTTGAATCGGAAAAGAAGGTCGATCGTGGTAAAGATAAAACTGGCCCAGCAGGAACCTCTGGCGGTGATCCCAAACCCTCCGTCGATCAGTTGCAAGGCTCGGGAGATAAAGACGGTGGCATATCGCAATCGCCAACCCCTGAGGTCAGCTCTCAAACCGATTCTTTAGCTGTTCGAGATTTTCAAGTTTTGGTATGGATTGCGATTCATCGAGGGAAGGCGAAAGAAGTTGGGAATAGCATTACGGGCAAGGATAATGTGGGTCCATCAACCACCACGACAACTGCAAAAATACAGTCAAATCGTGAGATGGTACAGACGTATTTGAACTCGATCCATCAGTGGCTACTAAAACAAAAAGACTTGAAGTCGAAGACTGCGTATCTATACGCACCACTGAAATCTCTAGATGATGTTGAGAGAGCGCTACAATCTATGATCGAATCAAGAATCGAATCATCAAATATCGAGTCTGCCAAAAGTCGACTTGTCGAAGCTGTCAAATCAGTGTTCACCCTTTTTGTTTCTTTAGACCAGACGGGCCCGATGTGCGCTAAGATATGGGGAGCGGTACATGGCGCAATTACTGTATATTCACTTCTATCCCATTAGAATCTTGTACATCACTAATAGCACTAGGCACCAGCCCCTTCGGCAACGTCGTGGCAGTTTCTTGACTTTGTGAAAACTTTTACCCAGATAGCTAACCTTGCAAAAACAATCGACTCGCAGCTATCAGACGGGAAAGCTCCGTCACCAAAGGAGCTTCCAATGCCCCCAGATGCCTTGCGAGCTTGGCATCAGTTCATCATGTCTTTGGTCTCCTTGAACGCACGAGGCGGTCCTGCACAGGCGGATAATCATGCAAAGAGATGCTTGAGTTTACTACGCAGAATGCATCTCGACATTTTGAAGAACCCTAAAGCCAAGAAACTTGAAGAACTTGAAGCCGTACGCCCTACAAGCTTACTTGTGTTCATCGTCGACCGAGTTCTATCGGATTTCACCGGCACGCAGCCAGATCTGGTGGATACTTATTGGGAGTTCTTCGATCTGATGGTACTGAATTTGTTCCAGTCACGCTCGAATAGTCGTAACTAATTTCGTCCTAGGAGAGCCAAGTCGAGAAAGATCCACTGAGCCGTCGGAACCAGGCTAAAATAACAGCATCAATTGCTGAGATAAAAATTGTTCTCGACACGTTGAATCAGCAAAATGTCATAGTCCGTCAATTTGAAAGCGAATTGTTCAAAAGTGAACTTCCATATATAAGAGGAAGAAAACACATCCAGGGTCCAGATCCGGCAGTGATTAATCTTCAAAAAGCCATCACCACACTACAAGGAAAGATCGCTTCAATGGAAGAGCTTCTTGACAGTTCGAGATATTTGTTGGAAAGAGTCAGTATCTTCCCTAAACCGCCATCAGATCGACACGTGCTAATCATACCTAGAACATGAACGCAATCAGAGACAACAAAGACAGACAAGAAGCCGCCATCTACGCTTTCACCATCGTCACTATCATCTTCCTCCCCATCTCAACGGTGGCCAGTGTTTTCGGCATGAACACAAACGACATCCGGAATATGGCACAAAATCAGTGGTTGTTTTGGGCAGCCGCTCTGCCACTTACTACGATCGTGATTGTGGTGTCCTTGATTGCTGCTGGGATTATTCCCTGGACGTTTGTACGAAAGGATAGAGCAGCTTTGGCGACAGCGCAGGCTGAGGTTTCGGAGGTGAAGATGGTTCGTCCATTTATAAGTACTAGGAATACGGGCGGCGTGAGGAATCGCTATCCGTCACGGTACGTCGATGATTCTATGGGATGGTGAACGCTGAAGGAGTATTTCAAATTAAAACATAAAATCACCATGCAACTAAAGATTTACTAGGGTCCGAGAACAGCCTAAAGTTAACTAGAGAGCATCCTATCAGATCAGAAACAGAGTTCGAAATCATTTTAAAGAAGTCGCAATCGTCACAATAGACGAACATTAGTAGCATCACAAGGCAATCACTAACTCAAAGCAGGCAAATTTCGTAAGAAGAGAAATTTTTATTTTATAGAGATATATCTATATGCAAAGGAAATCTATGAAAAAAGCCCAAAATTCAAATCCCACAATCGCTAAAATACAGTAATTAGGACCAAGTAGCCCACCCCTCGCATCGCTACCAACTCAGCAAGAAGAGAGCCACAAGATCTTTTTTAGAACCAGAGCCAAAGCCAGAACAGGCACAATCCACCATCTCAAGCGTCGCTTCCCAACTCAGCTAGAGATACCTTCAAGAGCCCACAAGGGCTGAGACATTAAAAACAAATCCCATAAACTCCCAACTCCGAAATACATAAAAGGTGTAAGGAGATCTGACTAGGAAGTTGAACATGGAATTAAGCACCCAACATCTTCAAGAATGCTTTGTCCATGGGTGGACATGTGAGCTCGGAATCCACCTCCTCGAGCGCCTTTTGCGTTTCAGTCTGATCAAGCGCGAACATCAGATGGCCTGTCTCGCAGACATTCTTGACAGCTTCCCATCTCAAGACATCACCCTCTGTCTTCGCCTTTGCTTTCATTTCTGCCAGCCAGTCCGGAAGACTGACGAGCTTGCCTTCTTTTTCGTCGACTCGCAGTTGAGTCATGAGCTTGGGTAGATCGTGGAGATTCATTGGCGATGGATTGCCAATGTGGAAGATTGATAGGTTTTTCTTTGTGAATGATTTTTCATCGCGGAGTGCATCGGATGTTGTGAGTGATTGCAGGGCTGATGACAAGTAGTTGACAGGGATGAAGTCGATGGCATATGCTGGAGTGCCAGCAGGGCCGTGGAGATCGGGTACACTTCCTAGAGTGACCATGTCGACTATCATGCGGCGGACGAAGTCATCGTCAGGAGCTGGTACATTTGTTGCGGTGCTGCCGGAAACGGCTGATGCACGAATGATGGATACGTTGAAGCCTCGCTCAGCTGCATGAGTGAGTAGCATCTCCGACACCCAGCGGGATTTGAAGTAGAAGAGCTCGGCATCCTCGGAAGGAGTGAAGTGATCTGGAGAGCTTTCACTGATATCGATGTGTGTGCGGTTTCGTTTGGCCGCTGCATGAGATTGAAGATGAGGAACAGACCATGTGGACAAGTAGTGGAGTTCAGTGCGATGAAGACCCGAAGCTGCAAGCTCGATCAAGTCCATGGTTGCGCCAGCGTTGGCTCGGCGGAGGGTCTCGTAATTCTTGAGAAGTGACATGCGACCGCCGAGATGATATATTGCTTGGATCGAACGGCCGAGCTGACTGAATGTGGTCTTTTCAAGACCAAGGCCAGGCTGCATCAAGCTTCCTGGAACGATATTGGTTTGACTGCGGACGAGTTCCTCGGTAACCGTGCCTTTGAGGAGCTTGTATTGTTTGAGGTCGGCGATGACATCGTCAACCTGGATTGACTTCTCAGAACCAAGAAGGTGGAAATGTTTTGTGGGCTCCAAGGAGAGCATGTTTGCAAAGACATGAAGACCGATGAAAGACTCAACACCAGTGAGCAAGACAGAAGTGATATCGGAGGAGCTGAGAGTGCTAGCTCCATATCTGACGAGATATCGTTTGTCCGAAGGTAGAGTAGCTTCTGCGGTCCAGTTGATGATTTGTTTAACAGCTGCAGCTGCGGCTTTGCTTGCGCCCGCAGCAGGTGTTGCTGCAAGTCCACAAATCTTTTGGCAGATAGCAAGAGGAGTTGGAGCTTTGAACAGCTCAGGCAATGATGGAGTTGCTTTCTTGTAGGTGCGCTTGAGCTTGGCTTGAAGTCTGAGTAAAAGAATGCTTTGACCTCCAAGCTCAAAGAAATTGTCAGTTACACCAATCTCGCGGTCTTTTGGAAGCTTGAGAACATCGCGATAGAGTTGGAATATTGTGTCAAGGACCTTTTGTTGATCACCGCCCAAGTTGGTCTCGGCGGCAGGCTCATTTGACTTGGAAGAAGGATAGACAAGAGTCAATTCTCTTGTAAGTAGGCTTTGTCTGTCAACCTTTCGCCCAATGGTCATTGGAAGCTCAGTGAGAAATTGGTAACCATTAGGTAACATGTAAGGGTTGAGGTCTTTGGCGATCGCCTTGTGAATGGTCGTGACATATTTGACTTGCTCTTTTGGAGCGATTTGAGAATTCAAAACAATGTAAGCGATCAATTGGCGCTCGTCGGTGTAGCTTTCCTTGCCATCCAGAGTTCGTGCGACCATTGAGATATCGACAAGTTTGGGGCCGGTCAGCTTGGAAGCTTCGAGATGAATACGATGCTCGACTTCGCCAAGATCGACTCTGAAACCTCTCAACTTGATCTGTTTGTCACCAGCGATACGACCATGAAACTCGAGCTTTCCATCAGCTAGGAATCGACCTTTGTCGCCGGTTCTGAAGAGTCGAGTCCAACCCCGAGAGATATCATCAGCAGAACAGAAAGGATCCTGTACGAATGATGCTGCATTGGCTTCTGGGCGGTTGAGATAACCGGAACCGACTTGAGAACCACCGACACAGATCTCTCCGACCAGTCCTGCTGGGAGTGGGTTCATTTGGGTGTCGAGGATGTAGTGACGACAGTTGGCCATTGGAAAGCCAATTGGAATGTTGACATCGCCGGTTTCCGATTCAGCAACCTCGTGAATAGTTGTCTGGACGACAAGCTCACTAGGACTCCATGTGTTGAGGATCATAGCTGGAGTTTTCAGAGCACGAAACTTGTCGACAACTCGAGCAGAAAGACGTTCTCCTGCAAAGAAAGCAATTCTATAGTCAGAGCAAAGCCTGAAGAGGTCGGCGGATGATTCCATGAGTAAGGCGAAATGAGTGGGTGTAAAATAAGTAACTGTGACGCCGGCTTCTTGGATGAATTTGGCGAGACGAGCCGGGTCTTTTCGAACAGGTGTAGAAGCAATGCAAACCGTTGCGCCAGATGTGAGAGCGGAAAATATTTGAACAATAGAGAGATCGAAACACATTGAAGATTGGTGAAGGAATTTGTCGTTAGAAGTAAAGGAATAATCATGCTGAAGTGTAGAAAGCATCTGTTGAGTGTTTGATTGACTCAACACTACGCCTTTCGGGATACCTGTGCTACCCTGTTTAGTGTCAGCGTCGCTCTTGTCACTGGTCCGTAATTCTCACAGATGTATAGATAGTATAGAAGGGGTCATCTGGAGAGGTGTCCCCGTACCTTGACTTCTCGTTGCTACTCTTAGCAACGGCAATTGGCATGACTTGCGGTGGTGAGGTGGTCTTCGCCGCCACCGCACATCCAACGCTCTCGAGATCTTCTCCAACAAGTATGAGTTTGACAGCCGAGTCCGAAGCCATGAAGCTTAATCTTTGCGCTGCGAATTCAGGGTCCATTGCGAGGTATCCACATCCGCGGATGAGGGCACCAACCATGGCCACAACGGCATCGGCTCCTGGCGAGGCCAATACACCGACAGATGTACCTGGCGCAATGTTCGCTTGTTCCAGAGTAGCTGCGATGCGCTGTGCCTGGTCCACTAGTTGCTTGTAGGTGAGGTTACCATTCTCAGCGGTCTGGATGGCTAAAGCATCAGGGGTCTCTTCAGCCTTCTTGAGGATCTTCTCGACGACTGAAGCACCCTTCCAGGTGTTCTCGGTGAATCCCATGTTCCAGTAGTTAGTCTTGAGATGCTCGACTTCTTTTGGGCCAGTCATTTGGGTCTGAGCGATTGGTTGTCTGTGGTCGCGGATCAAGCTGGTCAAGAATGTGCTGAAGTTATCGAAGAAGCGTTCCATATCGGCCTCAGCATAGAGAGTGGTGGAGTACTCGAGACGGAGGTCCAATCCCTTGTCAGGATCCTCAAGAGCCTCAAGAGCAAGCTCGCAGGCAGTAGGGATATCGTGATTGATGACAGTGTGGATGTGGAAATCCTCGGTTCCGAATCGCGGCATCTTACCGTGCATCTGGTAGTTAACAACGACTTGTGAGATAGGGAAGATGCTGTGGCTCTTTGGGAGGTTGACAGCTTCGACAATAGTGTCGAATGGAATCTTGCTGTGCTCGATAGCTTCGACAGTGGCGGATTTAGTGGAGCTAAGTACAGAGTCGAAGAGGGAGTCACTGTCAACGTTGTTGAGTCGGACAGGAATCATGTTAACCTGTAGCAGAGTATGTTAGTATGCGTCTTTGAAAGCTTTCGGATCGAATCATTAGTAGATTGTAGACTTACGAAGAATCCAAGAACATCCTCAAGATCGGAGCGAGGTCTGTTACCATCGATGACCAAGACAGTAACATCCTCCTCCTCAGTGTAACGGAAAAGGAAGGCGCGGAAAGCAGCAAGCATAAATTGGAAAGGAGTAGTGCCCATGCGAGCGCAAACACGCTTGAGACGGAGGAGCATAGAAAGTGGAAGAGTTGATCGGAGCTCGTCGCGGACTCTGTCCATGGTATCTGGACGAGTGGTCTTGGCGAATGGCAGAAGTTCAGATGTTGGCTTGATGCCAGCCAATCTTTGCTTCCAGAACTCAACCTCGGACTGGAGTCCTGCACTGCGAAGGTGGTTCTCGTACCAGATTGAGAAATCGGTGTAAGAGATTCTTGGTGGTGCCACGGATGCGAGATCCTTCTCCAAGCGGATAGCGTCGTAGATCTGGGAAAGTATATTAGCAGACTGTATGATGGAGATAAATATCGGGTACCACAAACCTCGACGAATTGCTCGAACAGAGCCTTGGAAGATCCACGATCGATGGAGATGTGGTGGAATGCGACAACGAAGGCAAATTTCTCATCACCAAGCTTGAAGAGTCCTGGTCGCATGATCTCACCATTCTCAATGTCAAGCTCCTCACCTTGAAGAGATGCTCTCCATGATTCGAGGGATGCATCAACATCGATCTCAGTAGAGAGATCTCTGTAGACAAGGCGAGAGTCAAAGTCAGCAACTGGCTCTTGCTCAGCAAAATCATCTCCTTCACTGTAGGCAGTTCGGAGCATTTCGTTGCGGCGCTTGAGCTCGTCCAGAGCAGCCTTGAAGATAGTGGCATCAGGTGTACCCTTGATGTGGGAGGTGATGCAGATGTTGAGAGCAGACTTGTCCTCAACCAAGTTGTGTGCGTACCACATACGGCGCTGGAAGGTAGACATTGGGATGTTGCTTGGGCGGGCGATTGAGATAGCATCAAAGTCAGATGATTGCTCACCAGCAGTGGCTTGCTCAGAAACAGCAGCACTTCCCTTGGTCTCCTCAGAAGAGCCCTTAGATTTCTCCGACGCGGCAACTTCAATGACCATCAAGCTAGCTGCCTTCAAGACAAGGAGAGCGATGGACTTGCTGGACAAGATGTCGAACAAAGCAATATCGACGTTGATGGTCTTGGAGAACCACTTTCGGAACTCGACAGCGACAATGGAGTCGAGACCGTACATGGAAAGTGGGTTCCCTGGCTGGATGGTCTCGGCAACAACACCAAGAACAGCGGCGATCTTCTCAATGAAGGCTTCAGTTAAGATTTGAGCTCTCTCTGGAACATCCTTAGCTGCTTGAAGCAATGCACCAAGAGAGTTGCCTCCCTTAGCGGCACCAGCTCCTGCAACATCGAAGTTGGAGTACAAGTTGCGGAAGAAGGCACGTCCGTGCCAGTAAACATCATTGCGGGCAGTTTGAACACCGGTAGTGGTAGCAGCAGGGTCGATACCTCTGGCAGTGAGTTGAGTTGGAGCTGAGCCGCCAACGACGGCTTCCTCAATCTGGTAGAGAAGTTCGTCCTCGTTGACACCGTCAGAACCCATCTTGATGAGCCAGTTGAGAATGGATTCGTTCTCAGCGACAAGTCCAACACCAACAATCATACCACAGTTCATGGAAGATGCCTTGAGGCCAATTGAGCGACGGTAACGGACAAGGGCATCGAGGTAGGTGTTAGCAGCGGCATAGTTGGTCTGCCCCATAGCTCCGACCTGGCAAGCGACGGAAGAGAAAGGAGTGAAGAAGTCGAGATCCAAGTGGAGGGTAGCGCGGTGCAAGTTCCAGGCACCCTGAACCTTAGGGTGAACACATCCTTGCCATTGCTTGAGAGACATGGTGTTCAAAGGAGCATCTTGAAGAACGACGGCAGCATGGAAGATACCAGCAAGGTTGTCGCCAAGGGATTGGACAGCCTTGGTAACAGCAGCGTAGTCAGAGACATCAACCTTGAAGATTGTGACCTTGATGTCACGAGCTTGGAGCCATTCGACAGTGGCCTTTGCTTCTGGGCGAGCATCTCCTGAACGAGACAAGAAAGCAAGTTGGCGGGCACCCTTTCGCACCATCCACTCGGCCATTGTACGGCCAAGACCACCAAGACCACCAGAAAGGAGGTAAGACTTCTCTGGGCTGAACAACATTGTCTTGCGGTAAGATGGGAGAGAGACTGGAACGATGTCATCCTTGTGTGGTACCAAGACAATCTTACCAGTGTGCTTGCCCATTTGCAAGAGACGGAAACCCTTCTCAGCCTCAGAGTAAGGAAGCTCAAGGACAGAGTGTGGGTTGTTGATCTTGCCCTGCTCAAGTAGCTTGTAGGTTTCGTTGAGGAGGCGGTGGGATAGAGGCTTGTTGTACTCGTACATGGTGATGAGATCGAGAGAAGCGAATCCGACACTCTTGCGGAAAGGCTCCATATCAATCTTAGCATTCTCGTGGATGTCACGCTTTCCGATTTCAATGAAGCGACCGAATCGAGCAACACAGGCCCAGGTGGCATGGAGAAGATCACCAGCGAGAGAGTTGAGAACAACATCTACACCCTTGCCGTTGGTGAGGCGGTTGATATCAGCCACGAATGAAGGATCACGAGAAGAGAAGATGTGGTCATCAGTAAGACCATAAGTCGACTTGAGGAGGTCGCGCTTGGCTTGGCTTCCACAGGTGGCAATGACTTCAGCACCCATCATTTGCGCAACTTGGATAGCCATTTGACCGACACCACCAGCGGCGGCGTGGATCAAGACCTTCTCACCAGGTTGGAGGCGAGCAAGATCGTGGAATGCATAGTATGCGGTGATCATGATGCAGGTGAAAGCAGCAGCAGTGGTGAATGAGATGTTCTCCGGGAGTTTGTAGCAGAGAGCAGCTTGTTCGCGGACGATGGATCTGTGAGCACCTTGTCCAGGTCTGAAAGCAACGACACGGTCGCCAACTTGGAAGTCGTTAGGGTTGACAGCACTTCCGATGCGGAGAACAACACCAGCGCACTCATCACCAAGTCTGTAATCGTCAATGATACCGATAGAAGCGGCAACATCACGGAAGTTGATGGCGGAAGCCTTGACCTCGACCTCGATGGAGTCGGCAGCAAGCTCAGTGTCGACAATGTCCTCATCAACTCCGAAAGCCAAAGTCTCCAAAAGACCGACTTTGCCAATCTTGAGTGCGAGGGGTTGACCAGCACCGAATTCCTGCATAACAGCATCACCACCGGAGTTCTCTGGGAGCTTGTTGTTGAGAAGGTCATCGGTCTCAATCTTTGGGATCGAGAGAGTGCCGTTGCGAGCAGCATACTCATCCTCAGTCAAGCGGCTGTCGAGGATTGTGTTGATCTGCTCAGCAATCTGGCCATTCTGGGCAGTCTCGGCAACATCGAGGGTAACAACCTTGAGTTTGTCGTTCTCGTTACGGGCGACTCTGCACATACCGAGAATCATGGCTTGAGCAGGGTTGGAGGTCTCCTGGGAAGCACCACGAACGATCCAAACAATGTTCTTGTTCTCACTGGTGAAGAAAGTTCGGACTGCCTCGAAGTGAATCTCCTCGTGCTCTGGGTCCTCGAAGAAGAGCTCTTGGTCCAAACTGGCAAGAACAATAACGTTCTCGGTTGCTGGAGCGTTCTCAACCATGTCAACAAACGACATGCGAGTGACAGGTGCAGTCTGCTTGCTGGTGATCAGTTGAGCGAGCGCTTCAGTTGTCTCAGAGACTTTCTTGCCCATAACAAGTGTCAAAGGCTTTGCGGTGTAGTTGGAGCTGTATGCCTCGGTGTATGCGGTGAAGGAGGAGTTCTGGAACAGAACGCTCATTCCTTGGCCATCATACTCACCACCAGCGACAATGACGTGTCCAGTAGAGTTCAAGAAAGACTTGACGTCGAGAGAAGTAGTCTTGCTGACAACAACCAAGTCGTAAGCACCTTCTTTTGGCTCAGCAGTATCAATCAAGGTAGAGTAAACCTTGGTGAGGGCCTCAATATCCTCAAATTGTTCCTCAGAACCACAGTAAGGGGTGATGCTCTGGAAACGACGGCGTTGTTGAGGGAAGAGGGTAGTAAGAAGTTCCTTGGTAGCAGCAAGATCAGATGTGATGTGCAGAATCTTGGTATCTGGGTATTGGTGAGCGTAGACATCCATAATCTCAGCAGGGGTCTTCAAGGCTGAGAGTTCAGCGGTACCGGCGAGATTATCGAAAGCTGGTTGCCATCGAGTTCTGAAGAAGAGCTGGCGAGAAGTCTCAGCAGTCGAGGAACCAAGAGCAGTAGCCTCAAGACCTTGCATATCAATCAGAATTTCACTGCAATCAGCGGAACGAACTGTGATGTCGGAGATAGCGACACGTGGACCTGGGAGCTTTGTCTCAGCGGTAGCCCACAGAGTGTGCTCAGCAGTGCCTTGGGTGAGATCGAAGAAAGCACCGGAAAGCTTGAGGTATTTCATGAAGGTTGGCACGAAAGGACCGTCAAGAGGTCTACCCAACAACGACTCAATACCAGCAAAGAATGGATGGAATGAGGCATCGAGGAACGATGGGTGAATGACACAGTGATCGTTAGGAGTGGTCATCAAAGCAGCTGGCTTGAGAGAGATTGGTGCCATAGAGTATCCAGATCCACTGTCAACGTTTCCGGTGATCAGCTGGAAGTCTTCACCGTATTGAAGACCAATGTTCCACAAGTGCTCATAGAAGGTCTTGGAAGTGGTGCATCTGTCACTTCGTTTGCGGAGCTGAGCGAGAGATGGAGCTGGGGTATCAGTCTCAATGGCAGTGGAGTCACCAGCCTCGACGGAGATCAAACCGTAACAGTGCTCGTTGACAACACCGTTATCTCCGAATGAGTTGATAATGAATCTGTACCAGGTGTCTGAAGTGCGCTTGGCTGAAGTAGAGACAGGCTGCATCTCAAAGATAACTTCAGTACCCATCTCGCTGTCAGAAACAGTAAGAGCAGACTTGATAGCGATATCACGGAGACAGATAGCCTTGATGTTCTTGGGGCATGTCTCGAGACGGACAGCAGCTTCGATGGCCATTGTAAGATAACCAGCAGCTGGGAAAATTACCTTGCCGTCGATCATGTGGTGAGGAAGCCACTGAAGCTCTCTTGGTCGGAGGAAAGATCTCCATCTTGGGTGCTTCTCGAGGTTACCGAGCATAGGTGCACCGAGGATTGAATGGCGGTGGGCACGGTTGCGGTAGCTCTTGACGAGTCTGGTCTCGGCCCAGTATTTGCTGTGATCCCAAGAGTAGCTTGGTAGATCAACAGTCTTGCCAGCTGGAGCGCGGACAACGGCTCCATCGCTACCGAGGAAGAGGTCGCTGTTGACAGCTTCCAAATCAACTGGGTATCCCATGGCGTAAAGCTGTCCGACGGTTGCAAGCATTCCCTCGAAATCGTTAGCACCACGAGCAATTGTGGCCAAGTATGGGACATCGAGCTTCAAGGCTTGAATAGTTTGTCTGGAAGGACCCTTGAGAGCTGGGTGAGCACCGATTTCAATCAAGACGTCGACGTTTTGCTCCTCGTTCTCGTCAATGAGAATACCGGTCAAGGCATCAGAAAATCTAACTTGGTTGACCAAGTTAAGGGCGTAGTAAGCGCCGGTCATCTTCTGCCATTCAGCGATACGAGCAGTGACACTTGAGAACATACGGCAGGTAGCAGGACGTGGTCGAACGTTGCGGGAGAGGCGAGTGAGCTCTGGTGCGTAAGGAGCGATGTGGTGGGAGTGGTAGGCTCGCTCGACTGCAAGACGACGTGCAAAGACCTTTCGGTCCTCCAAAGACTTCTGGAGCTCGACAACTTGTGGCTCGTCCCCGGAAAGAGTCAAACTGGTAGGACTGTTGACGGCAGCGATCTTGACAGCTCCACCATATTTCTCGAGCTCAACAATAGCCTCAGATTCAGTCATGCCAACAGCAACCATGGCTCCTGGAATCTGAACCTTGTCCTCTGGCTCACCAGACAAGGCACAACCACGGTAGTAAGCGCAGGCGAGAGCATCCTTGAAAGAGAGGATACCAGCAGCATAAGAAGCTGGGATTTCACCGGCGGAGTGACCGCAGACAGCAGCAGGCTCGACACCCCATGCGCGGAGGAGATCGATAGTAGACAACTGAATGGCAGTGGCGAGCGAAGAAGAGAACTCGATACCGTTAACCAAAGAATCTTCCTTGCTCTTCATCAACTCAGTGAGAACGCTCCAGGATGGTGGTGCCTCGAGACTTTGGAGGATCTCGTCACACTTCTGGATCGACTGCTTGAACATTGGGCACTTTTCAAGGAGTTCTCTACCCATGTGGTAATGTTGAGCACCTTGACCAGTGAAAACGTAACCAATTCTTGGCTTGGTCTTGGTGGCACGAGTCCAAGGAGTTCCTCCAGTGGTGGTGCTAAGTTTCTCGATCATCTCGTCAGAATCCTGACCAATAACATAGGATCTGTATTGGTGGTTTGAACGTCCAGGGTTGCTGAGACTGAGGGCAGCATCAGGGGCGGAAACATTCTCGCCAGCAATGAATGTTGACAAGTTGTTTTTGAGAAGGTTACCGGCTTTCTCAGTGTGAGAAGTAAGAGGAAGCAAGAATGGTCGTTCGGAGACCATCTCCTCGTACTCAGGAATGAGTTTGACGACCTCCTCAACAACGGCTGGCTTGTTGTAACCTTCAAGAATGATGTGGGCGTTGGTTCCACCATATCCGAAAGAGTTAACGGAGGCACGGCGGACACCGTTGGTTGGTTCCCAGTCGATGATCTTCGTTGGGACAGTGATTTTCCATTGCTCGAAGTCGATCTTTGGATTGGGGTTGTTGAAAAGCATGTTAGGGAGAATCTTGCCAGCCTCAAGAGACATGGTAGTTTTGATAACACCTGCAAGACCAGATGCACCCTCCAAATGACCAATGTTGGTCTTGACTGAACCGACGTAGAGAGGACGATCGCGGTTAGGAGCGAAGACAGCACCAATGGCGCGGGTCTCACGAGGATCACCAGCTTGGGTTCCGGTCTAATTCTGAGTTAGCACATAGTATCGTTAAACTCGGGAAACTGCACTTACACCGTGGGCTTCAAAGTATTGGGTCTCGTTGGTGTTGAGACCGGTGTTCTTGTAAACTCTTCGGATCAAAGCCTCCTGGGCGACAGAATTGGGCATAGTAATACCCTCCTTGATACCATCGTGGTTGCAACCTGTGCCTCGGATGATGGCTCTGATATTGTTTCCGTCCATCTGAGCTTGCGACTTGCGCTTCAAGATGACAGCACAGATACCCTCACCACGGACGTATCCAGATCCACCGGCATCAAAAGCTCTGCAACGACCGTCGACAGAGAGGAAACCGAGATCAGTCATGGTAGTGTAGATAGTAGGATCGAAGTGAAGGGCGGAACCAACAACGATAGAGATATCTGCCTCACCATCTCTAATGCTCTGGTTTCCCATGTGAAGACCCACAAGCGAGGAAGAACAAGCAGTGTCGAGAGTGACACTGGGACCGTGAAGGTTGTAGAAGTAGGAAATTCTGTTTGCCAGAATTGCGGCACCAGTACCAGTGACGCTGTACTTGGGGTAATGTTCTAAATCCTTGTGGATCATCTCACGGTAATCGTTGGTGAAGGAACCGCAGAAAACAGAGGTCTCGGTGCCACTGATTTCATCAAGAGTAATACCAGCTAAATCGAATAAGCTGAATTCATGACCAGAATGCAAAATACTAACCATTCTCTAATGCCTCATATACAACCTCTAGAAGAAGTCTTTGCTGGGGATCCATAGCCTCAGCCTCCTTACCAGAGATCTGGAAAAATTCAGGGTCGAATTCGCTAACATCATCGTCGAGGAAGTAACCATATCGGGCATTGGTCTGATCGAAATTAGCAAATAAAATACGCAAAACCAGCATTCAACTCACAGTGCCCTTGTTGGTACCCTCTGGGTGGTAGAAAGCGTCGACGTTGAATCTTTCCTTTGGAATTTTGCGTTGGACATCACGTTGATCAACAATGTTCTTCCAAAGCTGCTGTGGGCTCTTCGCTCCCGGGAGACGGCATGCCATACCAACAATCGCGGTGTTTTCCGGCACATGGGCAACCTCTTCTTGGGAAGAGACCGAGGTTGCGTCAGTGGAGGTGTTACCAGATTGGAGGTTGGCATCAGAGAGTCCATCGATGGAAACTCGAGAATCGTAGGATTGCATCCTGGAAACCAATTGGGGGGCGAGGGCCGACATGTTGATTGATTTTGGGAAGATTAAGGATGAATCCGAAAAGTCGATGGCAAAGAATGACAGAAGAATGAGTCTTGGAAGGCTGGAAGATAGCTGGATCACTTAAGAACAGTTATGTATATCTAGCACAGGACTCTTGATTGTCGGCTTTGCTGAAGAGTGAAGGAAGAGGTAGGTACTCATGGTATATGTATGAGTACTGCTGAGAAAGATTCGCATGACGAGGCTGGTGTATCGGTAAACGTCCATATGCTCCGGAATTCAACGCAGTCACGGTATGAAGCTGAGGCTCAGAACTCGATAATCTGGATAAGTCAGCTATGTCGAAACCCGAATAGTCAGATCGGCTAGCGAGGGGGTTACATTGCCCCCTTGCTGCGTCTTCCCGGCGCTAGAAATACCCAGTACTTAGAACAAAATATCCGTATATCAACGTCTCCTTCTGTAAGCTTTTCAAAAAAAAACGTGGGAAATAGTGGGGTAGACAGTGCATTCTTGGAACAACTGTAGATTGGGTTTCGACTCTCATTGGCCACTTCGTCCGCAAAGCCAGCACTAGCTAACTCCAATTCGTTGGGACATTGACGATCAATATGAGAGTTCACGATAGCTGCTAAACCTTTCATGGCCCGTAGTGAAGGGATTGCGAGCCTGACTTCAATTCTTGATTCTTGACTTGCAACTTGCCTCGTTCCCACACACTGTGTAGCTTGTGTGGCATTCTTCAGCACTAGCTCGACAGTATTATGATCTACCCAAGTATGGCGAAAGATAGTCAAGATCAGCCTAAGCAATCACCGCCGAGCAACAAGTGATGCTTACCCTTCGCCTACTAATTTGATTGAGATGGACTTGCCAGGCAATCCCGGCATTTGGAATATTCGAAGTGGGTTGGGTTGAGGCACCTCGTAACATTCGGTCTCCGGACACATGGCAGGAGGAAGCTATCTTACTAGGGGCCTTCCAAAAGCCCCTCAGAAGTAATCCTGAAAAGGATACAACCAGATTACCTGGGATAAGCAGTGCAGTGGTGCGGCATGATCTGTTGTGAAGGGGCTGGAGCTACCGAGCCAGCGTACTCGTGAGAATTAAGCTTGTCGACGAGCCTCTAGGGTCTCGGAATAAAAGAGTTAAAAGGCTTGCGTATATGTCCAGGGGGGCTAGAAACAATCTTAACCAAGACTAATCCATGAAAGATTGTACCTTATGCCATGTGCTTCAGGGTGGGAGTGCTGCTCTAGCTCGACTCGACGCCATGTGGACGGCTCCCACGGAACAAGGTGGCCACGCTCTGACAGTTGCATACTGCCTACAGAAATTACTGCAAGATAGCTGCAAGTGTGGCTCCAGCAATACCGTACAGATATTGCTGTAAAGGTGTTGTCCATGTAAAATGGGTGGATGTTGCGTGATGACACGCCACGTGTGGCTAAACTCCGTTCTCAGACGGAGCATATCAACACTGAGTTCCCCACATCAACCTCGCCCTCTGTCCTTTTAGCTGTGACCTGTAAGAAGGCCGGCCTTGATAGTATCCAGTTTGAGTATTTTACGTGTATTATGATACTAACGTATCCATTTGGATGTTTACTTCCAGGCGTTTATGCAAACTACTGTAGTACAGTACTATGAGCGACTCGTACCGCGAGCGCCTGTCACTAGGGACTGCTATCGAAGTCTCAAAGGCGGAATTAATCACGTCCTCTATCACCTGCCTAATTCAACTTGTCGTAATCGAGTAGGGCTGAGTGTACCTTCCATTAGCCTGTAGGGCAAAATAGATACGGAGGTAGTGGAGCAGAATGGATTGCTGTCGAAAATAATGAATCCATGTGGTAGCAAACTTGCATTTAGCAACAGGAACAGGAACAATTCGGATCGAATATATTGGGAGTTGGAGATAGAACAAAGGCGCGTATCGAAGATACCCTCGAGGACGTGACTTATGAGGTCAAGAGATAGAGAAGAATACGCGACGTGATATCGCGGTAAAAGTGGAAGTCTCACGTGATTATAAAGTTATCAACTTTAATGAGCGAGGGCGAATTCAAAGAGTGCTCAAAAAAGACAGTAAGGTCGAACTATTAAACATTCCACCAGATCCTTTTCAACGCTGCATCAATATCACTAGAATTCTTCGAATTTCGCTGTGAATAAAAGTTTGATAAATTGAACGTCATGTGATTATTGTCCCTGACGAACCTCGGCTTCCAGGTCGTAAATTGAGGACTTATGGAGTAAGGAACGAACATGCACACCTCATGACATTCTTCAAACGATCACCATTATGTGTTTTACAACCTTTTATATTTTCTTCCGAAACTCCAGGTAAAACCAGTCAACGAAGCTATCTATGTCCAATTGTAAGGACTCCAACGCCTTCAATTAAAAGCTCCCACATCCTACCTACCTTGTCCAATTTCAATATTCCTTCATCAACCCATCAGCATCCCGCATCACACCTATGTTATCGCAGGACGAAGAACTACAAGGTGAAGCCGAAATATCCTAGAACCTTGAGATCAACATCCCAGAGACCAGCCTTTCGGAGCTCCTCAAGATACCAAAGACACGAATATCCCAACCAAGATGCCCACCACAAATACCCGAAATATTTCCAGCCAGTCTTGTTACCACCATGACCAGACCAGAGCACGAAATCGATCGCCCAACCCTCCATAAACATACCTACAGCTTGGAGGACAAAGAATTGCAAGTCACCACATGGGTTGAGACCAGCTCGGAAGGCAGTCGCATAGACAGTTACGATGGTGTGGTAGAAACCGGTGGAGGCGAAAGCTCCCACGAGATACACGAGGCGTGAGATGGAAGATCCCTTTGGAAGCTTGAACATATCCCTGGAAAGGAGGAGGCCACCGGAGTGTGCTACTTGACGCATGAATTGATGCCAGACCATACTAGAACTGGATGTTAGGAGGCTTTACACAAATTCAAGGAGACGATACGTACCCCCAAAATCGTCTAATGCTGTATGCATTTTGTAGACGTCCAACAATTGGTGGCCAGTCACTTGGCTTGTAGATGCCCACAGCGGTAGTCAAAGCAGCGCAGAGAGAGTGCATAGATGCCATCTCGCAGAAGATTCGGAACTGGTTGCTCAATCCTATCAAGATGCGAATTGGAATTGGCTCTGAAAACACCGTCCAGTTTGGGTTACCGCTGCTGGCTTCCAAATGCTTATACCAGAGGTGGAGGACATCTAGAGTGACGAAAAATCCAAGCGCATATGCCAGCTTGCGAACTACGAAGCTTCTACTCGAAATTAGCATACCCCTTTATAGCTTTTTTGGCACATACTTGACAGTCGTCCCCTCAGGAGCAGCAGGTCTCAACCCCCCAACCTGATGACTCCACCCAATGCCCCTAGGATTAGTCCACACATTAAAACTCCACGCCAACTTCTTCAGATACCCGGCCCCCTCCAACTCCCTCATCCTCTCCTCAGGCGACAACTTCCGCCCATCCTGCTTCCAAAACTGCGTCTCAGGACTCGTAAGCACCAAGCTGATGTACACCAAAAACCAGCCGAGCACCAGGTTTCCCAGATCGAAGTCTTTCTTGAAGGAGCCTTCGGTATGGTACGGTAGCATCGCACACAAGCCGAGGACGATGGGGAGCGTGGAGTAGATGCGCGCTTTGCCAGCTGGGAGCGCAAGCGAGGCGACGAGCACGACGAAGAAGGCCGGCACGTACCATTTTGGGAGGTGGGCGCGCGTGTCGTTGAGGGACCAGGCGGGGGCGGAGTGGAAGGAGGGCGCGGTTTGAGCGGTGGAGGTGTTGGTGAGGGGGGAGGCGACGAGAGACATGGTTGTTTGGAACTCTGTGATCTGTGGAATTTGGGGAGGGTGGCAGGTAGGTCCTGATGATGTGTATCAGGTAAGTCCTGACGATTCTGGAAATACAATCCAACACAGATGCCAGACCATACAACGAGCTGGGGAATCACGCCACTGATAACTCAATCCTCGCCCCGAAATTCTCACTGACTGCTGTCCCGGCATACAAACCCTCCCCCAAAACTCCGCGCACTCACGGAAAACAGGCGTGAGCACTAACAACCCGTACACAAACTCCCTAGCCTAACCCTATAAGCGACTCTTAACCAGCACGTATACCGATACCCGAAAGCATGCAGCTCACTCTGATACGATACTCACAAGCCAGTGAGCATTGAGTGATTTTCTTTGCGGCCCCTGTTTGGGGTTTCCGTATATGGCATTACTTCGTGAGGTGTGCTTCGGAAACCGAGTTACTAAGATATACCACTAGCGCTTCCTAAATGCATTGTGTGGCTACCCTGTAAAGCTTGTTGCCATGTTGCGTTTGGGAGGCAGGGTTTGGTTGGTGGGCGGCAGGTGGCTTTTTTCTCATATCCTTTTGTTTGTAGGTGTTGATTGAGGTTTTATTTCATGTTTTCGAGGCTTGGAGGTACGGTGTGAGCTTACATGATCGTTTTGGGTCGGATCCCGTGGTTTGAAGGTACGGTACAAATCTACATGATCTGTTTTGAATCTGTAGATTTTGTATCGTCTCTACCAAGTTATGAAAATAATTGTGATGTTTCCAATTTTCACAGCCATCAGAACTCCTAAAACCACTCACATATCACATCCCCAACAAACTCCATGTCATCTTGAAACGACTTGTAATTTTTCTAAATAGATATCTAGCCTCTATACTATTATCGCTAGACAAACCTAGTCTTTTCCGTTTCTCATTCTCATCCCCTGTTCCTCCATCCCCACAAAAACGCTTCCTATGCTACAATACTTGTTTGATTGTAACTCTCTTCATCAAGTTTGTCTGTTCACTCTATCGAGCCTGAATTTCCAAGTTTCGAATCTGCAAATTCCGATTCTCATCATGCATATCCCGTTAACGCCGTGAAATATGAACAAGAAAAGTTACTCTTCGTCAGCGCTGTCTATCCTCTTCTCAAAACTGTGTCGAACGTCTGTAACAGGACGTTTATATCGCAACCGTCTCCGCCTTCTTCTCCACAACAGCAACAGGCACCTCCTCATCCCCAACCTTATCCTTCTCACCCTCCACAGCCTGAACAGCAGGAACGAACCGATCAAGCGGGTAATCCTTGATCAGCAAACTGATGATGAATCCGAGACCAGCGAGACCGCACATGACGATCCAGACAACTTTCAGGGAGTCAGCATATGCCTGGACCAAATCTCTGCGATCCTGCGAATCGGCCATATCCCTGAGGAGATGAGCGAGCGCGGTTGCGTCTTGGGAGTAGCGTTTTGCCATTGGGGCGAGCGCTGGGTACGCGCTGATCTTGACGGCGAGTTGGTTCTGGAGAATGACGCCTCCAACCGCAACACCCAGGGTTTGACCGACAGCGCGGAAGAACGAGTACATGGACACCGCGGAGGCGAGATCCTCGTCTTTGCACGCGGACTGGATGGAGAATTGGAGGGCGGGGTAGAGGAAGCCGGTGCCGATTCCGGCGACGAGGTTGAGGAAGACCCATTGCACGGTTGTGGTGTGGACGTCCATGAGATATAAGATGCCGAGTCCCAGGATGGAGATTAACCAGCCGCTCCAGACGGCCCAGCGGAAGGAACCGACTTTGCCGATGACGATGCCGATTACGACGGCTGCTGGGGCGACGGTGAAGGTCTCGGGGAAGACGGCCACGCCGGTGATGGTTGTGTTGAAGCCTTTGACGCCTTCGTAGTAGAGGGGGAGGTAGTAGACGAGGGAGAGGACGATGAGGGAGTGGATGACGGTCTGGATGTATGCGGCTGTGATGTTGCGGTTTTTGAAGATGGAGGTTGGGACGACCGGGTCGGCGGCGATTTTGTCCTCGTAGAAGTAGAAGGCTACGAAGCCGGCGACGCCGACGATGATGGGGACGATGGTGTGCCAGGATGACCAGGCGTATTGTACTCCACCCCAGGAAATGCCCATCATGAAGCCGGTGGCCGAGCCGATGAAGATGGTTGCGCCGATGTAGTCGATCTTTTTGATTTTGGCGAGGAAGGAGGTTGAGGCTACTTTGAGGTTGATGCAGATTGGGACCATGACGATTGCGACACCGATGAAGGGGACTGGGTTTTGTTAGATTTAGAATGGGTAGCGGGTTGGATAGGCTTACGATTGATCCAGAAAATCCATCTCCATGTAACGTGTTGGGCGAAAGCACCTCCAATGATCGGACCCAATACGGTACCAACCGCGTACATGCCACTGAGCAGACCAAACCACTCTCCTCGGAGTCTGAGTGGAATCATGTCGCAAACGACGATTTCAGTCATCACGACGATACCACCACCGCCTGCACCTTGGATGGCACGGCAAATGAGAATGGTGTTGAAGTTCTTCGCCAGAGCACATCCAATGCATCCAGCGAGGAAGAAGAGAACGGCACCAGTTAGGAGATACTTGCGTCCGAAGATGGTGGAGAAAGAACCGATTACAGGCTGGAAGACGGCGCAACATAACATGAATGCTGTACCGGCCCAAAAGGCTTCAAGACCTGTTCCGTGAATTTCTTCGGAGATGTTCTGGGGTTGTTAGTTCAGTTTTGGAATAGACGAGGTTAAACACTTACGGGTAAAGCGACTGCGAGAGCTGTGGCGTCCAAGGCGACGATGAAGGTCAGAAGCGCGAGGGTAGTCATTGCAAGATAGAACGCGACGGTGGGCTTGAAGGCTCGCGCCGCTTCTTCTGGAGTTAACTCATTGGAAGCGGTTGTTGATAGTGGTGGCGAGAGCGACTCTGGTGTTTCTGCCATCATGTCTTTTTTGAGGGAGGCGTCCGAGGACATCTTGTGGTGGGTGAGTTGAGCGTGAGCTCGAGGATTGACTTTGTTGTTGTTGTATCTCTCGAATTTTCGTGTCGAAGATTTTATATATGGGGTGTTTTGACGCCTAGTGAATGAGGCAGTTTGCTAGACTTCTCGGATAGGCTCTTCCCGTGATGAGTCTATGAGCAGATTATATGAGACGATGTCTTTGAGCTGATGGTGAACACTATTGGGGTCGGAGTTGGACCATATATGAGTCTTCGTGATGTACAAAGTCGAAATACTCTCCGTCTCCAAGAAGTTGGGAGTGACGAAGCGAGCCAAGATCACCAGCACCCAAGAGGTTCAAGTAGCAAACTGTTGACTGAGCAAAGCTTGAGTTGACTGATTCCTCATCCTTTGGACGGTCGAAGCCCGACATATACATATCAAAATACAATTTTCCGTCTGTCTGCGGAGGGTTTGTTTGACCGGTGCAACATACTGTATTGCACCGACCCTGTGCCCATCATTTCATTTGTTTCGGCCGCATCGCTTAGCATTTGAATGAGTTGGAGGCCAATCAAAGTGGGTGGTGTAGTGAGACTTGTATACCTTCACGTATTCATGTTGGCGGCTGGTTTGGTGTCGCTTAGTGGGATGGGTCGATTATCGTCATCGGGTTTGCTTTTCTGGTGTATTCGCACAGCAGGTGATTGTATTACCTCCGTCTCTTCAGCTGGGACAAACACTTCAGACGGTCTTAATTTGTAAAAGTCTCAGTCAAAAAGGATCTGAAGGTATGGGCGATTCTCGCACCAAAGTCCACTCGTCCATTGTGGCTTCCGGCACTTACCAATCCGTTCGAACTTCCAAAGCTCTCACCGAATGAAAGAGCCCAAATTGACACATTCAAGTAGCCTCTTCCGCGGCAAGGCTGAATAGCGTCCGCGTAGATGTCCAGTGAAGGAGGTACGAAAGGTACAAAATTGCCAACGGCCGTAAGCTAAGCGAGACACACGGGCGAGTGTATCCCTCCGGTGTGCGAAGTCGAGTCTCGGGAACACTTGCAGGAAACGTGCTCGATAAGAGTGAGGTGAGATCTCCTTGCCCCAGATTTCGGCGTGATGCCCATGTTGAGACTGTATACCGGAGGATCTCTGTATGAACAGTATTGGGTTGTTGTGGATATCTTGGTTGGGTTTGCTTTTCGTCGCTGGTAACCTTGATGGGTAGTAGTAACCTTAGCTTGTGAGGTGAAATGTTGGAAAGAGTTGTCTTGGTGAATTCAGACACAGCTGAGAAGGAGATTAAAGGCAGACCTGGCGCCTACCACATGGTTGTGATGGTTGTACTCAAGCTTTATTGACTCGGCGAGAGTATTCTTCCTCAAGCCGCAGAATGTCATGCAGCTGGGAGATCTCAGGCGCACGGTCCAGACCGTGACGGTGTGGCTTCGACCCTACCTTACGGCCGAATTTATTTTGTTTAGAGCAACAACACCAATGTCATGAAATTCAATCCGTGTTGTTCAATCTGACCCTTCTTCCTTCTTCTTCGTCAACCAAACCATAATTTCTCTCTCTCGTTTGAGGCTTTTCCAAGCGATTCGACGTAATGCGACAATCGTTGTCGATAACGATCACCAATCGTGTCGGTTCGATGAAAGGATGTCAAATCGGCTCCCTCGTGCTTTGAGCTACCATCCATCAACCCCTCCAACATGTAACGGGATGAAGCCTGTTCAGAGTAAGAATGTGTGGTTTGCAAGATTAATGTCCCAAACGCTAAGAGGATGTTCTAGATTCTTGATTTTAGCTACGCGTCGCACATTGTCGATTCCGAATTCCACAAACGCGATTAAGAGTATAGCATATCTTTTGGGTCCCAATCATACGGCGATCAGCTCGAGGAGCCACTGGATGGCCGTTCATATCGCATACCGCATGCTCATCGTATAAATTATTATGAAGCTTCCACAAGTTCGAGATTCTCTGTTTTCCAAAATCGATTCCCAAGACGGCTTCACCCAGTATCGCGAGTGGAACAACAAAATTATGACAGCTGGAGCATGAGGCGAAATTTTCCATGAACTGCAACGCATATCATTGTGTTGATGCTTGTATATGCACATAAAGCGCCTGTTATACCGCAGACAATACTCGGACAAAATTGATCCAAACGTTGATACTCCGTTAAGACGAAGTGATTTATATAAGCAAGATCTTGGATGCGATGCTCGTCATCCTGGGCTATAGAGACAAATATACTTCCGCTAGGCCAAGTTTCAAGCCTCATCCAAAAATCCAAGTTGGAGTCTTGGAGATCAGGCCACGGGATCTGACCAGTTCAGTCATTCTGCGAAGTCTGTCAAGGTAGAAAACACTACCTTACTTTTACAAGTTACAAGCCACTCGAGTGCGAAACTCGTTTTGAGTAACGAACGGATTACGGATAGTCACAACTTACGCCACTGTTAGTCGGTCAAATCTCGAAGAGGGCAAGATATTCGCTATTCTCTCCTGACTCTGAGCACCAACAAGCGAGTTTCCTGGATCAAATATCACCCACTCGCAACATGATAAGGCTTTCTGTCGATAGGGACGCCAGTCTTAATTTGGAGCTTTAACGTTTTGTCACGCACTATTGAACGTTTTGCAGATTTCTCTACCGACTGACATGCAATTGCTCACTTAAATTTTCGACAAACGAGCATTCAAGTGAGCGGTAGAAACAATAATTAGATACAATCACCCCAGCGAACTAGCTGGTAATGCGATTTCTCGCGTCCGCTCGATGTCAGCCCCAGGTTATCAATATTCCGACCAGCTTCGAATGAGAAATAAGGGCATCGATGTGATATATGACCGCCTGCTTGAGTGAGGTACATGGCCTCATTCGCATTCCGCTCGTGTTTATTGGACGTTTGAGAAGGTGTATTTCTCGCAGAATTGGACTACAACTAATTGTGAATCGATTGTGCTGTTGCACAAGTTTGGACTACGGGACCAACTTCAGTTCAGCTTTTTCTTCTGAAGAGAATATTGCTGGTATTTTTGTCTAGTCCAGATTTATTGCACGCGAAGTCCTGGATCCTACGGGATTACAGCAGAATCCTGACTCAGACTTGATCAAAAAAGAACTATTTCAATCAGCAACCTCCATGCTGCCGAAGCCAGGGCAATTCTGCACAGTCAATCGAGGCGTCAAGTTGTTCTAGAAATTCCTCTCTGTTTTGCTGGTCAAGGTGTGATTGCTTTGGTTTGTAATGCAGAGGCTACTTATCTTATATGTTATAGACCGGGAAATATGAAGGAATGCGACCCATTTGAAAATCAGCAATTTCGGATCCATCCAACTCTTGCAAACTACAGACGATATCTTGACTGTCAGACATTAATGTATATGTCAATCGACGCAGCTGAACCGCTTTCTCGGGCACTTTATATCTACTTGGTGAGTGCTTCTTGCCGCAAAGCTCATTTATTATTTTCCCAATATTAAAGAGGGGCGTAAACTAATAATTCATTCAGTTCAAAAGATCTACGTTTACGGATTGCGAAGAAAGCAAACTTGACCCGCTTGAAAGCGGAGTCATTTGGCATCCGATAATATCCAATGCATCGGACGTTGCATTGCGTTCAGAGCATGAGGAAGAGAACCACAATATGAGATGGAGATCTGTATATGCTTTTGTCGAGACCGCCCTTCAGGTCAGCGATTTACGAGCCGTGTGATGTCTAACGCGGTCATTCCCGTCACTCTCTTATAATCCCATTCAGGAAGCTGCAAAACGGTTCATTTAATGGGGCAATACATTCGGCAAACCTACTTGAAGCAGTGTAACATTATTCATCAACATGCTTTCAACAATCTCAACTCTGGCCTGGCATCAAATCGATGATGACACATCACCTGGACTTCAAGGACATCGGTTGTGACCACGACTTATCACAAAGACGTTGCAAGTTTTCAGACAATGTTTCGTAGAGTCTACGCTGATCCGGTCAAAAATTTGTATGCATGTGTGGTGTATATTTGGCTTGAGATTTTCGCTGGTAACGGTGAGGCGAATTTGTCTTCGCTAGGAATACGAGAAGTAAAATCTAGGGACGGCAACATATCGGTCCTTTCGAAGGTCCTTCACTTGCGTCTCCCTTACCTCGCATCATTTGGTACACGAGATCCAATCGTTCAGTCATGTTCCCGACTTCATGAAGTCCGCCACGCTTGACTTTTGTATTCTTTCGATTGCTTATTGGCATGATGACAAAGGCCTCCAGAGCCATCAATCTCGGCATTGCCTCTTCAGGGATAATCACTACCAATTCTTGATATCTTGTTCGGCCCATCAAGGTACATTAGGTGAACGGCAAGTTTGTGATCCGCGCTTAGAACAGAATCACAATCAAGCTCTGATACTGAAGCTTGCAATTACGCTTAAGCAGAAGGTCACGCTTTGCAGCAGGGTATAGCCATCCGTCTTGGATACTTGTCACGGTACTCTCTTTAGTGGGGAAATTGAATGGAGATTGTGGACCTCTTCGTTGTAGCTGTCCAACTAAAATATTCGTCAAAACAAACAAGAATATTCGAGTGTTGACTTTGGCCTTGTCTCGCTTATTATCCTACCTTTCGGTTTACCATGATCGTCAAAACAGCTCCATGCTCTACTCATTAGCGCGGTTACTACGCGCTGCTGGTAACCAAAAGTGGTAATTCCATACGAACCAAGATGGAGCCAACAGATAACCAGATGTTTGCTGTCGCTGACGTTTGGTTATAAGCGAACCCGCCAACCACAGCCTCTCAAAGTCTTTGTTGTAGCATGGGGGTCGATTCTGGAGTCTGATTGAGCCCGGGAGGTTACGACTTCTTCACGGAAGCGTCGAAACGCACATCTGTGCTGCACTGCGTTGATCGAAATATAACGGGACATGGGAGTGAAGGTCTGATCTAGACTTCGCGGAAGTTGCTCGACGTTTCCTCTAATGGCTGATTGAGAACGAGACGTCCTTTCAATGTTCAGCGATTTCAGCCACCCTTGCGAGCTCTAGCGATCACGGCACAGAAGCTAGGTCTTCTCTGATCTAAGATCTGATCTTCGCACCGTCTTGCCGCTTGTTCTAAAAGGTCAATGAGCACCTTCCTCTCTGGAGCAAGAAGGCTTGCATCGAATCCAATGGCACATCGTTGTGCCGTTCCGCTGTCTGACTGTTGAGGGCTGAGGGTATTGCCGTCCAAAATACGGTAATTATTCGATCTGAGCCCTGCCGTTCTCAACTGCACATCATCCCAACCACCACATCCTTGTGGCTGCTGTCATCAAAGTTCCGAGTAAAAGCAGCGTAAGGCCCGCTCACGCTTGCATATGTGTTGAGGCGACCCCTGAACCATGTGGCCCTACTGCCAAGGTGATGGTGGGGTAGTCTGTGCCTTGAACGTGCTTTTGGGGCGGGGTGTGGGATGGCGGGTGTACGGATTCTAGAGTGCAGACAGACTTGTCAAGAGTGCACAGAATGTTAATAACACCTACGTCGTGCAGAGTACGATTTGCACCGCCTCGTCCCATATTCAGCATATACATGAGGATTTCAAACACGGGGTAGAGCAGACATCCGACAAGGGAAACGTCAGTCGTTAAGCAGGTTGGGCAAAGGTTATTCGGATGGTTAGTGGAAGGATCCGGTGCGGTTCCCATTAGGCAGCGTTATACAGCACTTCGTACGGGAAGCAAAGCGAGCCAATCCTCAAAATCGGAAATCGGACCTCCGAGCACAACATTTATGTGTAACCCACAGAAATTCTTCATATATGCACCCGTCAGCAAGTAACAATAATCTGCCCGTTCACTTGCAACATATTCGCAGCCGCTTCATGTCCTCGCCGACCTCGAATACAGCTTCATAGCGTCTGAAGCCCGCGACCTCATCCAAACCATGGGAAAGCTTACGGCTCCCCTGGAACATGAAATGCCGCTTCCATTCTGGATGATATGTGCAGTCTGCAAGAACGCGTTGTTCTTGAATCCAAGTTCCGTACCGTCCCCACCGTGATTACACCCTGAGCACGATATCTGTCATGCATGCGGCGAGGGCATCCACTTTCACACTTCCCAAAGGAGTACTGAGTAACCAAATTATTATTTCTGGAGTTTGATCTGAATAATTTTAATGCTTCACGACATTAAATTCCCAATTGGGTTTGTCGTATATAGAACGTCGCGCTGCGGTCTCGGCAAGTTCCTTGAGTACAGATTAGCCTCATCTCGCGATATGTCTGCGGTTTCGGAAAGTTATGATAATTCAAGAACTTGATGCGTGTGCCCGTCACATCAAATAAACAGACGTTCCCTGGTCGGCTTCACCAAGGTAACCGCGGAGATGCATGTTCCTGGAACTCTCCATGGCGATTGAGAAGAGTGCATCCGACAGAGCAGAGCTCGATTTCTGCTTTTCAATTGTCGCCTTATTGGCCTGCTAACCTGTGAGTTACAATTAGATTCTGAAAGCTAACAGGGAAGTGTAATTTCTTACTCTAAGTACTTGGGTCAGGCTGAACTCTCACTTACCACACGATCTCATTGATATCTGAACCTTCCGACTGACACCTCCGTCGTGACCAAGATATTTTGAATCATCTCAATGCTCATTTCTCTCAGTAAAACAGAAATCTGCAGGTGGTGACTCGATGCAAGAGTGTGCTGATTTCGAGATGCTTAAGACAATGTCTGGTTCCTCTCCATCACAAATAATCGTCTCTCCAGACAGCCAAGGCTGAAAGACCTGGCTGGTGAGTTCTAATTGTCGAACAACATCCCCTGATGAGTATCTATGTCTCGGAAGAAAGGAACGAAGAGAAGCTGAACTCGCGGTGAGGTTGGCATTCAAGTAGGTTGCATTTGTTCTATTTCATGAATGTCTTACGCACGTACCGATCATCGTGACAGATCAGTCTGAATCACTCACCGAACACGAGTATTTCTGATACCTGTGTAACATGTGAGTCCATTGGAAAAGCTGACTAAATTGTGAGTGTTCGAAGTCCCGTCGTTGAGAGAGAAAGATCGGCATGTTCCGAATGTTCGGGACACATGGCATCTCGGGAGAACTTCATTGGAATCATCAAGGTTCCGGCAGCGGAAAGCTTGAGTTTCGTCAGCGAATTACGTATAGCCATGATGACCGCCAATTGAGTAGTGGTAGTACGAAAAGAAAATACGGACGTAACGAGTGAGACATTCTGTCGGGAATCATGTGAGTTGCTCACCAAGTGAGTCGCTTTTGGGGTATTGGGGAGACCATTTCACTCGACTGCTTTTTTTTCTTTCTCTTTTTGACTTGGTGTTTGAAGGAAAACAAGCATCTTTCAAGTTATCATCACAGCAATATATCATTTTCTTTACTCTATTTATTTGTTGAATTTTCTGTTGTCGTCCAACTCTAGAGCCAATTTCTAGCGAGTATCTAGTGGTCTTCGGGGAATAACAGCCCCCACTTGAGATATGTCTCCCTCCAAAACGGAGCTTTCGTCAACACCAGCACGACAACAGCCTCCCAACCTCACAACTACTCGGCTCGTACTTGGCTAGCACTTGGCCCGATGAAATACAATGGCCGAAATCAACAAAGTAGTGATCTTACCTAAGAATTTGGTGCGAGGTAGACCGATTTAAGGTCTAAAGTCCATAGGAAGGATGTATACGTCAATGTAAAGCTCCGTGCCGAGGACTACACTCGCAAGTTGATTATCTTGGTGCGTTACTAAGATGGTTTAACATAAGGTATCATTGATATATAACCTCGAGATGATTCCGGTATGAGGAATGACATCGGCAAACCAAAGGCACAGTCAATTTGGGATTTATTCAACTTCGTCTTCTCAAAAGGTCAAGACGAGCACTGAAATAACATAACGCCCAACAATACGCCAAAGATGCGCCCTTCGTCTGTAATTGCCGCTCTGGCTTTCGCCAGTGGTGCTGTCGCGGAGCTGTACAATCTTACGATTACTGCAGCACATCCCACAAAGGTATGATAACTCGTGACATTTACTCATTGGTCGATAACTGACACTTCTGAGTAGGTCATTGCAATTGAATCATACTTCTCAGACTATGATCACCACACCCTCGGTGTCAATGCCACTGTCGGAGCTATCATCGGTGCGGTATTCGCCTCAGCCGCAGCATATCCAACCCCCGCCGGCGCCTTGATTGATTTCAGAAACAGAATCAACTACATTGCCGTTCGTCTCCCCCCATCATCCCTCAAAAAGCAAATTTAACTCTAAACAGGGCCCAACCCCCTTCCTAGTCGACTTCGAAAACCCAGCCGCAGTCATCTCCTCCATCTCCGCCATCATGCCCACCATCACCCCCTTCCCCCAAGCCCTCGAGATCATCTCCTCCGTCTACGACTATCTCGGCTCCGTCGCCTACTCTGAGCTCAACAATTTGACGTCGCTCCCCTACAACATCTCGCATTCTCTCGGCACGTTCGTGCCGCCTGAGGAAACGCCTGCGCCTACCACCGGACCAACCAGTCTGCCTGTGACCACGACGAAGCCGCCGGTTGATACGACGGCTGGTCCGGTGTGCGTGCCGTACACGACGACGAAGAAACCGGGGAAGTGGTGTAGGTGGAGTGAGAAGAAGAGTGGGAAGTATGAGTGTTGGAATTTTTAGATGGGGGTGCGACGGGAATGAGCTGTGGAGGTGAAGATTGAAGGATGGAGGAGGAAGTGGAACTTTTGTATATAGAGCGAGATGGTTCGAGTGCGGGTTGTGGGAGTTATTTAGACTTTGGAATTAGTTAAAATAGGGGAATGCATGTTTTGTAGAGACAAGAATATGGTAATATGTGAAATCAACTCAAAAGTGTGAGATTGAAATCGCAATTGCAGTGATACGCAACTAAAAACCCAGAAATTTTGAATAAATCTACTGAAAGAACAATACTAGTGATGGACATGGAATTCTACACCTCCCTTCTTTAGAAACAAGCCATCCCATCTTTAGAAATAGAAGCTGCCTTTTAACAATTCATCGAGGTTTTTTTATACCACCTCTGATAATAGAAAACCCCATGTTTCGGTCTGAGAAGCGCTCATAGATTCTAGGTCCGAGAAAACTAGACCTTGGTTTTGTGACTTTAAAATTTAAGGCGGTTGGAGGTTATTCGTGAAGAAACAGAGATTTGTCATCTCTGTTTAGTGAAGAGATGTAATGTTGTGTGTTTGATTGAATGGTGTTATGGGTGCTGGATGTTGAGTTTGAGGGTTGTGGTTTAGATGGTTGTATATTTTATGTTGCTTATGTTCTTTTTATGAGGGAAATGTTTTGATTGGAAATTGGTTCGAGATATGATGGTCTGGGTATTGTGGATAGATTTCTTGTTAGTAAGTCTAAGTTGTGCTGGGATGAGTTTGTGGTTTTGAGGGATAAAGTATTGAAGGCTGTTTGGATTATTGTTTTGGGATGAAAATTACTGAGAGAATAGTCAAAAAAAAGGGTTAATTAAAAGCAGTCCCTTTTTCCGAATTTTCCTTGCAAAGTCTGGGTTTTGGCTTGGGAACTTCGTATGCTGTTTCGAATTATTTCATCCAGTCAGAAATTATCTACTATATGAATCTAAGGACCGTAACTTCTGGTATCGATTCCGTATTCCAGAATAAGAACTCTATATTCTCCATCCCTGTGAAATTTCCAAGATCCTCACTCAAGTATCTGAATCCGAACTATTCAATCGATAATCTGAGAACTAACCCCGTATCCCGATCAATAAACACCACCTTCCTAAATTCTCACATTCCATCACTATCTTCAAATTCAAGAATCATACCCTTGTACCATGCTCTTACAACCACCTTCCCCAAATTTCAAGGTTAATTCAATCGCATCCCCAACACCCGTCAGTGGGTTCCACGGGAAGTCCCACCCAACACCCAAGGAACCTTCCTCTTCATCGGGGACCGACCAAACACTACCCCATCCCCCACCCCGTTGGTCAAAAAATACGAACATCGGTCCGGCATACCCATTCCAGCACCCTCCGAAACCGCATCTGACGTGTGCAGCCAGAATTAAACTTTTAACTTTCGCACCAAACTTACAATTTTTGGTACTCTATGCAAGTGAGAGAAAAGCCTCTGTAAGCGGTGATACCCGGGCGTTCGTAAATAGACATATCATTTTTCGATGTGTTGCGGGTACGTATTCGTAAAGGCTCACCGGGTGATTGCACAGGTGAGGGGATCGTTACAAGCGCGTTGTGTTGGGCAAGAGACGGGGACGGGGACGGGGACGGTCAGCCCTATGTCCACGGTCTCGGGAATGCGTGCTATTCGGTGGTATTCGAGGGGGTGTATCCATGTACCTAGGTATTGTCTGAGTTCGGAGCTGAGCTCCGTATTACATGTGCGTAGTTATCTAATCCTGATAGGTTTTTATTTTAGGCCTCCTATTTGAAAGGGATGGTTTGTGACTGCCGAGGGATAGTTGGGTTTGAGTGTGACTTGCTAAATCTCGTACTTGAAGTGAGCACTAGAAAATAGAGCGTTGACCGAGGATGGCCTGCTGATTTGAGTGGAGTTTACGAGTACTTTCTGTGATCAACAAACAGGAAAGCATTAAATGTCTGAGAGCTACCGAGAATTTGAGTTAGACGCTTGAAGCGTTGCCGATGTACATGGGGCTGGTATTTCACTGCCATCGAGCGAGTGGGAGATTTTATGTCAGAGATTGGCGATTTTAACGGTTAGATGATGGCGTCGCTTAGATATGGGTTGGGAATATAGAGTGAACGAAGTCGTGATTGAGATACGTTTGCTATGTACTGGTATTTTAGGTCAAGTCGAAAGGTTGGTAACGAGCTTTCCGAGTGTGATGTTAAAAAACATAATTACGTATACCTAAATGATAACTCTACTTGGTTATTTGTTAATAATTGATTCAAAGTGTTGTCTTTGATCTCCCTCATTTAATAAGGTATCCGATTACACTCACATAATACAGCGCGGCAAATCTCCAAATTCGTCTCCCAAGCCCTCCACAATTCCGCCCCTCGCCATTTCCAGCACCGAGCTAACCAGCCTTAGAATCACGATGTAACGCAGACTAGACTCGGTAGACAAAGCAGTCGTCTATCACAGAAGGATTCCAGAAGCTTTGGACGCTCGCACGCACAGTGGTAGCAGCTCAACCGCACAGTCATAATTGGCGAGATGATATATTCAGCGGGCTGAAGATACGGTGTGAGATTTGGGGTGTGAGTGAGAGTGACGCAAAACAACACCGTTTCACAACTCACGGCCGGGGTCCTGGTCAACGGTCTGCGGGAACCAGCACACAGGGTCGCATTGGCTATTGGGGGTGGACGACTAAAGTGGGCAGACGGACTCGAGGGGGGTGGGCATGCGCGGCAAGGATTGTTTGGTGGAATTCGTGAGCGGCGGGTGCCCTTGCGGATTTACCTATTACACACCAATGGGATCAACCTTCGGTTTCCTCCCGTGGCTGACGAATGAGAACACCCATGACTTGCAGCAGGTATGGGCGCAGACGTTAATTGTGCAATCAATTGTCCGACTGAGACACGCAAGCCGTAATCGAGCGAGCCTGGCAATAGTTGTGGAATTATCGTTGCGGGAATTTGAGACTCGAGGGAGAGTGTTGAGTGACTTGCATGTACCTTTGTACCAAAGGGCAAACGGTTCGGTGCTACTTGGGGAAGGCTCGTCGGATAGCTACATTGTGTTAAAGCGGGTAACTTATCATGCAAATTTGTTGACTAAACATAAATTATGTCACTCAAAATGAAAAGAGAGAATAGACGATGGAAAGTGTGGGAATCGTGGAAACTCCTTTAGGTTCGGGAATCTTTGTGTCTCCCACAAAATACTTGACAACAAAAGCGCGACCCGAATGCGTACAAGACGAAGCCATCTTGATCTGAAGAGGTATTCCGACGACCAATCCCGACGCCATACATAACTTTCCTTTGATAGATTGAGATCTTACGAGATCTTTTATGCAAGCACGGGAAGCTTAAAGTGGTGAGATGGCTGGATTTGGGAAGGATTCTGTTGCGTTGGGTCATGGCTTAGTGTATTGTATCCTTGTGGACCGTTACGATGCCATGATGCTGACCAAAGATATTACGTTAAAGAGCGGATTTCAATTGGAAAGGGGCGGAATGTGTAGCCGTGGATCTATGTTGTTGGAAAGAAAATAAAATGTAAACGAGTTGTGATACAGACAGGCAAGTGGGAACGATTCAGATGGAGATTTGAGAAGTATTTTGATTAGCTGTTTTTAAACTATCTTGCGTGTTTACATTATCCTATAGTAATGTCCAAGTCCTGTCCAAGTTCCCGTACCAATGGTATGTACAAGATGCACAAAATTCCGCCAACGCCTGGTTGCCAGAGCGTGTCCCAATTGGAGATTCGCCTCCCCGTTCTAGAATACAAAAATGAAATCGTAAAAGTCTATAGTTTGGTAGGCCGTAAGCTGAAAATGCTTGAGAAATGCAAATGCAAAAGTGTTGCGAAACGCCATAAGATTAACTCCATTTTTTTGGATTCCTTGCGCCCATAAAGAGTTCATCAGTCCATCAACGTATCGGTACGATAATTAATATTGCCAGAGTCAGGCATTAGTTGCGTGCTGAAATTCATCCCGTCTGCATGGGCATCAAGATAGTATCCCAGTCCACCGTCAGCACTATAAGCTTCATCGGTCAAGACTGGAAGTCCATAACCATAGAATCCACCTCCCATGCCTGCGGGAGATGCATTACTTAGATGGTCAAGGCCGAAAAAGTCTCCATCAAAGCCAGCGGTGATGGCGGAATCGGGTATGCCAATTGACCCGCAAGACGATGACGGCCCGGTGGAGCTATAGGAAGAAGATATCGGCATATCCAGCTGTAAGCTCGTAAACTGAGCCATTGCATTTTTGAGCTGCTTTTTAACCAGCTTCAGACGGCTTGTGCTGACCAGGTTCAAGTCCTTGCTGAAGGCGTGCAGCTCGGTAGCGAGACGAGCAAGTTCTACCGTACGGTCACGTACAGCTTTTCGCTCGATGTCGGTACCTGTCTGACCGAGCAGGTAGATTGAGTTCATACCCCGTCCACAGGCATCCAAAGCGAGAGCAAAGATGTCGTAAATGCTGGATGGTCGTTGTGACATGACAATTCTGTCTGACCTGCTATCGGAGGTGGAGTTTTCCAATACGGAGAACACTTTCAATAAAGAAGTGGCTGAGTGACAGAAGTCGACGATCAGCTGATCAATCCCACCAGCTGCGAATACTCGACTCATGCTGCCAGCATATGAATTTCCGTTCGACGATGGAGAGGGCACCAAGAAGTGGATGATCATCGTATGTGACGCTGACAATGCTAGTGCCTGTGAGTGGCTATGTTGAACATGCGTTTCGACCAATTGAACCGAATCCAGGAGGACCCGTCTAACGCGTGTACAGAGCATTGATATATCTTGTGTCGGACTTGAAAGTCGGCGCAATTGATCCAACGTATGTGATTGCCAGCATGCTGAGCCCTGATCGTTTGAATTTTGTTGTGGGAGCGATCTCGGGTATAATGCGTAAATGTGGGAGGTTGTAGCTGCAACGTGACTAAGTAACCACAGCTCGCGAAACATCCGCTCCTGATTTTGCAGCGTCGAGAAGTTATACGACGTCCTGTCGAGTTTGAAGCTTGCCGACGCTGATTCATCAACTGGTGGGAAGGATGAAGGAGCACTAGAAGGTGGCATCTCGCACCCCGGGGAATCCATCTGCATCATTGCCCAAAGATTGACGGAAAATATCAGCCAATGTGCATTGCAAAGTGATTCCCTTTCAATCTCTCCAACGTCGATACCGTTGATAGTGTTCTGAAGAAGGACCGGTGTCGGCAATGAGTGGATTGCATATCCCGCCCATACGAAGTAGCACATCGCTCTTCGGGCAGATCCGCTGCATAAAGACCGCCACCCGAGAAGGACGACAGCTTGAATGGTAGAGAGTTTGATGTTACACTGCGGTATCTCTTGTAACTTTGCAGCCGCCCACTTGAACAACTTCGTCCCCTTGATCCTGCTTTCTTCATTGTCCTGAGCATATTGAACATCGGCGAGGATGGCTGCGAGCAGTATCTCGTCGTGTGTGTCGTGTCGAATATCTCGTAAGAGAAGTGTCTTCGGGAATATAAAGGATAAAGGATGTTGTGAAAACCATATCTCAAGCATTTGAATTGTCAGATGAGCGTTATATTCTTGCAGTGGGGTTGATGTTGGAAGAGACTGGCTAAATCCGTTGGGGCTATTTGAGCTTTCTGCACGAGGCGAATGGAATGAATCTACTCTGTCGAACATTGTTTCCACAGTATCAGCCTAAGAAATAATGATTAGCATGTTGTATCAGTGAGATAAATGGCACGCATCATCCGGCATCACAGCGTTAAGATTTATATGTAAGGTCTAGCCTTTGGCAAGACGATGGGTAGCACTAGGAAACTTACCATGAAGGATTTTTGGAAATACCGCGATCTACCGGCTTCAAGCTGGTGACAACCCAAATCAGAAAACCGCAAAGCCAACATCTCGATCAATTCTTGGGCAAGTATGAAGAAAAGGCCCTCATATGAAATTGGCTTCCCAACAGGTGTTGAATTGGAATTCTGTGGAGAACCCCCATACTTTGTTGACTTTACCCCTCGTGGTACTTGCTTTCCATATGCATCAACAACGATGTTTGAATGGTGCACAGTTCCTTCACTACGGTCACCCAATAAACGATTGAACATGGACTGAAGGTTATTGGCAACTGTCCGGTCAGATGTTTGGTGGCCGTCCGTGTTGTCGAAGTACGCCGAGTTCTTGGGTGGCGATCCCCCTCTCCATTGCGTTGATTCGATATTTGGCGTTAAAGTACTTGATTTTAGACCCGAAGTCTCCTCTGTTGCGGTACGTGATGGGCCTCGTGGACGTCCTTTTGGCCCGCCAACTCTATATGAACACTCTATGTTACGTTCTCGACACGCACTGCAAATGCTTTGACCTGAACACCGGATTTTCCTCGACCGACAGAAATGACAGCTTTTCCGTAACGCAGGGCCAGGTTTGCTCTTGCTGACGTCGCCGGAACCTTGCAGTCCGGGTACAGACATATCGGAAAGTGACATATTGTGCTCTGAGGAGGAAATCAACAAACGGCCGTCTTATTGACTTCTTGGAGGCGAGCGAGATATGTAGGAGAGAGGAAACAGAGGTTGGCAACTTTAAAGGGAGAAGATCAACCCGTGTTTATAGGACTCACCTGGTCAGCTTCGACGAGCAGGGGACTTGTCAAGCATATCAGACATGGCGTTGATCGCGGCGCTGGCGTGCTGGTTGGTACAACGAGAACGGCCTTCGCCATAGACCAGCTAGCTGCACATTATTCTGCAACATCAACCACCAGCGGGGACTTCGACCACGCTTTTCGACCATACCGCACTCTCGATAACCTTAACCGACTGTACCCCAAATGAATCCCTGATTGGAGACAAAGCGACTAGGCTGCTGTAGGCAGTGTCCACTGTGTATGGAAGCACGGTAGTGGGGATAGGATTCGGGCTTTACTATGTTCGGCTGTGCCACATGCAATACAATCTAAGTTGCACACAGGGTCCATACCATTCTTTGTGGTGAATTATCCCGGCCGCTCGAGTGCCACACTAGCTGTAGACTGGACTCGTGGAAGAAGGAAATTCGGGGAATGGAAACGTGGTAGTTCTAAAGTAGGCGTCTCGAGCCGCAAAGGAGCCCTACAAGCCCGGGAGTCCTAAAATCGTGACTCGCCAGGAAGCCACCATCCACAGTCCGTTGTGAGTTTTAAGGTAGTGACAACAGCGTAGACTAACGGGATACTCAATATGGGAGGTATATACGAAGAAGATCAAGTGAAGTCCACCGAGAAAAACAATGAACATCCACCTAACGCTAGTGAAGCACGCTAATCTTGTTGGGGTTATGACTTTCTCACCCACCACGTTTAGCGAGGTGTCCCCCAACCTAAATATAATTACGCAAGGGGGTAATAACACACCATATTATATTGTATCTTATGTCTGTGGGTGAGATCTTACGCTAGCAAGCTTGCCATGTGGAATTTAAACTGATGCGGGCGCAAGGCGGGATGTCGCGGAAAGAACGTGGCAAGCGTGGGTATGAGCTTTGGCTCTCGGTGGTTGATCAGGAATAGCAGGTGCTCCGTCAACCGGTAAGTCTTGAAACGGAAATTCTGGCGCTCTTTCTTGCTTGATTGTCATTCTGCGTATGTCATATGATCGTGAAGAGCTGCCAAAATGACAGAAGATGATGTAGTTGGGATGGTCCTTCCCAATGCCATCTGTCCCCGTAACCTTACAGAACATCGGTGGGGCATAAGACCAACAGAGATCGGGAATACTCAAATTGCCGGCACTGCAATAAGGTAATAGTTTAACTGGATATGCATCGATAGGGCACCTTCTTGATGTACTACAGGCCGTTTCAAATTTAATTGTCCATTGCCATAAGAGCAAATTCAATGCTTACAAGGAGACATCTACAATTGGCAGGCTGCTTTTTTAATCCAAAGGGTTTGACACTCTCTCAACAAAGACAACTCCAGACTCGAATTTGGTCTTCAGATTTCAAACGACTCTATCCGCAGAATGCGGAATGTTAAAGCTTTGATGGAATTGACAAATACACTACCATCACAATGCCGAAACATCTAGGTCACAGAGTCGGGAAATGCATGCCTGTATCTGACTGGGGTTAGGTACTGAGCACCTCTAGTCCTGTGCTTTACTTCCAAGGTGGCCAAGTTGTGACAAGCATGGATGAGAACCTTCATTTCCTTCGAGAAGGCTTCTTCTTGAGTCGTGAAAGTCGCTAGTAGACATAAAGGAGCGGACGCGTAAAGCAGTGCCCCATTGGAGCGTAAAATGGTACTGTAATAATTGTGAACCCGAAGGGTCAGAATTTTTGGGTTCCAGAAAACCCATGCGACCCGTTGGTAGCACGTAGAGAGAACGCCATGACTGTCGCAGTCGTCAAGTTGATTCTCAAATTAGATATGCACACAACGATAAAACAAGTGGTGATTAAGCAAATGAGATACTAAGATGAGGTATCATGAGACTGAAGCACCAAAAGTTCCGGAGGTTGGACTCCTGGTTCCGGTAACACAAACAGTGAAGAAATATAGAGCGTGATAATGGGAGAAAAGTGGGACGATGATCCTTCGACAGGGCACCCGCAACTCTGCATATTGCTTGCACGCCGCCTTATTCCTGGCAAACATGAACCCCTGGTAGTGAATCTAGCTGCTTCGTATCCCTGCAATTAACCGGCCAATGATTGTGATGTATTCCAAGCTAATCAAACTCTACCAGGAGGGTGTGCATATGTGCAATTCCACGACCTATTCTACCTCTGGCAGGATAGAATATTTATGAACACGACACCCAGCCGTCCTCTACTCAACACCCGCAAGAGCCTGGGAGTTGAATATAGCACGGCAGATCCAAATAGCAATTGAGATCAGTCAATGAGATTAAGGTTGGCTGGGCTGAACAGAGGCGTTCCGGTAGCGGCGTATTTCACCGTTTAAGAATCGACGGTTCACGAGAGATTATTGGCTTTGGCTAGGTTGAGCCACCTCGAATAACGGTTTACCGCCAGAAGCTTTCCCGTCGACCCTTTGTGGCTTTCCTACTCTACCGCACGAGTGCCGTTCTTACGTATATACGAGATACTCGTGAGTAAACACGAACGCACCTGTATTCCCGATCTAGGAGCACTATCCATCGGGGTGAGATTGCACCAAAAAAGGTTAGTTCACCATAATCCCCAGAAGAAACACCCACCAACCAAGCCCCCGAGCAATTACAATCTTAACATGTACCCATCCCACGTGGCATACTCATGTAATCTGCCAGGCATACGAGTAATCACTAATTAGGAAAAGATGACTGCTACCCTACACGCAGCGCTCCGCCCCTGTTACCACAATCTTGTTCCGCAGAGTGTCAGGCTGACAATGACACAAAACACACAGCACAAAAAGTACTTGAACACATTTGTACTCTCGTACTGGTCCAGTATCCAATTACTCGGAACGAGAAGCGGATACCAACATACTCAAGCGAAGCCTGAAGCCCGATGCTGTTTTTCATCGACCCCATAAAGGAGTTTTGTGGTGAGCATTCAATTGCATTTAGATAATTTATGTATACTAACTTGTAAAGGAAATATACGTGTGGCTGAACACGTAAAGCTGCACTCCTCGCTTGTAAGCTTTCGCTTAATGAACTGAGACTCTGAATGGGCCTCGGGATAGGTAACATAGCGTGCGGAATCCATAAAATTGGGGTTCGCGCCGCTACTCCTAGCGACCGCAGCTTAGAGATACGACTAAATAAGGGTTGACGCTATTCGTTATTCCCGCTTCCTGCGACAACTCAGCGGGGTGATAAGTGGCAGATCATTGACACTCCGGTGCAGGATGTTGTTCTCCTGTTAAGCAAACATAGAAGTGATCATCAACATCAAATGATGCAGATGACTTATACAGGAGCGCTTCAGCAATGTGCTCGTAGTGAGTTCCACTTAGCATCGATGATCCCTTCGTAAATTCCTAAAACGGGCTTAGGAAAATATGTTCTTTGAAGTTTCAGATCATAACTTCGGAAACCCGAGACTGAACATACTATCAAGCAAAATACAGTCAGTCACGAACCCGTAAATAAGTGCCACATCTTAGTAGATGAGGACATGAAGCTGAGCTATTCCGCCATCTTGCTTGACTTCACCGCTCCCACGGCAGCCATCGGAGCCGCTAGGCAAGACCAAATGCACTCGAATACATCGAAATCTACTTCTTTCAACCAAACAGAGGGGTGCGACACGAATTTCGATAGGAAGAACTACGCCCATCAAGCTCATATCTACAAAGTATGATAAGCAGTCATTCAAATGTTTGCTCTTCCATTGAATACTCAAGTTCATTTCTATATCAGGCTCGCAGTCTCACACATGATGCAGAATGATGGGCTTAATTGCTTACGGCTGAGAACACAAAGTTTTTTGCACAACCCTAAGCCCGATTATGTTTGGATGGTTACTTGCTAGGTTTCAGTGTAACCTGAGCTAAATCAGAGCTGTATGTCAATCACGCTCAAACCCTCCGGAGCGGAAAGTGGCCGAACAATTGCTTCTGGAAGGTCACCAGAAGCATGATACTACTGCATGTAACATAACTCGAGTGGAGAAAGATTGGGAATAAAGCTATTTTAGTCACTTTTTATAGGCAGATCCATCTAATCTATCGACCAAATGATCTGCAGGACATTGTTCCGTGACCAGATTTTGCTTTCCCATGAGCGATAAGCGAGAATTAAAGTCGAAAAGGAGAATGGAATATCAAAATATACGAGATACTTTCAGGTGGGGAAATGAAAGAACTAAAGTCAGTAGATCACTGCAATTATCAGCTATGGCTAAGTCACAGACCAACATGTGGGTACCGTCAAGTCTTGTTTCCTAAATCTGATAAGCTCCTCACCTATTTCCCGTAACAAGTAAACCGGAACTTTGTGAATCACATAAGGGCAGCTTACTTGATTCCTCACCGACTATAAGCATTCATTGGGCAACGACTGGCAGCAACCCCCTCTTTCTCTTCTTATAGCAACATAGAAATCTATATATGTAATTGATAACTGATTTCTTGTCACGTTTCGTCTGTAAGTCACATGACCTTTGTGTCAGCCCACTTTTCCCTCATTTGAAATTTGAAAATCCCGAAACCTCAATCAATACACAAAGAGGATGGATTTCACGAAATAACTGCAACACTGTTTGATATACTTTTCTAAGTTTATTTTATATTTTCTATTTACAGAGTCTGAGTCTGAGTCATTTCTCGCATCTCTTTCCTGAGAACTACGAGCTGGATATAATATGCTCCGAAGAAAAACGCCGAAAATGCTTCCCGACCAAGCGATGCACCAACTCCGTCAATAATAAAAGCACGCGTTAGCACCTCACGGTCTTCAAAACCTTCCTCAGTGCCTCTGTCAGCTCCTCGGCATGCTCGGCATCCAGAACGTGGTCATGTGTGCTCTTGATCAAAAGAGTTCTTGTCTGGTCCATTCTCCAGCCTGATTTTGGGTCGCGGAAAAGCTTTTGAACAGCATGGCGTCTCGCGTCTGAGAGTAATGGTGGAAGTGATTTAAGAGCAGCACATTTGATGAGTGACACTGGTGCCTTTACAGCACCATATTTGGAAGGCGTGTTTTTGCAAGCGATCAATGACAATCCGTTGAAAATATGTTTGCGCATACGGGCCGGCCATTCGAGCATGCTCACTCCATCATCATCATCAAAATCATCCTCATCATCCTCGAATTGGTATTCATCCTCATCTGAGCTTATCTCGCTGTTAGGCGTGCATGAACCCATTTGCTGTGGAAAGTCCATGGAGTCTGTGGTTGATGTGCTGCTGATGCTTGAATCGCTATCATTCCTGTTCAAACTCGGCGGGCTAGGAATTCCCAACCCCTTAGAGACGTGACTGAATGTTAAGGATGTGAGAATATTGTGTTCGTTGGCGTCGGCGAATGGTGGAATTGTGGCTGGATTTGAAGAGTCGATGAGGACCACGTGAAGCACCCTTTCGCCCTGTGATTCTAGGATTGCTGCGCAACGTTCTGCGATCATTCCTCCCATTGACCATCCACCCAGAAGATAAGGCCCATGTGGCTGAACTTCTCTGCGGATGAGATTGACATATTCGACGGCTAAGCTGTCGAGTGTGGAGGGTAGCGTATAAGATTTGTATTCATATGTCGGAGAGCTGATGCCGTAGACGGGTCGCTCACTGTCCTCACTGAGGCTTCCGAGCGCAAGGTATGGCAATGCCAGTCCAGAAATCGCGTGGATGAGGAAGAGTGGTGTCAATGTAGATTCTGGGTCACCCTGGAGATGTAACAAGGCCTCCATTGTTAAGGATTGAAAGATGTAAGAATAGTGTTCTTATTGTTTCAATTGGGTGCTTTTCAAACGTTGGAAACTGAAACTATTCAAAGAATGCTGTTGTTGCTCTGGTTCTACATTCTTCTCAAATCGAGAAACAGTTTATTTACATATCAATTCACAAACATACTGCAGGCCAGGTTGTTCGTGTTGCTAGTGTAATCCTGAGCCTGTTCCTCATCGATCTCGATGCAATTTCGAGATATCTCACTGCAAATTGGTAGCGTACGGCCTTTAGAACGGATGGGACTATGTACTTCAAGTACTGTCAGGCCAAAAGCGAGCTGAATTGATGTAAATACGTTCTTTTGGGGGCTCACTCGTCCGAGAGAAAATATTCCGTCCATTACGGATGCTTGACCTCGAGCGAGACGGTTCTGACTAATCTCAAGTGTTTAAGCGAAGGGCTACTCCTGCTGTCATTGGTCTTGTCCTGTTTTGTATAAACTGCATTTACGATGCTCGCATCTGATTTGTTGGCTTGCCTTTAAGTCAAACATTCAGAGTTTTTACTTTCATATCTTTGTCACGTATATCTTCGTTACGGGTGTTTGAGTCCAATGATCTGACGCTTAGCTTGGCCCGAGACTTGGTGTCTTGGGCTATTGAATTGGTGAGGCCCTTTACCGAGTACCATATCCCCGATGCCAGTACATATTTGAGCCGATAACTCCTTCTGTCGATTCATCCAGCACTGAACAGCATCCTTCCACAGTCGACCCTTCTTACGGCCATAATGTCTTTCTCAGCTTCCATTTTCCTCACGCTGTCCCTGGGACTAGTCGCCAATGCTCACCCAGCAACCCCAAAAACACCATGCAACCAACCGTACGACATACCGCTACTGCGTGATCCTGGCTATGGATGGATGGCAAACATCTCCGTCGGTACTCCTCCACAGCCAATTACAATGTTTGTGGACTGGACTTGGACATCTCAATACGTTGTTTCAACAACTTGTAATGGCCGAGACGATAACACAGCTGCCTGTTTGCATCCAGCTCAACAACTGTACAACCAATCCCTATCAAGTACCTACAAAAGCGAGAAGGCCTTATACCCCAGTGAGAGCTGGTATCCAAACGAGTTCTTTCCTGCTCCATTCAACGTGGACTACGCTTCAGATGTGCAAACCATTGGCCCAGTCACGAGCCGCATTGTCCTTCAGACTAGCAACATCCAACCTGGTATCTTTACCTCCGCCCCCTTACCGTTTGGTGGAATATATGGCATGATGCCTGACCCAAAAGGGGAGAATGGCCAGTTACTACTTCCTTCCTTGGACATTCTAGATGCATGCTCTCGTGGCTTCCACGCGTCAGAGGCGGTTTTAAACACATGGCTAATCTGATCTTCCAGCATCCGACTTGGCGCCGTTCAACCAACAATACCGGGCTAAAGCATGGCCGCAACCATACTCTGCGTTTGCAATGTGCCCCAACCCTTCCTGTCCGAAGGGTGCAGATGCCATTCAGACTCTCGGTGGTTACTCACCAGCGCTTGCTCGCAAGGGTCTCAGCTGGTACGACATCGTTGAGGTCCCCGAGGTCAACGAGATTGATTTCGTCTTCGCCCCCGGAGTTTACAGCTACTGGTCAATTGGTCTCAGTGGGCTTTACATTGGCAATCAGGCACAAAAGCTTAACACCACTGCCGCACTCACCAAAGAAGGTGTCCCAGCTGCCATCTTCGACCATGCTTCCAAAGGTCGCGGTGTCCCATTGTCCGTTGATGCTTACGCCAACTTGGTCAAAATTGCTGGCGGCAAGCCAATTGCACCAAACTCGCCTCTCCTGACTCCTTACGCACCCAACAACGGTCCTCAGCCTTTCTTCTCTATCGACTGCAAGAAAACCAAGACTTTACCTGTCATCAGCTACGCTTTCACCGGTAGCAGGAAGCAATGGTCTGTTCAACCATCCGAGTATGTTGTTAACGTTGCTGGTACTTGCATCCTTGATGTTAGAGCCATTGGTGAGGGGTCGTTCCTTCTTGGAAACTTCGGCGACAACTTTCTGAAGGGAAAGTATGTTGTATTCGACTACGCAAGCCAACGTGTTGGATTGGCTGAGCTTTAAAGCTCCCATGATCTGCTATGATGTTGGGTGGAGAAGATTTTGTATATAGAGGTGGGCATGGATAGAAATTGCACTTGTTCCGTATAGTTGGAGTTATCATCAGGGATTATTATAAAATAGGAAACCATAAATAGTAAATATAGAATAGTTGGCATGCTGTACTCGATACTCTGCGATTCACACCAAAATTAAACAGTCTTTATCACTATACAAGACCCTGCCTATTATCTCATGTTGCTCATGTTCAGTCTGGACAGTATTGCAATACAGTTGTTTCAAACACTTAAACTCCTGCCGAATCCGGTATGCGCCGAAGCCTTGCATTGAATATCGAAACTCTGGAGACCCGAAGGTTTGAAATTGCCAAAAATAACCCATTTGACTTAATTGGTCAGAGTTAGTAGCTGCACCAAAAATGACGAAGATCTGCAATTATTTGCGCCGAGATCCATCTCAACCCAAAATAACTCCTTTTCGTACTATGCATGTCAGGTGCGTTGATACTTAGTCAACAAACGTTATTGCCATGATTTAAACGATCTAATCAATTACTGCTAAACAAGAACATTTAGTGAATTTTCTTTAGGACATGATCAATCAAACATTGTATATCAATTTACCATTATCGCAGTACTCTGTATCACGTGATATGTCGGGGTTACTCCCCAAAGCAAAACTTTGCCGACCCAATGAGTCGAAAACTAAAGAACAAACCCAGCATACACGAGACTGAAACACGCTTTCTGGATGCCGAGTACTCCGAGGACCTGGTTCATATCGCCTTTTTAGATCCGTTCAGGTAAGACGGATTTAAAATAGTAGGATCCAGGCACGTGGAATTTCGAAAGAATGTTCCGCAGGACAACGGTACCCGACTGCAGACTTAAGACCGGCTGATTCACACATGACCCGTGACGAGGAAATCCGTTCAATGGAGCCGTTATACCATACATCATTGCTAGTTGTTGAAAGCGGAAAGACCTTCGAGGAAGTTGGCACGAGTTGAGCTTGATTGCGATGTCGAAAGCTCTTCAGAAAAACGTAAGAAACCAGCTATTCTTATGTCAATAGTCTGAATAGCCCATGGCATACATTGAAGATTGCATCAATTTCGGCTTTCTTTAAGCTTGATTCGGTGAGCGAACGGGTAGTTGTCACGAAGAAACGCTATACCTATACGGGTATCAATGCATTTGGTACGCCAGCACAGTTGCCGAAATCTGGCAATGCGACTTTGCCGAACGTCTTTACCATCTGCTCTTTCGAAATCAGTCGATTGATACAGAATCTGACGGTTTGAGATCTCGATTTCATCAAACGATCACACATCAGTTCTTACGTTCCGGACAGCTCCGCCTTCATCTTTATACTTTAATCCTCTTGTTCCGTTGCTTTACCAATTCTGAAGACCGCTTTTCCAATCACAAAATCCAGAACATACATCATTATGTCGACAAAGCCAACAGATACCAAGGTTTTAATTATCGGCGCTGGACTCGGAGGCCTTACCCTTGCTGCCATCTGCCGTCGTGCCAATATCCCATACATCGTCCTTGAGCGAACAGAGAAACTCTCTCCAGCTGGCGCTGGAATCTCCTTGGCTCCAAATGCTCTTCGTGTGCTCGATCAATTAGGTGTGTACTCGAGAGTTAAGGAAAATGGACAACGCCTCAATACTATGCTCGTACACTATGAGAAAGACCAATGGAGGAGCTTAGATTTCACAGGGCTGGAGTCAAAGTTCGGGTATCCAGTTTACTCTATTGAGCGACACTCGTTCCATGAGTATTTGTACGATGCCGCTGGAGGCCCTGAGAACGTTCGACTTGGATCAAAAGTCGTGGATGTTGTTGATGAATACGGCAGCCCTTCTGTTGTAGTCAAGGTTGCAGATGGAGCAACTTATACTGCCGATGTGGTTGTTGGTGCGGATGGCATCCGCTCAGTAACCCGCCGCATTCTAGCCCAGAATGCAGGACTGAAAAGTATCAACACTATTCAGTTTACCGGCAGAGTGCACATGAGTGGATATACCAAACCTATTCCTGGCTTAGGAAAAGAACATGAGGGAGTTGGAAACTGGATATTTTATGATGATGCTATTCTGACCACATGGCCCTGTAAAGATAACAGGCAATGGTACATTGGCGTAAAGGTATGTCACCATTCTACTTGGTCCGTGAAGACTATCTAATAGAAAACAGCGAGTTCCACTTGGTGAGAAAGACCCAGATCGGTCCGTCTGGGAAGGGACTACAAAATCTATGGTAAATGATGTTTACGGAAGGAAATACCATCCATTCGGTGGTGAGAGCAAAACTTGCGCAGAAAGTTAGTCCGCTGTCTCAAAACAATTCAGAAGGTCGCTTTACTGACCTAACTGCAGTTATTGATAATTCTGAGCGAGTTATTGCAAGTAACGTCTTCGAAGAGCAAGATTTTCCAAGCATGACTAGCGGTCGTGTCGCTCTTCTCGGAGATGGTAAGACTATACATCACATCTTTTTGGCCATGCTGATGATTCTCTAGCTGCTCATTCCATGACCTCTTTCTTCGGCCAAGGAGCTTGTCAAGCCATTGAAGATGCCACCGAACTTGGTAACGCACTTTTGGCTCACTACAGTTCTCCTACTCCTTCAGCTTCCACTTTGAGTACCGCATTCGCAGAATACTCTGAGATTCGCGGTAAGCGAGGAAAGGATCTAGTGAGCTTCTCCAGCATATATGCTGGTATCCATGTTGCTCGCTTGCCATATGGACTGGGGCCTATCGCAAGACAGATCTTGTATAAATGGCTTCCAATCTGGTGCTGGTTTTGGGCATTGAATTGGTTGTACGGATACCAACCTATGATCAAGGAGGTATGATTTTACCATCCGCTCGATAAAGTTACATGCTAACGTGGTTCAGTTCCCTGACTTCAAGGCTCCACTGGTCAAGATCACCCCAACTGTGACTGAAGAAGTAAAGTCTACTGAGGATGAGCCTATTTCAGATGAGGAGACTGTCGTAGGAGAGAAAAATCCGTAGACGGAGATTTGGTGAAACAAATTCCTGAAGTCATTCAAGTGCAAGAGGTCTCAATAGGCTGTTAATCAAAAGGGGAAACATGAGCTTTCAGGCGCAGTTGTCCTTGTATGATTATCGAGAGAACGGAGTTAGGCTGTACTTAGTTTGGATTATTTCCTAGATATTACGTGTTCAGAATGAAAATTAAGTGCTTGCTTTGCGAGTCAATCCTCAGCCCGCACCTTTTTGCGGTTGTCACAACGTTAAAAGGCTTAAACAGTCACTTAGTTGTGTCTAGAAAAGTGCTCATTTCCTCTGAATTCGCCAAATATTGCTGTTTAGTATTCGGATCCATATGTTACATTAATTGTCTGGGCCTCTCGGTAGGAGTTCCGCTACAACAAGATGAGTTTCTACACACATATTTATCTTTGCTAGGTTGGTTATCTGTTTAAGGTACGTGGCACAATAAACAATCTATGAACTCTCCAGCAAATCATCTGCTCATTTTATTGTTCATGCTCATACACAAACGGCTCTCAGCTTCTGGCTCTTTCTTCGCCATTCGTCACCTTTTCTAAGGGACTCTAGGCACATATGATAGTGTCAGATGTGTATTGAAGCACAAAGTTTGGCAATCAAAGCAACTGGATCTCCACACCCTCTCTCTTCTTCTGAAGCAGAACCTTTTGTTCCGCGTCACATTTAGAGATGTACTTCCTTTCCACCATGTTACTTGGCACTTGCGCGCCTTCAAAAATATGCAGCGGCAACATTAACGTTCTAGACCTTCTTCTGCACGACAGAGTTGCAAGAAAGCCACGATTTACAGAGCTTCAAATGCGAAATTTACAACTTTAATATCTCGCTAGCGTCACATGAGATTCGAGGCTATTTCTTCCCACGTGGAACTAGCGATTTATGTTCTCGTCGGGTGGCGGCGGGAATGCACGCAGGAGGCACAATCGAGTCGACAATCTAAGACACGGAGGAATTGACCTTTTATGTTCAAGCCACTCAGAAGTTCATGATGGTCGCTTGAAGTGGATACGCATTCAAGGTCATGGGAATCGTTGCTTTCCCATTTCCATTTTCCGCATGACCTTCACGCACCCCCATGCTTCAAAGGGCGGGAATATTATTCTGGTTTTTGTCGAAGAGATGTTCTAGAACTATGCGCAAACAGTGACGGATATAAAAAGAATGGTTAAAGAAGGGTTCAACTCTCGGAGAATTGAAATATTGAATCCTGCCAACATTTGCAGGTCGCCTACGGGTAGCGAGTCAATGTGACTCGTAGATGTGCGTCGACGTTGCAGTACATGACATGAAATGAGACTGCACGGGACGAGAAGGAGAACAGGATATTCAGAATGGAACAAAATTCATCCGATAATTGAGGCTTTTGTTGTAAGCAAGTTCCCCGATCAAAAGCATTGTGTTGTTGGAGACCGTTTGTCTAATTACCATCCCGTGTTGCATCTTCATACAGGAAGCAAAAGCAGCGACTGTAACTTAAGGACGCCTCATACCAAATCTCGAAGCAAGATGACGGTCGCTACGGGAATCGTCCTTCCAAATACTCTACCTCCGAAATCTCAACATTTGGTACAACAGGTGGTCAACTGTTTGGCTGGTCAGCTTAGCTCGTATGAAGCTGTACTTCGGGCTTAGCAACATTTTGTTGCAGATGTCTCCAGCTCCTCATTAGTTAGGGCTGGGTGAGAATTAGAACCCCTTTGAGCTTCGGTAACAGCTAGGATGATGTGATCTTGGTCACTTTTTTTCCTCATAGCCAACACGGATGCGTTGGTTCGTTGTTTCGAGAGCTTCAAGTGACGGAGTTGTAATTTTCACTTCTCTGAGGCTTCCAATGGGCATGATCATGTAATCGGTCATCGAGAACAACTCACTAAATCTTACTCTCCGACTGGGCAACAAGCTAAGAAGATGGTTTAAAGTATCTAGATTGAGCTCTCGTGAGAAAAGGCGGCTACCACTCGTAAGTACTGGCCAATCGTGTGTATAGAAACGTATATTTCGCCCTATAACTATGGGGATCATCTCCAAAACCCCGGCTGCAGACGGAAGATCTACGAGAACCCACACCCCGTGGACGATCAATGTATAGACTGATATGTACGGACGTAATAAAAGATGATTGAAAAAGAAGCATACGACGGAATATAGAAAGAAAAAATGTTCGACCGTCGAGAAGGTGAAAAATAATAAAAGGTTGTGGCCCCTCCACATCCGACACTTTGCCTGTGCATTGCAGGACACGGACGGCTTCAAAATATAACACTGTTCCACCAAAACCCTTTATCTATCCTCGTTAGTGTTCTACAGGTCCTTATCTCACATCTGTCATGCTAATCCTACGGAGTAGCATCTCTCCGCACATTAAGGTTATGTCACGCAAGTCGGTACTTGTGACAGGGTGCAGTGAGGGTGGTATAGGTGATGCTCTAGCCCAGGCATTTCAGCGCAAAGGCCTGCACGTCTTCGCAACTGCACGTTCTTCGAGCAAAATCGCACATCTTTCAGCCCTTCCTAACGTCACATGCATCGTGCTTGATGTTACGTCCACAGAGTCCATCGAAACGGCAGTTCAAATCGTCAATACGAAAACCGGAGGCAAGCTTGACTTCTTGATCAATAATGCTGGGCTGGGAATAGTAGCACCTGCAATTGATGCAGATATCAAAGATGCGAAGAAAATGTTTGATGCAAACTTCTGGGGTGCTGTAGAAATGGTGCAGGCATTTAGTCCCCTGATAATCAGTGCAAAGGGAACGATTGGAAATGTTGCTGCGTTGGGAGCAATCCTCCATGTTCCTTGGATGTGTAAGTTACACGCCCCGCTCTTCCAGTTCTGTAATCTGATCGACGATGATAGCTTTTTACGGAGCTTCAAAAGCAGCCCTTGTCAACTGGACCGAAGTCCTTCGTCTTGAGATGGCGCCTTTTAGAGTTAAAGTTGTGCCGATCATGACAGGCTTCGTACACACCAATATTTTCAACCAGGGTCACGGCACGAGCCTTCCCAGAGAGTCTCTATACTGGCCAGCTCACAAGGAGATAGATGCCCGTTCTGCAGGTAGTGATGTGACTGAGAAGATGGATGCAAACGTTTACGCCAATAAGGTTGTAAACGATCTTACCAATGGTGCAGATGGAAGGATATACCGAGGTGGAATGTCGTCTGGTGCGAAATTCATCACAACATTTCTACCTAACTCTATGGTGGTAAGTAGATAAAATGGCAAGGATTTTGACCATTCGGGGACTAACTTTGAATAGGACAAGATGATGTTAGGCGGGACTGGCTTGGATAAACCAGCAGAGCTTCAAGCTATTCAAGCTGCAAGAAAGGCTACGAAGACAGGTTGATTGTGTAACGTTGAGTTCTCTCGGAGACATATAATTTCTGCTTTGTGGTGTCATGAAAAAGGGGGATCAATTAGGTTTGGGAAATGGCATTGACGAACTGGTCGAGCTTTTTATAGTGCTTTTTTCATAGATATAAAAGGGGTGGAGTTTATGTACAAGTGCAATTCGGTCCACATGTTCATATATCTCTTTCACAATGGAGTGACAAGCCGGAGGGCTTCTCGGAGGACAGAAACGCGGCAGCCGAAATATGGCGTTTCTTAAATCCATTTGGCACTTAATCGCGTATTTCGTCTATGATTCTAGGAAGTGAAGACACACGTCCAAAATGCTTGAATGAATAGTTGCTGTTGTACATTACGAAAACGACCACTCAATCGACCTCCCCAGTGAATCTAAACGTACATCCCTGTACGACTGAACCGTCCTCCAAATCAATTGAACACCTTACCACCTCGTATGCCTCTGTTTCGTATTTCCGAAGGGCATCTTCATGATCCTTCGTCCGAACATGATATGCAGAACCCTGAATTCTCTGTTGTCCATCAACCAGAGCATTGTACTTTCCCTGGCCCCAAGTTTTCATTTCCCCGCCGATGACACTCGCTTTTCGTAATACCGGAATATCGTCGTCGTCGTCTTCGCGGAGAGAGAAGAGGCTGACTAGCTTTGGGACGCTAGCAAGAGTGCCGTAGAAAAAGTACCAGACCGGATACTGGTCTTGGGTAGGCGCCGAAGCCAAGGGAGCTTGAGGGCGGAACTGGGGAAGGGTTGTGTCTTTGCCAAGGGTTGGATATAGGGTGTCTGGTGAGAGTTCCTTATATGCTGCTCCAACGGGGACAAAGAGGGGCCGGAATGATGATTTCTGGCTCGAAAGCCAATGCTCAATGGTCACTTTTGCACGACCATCAACTTTGCAAAAGATGCTACGGGCCCCCTCTCCTTCGTCGTGATATATTTCTGGAATAGTGGGGAGATCTCCGGCAACTTGGACCTTTGCCGCATTGTCGATTGGACCTTCCAGTTTGAGAATATATAATCTTCGCGCCTCTGCTGGCGACAAGCTTCTTTCCCGTACAACCGCGTCATCTGATAATTTCGTAGCCGCCGTTAACGCCGCTGCCTCTTCATAACTATATCCAAAGCGCTCCTGCCACATTTTAACTGTGTCGATTTCGCCATCCTCCTTGTAGATAGAAGTATCCGCCAATTGTTCAAGCTCATTGAGTAAATTCATAATATGTGTATGCGTGTGAGATAGCGTGGTTACGTGTAGGTGCCACGATGTGTGAATGAAGAAACTGAATCATGAAACAAGCGTGTTTACCTGGGTATATGTGGGTTTTGATTGATACGGGGGCACTAAGAAGTACTAAGAATGGGTTAGAAACGAACGAAAAATCCACTTCAGACAGACGTAATAATAAAGACTAACTAAGCCATTCCGAGCCACAGCTTAGCAACAGAAGATATTCGGGCCATCTAATTAGAAAGCTTGAAGCGAAAGTTGATAGAGTGTCATTTTCTTGGAATAATTGAGGAAATGTGCAATACTGTGTTTCTTCAGTTGACGATAGATACGATAATGTGTGTATAACCAGACTGGTGCCGAAAGGATTCTGTTTTTAACAGAAGTGCAACAAAATTTGATGACTTGTTGTTTTCTTGGGAGGATTGATAATGTGTCAAGTTGATTGACTCATTACTAATCGCCACCATGTCTTGCAAAGTGTAATCTACGAAGAGCAGCAGAATCTAGGAAACAATAGGAAAAGTAACAATTCATGTCTTCAAAATGCTCTTGCCTTACCTGTACGTCATAATGCGTGGAGGGACCGTTATGAAGGCCAAGGAAGCTACGGTCAGAATGCTATTCCTTGACAATCTACTTAGCACCAGGTACCCGGCAAGGACTAGCCTTCCCGTGGCGCCGCGTGTAAATAGTTGAGGTTGGCTCATGCGGAACCAACCGGCTCAATCTTCAGCTTCTTCAAATATGATGCTATTCTTTCGCTCACTGTTATTGATATGACACTTCATATTCAATGCCTTTCGCATGCCTCATACCGACACAGTCGGTGGCAATAAGCCTTGCGTTACCGGGGGAGTTTTCGATGTAACAATAGCGTCTCTGTAGTTGAAGTTAGCTTCAGTATTGATTGTGGGATATGTTTCACCGATTGCTTTCTGGAAGGCCAATTACATCCGGACAGTTTAGCACACACTCGGCCACGACATCACCAAAGCGAGATTTACGGTTCTATAATAGTTTTCTTAATCACTCACTGATGAACAAACATATGTGACGAGTTCAAATTTCATCATGTTGCTTGCTTGCTTGTCCCTTTGCAGTATAATGTAGAGCTGAGGCTTTCCCAGTGACACATAATGGTGGTTGCTTCTGTAAATCAATACAGCATCTCCTAATGACCATCGGTTCTAGACAAAGATGTACATTTAACAACGTAATAAGATGTCTAGCTGAGCGGAAGTCTGGAACCAGTGATTTCCAAATGTTATGAGTTGGTGAAAATAATTTCACACGTGCCTCGGGGGAAATCAAAGAAAGAGGCGTGCTTATAGTAACTTTTGATATGCTCACCCCACTGACATTTCATGAACGCATTCGGGGGGGTGTATTTACAAAGTTCTATCTATACTACCCCTCTTGTAACCATGAAACATGACTTTTGAGGTCCAGCCATCACATCGATATAGACGCCTTGGACTATCTATTTCATTAAGCCTGACAATGGCTCAGCACGCGAACTACGCGAAAATAACCCTTCAATCGTGTCAAGCCGATCGGGAAAACTCAAGTCTTCTTACCACAACCCATCATGAGGCATTGCACACGGTCGAGGCTCCAAATCGTTGTACAATACAACAATCGAAAACACGCAGGCAGATTTTCTTCTGCAACACGATAACCATATGCAGCCTGATTACGCTCAGCTCTCCATAATTACTTCTTCGATCGCACAATCCACAGCCTTACACACACCCAACCCAATAAACCAGCACAATTCCGTTTCACATCTACGCGACAGGATCGAACTCGGCCCCCAATCCTCCTCCCCGCCCCAACTCCGCCATGACAAAGTCCCGGGTGTCGTCTAAGGCTGAATACTTACGAGATGGGGTTTAAAAAGTCCAACATGGACGTCCATGCGGTTTCCTTGATTTCATTTCAAAGGAAGTTGCATGATGGTGTTTTTGAAATGCGATGAGAGATGGACCGGGTTTACGAGATATGCGCCGCTGATGAATGGTGTGGTTATGGTGGTGTTGAGTATCACGTTTTTGTTGTCTGCGATACTGGCGGATCAACGTGCGGAGCCGCCGAAATCGTCGGTTTGGCCTAGAGAGTTGAGGGTTCCGTCGACTTCGTAGGTTTTTTAATTCCACTTCTCGCTGCGTATGCTAAACGAGAATAGAACATCAGTATTCTACTCCCTCACAACTCCGACCCTCTCACTCATCCACACCATCACCTCAATATTCACGCACCACTTCTCTCGTCATCCTCCTCTGTCGTCTCTCTTCCTGACCGGTCTCTTCCTCATAGGCTGGTGCATCACCATCGGCATCTGGGGCGTTTGCGATCTCCAGCCAGGGAAAATGGGAAGTTTCGCGTGTGAGAAATGGCCGATGTTAGAATATGGGTTTGGGAAAGACGGAAAAGGAGTTTACGGGATGGTCACGGGATTGCAGTATGCGCGGTGGACGTTTGGCGTGGTGTCTCTGGTGGGCTATGTGGTGCTGGCTGGGGTTGCGGCGTTGGCGGTGTATAGGGAGTATTGGTGGGAGAGGAAGGGGAAGGGGTTGAGTATGCAGGTTAGTGTTGGGAGCGAGGTGAGGCAGGTTGAGAGGAGGGATAGGGATAGTGGGTGGGGTGGGTTTAAGAGGAGTACGGTTTATTGTTGATGAAAGCAAAGATCATTTCGTTGATGTATAATCATATTCAGTTGAAACATTTCCTCGAAGCTTGTGAGGCTATATTATGTTCCAGAAGATGTTATTGCCAAACAATGCTACTTGCGAAAAACCGTTATCATCCCAGTGAAGATAGAGAAACCGTATCCGCACACTTTTCCTAACCTATGCCGGACCGTCCCAAGAAAACCATGCCCTATTTATCTTTCCTCACACCAACAATCTTCTGCTCACTCTCCTCCACCATACTCCAAGGACTAACAATCGCCTCAGGTGGCCAAGCCTCATCCTCCTCATACCCCTCAACCACAAACTCATACTCTCCGCTTCCAATATTGATCGCCTCCTTATCCGTACCAGGCAACTGTACAACAGCCTTACAATTCGGCGGCACGCTAACCGACATCCTAAAAAGCTTCTTCTCAGCATCCAGATTCCAAGCACAAGAAACAATACCATAAGGACTCAGATGAGAAGTCTTAGCGGAAGTAATGGTTCCACCGGGTTGAGGAGCAAATTTAATGACACGCCATCCGATAGAGCTTTGATCTGGACTAGCTGTTCTGAGGGCGGAAGCAGATGTGATATCCATATCAACACCACCTACAGTTCCGAAAAGCCATTTTCCTACACTGCCCAGAGCGTAATGGTTGAAACTCGTCATACTGCCAGGGTTTATGTCGCCGTTGGGTAACATGCTATCCCAGCGTTCCCACATCGTGGTTGCACCCATCGTGATTGGATATAACCAGGATGGACAGCTTGTTTCGAGAAGCATGCGGTATGCGACTTGCTTGAAGTTCTTCTTTGGATCACCTGCGCAGAGTGCTGGGAGGATTGTTGGTGTTCCGGCGAAGCCAGTGCCGATACGGAAACGGGAGGCTCGAGATAGTTCTGCAAGTCGGGACCGAGCTTGGTCGGTTTGGTCCTGGTTGGCAAAGAGATCGAATGTGAGAGCTAGTGAGAGTGCTGTCATTGAGTCTGGTGATAGACGGCCAGCTGGAGTCACGTATTTGTGCTGGAAGTCTTTTTTCACAACTGCGGCGTCGTCTTCATATTTCTTGACAGTTGCTTCATCGTATCCAAGTGTCTTGGTAACACTGGCAAGGATATTGGAAACATGTGCTAGATAAGCATTTGCGACGAATTGGGGGTCAGTTGTCCCCGCTGATGGATCATCTGGTGGTGCAGCAGGATCGAGCCAATCGCCAAGTTGATGTCGAGTGTTGTCCCATAATCTAGAATCAGCCATTCTAGGAATTGCGTTGAGCCAAGTAGTCATACTTTCGTACTGATTTTGGAGGATCCGTTTGTCGCCGAAACTAAGATATAAATCAACAGGAGTGATGACGGCAACGTCTCCCCATACAGCCAAAGTTGGTGCATTTGGTCGAGCATCAATAATATCAGGTACTACCTGTGGAACAACACCTTGATAGTCTTTGATTTGCTCCACAGCTAAATCTTTCAACCAACCTAACAGCAAACCACTAGTATCGTAGAGAAAGTTTGCAGTCGGTGAAAAGACTTGAATGTCGCCTGTCCAGCCTAAACGTTCGTCCCTCTGTGGACAGTCTGTTGGCAATCCAACAAAATTACCTCGCATTCCCCAGCGTATGTTGCTGTATAGTTGATTGACGAGTGGCTCGCTACACTCGAACCACCCTGTGGGTTCCATATCTGTGTGGATCACAAACGCTTCCAAGTCTTCTAATGCAGGTTGTCCTGTTTTCGATGGCCATCCCTCGACTTGAACATATCGGAAGCCGTGAAAGGTGAATTTGGGTTCCCAGTGCAGCTTTTCGTCAGACAAGATAATTGTATCTCTGGCTTTGCAATCTCTAAGCGGTCTAGTTGCCACTTCTCCATGCTCCAATACTTCCACATGCTGAAGAACGATCTTGGTGCCTTTCGGACCAGATACACGCAGTCGTACTCCACCAACAAGATTTTGTCCAAAGTCGACGATGGTTTTGTTAGTAGGACTGCTCCAAATTTGCTTCGGCTTGACTGTTTCTGTCACCACAATCGGGGGACCTTCTGGTGCAATTAAGTCAATCTTTGGAAACTCGAGTATGCTGACAGCTTTCCAGCTATCGTCTTTGAGTGCTGTTTCATTCCAACCTTTGACCTCAAGCGAAGCGTCATAGATTTCGCCATCGTATATTTCACTCGCAATTCTGGCACCCGTAGATGTCTTCCAAGTAGCATCAGATCCAACGGTCATGGTTGATCCATCTTCGTACTCAACCTCAACTTGTGCTAGGATTGCGAGAGCGTCTCCGTAGATGAATCGACGGCCACCACCCCAAGTCAGTCGTCCCGACCACCATCCATCGCTAACCTCCACTCCGATCACGTTGTCTTTTTCATGGAGATACTTGGTAATATCGTGAGTTTGGTAAGAAAGACGATGTCCGTAACTTTGCCATGCTGGGGCCATGACATGATTTCCGACCCTAGAACCATTGATAGAAGGCTCATAAACTCCATAACTTGTGATGTATAATCTTGCTTTTGCTATGGATTTCTTGTCCAATTGAAAGCTTTTGCGAAAAAGTGTCGGTTGTAATGCACCGGTCGCTGAAATTGTCTTTTCAGCAGCTATGACCTGCGCAGTCCAATCATCCGGAGTAAGAAGGCCAGTCTCAACGACTGAATACTCAGACCATGGGGTATATTCATTTGCAAAGCTATTAGCTCGAACGCGAACGCGTGCACTTTCCCGAGATTTTAGAGGTGTTGATGGCCATGGTACCAGAACAGATTCCGTGCTGGCAATTCTAACATTTTCTGTCTTCCGTTGGGATTGCTTGTTGGATGTTTGACGTGAAATCTCAATTTCGTAAGACTTCTGGGTCCAGTTTTGTGTCTCAGAATCGCCCTTGAACCGCCATGAAATTCGGGGTGTGGTTTCGCCGATACCAAATGCTTCGCGATGATGCTCAAATGTAGGCGCAGATACTGTGACAGTCATGTTTGGTGAAAAGTGTTCAAAAGGATGAAGTGTTTGTTGTTGAGGTTGATGAAATGAAGATGTGGGGAACCTGGACAATGGCGGGGTTTAAATGGGGATGCTCGCTTCTGAAGACCAGGTCATTCGTGTCTCAATTCATCTAACACAAGTTGACCTAGAATGGCAGTCAGAAAGCAAAGGCAAGTACACACTCGAAACCATTACGAAATCGATGAACTTTCATTAGTCAAGTTCGACAGATGGAAAAACTATACAGTGCTAAGGCCACAGGTTACCATCATCCCTTTCAAAATTACAAAACTAGATAACCTATTGGGTTTACTTGCCTATTTTAACACCATCAGCAGACATTAAGTAAATGGATATGGCCTGAATGTGACTTTAGTTGCTTTGTCTGAGTTCCAGCAGATCTAGGTTTCTTTGTTAGGAAAGTCGACATCTCATACATTTCATATCAGCGGACAAAGATGGCATGATGGCATCCCAGCTGGGTAGTCGAATAGGTATAGCAAGAGGCATATTTAGCAAGTTGTTCTAACTTGTCAAAAGAATGTAAAACTCATAGTCATGAGTCGTATTGGCTTTGGTGAACACTTGTCACAATGTGATCATTAAGCCAAGGACGATCATCATTGCAGCTTCCAACTCCATTGAATCTTTCCCTGGTCTTTGCTAGGGAAAGCATTAAAGAATGATCATTCAGATATTCTGCTCTGGAACTAGAGAATATAGTTAGACATCTCATTGCACATTGAGACCGTAAGAGATGCTATACCTAGCAATTCCTTAGCAGATGGCTTCTGTTGTCAGTAGGAGATATAATCATTTTTACCGAAAGGAACCCGTTGACTACCTTTATAAAAAAAAAATTGGACCTTGATTGTCCGTCTGATGACTTCCTTTACATGCGCATAGGTTGATCATACTCCATAGACGCATGGAAGAAAAATAAGGTAGATACGGACATAACCTTACTGGCACTGTCTTAAAACATTTGTATGCTCGAATTTCCGACAGCTTCAAGGCGTCGAACTTCGAGGCTTTACTGACGTCATGCGACTCGGAGTGCTGTCCTCGATGTTCTTATGTTCTTATGTCTTGAACACACAAGAAATATCTCGATACGAAATATTGATTATTGACATGCAGCCTCCCCTCGGATGCAATGCAACAATCGTACGATGCAAGTGCTTGTGGTGCTTGTGGGAGTTACACCAATTCTAAGCCTTAGCCCCTGCAGCTTGCCGCTGCTGGAAGGTCGCGCAGAGGTCACAGCTTCAGCTCTCACAAAGCTTCGATCGAGTTGGAGATACACAGACGGCATTGTGCTTCGCTTCATACTTGTATAGAAAACAAGAAATAGACAATTTGATAAACAAGCATGCAGGAGAACAAAATTCGATCGTCCGTCTTCTTCGACTGTTCGGCCCGTCGCCGCGAGTATCTCAACGTGGTTTGGCGCCACGGCAAAGCCTCCCGTAGCGTCTTCAGGGCGCATCCTCGCGACCTCAATCAGGCTCAATGTGGCTTAGGTGTCACCAAATGCAGGCTATCGATAGCTAAGAATACGGACCGCGTTGCTGGGCTGAACCGATAGTGAGCCTCAAGATCCGCCAGGATTAAAGGTTCTGCTCCCCACAGAATCTTCAACAACTCAGCTCAATTGCCACGATTGCCGTCCTGGACCCTGCTGTATAATACTTGTAATACCTTAATTCGAATACTGAACTCTTAGGGCAATGGCGGAATCTCCACGACTTCTCGCGCGTCTCTTCCTCCTCGTCGCGTTCCTCTCTGCAGCCCTCGCACAATCCGCAATCACACCAGAGACTTCAAGAAATGCGTCGATATGGCAGTACCCAGGAAACTCGGGGTGGACGTACGAGGGATGTCACAATGAGACGGTTACAGCGAATGGGTCGGATAGCGGTTTAAGGGCGCTGGTTCAGAGTGATGGTACGGGGACGAGTACATCGTCAGACAACATGACTGTAAAGATGTGTCTGGACTTTTGCGCTGAGAAGAACTTTCCTTTAGCTGGTGTGGAATATACGAGGTGAGCCAATACACATTGAATTGATCCCAGGAAGAAAATTGGCTAACAAATTCATAGGGAATGTTACTGCTCGCAAACCATACGTTCTGAAGCAGTACGAGACGATGCTTCTTGCAATCTTGCATGCCAGGGAAACACGACTCAGATATGTGGTGGCTACCGCGCTATAAGTGTGTATCAGAACTCGAAGAATTCGAAGAAAAGTGCCTCGTCGAAAGGATTTCAGGAAACGTCGGTTGGCAGTGTTTTGGCTTTGGGAATTGCTGTTGGAGCTGCGCTTTACCTCACATAATTCAGTCAATTGGAAAGAAATGCATTAATCTTATGATAATAATGTGGCACTTGGACATAAGGGAAACTGGGGGGGGCTACGAATACTTAATTATTTCTGGCAAAGAAAGAATATTTGGGAGGATAGGATGAGGTATATGTGGGATATAGAGGTGTTTTGCTGTCCGATTTAAGCGTCCTGGGACTATATAGAAAGCTGTGTTTTGGTTATACTGCGTAGATATAGATGGAACAAGTTTTAATATTCAAGAAATTCTATTCAGAATTAAAATCTAAACTATTACAAAACTGCAACTTTTACAACCCCCCCATCAGACTCAAACAACCACAGCCAAAACACCACCCACAACCCCAACCACCCCCGCAACCACCATGCCCATCTCATTCCTCCCCGCACCCCCCTTCACAGGCGTCGCCTGCGCCAAAGCCGCAGAAACGGTCGCATTAACGACGCCCGCATAACTCGCAACCAGACTCGAGAGCTGCGGCGGCATGGACGCCGTAGACAGCTGATCGGGTCTGTACTGCGCGGTGAACGAACTGAACTCTGATTTCCCCGCCAGATCCACGACGATGGACGTAGCCAGCGAGACGAGCACGGATGCTAGGGATGTGGAGGCTGCTGGCGCGAGGGTGATGGTCGTGGGGACGATGCCGGAGAGCGCGGTGACGCTGGGTGTGTTAGTGAGAGATAGATGTTGTGAGGAAGGGGACTTACACATCTCCTGGCCCTAGAACGGCATTTCCTGCTGAGTCGAGGGTTTGGGCTGTGATGGTGCTGCAGAGAGCGAAGACGGTGGTGAGGAGTGTGAATTTCATGATTGCGGTTTTGATTTGAGAGATTGATTGAAAGTGGAACTGAGACAAGTGACTTGATCTTGTTGTTGAAAAAGAATACTCACAAACCTTTACTAGTACTTATACTGTTCCTCGTATACGTACAATTCTGCCTTTCGCGCCTGGTACCTGGACATGTTGGATGGCTCATGCGGCGAGGAATCATGCGGCGTAGAAATTTAAAAAGGTCGCCAATCTCTTGAGCCTCAGGGGCAAAACACTCACAGCCCTGCTTGGTCCTGGTATGATTGGTTTGCCTTACGGGGCGACCTCTTGGTTGGGTGTTTCTTCGTCGTGGGAGGGTCTGCATTGGGCTGATGATGTTTGCGAGGTACGATACCACTCTAGAACAAGGCCGCTTCGCCATTGTGTTAGTGTAGCCCACTAGGCGCTTCCGTGGGTTTGCTGTTTCATATAAGTGGTATATATAGATGGATCTATAACTTTGATGTTAGAAGAATGTTTGTTTCCATTTTTGTGTAATGTTTTTGGGAGAGACCAAGGTGATGCAAAACTAGTGACTTTATATCGAGAGTTTTCGCAGCAAGTGCCCGCTTATGAGGTCATATCTATGCATTCATTATCGTCATGTAAATGAAATAATATGTGTGTATGTGGGACAGATTTATATGAAACCTCAACAAACATGCTTCAAATCTAATAGTCTAAAATTTGTACAAACAAACGCCTCTGTAGAGCAAAGCAGATAAAAAAGCGCCAAGCAAATGCTTCTCACAGCTTGATGGCAAATCTTTCTCTGATCCGCTCTCCATAGATATAAAATATCAGAGGACTTGGCGCCAATAGCACACCGATGAAAGCAAAGACGCTTATTCCCCAACCGACTCCATATTTGTCAATTAGACTAGGTGTGAAGATGGGAACCACGCCACCGATGAGACTCCGGAACAATGCACCAGCTGCAATAGCAGAGGCTGCATATTTCTCGAAGCTGTCAATGTAATAATTCTGTACACAATTGAAAATCGATACCTGCCCGATGCCGTAAAAAAATGTCGCGGCAAGAGTGGCAGCCCAATGGACATGATATTCGACAGTCCATGCAAACCAAAAGAGCGTGATTGGAATGAGAACCGCACCGACGTTGGCCAGAGGTAAGCGATATTCGGGCTTTTCTTGTCCATATTTCTTTGAAAGGCGGTTGAAGACCGTGTCGATCTTGGGTACGAGGAACCAAACAGCAGTTAGGAAACCAAGACCAGGTCCAAGATAGATGAAGCCAACTTGAATAGTGTCGAATCCGTACAAACCACCGTAAATACGCTGGAACTGGGTGTAAAGACTGTAGGTCGTAGCGAAGAGAAGGGCCTGATAAGTGGCCATTGTGATGACTATAGGTTGAAGAAAGAGAATGGTGAGAGGCCTCTTTATGGACTCCCGCAACTTCGTTGTAAGTGGCCTATCATCCTCACCCTCGTAGTAGTAATTGCCCCCATCTTTTTCGAGCTCTTTCTTACGTCGTGAGAGTAGAACAGGGACATACGTTTCTCGTAGAAAGAAGAAAGCTGAAGTGACCAGAACCACGCAAAGGATAAGAAGAATCCAGAACAGCCATGGCCATTTTAGATTAGCCATGATGACAGCGCCCAGTATGGGACCGAGCGATGGACCGAGAAGGGGCCCAAGAAGATACCATCCAAATATGCCTGCTCTCTCGCTTGGAATGTACATGTCGCTGATCGTCCCACCACCGTTAGCAATAGACACGCTTCCGAAAAAACCAGCGATGGTCCGCATGATAATAAGAGTCGTGACATTTGGTGATAGAGCCGTAGGTATTTGGAGAAGCGTAAAGACGGCGAAGCAGCTGAGATACAGCACTTTCCTGCCAAAGGTCTCTGACAAGGGGGCCAGTAGCAAAGGTCCTACTCCTAGCATACATACAAAACCGGTCTGGCATGCGATGACCTGACTAGTTGTAGCATCAAGGTCTTTGGCAATTTGATCGATTCCTGGGGCAAACATGCTGGAGGCAAGCGGTCCTAGTACTGCAGATATGAGCAAGTGCTCAATGAAGAAGCCTTAAACAACGTACATGCCATGGAAGCTACAATTCCAATATTCGCAAGCTTGTCCCATTTCGACCATGATCTTGGATGTGAGCCATCTTCATATGACAGTTCAACTAACTAAAAAGGTGCTTAGCAGATGTCAGATTTCTTGGAGAGCCTAGCACACCTTTTTGCCTTGATGGCTGTCACGCCTAGATTCATCACCACGTAAAAGTGGCGATTCCTCATCAATCCCGGGCATTTCTCGTGGTTGCATGATTACTTTTGCCCCCGATAAATCATGAAGTGAGTGGTAGATCCGATGAGATTTCAATAAGGAAATAGAACAGAGAGAAATGAAGTAGAAACGAAAATAATCGCGGATAGTGTCGTAAAATACAGTAATTTCGGGCATATCGCTTACGATGATCGATGACGCTGTACCGGTAGTACGCTACGCTAAACCGTGTAGATCAACCTTGCACCCCATCTTTCCTATGTGAATTGCCATATTTTGAAGAATGCCATTTCTCTAGTCGCCATGGCCTGGACCAGAAGCTCCGCGGATAGCGCCTCATTGTTGACACTTGAGAACTCCCCGAAAGCATGGTTGTTGGGTAAAAGTTTGGTGAAATGAACAAGACTCCTAAGCTTTGATTTTGGCGCCGCATCAGTTTCGAGTTACCACGTAGTTACACCTCGGTGACAGATTTGAATTGGTGAGCAGGACATATTGGGTTTTTCTTTTGCTGTAAGACCATGAAATCAGGAATACGATTTTCGATGTTGCAAAAGGAAAAGCCTGACGAAACCAAGTCATCGGCGATAAGACTTTGCTTATACTGGCTCCGAAGTGCCGGCTTTGTCACGTGCGACCGTGTTTAACCCGACGCGCCTTCAACTGGGAAGCATGATTTCCAACTCCCGGACAAATCAAACCATTTTCATACATTCTTACGTACTACGGTGCAGCTTGTACGTGTCATCCCTCGCGAAGATTGCGATGGCTTGGACGAAATGAAACACCGGTAGCAGCGCATATAACGAGACTTATGAGTTGCCACCATCGTCGACATGGGGAGTAGACTGGAGAAGAACTCTGAACTGGTCCGGAAGCGCGTCGAGGCTCATACTTTCGAGGATGAAGAAGGCGAAGAATATGATGGTTCGAAGTTTGGAGGGTTCACTGACTATTTCCGCCGCAAGAAGCTCAAATTACAAAATTTGGATGCTCAGGTCCGTTCATCATCATCAGGTAAACCTCAGATATTCAAAGGAGTTTCCTGCCATGTAAATGGTTATACTCAGCCTTCACTGAATGACCTACATCATATGATTGTCAGCCATGGCGGTGCCTTCATGCAATACTTGGATGGAAAGACCACTGTCACCCACATCATTGCCTCAAACCTGACCCCGAAGAAGGCTATCGAGTTTCGCCGCTATAGGATAGTAAAGCCCGCTTGGGTTGTGGATAGTATCAAGGCTGGAAAGCTGCTTCCTTGGAGCTCATACCGAGTGCTTGATGAAGGAGTTGGTCAGAAGGTCTTGGGATTTGATGCCGGCAAGGTTGTCAGCCAAGCGGGCACGCAATCTCGATCTTATCGCGAACAGACAAACACGAGTTGGTATACCACTCAGATCAAAAATTTGGCGGAAGATATTGATGATGAGCTGGGTGCGAACTTTCCAAGTACTCAAATAGCCACATCAAATGGGGCTGGGATTTACACTGGCAGCACAGCTCACCAAGGACACTCGGAGGTCGAGAAACCAAGTCGTCAATATGCCGACTTGCTCGAGGACCTGCCACAGTCTTCGGGTAGCTTCGAAGTCTCTTCTTCCTTAGAAGATGCCCTTAAGGATGCTGCCGCTGTTGAGCATCTTCGCAAAAACGATGGTCCGCTTAACACGATACTCGAGCCGCCTTCCCTGGAGAATTTGGAAGACTCAGAGCTACCCCATACATCAGATCACACTCCACTAACAAGGACTCCTACTCGAACCCGAGACTCGGCTTCACCGAGAGTGGATTTATCGTCACCAACTCCGCTCAATAGTGTCAATAACACACCATACAAAGCTTCCTGCAAGCCAACTCACTTTGAAAGTCCGTCACCTGAAAAGCCCGCGAAAATTCTTACCGCGGAAGAACATAATGCTCTTCTACTGGCGGATCCGCGTATGAGGAAGTCGTCGACTGCGAATCCGGAATTCCTAAAGCAATACTATGCCGAATCTCGTCTTCATCATCTCTCAGCTTGGAAAGCAGATCTAAAGTCGAAATGCCAGCAAATGGCGGCAGAAACAACGGCTTCTCAGAGACAAAATCTCAAACGCAAGCCAGGCGCCCGAAGATACGTCTTACATGTAGATTTTGACAGCTTCTTTTGCGCTGTATCATTGAAAGCAGCGCCTGAGTATGTAGACAAGCCAGCGGTTGTTGCTCATGGAAGTGGAACAGGATCAGAAATCGCCAGTTGCAACTACCCTGCACGGGCCTTTGGTGTCAAGAATGGCATGTGGATGAAGAATGCATTAAAGCTATGTCCAAACATCAAGGTTCTTCCATATGACTTTCCAGCGTACGAGGAAGCAAGCAGAAGCTTTTACGAAGCTATCCTTGACGTTGGAGGCATCATACAAAGTGTCAGCGTAGACGAAGCGCTTGTGGACGTGTCTTCCCTATGTTTGCAAGCAGGAGGTACTGATGGCTTTGGAATCAGCGAAGGCAGCATCTGGCGAGAACAAGAGAAAGCTGATGAGATAGCTCTTGGGTTGCGGCATCGTATCAAAGAGAAGACGGGTTGTGCGGTTTCCGTCGGCATCGGTGGCAACATCTTGCTCGCCAAGGTGGCCCTTCGAAAGGCGAAACCTGCTGGGCAGTATCAAATTAAGCCAGAAGAAGTTCTCGATTGCCTTGCTGATCTCAGCGTCCAAGATCTTCCGGGAGTTGGCTACAGTATAGGCGGAAAGCTTGAAGAAATTGGAGTTAAATATGTCAAGGACGTTCGACAACTGACAAAGGAGAGATTAATCAACGTACTCGGGCCCAAAACCGGCGAGAAAATATGGGACTATTCTCGGGGTATCGATCGTGTGGAAGTAGGAGAGCAAGTTGTTCGAAAATCTGTCTCGGCTGAGGTAAACTGGGGAATCCGATTCATATCCCAACCTGAAGCTGAGGAGTTCGTGCAAAACCTATGTATTGAGTTACAACGTCGCCTACTTAATGAGCGCGTCAAAGGCAAACAACTTACGATGAAGATTATGCGAAAAGCAGCAGATGCTCCGCTTGACCCACCGAAGCACTTGGGCCATGGCAAATGTGACACTTTCAATAAGAGCATAGTGCTTGGAGTGGCTACCAATAACGCTGAAGTTATTGGGAGAGAGGCGATTTCAGTATTACGCGGCTACGGGTTTTCTCCCGGCGAGCTTAGGGGATTGGGAGTACAGATGACCAAACTCGAACCCATGAAAATTGCCGGCGGGAGTCTTCCTGATGGCAGCCAGAGAAGAATCAATTTTGGCGCGGCTGCTCCAAGATTGGCCAAACAAGTTGCTGAAGATCCTATCGACGATCCGGTTACGCCAACAAAGCGAAAGCCGCTGCTTCTTCCAGAGGACAGTCATACAAGTACTGAGATAGAACCCATAGATGAATCGCCAACTCCTCGAAAACCAAGATCAGTTGCAGCACAACTTATGCATAGACATGATCCAATTCATGATAGCCCTGTTAAGACACGTCCTACTCCTGTCCATCCAGCAGCTGCCATATCGAGAGCAAATGCGGTTGACCAGAGCGCAAAGAAGTTTCTCAATCTGACAGGAACACAGTTCATAGTACCATCACAGATAGATCCTACAGTTCTAGCCGAGCTACCTCAAGATATGAGAGCGAAACTTATGGCTCAGGGTGGAGGGGCATCTAGATCAAGGAGCCAATCCCCTCTTATCTCAAGATTTGACAGTCCAGTCAGAGAAACTTTTCGTGAGGCATCTAACCCACCATTGCCTTCAGATTTAGATCCAGATGTCTTTGATTCATTACCCGATGATCTCAAAGCAGAAGTTCTCGCCTCATTCGCGACCAAGCAACCTGCTATCTCGGGAGCTCAAAGCGTCCTACCACAATCCCCACGTAAGAACCGTACCATTCAAAACATCAACCTCAAGAGAACCACACCCACTAAGAAACGAGGTCGTGGTCGACCCCGAAAATTCGAAATGAACTCCAGCAGAACCCAATCCAGCTTCCTAGCCACCAAAAAAGCCCTCATCCAATCCAAAGACCCCGACACCGACGCAGAAGGCTACACCTCCGAAACCCTCGACCCAGCATTCCTCTCCGCGCTCCCGCTCGAAATGCAAGAGGAAATCCTCCTCGAACACAAACGGCACCGACTCGCCAAAAAGTCCGGCCTCGTAACCTCCAACACCCTCCTCAAAAAGCGCAAACCCCCAGAGATTCCTCCACTAGGCCAGCGCAAAATCCGTCTCCCGCCGCGCGATCCCAAGCCGACGTTCACGACGCTGGAGCTTAGCACGTTGCCGCAGCTGCGCGAGACGTTGAGGGAATGGTATGAGGAGTTTTCGGGGGAGGGACCGCATGAGGAGGATGTTAAGGCTATGGAGCGGTATTTGAAGAGGGTTGTTGTTGAGGAGAGGGATGTGGCAAAGGTTGTGGGCGTTTGTAGGTGGGTTGAGTGGCTGATTGGTGAGGCGGGGGAGGGGAAAGGGACGGAGGCTTGGAGGAGGGCGTTGGTAGGGATTAAGGGAGAGGTACAGGATGCTGTGAGGGAGAGGGGGTTGGGTGCTTTGGATTTGTAGATAGGATGATTGTATGATTGTTATGGCTTATGAATGATGAAATTGCTTGGTACAGTAGTATACTAGGTGTAATAAGCATGTGAAATTTCATGCTTGACTAATGTCTTAACCGACCCATTTGAAACGTCTACCTATTTCTTGATCTATCTCCCAAACCACCGGGTATTATTGCAACCTTCCCCTGAAATGCACCCATATACTCCTTGAACAACATTGTATCTACAATCTAATTCATTTACAAACCATACTGCTCCGCAATCCAATCCGCCTGAATAGCACTAACCTTCTTCGCATAATTCTTAGTCGTAAACACATGTTGCAAAAACATAATCGCCTCCAACTTCTTCCCATACAACACACTCGAAGGATGGATATGAATCGACTCCTTCCCAGCCGTCGTCTTATAACTGCCATCAGGACCCAAAATCGCAGTCTCTTTGATGAAGGCTTTGAGGAACGTCTTCATCACAACCGATGCTTTATCCGGAGTTATCGGCTCGAAAGGCTGGGGATCAGCTGGCGGCTGTTCTGACAAGAGTTTCTCATTCAAGCATATCTGACGAAGTTGTTTGCGGATCGTGCAGGCCAGCTTCATGGCGCGGACAGAGACGAGATGCTTCTGACACCAATCATTTCGATTTGTGTTTTCCGCAGCGTAGCGCTGCATTGTCGTGAGTAGAGTTATGAGATCACCTTCCCGTCGATATATATCGCTCCTGTTCTCGTTCATAGTTTCGTTTTGTTCTTCGGATTTGGGTTGGAGGAAAATTTCGTTGTCGGTGTTGAGACAGGCGAGGATGTCGATGACTTCCAAGAGACAGTCGGCTGAAGAGTCGGCCGCTGCAATAAGAACGCGGCCGTGTGTTGCTGGTAAAGGAAATTTAGCCATCTGTTTCCCCACTTTGGTGAGTGAACCGTTCTCGTCGAGTGCGTCCATAGCATAGAGATGATTCAATGCCTTTTCCATATACATGACATCAGGTGAGTCCATTAGTGGGAATGTAAGGACATCCTCAACACCGCGAGCCTTCATCTTGAGAACTGCCTCTATTACATTGCATCGCATAATCTCTGGTAGTTCATCCTGATCCATTTTTAGATACTCTGCATTTGTGTAAATTCTTATACATTTCCCCTTAGCCTCACGACCGGCACGACCAGCTCTTTGGATAGCGGAAACTTTGGATATTGGTTTTATGAGTAAAGATTCCATGCCCAGATGTGGGCGGTATTGCTTGACTTTAGCTTTACCGCAATCAACAACATAACGAACACCAGCGACTGTTAACGAGGTCTCCGCAATATTGGTAGCAAGAACTACTTTCCGCGTAAACTTCTTTTGAACTTTGACGAAAGCATCTTGCTGAGCTTCTGGAGACAGAGATCCGTGCAAAGGCTTGACTTCCATTTTTGGCACATTTGCTGTAAGCATCGCTGAGTACTTCTCCAGCTCGACCTGTAACGATTCAATTTCGTCTTGACCGGTCAGGAATGCGAGAACATCTCCCGGCAGTGGCTCAGAGGTGTGCAATTGCAAAATGGTTTGGAGCATTGCATGCTGATAGTCTTGCACAGGCTGCACTTCGCACAGCGTCTGGACCTCGTGTTGACGACCTCTGATATACTCGTAGGCTACTCCGTTTGGTGAAACGACCCCCCGCGAAATGCCAGCTTGATCCAAAGGAGTTCCCACATCTGCTTTTGTGTCAACACCGTTCGTCATAGTGTGTTTCGCAACATTTGAAATTTTGTCTTCATTGGTGATTTTAGAGGTATCCTCAGCGGTCTCGCTGAAACCACTCCAGGATGAGTACTCCGAGTCAAGTGATGAACGACGCGAATCGTCCATTTTTTCCGGCTTACCGTTGGTTGTTCTTTTGGCATTTCCTATTTGTTTCTTCATATGAGGCGGCTTTGGATTGAACTTTTCCTCTGTATTTTCCTTTACGGCATCTTCTGGCAGATCTGTTGCGAGCACTTTTCCGTAGCTGTGGCCTAAAACGTAACCAGGCTGAGTTCCCGGTTTTGCAAAAAATGCTTCGATGCCCCCTTTGTCAAGCGTAGCACTCATGATTATGACTTTCAAAGGAACTCCACCGCGTCCTTTTAAGTCTCCATGAACTATATTCCTCAGGAACCCAAGAATGAGATCAACATCCATACTTCTTTCATGAACCTCATCAACTATAACAGCGCTATACCGCGTCAAATGCGGATCCGATAGCATTTCTTGTAGCAATATACCCTCCGTCACGAATTTGATCTTTGCATCTTTTGGAACCATGCTGTCAAAACGAACCGAGTAGCCAACGGTGCCAGGCTCTTTCTTGATCGACGCTTTATTCAAAGGCTGACCCATCTCCGCTGCCACACGTTGTGCCAAGGTGATTGCAGCAATTCTTCGAGGTTGTGTAATTGCGATCATTCCTCCAACTTTAGCCTCCTCTTTTCTGCCATCCTCTTTTTCAATCACGACTGGTTGTCTTACACACCAAGGCTCTGTATAAAGAAATTGCGGAACCTGGGTACTCTTTCCGGAACCCGTTTCTCCATTGAGAAGCAAGATATCGTGGTGTCTTAACCCCCATCGAATGTCCATCTTCTTTAGCCACACTGGAAGCTTTCTCCGCGTTTTATCGAGTACAGCCGCATTTCTTTCCAGATCCTTTCGTGAAGGCCCTTGGTATTGAGGTCTATCTCCGACATGGCTGTTCGATTTGTTCTCGAATTGAGGCCGTGACCCAGTCTGTTCCTGCATCCGCTTGTTTTCCACGCCATTCAGCTTAGGTGATTTTCTTGCCCTCCCATTGTCATCGTGATCCGCGTGTTCCTTTCGTTTCTCTGGCTTATTGATCTGCGAAGTTGAATTCTGGGGTGAGCTGGTCCTGGACTGTTTAGGGTTTCCATCTTGTGAGCGCTTCAGGCCATTGGCTAAAGCAGTGCCATTTAATCCAGAACTTTTCTCAGAGGGTCGCTGTTTCTCCTCCACCTTTATATCTGGCTTTTGCGACTCGGCAGATGTCGCTTCCTCCCCAAACTTCTTGTAGACTTTTTCGGGCATGATTCTGATCTCCGTGTAAATAATTGGTCCTATCGCCGGATAGTGTTTTGCGTCAATCGATCGAGGCAGGGTATCATTCAAGTGAAAATACTGAAACCATCACCCAAGAGCTCCAGATCAAAGAAATAACTTGCGGAGATTCATGTGCCTGCAACACGGCAGCAATCCGAAAAGTATCCGTGGCTCTTCAGGATGTCGGTCGCAAACCAAAAATTTATCTAATTCTGCCGCATCGTCAAAGGCGGTGAACAGAGTAAGGATATTTGTGGGACGTTCACCCCACCATCTCCCCTCGATTATTTCGCGGCTTGAGAGGCCAAATCTCCCAACATACTTTATTATATCAAATCTCCCGTCATTGCTTCATCTTCCATGTTTTGTCTCGAATACCTGGGGTCCTGAAACTTTTCGGATTCCCGTAAAGATAACTCAACCCACGCAGATTCAAGCACACTGCCATGTCCTGTTCTTAGACAGACACAGAGGTGGAGAGAGAGAGGAAGAGGCTCACGTCACACCATGCTCTTATCTTCAATTCTAAATGCTCAGCAGGTCTAGTGTCGAGGGAACTTTAGGACACGTGTGTTAATATTCATGGGTTGTCGCTTAACCGACCATCCCCCCTTAATACACAAAAACCTTTAGGGTTTCTTCGAGGCCACACCTTTACACTCTCACTCTTAGTACTCTATAACAACTTCACTAGCCCAGGAATATGTTTTTTCCCTTCATGAACTAATTTGGTTATTATGTTTCATCCAGGAACTTTATTTTTCCAATCATTCGAGTCTTCACTAGGTGTCAATATCATTGCAGAAGGAATTGTTCACAATATGTTGTTCTTCCAGCAAATATGCTTGTGATTTTCTTTGCGATTTTCATTAGAGACCTGGGGCATTCTCCTGGAATCTCGTCGACAATTGGGATTAGGAACCTTGGGAGTTTTCATTGGATTGGTAGCAAAGTTGCAGGAAAGCGCGACTTACTAAAACTAATGAAAGTTGCATCTGTATTCAAATTACTGGATGAAGGTTTCGTGGGAGCGAAAACCCGATGGGGTTTAAGGCGCTGTTTTACATCATTCTGTCATGCCCCGTTATACTCTTTCAATAGTTAACCGTAGTATGAGAAAAATGCCAGAGATACTCTTAGAAGATTTCACAACAACAATTGAGTATGACTTTCGTGTGTAAACTAATTGCTTATGCAATGACTGTATAAACATAAGGCTGCAGAGATGTGTAAGCCTCAACATAGCTTTGCACCATCCCGCAACCGCTTCTTTGCGCTGGCCGATACACAGACCATTCCTCCCGTTGAACAACTTCAAGATTTCTGCCACCCATATCTCTCACAATCAGCTTCTTGCTTTTGTTGTTCCCGCAAGAGCTAACAATAGTATGCGTGGAAAGAGTAAGTGGTCCTGACCTGGCACAGGCATTGAGTATGCGGAGCAATACCGATAGTTCTGTAATTTCCTTTTTGGCACGAGTGGTGTGGCCAAATAGAGTAGTTCAAGCATCTGTACTGGTCTAGGTTGCCAGCCGCCGTGGAGGAATAGGCACTCGCGACTCCATAGCATTCTTGGGTGTGGTAGTAGTTGAAATCACCGTTGCAGGTATTCTCATCGGATGAATACGCGTAGAAATAGCCCGCATCTCTCTTGTCCAATGCACTCGTTGGAGCGCGACTGGGAACATGACCAGTCACGATCTGCCCTGTGACGCCCATCTCTACGGCATTGGCATGATCAATGGCCGTGATGTCGATGCTTGTTTCCTGGACTTCGTCGTCAAACTCGCTTGATTCAAGCGCAAGAGAGACTGTGCTCGTTGAGGCCTCAATACATTGCCATAAATCCATGTCGGTGGTCTTGATGTCAATCGTACGGTTTGCGGTTGGGAGTAAAACCAGAACACCCTCGTCTACGTATGCTCTGTACGTAGAGTTCAGATTTTGGACGCATGCCTTGAAGACAGAGAAGTTTTGGTCGTCGAGTTCACCTTGTCCCATGACAGCCAACATGATGCTCGAGTCGAGAGTGGTCGGAGCCACCACCGTGGGAGCGATTGAAGCTGAAATTGCTGCACTGACTCCTGCAAGGACAATGGCTAGTTTTATGGTGGATGTCGACATGATTGATTTGGTCGCAGGAGAACACTGGTTTTGGATTGGACTTTGAGTGATTGCTAATCTGGTACTGGATGGTGAGAGGAAGTTTAAAGGCGGGTTGCGGGAGCATCTTTATAGTTGTTGATGAAGCTATTTCTCTTTCCTAATGGCTTGAGGTTATCACAGCGCATGTCAGCTTTGCTGTTACATTGAGACTGAATCGGCATCAGATGGCATGATTTCTGAAAAGGGAGGCTTTGCCAATGTACCAAGCTTTAAGCTGCTCAATAGCTTGCTTTCATGAGAGCAACATAGCTCACTTGTGCCATTTGTCTGTTCCCATATGGTTATGATTGGGATGATGAACGAGGATCTCCTCTTCACCGTAAATGCAGGGGTGTTTATTAACTAGAATACGACACGGAATTATAAGTTTTTGAACCTTGTCGGGTTGCGCCACCATTTGACATGGTAGCTTCCAAAACTCTTCTCTGAATGTGGAATATTTGCAAGAGCTTGGAATCCTGGGTCTGTCTTAAACTATTAACTGTGTAGGGTGAACTTTGGGTAAAGCAAGCAAAATGTTACCAACAGTGAGTAACACAACGGAGTATGTCAACTTAGTCATTATATTGTTTGAAACAAGCTACTGAAATGACTGACATTTAAGTACCGTATAGTCCACAACGCTAATCAAGTCAAAAATCCCTGGTGGCGTATACTAGGCTTTTTATCGAACCATAAAGAATCAGCAGTCTGGTATTGCAACACGTAAGCTGTGGGAAAGCTTATTCACCAACTTTAATAGTTTGTTCATTCGACTGTTAACATAGGTTGTTTTTCGCTATCTGGCCAATACATTGACGCCGTTTGGTGTCTGATTCTTGGAGGAAGACTTGGAAAATGCACTTCCAATAAGTGGCGTTCAGATTCTGGCTTTACGATTAATGTTTTAAGATTTCTTGGCTAGTAAGCAACATGTCAACAACGCGAAGAGCTTCAAAAGGACATACCCTATCGTAGACTTGGTGGAAATGGAGCTGGCAGAAGATTGAGGTTTTTATAGGGTAAAACCAGTGCGAATCCAAGGAAACGTCTTTGAGATAACATTCCCAAGTAGTACCGTTTAGATATCTCTATATCCAAAGAATTCTCACAAGCGAGAAACGAAACAAAATTTCAATTAAGCTTAAACATGGATATGTTCTATAGTTAGTTAGCAGTAGTGACGCAAACCGAAACCTGGTTCGAGTATGTGTTATAAGAAACAAGCTATTTTGCAGTGACCGTCCACTTGATGCCAGGGCGTTTTTCAGATGATCCGAAGATGCTGTTCCAATCGTCGTTGCCAAAAGTCTGTTCGCTCTACCCTCGGCTACAATCTATCCCTGAATAGTATAATATCGATCTAGGCTTGTATGGAGCCCATACAAGGCTATTGGGTACAATCAATGTGGATCCAGAAAAAGACCTTCGTCTATTCCCTCTCAAACGATGGAGTTCATTTCGTGATCGGCCAGCGTTGTTCTCACTTGACAAACGCTCCTACATCCCGCGTACATTTGGCCCTGTAAAGAGTATTTTCGAGTCCTCTCTTTTGCCGTTCCCATGACATCTAAATACGAACCTAGTTGACAATAGTAAGTTTTTGGGAGAGAAATTATGCTCTATTAGACACCGGTGCAGGTCTGAGCGAGGGACTCTACTCTGTTAGACACCGGTACATGTCTAGGGCTTTTATATGAGTGGAGACTAATACTCTATTAGGTACCGGTACATGTATAGGGTGTTCTATATGGGCCGGGACTAATACTTTATTAGGTACCGGTACATGTCTTGGCATAAGCAATCACAGTTACTACCAGCTTATGTTTAACCCACACTTCAACAACATCTCAACCATTCTCTTATCGTGGTGGTGACAAGGATTTATGTCCATCTCATGGATTAGAACAACCATAAAGGCAATTAACTTTCCCCGGTCATCTCCGATGTCTCAGCGTTTCGCAGGTGAGTTTATTGGCCGTTTCTTTTGGCTCGTACCTCATATTGCTGTACATCTTAACAGAAGTTCAACTTTGTTTCTCATTCCTTCTTAATACACCGCTTTCTCTGACATCTAAACAATTGGCGTGTTAGCAGAACCATTCACGCCATGTCGGAAGAGTACATGGACTTTGACCGCTTCATCCACACATTCGAACTGAAGCTCGACAGAGAGTTCGACCACGATGACATAGCGGCATCTTGGGCTCCCTCTACCAAGAATGCCCCTCTACTTTGGGGCGAGGAGCTTGATGTGTTCGAACTCAATGACAACGACCCCATGTCAACCATGGCGGAGAAGCCGAGTGCTACACTGACAGTCAGTCCGGATAGTAAGTTCTTGGCAATTGCGACCAACGCTGTCATTAGAATCTACGTTGTCGAATCAAAGTTGTTGATGGCGGAGCTTCATGGACATGAAGAGACGATTGAGGCAGTTCACTTCTGGAAATTGAACCATCAAAACGTCCAAAATGCCCATTATGTGGTTTTTTCGCAAGACTCCGAGCCTGTGGGTGCAGATGGTACAATACTTACATGGTATCTCGACAAAGATGGTGAAAGGGTTGACGACACGGAAAATCCCATCAACTTTGAAGGCAGGTTCCTCTCGGGAAGCTTAACGGCTCTTAGTCACGACGAAATTCTATTCGTGCATTCGGATCGAAGTATAACAACACAAGGCTGGCCAAGACCAACCGAATGGTTCCCCCAGCTCGTCGTTCGCTCACTTTTGGATCCGCTCACAGAAGTCCGCAGACTTAAAGGCCACCAAGATGCAATTATGTGGGCTTCGTGGTCATCCACTGATCCCAATATCATTGCATCGGCATCTTGGGATGAGAGCTGTCGAATCTGGAATGCTGCGACGGGCGAATGCATCCACAACATCAGGCACACTAGCGGACAGAACTGGACAGGTGACTTCTCGCCCAATGGAGAGCAGGTTGTGTTTGCTGGGAGAAACCGGAGCGGCCCTCCAACTATTGCAATTTACTCAGTGGCAACCGGTAACCGCGTTCTGCAACTAGAGATGCCAGGTCTTCGCGGTTGGTCTGCACCGTTAGCATGGTCTCGAAACGGCGATGTGATCGCCCTCGTGATCAAACGTGCGGTCATCTTATGGGAGGTTGCCATAAACAAGACTACGGAAGTCTTGGAAGTGCATAGTGATGGTAGTTGGCGGGACAGCTTCTGCGGAATTACGAGTGTAAAATGGCTCGATAGGAATGGCGAAAAGCTCCTTGTTCGGGTGAGTGATCACACGATATTTATCTGGGATAGGAAGCGCAATTGGAAATGGAGATTGCAGAGGCCTCCGACGTTACAGGAGATGGTAACCCTCTCAACGGCAGAGGCGTTTATCGAAGAGAAGAACTTGCTGCTGTCTCTTGACGGAGATTGGAGGGTCCGAACTTGGGAACTCGAGTCAGGTTAACTCGAAGGGGGTTCACAAAGATAGATCTATTTTCTTGCTATGTAGCTATCCGAGGAAAAAGAAAAGTTAGAGATGGATGACAAGCGGTGGAGCAAGTCTGTAAAAAAAAAACATGTGTCGAAGCGTGAAACTAGGTACTCTACTGCAATTCTAAGAGCGTGATGCAATTAATCACCAACCGATAACTAAGCTGGGAGCTGCCCAAACCGATACTGCGCCCAGCTTAAGCTCCCCTCTGGAAACGTCCATAGCCTCTCACCAGCATCTCCATCCGCCGCTCCAGCAGCAACATGGAAAGGGAGGATATGCTCAACCGACGGATGAGCTTTGCGAGCATCGCTCCGTTCCATAAGTGCGAGCATCTTCGTCTGGCGTTCATCCGGCTTGGAGCACGCAGCTTCCTTTAGGGCTTTATCAAAGGAGTATGCATATCTAATTCAATCAGCAAGAAACGAAGTAGCATCAAAAGGACTTTGCTTACGGCATTGTGGCCCCAGTTCCGCGGGTAGCTCTGAAGTCGTGAAGGTTGTGAACCGCCATACCAGCGCCGATTATCAAGACGCCTTCATCACGAAGGCCGGCGAGGGCCTGGCCCATGCGATAGTGTTGGTCTGAGTCCTCGTTGCTGAATAGTGAGACCTGTACGATAGGAACATTCAACGGGTTCTTCTCCGGATCAAAAGCTGGATTATGTTTTGTCAAATTAGCCTCCATGAAGCAGAGGGATACCACACTCTAATTGGGGCTGCTGCTATCAAAGGCGACAGTATTGCTTGATATGAACATACCGACGATAAATCCCGCCCAGACGCCATGATCGAGACCTCTCTGTACCTTCTCAACTTCGATTCCAACAGCTCCCAGTCTGTCAACCACCTTCTGAGCCAATGCCGGACTGCCTTTGTTCGGGAATTTGTATTCGTAGTAGTGAGGTGGGAAGCCGTAGAAGTCGTAAATGATATCGGTCTGCTCGGCCGCGTTGATCTTGATCCTGCTGGGACCTTCTTGCCAGTGAGCAGAAAAGACCACGATTGCTTTCGGCTTCACCTGCGTCGTGATCTCACGTCCAATGGTGGCGAGTTTAGCATACGCTGGATGCGCGGTGTTTTCCATGAAGTTTGGACCACCTATGCCGAGGAAGTAGACGGGAAGCCTTGAGGAAGACATAATGCCGTTCACAGCTGGCTCTTGTGATGTCGATTCGGTACTTGTTGTTGATGAGATAGCAGCGGAGATTGAGATCTTAGTTTTGGCTAAGTAAGAGTGAACAGCGCGGTACATGAGTGGGATTGACAAGCTGATGAGGAGAACTGTTAGATATTTGTATCTTAGAGATGCAGCGGAATGATGCGAATTAACGGAAAATGGCATGACAGACGAGTGTGAGATGTTGATGATTTAAGCTCAAGATTTTCGGCAGGCGAGAAGATGAGAGCAGGAAAATGAGTGGCATTGGTAGCTCTGCTCACCTTAAACATCGAGCGAGTACTCCGCTTTTGACATTGCAGGAGTGTCAAATCCTCCCTGTTCGCGCGCGCGCATGGAAAATAAAATAAAACTACCTTGCGACTTGAAGTAGCTTCTAGTTGTCGGGATTTACATCACAAGTTGGATTTCGGAACGCTCCAACTCGACAATTTGAGTAGGAAGAGCCGCGCGGGGCCGTATCGGGAACGATAAATAATAGACCATAGGCTTGAAGTTATGAAACGCAATAGTATTAAACCAATCGTACTGCCTGTCTAGAATATGAAAAGCTTCAAAGTGAGGGAATTAGGTAGGTAAAGTCTCGCTTAAGATTCGCGCGCGGGGTGGAGACGTGGAATCCGAGGTGCCAATTATATAATCTCTACATACCTATCTGTACGTTACGTACATGTACAGTAGGTACCTAGAAAGTACATAACATAGCATAGCAGGGTGCTGTTCCCCACCCGCGCGGTGAAATTCCCAAAGAGCCTATTTTCGCTTGATCTTTCGCTCGCTTGCAAAAAGGAGGGCAATTCATGCCTTTGTTGCGCGCGCTCGCTTCGGGTGGATTCTACCAAATTATCGACACCTCCAGTTGCTGGTGGGCAATCGAAAAATGTTGATTGTAAATCAAGACTAGCGGAGCAGGCAGTGAGTGAGTGAAGGAGGCAGATCAGTTGCCTCAACGGGGTGGAGAAACCAAACTCGCCTGATCAATCTGTTCTCGCTCGCTTAGATGAATCCAGGAGACAGTTGAAGACAGAATATAAGTACCGACTTCAATCCCTCATCCTTCGCTTCAACTAAACACAGCTTCAATCATCAATATCATCTCCCTTCATATTAACCACTCTAACAAAACCCACCCAATATTCCATCATGGCACCTATCGTTCTCATTCTCGGATCTGGTCCTCGCATCGGCGCGTCCGTTGCAACTACCTTTGCTTCAAACGGTTACACTGTTGTTCTCGCATCCCGCAAAGGCACCAACAGCACCACTCCAGAAGGGTTCCTTTCTCTGTCTGCTGACTTCAACGACCCATCCTCCATTCCAGCCATCTTCGACGCCGTCACTACCAAGTTCAGCTCTGCCCCTAGTGTTGTCATCTACAACGCTGCCGCTCTCACTCCACCATCCGACAAGGACTCCGTATTTTCCATCTCCGCCACTAAGGTCGCTGCTGATCTCAACGTCAATACCGTCAGCCCCTTCGTGGCAGCCGAGCAGGCCGTCAAGGGCTTCCAAACGCTCGGGGAAGACGTCAAAAAGACCTTTATCTACACCGGAAACATGTTGAATGTTGCTGTCCTCCCCGTCCCCATGATGCTCAATCTTGGAATGGGCAAGGCGGCCTCAGCCTACTGGATTGGTGTCGCGGACATGACTTTTGCGAGCAAGGGCTATCGGTAAGTGATTCCATGCTGGATTTTACAGAGGGGTTGGACTGACCAATGTGTCTAATAGGTTCTTCTATGCTGATGAGCGTAGCGAAGATGGCAAACTCAAGGGCATGGCTCTTGATGGCCCAGCTCACGGCGAGTTCTATGCCAAGTTGGCAGAGCATCCAGCTGGTATTCCATGGGATGCTACTTTTGTCAAGGGCAAAGGCCACGTCCAATTCAAGTAGGTGTTTAGACTTGGGTTAGAAATACGTACCAGTCGTCGTAGCGTGATAGCATTTGCAGCTGATAGGTGGATTCTATTGACTTGGGTGAGAAGCCATGCTTCGGGTATATATTACAGTTCAATTAAGCGTTTTGAAGATGTCTTGCGTGACTGTGTTGATCTCAATTTGAGCCGAAATGAGAAGCACTAAAACGTGATTTATGCTGGAAAATTTATACCGTCCAAATCAATTTCTCACATGCACAAACTCGATGCTCGGCCCTCAAAATCGAGCAATACTTAGAGTTTGCAAACTTACCTTCTCAAACAAGCAACACCAAATCAGTCCTACCTTGATTTTGAAAGCACAGAGCGAGATCACGACTCGCAATGTCTCCCGAGTTTCTGTTGCGCCACACGTTCTCCATGATCTCAAGCGCCTTGCGCACTGTACCAAAAATGCTAGGAGGGTGCAACGCCTGCACCATTACCCGCAGGTGATCTTCTTGTGCAGATTCCGCGAGGCAGCCTGCAACGCAAAATGGCCAGGCCATGGTACGCAGCAGTCCTGGCGACGATGTTTGGCTCGAAAGGAGCTCAATGATTTGACCAACATGATAGCGGATATCAACACTAGAGGGCTGCCACCCAGATACAACTACGAAAAGGTAGATGAGAGCTGCGTGAGCCCAGACGCGCGTGACCAAAGAACTCTGGTTGGCAGTTGGCAGGCAGTACTCTGCTTTGAAAAGGTCAAACAGACTACCACCATACCTTGGGGGAGCCGCAAGATCGCTTTCAAGCCGACTAAGATTTGCCTCCAATGTATCCTTGATGATTGTAGCACGATGTACCAGCTGCATCACATCGAGATTTCCAGCACGCTTGCATTGCTGCTTCCATGCATCAAGCACAGCAGTCTCCCCAATCTGCAATAACACCCAGTTCTGACAACCAATGACATGTTCAAGGTTAATAGGAGGTTCAGCCCCGTCAATACTATTCAGAAGACTCCCGTGGTATTCGTAGAGTCTGGGTTGCTCCTGCAGCACCGTGCTCGCCATAATATCGTCCAATATCAAGAGGGCGGATGAGAAGCTGAAAGCCGCCTGTTCGGCACTTGGAATCTGGACACACTGAATCTCTGATGGTGGACCCAGACGACTCATGACCGTGTAAAATGTCGAGTCTGATCTGGACGGCTCAACCGCAGGATCAAACCCTTCAAACAGTCGTTTAAAAAGAGCAAGTGCTGCGTTGAGATGTGTCTGGCAGTTTTCAAAGCTCAAGACAGCAATATCAAATCGCTGCACTTGCATGATACTGGCCATGATGCGCACCGCTCCATGCAGGTGCTCGGTAATTTCTGAGCTCTCTATGACTTGCAGCGATTGCCTCAGCATTCCAAGAGTATCACGGGTCTGGGTGAGTACCGTTTCCCAAACAACATCAGAGGTTTCAGTTCCGCGAGCGAGAGAGAAGAAGTAGGAGCTCTGACATAGAATCGCCTGTCGTACTACTGGGCTACTGATCATCATTTCTAAGATCCATGCTCTACCACCTTCCAAAAGCGACGGTCGGTAAAATGGGAAAAGAAATGGAAATACATCTTCTAAGTAGAACATGAACAGGATCGTGTCAGACCGTCCAAAATCGATGTTGCGGGCGTCCTTGGTGATACGAGTGCAATCAGTCCCACGCTGAAACTGAGGGGGAGGTATAAGAGAGCACCGGCTACTGGCAACCTGAGCAACTTGAAGTATTGGGTTGGTCGTGGGCAGCGCCTGCTGAGGGAACATGACTTCAGGCTCGCTTCCAGGAGTAGTAGATGCAGTCGTACGGACGGCTCGTTGGCCCCGACGAAGATACGCATTTTCTTTAACTTCACGTTTGAGTCGCTCCATCATCTCCTCTTGTCTTTTGGCGCCATCCATCCATTCCGGTTTCTTCACGTCGTGATAACAGGTGATGTACAGTGTAGCGCAAGTGTCACATACTGGCTGCTTCTCGTCGCATTTTTTACGTCGAAGTCGGCAACTCCAACAAGCATTGGGAGTCTTGAGTGGCCTTCCCATGTTATTGTCAGGAGAAAACTGAAGGGAGTCAAGATCCATAACCCTCGGCACGTTTTGACAAAGCCAAGATCGATCTTCGGCCGAGGAGCTATGATTTGGCGGAAAATATCTGTTTCAGAAAATCTCGATAGAGCAGGAAAATAACGGGCAATCAAATGAGATATTGTGTTGTGCTACGAGGATTTTTGAAGCTCAGAGCAGAGAGACGTTGATGCCGTGCACGTGCCATCATGCTCAGACGGTTGACAGCTGACTAAGCCCCGCTTCTCTCAGGGGTATCAAGCTAAAAGTTGCACTTTTCGTAGATACAATTGGGAATTTGCCAAAAGAACGACATAAGATTCAAATCTAAGTGTTGCCAGGTATGTAGTATCACATGTATTGAATCTACCAGCCTGAGAGTAGCTAAAAGACTAGCACACATCCTCTAAAAGCTGTTGTTTATCATTACATCGAGTATCATCGATTCTTTTCACTCTGTAATGATACTATAAGTACCTAGAACAGTATCTTTCGCCACTAATCAAGATATATACGTTTTACTCTCCCAATTGTGCCAGTGAGGCCGAATTTGCCGTCTCAAACATCGTTCTTCTCATCAAAACTGCCCCTCATTCCAATCGTCTCGGCAATTCGCAATAGCTCGGATCCGCATCTCTTATTGGTCAACGATCACGACATTTGATCTACACCTTCCTCATGTCCTAGGTCTGCACGAATCCCAACTATGTCCAGAGCAGGAAGTATTTCATTCAGGATGACGGTAGGTGAGAACTACAAAGAGTAGATTGAAATCCAAGTTTTTGAGTATCTATCTTTCTTTCCTTTAACCACCTTACAAACTTGTAAACTGCACTTATCTCTCTATCAGACACAATGGCACCCTCCATCCTTGAGACCCAACCCCAAGCACCCCACTCCTTCACATCTCCAGCCCAGAAAACAGTAGACAGGAAAATCTTCCCAGACGGGATCAAGACCTCGGGCCAGCATCCTCCTGTATCTTCCCAGCTCAGACCGTATTCCGAGTTTCCCAAGGAAATCACCGGTGAGACGGTCTGGAAAGCAGAGGACTATCGAAATAACCCGGAGAGATGGGTTCATGTGTTCAACGAAGAGGAAATTGCGGAGTTAAGCGAGGTTGCTGATAAGTTTATTGCCGACAAGACACCTTTGACGGGAATATCTCAAGTGAGGAAACTCATATATGTTTGCATGATGGATCTAATTTATCTAGGATACTTTCAAACTCCCAAATCTCTCCAAACTACTAGCCTCAATTCGCAGCGAGACTTTGAATGGAAAGGGATTCATCCTCTTCAAAGGTTTCCCAGTCGAGAAATGGGGTAACCACAAGTCCGCTGTCGCATATATGGGATTGGGAACATATCTCGGATATTTCGTTTCCCAGAACGGCCGTGGTCATGTCCTCGGTCATGTCAAAGACGTTGGTGATGATCCAACGCAGGTAAGCGAAAGGCAACAACCAATCTACCTGACCACAACTAACGACATTACGCATAGATCGACCGCGTAAGAATCTACCGCACAAACGCCCGTCAATTCTTCCACGCCGATGACTCCGATATCGTCGGTCTTCTCTGCATAGCCCGCGCCCTCGAAGGCGGAGAATCCGACATCGTCTCCTCGCACCACGTCTGGAACACGCTGCAACGCGAACGTCCCGACGTCGCCGAAACCCTCACAAAACCCATCTGGTATTTCGACCGCAAAGGCGAAGAATCCGCTGGCGAAGAACCATACATCAAGACCTCAGTTTTCTACCTCGAAACCGGTCCCAACCCGCGTGTGTACTCCAAGTGGGATCCATATTACATCAAGTCCCTTGACCGGTTCATGGATAAGGGAATTATTCCGAAGCTGAGCCCTGAGCAGGTTGAAGCTGCTAAAGTCCTCGAGGAGACGTGCTTTAAATTGAGTCTGCATATGATTCTTGAGGTTGGCGATATTCAGTTTTTGAGTAACGAGCATGTGTTGCATGCTAGGACTGAGTATAAGGACCATGCTCCACCACTACCGAGAAGACACCTTATGAGATTGTGGTTGGCGACGCCGGAGAATGAGGGAGGATGGAAATTGCCATTCCACGATTCGAGTGAGAAGAAGAGAGGCGGAATCCAGGTTAATGATAACCCTCCTGTTTGTCCGTTGGATGCCGAGTAAATATATCGTGATCTTGCAAATAGTATATAGATGTTGTATATCTGGCCGTCTTCTTGAATGTAAATCTGTTTTTATTGTATAACGCAGCCTCCGTGTCGCGTAATCTTCTCGATCATCCGTATTCTGTTGCCGTCATAGTTCCCACGCGATCCATGTTCTGGGCAGAGAATAATCGAACTTTTGTATCCTGGTCCAGGTGGAACCAAACCTTGAGTTCCAAAGAAGATCGGACAAGTACTGAATCCCATACCTGGACCACATGGTTCAATAATTTCTAGCCATTCATCTCCGCATTCTTTGCTCTTGTGATAGCTGTATTTACACATTTCGAGCGGACTAGGTGAAAATTGCTGTGAAATGAGGATTTTAAAATATTGATATTGGAAGGTGAGGATAGTCTTAGGCGAAAGTGTATACGAGGTGATGGTGGTACTCGCCGACTGTTGCGAGAAACCTTAGCAGAAAATCAATCGAGCGGAAGTGAAAAGTCATTTTATAGAAGTTCGAAGACGTAGATGTGAATCGAAATGCCTTCACCACCAAGTCAATAAAAGACCGTTGAATCGATGAATAACGCTGATTTCTATACTGTACAACAATCGTCAGCAGTACCTAGGTACCCAGGTACCTATATCAAACACAACATCTTACATCCAGCCTGTCCAACCCTCCATTTACCCACCAGAGCCTCTTCAGCCTCCCTCTCACAATCCGACCCCAGACACAGTGGGATAACCACATTCCCCCACCCGCGACATGCAACAAAATTCCCATTCCCATCCCAATCCCTGATTTTGTCGGGCATGTAAAAATGCAATCACACACGCATGCCAACCCATTGCGCCATATGAACCCAGTTGTACATATTCCCTATCTAGCAATTGTGCTGTCACACCGGTTCCGCGCGCATATTCGGGTAGCCAGAGATGCCCGGGTTGCGTTGTTCATACCGGGTTTCCAGACTCGTCGTCTTCGCCCAGCTCTTTTTTGCGGATTGCTTGCATGAGTTCGTACATTTGACCGAGTTGTTGATCTGAATACAATTAGCTCGATTTCAATTACAATATCGTATGGAGAGGAAAATACCACTCATTTTATCAATCTTCCCAATCTCCATTCTGTCTCCTAGCCAGTCATCTCCTTCCAATTTCTGTGCGTACAATTGCCACTCCGTCAAGAAGCCAATCTACATTCCGATCAGCATCAACTCCTCCCTTCCTCTTGTAATAATGACCTACAATATGCGCCGGATTCTCCACATCCCTATGAGCTCTAAACTCGCTTTTAATATACTCATCTCCCAACAATCGCATCTCCCGCGGTAGACATTTCCGATGTGCACGGAGCAGACGACGATATAAAGGTATAGGCGGAAGTAAAGCGAGCGGAATAGGTTTGAGCGCTTTGCCTACTCCAGCGGATGTGGCAGTGGCTAACAGACGATGTGATATTCGCATATTGTGGTGTTTGTGTTGGCAATGGAGAAAGAGAATGTGGTGGGTGGATGACGATGATGAAATGATGCCTCGGCTGGTCCCGAGAAATGTTCAGCCTTATGGTTCACAAGATTTTCAAAAAGTCGGAAGTCGATGGAATTACAAGTTGATACGACCAAAGGAAATTATGTTGCCCACGCCTTCTACTGATCATGTATCGTTTGATCGTGTATACGAGCCAGCAGAGGATTCATATTTACTCTTAGATACCCTGTCTTCTGAGACTGAGAAGACCTTTCTGAGAGATCGATTTTGTCAAACGCCAGACTCTCCACTAGCAAACTCTCCATCACCGTTGATCGTCGAGATCGGGTCTGGTTCAGGAGTGGTCTTGTCATTCGTTCATGCCCATGCTGAGACGATATTTGGGAGAGCAGATATACTCACTGCCGGAGTGGATGTGAACCTGCACGCCTGCAAGGCTACAATTGAGACTGTTAGTGTTGCTGGAAAAGAACAGGATGGTCTTGAAAAATCTCATGGGTGTTATTTGGGGAATATTTCAGCGGACCTGACAACTGCTCTTAAGATCCGGGAAGTCGATGTCTTGATTTTCAATCCTCCATATGTGCCAACTCCAGATCTACCAGCATTGATACACGAAGAAAATCTTAGTTCATACGACACCGACTCTCATTTATTATCTCTATCATATGCAGGTGGAGAAGACGGGATGGAAGTTACAAATCGACTGCTAGCCGCTCTTCCAGAAGTACTAAGCTCACAGCGTGGTGTTGCATTCATCCTCTTATGTGCCCAAAACAAGCCCGAACTAGTCAAAAAAGAGATCCGAGCATGGGGAAACGAATGGAAAGTCGAGACAGTAGGAAGCAGCGGGAAAAAAGCAGGCTGGGAAAAGCTGCAAATACTCAGAATATACCGGGCATCTTCCTCCATCACAAATCAATAAACACACTGACAAAATCTCGCTTCCACAAATACGTCGTGTCATTTAATTTGCCAACCTATTTTCGTACCCATAAACGCCAGTGATCCCCATGAGCTCTCGAACGGCAACCAGGTCCTTCACTCGTGGAAAGATAGCAACAAACGCAGCCATTCCATCCGCAAACCACACAATCCTAAAATCCCCTACCACCGCCCCGTCCGCGTCCTCCACCTCTGCCTCTTCCACCACCACCTCCTCTCGGTCCACCACGTCCCCCACGTCCTCGAACAGGCGCACCTCTATCTGCCGCCTCCTTTCTAGCCTTGTTCTTTGGTTTGGGCGCATCGTCGATTAACAGCGTGTCTAAAGGCAGTGAATCTGGTAGGATGTAGTATCTGATTGTCGAACCTCGGAGGTTGATTGTGTCCAGGGCAATTGGGTCGCGACCACGTTGTGTCATCTTTACTGTGCGGAGCGCTGTGTTCATCTGGGGAGAGACCGATGTTATGGTACCGTGGATGATTGTGCCTGTGGTCGATCAGCGCATGTTCTCCTCAATCTTCGATGGGAGGATATATACCATTTTTGAGTTCGATCGTCACTGTCTCGTTCGCGCATTTCATCAAGAACCTACCATAGCCAAAATTGTCAGTCTGGAGCTTCGCGCGGGAGCCTTGGAGAAGTAGAGCTCAGCTTTGTGCCAGTAGAGGCGGAGTTATGGAGGGAGCTTACCTGACGAGCTTCATATTGAAATTAGGGACGCGTTGGCGTCGTTCGATTGGAGATTGGTAGGTGTAGAGGCGGGGTTGTAATGCGGGCGGTCAAGGTCATAAATTGAAGCTCTCCAATGTTCTCGCGAAATTCGTTGGCGTTGAAATATAGCGCACGTGACTTTTCACAAGGAAATACAAACGGCAGATTAATGTATCAGCCAACTGATGCTGTTCATTCTCTATGGTATCTTGGGTATCTATGGTAAAAAAGATAATAGATCACTCCCGTTTCTCTAACAATAAAGACATCATAAATCCACAGCGGCTAAACATCATTTCCAGGCAAACCAAAAGCGCTCATCTACTGCCAAATCCCGTATATCATCCCATCTAATCCGTCTTCTCCACCAGCGCGGGGGTATAATCAAGTTTCCAGCATTCCATCGCTCCTCACTTGTCCTTCTCGTTCTCCGAAACCCTCTCCCATTCATCCTCCGTGCTATGCTCCGACCTGCTCCCTCCAGAAGCAAACCTAGGTTTCAAATCTCCTACCGGCTCTATAACCTCAACTTCCTTACTCCCACTCTTCGTATCCGAACTCTCTATCACCGTCTCCGCCTCCGTCTCGCTATCATCCCCCGACCCAACCTCCTCCTGCCGTCGCTTCTTCTCCGCCATCTCCGCCTCTGCGATCCGCAATTCCGCCACAAACCAGTTGATAGCCCACCATAGTCCAGCGCTCAGGAACGAGAGGATGAGGAAGTGGATGCTGTAGGTTGCGATGAGGAGAGCGAGGAGGGTGGCTTGTAGACCTGCGAATGCGACGTTTGTTGCGACGAGGAGACTATGCGTAGGTCCGGGCGTGAAGATGGACTGGAACAGTTCTGTGAGAAATTGCGACATGATGAATTCGAATTCGTCGGTTCTTCAGTGAGGTATGCGCAACGGTGTAACAAGATTATTTGTGTCTGGTGTTGTGGGTTAGCAACGAAAAGCTCATGTGGTCGCGGGGTATTCAGAATGACGGCAGCACTTACTCTTCTGCGCGGCGGATAAATGGGATTCCTGAGACTGGTGGTGACAACTTGTTTATAAACGGCAAATTTATTGGACAGATATAACAGTAGAGAGGTGACCGGAATATAGACGTAGCCTGAAATGTGGATTGAAGGTCAGATTGGAAGGTCGGAGGGGATGTTTATCTGTAGATTTGCCTGATTCGGCAACAAAGAACGCGTTCAGGAAGCCTGTTCAGGGTTCTGTCGGCCCAATATCTGACAGCGGTTCATTGGATTCGTCAACACCCATTCCACATCACAAACATATCACCTGCAGATTGACAGCATGACCACCGCGCGGTTCACCTGGGCAATGAAGCTTTAATATGTCTTGCACGCTTCTGAACCACAGACTATTTTCAGTTGAGCTTGGTCTCTGTCAGTTGCCGCGTACAGCGTGTATGCTGCGCTCGTGAAGAATTGCAAGCAAAGGTAGGAAGTCAATTCTTTCGATCTTGGAGCGGTAGCTGTTAAAACGTGGGTCTTGCAAGTCAGTATATAACTGCGTTTCTAGCAGGTATTGAACTCCGCGACATATTTCAATCATCGCTGCTAGGGAAGCCCTTTTACCGCAACTACCAATCTTCAGGTCAAGAGATATCAACAAACAAGACAGTAGCAATGGAGATCATATCGTTCTATTGGTCTATATGCTCTTGTGCTTTTATGGACTTCATTAGGTCAGTGTCCGAGTTATCACTTCAAATTGACACCTCCACAACGTCGTCAAGCAAAAGAGAATAATTAAAACGAATGTAAGGCATCCCTGCCCAGGAAGATTTCCGCAAAATTCGTCCTCGCTCAATGAATGCTTAGTCTAGTTCTGTACCAAACCTTCTTTCCCGCAGCGTTGCCAGCAGATATACCTCCGACCCTTCCAACGCTTGGTCTACCACCACGGAAACGTCGATACGTATAGCCAAGGAAAGCACCTTGTTTACGCAGTTCGAGGACCTTTGGTGCTGTTTCTCTGTCTCGGAGTAGCTTGTCTCGTGGGCGCTTCTTTTCTTTTCGCCCATAGTGCTTAACAAAAGCTTTCAGATAGTCCTTCTGTTCCTCCGCCATCACAAAGTTATCAATCTCTTTCTCCACTTTCTTTAACCTCGCCGAATCATGAGGTCTCTCAATATATCCTCGAGCTAAGATCTGGATCTCGCGGTTGAATCGTTTCAATGCCTCACTGATCTCATCTGATGTCACCTGTGGCCTTGAAGCGGAATCTGAGAAATCCGAGATAGGATCCTCCTCGTCAAAGTAGTGAGTGTCATCCATTGACTTGATATTCGGAACGAACGGTGGCACCATCATATGAATACGATCCCAGTGGATATCACGAAACCATTTGTGTCCCTTGATGTCTTCTGCATCATGAGGATACACATAACGTCCAGCATAATCTCTGTTATTCTGCGCCGCTGGGGAGGTATCATTCAGCTTGTATCTTCTTGAGCACATGCGAGTGTCCTTGTCCTGGATTATACTGCGTATAAGATCGTGACATCTCTTACTGACAACCGGCTTACTAGGAAAGGCGAAAGTATTCTTGTGGTTCTGTTCTCTGTAAGTATTGGCTTGCCAGATACTCGGTGAGCTCACGTACTAGAATGTTCATTTTGGTTTGTTGCCTGCCACCCTCTTCTGCGAGAAACGGCGTGTGGCCATAGAGACACTTGCGAAACGTTAGCCTTCGCCTCATTTGTTGTAAAGCCCGACTTTACCTCATATAAAATCACCGCCACGCTCCACCAGTCGCAACGAGCATCGTAGAGCTCGCCTCTCACTACCTCAGGTGCCATATACTGGCTGGTTCCAACCACTGAGCGAGCGAAAGTTCTGTTACCGTTGCGATTACGCCAGTTGAGGATGCCACCTGACTCGGATATCTCTGATGAATTTCTCTCGTGGCGATCTTTGCCATTTGTAACGGCATTACCCATCTTCATAGCAGTGGCCGCATTGCGAGCTTCTTTCCGGTCAAGAGTGTCTCCTTCGACATTGATGCCCAGCTTTGTCATTAAATAATACCTGTGATTGTTGAAGTATGACTGATCATGGGACCAATGGCCGTCAAAAGCCAGACCAAAGTCTGATATCTTGAGGTGCCCAGAAGCTGAGATTAGGAAGTTATCTGGTTTGATATCACGATGTATCCAGCGTAGAGCGTGTGCTTCCTCGATGCATAAAATCATCTCAGCAATGTACCACTTAGTGACAGGTTCTGAAAGAATGTTGTCTCGAATTAGAAGACCTAGAAAATCGCCTCCGGGCATGTAGTCCATAACAAGGTACAGGCTACTGAGATCTTGAAAGCTTGCGATGAGTGGTACAACCCTAGAAATATGAGCTTCACAGTAGGAAATTGGGGACTCGACCTTACCATCTCGAGCCTTCTGCAGAAACAAGAAAGTCGCGTTCAGCACGTAAATGGCCTTCTTGGCTATTACGAAGCATATCAGATTTCCGGATGACCTTCATAGCATAAATGGCTCCTTTCTTCTTCTGGTCTGCTTGGGAGCTATTGTATAAAGGTTAGTCTGAGCTAGGCTTATGGTTAGGGTTCACCCACTCTGTCTCTGACTTTTCTCTCACCAGCCTCACGACACCAAAGCTACCTTTGCCAAGTACTTTGACGACTTCGTACTTTGAGGCAGTCACGTCTTGCCCAGCCAGAGCTTTCATACCAAGAGTCTTCATCACTCGAGTCTCTCTCAAATGATCAGTCTCCATCTGCGCCAAAGCAAAACGCTTGTGGTTCTTCTCTGCCTCTGATGAATTAGTGTCTTCATACAAAGCGCACTCGAGCTGACGGCGACGAATTGAACGACTTGTCATCAATGAGCATGTCACATCGTTGTAGTGGCATTCCAAAAATATTTTCGCAGCAGCCGCTTTTTCAACGGTGACGATGGCTAAGAGGGAGTTAATATAGAGACCACAAAGTATTGGCACAATACTCACTAGGTGTAGGAGTCTCCGTAGCGTAACACTCTGTTTCGGCAATGGAAGAAAGTATGTTCTCATTGACACCACTGTCTCCTATCGCATGCTTCCCAACACTCTTCTTGTTTTCTGAAGATTGCGCCGAATTGGACATAATATTATGCTTTGAGGACCATTTCGAGTCAAGAGAAGTCTTGCCGGTAGACGGGCCAGGTGCTGATGACTTCCTTCCCGTGCTCATAGAATCTCCTGCTGAAGTAGATGGAGAATTTGGGGAACTTCCAGCAACGTTATCAATATGAGCTGGATCGACCACTTCTTTGTCGATGGAGATAACCACTGGCCTATTGGTTTTGAGGTTTGCGCGATGAACTACGGTAGGATCGACTTGGCCTTTCAGCATAGCCATTGATATCTTCTTCCCCAGTCCCGATGACACTGGTGGCTGAGGTATTGGGATATCCTCTTCTTCGATCGATGCATGAGAAGCTGTAAAAAGAACTGTCAATACTTTCCAAGCTTTGAAGATAGAGGTTCAATTGCACATACAGTTATTGGTCATGGATCGCAGAACAGTCATAATCTTCGAGCCGTGTCGACGAAGTTTGGAAGGCCTTGCCTCGTGCTCGGGCGAGGAGGGAGGAGTAAGTGGAGAATTATTACGTGGCGTAATTCGGAGAGGAAGCACCGCCATATTCTGCTGATAGCCCTCGAAATCTGGTTGTTGTCCATCTTGGGGGACGATATTCTTGTTGCGGCCGCGCTTCATAATGGCGGATAAGAATGCTTGGGTGCCTTTCCGCAAATTGCGAGTCTAGCACGTCCTTAAGTTGAAGTGAGCCAAGAATAATGTTAATGATGGTATGATAGTTGATGAGACATGAAACAGAAAAGCAAAGCTCTCTCGCCGGGCAAGCTTGGGTATACTCATTAGCGTCAACGGTGATGATCAATGAGAGAAACGGCAGGAGCAACCTGTAAATATCATAATAGGAAAGCACCGTTTTCATTTACTACCTAAAGCATAGGAAGAAGCAAAGCAACTAGTATAACGAAATAACAACTTTTGTCCATGCGCCTGTAATGCTTGTGGATATCCTCATTCCATCTCGCTTTTCTGCTCCTGTCCGCTCTAGACAGTTCCAAGCAAAACCACGCAGGTCGGAGATCTATGCAAAACATGCCACGGTCCATATTGAGATACTTGACAGCCCAGAAATACAAAGCAGCAAAATCTACCGCTTGAGAGATAATGGAGAAGTTATACAATGGAGTGGAAATCCCATCCGAGGAGCTTTTCCGTATAATATCGCTTAATCGACAAGGTAATCCCAGAGAAACGTCTGAAGTTCAAGATATCTACTTGATTTCCATCAACTTGACATCAAATACCAGAGTGCTGTTTGGAGGAATGCCAGGGATCTTTTGAGAGCCGTATCCTTGCTGGGCCGGAATGGTGATTCGTCGCTCGCCGCCAACGGCCATTCCAGCAACACCGATATCCCAACCTTTGATGACTTCGCCGGTACCAAGCTTGAAGGAAAATGGTTTGCCACTCTTGTTTGCTACAGAAACTAATCAGACTCGAATTGTTACGGGGAATACGAGGACAACTTACAGTCAAAGACCTTACCATCGGTAAGCTTGCCGATGTATCGCATGCCGACCTTGTCACCTTTCTTGCATGCTCGTCCTTTGCCGACCTTCTTATCTTCCATCTTTACGCCGTTGAGGACTTTGGTGGTTGGCTCTGCTGCCTTTACAGCTGGCTTTGGGGCCTCCTTTGCGGGTGCGGCAGGCTTAGCCTTTTCAGCAGACCCAGTCGGGCCTTGTTCAAGATTCTTTGCGAATTGAACCTTCTTGTCGCTCTTTGGAGTTCCATCAGCGGCCTTTGACTCCTCAACCTTTGCAGAAGAAGCTTCGCCATTGTTCTTCTTCAATTTCTTCAACTGTTTCTTACTGAGCTTAGGCTCTTCAGCATCATCAGACTTCAGAGACTTGGCCATGATATCGTCAAGAGAAGCAGGTTCCTCGATCTCTTCGGCGGAGCGCTTGTTCTTGCCCTTCTTCTCAGCTTTCTTGTCAGCCTTTGCAACGAGTTTTGGAGCTTCTTCCTCGGAATCAACCTCGGTGATGCGAGGGTTTTCGAATGCATCCAAATCATCAGACTCCTCATCGTCGTCCATCAGCATTTCAAGCTCATCCTCGGCAGGAGACAGATCATAATCCTCATCATCTTCATCATCTTCGGAGTCATAAACTTCGTGATGGTGGTTGTGTCCATCATCATCTGGGATGAGAAAGTTTCCGGTGAGGTAGACGGCGTGAGTACCAGTGACCTTGAAGTAGACCTTCTCATTCTCGCCGACAGTAATGTCCAAGGTTTGTTGGTAATGCTGAGAGGAAATATTAGTATGAATTTGTCGCAGGCAAGCAATAATTACATACCTTTTCTGGATCAAGAGTGCATAGAACGAATTCCTCAATCTCGAGCTCCTCACCATCATCGCTATCTTCATCACTATCCTCTTCCTCCTCGTCGTCATCATCGTCTGTCAGCTTGGACTTTCCCTTCTTGCTGACTTTGGTGCCATTGGTAGCCGCATCCTCCATCTCCTCATCAGACCCATCATCCTTGATTGACTGCATTAATTGCTCCAGCGCAGCTTGCTTGCGGGCCTTCTTTGACTTTGCTGGGTCGCTTGGTCCGCCATTAGCTTCCTCCTCCGATTCGCTATCATCCGAGTCGCTCTCAGCCAAGAGGGCGCGCATGTATTCCTCATTGTCCTCCTCATCATCGTCGTCTGAGGCCTGGGTCCGAACAATTTTCAAGGTAGCTCTTGGAACGCTGGTACCTTCGGCCTTGTCATCAACCTCTGGGGCTTCGGTGGGATCAATTGCGGCCATGGTGATACGGAACTGTTGCATTCATGGTTAGCGATAACTCGTCACAAAATGGAGAGCGATGGTAGAGTATATTTGCGTGATGAGTTTTTCAGAGCATAAGGATATGAATTAAATTAATACTTACAGATGCTGGGAAGTCTGGAGTAGCTGGAACCATAACATCTCCGCAAGGAACCTCAAGCCCATAGAGGGCGACTATAATATTGTCAGACCGTGTTTGCAAAGCAGGCAGGACGAATAAACTTACCTGGAGTGAAAGGCATCTTTACAGGATATAATCAAATCGTATAATGACTTGATCAGAAGTTGTCAAGTTCGCGCGCCTCTTCGAAAATTCTGTGAGAAAAACAGAATCTTTTGGAGTGGAAGAGGAAGAGCGGTGTCTTTTCCTGTAAGTATTTTCCTCGAAGCTCCAAGAAAAAAAATACGATTAGATAGGCAGGAAAAGTGGGGCTTTCACTTGGGCAACCGCTGGTGACAGGGGTCGGTCCGCAACCGTTGCTGGTGGGGCAAACTATCGACGACAACCAACAAATTCTGTAACTCTTCACTAACAAGGACTGCTTATTATATCAAGAATAATTTAAGAAGAGTTATGTGAGTTTCAAATTACAATCTTGGTTTCTATTTCAAAAATGAGAATTTGGCTTAGAGCCTATTTCCCCGCGAGACGTACAAGTTTGAACAACATGGAGAGTCTCCCAAGTCCCGAGTCAGTTGCGCAGTTTTACCTAACAACCACTTGAGCGCCTCTCAAACTGACAGAATATCATTCATTTTATCAAGGTTCACTTAAGAAAAAGACGTTACTAGAAGCATGAATGATAAGATTGTGTTAGTTCGGAAGTCTTGTTGGGGAATATCACTTCGATATGGAAATAATGTAATGATCAAGTCCCTATATTTGTCTAGCTACGTCAAACTTCAACTCAACGAACAACCAATTCCTCCAAAAATTCTACAGAAGCTTTTTCCTCTTTCCACCTCCAAAAACTGTAGCCTTGATAATCTGCATCAACCACCACCCAGTCTCCTTAACATTACCATTGGGATAAAACTCCCCCTTCTCACCCACATCCGCCATCGCTAACACACACTCCGTCGTAGGACTCGGGAAATTATATCTCAGATACGCCGCTACCATCTCCTGACCATTCGTGATGCCACCTACATCCAATTAGCTTCACACCTCTCACCAAACTCAAAGATCAAACAAACCACTACTCCAAATCCTCCCCTCCCTAACCCACCTCCTCTCATCATCCCACACCACACCCGCAAACTCCTTCCTCAACCTCCCCACCAACCCCCTCGGCGCACTAGCTCTCTTCCCCTCCAAGACTCCCGCCGCAGCAAGAACTCTACACCCCGTACAAACACTCAGCACATCACACCCCTCACTCCGCGCATGTCGTCTCACAAAGCCCAATACCTCTTCCCCGAACTGCGCATCAGGAGCCGGACCCGGTACCAACAAAACATCCAGCATACCCGGTTGTACGTCTTTATCCGTAATCGTTTTCGGAGTTTTGATGACTAGAGACGCGGTTAAGGCGACTTCGGGCGCGGAAAGCGAGATGTAGTGGATGGTGGATGGGATGGCGAGGGCGAGGATGGGAGCCGGGAGGTTGCAGGCTGAGATGTAGGATGGGTCAAGCATGGCGAAGAGGTCGATGGGGGAGAGGTCGAGGAGTTGGACTTCGTCGGGGATGAGGACTCCTATTGTGAGACGCTTTTGTTGTGTTGCCATGTTGATGTGAGTATTTGCGTTGCTGCGCTTGCGATGTTTCGAGGTATCTTTAAAGGCTTCGGACGAAATTAAAAAGACGCCGGCTGTTATACATAAGCTGTGGGAGGTCGCTTTATATACTGGAGTTCGACGGGAAGGGTAGCCGGCTTTACGGATTTACGGCGAGTTTGAAGCAAGCACTCGCATGAAGCATACTCTGCACCTCCGCTAGAAGCTTACGACGCTTGTCAATTGCTCACTCGAGATCGTCTAGAAATGCGTTCATTAATTATAATCTATTAGTCGAGTTCAGTGATCATTCTAACCCAAGGAAGAGCCGTGATTAAAATGCCGAGTTTAGCGCCATAGCCAACAAGAATAAAGAAATGCTTTAGACTACCAAAAGCAAAGTGAACAATAAGAAATATCAAATAAAGAAGTAAGTCTAATCAACCACCTCTGTAACTCTACCCACAAAACCTTCTAAACCCGCGATACCTTTCTCCCCACGTTCAGACCCATAGTAAAGCCCATGCCCACCTCCAGGCATCACCAAAATCTGTGATCCAAGCTCTATCCACTCGCGAGTAGTGATCAACTCGAATGTGAGATCAGTAACACCGTCTGATCCAAAAATAAGTGGTTCCGGCCCATCATCTTTTTCCAATGAATGTTCAACGCCGAAAACATCATCCAATTCGTCGGTCAAGAGAGAACCACTTTGCGTTTCTTCGTGGGGCGACACTCTTATTACTTTAGCTGTAGCTCTGACACTGGCAATGTACACTACGACCAGACTTCCCGGGGTTACAGAGTTGATGTCACCATCGTCGAACGAAGCAGTGAACCCACTTGCTGCTTGCAGAGTATGTCCAGTATTGATCATAGCCTTGCTTGGGATGGCTATGACCATACCTTTGCGCACCTGAGGCGGCTTCTTGGGACGAAGCTCGGACGAATTGTCTGAGCTTTCGTCCTGTAGGGCATCGAAGACGATGCCTAAAGTTCCAACTTGGCCAGCTTCGAGTACATGTACAGGAAGGCGGAGATTTCGGACACTGACAATATGAGCATTGTGCCATTCCCCTCTAGTAACCGAAGCTGATACTAAATTGCGTGAAGCAGCTCTGACGAGCTCCATGGTTGAAGGGTGGGAGAGAGAAGCTCCAAAGCTGTTTGGAAATGATCGCGCTTCCGAATTGGGCACTGGCGAATCTTCATCATCAGATCCAGCAGGAAATGGCCCCACGACAATTGAATCACCAACAGCGAGCCTTCCAAACCGCAAATAACCAGCTATAACTACACCAGTATCGACTGCATTGTTTCCTTTGGAAGCCAACGGTTCGTAGGAAGCTGGAAGCCCGAATACGTCCTCAACATGGAACAAACATGACGGTTGTTCTGGATTGAGAACCAGACCCACATAGTCACGAGAAGTTGGGGTTGGGGGAATAGGGAGGTTCTGTAACAGATGATGTAGCGAGCGAATGCCGGTGCCTTTCGATGCACTAGTCATAATTATAGGGACAATTGTATTAAGGTTATCAGATGTTGCCATCAGATCTATTGTCTTCTGCACCACTTTAGCATCGTTCTCAGATATCGTGGTCAGGTCTGATTCGGCCACCGATTTAGACTGATCTGGGGGAATGATGGCGGGGATTCGCCCGGTGCCCTTGACAGCAGTGAGGACCTTCGCTAGCACCTGACGCAGACTGTTTTTCGAGGCAAGATCAAGTTTCGTGATAACAATGGCAAGTGGCTTATCTAGCTTTAGACAAAGTTCAAGGTGTGCCTTGGAAAGATCGATACCAGCTCCAGCACTGCCAAGAATTTCTTGAGCTGAAGAAGTTCCCCCGGCACCCGTTGGTGTATTTTCGCCGTCGTCCGCTGCGATACAAAGCACAGTCCAATGTGGAGCCCAGCCAACGAGACCACGTACGGTTGTTCTTCTGTATCGTGGATGACCTGCAGAGTCGGACACGAACACAAGTCTGCCAGACTCTGTGGAGGCATGAATATCTGTCCACGAGCTGACGTTTCCAGATGCGAAATTGAAGACGTTCTTCCCTTTGTACCCAATGAGCTCTTGTGCCACTGAACTAGTCATTCCGGACACGATCTCATGTCTGTGTTTCAAGAGACTCAGCCGACTTTTACCACGGCCATTGTCCAGTGTAGCAGTTGAGAGTGTGCCTAACAAGCTCGACTTCCCTGATGTAGTCGGCCCCGTCAAAGTGATCCGAAGCTGTTCGGTAGAAGTATGCTCCTTCGCTAGAGGGAAGTCATCAAAATGACTTGATGGCATTTTTGGTGATCGATCATCATTAAGGTTGGCGGCCGTTGCCTTTGACTGGTTTGCTCTCCTTGAACTTATATCTGGAGTAACGAGCGCTTCAGCAACCCACAATTGCGCTTGATGTCGCAGAAGTCCTGAATTCAGAGATGAGCCCATAGGGTTATCGTGCCCTCGACCCTCTTCGGACTGAGATATCACAATTTTGGAATGCACGCTGGACTCCTGCCATTCACAGTCTCCAACCACAACCATACGCACTACCTCCACATTACAGCCCAGACTAGCTGCCATTGCTTTGAGATTTGTTAGACTTTCATCCATTTCGTCTTTGGTAAGACCAACAAACGTTCCATCATCAGAGACACCAATTTCATAAAGCGCGCCACGGCTCTCTTCCAACCCTGCCAAAAGTTTTGCAGGTCTAGATGGTGTTTGCAAGCTAGAGGCAGCTTCTGGCAATTGCGGCAAAACCAAATCTCCTGTTGACGATGCATGATATGGTGCAGACTGTTGTAGACGCCACAACAATTGTGTCGTCAACTGTTCCAAACGAGCCTGGCGGGATTGATTGGATGGAGCAAGGACAGGACCTGTCTCTGCACGATATGGATGGCTCGGAGCCAAAGATATAGTACTCGAAGAGCTATAACTCCTTCTTGGTCTTAGTAGCAAGTGAAGTTTGTATTCAGTTGGACCTTCTTGGGGTTCTGCCTCTAATCGTGTGACTCCATAGTCAGACAAATGAACAGAGTTTGTTGGCGCGCTGAATGGTGTGGTCTGTCCACCTCTTGGTTGCGGAGTTGACGACTTCGGGGTATCGATTGGGGTGAGCCATGGAGAAGCAACCCTCGTTGGCTCTGCATCATATGTGAATATAGAAGCCATTGATCCACGCTTGTTCTCTATGCACCCTCGGTTCCCGCTTGTAATGAGCTATGCGATGTACCCAGGTATATGTATATAGAAGTAGTATTCAATCGTTGTTATCCAACTAGTCCTCACGACGTTTCTTCAATTACCGCCGCCGTATAACTGGCAGCATTCTATTTGGTATAAGCCGGGTATTGGTATGCTCGTAGTGCTCTCGGAAAAGTATGGTCAATGTTCGAAACATCTTGACTGGTTGTCTTGGGAGTATGGGAGTGGAAGTGGTGGTGTTGGCAGGCACGACGAGTGGCGTGGTTTAGAGGGTCGACATTTCGATTCTAGGTCACATGTAGTCGATTTGTTGTATTCTTTTTGTTGCGGAAGAATTGGCCAACGCAAGGTGTAGGAGCTATTCTTATGGATGTTGACCTGACTGTGGAGTGCAGTCATCCGGCGGCAATCATGAGCAACACTCACAGACAGGGGCAATCAGCGATTCAGCGGTGGATCAACCCAACCAAGCTCGGGTTGTAAGACCCCACTTTACTGGACGGCCCGGGCCAATGGTGTCGCACAGATGCGCTTGCGCTTGAGGACCCCTAACACATGTTGTCTCGAGTGTGGGACTCGTACGCTGGACGACTCAGCCTTCCTTCTTCGATCATTCATAAAGCCGTCACCCCAATCCTTTCTTCTCAACGCTCAACTGCCAATTTACGAATTCACGACACCAGCAACCTTGAAGATACCCCAAAACACGCACACATTTACTACAAGCCACTGCTCAAGATGAAGAAATTTGGCTTTGGAAAGAAGAGTGGTGATTCCTCGAAGAATGCCGCTCCAGCAGCTTCCAATCCATATGCCCAACAGCCACCAGCCCCGGACCCGTACGCTCAAGACACCAACAAGTACGCAAATATGCCAGCGCCTTCAGCAGGCTCACCCTACCAGCAAGCCCGTTCGAACTATGGCGGTTTACCAGGTGGCCCTGGTGCTGGTCGTGGAGGACTTCCAGGCGCCCCAGCACCCAGCAGAGGAGGAGCACCGCCACCAAATAACCGCCAGAACTCAGGCAGTAGTGGCTACGGCAATGAGAAATATGGCAGCGGTGGTGGTTATGGTTCAAACAGATATGACAATGCCCCACCAAGCTACAGTTCTGCCCCGCCATCTGAGGCAGGGTCCAAGTACGGACCAGGTGGTTATGGAGGAATGGGTCGATCTCAAAGCAGCGAAACAGCCAGCTTCAATGACAAGAAAGACGACCCGTACGGTGCGCCAAAAGACCCATATGCCCAGCGAAGTGCGATGCCACCTTCGAATGGCCAACCTGGTCGGGGTTACGGTTCGGAGGCACCAGACGCCGCTGGCGGTGGATATGGCGAAGATCGACAGCTTACCGCAGAGGAGGAAGAGGAAGAGGATGTGAATGCGACAAAACAACAAATTCGGTTCATGAAGCAAGAAGATGTCTCGTCCACTCGAAATGCCCTTCGGATAGCGGCCCAAGCTGAGGAAACTGGACGGGCAACACTGGCCAGACTTGGCGCACAAGGAGAACGGATCCACAACACTGAAAAGAACCTTGATATTGCTGCTAATCACAACCGGGCTGCGGAGGCAAAAGCTAAAGAGTTGAAGACTCTCAATCGGAGTATGTTTGCGGTCCATGTCAACAACCCGTTTACTGGGAAGTCAAGGAGAGAGGCTCGTGATCGTGAGATTATCGAAAAACATCAGAGCGAACGAGATGAACGTGAGGCTACCAGAAATGCCGCTTACGGTTCTCAACAACGTATGGAGCGGACGTTCAAGGAGCTACAGCCAGGTGATGCGGGTTACAGACCTAAGAATTCCAAAGCTAGTTTGGCCGAGCGTTCCAAGTATCAATTTGAAGCCGACTCAGAAGATGAAGAAATGGAGAATGAGATCGACAGCAATCTTGATGCTTTAAGTGGTGCCGCCGGACGACTGAACCTGTTAGCGAGGGCCACTGGTGAAGAGGTCGAAGCCCAGAACAAGCTGTTGGATAGAGTTACAGACAAGGTATGTTTCCCAATCATATACTCGAACATACACGTGCTAATATTTCCCAAGACCAACAGTGTAGATGACCAGATTATGATGAACAGAGCCAGATTGGACCGGATTAAATAAGTGTAGTCATTAGCGATAAAATGGGTTTGATTTTAGACATCATTGCTTCGGAGTTTTTGGCTCACTGGAAATAAAATACCTTTCACATTGCGGTCGTATTACACGCTTGCCCGAATACTGTTGACATATGATTATACTTGTGCGCATGAGTGTTCTGATGCACAAACCTGATACAAACTTGATAAGTTGGTTCACAATACTAAGTAATGTATATCAGCAATTTGATGCAATCAAATCTTGCCCTCAGACATAAGTACCTCGTGCTCATGTGGCCATTGGGCATGATGTGTCTGATTAGCTTGGTACGAGCTACGGTCGTTGGCATTACCTAAATCCCGAGACCCATTTCGAAAGCTTATTTCTACGTCTGGGCGACCAAACTAATCCTTATCGTATATTCATAAATATCTTCAAGGTCAAGTTAGAACAATCAAATCGATTTCAAATGTACAACATATATCTCATTCAAGCCACGATTCCATTATGTTGTCGCTCATAGAGCTCTACCCCTCCTGCAATCCTCGCGTGCCTATTGGTCATAAACACCGCACCGCGCCGCTTTTACTGTACAACCCTTATCTCCATTAACCAACACCTTCCTACATCATGCCTTCCTTTTTTTATAGCATCAACGCCAAACTATGTCTTTCATTAGAACCATGAGATTATGCTTCTTTCCATCCATCTAAGAATTGCATCAACTGCACGATTGCTTCTCTGTGGTCTCCTTATCGCCTAGAACTCTACACTTCTTGAAGTTGGAGGCTTGGAGGCTTGGACCAAGCTCAACCATGGGCAATTCGCCTTCATCTACGTCAGGAGAGAGACAGGCGTTACTGCCACGAGCGATGCCATGTTTAGACCCGGAAGATGAGGTTGATCATGACGGTTGTTTTCCGCCTCATGGGGTGAGGGATTTATGTCCGCAAAATCCTCATTCGAAATTGCCTGTTTATGTTACTATTCATAGGTAAGTGTTTCAATGGCTAACAAATAGCGTTTGGCAATGCTAATATAACTGTAGAATTCGAAGAGATGTGATTGCTGCTATAGGTTTGTGGATTAACGAAAACGATAATATGAGGGCTAAAGTAAATAGATGATCCGTATTCTCTTGAGCAGCTGAGGGATCCGAGAATGAACTTGTCGGTGGTACGGCCACTAGTAGATAAGCTTTATGAGCTGGATGATGTTTCTGTTGGTGAGTGCTTTGATTTTTCATTTCCTGCTGAAATTTACAGATTTGTTGTGGGATAAACTACGTATCTACTTCATGCATGTGAGACATGGGGGATTACTGCGCAACTTTTGGAGAATTGTATTACAACATCATACATCTCACAGTCCGATCATCCGGCATTGGCCAGTATATCCAAGATGTATTTTGACAGCACATCAACTAGTCACTGGCGACCATTATTTGTAGCAGTACATGTCGCGGCGACCGATGTATTCGACGACAAATCTTGACTTTCTAGATTCATATTGGCAATTGACTCGACATTCTTCATCTTCTTTGATGGTTTAAAAACATTCTAACACTTACATAGTATACTGCCTGTTAGTAAACAGAGTTCAATTTCAGCGCGAACAGAGTGTCCAGCCACATCAACAAAGTGTATGCTCCACTCGTGCTCTCCTCTGCGAACTGCTCGCCAACCGCATATTGAGACGCTTTCATGAAGACAACACCGGAGCACAAGGTTTGCTATGTCTCGCTCACATCTTAGTTGGCTCCTTCGACCCTTTTCAAGGGGCACCACAAGAAGTGATAGACCAAAGTGACCATCAACTTCATTGGACTGTCAAATCTAGAACAGGATTTATGAGGAAGCTGCCTGCTCTTGAGATTGCCATTATTTCCGAAAGCAAGACTTTTCTCAGTTCTTCTGCCTGTCAAATGGTAGTGCGAGCAATCTACGAAGGCAGAGTTATCTACACGCCGACTTCATTTATAGATATCTTACCGGATCACTACAAGCATAAACCTGTATCTCTATACAACCCACGGAAGGCTCCCATTCTCAATCAATATCGTCTGATTGTTCCCCGAACTAGGAACTTAATTGAGATTGTGCATTTTATCATTCTCTTGGTGCTGTTCATGCTCGTAATGAAGAATCGAGACCCATCCAAAATTGGTGGCGTGGAACTTATCTTCATCATTTACACTTTCGGGCTTCTTCTTGATATGTTTGCGACGATTCTAGAGCACGGTATGTACCACTCTTCCATTTGTAATATTCAAACCTTGGCTGACATTGTCTAGGTTGGGATGTATACACCCAGAATCTCTGGTCCTTCCTTGACATAACCTTTTCATTTGTTTTCAGTATCTATCTGATTTTACGCCTTCATGGATGGCGGACCGACAACCTCATTGCCTGTCAACAAGCGATGGATGTTTTAGCAATGGGTGCTCCAGTTCTTATACCACGACTCGCATTCAATCTCATGTCTGAAAACATGCTATTCGTCTCCCTACGCAGCATGATGAGGGACTTCACAATACTCACTGTTTTAGCTGTTTGGTGCTTCGCAGGCTTTTTGCTTTCTATGACTTGGCTTGCTAATGGAAGTCATGAACCAATAACTATTTCCAAGTGGATGTTGTGGGTCTGGTTCGGCCTCGATGGTACTGGAATACAAAGGTCAACAGAATTCCATTGGCTCCTAGGCCCTATTCTTATGGTAACATTCGCATTTCTCGGAAATACGCTCTTCCTCACGATTCTTGTGTCTATGTTGAGCAGCACATTTGCCAACATCGTAGCCAACGCCAACGCAGAGATACAATTTAGAAGAGCAGTGCTTACCTTGGAAGGTGTTAAGTCAGACGCAATAGTATGTCAAAACTTAATCATTATGGCTCCAGCTAATGTTGTTCAGTTTGCTTACCCACCACCTTTCAACCTCATCGCCGTCATGATACTCCTCCCATTGAAATTCGTCCTAACCGACCGCTGGTTCCACAAACTCAATGTGTTTTTCGTCCGCATTATCAATGCTCCAATCCTTCTCATCATCTCCCTAGTAGAACGACGAACACTTTGGCCAACCACGAAACGACCTCGCGATGCAGAACAACTACCTCTAACTCCCAAAACAAAAGTTCGGCCTTGGGATTTATCGCGGCAATTCTCAGTACACGGCGATATCCAAGCGGTCTTCGACGCGGAACCGCCAGCAGAGGTTGAGAGCGAGATTCAGCGTGATGATGATTTGAACCATACGACTTTCGAAGATGCTTTCAATGAAAACTTCAGCCCTGACGTCTTGAACTCTTCTCGGCGGTCATCTTCAAATAGAAGGGTAAACGGTAAAGAACGTCGCGACTCGGTAGCGCCATTTGGAGGACTGATGAGGCACTTGAGTGAATCCATCACCGAAGAACATGAAGCTGCGAGCTCCCACTCACGAGATTGTGGTAAACATAACGAGGAAGTGAAAGATAGGCTTCACGCATTGGAGAAAACTACATTGAGAATTGAGAAGTTGCTTGGGAAGCTGTGTGAAGATCTGGATGATGAGTTGGGAATGGGGAAAACGAATGACGCTGGGAGCAGCAGAGGAGAGGGAAGTGGTGATATCCTAACTCTAGAGGACTTGGACCAATCCTAGTCAGTTAAGAGGGATGATAGCTGATGAGAAGGCTGTAAGAGACTACGGATATACCACAAAAAATCTATGGACTTTGAAATGAAAATGTAATATACTCATCAAATTTATTCATCTTGAGAGCTCTACCGTGCGATCTCTGTCTAACGTACAACAGCAAGCGTACGAGAAATGTCACATCGCTGAAATGGTATGGACTTATATATCCGTCTCCATGCATGAACTCACACGTATATCAACCCCTTTGTGCAAGCAGAATAAGAAGATTATGAGAAATTAGTTACAACCCGAAAGAAACATAAAACCAGAATAGTTCTTCATTCCTTCTTCATTGCAGTATCTCTACTTTATTTGTCCGCCAAATCACTTGACACCCAGAAAAGGAAGTCAGAATTATCACCTAAGAACTGACCAAAATACAAAAGCATACCCCTCACGGATTTGTCTTGTACGGCATCCTCTATACAATCCAACGATTCTACACATTGCCCGGATGTACATGCGAGATGAGCTTGTAGGTAATTCCAAGCTTCGCCATCCTCGGGTAATAAGCTCGAAATTATCTGACCTGCGCCACGCCTCGGTCGCCACTTCTGCTTGGAGGTTTCTGAGATTGTTGGTATGGTCTTTTATGTTGACAGTGACGGTGAAATGGTGGTATTGGTATCATACATGCCTGAAATGCTGATAGCTATCCTTTCTAGGAACGTTGACGGTGCGACGTACCAATACCCGTCGATCCCAACAAAGACAGCAACTCCTACTAGGGTTCACAAGAGAAGCAGTGACTATACGATGCAATCCTACCCTCTCATCTATCCAGTGGCTCCATCTAGTACCATATAAATCGAGGTATTGTATATTTGGAATCTTGCCATCACCAACACCTAAGACGTAGGATGTGAGTACCTCTAGAGTAGGAGATATCGCCGCTCCATGCTAGGCAGCAGCAAAAAGTGTGCAGTGTAGTATTCGTGATCTTAAATAGTAGATATATCGACTCATACTCCCTCACCGCCTTTGGGGCAAATAAAGAAGTATAGTCATAGACAATCTGAGTTCGGGTATCACTCTGACCTTCTGCGTCGTATACACGGTACCTAGCAAGATCGAGCAAGGTCCCTCATACATCCTGCACTCTCATCCTATCGGGCTTCATACCGATGCATGAAGCAGTTGCCTTCGTCTAGATCGGCCAACATCGAACTTCTCATATCTGTGGAATCCCATTGCCAATATCATGAAATTTTAATCCATGTCTACGAATCTCGCGGTAGTGAGCGCCTCGGCCCTTCTTCTTCAAGCATTGAAAGCACAGACCAAGACAACCGTACTCCCGCAGAATCCCTACTACGCTAATCCAACGCCATACCAACAATTCTATGAATCGTCTATTTCTGGAAAGTCGACATGTAGTATCTATCTCGTGTTGCGGAGAAGGTAAACCGAATTGAAATTATTGGAAACTGAAGGCGAAGGTAAATTGCCGCTATAGAAATGTACCTTTTCGTATAACAGTGCCGTCGAGAATATGTTGTCTGAGCGAGTCCCGATAATTATGCCATGTATAACATTAGACATGAAGCAGCAACAGCACGGCAAGGTGAGCGGAGAAGCCCTCCGTAATACCCTGGTATGAGTTGTGTATAAAGGTAAAGCGGTGAAGCTACTGAAACAATACGTAGACATCGAGTTAGACATTTGCCTAAGCGCTTCACTGTTGAATAACAAGTCTGCTCTTCGTATAATCCAGAAATTCCCAACACAGACAATGAGCCAGGCCACAGCAAGACGAAAATAAATGATCTGAGTCGATCGTATTCCACGTGTCCCATGATGTAATGATTCTCAAAGCAAAGAAGGACATGAGACTTCTATCGCGCTAAAAATACCGTGATTTTCGCCGTTGGGCTCATGAACCTAGCCTTGTCGCCTCGACTTGTACCAAAACTCCTCTGCGAAGGATGTCCCGAGCGGATGAAAATGCTTAATCGTGTTCCTCTTGCACCCCACGGAGTTCGTACCGCCAAATAGGGATTTTTCGAGCCGCAAGGTTTGGAACAGGAGCCGAGGGTGTATCTAGCGACGCACGGCGTCTATCTCTCCTGTCCTTTACCCTTGCTGTGTAGCTGTGGCTAGTGATGTCTTTAAAAAGAAGCGGGAGGATCACGGGGAAACAAAATGGGATTAATAAGCATACCCGAGAATCGTCGACAGGGTCCCGGTAGAGACCGTGGCGACGGAAATATGCCGACCGCCATTCATTACCATCAAGGCAGTTATAGAAGATCATGATCCAGCAGATCTCCCATCAGAGATCTTTTCGTTTGGCTATTTTAAGAATGGTAGACGAGGATCGGAGGTTATGCTGTAGACGCACTCAATATGGTGGAGCTCGACGGTGTTAAACAAGTGACCAGAAAAAACAGATGCAACTTTGTGCATGTGAGAAGAAACATGATTCAGCATCCAAGTTGTTCTGTGGGGTGGCAACCGTTAGGCAACACTGAACTTGTGGGAAGAGGTTGCTACTCACCGATATTCCGAGGTATTGGATTCCAACTTCACGCCATTCAGACTCGATGCGACACCGATACACAATAATTCAATAAGATTCCGGCAAATAATGAACAGCTGTAGGTAGCGATTTAATGAAAATGATTCCATCCTCAGAGGTAGATCCAGCATTATAGGTTGAGCACTCCCTCGGACTTTCAGCCCTACGACAAGTAGTTGAACATGCCAATACCGAGCAAATAAGCGCGGCCGCCAGTCTGAGTTCTAGGGTTGCAGTGGCAAACCAAAGAGATATTGATTTGCTGCAAGCAAACTTATGTTCACCAATCAAACGAATAGGTCTTGGCACTTGCCGAAACACGCGGAGATTACAGCTGACATGAAAACTCGAGCATCGAAACGTCGCAATTTAGGAACACGAGTAAAATTCAGGAGATTGATGTTCCGAATCTTTGGAATCATGAAGCGCGCTTCCTCCGTAGATATGGTCTATTAGACAAAAAACGGCAATTCCTTCGATCTGTATCAGGATTAGGACCTGAATCGAACAACATGTCCGTTCCCTAGATGGAGCAACGGCTTGCCTCCACTCACCATAGTTCATACCGTGGTGGAGTAAGCTGTTCGATACAACCAAAAGCCGGGAATGCACTTTCCCCACGCCACACCTAGTTGCAAGTGGCCCGTCCCTTTTCCTGCAGTGAGCCCGCTGGTTAGGCGCACAAATTGCCCATGCTTCTTCTCACACCGATGCGTATTGTATTTCAGCATTCGCTCGTACCTGAGCCAACCTCAAGCACTGACGAGACCGTAAAAGAGCGTCCAGGTCAACACGAATCCACTCAACCCCTCCACTAAACCACCCGTCCACAGCTCCATGCTTCCCCGAAAGTAGCGATCAGCTCCGCCTTCTGCGTCTAGTGCTTTGCCCGGTTGAACCCTGAGTGTGTAGAACAGGACGGAGGTGATGAGAGAAAAGACGATATAGAAGATGAAGCCGTAATATGATTCGAGTCCTAGTATTCCAGCCCCCACACCGAAGAGGGAAGCGGTAAGGTTGTGAAGGGTCGTGAGAGTCTATGTAATGATCGAGTTAGGAAAGCCATTCGAGTATGACAGGTTGCAAAGAAGACGTTTGACAATGAAGGGGAAAGATATAAGGAGATTATTAACCAGCCCCAGAGGCTGTAAACGTGGTAAAACATGGGGTTGAGCGGCTCTTTGCTTTTGGGGTCGACGCACAGTCGGTGTGATAGTGACAGATAACTGATTTGTGTGATACGGAGGAATGGAAGAGCTCTCCAAATGCCATTGATTCAAAACGGAGATATTAGACGAACCTTTGTGTTGTGCAGCACAGACTCTTGCACGATTGGGCTAATTTGCAGCTCCCTTTCCGTAAGCATGACTGCTTCGGCTCGATTGCGGTGGTCCTGATGCCGGGAGTGTTGCTTTGACAAGAATCTTGCGATATCAATCGTGGTTAGAGGCTGATGTTGATGGAGGTCTGATTGAAGCTGGCGTATTCGGAGATGGAAGAATGTAAGTCCGCGATTAAGCGAACGAATGTTTAACCTCCAGCCGACGTTCCAGCAGTGAGATTGGAAAAAGCACTGCGTTAATAACCACTTTTCTCTCACTTGATTCGCGACGGTCAGTTGGGGTCCTCTCGGAACGTGGAACTTCCAACTCGGCCATTCCGTCGCGGCTGTGCTGTGCTTGCAGTAGTCGGGTCCTCACTGTATCCCCCACCCGACCGCGGTTGTCCTCGAGGTGACCTCTAAGAAAGGCAATCGAATCCGGGGTATGTGAGAATCGCGGCGATTATACCACGTGTGCATAACGCAGGTCTGCAGATGCGAGCTGGTAGCGATTCATGGGGCCAGGAAGCTCAACGTCAGTCATAGCTGGAGCTGGTGAGCAGCGTCATAGACTATGAAACAACAACAGAAGCCACCCCCCTCGTATAATCTACCATTTTCTACTTGTAGTAGACAGAGTCTCACTGCGTTGCCGAGTACCTTTGTACTTGTTTCGTACGTGAAATTGAAGTTCTAGAACTACACGATCCAAACATCTCGCCAAGCACCTTTGACATGGGTTAATCAGGCAATTACTAAACCTACGAAAGCTACACTACCATTTTCTGTGTATGAGCTTGAATGGAAAAATGAAATGAAATTTTGGTTTTTACGAGGGACACCATCTGAATGGCGTTCGAATAACCAAGTTTTTTCTTATCGCCCTACGGATACGATCCATGTTGTGGGGCATGCACATAGCCTCGCTTCGTGTTCTCGTATTGTCAAAATCAATAGAAGTTACGACTTTTCCATCAATGGGAACACGACATATTTATGGAATATTCTTGAATTCCACAGACTAGCTGCTATGAACCAAACACCTAAAACCATGCAATAGAAGTAACAGTAACGATTTGAAGAAAAACAAACTTTGCGTCCGAATCCCGGATTCGGAACCCCTTCCAGAAGTGCAGAAATAGAAATGAAGTAGAGAGTTAGAACCCCCCCAAAAAGCCACACCGAGTCCCTTTTGAAATCCCATGCTTCCATGCATATGCCCAGACCTGTAAATGCTGAAACCCCAATTCGCCAGTACACCGTGATGATGCTCGCTCCCGCGCTTCGCAATGCTGCAATTCCGATGAAACAAAGACAACCAAGAGTGAGATAGCCGGGTGCTTAGGAGACATATCTTCCATAGTCGTTCAGATATTGTTGCATGTATACGGACAAAGTGTACCCAGGCGTAGCCTCTGCACGGCGTAGATAACGAATTGCGTGAGAAAAGTGACGCTCATCTCCTGGTGGTGCTGTGACGTTACCGAGGGACATTTGCGATTCCGCAGCCTAAGCCTTTGTTAGTACGAGGGTATATACAACAGTAGTGCTAAACTTACAGAAGCCAGTAGTTCGCCTGTAGTGGTTCCATTTGCATCGGCAGATCTAACAGCGCGAGCGAAGAAATCCACCGCTGGTTGCAAAGAGCCGCGAGCTTCGACATACAAAGGTCCTTGTCGCCTTGGATCAGATGGAGAACCTAGATACATGTTAGCCTCCTGTTCAATGAAGTGGGTTCAAAAGCGGTTTAAGTTACCCGCTGAGCTGCTACCTTGGCTTGACGAGTCACCTTCTTCCTGATGAATTTGAGCAAGTGTTGACTGAGATCTTTGGAGCCAATTGGAACCTAAACCTGCGTGGTGTTAGTCTTGGTAACTTCGGGCTATGAGGACCGAGGGTGCTTACCATTCAACACTTCAACATTATCTGGGAAGTTTCTCAGAATGCGTAACCACGAAGTTTGGCAGAATTCTGTAACATCTCTGATACTACCCGCATCCGCATCATAAAATGCGAACTGTTGTAGCCCATGGAGAATCCAAACTTGTTCGGCAAAACGCTGAGGGTCTCGGAAGAAGTGAATCTGATCCAAAGCAGACGTAGCAGATCTCGCAGACGGAATATACGCTTCACATTCTTCCGGGCGGGATGAAACCACTTCGTAGAGAAGAGTCACAATGCTTTTGACCTGCTCCACGACATCTTCATTGTTGCTCGAGGAGCTCCCTCCGCTCTTTGAGTGATGGGAGTGCTTTGATGATTTGGATTGGCGAGACATCTTGAGTATAATTCGATTGTCGAGTGTGTGGATTTGATGGAGGTCGTTGACGAAGTCAGGTCTGTTCTAGAAACCGAAGAGTGGTATTAATGCTTGAAAGTGCGGTTGTCGAGTATAGCGTTGTTAGACTGTTGGTACTGTTGCTTTGATGCTGATGTATATGATGAGCAGCAGCGAGTATGAGTATAAGTATTCAAGTTTGTTCATATGTCTCAACTGGTGAACTAATTACAGATATACCTGGGACATTGAGAGGGAGGATGTTTACAGGGTATGCATTCAGATCCTAGGAGTGAGGGGGCCATGAACTGGAGACAGGCAGAAACAAAAGAAGAAGAGGTGTCGGTGATGATGTTATTCAGAAGTAGTCTTGAAGAGTGACAGCCGCTGACTTGCATGCTGGTAGGTCCAGGGGTTTCTCTGTCACCCTGGCTAGAAGGTTCTCACTTGAGTCGCCTTATCAAGATGTGTTTGGTTATTTGAAACCTATGGCATGAAAAAAGCGGCAGAAAACGGATCTAAGAGAATATTTGGCCACGGGGAATAGCACCGGTGGAAGCCTGTAGTAGGAGCCCGGAAGCGACCAGGAGGTTATCGACGTCCAGGGACATGACGTGCGTATGGACAGCTTGACTGGTTACCTGTGGAACGGCCATAGCCAAGCACGGTCGCGGCCGCGGCAAGGAGAGGATGTACAGTTTGGTTCCTGAGGAAATGCAGCGACACTGGGAGGATGTTCGTGTATAGAACGGGGGGGAATGGATGGGGAAGGGGACGGGCGTTCAAGACTGAGGCAGCTCGATCGCGCTTGTATCTACGCAGTGTGGCTAGTGCGGGTGGTGCTATCAGTTTCTCGGTTGTCGGTTCTCCCCCCTGGATCGGATTTTACACGCATCTGCTTGCGGCACAGGTGCTGACTGTAACCTTTCCAACCAAAGACACCCGGAGACCCCCAAAACGAGCCTGATGCCCCGCAGCCTTACTCATCTTTTCACATCTTTTCACGATATCTCGTATGGGAATCGTGGAGTTTAGAGGAAGTGGGCACTGATGAGTGGGAAATTCTCCGATTAGAACTTCTTATGTCCAGAGATGCTCGGCGTCTCCATCCAGCTTAGAGGCTATCAGGTAATGCTATCCAGAGACAGAGACGTTGCTCAGTCACCAGGTGCCTTTGCTGATTACTGATTGATGAAGTGGCTTTCAAATACGCAATTTGTCATCATCACCAAATCGAATTGTTCAAACACAAGAGAAGATGGGAAAGCAGAATCAAAGAAGCAACTGTTGTACAGCTCAGCCTTGTCCTGCGTCATAGCGGCGATGCAGCTATCTCTGCACAGCTTTTTGGTGAGCATTATCATTCGCTACCCAGTCTCTCATGCGGGTGCTTCGGTCGTTTGGCGTCTCGTTGACTCGGTACTGTGTATCATTGGAGATTGAGCAAACCCATCGTTTTCCTTTTTGAGAAGCCCCACTAGCTGCAGCAGTCAGAAAAGTGGCTCTCGAATCTGATTGCGTGATCCACTGCCCTAATCGATTAACACTGCACCAAGCAAGCACCATATCCACCGTATATCAAGTAGCGGCGATGGAAGCTTGTCATATCTATCTGTCAAGTTGGATGGCCCTGATCTAGTGCGAAAAGGTAAACTTTATACAGTGGATTCCATCTTCTTGTACGTCGAGTGGGCTGAAATGTCAATGACAAATTCTCATAAGGCTGACGGGGAATCAGCTAAACTCTTGGTAAAGTGTGTAATACAGTATCGAAGATAGTTGAATAAATATTTTTCTGCTGCAGATGAATCACTTTCTGATTCATAAGATATTTTCAACAGACTTTGACAATTAATCAGCAACTTTCAGAGAACGACAGAGTTATGTTGATTGGTTTTGGGTATTGATTTGAGATGATCAGCAACCAGCAATTTGGTAAGTTTGTGACTTGTTTTAGTGGATCGAGTAGACAATACAAGTGGAATCCAGAACGGAATCCTTTGCTGGACCATGTTGACAAGATGTTATGTTTTATCTGTTTTCACAAAGGAAGACATTCTTGGACTCTGTATTCAACCCCCATAAAAATTAGAAGTATATACCTACGTAATGATGTTTTTAGTTGACATTATTGTAGAATTTACTGCCGCTTGTGTTGTCCATCGCGAATTGGTTGTCATCCACAACAAGCGAGTTTTTGAAGCAGAAACTTTTGATCGAGTGACACCAAAAGTCATACTACCTTATACACAGCAAGAATTGTGTTCCAAAAGAAAGATTAATATAACTCTGTGTAAACTGTCCTGTGTATTTTGTCAACTTCCGTCACCGAAAGTGTTCAGTCGGTTCGAGAGGCTTTCCAACATTTGATGCATACCTAGGTAAAGAGGTGCGCAAGTATCGTGGGACTTCTTTGCATTCGCATTGGACTTGACTCACTTTCGAGTGACTTCATGAACTATATCCCAACTTTTATGGCTTTGAAAGGAGTCAAAGCGACCCGCGTAGCCTGATTGAGTTGTTACAACTCATCAATATGTTGTGTAGCCGATACTACGCCCGCATATTGACGAGCTGCCAGCATACATATCGCTGATTCCGAAAGCCTCGCTGATTACTGTACTCGCATCCCTTGGAATGCAAAAAGCTTGTTAACGCCTCTGAAGAGGAAATTTGAAGTTCTGAATATCCGTCAAGTCCAGTGGCTACACTGACAGATCCACGCCAAAAGCATGCCGGCGTCCCCGTTCCTAATCCTATGTTGATTTCGATGAACGATCCATTGTGGTGAAAATTTCCTGGATGTTTTGTGCAAATTCAGCGGACCAAACGTAACCATATAGGTCCTGTAGAAACCAAAAAAAATGTCGTTATTAGTCCAGTAAAGACCTGAATATGGCAAATTTTTGGAAGCGCCATCGATGAACCTACTTTGGTCTCTGGGGGACTTTCAATTCGATATGACCCATATTTGAAAAAGGATAAATTTTTTCAATCGGCTGATGTCCAGTGAAAGGTGGCTTGAGACGACGCTCTGGAAACACTATCTAGGTATGTACGTGGATAATGAGGTCGCTTGCCATGGTGTTGTCCAGACGGCACTCCGAACTCCAGTTCCGGCACTGGGTATGCACAGGACATAGGATACAGAATGCATGCTGTTGATTGACATAAAAAATTCCTCAATAAACTGGCAGGTGACGGGAGACAAGAATTATGACTCCACGGTCTGCATATATGTGATATGCCACCCATTCCGGGTCCTGGGCAGAGGAAAGAATTGTGATATTCTGACTCCTTGGTTGAAAATCGCATCCTACTGGTGCTACGCATCACACATTCGCCATGAGGAGTATGCCGGTGCTAGATTTCTAGCAGATATCTAGTAAAAGGCACAGAGTGCTAAAGATGATCTTCCTTGCGCCTGGCTTCAGAGTTATCAAGTGATCATATACTATTTTCGAGAGTCAAGTCCTATACATATTCATTTCCCCTGCTCCCTGGTTCTTATGCGTTGAAATTGCAATCTTGGTACCTCGGTTATTGCCCCGAAGTCGCTCAAGTAGTCGAACAAATTGAACGGGCAGTTCGAGTAGTATAGTGTTGATATTGCGCGAGGTCGTATCCAGCGACGGCTTCTTCGGTCCATTGTTTGCGTTTACAAAAATATGTCCGGCAAAGGTTTCAAAGAAAAGCGACGAAGGTTTGAAGCCAGACTCCGTGACCCTTGTCACGTCGGGAAAGTCCTGCAGAAAAGTCGGCTAAAGCAGCACTGCATACCTCGACTGCGACATGTCTTACGAAGTGACGCGTGTGACGTGAAGTCGATGAAAACCACCCTGTTTAGCCTCAGTACTTTCAACTCTCACCTGGATAGTTTTTACGAATTCAGTATCTTTATTCTCTTAACCAAATTCCCAACACAAATTATACCTTATTTATTAGAGATAGTTTATTCATTAAACCCCAGAGCCGCTTTACCTTCCCCACATTCATTTTAGACCCAGCCCAGAACGGGGGCGAGGTCCCTTTGGGCGTATTCGCGAAATACGTCGTGAATCCAGGCTCGAAACCAACTAGCAGATGAGAACCACATCGAGGTCACCGCCCCTAATACCTATCCTCTTCCGCAAGAACAACGCGATACTCTCTTGCGACCACGGCCTGTTATTCCAACAAACGCTTTCCTAAAACGTCGGCTTCGACATTCCACACCGTCGCGCTTTGGAACAAAACAATCAATGGACTCCTGAGATGAGATAACAAGGGATGGAAGCTATCGTTATCGATGACAGTCCCCTCGCCGATTACTTCGAAGGTCAGCGTCTTGTTGAATAGGAGCTGGCGAGCACAATAGTTAACATGTTGACAGGCGAGGGCGATGGTTCACCCAAACCTTTTAAAAAGGAGCGCGACTCTTCGGAATTGTCCAGTCCTTCATTTGCACCACGAGGCATGCCGAAGTCTCGTTTGAAGTTCCGACAAAAGCTGCCTCCTCCTTTACAATTAGCGATTCCTCCAAACAAAGCCGTTGAAATTATACACGATACCTGTTCTGTAGGTTATCCTACGTGGGAAAGATACTGGTCATCCACTAATAACTGTGTCCTTTCAGAAAGCTGTCAATTCCAGACTGGGTAGAGCAGACAATGCTAGATTTCTGGAAAGATTTAGATATTTGATAGTTGCCTCACAGCTTCTCAATGCCCACTCTCAATTAGGCCAGGCTCCTTCCGGTAGATCGAAAGACATCTCTATACCTATACCAGACACTTCTGGACTCGCGACCCTCACACATGAGGGAGTAGCTTTAACCAGCTCTTTTGCATTTGGACTTGCGTGGACCGTAAATTGGGTAAGAGGAGATCATGCTATTGGTCAAACTCTGGTATACTTTGGTGTGCTAGGTTTGTTGGGAATTATCGCCTATGGGTACGTTCGTAGACAGTGGCTTCAATACCTGCGGCAACAGAATCTACGGGACATTACGAGCTTGGTCGCAAAGTCACACGAGTTGGATTCTGCCGCTTCAGGGGCCCTGAGTCTAGTACAGGAGGTAGAACTTGTTGCCCGTGGTTATAAAATGTATGTGGTTCTTTCCAAAGATGTCCCAGAGCTAATGTGAAGTAGCAGCACTCCTCTACCACCAGTAAGTCGGCTTGACGACCGCAGCCAGACAAGAAGATGCGCCCGACTCCGGAAACAACTACGCCTTTGTTTTGCTGAGACTATCCCACGATATAATCAGGCCTATATAGCGATTAAACCTTACGCGCAAGACATGGACTTGGAGAAGTATTATGACATATACGATATTAGCGACGTAGATTTTACGGAAGCTATGTTGGGTTACAGCGAGGACGAATTTGACGATAATGAGTCGGTTCGTGTGTTGAAGATCCTCGCAGCACGATTCTACATGAGCAGAAAGATTCTCTTGTGCTGTTTTATGGCGTTGGATGCACAAGGCGGTAAGTCGGATTTGATACGGTGGAATATGGCTTCAGAGGAAATGCGAGCAGTCACGTTGGTGACAAGCGAAGCAGAGGACCGCTTACACCGCATTCTTAGCGAGGAAGAAAGTGGGTTTCGTCATCTTCATTTTGCCTGATTTGGCTAATCTGTTCTAGGCTTTCCAGTTCCTCCAACGCCAAAGATGCCGCTCACACCAAACCGCGAACGTTGGAGAGCCCAGTTGAGAAAGCTGAATTCGCTTTCCAGCGGTATCAGAGGCTTGCAGGCAAAGCTCCATGTGCTCAGAGATGAGTCAGACAAAAATCTAAACGAAACAGAAGACGTTTCTGAACTTGGAACCACTCTTATGATGCAGTACGAATCGATTGGCATCGATCTAAAGGCACTGATGCAGGAGTGGGAAGACGGAAAGAACGCTCTTGCAGTTAACATTGATCGAAACGAACGGCGAGTGTCTTCCATGAGCGGCATGCTTTCGCCTACGATCTCGCTAGGTGGTCTTACTGCAGTTGACGAAGGCAGTGCGCTTGATGCTCTCAAGGCCTTGAATGGCGAAATACCCTCTCGATCAAGCATGGAGTTGAGCTCCTCAGATGCTGAAGAAGTATTTGAGGCTATCGCTCTTCCGCCTGGGCGACAAAGAAGTACCCTTACCAGAGACGAACGAATCGCAAAAATGAAAGAAGATCGAGTTCGAAGAGAGTCAACGAAGGACAGAGCTGAAGCTAGCACTCGTATGCTAAGGGAGCTAGAATCGGTCATAAACATGAGACCAAGAGGAAAGACGCAGCCCGCGCGAAGAATCACGTCGATATGAATTATGCTTAATTGGTTTTTACTTTGCATATATGGGCTTAAGGGTAATCTAGACGGCGATAGGGAGTACTGGCGAGCACCGCATTGCTCATTTGTTTTCATTAGCATTTTATTCGGCGTTCGTTGCCGAGTTTCTGTTCGTGCGTAGGATAGCACTGATCAGACGGCGCTATATAATTTTGGATCATTCAGTAATACCAGTAGATAGTTGTAGTACCTACGTACATAATTTCATTACTCAACGCCCGGAACCACATAAACCTTACTATCTCTCTTTATCTCGCGTCCTCCAAGTATGTTCAATAATTTTCAATTTAAATCGTGTTTGATGGGCAAGGTTTTAATTATATGACAAAATGAGAACCAATCCGTGTAAACGGGCCGCTGTGAATGAAAAACTTGCTGGCTGGAGCCATAAGGTTAATTTTGGTTTTAGTTGTTTAGGAAGCGACGTTCGGTAGTCGAAAATTCAGCCGACCTAATAAACAACAACCGTCAGAACATCAACAACATGCCCAAGCGCTTAACGAGTACGTTTACTTGAAGCAGGTATCCACGCTTTAGGATATACACCAAAACCATCTTCGGGCCCGATGATTAACCTGTCTCGGTGATAATCTAGTCTCGGTCTTCTAGTTTAACAATGTCGAGACAAGCAAACAGGCGCAACCGGCGCGTCTTCGACTCTGTATTCGGGCCTGGCGACATATCGCAACCTACCCCGGTGGCGACTCCAGCAGGAGGATTTCCAGCTCCAGGACAAAAATGGGGAGGGCCAGAGGAACAATACCGTCCTGAAAAGGGATTGAGGACAAATATAGAGCACGTGCAGCCAGACACTGGGGATAGACTAAATTACGCAAGTATCGAGTCAAAACATATCCAGGATCAAGTCCGGTGGGATCGATCATGGCATATCGTTACTCATGCATTGGTTCTACCGCCTTTCCCCAAGGGACAAACCTCTAAGGTACAATTGCAGCCGCAAATTAGTGGGCTTGATAGCAGTTTTTACCAAGCGATGGAGGATATCTTGGACCCGGCTACACGTATTCCTTATGCAAATCATACTGAGAATATTGTGACTTGGCACACTCAACAAGTGAGGTCTCATTTTCTGACGCAAGTTCTTCCGGTTATCGCTCATCTGAAGGAGAGCCATGATCGGCCGAGCGATCTTATCTCTGAGAGTGTGCAGGTGTTGAAAACGGCGCATATCCAGTACCTTCATGGTTTTGGTCTCATAAAAGACCAGCTGGATCTTTCAGCACCTGAAATTTCCGCAGTGGTTTTTGCAAAGTTCCAACGCGATTTACGCGCTGTCATTAGCAACTCTGTGACAGACGCTTTGTCGGATGACCTCCGTGAAGTTATAGAAGTGTATACTTCAGTTATTCTCGGTCTGCCCATAGACAAAACGACTGAGAAAGCAGATATTCAACCAGAGTCGAGGAGATCAGAAAGAGCTCGCGTTGAACTTCTAGAGCTTGTGAGCTCTTTAAGAAAGGTCGGGTTGGCAGGAGAAAAGTTTCAAGTCACTTTTGCAGAGATCATGCATTTTTTGATGAAGGAATATGTACGAAAAGGCTTCAAGGGGGTATGGTCACTGGAAAACAAGGAAAACATACCAATACAAAAGTTTCTAGATGCAGAAGAATCAGTCTTGCCGAGAGCTGCTCATCTCATCTCACCCTCACAATGTACAAGCGAATTGTGCGAATGGATTGAGAATCGTTACTCTAAGCTGGCTGTGCAGGTTCTGAGTATGGTCGATACACCAACAACTATAACTTGGGCCAACAAAGAAAGATATAAGGAGATGGGGATTGGTCATTTAGCGGATCTTCGAATTGAAGAATTATTTGATATAGTCATCAACCGACCTAACAGCGGCGGGGCTTTGGAAGACCTCAGGACAGCCATCACCACACCTCAGAGACGACTATATCTCACCGAGGCATTCGCTAAGACGTTGAATGAGAGGCTATTGCATCCTGGAACGTCCACGCTCCAGATTCTACAGACTTACATATCTATGATATGGTCGTTTCATTCCCTAGATCATTCAAAAGTGCTTCTTGATCGAGTTGCTTATCCTCTTCAATTATATCTGTGCTCCAGAGAAGATACAGTAAGAATTATTATAACGGGACTTTTAGCGGATCCCGATGATACCCAAGGCAAGGCTGGTTCTGGAGATAAGCTCGTCGAACTGGCACAACTCCTTCATAGTGGTCAGCAAGAAGAGAACAAATCCAAATATGATGAGGAATTAGATTGGCATGACATGGAATGGGTGCCAGATCCTGTTGATGCCGGGCCAGGGTATAAGCGGTCCAAGAATGCTGATATCATTGGTACCTTGATCGGGGCTCTGGGTACTTCAGATATCTTTATCAGGGAATTTCAAAATATCATCGGGGATCACCTTCTGAAAAACGATGGTAGATTTGAACGAGAGGTATATGTCCCACCTTTGATCTCCATACAGTGCTAACAATTCCCAGGTCAAAGTCCTCGAATTACTCAAAACTAGATTCGGAGAAGGTCCTCTCCAAGCTTGTGAAGTGATGTTTAGAGATATCCAAAACTCCACCAGCCTAAACCTTGATATCCGACACAATAAATCCCTCGAGCCCAGTAACGAGGAACGAGAAGTCGCCCGCACAAATGTTCCTGAGAAGGTCAACCCGGAAGGTCTCCACAAACCCTCTCTCCACGCCAAAATACTGTCCCGACTCTTCTGGCCGCAACTTCAGGACGACACATACAACATCCCAACCGAAATCACCAACCTCCAAGCACAATACGAAGAAGGCTTCGAAACGCTCCAATCCTCACGCAAACTCACCTGGCTCCCCGCCCTCGGTCAAGCAACCGTCGAGCTCGAATTCGAAGACCGCACCATCATCGAAGAAGTCCACACCTGGCAAGCAACCGTAATCTGGGCCTTCCAATCTCCCTCGGGCGACCCCATTACCCACACCCTCGACACCCTCACCACGCAACTCGAAATGGACGAGCCCCTCCTCCGCGCCGCCCTCAAATTCTGGGTCGCAAAACTCGTCCTCCACTCCCCACGCCCCGGCGTCTACACACCCCTCGAAACGCTCAACACCACCCAACAACAAGCCACCACCTCGCAACCCCCCGACGAACCCGACGCGCCCGCCGCCAACACCGACAAGGAAAACGAGAAGATGGCCATGTATTGGCAGTTCATCCAGGGCATGCTGAAGAATAGCAGTAGTCAGATGCCGCTGCAGCAGATCAGCATGATGCTCAAGATGTTTGTGGGAGAGGGCTTTCCGTATAGTAACGAGGAGCTGAAGGAGCTGTTGCAGGGGAAGGTTCAGGAGGGGGTGTTGGAGATGGCGGGGGGGAGGTATAGGTTGAGGAAGTAGGGGGGGGGGGGGGGGGGGTGGGTGAGGGGAGTGGTGGGGGGAGATGTTGGTGGGTTGTAGAGCGGTGTTGGGTTTTTAAGTATGGTTAGGAATTTCATGTATTGACGGACTATAAGATGTGGTGATAGATTATTCATGTGTCCTCCAGGTGAGTTGACGTAATCAATGGTCTTTCAAGATCAGAAATTCTCAAAAATTCATTCGAGACCGAGGTCGTTTCCTTCACACCTTATCATATGGAACCCCAGAGCGGCGCACAGAATCCCAAGAATCAACAAACTTTCAAGACTAGACGGACACTTAGTTCGTTCTCTTCAAGTTACTTTCTGAACTACATTCTCGGTCCAGCCACTTCGTCAGTGCACACCGTCATTCGGCATTATAGAAGTCATACTTTCCAATTCTCAACTGATAATAGAGCGACGCACAGCATCCCAAGAATAAACAGACTTTCAAAATTAGAGTAGCAAAAGCGGACACTTAGTTCGTTCCTCTTCGATTTCCCTCCGACCCACCCCATCTAGATCCCCTATCCAGCCATTCCACTTCCTCTAGCACACACCGTCATTCGCATTCTTCCTTTCCAATCTCAACTGAATCACAAGCTCTGCCAACCGACGGCTCTCTTAGACAGACTAAAGACGGATAAACTGTATCGTCCATTTTCAGATTCCTCGTTGATTTCATTCCGTCCAAATACCTTTGAAAGAGTAAATCCACGATTTTCTGGTGCTGACAGGACGGATAGAGTATTAACGGGGCTTTCGAAGCAAGCAATATCTTCAAATGAAAATTCGCTCCCTTTCTAGCGAGCCGTCTTTTTCAAGCGAGTCGGAAGACGCTCTTCGAGGTTACGAAGTGTGGAGGATCGAGCCTTGTTGCTTTGTATATAGATAGTTGTGTCTCTACCCTTCAGCATTGACAATATCAAGATCTATGTCTGAAATTTATAGAGGCTGGTGGCTGGTAGATAGGATGTTGTAAGCATCCAGAGCGAAGAGAATTATAAGCTTGATTGGAAAGAATGAATCTGGGAAATAATATCTAACAACAAGAAAGAATTCCCTACAGTATCTAAGGAGAAAATTTTCCTACGACTGTTCGTTCTTGTAATTTCCAAACCAATGTTGTACATTCGAAGCAAGCTCTTTGTCTTTTCTCTTCTCCAAATGCCGTGGTGTTCCACCAGCGATGACTTGGAATTAGAATTATAATGTCATATCGGTCCTAACTTTGGCAACACACTTGTCTTGCGGAATTGTTCCACAGATTTCCCCAGGTTCTCTTTTTCGACCTTTATAGGAAACAAGAATTCGATTCTTCAAGTCCTCCTCGCGTCCGATACTAGAAAGTGCATTCGTAGAAGGTCCACGCGAAGAGGTCACAGTCTGACAAAATCGTAGACTGAGTAACAAGAACAACTCCAAGAAATGATCACGGGTACAAAAGAAAAGTTTAATCAATATTGCATGTCGATCCAGAATGCAAGGCGGAGGAAACAGTCATGTTTTATCAAACATCCCGCTTACCTGCACGACTACCATTCCTCATCGACGGATAATCAAATATGATGCTTCGGCCCGGGTGGGTGTTATAACGCGAGTGATACTGCATCTGTACGTCCATCTGGAATTGCTTTTGCGGGGAAGACCAGTCTTAGTGTGAAGGTTGCGATCCGTTGACGTTCAGGCCTATTGATTTCTGAGCGGAGAACCTCGCAATGGCGGCATAGTTTCAGATTCCATCGTGCTTTGCGTCTCGGTTTCCGAACGATGGCACCCAGTACTCATCCAACTCCAACTTACCCGCAAGGATTTGAGATATTTTGAGAATCCGAGCGAGGGATCAATTAGAATGATTCCAAGCTGATGCGAGGGTAATGTACCTTAAGGATCGTACATGGAGCGAGATACGATCATGCTTACATGTGATTTCGAGTCACAGGAATACGTGGCAGGCGAGAACGTGACGGTGGAAAGCAGTCTCGTAGTCATTACTTTGATGAGGGGTGCGTGGCAAGGCTGTTTGCACCAGGCGACCCAAGTTTGCTCCATTTGGATAGGACACGGCGGAAGTTGTAACCAGATTGGACCAAGAGGGGCTTCGTCTACGATGGACATGCAATGGAAATGCAAAGGAAATATGTTGGGTCGCGCGGTTGCACCATGTTGCAAGCTGGAGTCCTTCTTGGGCAAGAAACGAGCAGGGAGTTGCTGGTAGCCGAGCGTCTCGCTCCAGAGATATGATGGAGACTCTTTCGTCTAGGAAGTGGTCCGTAGTGGTGACTCTGGCGGTTGAGACGAGAAACCCGCAGACTTGAAAGCGTTGCCCAACGGCGGTGTATGGGGGATATTTTGCTGCCGAGAGGTATTAGTGCGACTTTGTGGTCTCATGGCCCCGTGGTCTCCGCGATCAACGTAACGGAGAGTCGTGGAAGGAATTCCTCAGCGGCGGTGAGAAGCGGTTACGGGAAAGTTGGAAGCAAAGGCGCGAAGGTGCTTTGAAGACTGGAGGTCTGACGAAGAGTGGGAGTGAGTGCGCGTGGATGTGGATGTCGATGTCCAGGATCTTAAAGCACCGCACCGCAGCGAAAGGAAGGCGAGACGATGCTCAGACTTTGGCGCCGTCGCGAATGTTCTCACTTCGTACGAGATTGCCAACATTGGAAGCTCGCAAGAAGCTGGCCACGGACGGTTTATAAGCTCTATTGGGAAGAAGGAAAGGTCGGACTAAGCGTCAGTACGGCGTAACTCGCAACGACCGTCTGTAGGCTGTTGGACGTCTCGCGCGCGCTCTTACGCAGGTCGGCGACTTTTGGGTGATGCGGCGTTCCGGATGACAGTGCCAGTCCATGGCGGTTTGATCCCGCAAAGGTGCCGACCATTTAGATCCGAATAGTACTTATTACGCGCAGGTGCAGATGAGAGAGGTGAGAGGTGAGATGTGGATGTTGGATGTTGGATGGTGGTGTCACTGGTGTGGTGTGGGTGTCTGATGCGAAGAATTGCTGGCCGCTGTTGAGTCTGAGTCTGAGTCTGAGTCTGAGTCTGAGTCTGTTCGCATTGGCGTGGCAGCTAGAGTCTGGCAGTCAAGAAGTCTGTTTGGGCTCCCGAGTTAGGCTAATCAGAATCCAGTTAGAGCTTGGATAGCCTGGATGCTGCAGCGGGGTGCCCAGGTGGATGAGCGTAGCGGGTGAGGGGCAGTCTGAAGCGCTCCACTCCTCCAGGTACTTTACGCTAAGTATCATCGCTATCGTCGCTATCGTCGCTATCTACTCACTATCACTTATCGATAAGAAGCAGAAGATGATGCAGGTGCAGGATCAGCTTGTAGCCGAGGAGACAACACAGAACACCTGGGCACCGTGTATCTTTGGTAACAGCGAGAGGATCGGGAAAAGGACGAGCTCACAGAAGCATGTCGCATCCAAGCGAGGAGAAGCGGACGCAAACTCAGCTTGGGTGATCGAGTTGGACGTAAGGGACCATACGAAGTGGCCGAAGTATGTATGTACGAAGTATCTTCCTCGACGCCCAAGCCTGCATGTTGGCTGTGGACATGAGTCGCAACCTGCATCTGGCAACATGCCGCACCAGTACAGAGCAGCGAAAGAACCGAATGATGTACGGAGGAATTCTTGGACTTGGTACTTCCACTTGGTACTTGCACCATCGTGTTCAAGTCATCAAGGTACATAAATGCCCTAGGTAGGGTAGGTACCTAGGAGATGGCAATCAAAAAGCTACTTTAGGACTTCGGAGACCTCCAAGAAACTCGGGTGCGTCCAAGTCACATCAGTCATTACCTAGGTAATATTATGATGACTTCGGCTGCAGTAAGGTTATGCGCTTACTCGTGATTGAGTGCAAGTAGTAACTGGCCCGCCAGAGTCTAAAGCCTAAGAGTTGCAGAGTCGTCACAAACGGCTGCTCTCTGTCTTTCCTCTTCCCATCTAGCCTTCCCACTTCCCACTGTCCTCCACTCGCTGTTCACTGCAGGTGACGAGACTCGCTCATGCGTGCCTAAAGACAGAAGAACCTCCTCACCAGGTATTATTCACTCGGTCACCAATTCTTCGTGAGTTGTACTCGTAATCTGCTGTAATCTTAGTTCTACCTCACACATCACACATCACACATCACAACCCACCAACACGATCAAATCAATCTTCCCAAAGCAGACACCAAACCCTCCAACCCACCATTTAGCCCTCCAACTGCCCCAACCCAACTCGACTCTCACCACCATTTGAGCCTCGTCCGAGTTTCAGCTGGCGGCACCACTGGCTCAGCAGCGAGCGAGGGGAAGGCAACACCGCTAGACTTGGACCACTCAATTAACCATCCGGCGAGCGTGCGCCCACTTCCAAACCAGACCAGACCAAACCAAACCAAACCGACCTTCTGGTCTCGTCCCGGTCTGCATTTCTTTCCTCTCCCTCGCCCTGGAGAGATCGAGATTGCAACTTCAACCCAGACCAGTTCCCCTCTAGATATATTCGTGTAGTCGTCATAAACATCACTGTGATCCAGCAAGTCTCCTCCACTCATCCTGCACACTGCTCAGCATAGACTCGAGACACCAGCGTCAGCTCTCTATCGCAGCTCCATCCGACGTCTGCCGCGCTTGCCCGCTCATTCGGTTCCGAGACAGTCTCGATACTTCCCTCTTCCTCTCCAGCATCGAGCTGACGATACTCTATCTCGTCCGACAATACATACCTCGCATCCTCCGTCTGTGTTGAAGCTATTCGCAACTTCGCCGGTTCGACTCCCGGGCCAGTGCGGGGTTGTTCACGATGGATCCGATGGACTACACCATGGACGACTCCCACCCGAGCCGACAACAGAATAACAATGCTTCCAGATGTCCATATGTACCGCCTCAGCTCCCGAGTCTGAATTTCGGTTCTCACTCGAGAGAGAATCAGCACTACGATCCGGTACACGATACGAATTCATGGCATACAAGCTCCAGCTCGAATCTCCCAAACCGCCCTAATTTCACCTTACCCCAGAATCCTCCCCAATGGCAGTCGTCGCCTTACGCACCAGTACATAGTTGGGACTTTGGTGAATTTCACCCGGGAAATCAGCCATATCATTCAGACGTCTACGGGCAAAGAGCTCGAAGTGGGCCGGTGGGTGGTTTATCAAATTCAGCATGGAATGGCGGTTTCGAGCCAATGTCGTTTGGTTACAGCGCATCACAGACGGAACTTGGTAACACCACAAACAACAACGCAATCTCAAACCAAAACTCCAGTCGAGAAAACTCAAGACTGAACGGATGGAACTCATCTGCCGCTGCTAGACAACGACTTACCATGGAACAGCTTAACAATAGATCTCAGCCTTCCCGTACAGATGTGCCTCCTTTGCTGCACGACCACACGGCGGGCCAGAGAATGGGTGTCAGCGTGACAGTGACTGAAAGCACTCCTGCCCGACCATCTCAACCTCCTTCCGAGCCACGGATATCATGTTAGTCTGCAAACTACCTACGGATGCAGATCGAACGCTAACTCTCACAGCATCGGCCGCACGAATTACAAGATATCATAGCACGCGAATGAATAATCACTGGATGGATGGACCAGCGAGAATAAGACGAGGCTTGGATATCTCCGACGATGACGAAGATTCCGATCTTGAGCGAGAATCCAATGAAATATATCGGCGTGAAGAGGAACTATCTCGGCGTGAAAATGAACTAGCTCGGCGTGAGGATGGAAACGAGGAACGTGCTATGGCCGTGCTTCGAGGTGCGATAGCTTTGGGCAAAAGGGTACCCTCCAAGGCCGCCATTGCTTCCCTTCAAGTTGTGAAAGTCGAAGACCTAAAAGAAGCCGACAAGAGTGAGTTCTATTTTTTTACAAGTGATGATGAGCTCATCAGCATTGATGTTGCGCCTAGATGAATGCTGACACCGTGTAGCATGCATAATCTGTTACAACGAATTTGGGGCTGCAAATCCTGAAGGTCTGGTGGAACAACCACTCCGATTGCCGAAATGCAAGCATGTATTTGGAGACACCTGTATCAAGAAGTGGTTCGAGGATTCTGATACTTGTCCATATTGCCGCGATAAGCTTCCGGCGGAGCTTTCGATGAGCAGAGGAGCCGCCTTGGAATCTCTGAGGGCCCAACGTGAGCGGTTGGCAGCTGCCATGCAATACCGGCGAGCACAGGCAGGCGGTGGCCCTCGATTTCCATTCTTACCCGAGGGAACGCTTGAAAGGTAAGGATTCGACATTTTTTATTTACCTGTATGAGTGCTAAATTCGATTAGTAGAGAAGCCAACGCCGACCTTCTGTTGCGAAGAGCTGAGGAGTATGATCTGGCCCATAGGACGTCGTTGGAACATTCATCTTCGGTTCGATCAACCTCGGGAGATTTCAGCGAAAATCGTAGACGTCAAACACGAGGTCGAAATGGGAGCAATCGAGCCGGGCACGCTTTACGTCCCATGTCTGTAGGGTCTGCAAGATTTGTAGGCTCCATGATGACCCAACAGTCTTCCCCTCAACGAGCACAGGTACCTCCTCTTAGCGAATGGGCGACGCTATCGACGAATTCCCGACCAGGTTCAAATATGTCACCAGAGCATAGGGCGTATGTGCAGAGAGAGCGTGATGCATTTGTTGCTGCGATGACACGTACCAGACAGACCGGAGGGGAAACGGCGCCACAAGTGAACCCTCTGCAAACTCCTCCTCGAAATCGGCCATCGAGTTCATTCTCCTCTCCCTCGGAGCAACCTTCCCCGCCAGTTGTAATTGGGTCGAGTGAGATGATTCCAAATAGGCGTAGTCAAGAATCAGATTATGGGCAGCACGATGAAACACCCGACTTGATGAACGATACTTGGGGCACCGGACCTTTATTTACCAACTCGGGTAGAGCAGCTTCTCCAACACCTCAAAGTTCGGCACCCACTCGAAATATATCAGCGGACGCTCCTCCATTTCACCCGATGAACAGCGATGCCAACGCAGGTAATCAACTTTACGGAGCCTCAGGTGAATATCTCCTACGGCAGAACATGAATGGGATGGGTGGGGCTGCCCAACCACGGTGGTCTCAATAAAGATGACGAATAAGACGTTGAAGCAGGGCTGATAGACTCTATACGCATTTCCCATCTCCTATACACTACTTATTATATTTTTATATATCGGCATTTTCCACAGGATGGAGACAGACGCCTACGAAAGAAAAGAAACCATTCCACCTCATCACATCATATCACCTCACAACAACACAACGAGGATCTTTCTTTCAACGGCGCAAATCGGGGGTTTACTTTTCAGGAAGCGGGGAAACGGTGACGCATGGCGTACTCTTGATTGTTTTCTGGTGGTGGTGGTGGTATTGGAGTACATTTTGGCGCGTGTTGATTGCGTTGTATCCCCCCAGCAATTTGATTGGTTTTTCCCTCCTCCTCCTCTCCTGGTCCCCCGTTTTTTTGGGTTTTGCGGAATAGCTAGCTTATGTGGTTAATTGATGAGAGGGATGGGATGGAATTTGTGGGCTGATTCAAGTCCTCCAGCGAAGATAAATTGAGAGAGAAAATTGATAAACTAAATTGCAGACAATTGAAAATATCTTTTCTTTCAAATAATTATTAGTAGCGTAGTGATGGAATATAATTGATGACTTCAAAGATATTAATTCCTGGACTTTGCCTCTTGAATTCAATCTTGGAATTTGTGTATTTTACAGGGGACTTTTAGGCTCTTTAGAAATGTAGGGAGGACTGTCTCAGACTCTCAAAATGAAGAGGAAGTTTTAGGGTACTAGTACGGCATTTTTAACACTAGAACTTAAGAATAAAGACTTCAGAGATCAACGCCAAGACATTTCCCCTGAATACCTGGGTAACATTAACCGAGAATACATTCTTTCTCAACAGATCACCTCACTTGACTTCATTTTATCATTACGAAGTAAGAAGAGGGCAAGAAGCACTATCGATCCATTTTTAATACATAGCAACTAATCTAACATGAATCTGTTTCTAGATGAGAAAATTTTGATTTTCTTTTGTCCAGCAATCCTTTTGTGTAGCCTTTTTCCTTTTCGTCTCTTTTGCTTTTGTTGCGGGTTGATTTTGTGTTTTGAGGTGTGTGGAGGATGGTGTTTCTTATTTGGTGTAGGAGATTGAGATGACGAGGTTGAAGATTTTGGTGAAAGCGAATGCGTGGTGAGTTTGAAAATGAAAGCGTGGTGTGAAGTCGAATCGCAATGGATGATTGTATGAAGTGAGATCGCTGGTACAAGGTGAACATACAGATAGCGTCCTTCTACCACCGCATAGTATTCATTGTATGGTTGGAAAGTCGTGATTTGGACGAAGAAGTGAAACCGTAGCGCGGCGTGAAGTCGAATATTGACACCAGTCGCAACGAAACGCAAATCCCTGATACAAACGCAAACATCCCAACATCTTCCTTCAGCACGTTAATCAGACACGTCTAATTCTCCTCCTCATATCCTCCCACCCCCAAAACCAAGCAGCCAGCGAAAAACCCCTGCTCCTACCACCACCTTCCAGCGGTCGCAGCACCCCAGCACCACCCTCGAAGTAGTTAGCATATGAATATTTGTAAATTTAGGGAGAAAAGAAGAGTATCTCAAGACAAAACGCTTTCGCAGCCGTGAGAGTATGGAAGGGAGAACAAAGGAAATACTCGCATACCCTCGCACCACTATTCTGTCTTCTTCTCGCCCCCTCCCTCATAACCAAATCCCCTCTCTCCCGCCACCAATAGCCCGAAGCAGCGGTGCGTGGACAGAGTCGTAGGGCTGGGAGCGCATGGTACTTGTTGATGCAGTGGTAGGTGAAGAGGAAGCAGAGGATGCCGAGGATGCAGCCGAGTAGGAAGTAGAGGATGTAATCGGTTGGATGCGGGATTGGAAGGACGGCAACGGGTCCATCGGTGGTGGGCGCGAGGGGGAGGAGGTTGTTGATGTTGTGGTTGGATGGGGAGGGAGACGCGGTTGGTGTGGTGGTGCTTGATGTGGTTGGTGTAGGTGAGACGGAGGTGGACTGAGTTTTGATGATGTTGAGGAGAGTGGAGATTGGGTGGTCGTTTACCGGTAGAGGAGCCATTGTGAGTCGATATCTTCGTGTTGTGAGGTGTTGATACTCGGTACTTGTCGTTGACTTTCGGGCTTCCTCGAGATCGAATTCTGGTCGCTCTGCTTGATTTCAATGGCTTGAGCTTTTAGGACACCGACGTCTCTCTTCCTGCTTCATCAACAACTCATCCTTCACATCGAACAGGTCTCTGAATCCACGCGTACCAATATTTCGTGTACCGTGACCGAGCCAATGCTCTACCGCAGAGTAGTCGCAAAGATGAAGTGTTTCAATTCTGGATTCACAAATGTATTGATATTGCAAGGAACGATCAGAAAGAGAAACCTTTACCCAGACGCCGAGAAAGTAGTTGATGAATATGACGCTGAGTTCACCATTGTTTGGACTACCTATTTGAAGTCGACAACTTCTCACGGATTTGTGTTGGCAGGGGAGAATTGTGGGTCTGACGAGTAGGTCGCGAGCGAAGTGCGTTTGTTGTACTGTTCAGATGAGAAAAGTGTTGAGGCTGGCGGATGGAGGGGGACGATGGGATGGTCATGTGGTAATCAGCAAGCTTAATTGCCATTTCTTCTCTTTCTTAGCCGAAATTATGCGAAACTTTTCTTGCATTTGCATCAGAATCGTATCCTCTATTAAGGGTAGATTATCTTGGGTGAAAGTTGGTAAAGGCTTGTAGCAATTCTGTGTCCTTAGCGAATGAAACTTAAATCGATCATATCGCTGATTGTGACAGCGCGTAATGGACGAGAATTTTAATGCTAGAATATACGAATTAGCTTGGATCGCTAATTTGGGAGAAGTACATTCACTTACCAACCAATGCTTTCTGGTATCGAACTCGACTGAATACGCTGTGTAGGAAGAAAACATAACCAACTATACGCGCATGTGACTAGCCACCTAGATGAATAGTTGGAACCCAGTATATCAATCTGCAAATCCTGTTAGATATATTAATACTGCAGCTAGATATTCAATGAGGTTTCTTTCTCCTAAAAGGGACAGCATAATATCTTCTCGAGAAGTCATTGTACTCTCCCTAGAAACAGTCAATGCTTGCTCCAAATTCTTTACAATTTCAGAGCTCTTATGAAATTAAGCATAAACCGTTTGCCTACATCTGGCCCGGGGATATAAATTGCATGTGATTTTCCTACTTCTACAATTTCGCATTACTCTTTGCTTGATCTCTCGCCCGTTGGACATGTTTCCACGCCAATTTACCCATTGGATGTCTCTGTTGAGCATTATCCCTTGCCTTCGCACTACTAGCTTGTCTTACAGCCCATCTCGCCGCGATTCCCTGATAGATGCAAGTCGCTCTAAAGAAACCGAATGCCACTCCCCAAGTTAATTCCGGTGTAGGATCCCAGCCGGCCACTTCCGCGTACCATTTTACCAGGTCGTGTTGAGTGGGAAGACCGGGTGTAGCACCAGGAGAGAAGGCGGGGAGGCTATGTATGTCTTCGTTTACTAAATAGTAGGGAGTGAGGAGGTTGATAAGATCTGAAAGGGGATGGCCTATGGTTGACATTTCCCAGCTTGCACTTTTGTCAACATTTGTTCAAGACTGCAAGGTTCAAGGGGACTTACTCTAATATCCCGATCACCCTAGGTTCTGTTTTGTGGAACACCAAATTGTCGATTTTATAGTCACCGTGTATGGGATTACCGCGGTCCTTTGGCTGTAACTTCTTGTCTCGGAAGAAATCTAATATCTCGTCGATATGTGGCATCTGACCGACCGGTTCTTTTGTGTCCACATCCCTAGTCTCTGCCTGTGCTTTCTCGATCGTTGTAAAAGTCTTAATCTGACGGTCGTAAAACCCGTTGGGCTTGCCATACGTTTCTAACCCAACATCTTTCGGATTTATACGGTGGAGTTTGGCTAGGGTCCGTATTGCGTCGTGCCACCTTTATTTTTATCAGCATCTCCAATATCTTCCAAGCTGCATCGACTTACATCTCAGTCCTTTCCGCAGGGGAAACGTCAGGCATAGTGGGATCTTCAATAATCCTTCCATCAAGAAACTCCATAATATAGAACGCCGTCCCAACGACCTCAGTATCTTCACAGAGACAATAAGCCTTGGGGACTGGCACGTCTGTCTTCTCTAGTGCGTGTATGATCCTATATTCTCTCTCCACCTGATGAGCCGTCTTGGAAACCAGTTTTCCCGGTGGCTTTTTTCGCATAACATACTTCGTGCCATTGGAAGCTGTAAGTTGATATGTTGGGTTCGATTGACCAAATCCAAACTGTTGCTTGTAAGCTAGAGCTCCCATATATTTCGCATGAGGGGCTAGCTACCTACCTGTTTGACATCAATGGGACATTTGATCTCCGGCACATTGGCGGTGATATATTTTTCCAAGGACTGAATGTCGATAGGTTGTCTTACGGTACCTGCCATTGCGAAAATTCTTTCTTGCGGTATAGTACAGGTGAGAGCGTGGAGATGTGGTGTCGTACTGCCGCCATATTGAGGGCGCAAGTTGGTAGTTATGGAATGAAAGAGCCTCGGCTACGGCTGGGATCAGCACTAATCTGATGCTCCTGGAAAACCGGAGCCGAGCCAAACTTCGGGGAAATCCTGGGGAAGCGAAGCGACAGGATATCAAAACACAAAAAGATTCTAGGGGTTTGATCGATGTCACAAATCATTCGAGCAATGTCAAACATAAGGGGGTATCAATGATTTCCTATTCGTAAAAGCGCCACTTTGAATACAGAAGACGTCTTCGTCTATGATACTTGAACAAATCCACGCTTTTTTTGGTTTCCATTGTCCTCTTCCCAAGTGTCTTCATCCACATAGTCCTTGACTCCTTTTTCCTTGACTTGCGCACCTATAACCCTCATTGCTGCCAGGTTGTAGCCCATTTCGTCCTTTTGTTTCTTTAAAGCTAGCCTCAAGTTACTCCGAATACCGTCAAGCATAACTCTCATCGTTCTGCTGGCCACAATTTGCCGATGATGTGTTTTGAGCATGAAGAAGAGGACTCGGCATGTAAGAGGAATATTCATCAATCGTGAGGCAAATATGTTAAGAAAGGTGAACAACATCGGTACGGTCGCAAAAGGTAAAACCAAGAGAGCGTCTTGCAATGCCGCTGCCTTGACTCTCTGAAGCACAGTCAAGACATGCACTTCAGCACTGATCCCGCCCAAAGCCATGAAAAGAGGGTTTCGAGCAGGTGGCGCCATGTTTGGCTGTGTAGATTTCGCGACCTCCCACTCTTCCACCAGCCTCAAGTCTGCCATGCCAATTTCGAGGGCTTCGGCGATCTTTTCCCCCGCCATCAGAGTCTCAATTGTCTGTTTTCCAGCAGTTCCCACTTCTGCTGCGTTGTCTTCGTCCTCCTTATCAGGTTCCAGCGAAGTTGTCAATGTGCTCTCATATAGTTCTTCAAGTTCCTTTTCCCTCTCTTCTTCCAAGAAGATCTGCTCGTCGGTCTGCTGCCATACTCTTATGCTCTTATCATGACTAGCACTGACAATAAAATTTCCAGTGCGGCTGACAGCTAAAGCCCATATTTCGCTGTGGTGGCCATCAAGTCGCTGGATCTGTTCGAATTTATCCCCGTCCCAATATTTGATCATGCGGTCTTTGCTAGAGCTAAAGAAGTGGTGACCGTTTCCATCTTGGTTATGAGGCACAAATGCAACCTGTAAAATACTATCTTGATGGGCAAAAAATGCTTTGTGGCAATCTCCAAAGTCTAAGCCCCAGAGACGAACATTCTTGTCGGCCGAACAAGTCACGATCAACTTGCTGTCAAAAGAGATGTCCATATTCAGGACGGGAAGCTTATGCCCATACAAGTTGAGAAACAGCTTCAGTGAGTCTACGAAGAAGACTTTTACCGTGTTGTCAAGTAGTGCAACTGCTAGCAACCTAGCATCTGGAGAAAACCGAAGACTAAGTATGTCATCGGAGACCTTCAGAGTCCGAGTGTGTGCCAGTCTTAGGCGAGGCGTCGTTCTCTTTGTGCCAGGAATATCTTCTTGGACTATTTCAAAGTTCCAGAACTTCGATGTCTTATCAGCACTGCCCGAAGCCAATGAGCGCCCGTCTGGATGCACTTGTAGAGTCCATACTGCGCTTTCGTGAGCCTTCACAGTATCCAGCATGGCGGCTGAGGCTACGTCGAAAAGTTCCAAATCCCCAGACTTGGTACCTACAACGACGATTTTGTCGCCAGGTAAGAACGCGACACATAGCGCGTAGCCACACTCAAAAGTGCGGATGCAAGATGATGTTCTTACATTCCAGATTTTCAATCCTCCGTTCGAAGCGGAAGCGAGCATTCTGTCGTCGGAACTAAGAGCGAGTGACCTAACGTCTGCTCGGTGGCCAGGAAGATCAACGGATAGGGTTCTGGAATAATCTGGCACTTCCTCGCTTTTCGACTTGCTTGTCTTTTCTTTCGTCAACACACTGTAAACCTCCAATTGGTTGTTCGTTGTGGCAACTAAGGTTTGTATGGACTTTGAACCCCTTGTATGGATCCAATCGAAGGAACGGACCTTTCCTCCAGTACGAACTATAACATGAGGGACGAAAAAGTCGCCGATCTCAGCACTTGAAATATCGTCCGGCTTCTCATCTTGCTCTGTATTGACTCCGTCCACTTCCATCGCGCCAGACGTGGCAGCCAACTTCTCGCGCCTTCTTTTGCGTTTCCTCGTCAAACTTTTCTTTACTTCCTCTTCTGATCTTATCCTCCAAATCTCCAGTGCCTTTTCCGACCCATGGACAGCAAAATAGTTCAGTCGTGGATGAAAGCTGACTCCGATGGCTCTCTCTTTTCCCTGCCTATGAAGAACGCCCCGATCGTGTAAAATCCGATTGTCCGCCAAGCTGTCGACCTGCCTTGATAGTTTGAGGAGTCCAGGAGTGTTAATTGACCATATCTTCAATTCTCCATCATTTCCAGTAGTAACACATCCACTCCCATCTGGAGAGACGCCAAGCGACCAGCACTCTCCGTTCGTTTGAGCGACATGAGTCTCGATACAATGTTGTGAGCTAATATCCCAAAGCTTGATGAGCGCATCTTTTCCAGTTGTTAGCAGGAAACCCTCTGCTTCGGTGGATTCATCTGCTGTGGCCACAATGGTTTCCTCATAATCCTCTCCATGTGTCGCATTTTCCGGCTGGAGAAAAGACAAGCCAGTGATCTGGTCTTTGTGTCCACGAAATTTGAAAAGCCCGACTTCAGCAACTAAGTCCCATATTATAACATCTGTGTCCTTCGATCCACTTGCTAGCCTTGCGCCCGACTTATCAAAACCAAGAATAGTTATCGCGGATCGATGCCCGTTAAAACTGACGATAGAAGTTGCAATCTTGGAGTCCCAGAGACGTACACTTCCGTCTTCGTATCCTACAGCATAAACGTCTGGATCGGCATGACTTTGCGCAAGAGCAGTGACTTGTGATTTACAATCCTTATCCTTCCACTGGCTCAGCAGCTCCCCCTTCCTTATATCCCAGCATAATACTTCCTCGTTTGCAGCTACAACAGCACGTCCAGAAGTACCACTTCTTGATGTGGTCGATTTGTCTGCAGACCATATAACATTTGCTGTGCTTGAATTGACGAGCCCGAAAGTTTTCGTATGCTCGTATTTCCTATAAAACACCAATTAGATTTGTTTTCCTCATAAAAAACGACAAAGGGCACTAACAAATATGATTTTACCATTTTCCAGTTCTGGTGGGGTAATTCTCTGCGATCACTCAAATATTTTTTTGAGCAAGTCAATTTTCTGCCGTTTCTTGCCGCCTCACAACAGGGCGGTGTACAGCGGCAGAACGATATGGCTTCGAAAAATAATTTGGGCCGAAGACATTTCGTCCACAGCATTTTACAAAATGTCAGGCCCAAGCGACAAGGCGCGGTTTTACTTAGAACAAGCTGTTCCCCAGTTGCAAGAATTCAAAGAGAAAAAGATTTTCTCGGAGGTAAGCCTCTCTTTCGCATGAAACCGGATGTAGTAGGAGATATCTGCGGGGTCTAATTTGCATGATACTGCTTGAAGTGTTGCTGTTGTCTACAAATAGTCCAGACATGCTGATTATACCACAGGACGAAATTCGGACACTAGTTAAAAAGCGATCTGATTTCGAGCATCGAGTTCTTGGTCGAGGTTCGCAACCAGTCGACTTCGCGAAATACGCAGCATGGGAGATCAGTCTAGAACATCTGCGGAAAAAGAGATGCAAGAGGTTACAGATTAAAGGAAGCACGGCGCATTCTGGCCAGGCGAGAATATTCAGTATATTCGATCGAGGAACAAAGAAACATCCAGGTGACATCGCGTTGTGGATGTCATTTTTGGAAACTGCGAGAGAAGCAAAGGCGACGAAAAAGTTCAAGATCGTTTTGACTGCCGCCTTGCGACTGCACCCAACTAAGTCGGAATTATGGCTGTACGCCGCGAAGTGGTCCTTGCAGTCGGAAGCTGATATGAGTGGGGCAAGAAGTTACATGCAGAGGGGTACTAGATTCTGTACGCGAAGCAAGGACTTGTGGATCGAATACGCGAAGCTTGAAATGATATTCCTAACGAAGATTGCAATGCGGAGGAAGATCTTAGGACTGGATGCTAGCGACGACCCGGATACGGACAATGAAGAGGAGATTCTCGAGGCAAACGGGTTCGAGACATCGGCAGATGTCATTGCCATACCAAACTTCAAGCCTAATACCCTGCGACAGAGTATGGTTGAGGGAATAGTCGTAGACGAGGAAGCCAAAAAAGACCCGATGGCAACGCCGGCTCTTAACGGGGCGATACCTTTAGCTATTTTTGATGCTGCGCGGAAGCAGCCATTCTTCTGTCCATCCGCCGCCGAGGACTTTTTTGATATGTTTGCCGCATTTACTCAGGTCAACTGTTTGCCGAAGATCTTGCTGCACGTTCTCGACGTTATGAATGAGTTATTTCCGAAAGACCCATCAACATCTAGTTGCTTTGTCAAACAATCACTCGTCGGACTCAGTCCTACTTCGCCAGAGTTCCCAACCGCGCTCGGTATCGCTCTGGAAAGACTTAACTTATCTATAGAGAATACGGCTGATAAGGGATTATTCATGAGGAAGACGAGAAACTGGATAGAATCAACATTGCAAGTGGCAGATTTAGATCCTGGTATAGAAGCAGTCTTGGGCCATACGTTACGAAAACTGGAGGGTTGATTCGGATTGTACTCGGAGGGATGTGTTTTCTGCAACCTATTTATACCCACTTGATAACGCCCGTTACCAAATCCGAGATTCAGATAAAATGATCACACCAGTGAAGATATTTTCAAGGACATATGCAGATACTACTTCCAGCTCCTCGGCAGCATTGTAAGTTATGGCAAGATGATAATTGATTTCTAACAGAGTACATTTACTAGATATATTACTGGATATTCGATATTGCCACCACCACCATCAGATACTTCTTAGATGTGTTGTGAGTGTCGGCAAGCAATGGAAAAAATTCTTCGACAAGATTCTACATTGGCTCTTCGTTTTCCTTTATCCAACTTCACAATTCACGTTTCAATTGAGTCTGTTTAAGTTTAAGAATTATTTTCATTCAATTATTCATTTAAGCATTAGAGTCCATATTTTGAACTCCTGCGTAGTTGGATTAATAGGAATCTTGCAAAATAGTTTTTTATTACTAAATCACTCTGCTGGCTCTAATCTCTACATCAAGAAATCCTATGTTTTTACAATAATAGTGGAGCCGTCTACTATTGATGTCCTAAGCAGTCTCTTCAAGCACTCGCATGTATACGAGTGCTTTTCGCCACTTTGGCACTTTGGCCTTTTCTGTCATATTCTTGCTCAGCTGCTCTGCCTCGTCAATTTCCTCCGTTTCTGGGTCAGCAGGGGGCGGAGGAACATTCAGGCTCTCGAAAGATATATAAGACGGAGCTCGAGATCCATCAGCGCTCGAGAGCTCATCCCTTTCTGCAAATTCCGACGAGTCGTTGTGGTTATGCGTCCCTCCAGAGATAGAATCCTTAAGCTCTTTGCTCAGGGCAACAGTTGGGCTCGCGTAGGAGGGTATCATGATTGGCATCTTCTTGAAGGAAGCAAGATCAGTCTTGTTGCTATCTTTGTTCATTGTCATTTCTGTCTTCACGCCTTGTGGTAGGTCATAGTCGTGATAGATGGAGCCAGACATACCTCCGACTTCTACGATGTAGCCTTCATCAGATCCATAAGACCACCATCTCACGTTTGATGATTCAACCTCACTGTCGAATGATTGGCGTGGCATAGTTTCAAAGGACTCTACGGTTCTCATTTTCAGATAGTCGTGTCTTTTCATGTGTTGTGCTACTTTGGTAGATGATATAGATAATATCTGATGAATATCTCAATCCTCGAGCTCAAGTTCCAGCTATATATTGAATCTATGCTCCTGTTCTTAAGGAAACTTAGTTGTTCTGGGATTGTGTGCCGAAATTCTGTCATACACTGTTCTTATAGCTGAATCCGCGCATGAATCCAGCTAAATTCATGCACTTTGCCATATATCATTCTTTTATGTGTAGGTGAACAAAGTAAAACAAGGTTTACCCCTCTTAGTCTGTTCATATTGTACATAATGCTGTTCTGAACTGAAGTGTTTGTCTTGTGGTGAACACACAAAGCTACATTCAGCACAAATAAAGGATATCATTTTTCCCTTTCATTCAGAATACTCCAATAACTGAAGATCTTTTTGGGAGAGTTTTGATATTCTTGGCTAACTCGTAGGTGATTAGGGATCTGCCAGATGAACAGAATAATCTTGAGGTGCCTTAGGTAGGTACCTAAGGTAGGTAGGTAACTATCCAGCGCCCACGGGCAGGTGTTTCACCACTCGAGACTCATTTACGTCATCATTAAGCGAGAATCATCAGCACACCACGACCATCATTAGACTTCCCTGCCGGTGTGTTCAAAGTCAATTAATTCTCATCAAAATAATCCTACTTGGATTGAGGATTCAGCGTTTTGAACGTCAATGTTATCTCTGGCACTCCCACTGAGGACTATAATAAATAAAGCTTATCAAGTTCCTCGAGACCTCCCTTTGTCAACTTTTTTACAGTATCGCAGCATGAAGCGTAAATCCAGCTCATCACCCGAACCCATATCAAGAAAACTAGCGAAGGTCGGGGATTATTGTTACGAAACTCCCACATGTATGCCTAATGGAGATCCCATATGGCCTGCGCCTCTCTCACACCTGTCCACTGCTAGAGAATTTCTTAAGGAATGGTAAGCAAACCCATTTTCGTTTGTGGCACCTTGACGCTGATTATGCTGAATTAGTGCATCATCTCAGGAGAAGACGCTAATTGTGCCAGACAAAGATGCTGATGGCCTCAGTTCTGGGGTTATTATACATCGGACTCTCGTAAAGCTGGGTCTCAACCCGAAACATTTAGATGTCCATCTGGTTCAAAAGGGATCTAATATTCATGAAGAATATGAGCGTAAGCTCATGCTCGCGACAAGGCCCAAATTCGTTATTGTTCTTGATCAAGGAAGTAGAAAGGGTCCTCCAGTCCTCGACGATGGAGAGGCTCGAAGTCTCATTATTGATCACCACCTTAGTGATGAGTTTCCTGAAAATGCGTTGGTAAATTTTCGCAGCCCTCTGAAACAAAACTTGGTTTAGCTAACGAATTTATACAAGGTTGTGTCTGCTTGTCACTACCCGCCTGTAGCGACTACCGCTCTCACTACCTATGAAATATGTAAAGAGCTTCATCCTGACATTGCAGTTGAATGTGGTTACCTGTGTGCAATCGGTACACATGGAGATTTAGGAAATACCTTAAAGTGGTTACCACCGTTTCCAGATATGACTGAAACATTCAAAAAATACACCAAAAAACTAATTAATGATTGCGTCTCATATATAAATGCTCGTTCGTCACTCGCTCTTGATTAGCTCAATCTAAGAACAAGAACAATGCTGATGAATCACAAGCAAGGCGCACAGGAACTTATGATGTTATTACAGCATGGAAAGCACTTCTGGATGCTAAAGATCCCAAGGAGATCATGAGTAATCAACGTCTAGCGCTCGCCAGGCAAGAAATTAATGAAGAGGTTGAAAGAAAGACACATACGCCACCAAAGTTCAGCAAAGATGGAAAAGTCGCAGTACTCAATATCAGCAGTCAGGCGCAAGTTCACCCGGTTATCGCAACACGATGGGTAAGTTTGATTGACACTTATACAAGACGGCATCCACCCCTCTAATCTTATTTTTAGGCAAGCCATCTCAAAGCAAAATCACTTGAAATTGTCATGGTGGCCAACCATGGATACCTGCCTGGCAAGGTTAATTTTTCTTGTCGCATTGCTCGCTGTGCTCGAGGAAGGGATCCTCCAGTCAATATCATAGAGTCATTGAAGGCGGTCGCGAATCTTGATACTACGGACCTTGTGCAAAGACTCGGTGAAAATTTCGCAAGGGGTCACAAAGAAGCTTCTGGGGGCATTATCAACGCTGCAGAATTTGAGGAGCTTTGTTTGTTGATGAAGGTTGGAGAGAAGCCGGATAAGCCTGAAGGAACAAAGAAGAAGGTTGAAAAGTCACCCCAAAAGAACACACTAAGCAATTATTTCAAAAAGTCTTGAGATACATGGTCACCTGGTCTATCTCAGGCCCTTGTATGATTAAATTGTAGCAATTGGGGCTCAAAGTCTTGGAGATGGTTGAATCAATGATTTATTATACCAAAACATAGTTGGCTGGGTGGAAAAGAATTATCATTAATGGTATATACATGTCCGTTAAAGCTTAGCTTGAGTTTCTAATTTTTCGACCTTATCCCTCAATCGTCTAATCTCTGCCTTGACAAGAACAAGCTCCACCTCTTGCCTTGCCCAGATAGATTCTTTTTGCAGTTTATGATCGAAACTATCCTCCTCAATATCGCCTGCACCCAGCTGCTCATACAGAATAGACTCAACACTTTTCAGCCAACTAGAGATTATCAGAACGCGGTTGGCGTCTTCGCAACTAGGGCACTCTTTGCTTGGTCGTCTTTGTGGTAGGTGATGTGATGAGCATTCTCGTGACACTTCTTCCACCAATTGTTCCAAGCCTGCGGCGGTCATGTTGATTGAAGGGGTCATTATTGTCGGTATTATTGATATGCTTTTGGGAGATAATGGCTTTGACGTTGGAGGTCTCTTGATTAATTTTGTTTGATGAACAGGTACTGGGACAGCAAGTCTATTTATCTCTAGTGCCCAGGTAAGAAGTCCATTGTGTGAAACCATGCAACAAACAAAGTTCGCTGGAAGCTCTTTTTACACCACACTCAATGCCCATTGTCTACCGCCCCTTGGTCCCTTTGTGATCAGTATATTGAATTGACTCATCCTTTATCTTGTCTTCTTCAGAAGCTCCTCAGCACCCTAAACTTCACTATCCGAGACTCTCTTTGTGTTCCTCCGGGTCATGAACCGGACTGGGGTCAACACGAAACCGAGTATCCTATCTCGAAAGCTGACTTGTGGAGAGAGTAACTCTTTGTTAATTGACTCTCTTCTTGCTTCCGCGTACCACATATCGAATCGTGTTTTGTGCTGATGCTTCTTTGCTTCGGTCCGTGTCTTTTCGTGTTGTGATGACATGCTTCAGTCGGGGGTTCGAGCTTGCAGGCGTGGGGAATACAAAAGTAAAATAGATGAAGCGAAATAGTAGAAATCTATGGGGGTTTAATCTTGCAAGACGTTGGTGGCGTTATTCATTAATGGCGAGAGAGATGATTACGTTGTTGAAGCCTAATGAGCAAATATATTTCGATTCATTATTCAAACAAAGTATTACAATATAGAACTTGGAAGCAGAATATTCTCTGATGATTAAGAGGAATATTGAACCAACAGTCATACAAGTAAGTGTCGACATTACGAATCAATCAAATCCATAAAATACGTGAAGTTTGATTAATTAAGTTCAAAACCGCGATTGTGACGTCCATGAATGAATCCTCTTTTACATATGTACCAGATTAATTCATTACAGGTAATAAAGTCGACTCACACGACGGATAAGAGCCGGCTTGTAAGAGAGAAAGTTCTGCGACTACCAGCCAAGCGTTGTAGTACTTCGAAAGGACTTTTTCGAGGTCTGCTTTTAGCCTTGAGCATGCTCTCTGCGCTCAATAATTGCTCGTGATGCTTAACTTCACTGGTAAGCATTTCTGTGATGAAACCCCATGTTTCTAATCTATCATTCGCACCTCCGCTCTCTATTGCTGCGCGCTGCTGTGACATTAAGCCAGAGAGTAACATCTCAAACTTTCTCATAGCATGAGCTAGATCTGTATTTCGATCAGCATAGAAGTGCCTGATCTTTAAACCGAAGATTTCTGTAATATGTCGAACACACCATGCGTCTGCGGCATGAGGCCGGTGCCGCTCCGCGTGGGTATTGGTCATAAAATAATCCAGTTTTCTTTGTTTTTTGAGGGTTTGTATCTGTGTAACAGTACGTTCAGCCAAAATTATCCCAATCTCGACCTCAAAACATTGACCTTTCTTGACTTGAACCTTCAAATCTTGGTATAGTTTGTGAATCATGACTTCGAATCGTAAAAAATCAAGAGACATCTGTACTTGCTGACACCTTGTCGGTGATTTGTATCTCATCGCCTTATCAAAAGCGCCAAGAAGATCTTGAATAAGCTGCTCATCTCGTTCACCCACAGAAGTGAAGTTATATTGTTGACAAAGTTTAAGACCCAATTGAGTTGTGCACGGGTTGTTCCTATATGGACGAACCGCATAGTGTTCCACGTTTTTCGACTTGTTCAGGAGCATGTTTAAGGCTTAAAATTGTTACTAGCCGGATCTGTACAGAATTTGTCAAGTATTTACAAGTCTTTGAAGAATCGGCGGACTTGGAGACAGGAGTGACATTTAACTTCGAAGAAACATTGACTGTTTAATCCTACCCCATTTCACTGTTCTGGTTGATGAGAAAAGATCCTCTAGTTAAGCGGTTGCCTTGGCGCAATGAATGAGAGGCTCGGCTTTGATGAGATGTCTTTGTTGTGAAGATAAAGCTACATGTTGTAGCTTGATACTCGAATATGATTTCTTCGTCTTCTTTAGATCACTAACCGATTTGTTCAGCAACAACTGCTCAATGGCAAAAATAATGTTTCTCCAATTTTGACAGAAAATTAGACGTGATGAGGCGAGGTCAACGAAGATTTGGAGAAGGTTCTGATCCGGCACCTGAAACAACGTTACTATTAAAGAGAAAACGATGCATCCTTTCAGCTTATATACTCGGTTAGAAGCAATTCATCCCGTATTATTTAACGGGTTCAATTATTACCAATATATAAGGATGATAATACGTTCCGGACGGCCTTATTAATACTGTAGTTTCTCATGAATCATATGTCAAGATCACTGTTAGATCTTCTGCTCCGGAGGAAATCTGCATTTTCAAAGTTTAAGGATTCTTAACTATAGAACTCAGCTTACTTTTAGACTGAGAACAGAGGTCTAGTCAACCTGGTCAACATAGGAAGCTGCGCAGCTTCCAGCGTCTTAGAGAACGCAAGCTATTGAGTGACACCATTCACAAAGCTCAGAAGAATTGAGTTCAGTTCCTTTGACTTCTCCAGCTGAATCCAGTGGCCACAATCAAGCTCCTCTACTCTAAGGTTCTCTACCCACTTGGCTGTGCCCTGTTTTGCCACTTCCGCTCTGGTTACACAGTCCTTGCTACCAACAATGAGCAACGATGGAAGATTGACACGGTTGCGATCTAAAGGTATTCCAGCGACTTTCGGGAGGTCGACACCACGAAGTCCAGCTTTGTACCTGTTTCCAAAAGTTAGCGCACTGCCAATCAACTACTTTTATATCTTGAAATTGCTCAATAATCAAGACGCAACATACCAATTAGTAGCCGGACCGTACCCTTTTTTGGCTAGTATACGATTGTGCTCGGCCATCTCTGCTGAGGTCAACCACTGAGGAAGCCCGGGATTCTTCTTTAAATCAATCCATCTTTCAAAGCCACCCTTGGGTGCTAGATAATTCTTCCAGTCCTCAAAATCTGCCGGATATATCAGAGCTTCCGCACACTCCGCCTACAATTCGTGTTATCAAAGAACTGCTAGATTTTAAGTTGCTTGAATGCTCACATTACCGTCAAGTATTTTTCCAGCATCGTCCCTTTCAAAGAGATACCAATAACCGAATGTGGCGTAACCGAAAGCCTTCTCCATCATGGCATTTAATCCGTCTGTCATCATTTATTAGTGATTCACTTGATACGGGAGATTAAACAAACCCAGGTCCCAGGGATTCTCAGATATCTCTGTATATCCAACCGAAAGAAAAGCGACAGCTTTCAGTTTCTCGGGATACCAGAAGTGTAGGTGGGATAGAAGGCCACATCCCCTAGTCAAAATCATTAGCTAATTTTCCCCGTTCCCAAGTGGTGTGGTATTAGAGAATGGAATTAGGATTTTCATTTGAGTTACTAGCTTCTATAGCGTCGAGAATAACTCACCAGTCGTGAGACACACCTATAACCTGTTCGATCTCTTCCTTTTCTAAGATCTCAGAAATGTGTCTACTCATTGTTTTGAGAGAATAAGCTTCAATGTCGCTAGGCGCATCAGTGTCACCGTATCCCAAGAGATCAGGTATCACTAATCCGAAACCATTTCGGGATAGTTCAATTTGGTTTCGCCATTCATAGGCAGCACTCGGAAACCCATGAAGCAGCAGAAGTGTGGGTTTACTTGGTGCGGCGGGGAGGTAGAGATACGCGTAGCTAGTTCCATCAGACAGTTTGACCTGCTTGCCAGCTTGAGAAAAACAGGAGAGCGCCATTTTGTTTGGTGTGTGAATTGGAACTTTTGAGGTAGAACACAAAAAGTCCGCAGATGCGGGGGATGTACGTTATAAAGATGCAAGAGCGAAGAACGAATGTAAGCCCCACCATTTCTGACAAGGAATTGGCATGCAGCGCGCCTAGCGAATACAACGAGATTGACGAGGCGCTTTTGTATTGATTGTAAATCAGTTGCCAAGCCCCCTGTATAATTGGCAGGGCCAAACAAGCTGTTCCAACGATATGCTCCATCGATACGTCAATGTTACCGGAGTGCACTATTGTCGCAAGTTCTCGAAATACTAGTTAATTTTCTCTCTAGCTATCTTTATTCTTCAACAATTTGTAACAGCCATTTAGTGTCCCCACATGAAATAAAAGATTCGTTTTGTACTTCAAAATTTTTCCTAAAGTCGATGGCCGTTTCATGAATCTGTTAGAGGAAGTTGGTTTGGGTCCTCGCTTAAAGATGGCCCCCCTTTAACTAGGCTACATATTCTCATTTCCTTATCATCGCAGTAATTAGGAGTAAAACCATTCATTAAAAGAAATACACACAATTTTAAGCCCTTGAAACCCGCATCGCTTGCTTCAATAAAATATTCCCAAGTCCATATCTGTAGTTGCGCTGGGTACCACTATGCGCATGACTGAATTAATCTTACAGGGATGAAGAATCAGCTATACGAAAAGTATCAAGAGGGAGATTTCCAATTCTAGTATTAAATTTGGTCACTTGTTGCCAAAAGTCTTCAATACAAGCTATGTCAGCCAAGAACCTCCCACCGGAGATGACCAATATCCTCATACGAGCCACTTTAGCGAGCTTTTCGACCACAAGTATGACTGATAGAACGTGCTCATACAATTTAAGATGTGTCCTGTTTTTTCCCTGTAGTGAAACAGTAGAGTACCACAAGTCAGGTTAGCTTCCTTAGCTTGAGTCTTGACATAAAGAGGGCGATTTTTGTCTGTTGCAATACTCTCTGCTCCTGCCTCATTTTGCACTTGAACGCTATCTTTTTATTGATGATGAAGCGATTTTGATGGCACACCATTGGCATTGACTGCATTTTTTCTGTTCACAACTTTATTGCATCGAAACTCCCAACCCTCCTAAGCCCTCAGCCCTTGAAATACCGTTCTGGTCTGGATCTTATTTGAAGTAAAGCGTAAATTGAACAATGAAGTGACAAGTTTTGCAACTAGTGTGTTTGCTCCAGTTGACTCTACTGTCTAACTCTGCCGCATGTCCGTGAAGATTTAATGGTGCAGAGAGAACCTCGAGGACGAGAATAGTCTCTGATAGGTGATAATCAGAGAAAGAGAACGAGCCTTGTGAGACGCCGCCGATTTTCTCTTAGGTGATTTCATCCATCGCCTTCCACAAAGCTTCATTAAGTACTTTGCAGCCTCCACCTTTCTTGCCTACACAACCTTGTTCCAGTGCTTCAGAGACGACGTCGAGCTTTTCTTCGGTTGTTGCAAATTGCATCAACATCGCGTGCGCTCGTGAGCATTCAACTCCCCCGGATTCTTCTTCAATCATGTCATCCTCTTGCATAGATTGAGTGACATCCGTACTGGGGTCCTGCGCAAGTCGGGTGAGGACTTTGCAATGAGGTATTACCAAGTTAGTTGTCTTGTCAATGTCCTGGCATCCCCCCTTCTTGTCAAGTTCCTTTCGACTACAACTCGACTGACGGACCCCAGGGCACGATAGTGTGTGTTCTTTCTGAACAGCAGTCGGCTCCGTAGGCAAGAATGGAGAGCCTGAGGTAACGTCGTCATTAGGGGACCATGTCTCAATCATCTTCTCATTGACGTGAACATGTCTTAGTAAGGCTCGTAATCTCGCGTTCTCTGCTACTACTTTCCTTGCAGCAAGCTGAACCTCTTGACTGGCCTGCACGCCTCGTGACTGGAGTTCTTGCAATTTGGTCTCAAGACTTGCAGTGTAATCTCTCTTTCGTTGCCTACTGCGGCGCTTGTTATCACGAAGGCGAGTAAGCTGCAAGTCCTATCAGACTTGTTAGCAAGCCTTCTCTGTTGACTGGAAATCTTCTTCGCTATATACTGTTACACAGTACTACGTGCAGGGTGTCAGTCGCTTACATCTGTGCAATTCGACTGCCGCGGAGAATGTGACATGGTGCATTGAGGGCCGTTCGTCGACCTGCAAGACGATCTTTTGGAGAAGCTATTTGCAGTATTTGATCTCAAACTCTCCATGGTGATGGCGTGCTTTGACAGCGACCGCCTCAAATCTCAGATGACTAAGAAATGCCAGCCACCACCTCAATCATCGCCAAATGCAGCTTCACGGGAAGCCCAAACCAATCATGGCTCGTCTGTCCGTCACTTTTCCCAGCGACAGACCACTGAACATGGACCAGTGATAGCTTGCCTGTCTGTCCCTCTTGCATCTCCCATTCATTTGGCAAAGACTTATTAGCTAGTATCCATCGAGCTGTTTTGCAAAGACTCTGTTCAGGTACCTCACAGAAATTAAACTCGATCGTTTTTTGGAGAATTAATATTGTACTTAAAATGGCAAATCTCATCACAACAACTCCAAATTCGTTGCCCCAGAATTCCGATCACACTACTAATATACCAAAAGATGTTTCCAAAGATGTAGAGAAGCAAGATTCCATTGGGTTGCAAGTACTCGAGAGTTCGCCAACAGAAGTCGTGGACAGCACGGAACCGGGCATGGAAGATAACTCTTACGTTCCAAAACTCTCGATTTTCGCCTTGTTTTGGTTTTTCTTCTATAACTTTGGAATATTCGCCTGGGGCGGTCCTGTTGCCCAAATTGCACTACTAAAAGAACGTCTAGTACTACAGGACAAATGGATCACGGTTGAACGCTTCCAGAGAGTATTTGCGGTCTACCAGATCCTACCCGGTCCTGAAGCAGCGGAATTATGCATGTTCTTTGGATGCCTTTCTGCTGGTAGGATTGGGGGTATCGTGGCTGGTATCGGGTTCATTCTCCCTGGATTTATCTTGATGCTGTTGGCGAGTTATCTATACTCGCTTGCCGGATTTGAGAACGTTTACTTCAATGCTTCGTTCAAGGCATTGCAGCCTATAGTTGCTGCAATGGTGAGACTCGCAGACTCCGAAGCGCTGGATTCTGCTAATAGATGAGCAGATACTCAAAGCTGTGCACAAAATAGCAGACCACTCGGTCATTAAGCAAAAATCGAAGAAGGTCGACCCTTTCCTGGTCATTGCGGCGCTTTGTACGGCAATCAACATTGCTCTACGCATCAACATGTGAGTCTGTCAATCGATGAAGTTTGGACCTTGCGCTTATACAGCCAGTTTTATCTCTCTCGGCTTCTATGGCATCTGGTATTCGATAGTTGCTCGTCGCTTCTGGATTCTGTCGGGGATTCTGTGGATATTGCAATATGTCGGATTTGCGCTCTACGTTGTCTTCCGCGGGTTTCCCTCTCCACTGGCTCTTGCGCTCGGCATTGCCCAGACTCCTTCCCTCATCAACCTCTTCATACTAGGCCTTGTAGCAGGTAGTCTTTCATTCGGAGGAGCATACACTGCTATACCGTTCATACAGGTCGAAGCCGTGTTGAAAGGAGGTTGGCTCCCTCAGAGTGTTTTTATAGACTGCATTGCAATTGGTAACATCCTTCCGGCGCCTTTGGTAATATTTGCCACTTTCGTTGGGTTTCAAGGTGGCTTGCAAGACGGTGGTCTAGGAGCAGCGTTTGCTGGTGCTATCATTATCACGATAGGGATGTTCTTTCCCTGTTTTCTGTTTACAATTGTAGGACACAATTTGTTGGAAAAACTCGTGCGGAACCAGGCATGTTTCCCCTTCCGATCTACTCGATATGTTCTGACTTGATCTGTAGCTCCTCGCAACCTTCTTCGATGGCCTGTGCGGATCGGTCGTTGGCGTTATTGCTGTTATTGCTGCGCAAATTTTTGAGGCCAGCGTGCATGGTGAGCCTCGAACACTTAACGAGGCAGCAAACTCTGGACTGGCAGCCGTCATGTATTTGCTCGCGTTGATCGTGCTGTATAAGTTCACCAACAAGTGGGCGCCATTAGTGTTGTTAGCGTGTGGAGCAATAGCTGGGCAGTTTCTCTTCGTCTAACTTCCAAGTTGGTGAGGGACCATAGCAGCTGCAGAGAGGAGGATGCTGATCGAACTAAGATCCCCTGTGGAATCCTGTGCCATTTCAGAAGATATTGCGGCGGGAACAAAAGCATTAGAAATCCTCCTCACTTCATCTACCCGTGTATCTGTAGAGCGGCCCTCTGCTGCTGGGAGCTTCGAAATGAGTGGCTGAATTGAAATCAAGTTCCGCAGCAGTGAACACGTTGATATAGGCATTTCTTATTTGAAAGACTTGGGTACAAACCATGTAAAAAACGAGAATTAGCTAAGCAAATTCCACCATTCTACAATTGCCTATGTACCTTGGTCGGTAGGTGGGTAGGTAAGGACTGCGAAGCCATTGAGGCATCCGGCATATTGCTCTGACTGCAGCTCTTCCCGAGAAGTTGTTAACTGTGTTAACTACTTAGTGTAACATTGGCTTCTGGAAGCATGGATAATTCAGGATTCGAGAGACAGCTGTAAGAGTTTCGTGTAAGGAAGGTAGAGGTTCTTTCCACGCCATAAAAGCGGAATGTGAAATTTCCTCGGTAACCCAGGCTCGGAAAATCGTAAACTTTAAGCTGTTAAACGTAAAATATGTATTGCGTAATACTTGACAAGAATACCTTGTTTAAACTAAATAACGCCCCCAACCAACTCCTTATCCAATACTCCCAGCAATGCTGTTCCAGTTCAACGCCAAGTGTCACACCAACAGAGCATTGACAATGCCGTCATAAGCTCGTTCTACTGTCCTATTACCTACACCAGGTACAGCTCTCAGTTGCTGAAGTGTTTGTATATTACCCCCGTCATCCTCGTTTTGCAATTCGAGAAACTCGACGAGATCTCTGGCCTTCTTCGCTCCAAACCCACTTAGACTCATGAGGAGAGCTACGTCGCGAGAATTGACGATGTCCAGGAGTTGCTTTGTTCGAGGTGTCGGAGGTTGTTTGTTGTCATCGCATACATCCGAAAACACTCGAAGGCTGGATTTTGAGTTCTGTTTGGGTTTCGATTTCTTATGTTTTGGCTTATATACGAAACTATCATCTTCTTGTTCGTCTGCTCGAACGACGGCCGAACAATCAAAGTCGTCATCTCTCTCGGAACTGAGCCTTTTCTTCCTATTCTTTGGCGGGGTTTCTGGTTGCTCCGCGCATTTCGGCTGATATATCTCGAAGGATGCGGCTGGCGTTGGAAGTTGAGTATTTGAAGCGATCGGGGCCGTTGCGAGCTTCTTCACTGGCATTATCAGGGGTGCTGTGGAGAGTTCAGCGGCCTCAAGATCTCTCTTCGCCTGGATTTTAGATCTGAGATTGGTAATCTTCTTTTGCAACTTTTCTTGTTTTGGAAAGAAAGGCACTGCCATCTCATACATCTTTAGTGCACTGCTATCCTCACCTCTTTCCTTGTGTTGTTTCGCCATGAGTAAGAACCTGAGTCCTTCTGCCCTGGCTTCCTCTGCTTCTCCGCTCTCTATCTTCTTCTCCAGTGCCTCAAGTCTACGCTGAACAGCTTCAGATATTTCGACCGGAGGTTTGGCCGGAGGCTGATCCAGAGCATGATTCGCCAAAGCTTCGGCCACCTTCCGTTCGATCAACTCCTCGATCTTGGCAGCTGACATTTCAGTAGAGGGTTTTGGCATGCCAGGCTTCACTATCTTATTGAGACGGGAGCCGTTTGTTACATCAGACGGTCGTTTTTGCGCTAAATCCGGTTTCCTAACAGTCGCCGTATTGGCGAGCATTGCCGTTCGTGGAGCTGCTTTTGCTCGATCTGAATAGACTGAAAAAGCTTTAGCTGGCTTGTCTCCTTTCTGAGCGACTGAGTTGGGATGAGTATTGTGAGCATTTGCAAGCGGCCGCAGAGGCTGACGCTGCTGCAAAGATGCACCGCTCGTATTGGCCTTTCTTGGTGGTTGAGTGAACACAATCTCGTTTTCGATCTCTCTCACTTCAATTCTCTTAGCTCGCGAGCTGACATTCAAGCTGGATAAGGTATCGAGGTGGTAAGATCGCAGTGGAGCTAGGTTTAGTATCATAATCGTGATACCATTATTTTGTCCCAAAGAAAGAATTCTCGTCATTTTAGACTCTCTGTATGGGATCCGTTTGTCCCCGCGGCCTATAGCGTCGATACACTAGCTCAGCACGAAAAGCGACTTATTGATACTAGCAGATTCGACCATTCTTTCTTTACCATTGTCCGTTCGACGATTATCTTCAGATCCTGCTAGATCAATCGCCGACGCTGTACTGATTAAAGTCCCTTCTGAGCTGACCTGGTGCACTTTGACCATAAGAATGGCATGACTCCTACTACTCTGAGCATTCAGCTTCGTCCCAGCGGTGCTCCTGTTGTTGTTGGCCTCAATATATAACTTCTCGAAATCTTTCAAATCGTCGCATGCTCGCTCGGAAAGGCCTACAACGATTGTCTTTCCATCTTTCTCTCGGAGAGGTAAGCCGGCTAGTGATCGCTTTTCTGGTGGTTCAAAGAGGTCGTATACTTTGTCGTTGTATATTTCGTAATATGAGAGCGTAATTGAGACACTTGTCTCTCCTCCAGAGTCCTTTGCAACCTTCCTTCCTCGGCGGTATATCCCACTCAGCAGCCGAGGGATTACTCCTCGCTCGGACAATTTCAATCCACCGCGCATAGTATGTGTTTTCCCGGTACCAGTTACTCCGTATGCGAACAATGTGACGTCGAGACCTTGGAAAAGCGATTTCAGAGTTGGCGCAACTATCACCCATCAGAGGGTTTTCAATGAGAGTTTTTCCGATCGAATATACCTTCGTTTGTAAACAGCTCCTCCTGTGTAGTTTCCATGTCGTAAACGCCATTAAATGCAAAGCTAAACTCCTCGGACTCGTTTTTCGGGTTGGGTATTCGGACTATGTTTGTGACCTTTCCATCTTTGCTTCCTTCTGCATTTACAATTATGTCTTTCTCGAGCTCCTTATCAAGCAAAGGGCGTAAACGTGCGACCACTGTTATTTGATGGGTTAACCTTGAATCCAACCTTAAACATCTGGAAGGATTGTTCCACATACCTCGGACGGACATTGTGCAAGGTATCAATCGCGAAAACAAATATTAAGAAGCAGAAACCAAAGAAACAGCAACCGCAAGAAAGAAATCTAATCGTTGTCGAGACACTTGTACTCTGTTCATTGATTCGATTTCCGGAGTCGGTCAATCGCGTCGCCCGATATTTCAAGGTGTCGTTGACCGGCCAACGAAGGGTATCAGCCTCGCGGAGCACAAAATAAGTGGCAGTCGAACTAGAATAGTTCTTAGACTAATAAGTTGACGAAATATCGTAATTTAGTGGATTAACTTATAACATTATAACTATTTCGTCAACTGTTTAAGTAACTAAGACCTTTTAAGCTCAATTCGAAGTCGACTTATTAATTAGTCTAAAATTTGCGGGTAAGTGACTGCCACTCATTTTGTCCTCCGCGAGATCAGCTTCATGACCTCACGCTGATATCGCCACAGAGCAGGTTTGAAGTATCCGGCCATTTGAAATATCGTCTTTATTAGGCATAATTGTATTCATGTCTATATCTACAATTTCTATGCTAAAATGTTTAGAGCGAAGAGGCTATGCGGACTCCGAACAATGCAAAAGCAACCAACACCCGCAGAATTAATTATACAACCTTCAAGACCTTGAATCCACACTGCGTCCATCTGGCAGCGAAGTACATCAATGCACCCGCTGCCATGGTCAATCCACAAAAGAGTTGTAAGTACAAGAAACCGCCATTATCTTGGTCAAGTAGAGCTCCGCCAATTGGGTTACCAGTCAGGGCCCCAACGGCGACAAAAAGGAAATATGTTCCAGTACGGACACCTATCTCCCGAATTGGAGAAACCTGTGCGAGTAGTGAAGGACCCATTGATACAAATGCGCCACTTGAAAACCCATAGAGGACACAAAATACAATCACAGGCGCATTCGATTTAGCCGGGAGCCAAAGGGCTAGGACGACGACTGCTGAAAAGGCTGTGGTCATGATCATGACATTAAACCTACCAATTCGGTCTGCTACTATTCCAGGAAGGATTCGACCGAAAATTCTAGGACGGGGTTAACCACTGGGAGCGAGAATATTATAGGAACATGAGGACTTACGATGCAGCATTGAGGATGGACAAAAGATAAAGGGATAGACCAATCGACATGCCATCCGCTTGCGCCCTAATTCCTCCAGTTAACACATGTTGAATTGAGCACTTGGCCGGAGTAACTTACTGGAGGATTACATAGTTGAACGGTAGGAATGTACCGAAGAAGAAAAGAAACGAGGCGATGCAGAGCAATAAAAAGGGAGGCTCCCTCAGTGGTCGAACGAACTCCATAATCTCTAATTTCTTCGGAGTTGGAGTGAGTCGTGACTTAACTGTGAGCATAGAGATGACCAGCATGCCAAGAAACATAAAAGCACATGCTCTCATAGTCCATGGAAATCCGATTTTAGGGATTAGTTTGGTGACGAAAATGCTAGTATGACTGTGTTAGCAACGAAACTCGAGTATATAAACAGAACGAGTTAAGCGGAAACATACGGGAGTACAACACCACCTAAAGAGGAACCAGATGCCATCACACCAAAAGCAGTTGCACGCTTCTTGAAGAACCAGGTCGTAACTGAATTCATCGAAGCGAAGAAGATTGCACTGGCGCCTAGGGCACTGACAATGCCTTGAGCTAGAATGAATTGATAATACTTGGTTGATAGTGAGGTCATCATCAAACCGAAAACGTGGGCAAACGTCCCGCCTATAAGTATCCATCGGGGCCCGTAGTTATCTGATATCTTTCCAAAGAACGGGCCTCCAAACATCATCATGGAAACCTCCAGAGAGGGAATCCATGAAACAGTACTTGGTGACAGGTCAGAAAGTAAGTTTTTCTGATAATACTCTTGAAAGATACCTATGAATCTTGTCAGCTGCAAGATACATTTAGATGAGCAGTAGCCAAAAGAGAAGAAAGGGTAGAGTGACCAATGCAATTAATCCACCCAAAAGATGTAAACAGGGCCAGCCAGCCGCCGCCCACCACCAGCCATGCTTCGAGACCACCATCAGGGAAATCGGCTGGATTAATTCCACCAGCGACTGCTTTTGGTGGAACTCCAGCATTGTCAATATCAGCTTCTGCTCCGATCTTCGATTCTGGGAAACTTTTCGCTAATGTCTCTGTGTTTTGGCTCCCAGTCTTGCTGAGTGTTTGCTCATCAGAAGTTCGCATGACATCGGCCCCGCTGTCTCCAAATGAGGACTTCTCAAGCTTCTCTGACATAGTGTTGAGATGATCAGATAATGAAGTTGAAACCCTGTTGTCGAATCTCTGATATTAAAGTGAAAAACGGTTGAAGACGAAAGATCGCGCTCTTTGGTTGTATCGTTGATAGATGATCTATACAAAGTCGAGCCGTGTGCAGACAAATACAAAGATTTGTAGAGTATGAATATGAATATAGGAAATTGAAGATGTATACATTATAGGATACGCAACGATATTTGATAGAAAGCTACGAAAAGAGTACTTGACAATCCAGTGGGCAAGTCCATGGAGTTAAATCTTTCGTTCTTAATCGGAGCTATGAAATGGCCGTGCACTTTCTGTTTCCGGCTGATTCATTTCAAACCCCCAGCAAGGACTGCGAATCTTAGTGGTCAATATCATACGTAAGGGGATAAGATCAGATCTCTGTTGCTCGCTCGCCGTCGTCTCGGCCTTCGCAAAGCGCGAGCCAATCAGGGTTGCTTCCAAGTTTGTAAGCTTTTTAACCCCGAGCTATGTTACGAAGGCTAGACACGAAGCTGATCTTACATTTTACGTATACTTGTTGGATACTGTCCTAGCACATACGTTAATCCATTCTTTGGCAGTGTAATTAGGTCTCCTCGGGCTTGTGTCGCCCCCGAGATAGCTAAAGATCTGGAGCATAGTGTCGTTGCCATCCTCGCAGTACTTACCTACTTCTGGCAATAAATATATTCTTATGAGACACTGACATGTACTTTCACGTATCTATGCACAGTAAGAAAGAAACCCCCAATTTTGCAGTATGGCATTATGTACGCGAGCACATTACTCTGACTGCGAGATCGAATATGTGTTTTACACAAAGTAGAACCCGAGAAAAATGTAGAATCGAGGAAATGTTAGATAGGGCTGAACGAGGAACCTGTAGCGATCTAATTAGCTTGACTGAAAACCCCACTAGTGGTTTGTACCTGCTATCTATTCGCCAAATGTCGTGAGATGGAGTAGCGGCTTTTTAAAGCTTGGAGGCTGGATTGTCTGCATTGATAGAACAAGCCCCTCCACCACTGGTAATTCAGCATCTGAAACCTTCACTATACGCGGAATGTGAAGCCATTTCCCTTTAGCTGAGCAAAACTTTCTGTACCTAACGAATATATGATGCGAATAGAGGATCTCTCATAGTCCGGCTCATCGACTTCTACATCTGTTGACTCCTTAAGTTACTGTTCCTTATTCATGGGGGCTGCGCAGGTGTTTGACATAGCGCGTGTTTACATTACTGGTAGGAGCTTTGATCCATTTTTGCCTTTTAGTACATATATACAACAGTTCATACACCGAATCTGTGGATTTGCCAGTTTAATTCGTAAACGGCTTAACACTCTCAACATCCGCAAACTTAACTTTCCCATCTTTGCTAACTTCCGCAGTATGAAATCCAGTCGGCACATCCATCACTTGTTTCGAAGAACCATGTTCATCGGCCTTTGGCTTATTTGCCAGTGTCACTGCATTTTGTACTGCTCCAGCAGGAGAATCAGCAATTTCGTTGACGTCTCTTGAAGTCAACACATCACTAATACGCGATGCCCTCGAAGATATCAATATCGTATTGGGTCCATGGAATTGTAAGAATAACCTGTCTCCCCATATCGTCCTCCGCGTAGCCGTTCGCAGGCTGAACAACAGTTTTGTAATGCCTCTCCATGTAGAAGTCTCTCTCATGACTCTGAAAAACTTGATGTTTGAGATGAGAGATGTGAATCCAAGATTTGGTATTTGGAATCTCAGATTAGAAGACTTAAGTCTGTATGGTAATGGTGGGTTTTGCGTCATGGTGTACGCTACCACATTTCCGGGATGCGCCACATACTGCTCGCCAGGCTTTAAGTCCACTTGATAAATTTGTCCTGGACCTGCAAGAGCTACAAGACCACGGCCCGTAACTTGTGAATTGCCCCAGTGAGCTAGACTCATTCCCCAGTTTGCACTCGGTGATACTGAGAGTGTATGTCCTGTCCACGCTAACAGCGCTTTTCGCTGCGCAATAACCCAATCGACCGTACCATTAAGATGCAAGACCGTGAATGAAGTAAGTGGTGATTTCGTCGAGATTAAAGCGGTAACAGGGCTTGTTGAAGAAATTCGTTGGTATAGAAACGGTATGCCGAGAGCAGCTCGTCGAAATGGTTCAAGAATGGATAATGTTGATTGCGTCTACAAAGATGTCAGAACCTGTCCGCTGTTTTCACTACTGGGGGACATCTTTACATTTTCGGATTTCCCACTGAGTCCTACCAATGTTCCCCGCCTGGTATATAGCTTTTGCGACGCCGACAACGAGACGGAGAGGAGAGAATATGGCGCACCGAATACTTCAAACCTCGCATCTACACATCGCAATGATTAGGAATCAAATCAAAAGTTTTGGAAAGTCTCTTACCGGCGGGATCTGTATCAATTGAGTTGCTCAGAGCATCTCCAGTCAATACTGGGGTTTCTATTGTGGGTGTGGCACTGATTTGGATAGCTCGAGAACCATATCCACCTGCGCGAACCTTCCGAAGATGGCGAATCCCACGAGCAGCGCCGGCCAGCGGTAATTGACCGCGCATTGCTGCTTCTAGGGGGTGAAGGTGGTAAATTTCGAGGTCGGGTGGTCGTCAGCCTCAAGTCCTACTGAGAGGCAGGTTGCAGAAGGCTGCAGGAATTGTGCACCATCGCTTGTTTTGAGCTAGGTTCCCGATTGCGTAATAAGCTTGCCGATTTACATCTTTATTCTACCAACTTGTGACTTACAACAATATAATATCAACCGCCCCAGGCCCGAAGCCAATCCCCCTCCATTCAAATGTGGATTGAACTTCAGTATAGCTGGTGAAGTCTACGCTGCTGTGATCGAGTCGCGTCCCTTCTATAACCAGCAAACCTCGAGAAGCTACCCCTCCAAACTGTGGTTAATACAAGGAAACGATGCGGTTAGAGCTGTGGACGTCTGTGGGACGATAGAAAGACCAAAAAGGGCGCAAGATGTTGCTAAGGAGCTTCACTAGAGCTCATGGCTTCAGACCAAAGTCTTGTGCTGGCCCTCAAGTATGGCACACACGTTCAACTGGGCTTCGCATTTTTACCAAAGCTACTCGGCCCTTCAAAGACGATGCCAGGAAAACCGATATACAGAGCCAGGCGCTCATATCAGGTAAAACGACGGATGATACACCCGGAACAGTGCCAGAGACTGCTCGAAAACCTTCACCTGCGATACCCATAGCTGCCCGGAAGGATCCTCTCGCTCTTGGGGACAAAACCACCTCTGAACAGCGAAAGGCTGATTGGGCAATCATCAAGGAGATGACACAGTATCTATGGCCGAAAGATAGTCTGGGTACAAGATTCCGGGTTGGGGCATCAGTCCTGTTGCTGGTTGGGGCAAAAGTTTTGAATGTCCAAGTGCCTTTTTATTTTAAAAGCATCGTCGATTCTATGAACATCGATTTTGCGGCTGTTGGAGGAACCGCTACTACGGTTGCTGGATCAATGATATTGGCATACGGGGTGACGAGAATTGGATCAACTCTTTTTCAGGAGCTGAGGAACGCGGTGTTCGTTAGCGTTTCGCAAAAGGCTGTCCGAAGCGTTGCCCGCGATGTGTTCGGACATCTTCTTCGATTGGACTTAAACTTCCATCTTACCAAACAGACTGGCGGCCTAACGAGGGCTATTGATCGTGGTGCTAAAGGTATCACGTTCCTCCTCCAATCGATGGTCTTTCATATTCTACCTACAGCTTTGGAAATATCTATGGTGTGTGGTCTTTTGACATACCACTATGGTCCTAAATTTGCGGCAGTCACTGGCTTGACTATGGTAGCGTATACCGCTTTCACAATCACGACAACTGCTTGGAGGACGAAGTTTCGAAGGCAAACAAATGCCGCAGACAATAAAGGATCTACAGTTGCAGTTGACTCCTTGATCAATTATGAGGCGGTGAAGTATTTCAATAATGAGAAGTATGAGGTCGGAAGATACGACATGGCCTTGAAGCAGTACGAGAAAGCCTCCATAAAAGTAGCCACCTCCCTCGCGTTTCTCAACACAGGGCAAAATGTGATCTTTTCATCGGCGTTGACAGCCATGATGTATCTGGCAGCAGATGGTGTCGCTTCAGGCGACCTGACCGTTGGAGACCTTGTCATGATCAACCAGCTCGTTTTTCAGCTTTCGGTACCGCTCAACTTCTTAGGCTCAGTTTATCGTGAGATGCGTCAGTCTCTCTTAGATATGGAGACGCTATTCAACCTTCAGAAGGTCAACACTTCCATTAAAGAGCCTGCAGATGCTAAGCCGCTACAACTTACAAAGGGCGGCGAAATCACATTTCAGAATGTGACATTTGGCTATCACCCGGATCGACCGATCTTGAAGAATCTCAGCTTGACCATTCCGGCCGGGAAAAAGGTTGCAGTAGTTGGGCCCAGCGGATGTGGCAAGTCCACAATTCTCCGGCTCCTGTTCAGATTTTATGATGTCCAAGAAGGAAAAATATTCATCGATGGGCAGGATATCACAAAAGTGACTTTAGAGTCGTTACGAAAAGCCATTGGAGTTGTTCCTCAAGACACACCTCTTTTCAACGACTCCATTGAGCATAATATCAAGTACGGCGATATGACCGCTTCTCATGATCGAGTTGTGGCCGCCGCACAAAGGGCTAAGATACATGATATCATCTCGTCCTTTCCAGATGGCTATAGTACCATGGTCGGGGAGCGGGGAATGATGATTTCTGGAGGAGAGAAGCAGCGCTTAGCTGTTTCGCGGTTGATCTTGAAAGATCCACCTCTGCTCTTCTTTGATGAGGCGACCTCTGCCCTAGATACCCATACTGAGCAAGCGTTGATGTCCAATATCAACAGCATATTGAGGGAGAAGAGCCGGACGAGTGTCTTTGTAGCTCATCGACTGAGGACGATCTACGACAGCGATATGATTATCGTGCTCAAGGAGGGCCACGTGGCTGAGAGTGGTACACATCGAGATCTGATTGATACTGGTGGTGTCTATTCAGAGCTTTGGAGCGGTAAGTTGTGTCCCTGTAGCTGTTCAATCGTCACTAATTGAGAATAGCCCAAGAAACTTTGTTCGATGGCAATGGTGAAGAGCGGGAGGTAGATATTGATACTCCTGAAATAGGCGAGAAAGGACAAGACCGTCCTACAATATAGAATACCAGATGCTACGGGTTATCTCATCCACCATGAGTCGCTTGGATATGTAAACCTGTGCAGAAACTTGCAAATTGGCGTGCCCTACAGAACCTAAGATAAGTCCAACGGGTGAAAACCATCGAGTGGTAATAGAACAAGTCCTTATATGATCACCATCGCCTCACCTAGAGTCAAATCCGCACTGCAGATGAAGCATTCTTGTACGCACAAATGGGGGTTCGTTTCGAACTGCTTGTTCACCCAGCATATTCCCGTGGTGCTGGTTTCCGACATCATTCAGATGGGCGAGCACATGCTGCAACGGCTGAATTCATCCATGTCAGAACGCAGGTGCAGCAGACACGTCCCTGTCTTCTCAAGGCCTCAGCTCTCGAAAGGGAAGTTCAACGTCTGCCCGCCAACTCGGTGCTGGGGCCAAGGCGTCGGTCCTATGGCGTTTTTGGTTTTCTAGCGTTACTTGCGGGGATCTGGCCGCAACGTGTGAGCCTGGAAGCATCCGCACCGCGTCGGTCACCCCATCCAAGCTTGGTGCGCATTGGCTCGACCCGTTGACACAGCCAATCCAGCGCATATCCCACTTCTGGTGACCCCTTGCCCGGATCCACTCCCGCAATTTAGCCCTGCCATTTTCTCAACCAAGTTCAAGCAAGTCTCTGCAGCTGGATCTCTTAGCTCCAGCCCATGGGGGACTGAATATCAACCTAGCACACCCTTATCGTTGCGTCCTGCTCTTTTTCTTCCCCAGGTGTTGTCGACGATAGCATACTCAATTGACCAGAAGAAAGCAAGCTCGTCTTCAATACACGACAGGCCTTTACTTCGCATATCAGTACATAGCCGTCCACTCATTTAACATCGATACTACGGGCCTTTCAGGTGGGAAAGCACACTCGATACCAACCCTCATTCAGGTGATTCGGAAACTTCACGAACGCAACTCACAACCTCAACATATCGCTTCTCTATCAAGACGTCGACCACATAATCAGCGTATCTCGTTTCACGACCCCTCACTACGTCCAAATCCCAACCGTTAAAATGGTAAACCTCATCGACCTCCTCCAGTCCAAGCTGGAACTCTTTCGTCTCGAACAACGGTACACCCGTCGACGCAATCGTCGCTCAACCTTCGTCTCGGAAGCCCAATACGTTGACGGCGAATACATCTACTCTCCTAGTTCTGCGAAGTTCTCCACTGGCAGCGATAGCGATGAAGAACGTGCGAGCAAGGAGAATAAGTCAAATAAGCGGATGAGTCGCTTGGGACTTGACAAAATGGACTGGAGAAAGGGTGCAAGAGAGGAAAGGACTCCCAAAGTCAGCGTTAGGGAGGTCAGTCATGAGGAGGGAAATCGCTCGATGAGGGGGTGAAGATCCAGAGTGGGATGTGACGATGAAAGTGGGTTGGAGTTCGGAGGTTTCCAGAATAGAGATGAGACTTATGTCTATACGGGGCGCTACACTTCAGCGTAAAGGTTTCTTTTTATGTCCTATGATGTTGTTATGTACTTCTTCATGTTTAAAATAGGGTTATATATGTTGGTGACTGGGGCGTCTGGTGGACATATTTGTTTAATTGGGGTTGTTCATAGATCAAAAGTCGACTGGATATTATTCGCTTGGTTATCGGGCAGATGATGCTCTACAGGAACATAGGATAGATTCAAATGACAATGCCAGAAGTTGTCATATGTCTGTCTGATTTTTTGTTACTACATCCAGAATCCGATGTGACTCCTTTCGTCTTGTTTATCCCGTCCTTGGAATTAACACAGCATCAATAGGAGTGAACTCAGAAACTAGAGAATTAGTACTCTCCGGACGTTGAATAATTTTCAAAAGTGGATGATTAAAGAATTGATTTGATATAAGCTTGGGAGTACCCTAAACCAAGCCAAGTACTTGACTCGAAAAAGTACTCGTGATTCGGCCCAGGGGCAGTCTGTATTGTGATATGTGACTAAGCACTCAATAAGTGGGAAAGTCTTTAGGGAAGGAACCTACCAGCAATACAACCAAACATAGGTGGACAGAGACGTTTTCCTATATCCTGTAATCTATGAATATTCTTGAATTAAAAATCCCCACCCGCACTCGTCACGTAGAACATCAAGGAATCTCTCAAATCATGCACAAAGAGATAGTAACATATCTTGACTCATTATACGCGGCAAAAGCCGTACTAAAAACACCCTATTCCGTACAAGATAATTTACATCGTTTTTGAAGAGAGGGGAACGGTATCAAGACAAAACAAGAAGATCAAAATTATACACGCTCAAAATCCTAAGCCTCAACGAAGCCCTTGACGTTCTCTAACCATCTCAGGTACTCCTTCTGCTCCTTCATGTCGATATAATCTGGCACAAAAATGGCAAGCGCGGTGTTGATTCCCCGCTCATCTAGGTATCTCTCCATCAAAACCTGGAGATCCTCATCGAGATTTGCGAATGGTGGTCCGGAGTAGAGGTCTTGACGACCGTGGATTTGCTCAGGGGTCTTAGCATATGCAAATGCGGCGTCAGCGTAGTAGTAGACGTTTTCGATGACATGCATTCCATCCTGGACAATGCTCTCAACGCTGAGGGCTCCCTTTCCTGGTTTCTCGATGATGATATTTAATCGCGCTGGATATGAACGCTCGCCCTCTGCGCCCTCGACACCTTCTCCATCAGCTCCATTTTCAGATCCATCATATTCCTTTTGACCATTTTCTCCGGCGTCCTCGTCTGCCATAGCTGGGTCTGCATAGTCGTTCTCGCTCTCGAGGTTGTTTATATCGGCGATTGAGAATGTGATATGGATTCTGGACAACACGGTTAGAATTGCAAAACCGCATAAGAGGGTTGGACTTACTTCTCATCACCAAATTGTCGGGTTAGAACAACATCCTCTTGACCCGGGGTGTCAATAACCTCGAATGGCCCGTTCTGGATATAATCCCTAACGCTCACAGGGGCGCCCTCCTTATCCTTCATTTCTTTCTCGATTTGTAGTTCCGAGTCGAGCTTCATGATCAACTCATCATCGGCCTCTCCTGACTTTTCCCTTCTCAGTGCTGAGCTAGAGAAGGATTTCATCGCTTGTGTCCTCGCAGGTTTCCATGATGTCTGTGATAGGGAGCTTCTGGATGATTGTCTGGCTGCTGAGGCTGATAATCGCGAGATAGTACGTGGCGCTGAACGCGCAAATGATCTAATAGAGAACATGGTGAAGTATGCGATGTTATGACAGGAAATTGGGATGGTATATGATTTGTTACGTTGATGATGGAAGATTTTGGATGAAGTAGTAGAGCTTCACCCTTAACTTTTTTCTTAGCGCAAGGCTCGCTAGCGTTATTTTCACAAGGCTCCAAATCCTTCCATAACTTTCTGGCATAAATTATGACAGGTGTATAAAACTTAAGATATTGGACCAACTCTATTACTTTTAGAAGTAATCAAGAAGAAGTCTTCTTCATTGGTATATATAACAAGTTCTTCCATTAGTTGCGGTCGCAAGATGTGCGTCTCAATTATTTTCCATTCCATACTCCAACCACAACGCCATACCGCATGTCTTTAACCAATCCCAAGACTCATAGTTCAATCATGATTCGCCTTTTGGCGGGAATTTAGAAGCCTGCACTAGACCAGCACTTGAAATGCGCACCCATTTCAAGGTAGAAAGATATGACCATGCCCCATCCCATCTGTCCAGAAAAACAACATTATCGGCATCCGTGAGATCTGGCAAATCTAAAAGGCTGTTAGAGGAATTCTGTACCAGTGCAAAGTCTTCGTACAAAAGCCATTCTCATATTCCTTCTCGTCTGCTGTAATCTTGATTCTCAGTAGATCTTCCCTCGTGCTTGCTGGTCTGCCCGGCCTCCTCTCTTTCTTCAAAGCGTTAAATTCTTCATCATGCTGATGCACAAACCTATATAATTATCAGGCAACTGTGAATTAGAAAAACACATATAGAAGGCACTTACGCTGCAATAATGGTTTGGATTGCTGGGAGCTCCAGAGGTTTCCCCTCATTTTCCCGAATCGCATCTTGGAAATACTGCGCACGAATGACTAGGAGACGTAAGTAATCAACTTAGTAAGGAAACTATACTCCCATACCTAAAGGTTTGTCATTCTTCTTCCTGGCCGTTGCGACTCGAAGGAGTTTATCATCTCGATTCTGCGCCCGTCGCAATCGTTGTGAATCTCTTGAATTTTCGTGAAGAGCAGTGATGTTGCCCTTCTTCTTAGCAATCTTCTTCCGTGTTTTCTCTAGTGATTTCGGCATTCTTTGACTGTGAAGAGCTTGTCCGGGCAAGTCCTGGATCAAGACGATCGATATTCTTCCTGATCACCTCAACTTTTTTTCTGGTATCGTTATCGAAATCTTTATCGCCGACCCTCGCTTGCGACAGCTGACGTTAGAATGGGCCAATCAACAGCTTTTTTAATGGGTTGCCGCAGGGACTGCTGGACGCGTAAAGAATGACCCAACAGCGCGTCCGGGGAAAGTGGGACTGACTCTAAACTGGCTATCCCTATTTCCAAGTCAACTTGTACCTCCCGATGTACCAACTACGAATTATAACAGCTCGAATCTTATTTGTGGCATCAGGACCGAGAGGCATCTACTTTTGCTTCCTATTTCTACCGCGTTGTAGCTAGGTTGGTTTCCCACGAGTACCAAATGTCGGTGTAAATACATGATTTTCATGTAAAAGTTGCGCTGTGCTTGTATTCTCGGCCTGGATACTTGTTTCGCTGCCGCAATGGGAATAAACGGTTGGAACTCACAGAGCATTGAGGGAGTGAAGACTGACAGTTCACAGGGCTGCTGCCGTTACTCAAGTCCATACATAGGCCAGTCAATCTCAAGAAGTTCGAAGGCAAAACACTCGGTATCGATGCATATGGCTGGCTTCATCGAGGCACCGTGGCATGCGCCATGGAGATTGCCAAAGGCCAACCTACCAGGAAGTTAGTGGACATGTCTTGAAGGGATGCCAAATACTTATGCAATTTAGATTTGTGGATTTCTGCATGCACCGCGTTCGAATGCTACAACACTTTGGAGTCGTGCCCTTCCTAGTCTTTGATGGCGACTACCTGCCAAGTAAAGCTGCTACGGAATCCGAACGATCGAAGCGACGAGAGGAGAGCAAGAGGTCTGGTTACGAACTGGAGAGTGCTGGCAAACTACAACAAGCATATGCCGAATTCCAGAAGGCGGTTGATGTAACTCCGGAAATGGCCCGCCAACTGATCGATGAATTAAAAATTACTGGAGTGCAATATTTGGTTGCTCCATACGAAGCGGATGCTCAAATGGTATATCTAGAGAGAAAAGGGATTATCCAGGGCATTCTCTCGGAAGATTCTGATCTTCTAGTTTTCGGCGCCAAGTGTCTATTGACGAAGTTAGATCAATATGGGAATTGTGTTGAAATCAACAAAGCAGATTTTTGCGCCTGCAAAGAAATCACTTTGACTGGATGGTCAGATAAGGAATTTCGACAAATGGCAATTTTGAGTGGATGCGATTATCTCTCTAGCATTAACAACATGGGACTAAAAACCGCCTATCGAATGCTGCGCAAGCATAAAAACGTTGAAAAGGTTGTTCGAATGTTACAATTTGATGGGAAGTTTCACGTGCCGAAAGGCTATCTAGAGGCCTTCAATCAGGCAGAGCTCACTTTTCTGCATCAGAGAGTGTTCTGCCCAAAAACACAACGCGTTGTTTTCCATACCGAACCGGAGAGCCCAGTGGATGAAGAGAAAATGCACTTCATTGGAGCTTACGTGCCCCCAGAAATTGCTCAGGGTGTCGCGAAAGGAGATTTGAACCCAATGACAAAGCAACCCATAATCGTTCGACTACCTAGTAAAACTCAAACGTCGATTTCGACTCCATTTTCTTCTCGTCCCCAATATCGAACTTCGGTTTCCTCTGCCGATCTCAAGAAAGGCGTCTCGATCGAGGAATTCTTCAAGCCAAGACGAACACCTCTTGCAGAGCTCGATCCGAACTGCTTTACACCCTCACCAAACCAACAAGATGCTCTCCGCCGTAATTCCGGCCCTTGGAATGGGAGTCCAGCTCCTAGACAATACATCAACCGGGCCATGACGGAACCAGATTTGCCTCAGTCTGCTCCTCCCGAGCGATTACCCACGGCACGCCATGCTCGTGCGCCTACAATATCTGAACCTCGACCTCCGAAGCGAGCACGGCTTTGTGCCGACGAGGATGTACTTTTTCCCAATCGGAACGTTCAGCTCGGCCCTAGTAAATTCTTCAAAAGCGAGTACCCTGATCCAAGCCCGACGGCTGGAAGGGCAAAGAGCAGAAAATCGAGGAAGATGGACATTACAGTTTTCTCGGACGATTCGATTGAAGAGGTCATGTTGAATCTCCCAGAGCTGGTTAGCTCCAAAGCCGGCGGCGTTCAGAAGATGTCGATTTTCGAGGATGCAAAACTGAATGAATCAGATACCAACTTGTTGCCTGGTCCTAGAGATTGTGCGGAAGTTATCACCATCCACAAGACGGACGATGTACAAGACAAAGTTCCCAGCTTGACAGCTTCGACCTCTGCCACTAGCTCCTTTGAGCAACCGGCTACCCCTACGGCAACACCTTCCTCAGCTTCCCTTAACCTGTTGCATGAAAAGTATTCCTTTCAGAACTCTCAGTCAAAAGCTGTTAATTACAGTGGCCCCTTTTCATCAGCAATTTCTGTCGCGAAACCTTCGAAACTTCCAGTCGCAGTCAAGAGCAACAACTCCGTGTCCACAGTGAACAGTATATCTGCCCGGATGAACATGACACCCTTACAGCGTTTAGGTGTCTCTGCAATCAATCGATCAAGACTGCCCATGACACCACCACAAACGCCGATTTTACCTCGTCAGAATGCCTCACAGCACCAGTCACTACTGAGGAAGGGGCTTGTGCCCTTTCCAGAAGTAGCTAGCGAGAAGATGAAAAGAATCGTTGATCCGGCGTCAATCCCACTCCCTCCGCCAGACGAATCCGAGAATGTGGAATTAATGCAACAAAAGGGGAGCGAAGACCTAATTATACACGATAGCGAAGAAGAAGACGAAGCGATTTCGCCGGTCTTGAGGGAAGATGTATCAGCACGGCTTGACTTTTCGAAGTTTGTCCATATTAGGTGATGTATTAAGTGGCTTTAGCTATTGAAAAGCATATGGCAGTAGATCATCCGGTAGAAATGAGGCACAGACTGAAGAGCACAGCTCTTGGTTGTCATTAGATTGGAATGGGTCAACATAAAAAAGGGTTCGGTGTTTGGAGTATCATATTATTGCTTGGAGGAGTAAATGGAGTTTTTGGACTCTTTTCTTAAGGATTATATTGCCCTCGTGCAATCATTGGTATGGCATCGGTATGGACGTGGTGGTGTTTGGTATTACAGTATTTGAGATATAATCATTCGAAGATAATTTCTATCCTACATTTGGCACTCGTTCAATATTCTTTCTTAAGCGTAATTGGAGTTTTCTGATTGGTACTTCTCTACTTGTAGGGGCTCTAACGCAAAGGTCTGCGAGGTCATTAGTCCTGCCCTTTGAGCTTCGTGTAAACTGTATTCCCTAGTGAGATGAACGACCAGTGCTCAAATGGTCCCAGTTGAAAGCTCGTAGGTTCTATAGACGTCCTTAGCTTATTTAACAACACGGAGGGCTGACGCTTGGTTGACTTTTAATTTAAATGCCCAGTTCGTAACGGTCCAAATTTGTAACGTTTTCCTCATGGCGAAATAATCAAAAAACTAACATGAACTGGAAGATGAATACCTAGGTACTTCCATAAAAGGAAGGAGGCAACCAATTGCTATCGACTTGTGGCTTCCTGCCTCTACTCGTAACTCAGATAGCCTTCAAGCAGTTGATATGTTTGTCACCAGAAATCCAGCGATAAATGCACCACGGTACGAAAGTCGTTACTCCAGCATATCACATAACTTCTTCAAACCTTTTTAAAAAGCGGATTACAGTGTTTTTTTTTTGCAAGTCTTCTTCTGACATTCTACCATCTATACTGGCTATGTGCTGTTCCATGTTGCCAAATACCCCTACCTCTCTGAAAACCGCTTAATACACAACGTTATCTGTGACCAGACTCTGACAGAGAAGTTATGTCAATGCGCCTTCTGTGCTCCGTCCATCGCGCCAGCCGCTCCCAAATCCTCAAAACAGGTGATAATGCAAAGTGAGCCAGGTTAACCCACAAATAAGGAAATCGCTAGGATTAGCCATACAAAGTAACGCCGGTTCCGGTTGATGCAATGACGAGGGGTTTGAACAAAAGTTCTAACATGATGCCGGTAGATGGCCAAACTTATACCGGGTCCGAAGAAGTATGAAATCTAGGAACTCATGAGCTCATCGGTCTAGGTAGCGTCCATACAAATCATGGGTGAGATCCTGCCACCCCAGCAGAGGCAGACTAGCAACTGGCCACTCATTGGAATTGTTTGAAAAGCCTACACGGAATAACGACCACTTTGACGATGAATTCAAGCTAATCGAGTTGCTTAAAAGTCGATTCCCCATGACCAAACTCCATTTGCAAGGTTGTCGGCGGTATCTGCGAGCAATATGACTCGTCTTTTATTGCAGTACGAAGTTTTGTCCATAATTTCAACCTTCAACTTGGGTTCGGCAAGCTCCTGTACGTTCTTTTCGAACATTTCTGACAAAGCTTCGACTGCCATCTCGAGGTCCTTTTGATTGTCCTCAAACATCTCCGTTAGGTTATTGCGAGCCAAATAAAATGCGAAGGCGTAAGTCCATTTGAGAGTTTGACGGCAAGTCTGCAGGGCTTGTGATGCAGAGTTCAAATATTGAACCTCGATCCAAGACATTCCCGAGGCAGATTGCAACTGAGTCATTTTTCTTTCTGTTTTGTTGTAAATGTCTTTATCTAGCTTCGCTGATTGCTCGTGGTTGGCATATCGATTGTAATAGTGGAGATACCGCTCTAAAGAGACTCGAGATTTGGCTTGTGCATCACGAGCTTCTGATCCGCTCTTCTCTTCGAATCTATTGCAATTGTACCAGCTTGTGCCATGCTCCGACCAAAGACCCATACACATCCAGCAAAATTCGTGCTTGCACTTCCTGCAGGTCATATGATTGCAACCTCCGTTTTTCTCGATCGTCGAGTTGCACTTAGGGCATTCCTTGGTATTAGCAGATATCCAGTTTGCCGTCTCCGAGTCGTCTGCACATTTCTTCAGCCACCTCTTCACCAGTTCGCAAGGAGCAGGCTGATGGTCCGATAAAATGCATCCGAAACAGAAACGATGTTTACAATCACAAACAACGGTAGGAACCACTCTATCCAGATCCTTCTTCTTGATCCCACATTCGATAGCGTTCTGGCAGTCGGGTGCGGGGCACCATTTCAGATGTTCCTTGTCCTCGACATAGGTTCGTGTGAGTAATTCGTGGTACCTTTGCTGAAGGTCCGCTGTGACTAGAAGATCCAAGGATTTTGCGTCAATGATTCGTTTACAACCTTCCGCTGGACATTGTATACGAGCAGCTTCACCCTCCTCCTTAATCTTCTGAGCCAGATACTGGTTGTAACATGTTACGCAAAAACGGTGACCACATTTCATGGCAAAGGATTTGAGACCAGGCTCATCCTCGCAGCAAATGTCGCAGCAGAAACCAGGTATGACTTCAAGCTTTGGAGGGCCAGCAACATTTGTGCCCAGGCCCGCAGCCTCCAGTACCCTTTTCGGACGATCCATGTAATCTTCTATCAAGCGTTCCTTGTTCCATCGAAAATGTCGTAGTAATATCGCCGCGTCTTCTTTTCGAATATCGAGAATCATGTTCACCTCATCAATGAGGTCATCTTGCTGGGCTTGAATATCTTTTGGTTGATAGACCTTGAAGTTGACATCAAAAATTTTCTTCTTTTTCTGCACGTCTTCCTTTTGTGAGAAGCCTAGATCTGGCTCTGGCTCGTCAAACCCGAAATCTATACCTCGACACGTTAGCAGACGAGTCCTTGGGAAAGGGAAGTTTGAAGGTCTCGAACAAGTAGATTGCGTACCATCTGCGGATCCTTCCTCATTCTCGCTCTCTTGGAGCACGTCATCTTCGTCGCTGGACATTCCAGACATAAAATCATCTTCCGAAGACATCGGTGTCGCTGTTGTGAGTGGCGTGGGGGGGGCTTCCTTGGAAGCTGCCGAGTCGAGTCTCTTGCTTGATCTCTGGGCAGACTGACCAGAGGGTACAAGTTCCTCTGCCGCCTTTCTCTTTTTAAGATGGGAAGAAATGTTGTCGACTTTAGGGAGTGCTGAACTCGTCACAGACGAGATTCCAGGCACATAAGGCTGTGTAAGGTTTGTACCAGTTCGCTCGGGGAAGCTAACGCAAGCTGTATGACTCCGGTGCTTGATGGCGAGAGGAGCGTTTCTCTGGGAAGTGAATGGGACGTAGTTGCGATGTTCGGATTGTTATGTGTGCGAGGCAAAGTTCGTGATTTGCGTAAGAGACATGTTCGAGTGACGAGCAGACAGGAGTTTGGTAATCCGCCGCAAAGCGATAAGCGGTCGCGTGACTTGGCGTTGGATAACCTCGGAAGGAGACATCTGTCTCAAAATAAACCTCATCTTGTTTCTTCTGAAGTGGATAACTTGGTTTCGAATGATTTATCAATACTACTTGAAATAAATTGGGCAGACGCTCACTATGCCTTATGGTTCTCAAAGAATGCAATCATAATGAAAGGTTGGATTTCAAGGCAAATGGTCATGTGACGACACTCAACCTGCATCGTCCTTCCTTAGTCTAGTTCCAAGCAAAGCCATGAGGGAGAAAGAGCTTGTATCCGCCCACGGTCCAAATACCTTTACTAGTGGGCGTAACTCGGGTGGATTGTAGCACACTGGGTCGAGACTAATGTTGTTAAAGGCTCATAAATGTGCTCCGAAAACTGGAAGCTATTGCTCGCATGATTGCACATCCACGTGGTTGAAACAACATCTATGAATTCCTTTACTTCACACGCTAAGCCTTAACTGAAATCTTAGTCATCAGAGTTGACTTGTTGTATAAGATAATTTTGTTGTACAAGGGTAGGATTGGTTTCTAAATAGACTATAGACTCGATACCAGAAACTTCTCAGTAAGCTACAGACCCGCCGTCAGTGGTAGTCGAGGTAATCAATTACACGAGCTCAGCCTAAGACTTTCTCGGCAGCGGACACTGTCGATATTAGCTTGATTCTTGCTGTATAAATCCCATCACGAAACGTACCATCAAGACCAGTATTGTCAGGTTCGACATGGATCTTAACAACCTTTCCATCAGAGACCTCGAGTGCGTATCTCTTGCTTCTTGGCCCACCGAAGATAGCAGTCCCATCGAATGTCAGATCAAGTGCCTCTGTGAATTTGGCAGTTGGATCACCCAGGAAACGAATCTGTCATGAATTCAGATTTGCAGCAATTGACCTATATTTGAGAACTTACACCAGAACTACCGGTTGGGTCAAGAGTCGCACCCCATGCTTTTGTTCTAAGGATGCGTCAGAGCAAAGGAAGCTGACAACAGATATGGACACTTACACAAACGGATCGTTGACAGCGACAACAAAAACACTACCAGCAGACTTGAGTTTCTGGTGGTTGATGTAGCCGGGGATATGAGACTCGCTACAAGACGGGCCTATGACCGTTAACGAATAGCACATGCTTTTAGACATCAGGCAGGTTACTGAAAGCTGCTGGGACTCCAATGATGAGAGATTTTCCCTTCTTAATCTCCTCACTCAGGTTCACCTTGTTCCCTGGCGAAGACTCTACTAGTCCATCAACCGTAGGAATCGAGTCGCCAACTTTTATACAGGCACGGGCCGAGCTGTGGAAGGTCCTCGAAGGCACAGGCGAGGCCTTCAGAGCGAGTCTTCGAAGGATGTTGGTAGAAGCCATGATTCTGTTCTGAAGATACAGGCGAGCAGGTTGTTACGGTAACGTCAATGGTGGTAGATATTGTTGTTGAGCTGAAGTAGGGGATTTGTTGAGGAAGGAAGGTTGCCGGTAAATTACTGGACACGGCATCGCTTCGGCCTGCATGATCCGCAGATTGACATCTTCATTGCGACCTCTCGTGCTCCTCTCATCTTTACACTGTTCCCACTGACAGCGAACATTTCAATTCATATACATCATGTTCGCAGACACCTCATTTTATTTTTGAACAAACACTTTCTGAAATTGATGTTGATGTCGATGTTACCGGCAAGTGGTCGGTAGACACTTGAATTGACACGTCCGATTGGAGCGCATCGAAAACCGAGCATCATTTACCGGTGTCAGGATCGACAACAGCTGGGCGACATATATTTCCCGGCACTGTCGACATAATGCGGGGAAGGAAAAGTTTGTTGCGATGGATTGTAGATGCTGTTGCGGGGTATCAACAATTTTTCCGTCTCCTAGCATTAATTCCATTCGAAGCAGGATAGAAAGTTATCTACCTAAGTACCTAGTAGTTATGAGAGGAATGGTGGTTCCCATGCTCTAGCGAGCTCTTTTCTCAAGTATAAAGCCCTTCGCTGGTTTCCATACGGCAAACTTACTGTTTATATTCATAAGTATCTCATCATGCTTTTCAATTTCATACTCTCCGTTTCTCTACTTTGTCCATCGGTGTTAGCAGCACCTGGGGTAGCACCTTTCTCCACCTTCTCAAAGGTTACAGTCTTCACACCTCCATCGACCTATACGGATCCAAGAGTCCTCTATGCTCGTACAGTCGAGCTTGCTGATGGCGTTCTCCTAGCGACATGGGTATGTATTCCAGAACCATATCAATACGCAAATGCCTGCTTTTCGTCGTATAAGAGATACATATTCCCTCATTAGTTTATTAGTCTTGTCCGTTTGACAAGCATTCTGAACTTAAGACTAACGAAACACAGGAAAACTACTCACCTGAGCCGCCATTAGTGTACTTTCCAATTTACAGAAGTATAGACGGAGGGGCTTCGTGGAAGGAGATTTCTCGTGTTAAGGATACGGTCAACAATTGGGGCATGCGATATCAACCACATCTCTACGTTCTTTCGAAGGCTATTGGAAAGTTCAAACCTGGTACAATCATATGCTCTGGAAACTCTATTCCAACCAACCTCAATGCAACCAAAATCGACGTTTACGCGAGTGAAGATAGTGGTTATACCTGGAAGTTCGTATCGCACGTTGCAACTGGGGGCGCCGCTATCCCAGACAACGGAATCCCTGCCGTCTGGGAGCCATTCATCCTTGAGTTTGAAGACAATATTGTGTTATACTACTCTGACCAGCGAGATCCAAAGCACGGCCAGAAGTTAGTACACACTGTTTCGAAAGACCTTCTCAAATGGGATCCCATTGTGGAAGATGTCTCCTACTCGACTTATACCGCGCGACCTGGTATGACAACAATCATCCAACTTCCTAATAAGAAGTATATGATGACCTATGAATATGGTGGCGGACCTACCAAGACTGGCACGTCATATTCCTTCCCAGTCTACTACCGCATCAACAACAGCCCGTTGAAATTCAACAGCTCTTTTGGGTATCCTATCATCTCCAGCGATGGGATACAACCGAACGGCTCGCCTACCATTACATACTCCTCTGTAGGCGGGATCAATGGCACTATCATCGTCAGTTCTGGCAGCAATTCGCAGGTTTTCGTCAACAGAGCATTAGGCGACGTTGGTGCATGGAAAACAGTGACCACCCCGGAAAGCAATGCTTATACAAGACATGTTAGGGTTTTGAAAGATCAGAATCATCTTCTTGTGATGGGTGCCGGGAAACTTCCTCCCAGTACGACCAACAAGGTCACTGTAAGTGTCATAGATTTGCAGAAGGGTCTGGCCGCTGCGACGTAAGCGAAGCATGAATTTCGAAAGAGATTCAGCTGTGTGATGCTTGATAGGAATTGGCACTGAGCAAAACACCGCATTAGTTATCAATCACAACTATTACACTATTATCATAGTACTATAGCTATCCGTTGTCTGCCGGTATATGCATCAGAATGAGATTTTCTTCGAGCGTTATGTCCAAATTGAGGGTCAGTCATCTGTGCGATTCAGAGAACAGTACAAGGAGTCATGATGAACTCGCAAAGTTTCACCCCTCTCTGTTTGTCTTTTTTCTGTGTCCTCCATCTGTAGAAACTGTCGCTTTCCTCGAGTTAATACTATCAGGACTAAGTTGTTGATCGTCGTATATTTCATTGTCGCTCGCAGTGACTGTAGTGCGGACTGGATATTGAGGGCCACATTTACGAAAATGCAGCAAATTGAATTATTATATACAACTAGTTATGCGTGCACTAGTCAACGGCTTGCCAGACCCTGATTTCAATCGTGATGTCACATTTCATGACGACGCACTGGGAAGAGAGAGTGAAAGAAACAAAAAGTGTCAAATTAAGGTTCGCCCCTGACATTAACCCCAGCATTTGCTCGGTTGGCTGCTTTGACCCACTTTTCTCACTGGCGTTGCTACGCTACGAGATCCGTTGCCATGTGTAAACACTCCCGCATCTCGAAATTCGGAGGCTGGAACGACTAGTTTTCCAACCACCTCAATATTGCATACTGCAAAATCCGAATACCTATCTAGACTAGAGGAGATCTCCTTCTGTGAGCTGTGCTGAAAGACTTCTACATACTGCTACGCAAATACCCTCTGCCTCCCTCCCCAATCTGCTCTATTTACTCGTTCATGGTTATTCTGACAAGTTTTTGAATTATTTAAGGGAATTGCTCGACGAAATCGAAACGACCGCTTCAACGACGTTACGAATCTTCAACGATAAACGTTCCCATACTTCTTAACACCAACATTCCTCAAACTTTCTACACAATCCTATACGCCGCTGAAGAAGTTCACGGCATTGCAGCATTCCACAGCGAGCGGCTCCAACGTCACTCCGAACAAGGAGGACGGGAGTGGCAGACTCGATAACCCAACGAGAGTGTTTCAGAGGTCAATTTCGTAATGGCCCAAAGATTTCAGGTTGGGTGGATGAGTACGTTGTGGCATCCGAGACATTTGAAGGAGCTTGGGCTAACTGTTGACTTTAGGACTGATACCGTTTCTCGGATATCACCATGTGCTCATGATATTGATCGCCATCGCAATCATATTGTTATGTAAGTCAAGTTGTATCACAAAAATGGAATGTGACTAACTCTCTCTAGCACTTTTATTAGCAGGCTGCTCCTCATCGTCACCGCTCATACCCGGAATCTTTCTGATATCCCTTTACTACGAATCATACACTCCGGTTGCTTCCACCGCGCAAGCAGACTTCAACGTACACACAGCGATAGCAAATGTAGTTGGAAACGCAAGACTGGCCGCAAGAGTAGGATACTTCGGTATCTGCATAAACCCTGATGGAGGGTCATGGCTATGCAGTAACAACGCAACGGCATTAGCGAACGAGGTGACGGTCGCAGACGACCCATTGAATTTGATCTGGCTAGCTAGTCAGTTCAAGGATATGATCGTGTTCCCATATTTGATGTGAGTACTCATCGTTTACATTTGTCGCTTATTTACTCACCTTCGCCTAGCATCATCGCGATTATTTTCGCATTCATTTGCCTCTTACTCCTCGCCACTTTCCCAGGATGGCACGAGGAAGAAGACGCTCACGGTTCCGAGCGAGAAGTCAAACCATTCCCTTCGAGACCAGTCTCCCAGATCGCGTTGGCAATCATCTTCATCGCCTCGATCTTCGTACTAGTATCCGTTTTATGGCAACACACCGCGTCGGTTGCCGCATCGATCATAGCTCAAGATCTAGGCAACGGGAGCGTCAAGAGTGGCGTTGGAACCTCAGCAATGGTACTGGGATGGTTCGGCTTTGCGCTGTTAATCGTTGTCACCATCGGATTGCTGGTCATGATATTAAGTATCAGAGTACTAGCCGAGACATTTGGATAAGCAGACAACGATTTCAAAAGTTTAGATGAAGCCTTGATTGATACCTTTTGAGCGTTGCATGATGATGCTATAACGTCATTCCCAGTTTGTCGATTTAAGGGGATAGTCATGGACCCCCTACATTCAGGACGCAATGTATCATTGCACTGTGTACAAAGAACTGGATAGCATTTGGGACCGGAGTTTTCAGACATTGGATTTGGGATTGTTATCATTTTGTCGTTTGGTTTCTTCCACTTCTCGTTGAGGTCGAGTTGGTGGTAAATAGGGTAGTGTGGATGAGGACGATGTAAATCTGGGATGTTAATGACTATATGGACAATGAGGGGGGAAAACGCCACAAATATGTTGGGCGTGAGAAGAAATAAGAATATCTGATAGCTCACAGAGGCCGTGGATATACAAACGATAAAACTATACCCATCAATTCAATTCTTCAGATCTACCCAGCTCCTGGCTATGCAAAGTGACTGTTAATATTCATAGCTTCATGATTCCCCGTAGACATATCTCTCATAGGCTTCTCTCATCTCTTCCTCCTAAATCGGCTATTGTGAGCTACGGGCCCCTTGGCTCCTGAATTCCGTAATTTAAGCCTCTTGAAATTTTGATGAGCAGCAGCCGTCACTTTCCTAGCCACACTCCTAATCTTCCCATCTTTGCCCATGACTTTTCTTTTCTTGTTCTGGTCCGGTCTCCTATATCGGGTTCCGCCCTCTGAAGCCGTATATTCAGACTGAGAGTCTGAGTCAAAGTTTCGTGCAGAATCCGCAAACTCCGCTGCCCCTTCTTCTACTTGTACCGCCTCTTCCTCATTGTTGGTTTCCAGAACAGGTTTGTTGAGTTCGTCTTCGCTATCTATTTCGGCGGGCACCTTTGTTGGAGCTCCGGGTTTAGTGCGTGTTGGTTTCATTTTTACACGACGGGTTGTTCGTTTCTGGCCTTTCTTCTTATATACTTTCAATGGCTGACCGTCTCGGCCTAGAGGTGGATTCGTTACCTCCTCTGGATCCGAATCGAATTGCGCCTCATCATCGAACCCACCTAATGGGAAGCCCGGTTGACTGTCTATTGCAAGGATATCGTCGTTCATTGTCGGCAAGTTGGGCTTCGGCTTAGTGGGAGGTTTAATTGAGGTACCGGCCGCTTCATTCTCCAACTCGTGAAGAACGGCGAGGTCATCATCTGCGGCATCCGATTCCAATTTTCGGAGACCAGCAAGCATACTACTTAGGCCTCTCATCATGGTTTTCCGCGGGACACGCGCCATCTGGGGCGAGAGAAGTATGCCGTCTTCATTCTCGTCTACAGGGGGTAATGCCATTCGCTGGCTATCTCTTCGAAGAAAGGATGGGGTGGAGAATTGAAGCTTCGATACTGAAGATGGTGTTTTGGATCCTTGTCCATTGATGGTGCGATTTTTCAAAGGGGTAGCAAATGAGTCCAACATATGACGTTTTCCTGTGGATGCTGGCGTCCGACTGTGTCGGCCATTGTTCTCCTCCTTGCGTTTTCGAGGCGTTTCTTGGGTGGTGACTTGCCGTTCGATGGACTTGCGGTTGGTTAACTTCAGGGGGGATGCATCGTTATCTTTTTGTAGCAGGTCGAAAATTCCTAGAACTTGCCCGTCCTTCTGAGGTGTTGGACCTAGGGCCGTCTTCTTCACGGGCGTGAAGAGGTTTCGAATGACCGATGGCGAATCGTAAGGGTCGACAGCCCACGGGAGTATCGTTCCTCTTGAAGGTGTCTGGACTATTTGTCGTTTGGGTGTAGATTCGTGCTCCTCTTCGAACTTTCGTTTTCGTGGTGTCTGCTGTTCAAGATGCGGTTTGGATTTGGGAGGCTGCACTTTCCCAGATAGTATATCTCGAGTTTTGTTGTACTCCTTATATTTGGCAGCTGGACTGAATTACTATTCGTCCCTATACTAGTCGTAGTTGACGCACATACCAATATCAGGATGCTTCTTTATGTCTTCCCGTCCAGCTTTACGGCCATCATTCCCACACGCGAATTCCTTCTCCCATGCCTTAAGTTCAGTCCTGAGAACGTTCGATTTTTCGGTCCATTGTTCCAGCTGTATGGCATCCATATCCGCGGTTCCAATCCCATTGAGCTCGCTACTTTGTTGCCGCTTTGAAAGCAATAACGTCCTAGTATCTGGAATGCTGCCAAGCATGCGAAGATCGCGAAGGCCGTCAGCTATGTGCCCGTAATACAATGAATTTGTTAAAGCGGGTGTGCTTGAGAGAAAGAGAATGAGAAATAGGGAGTACAACAATCACCAGAGACTCAGGTCAATTCGCGTCCCCCCAAAACGCGTCCCATGTTATCTTATCGCCTAGCGCTGGAAACGCCACACCTGCATATTTAAACTTCCCCGCCGATCTCATTTCTAAACCCACCACGACTGCACTTCACTTCATGGACCAAGAAGGCGATGCGACTGCTCAACTTGCTTTAAAAGTCATCCTGGACGAGATCTCACCTCGACAAAATGGCCAGCTGGAAGATGATAATTGCTGTGTCATCTGTCTGGATCGGATTTCTGAGCTGGCGATAGCACACCCATGCAAGCACGAAAGTTTTGATTATCTATGTTTGATCAGTTGGTTTGAACAGCGGCCAACTTGTCCTCTCTGCAAAGCAGAAATCAAAACTGTGAGGTACGACTTGAAGTCAAATGGCACTTTCAAAACGTATTGTGTACCGTCAACGAAGAGATCCGAGAAAGCAGCGACTTCCCATAACCCAACGCATGGCCGTTTCGCCCCTCGACCACGACGACCCTATCGTTCAAGACAGCAGCATAGTTCGAGGGTAGTTCCTTCAGCTGATGAAGCCATTCTACGACGCCGATACATCTACAGGAACCAGCTCTTTTCACTTCATGTGGGATCAAACAGACTTTCCCGATTTCGAGAGCTTACGCCCGAGCTGTTCAGCACCGACGAGGAGCTTGTCTCTCGAGCACGCAGATGGATCCGGCGCGAGCTGCAAGTCTTCGAGTTTCTCACGCCAGATAGTTCAATGTCATCGGATCGAAGAGGAAACAATGCCGAGTTCCTGCTTGAATACATTGTTGCGATTTTGAAGACGGTCGACACACAAGGTAGCGGCGGGCAAGCTGAGGAGATGTTGCAAGAGTTTCTTGGACGAGCGAACACTAGATTGTTTCTCCATGAGATGCGAGCATGGTTGAGAAGTCCCTACATGTCTTTGGAAGATTGGGATAGAAACGTCCAGTATAACAGTTTGACTTCGGCAAAAGAGTCACAAACCGCAACTTCAAATCGAAGAGCACGAGATACTATATGAGAATGTAGATTGTTTCGGTACTCTCATGGGAAGTTTTCAAGAATATCCACCATATCGCATGCGGTCATCGAGATTTGTAACTTGAGGAAAATCTCATTCTTGTACAAAAGTCTCTCGATTTATTATGTGCTCCTATGTTTAGGTGTTCTTATGGTCATGGATGAAAGCAGCAGAACTCATACGACCATCTACTAACCAGAACAACCAATTCGACGCTTACATATTCACGCTCCTGGTGCTTCAACATCTGCTCGAAAAATTTCAGCAGATTTCTAAACCAGAAGAAACGGGCATGATCATTGACGTAGTGTTTTGGCTTCATAAGGCGAACAAGTGCGTCAGGGATGGCGTAGGTTAATCGATGGTTGACAATTGACGCACCACATGATTTTTCGTGCATGACAATTTTGATGGATTTGAGGCTAGTCCATCTCTTTAAATGCACGTTACGGATGTTGTATGGAGACCGGGATTGATTCTCAACATCAAATACTAAGTGCTTAAGACTAGTCTAGACGTCGTGGGAGAGTACTTGTCCACACAACAAATGAAAAGGGGCAGGGTATTGCGTTTCAGCACCATGCCGCGGTCTTTTTCCGAGTTTGAAGTACAAATAGTCCTTATTGGGATCGATATACGTGGTTCGGCTGTTCGACATCGTCGAGTCGTTAATTGGTAAATAACAGCGCTGTTTTAGACCATCCCTGGACTCCTTATTGAGCTGAAAGACTGCAAAGTCTTCTCTCATCACCGGGTTGCGTAGCTCCATCCACAGCGGAACCATTACCGGCGGTGTATAAGTAAATTGGTCCTTCGTTGGTGATACTTTTTCTTCCGTCCAGGTCGTTGATTCCTCATCGAAGTCGTACGGTTCATAGTTCGCTCTGCAAATTTGCTCGGTAATACCAATCTGTATCATTCTTGGTTCTACGCAATAATCGTAGATCATCAACCGAATCTCAGCTGGCAATGAGTTAAAAGTCAACGGAGGTTTGGTAGGTATTTGAACAGCATCGGAGCCACGGACAGCGTTGAATTTTGCGACAGGTGCAGCGGCGGTCTGTGTAGGCTGAGTGCTGAGGACTGGAGTGACGATGGGAAGTGTAAGACCAAGGTCGAAATGGTCTACGCCGCTTGGAATTGGACATCTGACTTTGATCTCGTGCGGGGATGAGTCAAGCGTAAGGGCTACGTTCATGACGCTAGACGGTACCACTCCAGTTGTGAAGGAAACATCAAGACGAAACTGCTGTGGCAGTACCCCAGTTGTGTCTATACTTGACGAGGAAATGCTCATAGTGGCTGCTGTGTGTTGGCCAGGTGGAGAGGCAGCATTGGTAGCTGTGTGGGACGGTGTCTGCGGAGATGAAGTTGCTTCTTGGCTTGTACCTATAGAATATTTAGCCACCAAAATGAAGCCATATATTTTGCAAAAGATTACCAGTATCATCACGTTTTGTCGAGAGAAGCTCCGCTGGTTGGATCGATTCCGAAATAGTTGTGCCATTTCTCGAGTGACTCTCGTTGCGTGTACTGTCAGCCATGTTGATTAAATTGAGATATAGCTAAGCGTGCCGTTTGGGGATTTGGGCACCAAACAAAGGTAATGAGAACTAAAGACAGACGTATCAAGAGATATATGAGTGGGGAGCTGCTCACCACTTTAATTTCCATATCGTGAAATTGAAATGATGGTGAAATTTAAGTGAATTGCATTTTCTCATAATTTCACTTCTGCCTTAGAAGAAGATGTATGTCTGACCAATTCAAGAATCAAGATCAACCTTAACAATCTACGGATATATAAATATACAAATTAGAATCACATTCTAAAACACTCTAATACACCTTCAATGATTTGAACGCGTTGAAATTTCTTTCTCATATACCATTCTGCGCATAGCTAGTTCAAGAATTTATGATTATCATATGTGCAAAGAGTCAGCGAATCTATATGTGCTATGGCAAAAATCTCTGGATATATGACAAGAATTTACAGGACGTGTTCATATTTTAAAGCATCAATATGTTTCTCTATACACAACAGGCAGAAGACTATGCGAGTCATATTTGAATATACACATAAACCTACCTAATCTCTATGATATCCGGCACTGTTTTGGTTGGCAGGAATTGCACAGCTCTTGTACATTGATATAGGCTAGAGGAAACCAATGTTACGATTCCTGTAGACCATTAGTACAAAAGACACCAAAAGATTTTCAGAATATTTCTGGGGAATTTTAGGCATGACTTCTGTACAGGCTGACTAGAAAGTTTTGCGAGATTGTAATTATTTCAGGATGTATTGATAAGTGAATATATACCGAAATGGAATCAGATATCGTTCAGCAAGGTTCGCTGTGCTCTTCTGACTGTGCGAAGAATAGAGGCAGGCTTAAGTTCACTCAGTTAACATATCGTAGGATCGATAACACCCTGATGAGAATAAAATACAACATAATCAGTACATTCTCCTTCATGGCAGAAGCCCTTTACTACTTCTACTGCACCAGATTCGACTCACCTTTTAGGAGATCAGTAGGAGCTTGTATAAGAGACATCATATGCGTGAAATTGAGTAATTTGGATTAATACCCCCACTCAGTTCCCACCGAAGTCTCTTGTCTCAAAGCCGGAATTGGTACTAGACAAGATACTGACGTTCAATATTTCAATTCTGTCCTTGTAGACGTTGAGGTCTTCTTAAATCACAATCTAATATCCTAAACTGTTTACAAACGCCGAACTCCCAAGACAAGAGGTACCAGCTCGACTCATCGTTCACTTTCACCTAACCATTCATCGCCCTCATAGTCATCTCGACAACCGCAAACGTCCCAGCCGAAACAGGCATAGCCCTCAATAACGTCGGACCAATTCCCTTCCAGAAACCCCTCGCACCCTCAAGCCTATAAGTCTGCTTAAAACAATCCCTCATCCCAGCGTACTTCTTCTCCTTCCCAAAGCCATCAGATTGCATCTTACTCTTCACAACATCAAACGGATAACTTCCCAACCACAACGCTTCACCAGCCAGACCACCGTAGAAAGCAACCTTCCAACTTGGAATCTCCTTGCGAGCGATCTTGTTGCGTGCTGCATCTGCGTTCATCATATACTCGAAACTCAGGAACCAAACACCATACGCCTGGGCCTCACGCAGGATGGTTACTGCTTCGCCGCGGTAAAGTCCTTTAAGCACGCCTTCGTGGGCGGAAAGTTTCTTTACACAGTCTAATGGGCCGGAGTAGAGTCTTTTCTCGCCGTGTGGCTGGGTCTGTAATCTGATTCTTACGTGTTCGATTGGGCCTGAAATTACGGAGTTTGCTATACCAGCAAATGCTCCGGCTGCGTAGTATTGAGAGTAGCTCAAACTGGATCTGGGTGAGGTAAGTGAGGAGTTCTTATTTTCGAAGTAGCGTTTGGCGAAACCGAAGGCACCGAATTGGACGGATACACAGGCGCCAATCCCAATTAGTGGTGTAAGTGTTCCTTTGTAGAACGCTAGAGCTCCTTCTTGGGCGTAGATCGTTTTTGCTGCTACAAGAGCGTTGGGGTATGCGTTTGTGGTCTGAAGTCGCACTTTGACAATGTCAAACGGTTGGCCTGGTGCAACATTAGCTTTGGCATTCATAGCGCCAACCCGGAAGTCACTCTCGAGAAGATTACACCCTGACTGCACCAAATCAAACTCAGGGAATCAATTGCGTCTCTTTGACTCTGGATTTGGACAAGTAACCCCACACGTGATCAATATCAACCTCTTTTCAACAAACTACACCGCACCCGCCAAACAAAATCTAAAAGCGCAATCATCAAACTTACCTAACAGTACTTGTGCAATTCCTCCAGCAGCTCCAGCGAATAAGTCCTTAGCAGTCTTCTTCATCCCCCCCTCCTCAATCTCAACAGCAGCGACGTCCGCCATAGTTTCTTGTCAACCGCGATTCCACCAAACAGACAGTTCCAAACCCCACCTCTTATCGGCTATCGTACGTGATTGTGGTGAGTTTTTGCCGAAAGTGTAGCTTTGTACAGCGATATTGGAAATCGGTTAGAAGAAGATGTAGAATTCGGTTTTGGAAAATTGTTTGAAGGTCAATTGAACCTGTCAAAGGAAAAGACGTGATGCTATTGCTCAGAAATACAAGCTCCCGCTAAGCTAGACAAAAGTTGCAAGGTGTGGATGATGTCGTGTTTCGCTTAGTGAATTAGTGTATGAAAGCCTTGTATACAAGGCCTCAAATATGGTGCAATCGACTCCTAAACTTGTCCCAGAGCACTGAGAGCAGTCGTTCTATAGATTATTGGGATTTGATAGCGAGTGACTAAATGTTTGATGATAAGCTAGTAGTAGAATGGTAGGATTTGGCCGCAGAGACTCGACTTGCTAATTGTAGTAAAGATGTAGCTGGAGATACTTGATATATTTCCTCACAGTATGTTAGCTACACGAGGTCTGTAGACTGGGTGATCATGATAAATGGAATTGAATTACAAGATAATATGAAAGTGATACGATATAGCTATACATATTCGTAAAAATATTTGCAATTGAATTTTTCTTCATTACATCGGATCTATAGTACTGTTGGGGAAATACACCTTTCCTGAATCCCTTCCTCCTCCATGGACTTCCTGTCTCCCACAGGTCGGCCTAAAATACATACGTCTCCAGTGTCACATCAGACTGTGGCAAAATGAGAAGGACACTTAGAAAAGACCTCTCCATCCTGCTAGATCCTCTTAAAAAGAGATGACTCGGCGGTTTGGTTGAGTCGTGAAATGGTTGTGGTGAAATTGTGGTCGAATAGCGGATTGTGGGTGGCGCGATAATTTGAGAAATGAAAACTCTCTGAAAGGACAGGACGGTGCGGATAATATAACGTGTTGATTGTGTATCGTAATTGTGAGTCAAGAATCAAGCAACTCTGAGAGAGAAAGCTTTTCTCGCCTCTACTACGCCACATCTATACACAAAAACACCAGTGGCATGTGCTAAAGGATTGGTGACAGCCCAATCGTCAAACCCAATGTTCCCTGCGAACCGTAAACGCCATGTGGACGAAAGAGATGCTAATGACAGGAAACTCGTTTCGTATGTAAATTTTCTAGGCGTTGGTGACCTGCAGATGGGTTAGATAAGAGACGAAAGCATAAATTGGGTATGGTACTACATACCTTGAGGATTCTTCTCGAGTAGTCTTGGTTGTCTGCGATACTGCCATCGCTGATTCTTCGTTGAGCTAGAACTGGGTCGAGACGTGTGTCGCTGAATGATGAAGCGCCGCCGCTGCTCATGGGAGGCTTTCCGCCATTGGCGATGAAGCTGCTTACAGCAGCATTTCTTCGGTACTCGTCTTCAACTTCACGCCTCTTCTTGCTGCGAATGAAGATGAAGACACCTCCGGCAATGGAGGCAAGTGCAACAATGCCGACAACGACGCCTGCGGCGATGGCGGCTTTATTTGGACCCCCTCCACCACTATTGACCGCTGTGGCCGATGCTGGAGAGGTATTGCTTACTGCACTTCCTGCTGTTACAATTACGGTTTGGCCGCCAAGGGTAACGACAGAAGGCGCGACGCTCACAGTTGCTGACGGAGTTGATGATGTTTTCGCTGAGGTGCTACTTGCTGCATCACCTGCCGTTAAGACTAGCGTTTCGTCTACGAGACCACTGGTATACACAGTGAAATATTTGGCACCACCACCTGGGATGTGTTAGCGTAGACTCTCCGTTTAGATTTTCCGTCTCTAAGACGACAGAGGAGACACTTACACGTCTTGTCCCCGAATCCAGCACATTTCGTACTACATAAAGAATCGTCGACCTTGGCGGAAGGATCCGGAATAGTTTGTCCACACCAGCAGTCGGTACCCTTCGTTGTAGCCATAGCATTGTATCCTAAAGGTGCACATTGTTTCTGGCAGTATCCGTCGGTGTTGTAGATATATGTTGTGTTAAAGACATAATCATTGACCGCTGAGTAACAGCCCTTGGTCACATCTACTCCGAATTCTTGTGCTACGACTGTCGAGGCAGCAGCAAGCATGCCAGCGGCGACAAGTGCGGTATTCGACCTCATGTTGGATGTTCGATGGCCGTGGCCTCTTGAGTGATGGGGTTCAGTCGGGACTGAGGATATGGCTCGACTCGAACGCGATGTCGTGTCGAACGGTTGTGGTCGGGGGTTAAAGAATCCGACCAACGGTGTGTTTGCAGGTGAATAATTAGGTTTGCTGATGATCCGATTCACAGAGACTGGAATCGAAAGAAGATGGTGGTTCGATGAAGCTCAGTGTCGTCGAGTTCGTTTCGAGAGTTTGCGGAAGTCCCGTTGCGAGCGTTACCTAGATTGAGATGGATGAAACACGCGATTGGAATGTTGTGAGGGTGTTGTTGATCCTCGGACAGTGAATCGCGAAAGAGGCCGTAACGAATGTGCCTCGAAGAAAAAAATGGACTGGTGATTAGCAGAATAGAAGATCAAGCATCGACGACGGCGACGATGATGAGAGACGGTATGAACAGGATGAAAGATTGTGTGTAGGAGAATGATCTCGTAAGAGTCCTTGCGGGTGGAGTGGGAAGCTGAGCGAGCGGTAGGGGGGGAAGGGATTCGCGCACAGTGGATCGGCTGGAAATTGGACGAGAAAAATATGGAAATATCCGGAAGTGTGATTGGTCAGGAAGAGGGACTACTTTTAGAAGCACACCCAGGAAAGTGCTAGAATTACGAACTAACCACCCCTCTCACCGGCGCACTGGACTAACAGGAGACACTTGATATGCGAATCATCCCTTTGGATGTTGTTATTGATGAAGTCAAATACAAATCTTTCTTTTTCCTCTTGACTATTTGCTTCTTAGCTAGAGGTCCAACCCTTACCGACTCAATCACGAAATTCTTGGGGTTCAGTTGACCGGTAAGATACGAAGTAAGCCAGACAATGTATGCCAAATTAACCAGAATAACCATAACGACTGGGCAGTCAACTTAGTCAAGACTGTTGAATAACTCACTTGCTCGAATAACTTATATTTGTATATGTCCAAGTCACGATCAATCATATTTGAAAAGAAAATATCCATGAACACAATGCTTTGTATCAACCCGGTTACATCGTCTACGACTTTCCAAGGTTGTCCTCCCCAAGCGATCCAGATCGACAAATATCTTTGTCTTTGACCCTCTGTCGTGACATCCTCCTTTGCGTCCCAAGATCAATAGACGAACCCTACGTCGACGCAACCAGTCCTGTCTCTGCCGAGTCTGCCCAGTTCGCTGGCATTGAAACCAAGCTGTGTGGTGAGACTTGAAAAGAGCAGTGCGAAAGCACCACCTGGTGTGGCACTATCACAGCCTTCACAATTAGTTGTGCACTTATGCAGGAACACGCACGCAGCGCTTGTGCTTTAGCGTCAGGGGCATGAGATTAGCTCGAATCACCAGATTCGCTTAGCATCTCGGCGGGATTCCTGCTCTGCTGACACGGGTTTTGGCCAGAAGCTTGGCCAGAAGCTCTGGCTGCTTTGAACTACTCAATTCACGGGATCGCGGATGACGGATGCGGCGAATGTGGAAGAGAGAGGATCAAGGGATTTTTGCAGCTGGAGGTTCATTTCGGGTTTCCGGCCTTTGGAAGTTGCGGTTTGTTATTGTTGATGAGGGGAAAGGTTAAATTCTACAGGATCGAAACACTCAAAGTGCGTCGTATTCGTCCCACCATCTGCAACTCCCGTGAGGAGCAATCAACAATGTGGTGACAGTCAACACCACCCCAACCCGCACACAGTCGAGCAATACGAAGTGCGAAAAGCATCTTACAATCCACAACGTATTGAGCACAGCTCAACAGTCAGATCACGACACTCCCAGGCCTCCCAATCCCAAGGACAACTTGACAAACCCGTCACGTCTTTCCAAAGCCCGTGATCGCTAGATGATGCATAAATCCTCCGTCTCAACTCTTCGTGCGCACCACACAGCCTCAAACCCTATGTAAACAAGACGCCAACCCCAATAGTTTCGGGACTCAGATTCAATCTCTCCTCTGATTCCACTGCAGAGGAGTCCTGCGTATGTGCCGGCCTTTCCATCTGGTGCACCGACATGGAACTTACCGTATGACCGCGTCATACGCGAGATATGGATACAAATACGAACGAGCTATTTTCGTATACAGAGATGCTATGGTGAAAAGGGCGCGTGGTCTCGTAGTTGATTTCCTGATCGAGAGATAGGTGAATAGGTAGTGGTATTGAGCTCTCAGCTAACCGTGTTGGGATTGTAGACTGTAGTCGAGGAGCGTGTACATTCAGGTTACCATGTACGGAAGATGGTGCTGTAGTGCTGGCAACCTGACCCCTCATTACACATCGATTCAACCTTGACGTATCCATAAGTTTCTGGCTTGCATATCATTTAAAAAAAAGTGTTCCAGAACAAGCCGTAAATCAACCAAGAACGCCATCCCAACTCCAAGCACAATGAACCTCTCATCCACAATTCCCCACATCACAGATTCTAATAATTAACCTTACATAAGGCTGCTCCATTATATTGAAGTTCATCCCTTAGGCTAGTCTCTACAGAACTTTGCATTGCATGTCTCTGAGTTCCAGGACCAGGCCACCAAGAAATATCAGTAGTTCCACAAAAAGTAAAAACAACACTCAGCTACATGAACTCTTCTGCGAACCTCAATATGGAACTCGCATTTCGAGAACAGATATATACAAAAGATTCCTCCTGGTCACGATCAATTAGCTATACACTATCAGATAAGATCCCCTGCTCTATCACTAATCTCCTCCATCCCGTCCCGAACTCAATCTCAACGGTTCGGCCAACGCCTCTTGATACCATGAAACCGCCGCGGCGGCAGCCTTCCGTCCACGAAATCTCAGCCGCGGAATTTCTTTTGTACAATGGTGGCTGTTTCATGATCATTCCAGCTGATGAGTTCCATTGTTTCTCTTCAAGTCTTGCTGCTGTGCAAAAAAGTGTTGTGACATTCTTTCCACGTCTATTGTGAAATACATGCTTGCACCATAGACAAATGTGTCTTCGTATTCAACTACACCCTGAACGAGAACTACAACCCCCATGTACGGACTGTTTCCACGAGAATATAAACTTTGAAATACATATTATTTAATGATTGCTTACTAGCCCCTCTTCTACCAGTATGCCTCTACTATGTATCCCAATAATATACTTTCTAATCGTCGATCGAAACTCTCGCCTCAACCCTATGCTGCAAGATCAACTTGGCCTCATAAGTTGATAACCGATTGAGGCCCAATTTAGCAAGCGTTTCCGCAGCCTTTTCCCTCGAATAAAATATCTCCTCGTACCCATCTTTGAGGTTTATCTTGCCTTCATCAGCCTGCAATGGCAAATTTAACAGCTCTATGCCTTCCCTTAACTTGGGCATGCCAAGAGCCTCTATGCTGATTGAACCTCTACTGAAACCAATAGAGCTCTCTACAACGCTGTGGATTGCGTTGATATCGGCCATTAATCGAGCTGCCCCGAGACTAGTAAACTCCTGCTTGACCAGTACTTCGTTGAAGAGAAGAGTCTGAAGGTTGCTGAACGCTGCTCGCCAGACTCGACGGAACGTTGAGTATGCCAGGGCCATGTTGAGGAATGACATGCTTGCCTTGATGGTCTGTAAATTATTAGCTAGAGAAGCGGATCAGTTGTTTGTAATGAGTTGGAGTTCACATACTTGGAGTGGTGAGTCAAGTTCTGGGGTGATAGCCATTGTGCTAGGGTCTATAGTAATGTTAGTAGAATGCAGAAGTCGCCTAATGGATGAATTCTCACCTGGAACAAGCTCCTCGCCAACGGTCCTCCATTGAGGTTTAATGAAATACGGCTTGAATGATTGTGGGAAGGAATGCTGTAAGGCTTCGATAATTTTAGTTTCTGTTTTATTCCGAAAGCGATTGTAGAGGTCGATATGGATATCGAACATTGAGCCTTCGGCTTGCGTGCCCAGGACCCTCGAAGTATGTTGTTTAACCTGATTCAAGGTCATGTCTCCGGCCACTTTATTCTCGGCTTCTATATCTTTCGCCCTATCTTGCAATTGATCCCACAATTCCACAAAGAACTATTGAATTAGCAAGCATATGCGAAAGCGGCCACAAATCAAGTACTAACCTCGTCACAGGACCATTCTCGAAGCACAAATATAATACGATCTGCGCTTCCGTACATACGACACAAGCGATCAAGTCCGCCAATGCCCTCTAGGTTGGCCTGTTCCTCTTTCGAAATACCATGCAACGTGCGTCCGACGGTTGTGATGGAAGATAAATAGACCGAGAGGGAGTCATTCAGAACTCCAAAATATTGATCAAGGAGGTACGATTGAATTTCCACGAAAAATCGGATTTTGTGAGAGAATCTTCGCAATCCTTTGTATTGCTGTGTTACGGAATGTAACAGATCTCCAACTTTGGTTGCTCCATAAGTAGGTTTGGTCTTGCCAACTTCAGCGCCATCAAAATCAATCTGGCCGCGGTCCGGACCAGAATGTATTTCTTCATATCTTTTAACAACAAACATTTTCTCAGCATCTAGCCAATTGTCGAAGTAAACGTTCAAAACATCCCACGTCAGTCCTTTCCAGCCGGCCTCTGGGTTACCGCCGTCATAATCAAATTGAGATCGGACCTTCTCATCGAACGCCATCAACTCTGGTATAAAGCGGCTAAGTAGATTTGGCTTGGAGGACACCTCTAGAGCAACGGCATCAACCTTCTCTTTCATTACTGGTAACAGCGCAGTAATGAAAGCAGCTACAGGATCCACATAGAGTGGGTTGCCAGCAAGCAGGTTTCCCCGGAAATGAGCTGCCAATACGGGTCCGACGAACTCTCTGAGATAGTCCTGCCACTTCTCAACAGTACCCAAAAACCATGGGAAGAAGAACTCCCCAAGCTGGATAACATTAGCTAGGACGCATCGTAACAAGAATAGAACGTACTCGGTGTATCTGATTAGTGGCTTTTGGCGTAAAAAAATGATATCTGAATTGAGAGACGAAGTTCTTCGCCAAGACAGTCATAGGAAGAAGCGCGAGAGGTTCTCTAGCAGACATGATCTCGGGAGATTGTAGATCCAGCAATTTTTCAAAGCAATCCTGCCACTCCCTAGAAGGAGGCTGCGCAACCTCTGGCCACCTTGTAGCTCTTAAGATTGCTTCGAATTCATCTGCCATGATTCTCTTCATGTCATCCCAGAGCTTCGAAGTAGCACCTTGCACGTAGTTCACTAAATGGGGAGCCGCGCCCTCTGCATCACGCTGAAGCTCCACCATTGATAATGATAGCTCCTTCAACTTGATATAAGGTACAAGTGCCTCTTTTGGGCGACCGGGCAGGAAGCTCCTGGCTTCTTTTTTCATCTCGTCGACATCTTTCAGCAATTCGACATATGATTTAGCCAATTCAACCCGTCTTAGCTTCTCCATAGGACCCTTCAGAAGCGTGGTAGCCTCCTCGGGAGTATCCGAACGGACCACGACCATTAATCGTTTCCGGACAGCCTCTTGCTGGGTTTGGAAAATCCGTATCTGCTCGCGCATTTTTGTGGTGTGCTTCGCTGAGGCGTTTCTCGATTCGTCGAGTTGGATTTTGGCATCGTGAAGCTATATTGAATGAGTACGCAACGATGGAAGAGCGCGCAGAACTTGCCTGCTTCTCAAGATCTTTCCGTTGACCTTCAACTTTTAGCAACAAGTTTGGGAGGCTTGCGAAGTCTGCTTTTGTCTGAATCTTATCATTTAGATAGTCGTCCAATTTCACATTCTTTTCCTCATTGGGGATATCCGTTTCTGGGTACAGAAGAACAGCGACCGGTGTATGGCCGCCCCTCTCCGTCCTCTCCGGAACTGTTATTAAGTCGGGCATATCTTGACGGTCATAGGCAATATACCAAGTCGTTGCGTTGAACCCAGTTGGTGGTGGTGTTGATAGCTGGTAGCGATGTGTTCTCTTTGGCAGGGATTAATTGTCCAAGCTGCCAGCTGCAACCACTTAAGAAACAAGCGTCATCGAGGAAGTTGGAAGTCGCGCCTCGCGTCTCCCGCATCGCCAATATATTCAATATGAGATTCGCAAGGTCAACTTCTAGGACTACCGTATTCTAAACGCAGTCTACGATGTAGCGAGTATGGAATAGCTCTTCCACTAATGACATGCACACAGCTCGTTTTCATGAGCTAGGAATTGACTGAGACATCCAACACAATCCTCATGGCAAGCCCAGCGAAAAAGCGGAAGTTGAATAACGACCCAAAACTAAAAGCCACGCCAGCGCGAACGCTTGATCACTTTTTTGGGAAGAAGAACTCCGGCTCATCATCAAAGATCGATGATTCTCCTGTTGTAGCTGCAGAGAATTCTGAAGTCACTACCTCATTGACGGACGAGCAGTTGGCAAGAAAATTACAGGCAGAATGGGACAGAGAATCTTTTGGGGCAAGCACTGTGTGGAATGGCGATTCCAAGGAGAGAAGTGATGGAATCTCACCGAAAACACCAAACGAAGCAATCGATGAGACGCGATTGTTATCAAAGCAGGCGCGAAAGGACATTCCGGATTTGGATGGCATAGTCGCTACAGATTCGGTAGCCAAACCAAAAACTAAAAATACACTGACCTTACAAGCGGCTGGGACGGCCGAAGATACACTTTCCTCTAGTATACCCTTCGACCAAAGTCCCTTGACTTTCGATCCTTCAAAATATGTCCAAGAGTTGCAAGGACATTGGGCCGCGGACGGCGGCAACGCATCTTACGCCCTTCTTACGAGATGTTTTGTCCTTGTAAATAGCACCCAAAGCCGTATCAAGATTGTAGACACACTTGTCAATATGCTGCGAGTCATTATTGAGGCAGATCCAGACAGTCTTCTGCCTACGGTGTGGTTAGCGACCAACAGTATATCACCGCCATACATATCGCTTGAACTCGGCCTCGGTGGTTCTGCAATTTCTAAAGCCCTCAAGAATGTATGTGGACTGGACAGCAAATCACTCAAAGCTTTGTACGACAAGGTTGGGGACGCTGGTGATGTTGCCTTTGAGGCGAAGAAGAAACAGAGTTTCACGCTGCGGAAGCCCAAGCCTCTTACAATCAAGGGCGTGTATCAATCTTTAGTAAAGATTGCTAATACTCAAGGCACTGGTAGCGGAGAAGTGAAGCAGAGAATCGTCGATCGACTCCTGCAAGATGCCAGGGGTGCAGAAGAGAGTCGATACGTAGTCCGCACATTGTGCCAGCATGTTAGTAATCGCCGTCGCATTTCGATTAAAAGCTAATGGTATTAGCTTCGTATCGGTGCAGTAAAGACTACAATGTTGATTGCGCTATCAAGGGCATTTCTGCTGTCAAAGCCTCCTGGTGCAGACTTTCCATTAAGATCCCCTCAACAGCTCTCTACACTAAAGAAGGAAGCATTGGCAGAGGTGTGGGCAAAACCAGAAGAAATTGTCAAAGCGTGCTTTGCAAAGAGGCCCAATTACAATGATCTGATTCCTGTTCTGCTTGAAATTGGCGTTTGTGAGGAGCTGCTCATCAGATGTGGATTAGCATTACATATTCCTCTGCGGCCAATGTTGGGTAGCATTACTCGAGATTTATCAGAAATGCTCACTAAGCTTCAAGGCCGTGACTTTAGTTGTGAGTACAAATACGATGGTCAGCGTGCGCAAGTGCATTGCGATGACCAGGGCAAAGTGTCAATATTCTCACGTCACCTCGAACTCATGACCGACAAGTACCCCGATCTTGTCGATCTGATACCCAAGATTCGTGGAGACGGTGTTTCAAGCTTCATCATGGAAGGCGAAGTGGTTGCTGTGGATCAGGAATCTGGCGAACTGAAAACATTTCAGGCACTTTCCAATAGGGCACGCAAAGATGTAGCTATTGGAAGTGTAAAGGTTTCCGTTTGCTTGTTTTCATTCGATCTGATGTATCTCAACGGAGAGTCACTGCTCAGCCGGCCTTTTCGAGAACGGCGAGAATTATTGAGAAGCCTGTTTACAGAAGTCCCGAACCGCTTCACCTGGGTCAAGAGCATAGATGCAACTTCACAAGATTCCGAAACCGTTCTTGAGTTTTTCAAGAGCGCCACAGATATCAAATGCGAAGGGATTATGGTCAAGATTCTTGACAATCTTCCAAATCCTAATTTGATAGCAGATGTAGAAGACACAGAGGCTGCGGACGCAATAGAAAAGTCGGCAAGATCGAAAACGATAAAAAAGAACGCTCCAGAAAACGTACCAGAAAAGAAGACCCGGCGCAAGGCTCTTCTGGCAACCTACGAACCAGACAAACGTCTCGACTCTTGGCTTAAAGTCAAGAAGGACTACTCAACAACCTTCGATACGTTAGATCTGATTCCTGTCGCTGCATGGCACGGACAGGGACGAAAATCCCAGTGGTGGTCTCCTATCCTTCTTGCAGTACGCAATGAAGACTCTGGATCTCTCGAAGCGGTCTGCAAATGCATATCCGGGTTCACGGACACGTTCTACAAAGCTAATCGCGAATTCTATAATCCGGGTAACGAGAACACATTAGGCTCAAAACCAGGTTACGTCGAATATGAGGGAGGCAACCCGGATGTATGGTTTGAGCCAAAAGAGGTCTGGGAGATGGCGTTTGCGGACATTACGTTGAGTCCGGTATACACGGCGGCTATTGGATTGGTTTCCGAGGAGAGGGGGTTGAGTCTGAGATTTCCGAGATTCTTGAAGAAGAGGGAAGATAAGGGGATTGAGGAAGCTAGTACGAATGAGTTTCTAGCTGGCTTGTGGAGGAAGCAGGAGGAGAAGGCTCCAGCTGCTGGTGCGAAGGGTGAGATTGAGGGAGGCGAGGATGATGATGATTAGTAGATGGAATTATGGATTGTAATGTTGGATATATGTAACTCATCTAAGGCATGTTGGAGTGACCAATTACATGGAAGGTTTAAGCGCGTAAGGTAACAATTAAAACTTTATATCGAGGTTCAAAAGCGGACAATAACTTGATCTGAAATCTAACTCCGTTTTGTTGTAGATGGAGATAGCCTGTACTGAGCTTTTACTACTATCACAAAGTT